CCAAAAAGTCCTCATAATTTTAGTGATATGACTGTTATATACATACATACATATCAACATGTGTACATTTTGTATGTATGAAAATATTATTTCCACAAAAGCTGTGTGAATAAAGAGATGATTTTTTTTAAAAGCAGAAAATGATGACTGTGATTGTGATTGGTTGGTTGTTTCTTTAGTTTGATTTGACTTGTTGGTAAACAATCTTGAAACAATAACCTAACCCTTATCCTTACCCCTCTATATATAAGTAGGGGGGGGGGGGGGGGGGGGGTGAAATGGTTTCTACTGTCAAATGTATTGATGGATTTGATGTAAAGGGGTTTAGGTTGTTTAAGATGAGACTTTTGATATGTGACGTAATATAAATAGCTACTAATGTAATTTATTGTTGTATAAATCCAAGTGTCTTGTGTGTAATAATGCTATTAAATATTTTGATATATAATAATAATAATAATAATCAAAAAGGTGTGATAACTTACCCTTTATTTTATTTTCTATTAAATAAAATAAAAATTGGTGTCAAAGCGTCTATTCATAAAAGATGTTCTTTACATCTGCACGTCTGCACATTGGCACATATACACATCAAACACCTCCTGCATTAAACAAAATGCTCAGTAAATCAAGTGACAGTTTATTCTCTAATATACATATAAATGTTGTTTGTATTGAAAGCACAGTACAACAAAGAACAGATCTTTTTCTGATGTTGTTTGGATTTTAGTTTATTTTCTGCTTATTCCTTATTCTTATTCTTATTCTTATTTTTGAGTTTGTTGGATTTCACACAAAAGCCACCCCGTTGTAAGCTGATGATTTTCTATAAGGAATAATATTAACCACACACATAAACACAGAAAGGAAACTAACAAGGTAATACCAAATATCAATTAATTTGTGAGCAATAAAAAAAAGGAGGATTTATGACGAAACTCTCCTTTAAAAAAATGTTAAAATGATATTCATATGTAATATGTAACAAGGGAATATCATGTTTTCCATGTATTTCATTTTATTTCATTAATATTACTATAACAATAGACATATTTAAATACATGTTTCAATTCTTGGTTCTTTTTTCTTTGTATATATACATGAAACTTGATATATATGCATACCCTTTGTCCTTATACCCTTTAAGATGTTACAGATTTTGATTTACCCACACATAGATACATTACCAGCATAGCAACATACCAATAGATACAAAAAAGAAAGAAAGAAATTGTAGCTTTTTTTTTAATTCAAATATACAAAGAAGCATAAAATTACCAAAAAGAGCAAAAGATAAAGAAAATGGTTACCCACACACCAAAAAACAAAAAAAAAAACAATAGACCTTTTTTTTAAAAAATAATAATTTCTCTTTGTAATTAATTAATGTTGGGATTTTTGCTGATAAATAACATATAATAATTATAACAAAAGGACATGGATATTAAATGTAAAATGTCACTGTACATAATTATAGTCAATCGTTTACTTTCAATTCACTCGGTAATAATGTAGATATTCTGATGATAAGACAACGATTGTTTCCCACACAAAAGCTCTGTCTATATTCATATTGTGATTTGTACTTGGAACTAAATAAAACAAAGGAAAATTGAACACATCAGATAGAGTTATAAAAACGAATCAGATAACGTAATACAAGAAAATACAACCAACATTTTCTTTTTTCTTGTCACTAATATTTATTACTATTATTATTATTTTATACTTGACATTTAGTTCTTTCTTTTGTTTTCTGTTCTACAAGAAAGTATTTTTCTTCTTCTAAACTTTAGGTTTCTTTACTATATATACATACATGCATACATACAATTTCTTTAAATAGAAAAACAAATAAACAAATAAACAAACAAGCAAGTAACCAAGTAACCAAGTAACCAAGTAACCAAGCAACCAAGTAACCAAGCAACCAAGTAACCAAGTAACCAAGTAACCAAGCAACCAAACAAATAAGCATATGTGTGAATTTACAAATTTGTTCGTGCGTGGGAATGATATTATCCTTGTATCTGTTATCGATACTACTAAACTCATTTTATACAATGAGAAAGAACAAGAAAGAAAAGAAGAAAAAAAAGGACAGATCCGATAAAGTATTTTATCTATACTAATTTATATATATATCTTCTGTGCTTGGATCGACCATAAAAGTCAATTCTTATTTAGTTTTAGACTTTTTTTTAAGGTTTATATATTTTATTATGTGTATTTTTTTTGAGAGCATAAAATGATAAGAAAAAGTTTATAAATATAAATATCTATATATATATACTCTTTTCAAAAGGTAGATGTGTATAAGTGTATGTGAATGTGAATGTGTGTATTCTTTAATACATAAAGATTATATAAGGTGTATAAGGTATAAGGATGTAATATGTATGTAAACACTACTACTTGTACTTACACTTGCACTTGCACTTATACACACACACAGATACTGATATGTGTGTATATATAAGTGAGTTTGAGTATGAGATTAAGTGTATGTGTTTGTATAATTTAGGTTTTTTTTTGGTGTATTGTAAATAAGGGAAAACAAAATATTAAGTAAGAGAATAAAGGGAAGTGTAGAAAGGAAGATGCGTATAATAAGGAGAGTAAAAGAAGATAGAGGGTATTGTGTTTATATATGTAAGTGTATTTTTTTCCTTTCTCTCTCTTTCTTCATCAAAAGAGAGTCTAGAATTTGATGAAAGGAGCGAAAAATCGTCTGGTTTTTGTCTTTTCACGCACATCTTCGGTTGGAGTTACGTTTGTCGAAAATCCTGAAGATCCGTGTGTGTGAGGATGAGGGTGGGCGTGTACGTGTGTGTGATCAAGGCTAAAAGACAGCTGGAGATCAAGATCAGGAACGGTTCCAAATCCAAGATCATCAAACACAGGATCCAACATGTCTTCAACTGTCGATGCAATAGACAAACCAGGCATTCTGAACGATGAGCTGTAGTTTTTGTATGTACTATCGTTTCCATGTCCAAGGAGTGTACTGCTATGACGCTCGGAAAGAGTGGGTTCTTTATCGTGGCTGGTGTCGTTATCAGTATCGGTATCATGAACATTCTTGTTCTTGTTCTTATTATTATTATTATTATTATTATTATTGTGTATCTTGGTGTTGTTTTTGCTGTTACTGGCCGTAGCAGTAGTAGGGATGTGAATGCTGCTCTTATTGTCGTCTTCGTCTTCGTCATCTTCTGATAATACTGAAGAGGTACCTGTATTCCTCCGCTTTGCATTTCGTTTCCTTCCCTGGGTTTCTGGGATCCACGGTGCTTCGGGCAAAGGCAGGGCGGCAGGCAAGGGTGCAGAAACATGTTGATCTGAAGTGTGACAATCGAGATTGAAACTGTCAATGTCTGAAAGCATGCTAATGCTACCTCGCTTACGAGCAGGCTGGAAACCAGGCTGGGATACTACTACTGCGGCGGCTTGTGGTTTATCGTAAATACTTTCTTCGCCATGATTCTTATTCTTATTCTTGTTTTTATTGTCTTTGGTTTTATTTTTGGTTTTGGGTTTGGGTTTGCTGTTTTTGCTGTTATGTTGACTGGATGAGAAAGATGGTTTAGAATGTATTGTGTGGCTGTCCTGCAGCTCGGCAATTGTATTATTATTATTTGTTGTTGTTGTTGTTGATGTGGTTGTAATGGTAGGAATGGTTGGTTCGACTTCTTCTTCATAGTATCGTTCGTCTGTGAATGAATAATCGTCAAATATGTGCTGAAAGTCATCCGTAGGGTCGATCTGAGAACCCATGGGACTAAACGATGGTTCCATGTCGATAAACAAAGGATCAAAGTTGGCAAAATCAAGTTTTGAGGTTAAATTGGGGCTGTAAGGGGGTGTTAGTCTGCGGTGATACACATCATCCCATGAAAGAGATGCAAAGTAAGGATGGGTCTTTATCTCATCCACCCCACCGTGTTCCAAAGAACAGCCTAGTCTGGTGGCCGGATTGCGATCCAGTAAGGCAGCCAAGAACTCGGCCGTGTCGTATTCGATATCTGTAGGAAATTCGAGAGGTTCTTCAAGAATCCGACGGTACATTTCTGAATGGTTGTCTGCCCAGAAAGGCGTGATGCCGGTCAGCATCTCGTAGATAATCGTTCCATAGCTCCAGTAGTCAATTCCAAATGAATAGGCATCTCCAAGAAGCAGTTCGGGCGCCAGGTACTCTGCCGTGCCGCAGAACGTCTGGGTCGACTGATCGGTTTCGTTTGTGAGCCATTTACTGAGTCCAAAGTCGGTCAAGACAATGTGGCCCTCTTGGGTAAGCAAGATGTTTTCTGGCTTCAGATCACGGTACAAGACTCCCAGGCGATGCAGCTCTCCAATGCCGTCGATAATCTCGGCTGCATAGAACAAAACACGTTCGGGCGTAAACGTGTAGCAGGTGCTCATTTGTGTGGCGAGGTCGCCTCCACAATAGTAATCGGTGATTAAATAGAGCCTGTGTTCGTCTTGGAAGGAAGCGTGTAACTTTGCCAAGAAGGGATGGTCAATGGCAGCAACAGTGGCAAGGATCTCACGTTCCGCCAGAGTGTGGGTAATCTCCCGCTGTTCGATCACCAAATCCTTGACGATGCTTTTCAATGCACGAAGTTCCTGCGTTGTACGAGAACGAACAAGGAAAACCTAGATATAAATAATTATAAATTATATATATATATACATAAAAAAAAGTTATTGTTTGGTGATCAGAATGCATTATTGTTATTTTGTTTTTCAATTAAAGCAAAGTCTTACTTTTCCCATGCAGCCTTTTCCTAGGACTTTTAGGATTTCTAGATTGTCTAGTAAGAAAGGTTTGGTGGGCAACTTTTGAACAATGTCGTATTCCAGACGAGGTGAATCGACTGGTAATTGATGAGAAACAGAGTTGTGTGTTGATGCAATACTGTAGCTGTCTAGTAAATCATTATCACTATCAATATTGAAATTGAAATGATTATCGTATTTATGATTCCCATTATTTCTAGCATCATTATCATTATCATCTTCTTCATCATCATCTCCACTATCATCATCGTCGTCGTCGTCTTCGTCGTCTTCGTCTTCGTCTTCTTCGTCTTCTTTGGTGGTTATGGTTGTGGTTGTGGTTGTGATAGTGGTGGGGACTGTGGCAGAGTCTGTTGGTGACCGGGGTACTATCTGGTCAGCTGCAACAGAAATCTCAGCAGACAACGACGGCGCAATCAGGCTTGGTGGACTGGGTTGTTTGAGTCGTACACTTGTCTCGATCTTTGATACGATATAGTCTTCATCTCGTTGGGGCGTAAAGAAATCTCTGAAGATGCTAGAGTTGGAAATGAAGCTATCCAGAGAACATCGTCTCAGATACCGTTCGACTTTGTCGGCATTGGAGCGATACTTGTACTGGGTAAGCGAGGTAAGTATCTGGCGAAGGCTTCGTCGTTTAACGGCAGTCGAGGATGGTTCGGTAAGGTGCGGAAAAGGAATTTTTGACTTTGGATAGTATTTCTTAACCTATATACGCACACACACACACACAAATAAATAAATAAATAATAATAATAATAATAATTTTGAGATGAGATGAGATAATATTATACTTTAATGTACTATATTCTATTGTATTCTATTATATGCTATTGTATCTCGGTCTGTGCTAGGTTAGTGCCACGTGAAAAGCCATACCATTTGGTCAAATTCGATAATATCGGGAATGTACCTGACGAGCGACAGCATATGACTGTCAGTCTCTACAATAATATTCAATATCTAGGTCACGTGCGTGAGAACAGCAGCATTATTATTATTATCATTAAGAGATTCTTATATTTTTTCTTCTTACTGGAAAGGCACGCTGGTTCTGTTTACTGGCCACAGTGGCCGTGGTCTCAATGACAGCAATAGCAAATGATTTCATGTTAATCGAGTCTCCGACGCCGTGAGCAATGCAATTGTTGTATATATAAATATAAATTTATATAAAAAAAAAAGTCCACTCTACAAATAAGTAATACAATGATAATATAATATAAGCTTAATGAAATGTACCAAAAAAAGAATGAACCAAAAATGGCGTAATATATGAAAGTATATCTATTTATTTATTACCTAGTGATGGGTACAATACTGTGTACAAGAACCAAAAATAAATTAAGATATTTTGTTTAAATTGGTTGTTAGGTTGGGTTGTTTAAAATAAAGAAGGGAAGAAGGGAAGCAAAGAAGGAGTGACTGTGAATTTGGGTCGATGTGTAAATGTTAGGTTGGTAAGACCAGTCAGGTACAAGTGTTGTTAAGAGATAGAGTCTAATGAAAACACACACACAGAGAGAGAGAGAGAGGAAGAGGTAGATAGAAAGAGAGGTAGCAGACAAGGAAGAAGAAAAAGAAGAAGAGGAGACAAAAAGGTAAAATGATAAAAAATAAAATAAAATAAAATAAAATAAATTAAATAAAATAAAATAAATTCAAAATTCAAAATTCAAAAATTGAAATAAAATATATAAAATAAAAAAAAAAGGTTGATGAAATGGTTGCAATATACGAGCAATTACTCTTCTCGGGTTTCAGAAACAGAATAACTAAATATTGGCTCTCTTTACACGTGTGCGACTTTCCTTTTAGTGCCTGTAACTGATTTCCCGCGTATGTGTTACTTTGCCTCTCACTCACTTTATATAGCTATATTTCTTTACTTCTATATATCAAATAAATAAATATATCAATACACAAGAATACAACAAAAAATGCACATTATTTTGACAGCAAAAATTTGAGAATAAGGTAAGCTTCTTCTTTTTTGGAGCTACTTTGTGTGTGTGTGTGTGTGATTTATTGTACTTGTAGACAAATGTCAATTATTTTAATAATGACAATTAAATATAGATATATGGATAATGTGCCATGTTTTATAATGTCAGTGAGTAAGCAATTGAATGAATAGGTCAATAAAGAAAATACATAAACTAATAAACCAATATTTTATATATGCAACTGTATAAATGCACCTTTATGCCACAAGCCGTCATATTGTGCCAGAATAAAAATAAGTAAATAAATGGTAAATGGTAAATGCAACCAAACAAGACGTTTGACTATCTTTTTCTTTTCTTTCTCTCTTTCTCACATGTGATAAGCAAGAAACTCAAAATGCATTGATTTGATTTTTCTTATATTTAAATATACACAATATAAATAAATTATTATAAGCTTAATTTTTTTTTTTATTTATAATACACTCATCCTACCTACATCCTACACCCTACACATATTACCCTGCACTTTATACCTTGCACCCTACGCATATACTACGCCCACACTACGCACATGCAACTATATATATATATATTATATTTATCACATATGTTAAAAATTATAATATGCTTCTTGTGCAATCAAGACTATATACTAGTAGTATCTCCCTCCTTCCCTTCTTATTTCTATAATTCGGCTCATTGGCTGGCGGAAATAAAGGGTGACGCGATTTCCTTGTAAATATTGAATTTTACACTACCCGCTTTGAATAGGGCGCGTCAAATCAAATCAAATTTTATTTTTATTTTTTTTAAGAAAAAAAAAAGTGTGTGAGAGAAAGAAAGAGAGAAAGGGAGGAAACTATTTCGTCACTCTCACATCTATATAACACTTTAACGCCATGAGAGTCCTCATCAAAGGAGGTGTTTGGAAAAACACAGAAGATGAGATTCTAAAGGCTGCTGTCAGCAAATACGGAAAGAATCAATGGGCCCGTATCTCATCTTTGCTTGTGAGAAAATCACCAAAGCAATGTAAAGCAAGATGGTATGAATGGTTGGATCCAAGTATCAAAAAGGTAAAAAAAAAAGAAAAGAAAAAAGTATATTAATTATAAAATAATAATAACTACATTAATAAATAAGATAAAATAAAATAAATTTATATTCCATTACATCGATTCTTTTTTTTTAAAAGAGAAGAAAAAAAAAGTAAATGATATACATGTATATACTTCTTTAAGAAATATATATATATATATTTATATATATATAAAATGTTAAATAAACTGACGTATTCTTTTTTCCCCTTCTTTACTTTAAATTAAAATCATAATAATAATATATTCATCAAACAGACTGAATGGTCAAAAGAAGAAGACGAAAAGCTTTTGCATCTTGCAAAACTCATGCCAACTCAATGGCGTACGATCGCACCAATTGTCGGACGAACACCTGCACAATGTCTTGAACGCTACCAACGATTGTTGGATGAAGCAGAAGCTAGAGAAGCAGGACCTCTTGGAGATCTCGGCTTGACAGGATCAATTGGACATGAGAGTGGACCAAGTGCCGACGACGTTCGAAAGCTCAGACCAGGAGAAATCGATCCTGAACCAGAAAGCAAACCCGCACGTCCCGATCCAGTAGACATGGACGAAGATGAAAAAGAGATGTTGTCTGAAGCTCGTGCTAGATTAGCAAACACACAGGGTAAAAAAGCCAAGCGAAAGGCTAGAGAAAGACAACTCGAAGAAGCTAGACGATTGACTTCACTACAGAAACGCAGAGAACTCAAGGCAGCTGGCATAAAGTGAGTTTCTGTTTTTGTATTGAATATACAGGAAAGAAAAACAAATTCAACGTATATATATATACACACATTAGTATTATTATTATTTTGGAAAGAGTGAATAAGAACTAAAAGAAAGAAAAGGACTTTTTTTTATTGCTACTGTTTTAAAATAATAATACTAATAACAATAACAATAACAGTATGCGCGCCAAGAAGAAGAAGAACGTTATGGATTATAATGCAGACGTACCATTCGAAAAGAAGATGCCATTGGGTTTCTACGACACAACAGAAGAAGCCAGTCGTCCTGTAGATCCCGGAAAACTCACCAATGTTCACCTTTCTAAACTCAATCGACGACGTGCTGACATTGAAGAAGAAAAGCAAAGAGAAAAGAAGAGAAAGTCAAAGGCAAATGGCGGTAGTGGACAACCCGAGGGCAACCAAGGTAGATTTATTCCTGCGAAGGACGCCAAGGTTGTCAAGATGCAGGAACAGGAACAGATTGCCAAGAGACGCAAACTCGTCCTTCCTGCACCTCAGGTTGGAGAAGACGAATTGGAGGAGATCGTAAAGACTGGCTTTGCTGGTGAGAGTGCACGAATGTTGGTACTGGAGGAAGGCGAAGAAGGTGCCACTCGCGGTCTCATCGGAGACTATTCAGTCACACCCAACACACTCACAACCAGAACCCCTAGAGCGCCACCAAGCAGTAAGTAAATTCAAGGAAATGATCTTTATTTTTTTATTTTTTTTAGAGAAAAAGGGGGGAAAAGGCAAATTTACGCATATCATACATACATGGGTAATCTCATATTATTATTATTATCTCTTATATATGTATTATTTTATTTGGCTGATATTAGATGATAATCTTCTTCAGGAAGCACGTAACTTGCGTGCATTGACAAGCACACAGACCCCCCTGTTGGGCCATGAGAACACACCTTATCACATGGGAGGAGGTACTGGATTTGATGGTGCCACCCCAAGACATTCAAGCGTCCAGACCCCTAACCCATTGATGACACCCATGCGCGGTAGCGGGCCGGACGATGTGATGGCAACTCCTGGGTCATCTAGCCAGCAGACGCCTTTCAAAACCCCTCTTCGTGATCATTTCAAGCTGAATGTCCAGGGCCAGATGATCGGAGGAGAGACACCTAGAGATGAGCGTCTGATTCAGGCCCAGAGAAAGCGCGCATTGCTGGACAGTCTCTCTAGCTTACCAAAGCCTCGCAACGAGTGGGAGATCCGTCTTCAGGATCTTGAGGAAAAGGAAGACGAGAAGATGATCGGCACAGCAGCCATAATTGAGGACAGAAGTGATGTAGACTTGGAGCTCAAGAGAGCTGCCGAACGTGAGGAAAAGGAACGCATCGCACGTCGATCCCAGGCTGTCCAGCTCAATCTTCCTAGACCCACATCAATTCCTGCCAAAGAAAAGATTGACCAGGATGGTGATGATGAGGATATCAAAAGCATGGTTCAAGACGAGTTTATTCGTCTCTTGACACACGACGCAATCAAATACCCAGTAGCTGGAGGCGCCATTGCGCCCGGTGCATCAGACCTGCCAGGCGATCTGTCCGATCTTGAAGACGAGTTTACTTCAGAGGCACTTGAGGATGCGCGTCTTGAGATGGATCGCGAATTGGAGAAAGAGCTGGCCTTGGAAGAGGGCGCGAATGTCAAGGAGGCTGTCTGGGCTCGCGTGTCTTCCCAACCCAATTTCGAAGCCGTCTGGAGCAAGGAGCACGATGACGTTCTTTTCTCTGTTCGTTTCAACCAGTTCATGACTCTTGACGAAATTCCGGATGACGAAGACAAGATCCAGGGCCTCGAGAAGATGGTTGAGGCCAACCGAAAGACCATGATCCGTGACGCCACACGTGCGGGTAAACTTGAAAAGAAACTCGATCTCAGATTGGGTGGATACATGGCTCGATCGGCAGCGCTTTCGCAACAGATCATGGATGCCTTTGATGAATTCGAATCGGCAAAGATCGAGTACCAGAGTTTCTTGAATCTGCAGCTCGCCGAAAAGGTTGCTATCCCAAGACGAATTGGGGCTCTTGAAGATGAGGTCCATAAGCTGGCACAACGGGAAAGAGAATTACAGCAGAAGTATAAAGAGCTTAGCGATGAAAAGAGCATGTACCTATCTGGTATTGTCTAAAAAAAACCTCCCAAAAAAAGAGAGAGAGAAAAGGAACAAATATCCATATCAATATCAATATCAATATTCATATGTATATATGTTTTCTTCTTTAATCTTTCTTCTTACTCTTCATCTTATTCTTCATCTTATTCTTCTCCTCTTTCCTGTACACTGTCTACCCTGCCCTGCTTAAAGTATATGTATAAAAATAAAACAATAAAAAGAGCCAATGATCTTTGGATTTCTTTATATCACATCAAATCATGAACGCACCCACATCCATGCCCAAACCCACTCGACTGCCCACACCCATATTCTTTCTCTCTCTTTAATTTATCTGCAATAAATGGAGCTTAGTAAAAAAAAATTTATAAAAATAAAAGATGGAGAGATTAAGTAATGCAGACCTTAATTTGGAGAGATGATTGAGACATGCACAGCCACAAGTGCATTATATTCCCACCATTCTTTCGAAATAAATATATGTACAAAAAGAAAGAAATGGCTAAAGTACCCAATAAGCCCTTTCATTAGTAAGAATAGATATCCAATATTCTCATTGTTGATTTGCTCTTTGTAAAACGATAACAAATTTACAATATCAATAGTCTCTTCTTCTTTTCCCCATTATTTTTCATTGCTTTGTTTCAATACAGTACAGAACAGGACAATGTGAAATGTATGAAAATCACCATCCCACACATGTTTGATGCAAGGGATGAAACTATTTCTCTTTGTGATAATAATTGAGACTGTAACAGCTCATTATTATCATTATCACTACTAAAAAAAACCCAATGACAATAGGAAACCTGTTCAATACAGTTATAGTTAGGTATAAAGTTTGTTGTTCTTGTTATTGGTTTATCTTATTTTAATAACAACAACAACAATTGAGCCTTTTTTATTATTATATTATTATTTAACCATTTTGTATTAAATGTGTAAATTACAACACAGCTAAACTGAAAATACATATAAAGAATAAAACTACCAGGCTTATTGCGGAAGAACAGACGACCCTTGTTCATCATGTAATATTAAGAGGAAGCAAAACAATGATAGTTTATTTTTTGTGGCAGCCGACAATGAATAATATATATATATATAAAATATAGTTTTATGATGGAAATGAGACAAATGCATGGTTCTCAACTACATTTGTGGACCTCAATAAGGGTCATTTCTAGATTTGGGCTTTGAAAATCGACGTTGCACGATCCCTCATGCTTGACCGATACTTTCAGCACACACACACACACACACACACAAAAAATTATTATTATTATTTTGGGGGCGATATGATGGGGGTTTCTTTCTTTTTTTTTCAATTATTATTATTTTAACTGCAATAAATTATTATAGTTTATTAATTTCCAGTTAATTTAAACTTGATATTTTAGATCTATAGATTGATTGATTAATAGATAGGCTTAATAATGCGGCAGGTTCCTTGTGCTATAACATCACAACCCTCGGCAAGTTTATATTATCTTGTTTTTTATTTTAATTGTCATAACTAGGGTTTCAATTTTTAACCCAAAAATCCCTATTTTGTTAAAGAAAGAGAAAGAGTATGAAATGTCTAGCTTTTCCGCTGCTGCTGTTTTTGCTATGACTATTTATGAGCTGTAAAGACTTTGAGATCTATGTTACTTTATGTAATGTGAATACATATATGCGGGTGTGTAGTCAGTCAAAATAGGCTAGTCCTATCATAGTTGTAATTATCTAAAACTTGTATAATTTCTAAAAAGACATGTAATAAGACCCACTTTTACATATCTATATACATAAAAAGGCATAAAAAGTATAAAAATAAAGATTTGTTTTGATGTTGAAATTCCATTTAGTTGCTTGATCTAATGAGAATACAGATATTACTTGTATTATTTCTTTCTATCATTTAATGTGGTTAAAGAAAGGAGCAATAATATTCACAAATGAGTAGATACTCCAGAACAAGAGGAGCAAGAAGAGCACTTCAAACAATATGAACCGATTGATTTATTTCTAATGTTAGTTTATCATGATACAGGTTGGAATAATAAGTATCGGTATCATTATGATGATTGGATATTGTATATTCGTTTTTTTTTGGTTCTATGCTAGTAAAATACATAACAGGTTCTGTTCACCTAACAAAGAAAAAAGCATTGTACTTAGTGATCTCTGTATACATATATACATATTACAAACCTGTTGTTTGTATCTTTACAGAGATAAAATAAAACACAACAAAAATAAAGAGAGTATATAAAAGATCATCTTTCTCAAATTGACCATCTTCTTTACCACTTTTCTTATCTAATTATTATCCCGAAAACAACAACAACCGACTTTTTCTTTCAAAAAAAAAGATGTCTTTTGGCTATCCTACTCTTTCTTTTGTCAACTCAAAAACTTGCGCATGTAACCAGTGTGGATCTACTGCACACAAAACCAGGTATACAAATCTCTTTTTTCTTTTTTAATAATGAGATATTATTGATAATCATAATATCTATGTTGGAGAAAAATAAAAAGAAAATAGCAAGGAAATCTTACACAAAGGTTTACTTTAGAGACTGTCCTAAATTATATAATTAAAGCCATTTTCTGCAATACATCAACCAAGAATCTTTCATATATAAATCTTCTTCTTTTAAAATAAGAATAATAGCAATAATATACTGCCAAATTGTAACTGTTAGCCTAGCATATTGTTTCTTCTATTAAATGATAATAGTAATAAATAAGATTGAGGGCATAAATTCTTTGTTTTTTTGTATGTGTGTCATCAGTAATGTCTCACAACCATGTCTCACAATTTGACGGTTGTGTATGTTTGTGCTTGTTTGTCATCACGTTAATTTTTTTAATACAAATATATTCAGACAAAATTAATAAATACTTTATTGGGGTATCATCTCTTATTAATATACACAGCATTTTTTTTTGTTTAGTCGATTAAACTGAATTGGGAATATCATATATATTTAGTTTCTTGGTTCAATATTTTGATAAAAGTTGCTGTACATCTTTCTTCTTCTTCTTGTATATAAATATATATGGAGCTCTGAGCACCAGGCTAGGCGTGGTGTTTATAGTGTCTGTGTGAAATTATCTTGAAATAGAAGCCACTAATTGACAAGGTATAAATATAATAATACGAACTACTAAATATATGTATATACTAATATTAATATTAAAAGGTGTCCCGAAAGCTTTATAGAAAATAAAAACTGAAATTTGATGAAATAAGCTGCTTGTTTAAATTAATCACTTGTTGCACACACACACACATATATATATATATATATATATATACCAGAATATTGTCAAGAAATGCTAGATATCTACATTATATATAGCACAAAACAAAGTTAAAATGACATAATTTAATTATTTTTTTTAAAAAAAAAAAGCACGCATACACAAACACACATCAAAGTGCAATATTATATGTGAAATCCAATTATTTAATTTTCACTTGCCGACCTTTTTTTGCTACTTTTTTGTAGCACATAAAAAATAGGCCGTTTAGTACATTTTTTTCTAAAGTACGCTTCTAATCCCGAAGTCATAAAATTTTGCTTTTTTGATTATACGACATTAGGAGAAATAAAATATTGAAACACCGTTGCATTTTTTTTTGTGTAGGAGAATTGCTAGCCTCACAAAAATGCCACGCTCCCAGGTGTTTTTAAATTACTAAAAACAGCTTAGATCGTTTGAGTTCCAAAAATGCTCTACAATCTACCAAAAAGACTGGGCATTTGAAATTTAAATTAATTATTTTATTTTACTTTACTTTACTTTTTTGCTTTTTTACAAGCTTTCAATTAGTTTTTGATTTTTTATTATTATTTTATAACAAGTAATTGACCCTCTTATTCCAACTATAATTTTGTTTAAATACTATACTGCATTGCAATAAAGGTATTTGGGATTGATTTTGGATTAGTATCTCAATTTTGGAAAAAATAGATATTGTGAGAGTGTTATATATTAAGAAAAAATTAAAAAATATACGAGGTGTTCGGAACTAATCTTGGGTTAGTATATTAAGATTAGAAAAAGTAGATACTGTGAGAATGGTATTTATTAGAGATAGAATAATATGCTTATATACATCAGTCGATAAAGACGTTCTTTTTCTTACTATTCAATTTGCCTCTCTTAACATTTGTACCTCCGCTGTGCCACGTCTGGCACTCAAAATCTACCCAGGCACACATAAATCTACCCACACACACACAAAATCTACCCAGGTACACAGAAATCCACCCACACACACATAAATTCATTCGGACACACATAAACCCACCCAGGCACACACACATATCTTTTTTTGATGAATTCATAGATCTATATAAATAAGAAATTAATAAATCATTAGCATACTTTTTGAAAGTAGAGCTCCCCCCTCCCCTCAAGTTTAATGTAGCTCTTCGCTATAAGAAGTTTAGTTACTATATATTACAATTAATGTGTAAAAATAAGTCGAGCAGTTTATTGAATAGATAGTAGACTTTAAGTGATGTGATTGTAAAATGGTAAGAAGATTTGCAGAGAATTTAATGGTAGAGTCTAAGTTTCGTGCTTATATTTCAACTTTTTAAATATGTAATAAATAATATAGAATAGAATAAAAATAGATATATATATATAACACATTACTATAGTTTTTTGTTTATCCAAAAGTCAATAATTAATCATTTATGTATAATAAACAGCCAAGAATTACAAACATTTAATAATAGGAAAAAAAAAACAGCGGTAAGGCATTTATTATTACTATTACAGAAACTTTAGCCCTCTGCCTAAGAAGTGGCACCGTGTCTTATAAGGCCACTAAAAAAAAGGGGGCTTGCGAAAACCTGCTACTAAAACTATGGGAATCCTCGACTCTTTTTCCATAACGTAAAGTAGTGCCCCGTCTTTCTTTCTTTTTTCTTTTTAATTACAATTAGCCTTGAGAAGTACTCTATTTATTTGACAATCAAGATCCAGTATTATTGCTGTAAAATTTAAAACTTGAATCATAACCATGAAGAATACAGCTTTTATATATGTATATATGTGTGTGTGTGTGTGTACATATGTTGTTGCTGTTTATGTTGTACATGATCTCTAATATACATGTATACATATGTATTTTTTTTTCTTTTGCCTTGGACCAACTTTTACCATAAAAGATATTTGTCTTTCAAAAGCTTTTGTTGTAATGTACCATGTATCACCAGATCAGGTGAATAGAGTTGGAAACCCAACCTGATAAGTCCAGGATCTTTATCCTCTGATATGACCAGCACGTCGTCATTTGCGAGCGGTTTACGCAAAACCACTTTCCCACCTGCGGTCTCGACTACCTGCTTGAGTGAGTCTCTATTCTTAGGTGGAAGATAGACAGTCAATCCATCCAACCATCCATTCTCTCCAGAGAAAATACGCTCCCTGGCGATATTCAAACTATCATCAAGACTAAATCCTAGTTTCTTTTCTGATTCTTTATCATGTATTGCATAATTCTTTTCATCTTGCCATTCATGACCTTCGATCGAGTCCTTGATCCATTCACGCCGAATGATGTGAAGTCCGAGGTTGATAGCACAAAGGAACTTTGGTGTTCTGATGATTCGATCTTCACTTACAAGATGAGTAGCAAAGGCTATAGATTCAACGAATTGAGCTCCTAATGCACGTGCATTCTACAAAACAAATAGTGGCAATATGTTTGAATATAAAGCATAAAAAAATAGTGCCCCGGGTATCTCTCTCTCTCTCTCTCTAGATAATATATATTTATACATAATACTCACAGACTTTTCTTTTTCTGAAAGTGCAACGCACGTAGTTGCGATACGACACACCTGAGCCGTTTGCTTAACCTTTTTCTTCCTTCCTTGACTCTTTTGACTACTTGTTTCTACTTCTGAGTGCGATCTCTTTTGGGTACCAAAAGGCGTTGATCCTCGTCTTTGTCTAGATATAGCTTGGCTTGACTCCGTATAGGTGCTGTCACCATTATCACCGTTGCCACTATCCTCGTTATCATCAATAGTATTGGTGTTGACATTGACATTGGCATTGGCTTTGGCATTGGCATTGGTCTGAACTTCAGACCGTGGTGTCTCTGGAGCCTGCTGGTCTTCGGTGGTCACAAAAGAAATCTCGCGGGACATATCTTCCTCATTGGATATAGTTGTAGATACATTCGGTTGAGGCTGGTTGGGTAATGGAGTAACCTCTGGTAGGGGTTCTTCCATCCACCTCTCGACCTCTTTGGGACACACAGGAGTCTTGCCAACCTTCGCATTTAATATGTCTTCATCAGGAAAAGTTGTATAGCGCTCATCATCTAATGGTTTACATTCCCATTGCTGAAAAGTCTCTTCAAGCCAGAGATGATTGATAGCAGGTATTTTGTTTTCCTTGGCAAACTCATACTTTGGGCCATTTTTTCTGGACACACAAGATTGTTGTTATAATTATCATTTAGAAGAAAAAAAACAAAAAGCTTTAGTACAACAAAATAATACAGGATACCATTTGATAATTTATATGGATATACATTAATTTACCGTGATGAAATCAAGTGAGTCGTGGAGTTTTGAACTATCTGCTTGGTGTATTTTCCTCCTATGGCAGTGATCAAGGACACAACATATTTGCGTGCTTCTTGCCTATATCCACTAACCGCAAAGGACGTATCTTTCAACGCAGGAATGCCTCCCTTTGGAACAGGATAATCCAACAAAGACTTGAGGGGAGACACAAACCTTTCACGACACAGTGTGTTTGTAGCCCACCAGAAGCTGCCGATAATTTTTTTATCTTGACATGCCTGAATATACCGTTTTGATCCTCTCCATTTCATAATTACCACATCAACCGTAAGACTGTCGTAGTATGACAGCACTCTAGCTCCGGCTCTTTCGAGGTATTTTATCAAGTCCCTTTTAATAGAACGAGGAAGCATGAGGTCACTAGAGAGGAAGAATGTGTATTCTTTCAAAAAGAGTTCTTTGGGCTTGTAATTATATGGCAATGTTTTATCATAAGGATAGAGGAGAGTTAGTTCTTCGTCATCCTCTTTTTCCTCGGCAGTCTTTTCATTTTCCTTGGAATTGCGCAAGATTGGAGGGTCTGGATATTTAAACATATCCTTGATAAAAAATAAAAAATAAAAATAAAAAAAAAAACATAGATAGATAGTTTAGATAATTGTATACTCGTATTCTAGAATAAGGGCAGTAATAGCAATACGGTTGTCATATGGTTGTCCTTACTTCACGATAATGACGGCGGTGCTTGATACATGCATTAAACCAGTCTGGCATTACAACAGATACTTCAGGATCTGCAATAGCTTCAGTGTATTTTTCCTATTTTGTATTAAATCAATCAATTTCAAAAAAGAAATCGTGTCATGGGAAGTTTTTTTTTTTTTTTAAAAAAAAAAGAACTTACTCCTTCGGGTTCGGCTACCATTAAATGGGTTACATCCTCAGTCAAGTCAAGTCTATATTGGCCACCAAAGAGTTGGGTTCCACCAAACATCGTATCTCTGTCATAAGGAGGTATCTATTGACATAAGCTTAATTGAATCTGGATTGGAGGGGTTTTTTTTTGTGACAAGATGGTGTATTCTTCTTACTCCAGAAGTAGATATAATCACACCCGAAAAAAACTTTAGTGGATCGAGTGAGAAATAAGATGCGCTGTATGATTAAGAAAATAAATAAATAAATAAATGAATGAAATATAAAGACAAAATTATCTCAGGAAATTCTTAATGCACCAAGTCTGTAAAACTTACTTTTGGACATGTTTTCCTTTGATAGAAGCCATCACCCATTTTGGCTACTGGATCGTTAATCGCGTGCATCTATTGGTCTTTGTTTCGTTCTTTCTCGCCTACTTACTGATACATGCGCAATTTCTGGGCCTAGATCATAATGCGGGGATTCTGTAATTGCATGTGTTGGAGTGGTGTCTTTTGCGGGAATGGCACCATGGGAAGATAACGCTACTTCGAGCTATCCACAAGAATTATGTAATGTCACATCGAATGGTGTTGATTTGTGAGTACGATTGCATTTATTTATTTATTTTTATATGTATTTTATCTTTTTACTGTGCATCCAAATGTGATCGTTTACATTATTCCGCGTACGAGAACTCATTGTTTGGTCGATTTTGTAGACAACCCCGTCAAATAGCTTTGACGAATTTGATGTTTGTGACATTGATCGAGTGTGATTTCAGTACAGACAGTGAATTCTGAAGAAATAAAATTAAGAAAAAAAAAAAGGAAAGAAAAGAAATTGGATAATTTTTAAGTATTTTATCAAGTATTTTATCTCAATTGATAGCCCAATAAATCGTTGCTTCAGGGCAACAGCTACAATCCTTCGCGTCTTCTATGCCCTCGGTTTCTCTCAATAGTTCTCTCTATCTCCTCCCTCAATATCAATTCATATCATGTTTTGGATGGTGACCTTACCTTGGTTTGGAAAGCATACTGAAAAGCAATCTTTGATGATATCCCTTTGCTTTTTGTACTTTCTTAATATGGACATTCACGTAATCGTGACTATCACACTAGATATATCTATTTTCTAATTGACATATTCCTTCTACTCTTTAACCTTTTATCCCACGTTATATTATTTAATGATCAGAAGAAAAAGTATATATGTGTGTAATATATATTCCGAGTGAAAATTGAAACAAGTGCAAAAACTTTGATATTATCCCATTTAATATTTACTTCAAAGGTTATGGCATTGGATACATGTTATGGTATAATAAGCACATATTTCAATATTTAACGTTATAGGTAGTTGACCAATAAACATATCAATAGGTAGCCTTATTCATCTGATTTAGATACTAGAACTAAGTTATACATGTATTATTTACACTGCGAAAATATTTTTTGGAGGCTATTTTTTAAATATATATATATATCATCCAAACAGAAATCACCATAAGACTATGTGCAGGGTATTGAAACAAAAAAAAAAGGTATAAAGCCATGGAAACATAGATATATATAACCTAACCTTATTCGCCCAGACTATCCCTGAAGTTTTGTTCCTCAATTTCATTGGCCCGAATTTGTCTTAAAATATTCTTGAACTCTGAGAAGAGAGATTTGTATTCGGCTTCTTTTTTGGTGATTTTATCTTTTGTACTTTTCAAAATCATCTCGAGGAGTCCGGTTTCTATATAGTGCTCAGGAATTTGGCCTGATCTTTCGTCAGAAACCTTTCGTAAGTTACCATAAGTCTGGCTGTATTTTTCTTTAATTGACGCATTCCTATCGGCCTGACATACGACTATTGACCTGGCCTTGTTGAGACGATCTTCTAACATAAAAATATTCTGAAGGCATATATTAAAGTCTTGAGTAAAATAATTTGGTCTTACACGAGAGAATATACCATATATACAATTCGACGTATTATCTTTTTCCTTTTTTTCTAGAAAAGAACTACAAATAAAGGTACCAGAATCTGTGCCCTTTTCTCCACTTTTTGATGTATGATTTTCAAGAGCTCATTCTTGGTGCTCCTCCTCAAAATCAATAGCCCTGATATACGTTAAAGCATGATATAACTCGGAAAGTAAAGTCTGGTCTTCGTCATGTTTTTTATCGATCTCATATTGCATATTATACATTTTTTCATCGAGAGAAACTGTCTGCGAACTATACGAGCAGTCGTCATAACTTGAGAGTAGTTGTTTTGTCTTTAGTACTGGCTTATGATCTATTGGTTGTGGCTTCTTAGTGGCCATAGAACCTGCTGGTGATTGATGGGATGGTGTTGGCGAATCGATAACATTATCAGGAGCTCTTCGTATAATGTTTGACTTAATGGTACTATTCATATAACCCACGGTGCTGCCTTTATCACAGCTTATAGTCAATGTCTTATCCTTGTTCAAGCTAGTCGAATCCTTGCTGCTACTTTTGGGTTGACAGGACTGTGACAGATTCTTATTGGCTTTGTTGTCTTTATTCTTCTTTTTGTATCGTTTTGACATGGATTTTTGTGACCTTCAATAAATCCAGTACTAATAGTAGGGGTTCGTGTATATATTTCTGAGTGCTCAGTAGAAGATTTCAGGTGAGAGATGGTTACTTCTTCTGGTTGGGTAACTTGTATTTGATGTTTTTTGTTGTTGTTGAGAAAGAACGAGCAGTATATTAGTTATGCTTGAAAAATAATAAAGGGACGACAATTGAATCTTTAAAGTTGCAATCTGATATTTTGTATGCGATTTATATATAGAATTATACTATAATAAAAATATTCATAGATATTACCTTGGATGAATCAGGCTAATCAATCAGAATACTGAAAGAAATTCTTGTTTAAGCTTTGCAGTAGTCGTATTACAACATGTCTTTTGGCTGATATTCTTTGTGTGTGTGTGTGTGTGTGTGTGCTGGCAAAATGTTTATGGCTATGAGAAACTATAGGGTGCTTTATGTCTTTTTTTATTATTATTGAAAAAGAGAATAAAACAGCATTATATGTATATAATACATGATAGAAAGAGAGTAAATAAGACAGAATATATGAAATTGACCGAGATTTCTACATATTAGTCAATGTTCTTAGAGTAACTCCAGTAGTTTTTGTTTTTTTTTTAAAGCATTCACTTTAAATATATTAATTTTGACTCAATTGAGATACCAATGCATTATTATAAGGCTTGGTAAATCTCATAAGAATAAACCAAAAGCAAAAGCAAAAACAAAAATATGACTCTGGTGGTGATTTGTGGTTGTGGTTGGCTTTAGGGGTTTGGAAAAATGGACATGGACATTGAGCCTTTCAAGAGGCGTTTTATGCCGTCCTACCTGATCTTGAAAGAAGACGAGTGCCAGGTCCAACTTGTGTATCAGTGTGACCTTATTTAGTATTAGGTAGTACAATACTGTACTGTATTTTATTATTTATTTTATTGTTTCATCGATAATGGAGTGTAACTTCAATACCCCGCTAAAATCAGACTCTATTTCTCTTCTTTCCTATCCTTATTATATAATATTCATATTCATATTCAATCAATATCTTCTTTAGGTATTCTTCCTCGACATAAGGATAAAGACATATTATTATTATTTTTATAGTGTACAATAGATGTAGTGTATACAATACTAATCATCTACATTCACCTGTATAATTTATTTATAATATCTAAATTCCCTGTTTGATAATAAAATACGCTTTTCGGGACATCTGATTGCCAATAATGAATGAAAGGACAAGATGATGAAGATTATAAAGCTTTGGTGATTTTTATCTACCTATCTATTTATCTGTACTATAGACAATAATACTAATAAATTCAAGCCTAAAACCTTAAAGTCATATAATCCCATCTTTTTTTCTTCTTCTTCTCTTTATCTACAGTGTATATACGCTAAATTAGGCGTATGGTTTATGTAGTGTATATGTTTTATGGTGCATTTATTGACATTTATATGTGAATACAGATATTAATCTTTAGATTACCATTCATTGCCTTGCTTTATTTTATATGGTCTTTAATGAAGTATTGGTAATGGTAGTCAAAGCCAAAGAGAAATATATAGCTTATAGACTATTATAATAAATCTACAAAAAGAAATACACATATTTATTGCTTGAATTTTGCATAGTCAATGGCAGTAAGGTTATTATAAAAAGTGCAAGTGTGCAAGTGTGCAGATGCGCAAATGTGTTTAAGTTTAAAGCCAAGACAAGAAAACAATGAAAGAAAAGACGGAGTTTGAGGTTTGATTTATATAAAATAAAATAAGATAAAATATATAGATCTTTGAGATATATCGAATGTGTCATCGTAACAAAAGATCTGATAAAGTCTTACTTTCTGGCTTACCTATCACATAAATCCAAGCTTCTTCTTCTGGGCTTTATTTTGTTAGACAGGGCTAAATATTGCGATATAAGAATAATAATAGACAGACAAACCCTTGGAAGGAGTTTCTTTTTTTATATTATATTTGTAAATCCTCTGCACTATGACCAAAGAAATAGGATAGTACTACAGATAGAGAGATATATAGATTGTCAAATCTCGACCCTTTTTTTCTTTCAACAACAAAGACAGATCCTCCTGATTTAAATGTACTCGAGTAATTTACGATAAATGTATATCAACATATGTGTATACATATATTAGATCCTATCCCCTCTTTACCCTGTCCCTTACCTTTGTACGCATCTTGACCTCCTAGAATTCGGTTCAGATAAATGAGTTCAAGATCTTACCTGACATGAATATAAAGAAAGAAAGTTGGTCTATCTGTTTCGTTGTTAAACAGCCTCTTTAAACCTCTTTAAATAAGATCAAATTATTCATTACCTTTATTTTCCAAAAATATAGTTTCATAATGATCTGCAGGGTTTATTATCATTTGTATTGTCATTAAGGCTATTATTCTTGGATGATATGTTTTGTAAAGAAGAAAAGAAACAGAGAGGCCTAGACGCACAAGTTTCTATACATTCTGGATGAGTGGTCGGTTCTGATCATATATGCATGCATGTATTTATCTATCTATGATTTATTATTATTATTATTTTTTCTTGACACAGTAACGATTGCAGAAGGGTCCAATCTTTTTTTTTTGTATTGTTTTTTTTTTTCTATTAGCATGTAATGTCATGTAATGTCATGTCATGTAATGTCATGCCCTGTCTGGTCAGGTCTTGTTTTGTTTTGTGATCTCATTCCATATCATTCTAGGCTGCCAAATCTTATTGGAATAAAAGAAAGGAACCAGTTCACCAATCAAGGTACACCGTTTCTTTACCATAACGATAATAACGAATTAACGATCACAAAACCATGTCTCATTCCATTCATAGATTATTTAATGTCCAATTATGGCACTTGTTTATGAACAAATAAGAATAAGCAACAGTAGTGTGTTATTTTTATTATTGTTTTTGAGTGGCACAAAAATGTATGTACATATGTTGCAGAACCGTTTTCTATTGGCACATTCTAAAAATAACTTATTTTGTGGGGTTTTTTCTTTTCTTGATTTTTTGCTTTGTTTGGTCAAGAATAGTTTACCTACAACTTACTCTTGGTTACTATCTCTAAACCATCTACATTTTTTTTTGCAGATGTATAGGTGCAGATAAATAAGAAGAAAACTATCAGTATACTCTTATTATTGTACAGGAATTGCATCTAAAATAAACCAAAATGTTTTCAGGTTTATGTTGAGTACATAGGCTTAGACTTAGACTTAGACTTAGACTTAGGCTTAGAATTGGGATCAGACTGAAGATTGGGTTGTGAATGAATGGTCAGGAACAGGCGTGGTCATCAAATGATGATATATTTTTTTATAGGCACCTTTTCTTATTCAAGCCTTTTGGACTCCAAGAAGAAAATGAATGCAAAACTTGATAGATCAAACTAATATTATTTCTTATAAAAGCATGAGTCTTGTGTGATCTGTGAGACCATTTCTTTTCTTTCTTTTTTGTTAAACAAGAAATGGGCTGATTTTATTCGATTTTATATATTTTTTATACTCTATAATGTTAATGTGTTTCTGGTGGTTTAACCTTTTCTTATTTTAAAATCTTATCTTTCTTGGTTTGTGTTCCGTTGAGAAGAAGGACAGGTACAAGGGTCACAAATAAACTAAAGAAGAAACAAGTATAAGAATACAGTACAAGACAAAGCTTTTGATGGATTGACAATTCCAGTCAGTCACTCAAACCAGTCACTTGTACAAGTTAATCTAGTAAGAAAAGAAAAGAAAAGAAAAAGGTCCCTCAGATCAGTAAATGAATGAATGAATATTACAGACAATATACACTTTGCATTTTGATTATGATTTTGATGATTTTTTTTTTTTTTGCTTTAATCATATATATATATATATATATCATATATGTATGCAAGAATAAGAAGAATAGAAAGAAAATATAAAAAAATATATATTAAAAAATGAAATGAAGCCGTCTAGTGTGGTGTGATAAAATCGAGTTAAAGAGAAATGGAGTAAATATGAATTGACTGTGTGTGAGTGAGTGAGTGAGTGTGTATATAGTATTGTAATAGATAAATCAAATCAAATCAAGATTGACAGGAAAAAAAAAAGCAAGTAAAGAAAAATTATCTAATCTAATTTAAGCCTTGGTAAAGATAGCATTGACCAATGCTTGGTAGGCACTTGTAAGATCGTCGTTGATAATGACATTGTCATAGGCACCCTTTTGTGATGCATATTCAAGCTCTTGCTTGGATGCAGCCAAACGTGCCTGAATGGCATCCTCCTTTTCGGTTCCACGACTACGGAGACGCTGCTCGAGGATCTCCATGCTGGGAGGCTGGACAAAGATGTAACGAGGGTTGAGGTTGGTCTTCTTGACAGACTGGACACCCTGCATATCAATATCGAGCATGCAGACCTTTCCAGTGGCTACAACATCCTCAACTGACTTGATAGAAGTACCTGATATAATTTACATATAAGTATATATGTTCTCCCCGTATATTTGATCCTTTCTTTTTTAAACTTTACCATACATATTTCCAGAAAAGGTGGCGCTCTCGATAAACTTTCCCTGAGATACCTCTTCCTCCATATTGGCCTTTTCTACAAAGTGATAGTCCTTGCCATTGACCTCTCCAGGACGGGGCTTGCGAGTGGTATCTAGAAATATTTTTTTTTGATTTAGAATGATGAATGATGATTGATTGATTGATTGATTGATGGTCATCAACAACAATATCGTATTTATTCTTACGTGATACGCTGAAGCCAAAGGTGTCAGGATAATCATTGAAAAGGCGCTTGAGCAAGGTTGATTTACCAGATCCAGAAGGACCTGAAATGACAAAGATCTTTGCGGCAGTCTGCATTGTAGATGAAAGCAATATATATATATATATATGTGTGTATATAAATTATATGTGATTTTTGAATTATTATTATTTTTTTTCTTGACAAGAAAATAATAAAAAATAAATAAATAAAATTTTAAAGTACAAAAAAAAGAATATATATATTTATTTATATATGTGAATATTCCAATTCAGGAACATAGATTAAATTACAGTCACAGCAAAAAAAAAAAAAAAAAAGAGTATTTATTTTTATATATAATAATAAAAATATTCTATATATAAACAACTGTTTCTGTTCTTTGTCTTTGTGCGTCTGCGTGTTCCTTGGCCATGGTAGCCATTGGGACCCATACAAAAAAGACACTAAACTCAAATGCGTTTAACCAAGTTTAGGTGTAAATTCGATCTCAACAGTTTGACACGTTTTTCTCTTACTTTATGCGAATAAAACTTATTATCAAAAAGGGAGAGATAGGATAATATGATACCATATTGAAATATTCTGTTTAATGTATATTATAGATACAGCATTCTGATCCTTTATATCTAAATTACAATTCATTACAATGAAATTCATTACAATTCGATTCAATCATGAGGATTTCAATTGGACATATTTTGGATTAATATGAGTAGAATGTATATATGTATATATAAGCTAAGCAGATAAACCGTATTCATGAATGAATTCCATCATATAGAAACATTTGCTTGTTCGTTTGTTATTAAAAGAAGAAGAAGAAAAGGGACATTCTCCAATTCAAAATTTTGAATTAGACATTCTGAGTCCCATTTTAACCCACATGAATTACAAGGCAAAAAGCAAAAAGGCATAATCATATAATTAGATATATATATATATACAATTTTCATATACGCGAATCTATTCTATATATAAATAAATAGAGTATTATAATTCTCTCATTGTAACACGAATCAAACGTGGATTTCTTATTTTTTCTTATGATTTTTGGTGGGGTTAAAAGTCCGAACATTTTTTTTTCTTTGGAAAAACAAGCAGTCGTGACTTTGATTAAAGAGCCATCTTTTTATGTGATAAACTAAAAGGATACATATATCACATATTTCTAGTTTTTTTACGTAAAATATCTTGAGTGAAATAGCAATAATAAAAAAGAAAAGGAAAAAAAGCGTATAAAACGTGAGGGAAAGCTTGATACCCAAAAATATAAAACCAGAAACTAAAAAAAGAATTGATATGAATATAGAAACCATGATACCAGATACAGACTCACTAAAGCCACAATGTGAAATATTCATTGACCGCAGCCAAGTTTAAGCATTCCTTACCGCTTGTTTATTTTTAACATTTCTTACGTGTTTTGCAATGCAGTTTAGTAAAAATGTCGAAATAAATATAAACTCAGCCTACCTTTTCTTTATTTTGGATACCTATCGTTTAATCTGAGTTTTATTTGTTTTTAATTTCAAGCTTTTTTTTTAAAAAAAAAAAAATGTTTTCAAAACAAAATAAAGAGTGTATTCTCCTTTGACCAATAATATCTTTTTATTTTTTTTTGAGATCGACAATTTGAAAGATAATCGTACTAGCATAACAGACGTGGGGTGTGTATTTATGTGTTTTGTTATAAAGAGGGCTTTAACACAAACTATAGTAACTGTGCTCATCATGCATTTTTATTCATTTTATTTTTATATATAAAACATAACAAATGAATCCAGCAAACAATGTTTGATCCAATGATAGTAATAAATTCTTATCTTTCTCTCAACTGACCATGCAAAGTAGGTTTGGGGGTTAAATTGTGATCACCTTCCATATCTATTGACTTTGCCATTACTATTACTATTGCACTTGTAAGCAATGGTTATCTATTGAACAAATAATCATAAAAGATGTACTATGCAATAACAATAATAATAATAATAATATTAATTTTATTTTTGAAAATCCATGGCTCTGAATTCGGAATCTGTGCAAATAATGTTTTGAATAAAATAGTGTACAAGACAACCTTAAATTTCATTATATATTTTGTATTTGTGTGTGTGTATATAGAAGAAGAGGGTTAGAGGGAGAAAAGGGGTGATTGAAAAAAAATAAATAAATAAGAGTCTAGAACTTGAAGAGTGTAACCACCAATCTGTAGACCGACGTTGACGTGGGTGCAGTAGGACAGACATGAATTTTACTTTAAAAAATAAATATATATAAATATTATTTTCGGAGTTACTGAGGCTTGAACTTCTGGGAGGATCAAGGTCCTCTATCCCAGATTGGATACGTCTCAGGACACAACAAGCTTTCTGGCATTACCAAAAAAAAAAATAAAAAAGAAAACTCTATAAACTATAAAAACTCACGCCATTTGCTGACAATGCTTATATCTTCTTCTTCTTTTACTTTTACTTTTTATCTACTTCGTCACAATGGCCTACAAATCTCGCTTCACTGAACACTTTGATGTTCCTGCCCAATGGACCGATCTCTCACCATCTACAACAAATGCCTCTCATCCTGAAGATCACCAGCCTTCGCGAATGGGCTCCTTTGACTCTATCGGAAAGCCTCCGTCATTGACCCACACCTCTTCTGGCTCAGCCTTCTCGTCCTCATCAAACTCATCATCCTCTCGCCCATCTAATCGAAATTCAAATCAGTCCGATACAGACCTTTCCTCCAGCGAAGACCACCATTCTAATCCTATCATTAAATTCAAACGTTTCCTGACCACCATTGGTCCCAAGAAGTATCGATCAAACAAGTCCCGGTCATCGAATCCTTCTTCAAAAAACCTCTTTTAAAAGAGAAAAAAAAAGAAAGAAATATTCTTGTATATTCTTTTTTGTTAAAAATATTGTATCTATTGTATCTATTGTAAATTCTCTCTATCTCTCTACGCCTTACTTTGTATATAACAAGCCTAATATTGCTTTTTTGTTTATAATAATAATAATAATAATAATAATTTTACTATCTAATCCTATGTCTTTTTTTCTTTTGCTTTGCTTTCTAAAGCCTATAATAAAAAGGTACTATCCTATCCCTATCTTAATATCTCGCCTGCGTTTAATTCTAAATTTCTTGTACTTCTTTGTACTATCCAGAACAAATCTTAATAAAAAAATATAAAAATGAAAATTTTCCGATTCAATAGCAGCCAAAAAAAATAAACATAGTAGGTACATCTCTTATATATACAAATAATAGCATGCTTATGGATTTAGGTTTGTCAGATGTGTACAGTGAACGGAAGGACAAGACCAAGATAAGAAACAAGTACAGTTGCATACATATTATGTATATACATAATATAAAGGACAATATTTTGTGACTTACAGAATACCTTTTTTTGGGTATATGTATTTATGTATGTAATGGACCTTGTGGGTTTGTCAAGAGGGGTTTATATAACACTGAAATGGAGAAGGAAATCCAATAACCAAACAAACAAACAAACAAACAAATAGACAAATAGAGAAGAGGAGATGTTAAAGGGGGGTTTTTTGTTATTTTATTGGATCCCTTTCTATATATTTTTATAAAATGTGTATTTCATTCTTACTTACCTTGTACATAATCAAATCAAATAAAAAAAAAACGTTGCTATAGTAATGGAATGCAGTTTCAAAATAGGGAATGTTTTGATAGGTGCATGTGATTTTATATATATATATATATAATATTCTTCTTTAATTTGGATCAAACTACACTGGGCAGCCTTGTTACAAAACAATAATTTTATATAAGAAAAAAAAATCATACTGACATGGACAATATTCTCATTAAGATTCAACTCAATTCTCTCTAACCATTTATTTATTTTTTTAACAGAAAATAATTAAAATCTATTTTTGAGTTTGACGCTAAAAAGAAAATGTTTATCCATCAAGATTCTTTGATTTCTTTAATACGATATCATGTAGATCTTTCTTTTCTTTTATTTTTTGTATGAATTATTTTACCAACTACAGCCATTTATAGCCATTTACAGCTATTTACAGCTATTTACAGTCAATTGTCATTATTAAAATGTATCTATATTTATACTATTATTATTATATATAAAATAGAAAATAAAAATTAAACATTTTTTTTTTAACAGAAAACCAAAAAAAAAACAGATGTCATTTATCAATCCCGGTTGATCTTCTTCTTCTTTTTTTCTACTCCGTTTAATAATAATAATAATAAAAAAAAAAAAGATACTTGATCCAAGGATTCATACTACGATTTAACTCTCTTTATTTTATATATAAATATTAAAATTAGTATTAAAATTAAAATATAATTAAAAAGTGTATCTTGTTAAAAGCAAAATGTATATAAAATATATAAAATATTTATATTTTGACAGCACAAAAAAAAAAAAAAAAAAAAACATTCGATATAATTCATATTCAATTCAATTAAAAAAATTAAAAAAAATTAAAAAGCTGTGTGTTCCTATTTCTTCTTTTTAATAAAATCCGAATCCTGGTTTTCTGGGATCCTATTCTAACCTAATTATTTATTTATCTCGTATAAACCAAATCTATCAAGGCCAAGACTTTAAGGCAAATAAATACATCTCAATTCAATTCAATTGACTTGATAAAATAAAGTTTTCATAGCCTTCAATTTTTGTATTACAATAATCATGAAAATATTATTGTTTCAAAATGGTTCAATAAAAAGAATAGTCACACAAGAGCCGGAATAATCGGACAGAAGAATGGTTCGGATCCACTCACAAGCCATACAATGCAAAAATATAAAAAAAAAAAAATTACTAATACATGAAATATCATTATTTGATATTCTTAATAGACTACCATACACACACATATAAATAAATATTTTTGGTGTAGTTTGTACTACTCCCAAGATATTTTACATAAATGGTATGCTGCTGTGACTACGTGGAATGTGCGCGAAAGTGCAAGAACATCTAGGTCATTCATGCAAAAAAATAAAAAAAGAAAAGGATATATTTGTTTACTTTATTTCCATTTGACTTGATTTGACTTTTTTTTTTTTTTTTTTTTTTTTTTATTTCTATTTCACTCTTTTTTTTTTTTTACTCCTTGCTTTCCTTTCTTCCGTATACTTCTTCTTTCTTTTTTTTGATCATTTTTCTTATTTCATTTCACTTCATTTCATTTCATCTCATTTTATATATATTTTTTACATAAGTCATGTCTGTCGTTGTAAGTATTTCAATTCAATTCAATTCAATTCAATTCAATTTACTACTATGATCATCATTCAACGTCATCTAATAGAACAAAATAAATAAAAATAAGCGACATTAATACGTATACGCATCAAATTATCCTAATCAAATCAAATCATTTTTCTTTTCTTTTCAAGGGTTTTGATCTTGGAAATCTCCAATCAGTAATCGCAGTAGCAAGAAACCGCGGTATCGATGTCATCTGCAACGAAGTATCAAACCGTGCCACACCGTAAGTATCCTCAAGTCAACTTAATGACACACTATACACAAATGTGTACAAGTGTTTGTTTGTAATACAGGAAATCTAAACAATCTAAACAATCTAAATCGTCTAGTTCGTTGGTGTCTTTTGGCTTCAAGCAGAGATTCTTGGGCGAGTCTGCAAAAACTCAAGAGATCGGTAACTTCAAAAACACCGTAGGCAGTCTGAAGCGTCTGGCCGGCCGCAGACTCGATGATCCAGAGATCGTAGGCAACGAAGTCAACTACGTGACTGCCGAGCTGGCCGAGGTCGACGGCCAGGTCGGTGCTGCCGTCAACTTCCTCGGAGAATCACGCTCGTTCTCAAATGTCCAGCTGCTGGCCATGTTCTTGGGCAAGCTCAAGGAAACCGCCAGCCACGAACTGAAAATCCCCGTCTCAGACTGCGTAATCACTGTCCCCGGATGGTTCACCGAAATCCAGCGCCGCGCCGTCTTGGACGCTGCCCAGATTGTAGGCCTTAACTGCCTGCGACTCGTCAACGATCTGGCTGCTGCCTCTCTAGGCTACGGAATCACAAAGACCGATCTGCCTGAAGACAAGCCCAGAAACGTCGCGTTTGTCGACATTGGCTACTCCAGCTACTCCACCGCAATCGTCTCCTTTGTCAAGGGCCAATTGACAGTCCGGGGAACTGCCTACGACATCCACTTTGGCGGCCGCGCATTTGACCAGGTGATCGTCGAAAAACTGGCCGAACACTTTAAGGAGAAATTCAAGATCGACGTCTTCTCAAACAAAAAGGCCCTTATCCGGCTCCGTGCTGCGGCCGAGCGCTGCAAGAAGATGCTGTCGGCCAACCCACAGGCCCCGGTCAACATCGAGTCTATCATGGACGACAAGGACGTTTCGGCAATCGTCAACCGCGCCGACTTTGAAGACTGGGCCTCCCATCTTTTTACCCGCACCGAACTCACGCTGGCAAAGGCACTCGAGAACTCTGGAATGGCCGTGTCCGACATTGACGCCGTCGAGATCGTCGGTGGCTCAACCCGCATTCCGGCCATCAAGGCCACCATCTCAAAGTTCTTTAACAAGGAAATATCGACCACTCTGAACCAGGACGAGGCCATCTCGCGTGGCGCGGCGCTGCAGTGTGCCATGCTCTCGCCCGCATTCAAGGTCCGTGACTTCCGTGTCCAGGACATCATCACTTATCCCATCAAGCTACAGTGGGCCCAGACCCCCGAAGACGAAGACACCGAAATCATCGCTTTCAACAGAAACAACTCCTTGCCGTCCACAAAGATCCTGACTTTCAACAGATCAAAGCCGTTCTTGCTCGAGGCCTACTACGCCTACCCTGAAGAACTGCCGACCGGCATCTCTTCCTGGATTGGCCAGTACAACATCAAGGACGTCGAGCCTGTCAACGGAGGCCCGGCCGAGGTCAAGGTCAAGGTCAAGATCAACATCCACGGCGTCCTGTCTGTCATCGGGGCCTACACTGTCGAAGAAAAGGAATTCGAAGAAGAAGTCAAGCTCAAGGATGATAAAACTAAAGAAGGCGAAGGCAAAGGCGAAGGCGAAGGCGGAGAGGAAAAGAAAGAGATCCGAAAAGTCAAAAAGGTCGTCAAGGTGCGTGACCACAACGTGGTTTCGATCACCTCTTCGCTTGCCAGGAACATCATCGACCGGTACATCGAAGAAGAGAGCCAGATGGCCGCAAACGACAAGCTGATCATCGCAACCGAGGCTGCCAAGAACGCGCTGGAGGAGTATGGCTACGACATGCGCGACAAGATCATGGGCCCGCTGTCGGACTACATTGATCCGGCCATCAAGGAACGGTTTGCCGATGACCTCAATGCAGTCGTGGACTGGATCTATGACGAAGGAGACGACGTGCACAAGTCGGTCTATCTCGAGAAACTCGAGGGGCTCAAGAAGGTCGGCGGTCCGGTCGTCGAACGCTTCCGGGAATCAGAAGAGCTGGCCCGTGCCGACCGCCAGCTGCGTGCAGTCTGCAGTCGTCTGACCGAAGAGGCCATGAGCACAGTCTATGCCCACATCCCTGCCCACGACAAGCAAGACATCGTCGAGCGGTGCGAGCGGGCCCAGCGCTGGCTGGAGTCCGAGTTTGCCAAGCACAAGGGCCTACCCAAGCACGTCGACCTGCCTCTGACCTCAAAGGAAGTCCTCAAAGAAGAAGAGGAGCTCAGAGCATTTGCAACCAAATTGCTCAGTAAGCCCAAGCCAGCTACCCCTCAACCAGAAGCACAATCCGACAAAAAAGATACTAACGATAATGGTGATGTTGAGGAGATGGATGACAAAGAAGGCACACCTATGGAAGGCGTTGAAAAGGACTCTAAACAAGAAAACGGAATGGATGTAGACTAGAAATATATACTTTGTCCTTCTTCTTGTTCTTCTTCTTTTATATTGAAGATCGATCAACTGTACATGTCAATACAACACATTTTTTTTAAAACTTTTTTATTTTAAATGAATGAATGATATATATATATATATATCTTTACATGTCTTTATATAGAGAGGTAGATATATTCTCACAGCTTATTGGACTCTAATTCTTCTGACAAATACGAGTTAAAAAAAAAGTGGGGTAAAAAATAAAAGGAAAACTTGGGTAAAGTTAATCCAGAAAATTGAGTTGAGAGATTGTTAAACGATATTGGGTTACAAAATCATATATATTCGGACCCTCAAACAAAATAGGTTTTCGAAAATCTTTATAAACTACTCCACACGCACATACATACATATATACATACAGAGGTACACACACATAACTCTTCTTCTTCTTCTTCTTCTTACTTTTTTTTTATACCATGGCTTCCCTTCCATTCCCAATTACATTGCCTTCCTTGACCAAGTCCCAGCTCACCCACGTTGGTGTAAAGTCTCCTGAAGACGTTGTTGTTGTCTCTGCCGTCCGTACTGCTCTTGGAAAGGGACGCAGAGGTGGTTTCAAGGACACCTTGGCTGATGGTAATAAAAAATAAAAAAAAAATAGAGCCAATAATGAATTAATGAATATTTTGTATGTCAATAGAACTTCTCTCGTTTGTTCTCAAGGCTACTATTGAAAAGACTGGAATTAACCCTGCCTTGGTTGAGGATATCACGGTCGGTAACGTCTCTGGTAAGGGTGGCCTAGCAACACCTGCCCGCATGGCTTCCCTCTACGCAGGCTTTCCAGAAACAACCTCTGTCAGCACCATCAACCGCCAGTGCTCGTCTGGTCTGCAGGCCTGTGTTCAGATTGCAACTGCCATCCAGGCTGGTTTGATTGAAGTCGGTATTGGAGCTGGCGTCGAATCCATGTCGGCCGATTATTTTTCCCGTGATATTCCTCTGTCCCAAAAGATGATCAATGAATCTACCACTGCCAGTGACTGTACCATTCCCATGGGGTAAAGTTCATAACCTTTTTTATTTATTTATTTATTTAATTATGGATTATATATATATATATATATATATATTTAATCAATTTAACTAACATTAAAACCAAAAACCACAAAAAAGCATCACATCCGAAAATGTCGCTTCTGATTATGGAATCTCTCGTGCAGAGCAAGACGCTTTCTCCGCAGAGTCCCACAAAAAGGCAGCCGCCGCACAGGCTGCTGGTTACTTTAAGGAGGAGATTGTCGCTGTCGAGACCACTGTTCTGGATAAGGATGGCAAGGCCTCCAAGGTTCTGGTCGACAAGGACGAAGGCATCCGTGCCTCGTCGTCTGCCGAGGCTCTTGGTAAGCTCAAGCCAGCCTTTATTCCTACCGGCTCTACCACTGCTGGTAATGCCTCCCAGATCTCCGATGGTGCTGCTGCTGTCCTGTTGATGAAGCGCAAGACTGCTCATAAATACTCTCTTCCAATTCTGGGCAAGTTTGTCACCTCTTGCTCCGTTGGTGTAAGTTGTCCTTTCTTTTTCTTAAATGATCTAAATGATGATTAAAAATACAAGATATGTATAAAAAATTACAAATCAAATCAAATCAAATCGAATCAACGCAATGCAATTGAAACAGCTACTTATTCAATTTCTTATTCTATAGGTCCCTCCTCGTGTTATGGGAGTTGGACCCGCCTACGCTATCCCTGTTGTTCTCGAAAGAGCTGGCTTGAAGATCGAGGATGTCGATATCTTTGAGATCAACGAGGCCTTTGCTTCCCAGGCGCTTTATACCATCAAGGCTCTCAACATTCCTTTCCACAAGGTCAATCCCAAGGGTGGCGCTATTGCCATTGGCCATCCTCTTGGCTGTACTGGTGCCAGACAGGTTGCCACTCTTTTCCCTGAGCTCAAGCGTACCAACACAAGAATCGGTGTTACTACCATGTGCATTGGTTCTGGCATGGGTATGGCTGCTGTCTGGGAGCGCGAGTAAATACATGTACTATTGATTTTTTGCCTAGAGTCTTTTTTTTTTGTTTGTTTTTATATATATATAAAAAGCTACATCTACATATGTAATTTGAACTTCTTTGTTATTTTTTTTAAAAAAAAAAAACAATCAAATCAAAAGAAGTTCATTGGATCAAACACCCTCATCTACACCTGTACATTCATATATAAACTTGTGTTTATGTATTTAGTATATATATATGGCCAAAACTCAATATTCAAAAAAAAAACATAAAATAATAAAATAGTTAAAATAAAATATAGAAATAATAAAAATAAAAATAAAATAAAAATATGTTACATGGTTTTGGGATTAATGAACGAAGAGTATGAATCAAAAAAATAAAATAAATAAAAAAAAAGTCTTCATTTTCTTTTTTCCTTTTTTGGTGAACAATATATATGTATATATGTTTTACTATTCATTTTCTCTATCAACCCTTTTCTCTTTCTGTCTCTTTCTGTCTGTCTGTATTTTTTTTGTATATCTGTATATCTGTACGTCTTTACATTTGTATGTTTTGTATGTTCTGTATCTTTTACTCGTTAACCCTGGAACTTCTTAATGGTCAACATTTGGTTCAGCATTTCCTGTAGCTGATCATCCTCAACCTTGTTGGCCAAACTAAAACAGAAAGGTATATGTAAAATTTTAATCCAACAGTAACAAATTATAGATCATGATCCATTCATATACATATGCACACCTAAAGGCCCCATTGTCTTTGATCTTTTGGTCTAATTCTATCTAACCACCTTCTCTTTGCTCCTTTTACCTCTTTATCTCTATTTCCCTTTATTATTCCTATAATTACCTTGGGATCAATGCCTTTGCTTCCTCGGCATCTTCACAGCACAAATTAGCCAATTGCGACATCTCAAAAGGTGCCAGATCATCTTTACCAAGTAACCTAAGACATTTTTCATTTTGTTTAATCTCTTGTACATTTATATATTATATACACACTTTTCTCTATTACTAATATCTTAAAGAAAACTTACTGGCGTACTTCACGTACAGAATCTCTGTTACTGAACCGACTGAATGCTCTGACATATTCGAGTGTCTTTTGCATCACACTAGTACGGTCATTACGGATCGATCAGTTTTTCATTTCATCTCATTTATTTCCATCCCATCCCATTCAATTCAATTCCATTTCTTTCATTTCATTTCATTTCACTCTCTCTCTCTCTCTCTCGCTCTTTTTTTTTGTGATTCAATCTTTCTTTTAAATGGTAGTATAAATATGTAATCTTCCTACTTTGTCGTTTGACGTGTCACGCTTCCATTCTCCTTGGAATCAACATGAGCTTCCAAAAGGATTCGTACTTCAGATATATACAGACACTGGGCATTGGCGAATTCTGTCACCAGCACAAACAATGAGAAAGACGAACAACGAAGAACAAACGAAGAATAGTGATGATGTGTAAAAATGTTGATTTGATTTAATTTTACATTTATATAAGTGAATTGATAATTGTATTTCATTTTTGTTCAATTACTATTTCTACATTTATTTATTTATTGATTTATTGATTCATTTGTTTGTTTGTTTTTGTATTTTTTTGATGTTTTCGATATTAATGAATCAAAATGACGATGATGAAATAGAAATTATAAGGAAAAAAAAAAAAGAATATGAAATTCTCTAATCGTATATATGTATATATATAGAGTATGATAATCAAGTAAATAAAACAAAAATCAAAATCACAATCGCTACCTTCTCCAAGCTTTAATGTTGTGGCATCTTCTTGTTCGGGTCCTCCTCTAAGAAGATGTCTCTGTTGGTGTCGTGAGCCCATCGTTTAAAAAGACGAAGAAATAAAGAGAAAGAATCAATATATATATATATATATATATCTATATATTGATATATTTATTTATGTATATATATATATATATGTGTGTGTGTGTGTGTGGGTGGAGGATGTTAATGAATTTAACTAGTAAGTTTTCTTCAAAAAAAAAAAAACTAGTCCTGCACACACACTCTATCTTTTTTCTTTTTTTTTCTTTATTTCTCGAATATTATAATCTTTTATATCACATGACTTATTTGCTTACGTCATATGTGACACGTATTTTCACTTTTATAGGATTTTTAAAATACACATAAAAAAAAATGAGAGAGAAAAGGTACGTCTAAATTACTATGTTTAGAGTACCTTGAGAAGTTACGTTTAAAGTAACGGTAAATCAGATAAAGTACATCCAATAGAAACCAAGATTTTTCTTGAACATGGGATTTTTCTACGTTGGTAAAAGAACTTTTGTCCAATAACATTGTTTTCTTTTCTTTTTTTTTTGGAATTTAAAACTTGTGTAAAATCTTGTTAAATCCCTATGGTAATGTACCTGTAATGTAAACCAAGTTTAACAAAATAATCATGATAATAATAATAATAATAATTGAGATCCGTTAATAACCCGGTTAGTTTGGTCAATGTATTAGAGTCAAAGTTTTATATACTAAAGAGGCTGTAGTTATTATTAGTTTATTACTTTATCCCCCCCAGCACTTTACGTCTTGATCAATATCTCTCCAGGTACCAAACCTCTCCTTTATAGGAAATAAGTCCTGAGTTTCTTATGTTTTCCGATAGTGTTAAAGATGCTTGGTTCTGCTTTAGATTTCAAAATAAAGAATATTTTTATTGCAGTTGTTTTCTTATTTGAATACATTCCAAAGAATCTAGAGTAGACATCAAAGAATGGGATCATTTAAGTTTCTTTTTAATGTGTTTGTATAGATAATGTGCTCGGTTTTTTTAATATTCAAAAATCATCTTTAGCCTATTTGTAAAGATGCTTATTTAATAAGATTCATGTTACTTAAAGATACAACATATTTCAGTACAGCATTTAGTGAAAGTTGTAGGGGAATACTATTCCAATATACCTTTTTTTTTCTTTTCTTCTTCTTAATTTATAAATGTCTATACATTATACAGATATACAGCTATACAACTGTACATAGTTCAATGAAAATAATAACAATACTAATAACAAATAGAACCAACAACGGTGAATTTTTACTAGTATATTCCTCTTTATATTCATTAGTTTTATTTTCTATTTGTTTGTTAAAAATAATTCATTTGGGGAAGTAAGCGAAAAGTAAAATAGAAGAGGTTTCTTTTTCTTCTTCTAAAAAGCCAACATCCCCCCTCTTTTAACTTATATTTCAACTCCAAGAACGTTGAATATGAGGTCAGTCTATCAACCAACCCACAAAGATCACCAAGCATAAACACGATTATTTTTTACTAAAATCATTATTAAATATATATATATATATATTAGTGAGAGGGTTGATATAGTCAATATTGACAGCGGTCTCACTACCGATAAGGTAAGATTTAGAAAAATAATAATAATAAATAAATAAATAAATAAATTAAATTAAATTTAATAAATAGATAAGCAAACAAACATATATATATAAAGTATTAAGCTCATACACACACGCATATATATATATATATATATATATATATATATACATATCTAAATGTTTTTTTTTGACATAGTTCATTTCCTGTATTGGTGAAAGTACAGTCATACCTGTCGGATCGCCATCAAACAACTCTTTAGAATGTTCATCACCAATTCTATCTTTTGGCAATTCCGCATGTAATCAGATTGGTTCAACTGTAATGTCTTATACAAACGTCCCATCTAATCAACAAACCATGGACTACCAATACGAGCTCAAAGAAAAAAATGCCGACGTAGAAGAGTTCAGCCAAGCCGATTATCTGTCTCGTGTTGTTAATGAATTGTTGGAAGAAGTCCTGAGCGAACCAAGCGAATCCCCTTCTTCAGACGACAGTCTATCTTGTATTATTTCAGACGCCGAACGATCTTCTTTATCGGCTTGTCGAAAATTGGATAGAGAAGCTAATCATCCTATGAAAGGTAAAAATAAATAAATGAATAATGTATATACATATGTATATAATAATATAAGCGTAACAAACAAACAGACAAGGGAAGACTGTATATATATTTATTAAGGTAGTTTTTAATAGTAATAGTAAGGAAATACAGAAAGTAACAGCAAGACTTTGATTATGTGTCATACTATTTGATTTGTAATATATTGAACAGCTTACTGACTAACAAGCTATATATCTTATCATTAAAAGGGTTCACTGAATATGGACTGAGACCAGTCGTAGTAAGATCAAAAATCAATGATATGAAATTAGCTTTACGCCATGTTGCATTGCGCACAACAAGATACGGTAAGATAAGCTACACATGTTTGACCTTTTATGCAAGAAAATAAAAAGAAGAAAATATTGACTTGGTTTTTTTTTGATAACAGGAACTTTTCTTGTCCACAAGCCTGAACCTGAGTTTTTAGCACAATATATTATCGACCTCAATTCTTCAAGAAGCATTAAAGACAGAGATGTCAAAAGGGTATCTTTTGTAAATCCTCGATCACGCCTTTGTCAGAAAATAGAATTTGATTCTTGCCAAAAGTCCAAACCAAATGATACTATGCACAATTTAGATAATATGGATAAAAGTGAAGATGAGGATGATAATGATAATGATAATGATAATGATAGTGGGTCTTCAAGCTCAGAATCCGAACATAGACCAAACTTAGATGATTACGAATATGATGAGCTAGAAGGCAAACTTTGCTCATTTATCAAGACTATCGAAAACGAAGTGGAAAAGGAAAATACTTTTGGGAGTTCCAGTAAAGCTCTGGAAGAAGCTGATGTAAGATCAAGAGTTGGCTATTCATTTGATGTAAGTATCATATATATATAAAACAAACAATGTTGGTTTCTAATTCTTAGAATTATCTCTTTAATCATGCAAAAATTAATAACAACACCATCAAAATCAAGTAGACAATACAATACATTAGAGAATACCTGGTGGACCGATTCACTCGACATACTTCAGTTTTCAACAGTGCCACCAGGATCAAAAGTTTCCGTATAGGAGTTAGCCTCCAGAAGCGGAAAATGGAATACTTTTACAAGAAACCCGAGAAACAACTGTGGAAAGTGTTCAAAATCCTTTCTTGCAGTGTGTCAAGTTACATGGAAGATTATGTTCAGCTGGTCGACCAAGTGGATAAAATGTTCCTGCAGATATCTTCTCAGCAGCCGTTTGATTTGAAGCAATATGTAAACTTTAGGCACCACAGCCAGTTTATGGTCCTTAAACTAGCAAAGATGATGCTGAGTATTGGACAGCTAGTAAAATATGTGAAAGCCATAGCTAAACTTATACTGACAAAACGATCATTTAAATCTAAAATTACAATTGCTAAATCGTTGCATAAAACGATTGCTGAAATCAAAGCCTACGAAAAATATAAAGTAAGGCAAGGCAAGGCAATGCAAAGTAAAGTAAAGAATATATATGAATAAATTTATAAATGAATGCATATAACACACACACACACAGTCGAGGTCTTGAGTACATGCACAGAGATAAATAATGTAAACTCACCAGGGGGTTAGAGTATAAGCGGCACAAACCGCTTTTGGTAGAGACTCAGATTCAAGACAAGCTTCTTCTTTCTTTCTTTCCTACATTTTTTTTGAGTGACATTGGGGTAATGAAATGGGGTATGGAAGAATGAATTATCAGAGAAGATTTCCGCAAACCAAGTTCTGCCGTTGTATGACAAGCAGTAGTTTATTTCTACAAAGAACATTCTGTCTATAGTACTCTTACTGCAAATGTATAAATGTTTATTAAAGTTCTTAACAGGTATCAATACATTGACTATGAAGATTTTTTCATGTTACTGATATTAAGATACTTTTGAGCATTGAGCCAACCAATACATATAAGATCATTCGTTGTTGTAAAAGTTAAAAACGAGTGAGTTGACTAGACAACTGAAGGAAATATTGCTATATACTTTTATATAAAATATAATAATGTATATATATATATATATATATATATATTGCTTTATCTTGAAACATTCGAGTATTTTGGAATGTTAGGAAGGAGATTCATATCTTTAATTTTTTTTGTGGGTGTTGTCCTTGTTGCTCATTTGGAACCAGATTGGAGCCCATCTCCTTGGACACCAAAACCAAAAAGAAAAAAGCAAAAATTAAGAAAGACTGGGCAAGTAACACTGCAAAGGAAAGCCATTAAAAAGATGTGTCAACTCTAAAATATATAATACATAATATATATATATATATATATATATTTATATGGCTTGTATTTTTATATATATAAAAAAAGAAATACAAATAAAATTGTACAAAGCACAGGAATTTATTCAACTACTTTTTTTCTTCACTATAATTTTAATAGACATCTTCTTGACTTGTGCTTGACTTGAGCTTGACAAAGTTACCATTCATTCATGGTTCGAATGGACAGATACTTTATATAATATAATATAAATATATATATATAATTAGAGGCTTAGTCTCGGTCGAAAGAAATATTTTGGCTGGGAAAGAAAAAAAAATTAAAGAAGCGTTGTTATTTTAGATTGAATTTAATCGAGTTTGTGTCTTTAACTGTGAATATTATAATTAGACACATAGGTATCCAATAGGTTTACATATATGTATATGTATACTTATATTTAATGTTTTATTTATTAAAAAATAAAAAAGAATATCCTATATTTGTGGTGCTTTGTTTTAATGGGTAATAAATATGTATAAGTTACAATGGGATATCGTATAATAGTAAAGGTAAGTAAAAAGGTAAAAAAGGTAAATGGATATGTAAAAGATATATAAATGTGTGTGCGTATGTCTTTGTATGTGAGAGAGGATAAATTCAATAAATAAATAAATAAATAAATAAATAGATAAAGAAGTAGCTTAAGCCAACTTATCATCACCCTCTTCCAAGTCAGCAATCCACATTGCAGCACTAGAAATATCACAGAATAAATGAATCGATTAATACACATGACATATACATATATACACACCCTAAATACTAGGCACCAAATACTAGACACTGCACAGCCCCATTTTTTTTTTAAAAAAAGAAAAAGATATATAAAATAGAATTATAAAATTACCCAATTTGACTGGTGAAACCAAAGACGAAGCCAGCAAAGGGAATCATTTCCAATGCACTGGCAACCATACCAAAGAATTGGTATTTCCAGAACTCTCTCTCGATACGACCCTGTCTTTGGTTGTTATTCCAGTGGTAGAGGTCAAAGTAACGCTTGTGCGACTCGCCACCTCTGAACAAGGCCTGGATGGTAATAAACAGGACAGGACCACCCATGGGGACCACCGACAATGGCAGTGTAACCAGGTACACAATAGGACGGACAAAAAACTCTCCCCAGGACTGGTCTTCCTTGGCAGCACCAAGCATCATACCAACAGGTGAGATGACACTGTGGACCTTGGGCTTGGTTCCATCAATGTCCTCATAAGGAGGGTCCTGGCTGGCACTTGCGGTGGCAGGTGGAGGGATAATGTTGCGCTCCACCAGAACGCTCTCAAAAAAGCGGTCGGGATAAGATCCAACGATATGGATGTGAATCTGGGACATGATACCGAATGCCTCAAACACACACAGGAACCCACTTGCGATTGCGGCACCGGCATGGATTAGCCAAGGGAAACTGGCTTCGGGTACAACCAGCAGATAGATCTTGGAGATTAAGTGGGATTGGGCACTGAAGCCATATTTGAAGAGTGGAATAACTGCAAGCAAACTGAGAACACTCGACTTGAGAGCCGAAAAGAGAATCGGACCAGCAATGCGGCGAGGGTGGTGGAGGAAGTGAAGGATTCCCTTGAAGGGATAGACAACACTTGGCAAGGCACCGTTGCGACGAACACTGGGAAGACTAACCATTGTGCGAAAGAGCTGGTTTCTTTGAAGAGTAGAGAATTAAATGAATTAAATAAATAAATAAATATGAAATGTTTAAAAAAAATATTATAAATTAAATTATATAATATATATATATGTATATATAATATATGTATTATATAAGATGGGTGCACAACTAAAAAAAAATGAGGCATTTGGAACAGAAAAGAGTTTTATTGGTCTAAAAATACAAAATTATAGGACACAAAAAAAAAGACAAAGGGTATGAGTGAGTGAGTGAGTGAGTGAGCGAGTGCTTAAAAGAATGCTTAAAAGATTCAAAAGAAAATTAGAGTACAAAAACCAAGCTGATGGGATGACAGCATAATAGGTATAAATATACATACACAGCTATAGGTACATGTGCTTAAAATGTCTTTTATATATATATATATATATTAGTTTTATGAATTCATTTATTCATTTTATATATTTAGAGTAGAATGATGTATTTTTTAGCTCATCTCTTTAACAACACACTTCTTTATGAATCATAACAAAAACTAACTCTGTCACAAACACGCGTATATTGACTGAAACAACGAACCAGTCGCTCAAAAATAATTAATCAAAAGAGAATATGAAAGTATTCTTTCTTTTTTGGTTCTTTAACCAAAGGCTGATACTAAAACACATCATCTTTGGCTGTTACACCAAGAGGATGAATTGTTCCCAACTCTCAACTTACCTTTTAGTCTCAAAATAAGGTATCTTACAATACAATGCACCCTCTCCCTTTCACTCCACTCCACTACACTCCACTACACTGCACTACACTGCACTGCGCTTCACTGTAATTTATTTTACTTTTTCTATTATCAAGCTCTTCAAGACACACATTCTAAATAATTACATACTTTTTTTTAACACAAAGCCAATTATTTTTGTTTCTTTCTCATATCTTGATTCTCTCCCTTTAGACTTAAGGAGCAAGTTAAAAACCACCCAAAATGCCTGTGACTGCAAAATTGAAGACTGTCGACTTAACCCTAAAATAAAACAATACAATAAATCCGTTTAGAAACGCCTTTAAACACGCTCCTTCATCCACATGGCGCTTATGAAAAAACCTGTGGATCAGGTGTCAGAGAGCCTTGACAACACTTTCGAGTGGGTGTCAGACGAAAAACGATTCCAAGTTCCCCGTAAACTCTTACGAATCTGCACTTTTGTCTTGGACGAGTTATTGTCATGCCATGAGTGTTTTCCTTTTGCACAGCCTGTACCTTCCAGTGCCGTTTATTACCACAAAGAAATAAAACACCCAATGGACCTGTCCACTCTTGAACGCAATCTCTATCATGGAGTTTACCAAACGTTCGCGGACTTTGAGAAAGATCTTTCGCTTATTTGGGAAAACGCAAGACATTTTCACCGTTCGTTTGATACAATTTATCAGCAAGCTGACGAGTTACAGCGTCGATACGGAGAAGTACGAGCACATATAAATGGAGAAGAAGTGTGAGTTTCTATTCTTCTGTTAAACTATCAGTGTATAGTTGAATACAAAGATATCTATTGTGGATGAGATATCTATCCAAATATCTATCTAGTTTATTAGTTAACAACTTAGTTAACAACTTAGTTAACAACTTAGTTAACTGCTTGGTTAGTCAGTTATTTAGTTAGCTACTTGGCTAACTAGTTAGCTAGTTAGCTAGTTGGCTCATCAAGTTAGTCTGTTAGTTAGCTAGCTATCTATATTCAAAGAAAAAGTCAATAGGCGTTTTCTTCTTCTTCTTTTTAGCAATCAACCTTTCATCATATATATATTATTATTATTATTATTATTTTTGAATTATCTTTCTAAAACCAAAAAACGCCCCCCTCCCCTCAAACAAATTCGACTTAGATTCATCGTATTTTCCGTACAATCCTCAGACCCTTCCTCTAAGCCTATTCCAGAAGAAGAAGACCTTTCACACTTTGCTGAAAAGAATTATTCAAAGGACAGGTAACGTCTATTTGAATATACTTAACATTTAAGTGATCAAGTTGTACAACAATCATTCTTTATTCATACAATTATTTCTATATATATATTTACTTAATATATATATACCTATATTTCATCCGTCCTGTTTGTTAAAAAAAACACCTTTTTTTTGTTCTCTCTCTTATATAAACATGTACATTTATATATTTTTTAAGCTATCTGTATTTTATCCAAGCAGTCAATCCAACCGAAAAAGGATCTCGCTCGACTCGTGGACTAACAAACGTCAGACCCCTTTACAACGTCCTCAATCACCACTTTTTCCACGCCGTCGAAACTATTAAAGCAGGCGGAACCTTGCCTTCACGCCCACTCCCTCGCCTCTACATCACCAAAAACCGCACCTTACTAACTGAAGCACGAAATAACCCAAATGCTGTTCTTGCAGTCGTGACAAATGTCAATATTACAAAGTGCGCCGAAGAGCCTGGAAAATCTCGTCTGTTTTGTGACGTTATCCTTGTTCGTCCTCTGGGCGAATGCCACAGCTTTGACGAAACTTCGGTCGACCCGGCACTCAGATACGAGTTTTTCCCCAAGGCCTGGTCAAAGGTCCAAGTGCTTCGGGTCGTCACAGGTGTCGAAACGACACTGTCAACAGAGATGGAAAAATACTTTTTTCGACGGGCATTCACAACCTATCGCGTTTCGCTAAAACCTGCAGACCTCAAAAAGGCAAAGAATGCCGAAATAGTGGTCGAATTTATAAAATCCATGATGAATCCGGTTTCGTTTGATAATAGAGTCAAGTCAGAATCATTATCACTCTCACCAGCACCTGCACCTGCGCCATCCCCGTCACCATCACCATCATTATCGCCACCACCTCAATCACCATCACCATCACCACAACAACAACAACCAAAACAAACACAACAAACACAGCCACAATCACATCAATTAGCACAACCACCAACACCAGCGCCAGCGCCAGCGCCAGTACCAGTACCAGAATTATCACCATCACAGGCAGAAGTTTCTCTTGAAGCAGCCGAGTCACTTTTATCACTGTCACTAGCAACAGAATCCACAGACCTCCTAAGTGGAGAATCGTCTTCTTTTGTCCCTAACAGTGTATCGGGTGAAAATGGGGGACACTTTGGTCCAAAGATATTGAAACCAAAACCTTTTAGAGCAGTCTCACCTCTAGCCCCACCACAAAATAAAATGTTAACCAGAGATGAAGATGACGAAGATGAAGAAGAAGAAGACGACGAAGACGACAACGACGATGAAGAAGAAGAGGATACTTTAAACAATAATACAATCCGAAGTGGTAACAGTTCTCAAAGAGAATCTATCGATAATATCAGCGAAAAAGACCATATAAAGAGTGAAGACATGGAGTATGGAGAAGAAATGTACGATGGATATGAACCAGAAGAAGGCATATACGAAGAGAACGACCCAACAAAAAAGATACCCATAAGGTTTGAGACAATCAGGTCAATAGAACCTACAGATGAAAACAAATCATCTCTTCCAGAATACGCAAAGAAACTCGCCGCGCTTTGGCAGAAGCTCAAAAAGTGTGAGTAATATACATTATATTACATTACATTGCACATCAAAAAAGAAACAAACAAACAAACAAGCAAGCAAACGAAAAAGAGAAAATTATTTACAAGCCTTTTTTTTTGAAAATAATAATAATAATAATAATAATAATAATAATAATAATAATAATAATAATAATAATAATAATAATAATAATAATAATAATAATAATAATAATAATAATAATAATAATAACAATAACAATTCAATAGTGTGTGACGAAAAGGGTGTTTTGATTGCACCCATTGAAAAGTACGCCTCAAGTACATCCTCGACCCCTAATGCAGAAGGATACTTTAAACATGTCTATTATGTTAAAGGGGACCCAACTCGTGTTGTACAAACCTTCCGCCGTATGACTCTCACCCAACGCATCACCGAACTTGTCAGTTTACTGACCTTACACGGCGAAAGACATATGGGCCAGATTCTGGAGGTGCTTGAGGAAGAGCAGGGTGAGATCGTCGGCCTTTCGATGGAGCGATACAGCAAGACTCTGAAACAGTATACACACCTTCACTCTCATTATCGGTTGACGGCACATCAGAAGATGGACCTGGTTGAACAGATATTCGAATCCATGTCTACGATCCACAGACTCGGAATTGCCCATCGTGACATCTCTGAGGTGAACTTTATGGTCAGTGAGAGTAAAAACAAGATCCTCAAGGATGGCAGCAAGGGCGCCGATCTGTACATGATTGATTTCGGAAAGGCGGTCCTGACAAGAAAGGAGGACGTGGTATATTGGTGGATCGAGCGGCCAAAGATTGATGGAGAATACGATGGTCAGATGCAGCCCGAAGACGAAAAGGCACTCAAGTTGTGGTGCGATAAGCTACCGTGGGTTACAGCAAAACCTGACCATGGCTACCGCCACAACCGCTCCATCCAGACTCTACCAAAGACCCGTGGAGACACTAGTGTCTTACCTTGGCTTATCCATCCAATTGCCGAAGACATGTACTCGATCAGTACAGTGGTTTGGAAGATTTTTGCAGAAACCGAGCCATGGCACGGTATCCTTGACACAGATCTCAGAGGCCTGCGCGATACCGTAAAAGACAACTATAGAATTGAACGCAGTCTGGAACGGGAGGTGGCTGGCGAGCTCAGTCAAAAGCTTCTCTTGCATTGCCTCAAAACCGATCCAGTAGATCGTCACTCGGCAGATGATGTGATCCGGTGGATGTCGAAGCCTGACGTTCGCGAAGGTCTGATCAAGGAGTGGAAGGCTGCTGCACCTGACGGTCGCCAGAAGAGAAGAGCGAAATCGACGTTTGAGTTCGAGGATGAGCAGGCTAGAGAGCAAGATCGAAACACAAAACGAAGCCGTACAAAAGAAACATCATCATCAACACCAACACCAACATCAAAATCAAAAGCAAAATCAAAAGCAAACTCAAAATCAAACTCAAAATCAAGCACAACCTCAACCTCAAACTCAAACTCAAACTCAAACTCAAACTCAAACTCAAAATCGAAATCGAAATCAAATTCAAAATCAAATTCAAAGGCAAATTCAAATTCAAAAGCAAAATCAAAATCTCATAGCCGCGCACAGAAAACAGAGTTGGTTTTACCAGATATACCTCTGAAACCTAATGGGCTGCCAGTAAGTGGGCCTGGATCTAGAGGAGGCACTAGTCGTAAACGTACCGGAGTTTCCAGAGGCCGAATTGTGCAAACCAGTGCAAAAAAGATCGGCAGCCGGACAACAAAAGCAACGCCTACAACTATTTCAAAAGGAAAGAAAAACGCGCATATACTACCAAATATTGCTTCCTCTTCTTCTTCTTCTGCTGCTGTCGCTTCTACTGCTGCAGCTGCAGCTGCCACTTCTACTTCTGCTTTTTCTAATGTTACTTCTGCTACCAGCACCACTATTGGAAGTTCGAGAAGAAGCTCTATTGCAAATACAAGCATGAAACGTACCCAAATACACCCACCAGAAATTGGCTCAGCAAACGGTCTTACAGGATCGGCGAATTCACGAAACGCACACACAAGCAAAGCAAATGGTTCTGGAGGTGGGTCGGGGAGTGCGCCCAACACAAGAAATACGGGCTCGTCGACAAAGAAATCTAGTTCAAAAGGAGGGGTTCCAAGTGGAAGCTCAAATACAAAACGTACTCAAATATTACCTGCCACTTCTTCCGGATCAACTGTTGGCCAGCAAGGTTCCTCAAATAGCAAATATGGGAATTCGTCGGCTAAATATGCTAATGCCAGAGGCGGTCTAGCGGGCTCAAATGTGTCAAGACATGGTAACCATCCATTACCTTCTAGTGGGCCAGGTTCACGAGGTGGAATTGTGCGTTCGCGTGGAGGTACGATTCCTAGAGACTTGAATGCTCCTTTGACCGGACCTGGGTCGAGAGGAGGGCCTGGTTCAAGAGGAGGAATGGTTCGTACGCGTGTGGTAGACCTGACTGGCGGAATTTTGCCCTCACACGGACCTGGATCAAGAGGTGGTATGGTACGCGTTCGCGGACTGGCCCTCAGAGGACCTAGCACACGAGGTGCACGAAACGGAGGCTCCCAAGTCCTGGCCTACAACCGGGACTCCCGTGGAAAACCAAAGGGAAGGCAGCAAGGAAACGCCGGGTTCCCCAGAATAGACAGTGTTACGGGACTCTATGTGACTGGCGAGAATGATGAGGCGATTGATATCGTTGGCAATTACGAAGCTCCTGGCCAAACACATACCTCAAGAGATGGACCAAAGTCTGGTAGAACCAATACACTGGCTGTAGAAAGTGCGCCCGAAAGAACCAACAGTGTAAAAACGCACAATTTTCCTGATAATGATGGCGTTATTGAGACCAGCAATGTTCGTGAGACCAGCAATGTCTACAGGAACATAAATATGCGCAGAAGCAGTATGCTTTGAGCCCAGAAAAAGAAAGGAAGAAAAAATAACCTAATTGCTCGTTTGACAGTCTAATTCCACACACACACACACACTACCAGCATATTTTCTTTTCTTTTCTTTATTTCTATGAAGCCTCAAAAACTTAACGAATGATCCTGGATATCACAGCCCAAAAAAAAACAAAAAGCAAACAAGCAAGCAAACAAACAAACAAATCAATCAAACAATCAATCAAACAAAAGACTTGTATCAAGTTCACATTCACACAAACACATACACCTATTCACACACCTATTCACGTACCCGCACAATCATATACTCATGTACACACGCACACACGCACACATCCACACAGCACACCTGTATTTGTCAGGATTTACAGGGTAAATTGATAGGTAGAAGAGATATCTTTATTTTCCTTTGATTCTTCTACTACTTTTATTTTCGCCCATTATTTATCTCGTGTGCTTTTTCTTCTGTTCATTTTTCTTTATCTTTACTATACAATTAGTCACCACTTATATTTATCTTTTTCTATATACAAGTAAAGAAGTATTTCCATGTTTCAATATAGGAATGTCTTTTCATATATATTATTCTTTGCCTTTATTTCTTTTTATCCCTCTCTCTCTTGTTTTTTTTTATTTTCTTCAAACGCTTTGTTCTTGTATGTTTCTTCTCTTATAACTTTGTCCTGTCATCTTTCATTTATTTTTTCTATTTTGATTTCTATTATCATTATTTCGTTCTTTTATTTTTATTTGTCTGTTTTTTTTATTTGCTAAATATCAAGTACATAATTTTTCTTATATATATATATAATATAATATAATTATTGTTCCAATTGTTGCTTTATTAAAGGTTTGTAGATGTTTAATGATTGAAATGAAAGCACGTACATATTGATATATTTATGTGTGTAAAGAAGAAGAAGAAAAAGTTGTATGATAAGAAGAAAAAGAAAAGAAAAAGTCTATATGGACAAAATGCCATGTTGTTGTACTGTAACTATGTGTGTGCGTGTGTGCGTATATATGAATGATACGAAGAAGAAGGAGAAGAAAAAGTCTACAACTCAAGAAAGAGATAATAAGGCCAATTAAATAAATAATAACTATTATCACCATTTTCTTAACACATTGGAACATTGACTGCAAGTCCACCTTGACTTGTCTCCTTGTATTTTGACATCATGTCTACGCCAGTCTGACGCATGGTTTCGATAACCTGATCAAGCGACACACGATGATCGCCTTCTCCGTTGAGTGCCAGCTGTGCTGCCGCAATGGCCTTGACGGCCGCAAGGGCATTTCGCTCAATGCAGGGCACCTGCACAAGGCCACCAATCGGGTCACATGTCAGACCCAGGTTGTGCTCCATGCCAATCTCGGCCGCATTTTCGACTTGATCTACAGACCCACCCATCACAGCCGTAAACCCTGCCGCGGCCATAGAGCAGGCCACACCGACTTCTCCCTGGCAACCAACCTCGGCAGCAGAGATGCTTGCTCCACGCTTAAAGAGCATGCCAATCGCGGCAGTCGTCAAAAGAAACTCCATAACATCACGCTCCGGGTGCTCGGAGATGAACTCGAGATAGTATTTCATGACAGATGGGATGGTGCCCGCAGCACCGTTTGTAGGTGCAGTTACTACTCGACCACCACAAGCGTTTTCTTCATTAACGGCAATAGCATAGACTGATAGATAATCAAGAGCTGATGAACAAAGATAAACAAATAGATAAATTAGATAGACAGAATTAGGAAATTGTATTTTATATTTTATATATATATACAAATTGAATTATTAGGGAGTGTGCAAAAAAAATAAAAAAAAAGATAAGAAAAATAAAAATTTGTTGTTCGAGTATCCCTTACCTGGCAAGAAGAAACGCTTTCGTTGACGCTTGGGGAGTACAGAGAGTGACATTGGGAAAGTATTTTTGTGATCGTCGGGATGTCCAATAGCTTCTTCCATTGGTATTGTAGAGGTTGCGATCTGGTTGGTATGATACTCGGTGGATGTCTTTACTGGGCCGTAGAGACCTTTGAGGAGTTTACTGTAGAGTGCAGGTGCACGTCTGCGAACTTTGAGATCACCAGGAAGCATATCTAAGCCAAGAAAAGCAAGGTTATTAATAAATCAACTTTAAAAGAAAAAGAAAAAGAAAAATCGGTCTGTTTTGTATATGTGCGTGCATTTTATTTCTCTTACCTGTAGGACACGCCATGACACCGTTTCGGATACTCTCGTCCATTGTATTCCAGATCTTTAGTAGCTTTGTGCGGATCTCTTCTGGTGTAGACCACCGTAGCTCATTCTCATACACAACTTGGGCAATCGTCATGTTCTCTCGCTTACAGACCGCAATAAGTTCATCGGCTGTTTTGAAAGGGAGCGCAACTACCGCAATATCCTGCTGTCTTCGCTCAGCCATTGCTCCGTCCTTATCTTCTTGCTTGTAGTAAACGTTCTCTCCGTGATCCAATTGAGTCTCCTCATTAACCACAAATCCTCCTCCGATACTAAAATACTCGTTTGTGGCGACCATGTTGCTGTCGCTGTCATAGGCACAAAAGCGAAGGCCGTTTGGGTGCTGAGGTAAGGACTTGAAGTAATTGAAGATAAGATGCTTTTCTGGGTTGAAGTGGATGCGATGTGTGCCGTCGAGTCTAATGGAGTGGTTGGTGTGGATGTCTTGGACCCGAGATTTGATTGTCGAGGTCTCTACCTGATCGGGCGATTCGCCTTCGATTCCCATCAGGATTGCATCCGGAGTTCCGTGGCCAGCGCCTGTCAGGGCCAATGAACCAAACATGTCTAAAACAACAACAGAAAAGATATGCCATATTTAGCAATGAAAGATAACAAGAACACGCTGTTACCGCACAATCTTATACTAATCTCAGTTTCCATCCCCTTTTGTATTACGGTTATTAAAATACAATGTATGATCAGGTAATATTTATTTATTTATTTATTTTTGTTGTTGTTGTTGTTGTTGATAACGATAACTCACCTACACGCAAGGTGTGAACTCTCTCGAGAACTTTGTGTGTCTTGAGATCATGAATGAAAATCTTGGCAGCTCTCATGGGTCCAACAGTATGAGAGGAAGATGGTCCAATTCCAACCGAGAACAGATCAAAGGTTGATACAACAGCATGGTGATCGGTTCTTTCTTCGACCTTCTCCTGTTTCTTCTGGGTGGCGGTGGACATCAGTCTAGAGCAGGCAGGAGTGGCAAGTCTTTGTGATATAGCTGTCAACTTGACATGGTTGGCAACAGAATGCCCGAGACGAGAGCGAGAACGAAGGCGAGAAAGAAACATGTTAAAGAAAGAATATAATTCTTTATTTTATTTTATATTAAAAAATAATAATAAAAAGTTGGTTTGAATCTTATACAGATACATCCGACGGAACTATAAATTCTATATATAATATAATATATATATAGTATGTAAGTGGATGAGTGGGGTTGATGGGTTGATGAGTTGGTGGGTTTAAATAAAGGATGTTTGTTTCATTTTGTCTCAATTTCTTGGAGGTTTTGATTAGGAAAGATTAAACAGGTAGCTTTGTCGTGACTCAGTTTTTTTTGACTGTTATGAAGTCCATTGCAAAATGATAAGAATAAGAATAGGATTGATAGCAATTCATTTCTGCATTAATTTATTGAACACTATTAATACAGAGAAAGCATGACAAGAAGTTTTAATAACGAACTTGCCAAAAATAAAACCATGAATTTATCGTTGTAAATATGAAATATATAAATATGAATATATTAAATAGCAAATAGCAAATAGCAAATAGTAATAGTAATAATAATAATACTATTAGTATTAGTATTAGTATTACTTCTTTTTTTAATTATACATGTACATATTTATGTATATTCAATTCCATTCATTTCAATTCAATTCAATTCATTTCAATTCATCTCAATTCAATTGAATTCAATTGAATTCATTTTATTTTCAAGCTATTTACAACTTCTCCTTGATACGAGCCAATGTAGCCTTCAGGGAATCCTGGCTAGGCTGGAGCTGGGGCCATCCAATCTTGAGACCGTCCTCAGGCTTATTCTTAGGAATGATGTGGAAATGAACGTGAGGAACAACCTAAAAAAAATACAGAATAAGTAAATAATGTTAGTTTCAATATAATTTGTTTCAATTATAATATTAAATATTAAATCGCTTTACCTGATGGGCCATGGGTCCATTGTTCTAAAAAAGATAGAAAAAGAAATCCAAAAAAGTTTAGTAGTCAATTCGATTAATTTATTATTATTTTTACCTGGAGAAGGTTGTACTCCTTCAATCCACTAGCCACAGCCACCTTCTTAGCCAAAGGAAGGATGTCAGCCAAATGATCTTCAGGCAACTGATGGAAGAACTCCGCGTGGTCTATACAAAATTTCCAAGTATATTATATTAATATCTACTTTATATGAACTGTTTTTCTTTATAGATAAACTCACACTTTGGGATAACAAGCTGTATTTATACAAATATGTATGTATATGTGTTTGTAGATTAAAATTCATATTAAAATATCATTAGTAATTTAGCTAAGGCCATTGACACAATCTCTCTATATCTCTCTCTCTTTTGTATATATATATATATCTTTCATATAGGATATTTTCTCCTTAAACAGCTAAAGAAAAGAAAGGACCCCTTTTCCTATACATTCATCTCTCTCTCTCTTTCTTTCTTTCCTTCTTTCTTATAGCTTTTATATATTCTTCTTCTCTGTATATAAATAAATATATATTTTGTGAACTTACAGCATGACCCTCACTCAAGGGGTTAATGTCAAGGAAACAGAAACTGATACAATACAATACAATATAATTATTGTTTTTAATATTATTCCCTATTATATATTTGTATATACCTCTTCTCAGTCTCGGCGACCTTGTGAGAAGGAATCTCGCCTCTATATAGAGATAATACACGTATGAAAAGAAAAGAAAGACGCGTGAAAATGTTGGTTAAAGTTGTAGCTCATTAGCTTAATTCAATTCATTCAGTGTCTGCTAGCCAATTCATACCTGATGATTTTGCAGAAAAGACAATTGTCAGTCAAATGAGTAGCCATGTTATTTTGAATGTTCAAAGATGAGTTTGAGTGTGTGTATATATATTAGAGTTTTTTATTTTATATAGGAAATATAATTTTGCTTTGAAGTTATTCGGCTAAACGATTAATACTGAGTCCGATAGAAAGGAAATCAGAATGGAGAGAAGCACCAAAAAAAAAGATTTTGATCACATTCCCAAGGGAAAATTATACTAATGTATCTGTATATAAATCAAAACCAAAAGCTTATTTATATTTATATTTTTGTTCTATTTTTTTTTTACTTAATGAAAAATATATACAATATTAGAATAAGGCATGTAATAAAGCTGCTAGATGGGATTTTAGTAAGACGCCCGGTAAATAAGACACGATCATATCCTTTATGAGCAGCAAGAGTTGCTCTCCCTAAAGATAAGGTAAGAAGGAACACAGATCAGCTAATGAGACCTCTACAGCTTAAAAACAATATAGAAACTCACCTGGACTGGACAGGTAACCTCAACCACTTGGTGATAGATTGGTTGGTAGGTAAGGCTAATAATCTTCACTACAGGCATGAGGTCATAGTGAAATGTGAGCGTGGGTACGCTATTGTTCTGTTTGGGAGAAATACACAGATCCACAATATCGCGTAACATTTCGTGATCCTTGTCCTTGCTTGGATCGTACACCACTTGAAATGGAAATGTAACATTTGTAATAGAGTGTGCCTTTAGATGCAGGTTGTACATTTCGCCGCCACCCACTGTCTGGTCAGGTTGATTTATATAATATGCCTACAATACCAAAAATTAAAATAAAATAAAATAAGGATTCTAGCTATTGACGTGTTTATTCTGGTTCTTTTTCTTTGCTTTTACTTTTGCTTTTGCTTCTCCTTTAACTTGTTACTATTATTATTATTTACCACTGCTTTGACACTGTCTAGTGCCAAGTTCTCAACATTGGGATTCATGACACCAATCTTAAGACCCATATTGAAAGTAAACGTATTCGAGGACCCATTCCTCTGAAATGCCGGCAGATTGTCAGGATGGGTGGTCGAGCCGTTGTAGTCGATTCTAGGGATTTTGAAGGTGCTCATCAAGGCACCGGCGGTGATAACGAATCCAATGATTAACAAGAGAGCAAAACAACTGATCGAACGCGCCCAGAGAGGAAGGCAGGGAAAGCATATGCAGCAAGCATAATCTGTCCACCGTTTAGAATGATTCGAATAGACATCAAAGTATTGTTTTTCTGGAAGTGTGTCTAATATCAATCAATTGATCGATCGATCGATTAATCAATTAAAATCGAATAGCGATATAATGAAAACAATTTGTTTTGTTAAATACACAAATCTTCGTGAGTTTGTCAAAACTTACTCACCAGCTGCTTCTGGGCGAAGACTGGGCTTGTAAGTGTAGGTTGAGGAAAGAAGGTCGTGTTCAGAGTTCATAATCAATAAGAGAAAGAAGTGTACCGAGAAGGGGTGCTAGTGGTATTTAGATGGTTTTTTTTTTCAGATGGTGAAATTAATAAATAAATCAAGAAGTGAAGTGAAATGAAATGAAATGAAATGTGTACATATACATTTATATATACATTTATATATATATATATATATTAGATAAACACACACATTCATGTTCATATTCATGCTCATATTCATGTTCATACAAGTGAGCAGATTAACGAGAGGTTATAAATGGACTTCTCTCCTGAAAGAGGGATATTTTTTTTATTCTTTGAAAGGACAAGAGGCGTGAGGGGATCCCTCACTCCTTTTATAATATGTTTAGTTACGATTTAACCAGAATAAAGACTAACAAGTCTTATGCCCCTCCCCTTCTTGCTCTACCCCTTTTTCTTTCTTTATTTCTTTCTTTATTTCTCTTTGAACCTTGACCATTTGGTCTATATATGATTAGTGGTGTTATTCAACCATTTTACTTGTCTTGTTATGATTCTTATTCTTTCTTCTTCTTATTTTGTTTCTCATCGCCTGATATCTTGGCAATTGGTATATCCATGCCTCCCGCTTTGGCTCGAGTGAGGATTTTTTGTGCCCATTTTACGACAGGCATATCAATCCTGACCATCAAAAGATTATTATTACCATTGTTATTGTTATTGTTATTGTTATTGTTATTGTTATTGTTATTGTTATTGTTATTGTTGTTATTGCTATTGCTATTGCTATTGTTATCATATATCTATATCTATACTTGAATAAGTTTAAATGGAATTCGCTCAACTTACATCTTTCCGTCCAAGTTAAAAGCCCCAAGACCCTTGGCATTATGAATCTCATTTCCCTCTATAATCTTGGTGGCCCTTTCCACCTCTACAAACGAACATATATATTAGTTATATCTGTTTATATATACAGATAAAATAACATTATATAATTTACCTGCTGGATCTGGTAAGAATGTCTGTTGGATAATCTCCACCTGGCCAGGATGAATAGCTTGTTTTCCAGCAAATCCAAATGTCCTTCCTTCATTACACTCCTCCAAAAGCACCTTTTGATCTTGATAGTCAACACACACCTATTCCACACACACACACAAAGAGAATATTAATACAAATGAAATCAATAATCCTTTTATCCCCATTTACAGATATTTTACACACACATAGTGTGTCTGTACTTAGAAAGAAAGAAAGAAAAAAAGTTTTTTTTTGCTTTACCAAGTCAATTGCTTGTAGCCCATATGCAGTTGCTGCAGTTACTAACATCTGTCTTGCAAAAAGTAATTCTTTACGACTTTCTGTTCGAGTAATTCCTATAGAACAATAAATTCAAAACACGCACACGCACATTAGATTCTCTTTTTTTTTCTTATATTATTTTTAACAAGGTTCATTAACGTTACTTACCTACATCTGCACAATAATCTTCAGAAGCAAACTAAGTTTTATTCTTCATGTTAAACCCCCAAAAAAAGTATTTATATAGACACACACATACACACACACAAATTGATCAAGAAAATAAATAATAATCATAATATTAACTATAAAAAAGAAGAAGAAGAAATATTGCTTACGATTAAAGCATCTAACCGAGGATCTGCTGTAGCAATTTCTCTGATATTCATTATTCCAAGCGCACTTTCAACCAAGGCAATCAGGCGAATTCGTTCACGCCTACATACATATTATGATCGCAAATATTGTTTACTATCCTCGCGCATAAACATCTATTTACTTTTATATAATGTTATTGAGATCTTACTGTGATTCTATTGCAACCGAGTCAATCATTCGACTAACAAACTGGATATCTTTGGCACTCTGTACCTTGGGAATAACAATAGCCTGGAGTCTTTTTGAATGCAACTAATATAAATAAATAAATAATTAAATGATTAAATAGATAAATAAATGGATTGTATTCTATTCTGGAATATTGATAATTCACTTACAATGACATTCAAATCGTCCAGTTCGAGACCTGTTTTGAGCAATGATATGAATTATATACATACGCACATATAAGTTTTACTTAACAAACACAAGATGCCTGTCTATGTATTGCTTATTCTATAATTTACCTGAGCCAATGGCATTAATCCGTACTGCCTTTTCTGCTTTGCCATGCTCAGAAGCCTAAATGATATAAGAATTAAAAAAAGGAAGAAGAATAAGAGGGGCCACATTTTTGCGTTCCTTTAGAAAACAATAAAGCATAATACAATTCAAATACAATCTCCAAAAAGAAAAGTATAGATTTGTATTATTGTTGATTGTTCCTTACCTCGAGTGCATCCAGTACTAAATGTCGAGCAGTTCCTTTTTTACTGCTTGGCACGCTGTCCTCTAAATCGTACACCACACAGTCTGCTCCGATAGATATAGACTTATATATCTTGCGCTCATCACTACCAGGAACTTTTGTATATATATATGTGTGTGTGTGTGTGCGTGTGTAGGTAGATATATGTAACAGAAGTAAGACACACATGCATATTTTTTTAAACTTGCATATATTTTAAAAGTATTTACCATAAAGCATTGCACGTCTCGGTCGTACGTCTCTTGTACTAAGCGCTCGTAATCCAATCGTTGCATGTCCTTGACGTGCAAGAAGGCGCGTAATGGAAACTTTTTGTAAATGAAGTTTTATAATTAGCAATCTTGAGACTTATAACAAAAGAAAGAAAGAAGAAAAGTCTCGGCTTTAATTATCTCTCTTTTTCTCTTTTGCTTTTACATGTTGATTGCACTGGTCTTTGTAAAAGAACTAAACCAGCAAGAGAACGCATGTCGTGTATGGTACGTAAGAGAAACAAGGAAATAACGACACACAAAAAAGGAAAGAAGAAAAAAGGAAAAAGAAAGATAGTTACTGGCATATTGAACAAGGTCAGTATTTTCCTGCTGGTGTGACGCCATGGCATGATATCACCTGATGGTTCTTTTTTTTTTGTCTCAGCAAATATTTTGGAAGCTTTCATATAAAATATTAATTAATAATGGTAGCAATAGATATTGAATACACTTCTTTACGTATCTCTATAGAATAAAGATAAATTCACAAAGTCAAACGAACAAATGAACAAACAAACAAAATAAAAGAAAAATAAGCGTTTTATTTTATTCATTTAATTAATTCAATTAAAAACAAGTTGAAAGAAGTAAAAAAAAAAAAGGGCAAGATATGTGCAAGAAATATACGGCAAATTACATGAAAAAAAATATATTGAAGAGAAAGAGATTGGAGGGAATAGAATAAGAAGGTCAATACGTCATATAAGATATATTGTTTCTTAGACTAAAGGCTTGTTAACACCCTCGAAACGACGTGCATTCTGTAGCTCAGAAGAGCTTAATTCTCGCTCGGCTGAGACCTTTGGTGGTTCTCCAGTAATCATGCCCTTTGCAATGTTCCAAATCTGGACAGGTGCAGATACATCCTTGAGCGAGTAGTGGACTGTGTCGGCCTTTACGAAGATGAGACCAATACGAGGATCATTGGGACCACCGTCATTAATGCCATCGTTCAAGTCACCAAACCAAGCCTTTGTTTGTTGTTTTTTTTTTAAATAATAATAATAATAATAATAAAAGATAAGTTAATTTATATGTACTTTTATACAGATATACATATCTAATCTTACCTTGATATCAGGAGTATAGAGTTCCTTGATCTTTGTACGATCATCAACAAGTGTGGCAGTACCAGAAACACTGATCCATTCGGCAGTAGATGGCTTGTAGAAACCGAGATTTACATTTGGATCCTTGACTAGCTCATCAAGCTTATGGCTTGAGTTGTTGGTAAAGAACCACAAATCGGCAGGTACGTGTTCATCAGGCTAAACAACGATAGTTATGATGATTAGGATGCTGGATTATAAAGAACAGCAAGGATTTTTTTATTACTTACAATACGAGGAGACATTGCTCGACTAAAGAGTCTGCCGGTGTCTGCACAGCGAGTGGTCATCATGCAGACCTTAATGCCATCAATAAGTTTGTAAAGGTCTTCAATCTTCTTTTCAGTTCCAGTAACAAGGTCCTTGTTCTTTTCAAGGACAGGGTTGGAGTGAACAGTTGAGGCTGACATTATGATATGATATATATATTTTTTGTAGAATAGAATAAGGTACAATAGAAAAGAGTGAATACAAAAGATGTATATTTATATTAAATAAAAAATCAATTAATCTTGAATTGATTAATCCCAATTTGAAAGAAAAGGGCATTATTACTGACACCATCCTGATGCTATCAAAATTACGCAAAATTTACAAAAGAGGGTAGACCCAATAAAATTGAAATAGACTATAGACTATAGAATAATTATTTCATATTATTATTTTATTCTACCATCTTTCCCTGTCCCATCGATCAAGGTACTTTTGGTTTAGCGTGATTGTTCTTGATGGGTCAATGTCCTTTAAAAAGATATATCCATATAAAATGTTTAGAAATCAACGTATATAAAATCAATAAATTTCTTTTTTATTACCTTGAAGTCTTTTAATAATGAGCTAGTCTTTTGGTCCCTGTATAATTTATTTATTTTTAAAATATATATATATAAATATATATATATTGTATTATAGATTAGTTTAAGCCTAAGCTTGTTTTTTATTTTATTTTATAACTCAAACTTACCAAGTCTCAGATCCTGCATTAATCCCCATATAAAGCACGCCAGATAGAGTGCTTCCAAGAACTACAGCCAAAGGAACGATTTGAGTCTTGATAGAGTCTTTAATAAATAAAGCAAGAGGCATTTTTGGAGGAATTGATTGTATTTTTAATAAGAAAATTAAATACTAGAAAAATATTGAGACTCTATTTATACCAAAATAAATAAATAAATAAAAAATTATTCCCAAGATCACACCACTTGAATTAATGTTCGCTATCATTGAACATTCTTTAATATTTAATAATCTTTAATGACTCATATGCAGACTTTCACACACTCATATAAAATCTGTATTCAATTCTCCATCGAACTTATCCATACAAATGACCTGACTACAGACCCAAAAATAAAATAAAATGTGACTCGTTTATTCACCAAGGAGACAAACCATTTCCTTTAAACATCCCACCTTTCAATCTTTTATTTTTTTTATTGCGAGTGAATAAAACCAAATAGATGTATATATATTATATAAAGGTCCATCTTTAGAGCAATTGGAGCAAGAGCACTGGTCAATCAATTTCCCTTTTATTTCCATAAAACTACACTGTGCATAAGATTTGTAATTGATTTTCTTTCTCTTCTTATGTAATAATCAGAAATATATATATAGTAGGAAAGCATTACGGAAATTATACACGTAGAAGAAAACATGAAAAAAAAAACCGAGATACTAGTGTAAAATAATATATATATATAAAGTAAATAATTGGCCTTTTCTCACCAAGGAGAGTCATTTCATCTTTAAATGTTGACAGGATGAAATTATACCTCCAGTCAGAAATCCAATATTCACTAGATCATTGTGACCACTCTATTGTTCATCTCTCTCACTCATTTTTATATATATATATATTAAAGAAGTAAAATTAAAAATAAGAGAGAGAAAAAAAGGTACAAGAATGCAGCCAAACTATCAACTGCAAAATCAACATCAAAGGATAAGAATACACGCATCTTTCTAATCATGTATTGAAATATCATTTGTGTATATAGTATTTAAGGATCCTCATCATTAATATTAATATTAATACTAATATCATTAAGACTTATACATAAAGAAAGAGAAACAAGAATATCAGTCAGTATTATTTGAGTATTTATACAAATCGTATGCACAAAGTTGTTTGTCTTTTAATGAAAATGATTCTATTCCGGGAGTAGTCCTGAAACACCAAAAACAATGCGAATATCTCTAAACGTCTATATATCCTAAATACAAAACACATACGCACGCACACACATATATGTATATAGCTTGGTGTCTTTTGAATACCTCTTTGTTGTTATCAAAAGTTCAATTGACTTTACAGTAGCTATTTGGTCAATCTTTCGTTAACTCTCAAAAATTACCGTTATTTGTTCAATTTGATTTTCAACCCATGAAAACTCGATCTCCTTCACCGTTCACTCCCTCCCCCTTTTTTCCCCTTCTATCTTTTCGGTTTAAAAATTTAATAGATTTAATCGAATATATGATATAATCTTCAATGGCTTTGGAGTAAATCACAGAGGGTTAATCAATAAATAATACCAACAAGAATTAGAAGAAAAAGTATCAATAGTGCTTTTGAGAAATAATATATTTTATTAGAAAATAAGTGAATCTAACTGTATTTACTTTATATATAAAAATTCAATTCTTACGCACCTTGTTTGAATGGAATAAGACTATGTAAAATAAAAGACTTGATTGTGTGTGTATGTGTGTGTGCAAGTATGTATGTACCTTGCACCTGAGTAAATTTCTTAAAGGGGTACTCAAGTAATTACAATTATTTTTTATCTTAATCCTGGGAATTTGAAACATCGCGCGTAGTTACTGGCCAATACCATTTGGAGGGAGGAAAACAGCAACATTAGGAGATTGAAATTGTTTAGAGGGAAGGAGAAAAAAAAAGCAGTAGTCTCAAAAACACAGTTTGTGACTATCCCAATGATATTCACTTAACAAACTTTGAGACTATGTCTCCCTATAAAAAAAAAGCAGTAGTTGGCAGTAGTTCACAGTAGAGGCCAATGACTCGATTCTAGACCCTATACAGTTCGAACAGAATTCCTAAAAATAAAGACCTTTCTAGTCACTTTTCTCCAATCAAGTACTTTGTTGTCAATATACACATTCTAAATTGCAAATGATTGGCTCAAGTCAACATTAAAAAAGAGAGATAGATAGATAGAGAGAGAACGCGTTCCAAAGTGTGTAGCCCAAAGGTTATAACTTCCGTTTTAAAAATACTTCCTTTAGTTCATCTACAGAGGGAGTGTTTTCAAAAAGCAGTTTAAATAGTTAAACGTTTCTTTTCTGCTTCTCTTGGGTCATAGCATAACAAGCTCTACACAGCTCGAGTGAAGAACAATAAAATTTGTATGTATTTATATCTTTATTTTCACATGAATATTTTATAGCAAAGTTTCTTTTTCTTCTTCTTTGCTCGTCTTCTTTATACTCCGACAATATAGGGCTGCGTCATTTCCCCACGAATGCACCTTATTCTGTTGTCTTTATTTTTTGACAACATTATCACTTTTGCTTTCAATAAATAAAAACTGCAAGGATCACAGGCCCTTCTTTTTTTTGCACTCCAAGAAGATGATACCAGCTTCCATGCTGGGTTTTCCTACACGATATGTTGAGAAATCCCCTTGGGAAATCAAGTGCTTTGACCAGTGGCCATATCAAAGTCCGGATCTGAATCCAATGGAGTCCGTTTATCATGCTCTAAAAGTCAATTTTCAAGATATCACACAAGGCCTACATCTTTCAAAAGTGGGGAGAGATACTTGATCTAAAAGTACTTTGTACTCTTGTATGTATAGCTGATAAAGTTAAAGCAGTAGTAAAAGCTCGTCGTAGCCCATGTCATATAGTATATTTTACTTTTTCTTATTTCATAAAACATATATATTTATATATAAGAAAAACAAAATCTTCGTCGTATTCAGTTGAGTTCTTTAAGAGATTTAGCATAAAGAATCTGACGCGTAGTTCTATCCAGGACTACTGGAAATCAAGATATCTGACGGTTATCTCTCTGCTGAGTGTATGTATAGCTTGCCACAATGCATAGCAATCATAACAGCAATACCAGCAGCAACACCAGCAGACACGGCAAAAAAGCATCAGTGCTAGTACCAAAGGCAATCCGAAAGGTGGCCGCAGAGCCATTAAAAAACAGGATTCTCACAAGACTTGTGGGATTGAGCGTCCCTGAAGTAAGAAATGCTGTTGTTGACCTTAAAGTCGGAACGACAAGGCTTATAAGTAAGTTATGTCTTTAAATAATAATATATAAACGATAAAGTATTAATCAATAATATCCCTATAGTGGCAGATCTCCCTAGGGGAGTAAAGAGAAAGCTATAAGAGGAAGGCATCCAAATTGAAGGGCCATACGGAGACGGTTCTTGTCCCGATGTGAATCACATTTTAAAGAAGCGGAAGATGTGAGAATAAAGTAAGCTGGAGCGTAAAGCGACGGCTTATTTATATAAAAGAAAAGCGAGAAGATGAGAAGCAAGAGGAGAAGCAGAAGTAATGGGAAAATAATATGAAAAGAATCAATAAAATGAATAAGAAGCAGAAGCAGACCCACGGCTACAGCTACAGCTGGTAACGTTTGCTCGGAATAGCAGTCATCGTCAGGAATTTTCCAGCCTAATCACCATATCCGTAGTCCGGAAATTGCTCTTCTAATTTAACAAGAAGAAGAAAACAATAATAAAAAAACAAAGGCAGAAAATAATAATAATAAAAATGTGGCTCATTCGAATGTCCTACATTAACAAGCCGTGTATTTATACGATGTGATAATTCCTTCCGTTTATAGTGTATTTTTATTAAAATCAGGAATTTTAGGATTTGTGTCAATTTTTTCATTTAAAACACCGATAACAAAAACCAGTATTAAATGTCCGCTAGTTTTTGAAAAAAAACTGAAATATTGAAACTTATACATAGGCACAGCATTTTATATTATAAATTATAAATTTTTATTTTTTTTATTTTTTTTAATCATGGATGCCAATGCTGCGGTGAGATTTACTGATTCTTGAGGTGAAGAAATTCACCTCAGCATCAGCATCCTTAGCATCCAAAAACTTGCTGTAAGTTTCAATATATCTCCAAGTCTTTTTATAAAATCTCCTGATCATGGAAGGAGAACCAGCCACAGGAGAGGCACTGTCCAAGAAAGACGGGAGATTCTTTTCTAACGACTTGAAAGAATAATCGCAGTTTAGGCGAGCCACACGTTTGGCTGCACCCCAGTAACGCTCGATCCAATTGCATTCACAATGGAACTTGGGGTACAGCTCAAATATGTGACCCGCCTCTTCCACCACCTCTTGAATAGCTGTCTTCTTTCCAGAAAAGTCGGGCTGAGAGGCCAAGAGGTGGCGGGCACAGCAACAGTGGTTCTCTGCTTCTTCTCCATTGCAGTCCATTCTCCATCTTCTAGAAAGATTGGATGGATCCAGTTCCATCCACAGTCCACGCTCCTGAAGGATCCGCTGGACGCCAACAAACTGTCTCTTCTCCACCGGCCCCTTTCCTTTCCTTCCAGCTTCAAAGACTGTCTCATAAAACGATTGAGGGATGATACGTCCATCCCTCAAAAACGTTGTATCTTTGAAAATGAACTTGTCATTTTCAGAAACGACCTTTGGCTTTAGAACCATGCGGGTGGCAACCAAGGCATCTGTGGCATATGCTTTGTGGTTGCTGCTTTGGTCGAAAATAAAGACACCGGTGCATCCCTCGTGCAAGCTTTCGAACAGAGGGATAGCATGGTTCTTCAGCTGGTCAAGCATGTCTTCGCTTGTCCAGTAACCGTCATATGCTGCCCCAACGTTAAATATTCTGCGGGAGACCCATCCCTTCACTCGCATAGTGCCATGACAAGCACACTGGAACTCGCTGACCATCAGAGATCTTCCCTGACCTTTTTTGCGGATGTGGCTTTCACCTTCCTCAAGCCACATGTCCACCTTTCCATCATGGGCATAAAAGGTGGACTCGTCATGGGTCACCATAACCAGCTTCTTCTGGTTCTCCAAAAGAAGAGGGGTCACTTCAATTTCTTCATCTTCCCCAGTAAAGTCTGACATACATTGTTTGTATCCCATCATTCGCGTTGCCCAAGCATGGCGATACTGAACAACGTCTTGTCTTTCGTGTCCATCGTAATATACGTCCTGGTTGTTCTTGCGGTGGACGTACCCCCAAGCTCTCATGCATTTCCATGCTATGCTGTGCTTATGGCCACGTTGCCTTTTACACCAAGGCATGATGGAAAAAGCATTTCATCGGGATACTTTTTCAAATCCACAACAGTTCGTCTTTCTGCTTTTTGAGCACGAAGCCAAACGATTGCTTTCTTTTTAAGGTCTTCATCGTCTACAATTGAAGACCGCTTGGCATGCTTGCCCTGTTGATGTTCAGAAATTTTGCCAAACTGAAGAAAATCTTTGGCCCAACCGCGGACAGCCTCTCCACGGTACTTGGAAGGTGTTGTCCAAAAAATCTCTGCTGCTTTTTCAGATGCCTCGATTTTCTTGCAATTGTTCAAGAGGCGTCGGAAATACTCTTTCACAACAATGTGTTTGCTTACTTCAAACAAAGCAAACTTGCCCAACTCGCTATCTGAACTGACTGGAGGCTTTATCATCTCAGAGATTTTCTCATAAGCTTCACGAATCTCTTCAAGTTCCTCATCTTTTGATTGCTTGTATACAGTTAATGCTTCTGTTACAGGCGAAACTGGTGCAACAGGAACCGAGAAACCGAAATCAGCAAGCGTTCTGACCTTCTTGTCTTTATTTGCCTCAAGCTCTTCTTTCATTTTTCTCTTGTTGCGCATAATCGATGATCTCGAGTCTCCTCTGTAGAGTCCACGCAAATTTTTTTCTGCGTCTGGTCTCCATGTCAGAAAGCTATTATAGTACGCAGCAATCATCGTATCCGTATCTAAATCCAAGAGCTCCCAGTCGTACTCTTCTACAGGTTGATCTTCAACAGGTTCCTTTTCTCCAGCTTCCTTTTCTGTATCAATAGTAATAATTGGAGACTTGGCGCAGAATTTTCCGCCCTCTCTTCGAGCCATTTTAGAAGTAAGGATAGAGCGAGCGTTTTTACGACCCATTTTTAAGAATTTGTTTTGGTAAAAGTAAAAGAAGTGTTTTCAGGGCAGTCTTGGTAGACAGCTGTCACATCCAAAAACGTGGTTTATACTCCGCATGTTACACGTAATTACTAATTTAGGATATATAATTCTCTACATCTGCCTTGAGATGCCATCAGAGATGTAGATTCAAGTCTCAATATTTCTCTTCCCCTGCTATTAAATTGGAACACCGCACTTTTTCAAAAGTCAAAAACTTTGTCGGAAATGTCACTACAAACAAGCTGCTTGCACAGTTCTTTTCAGAAACACTTTCTCCGTGTCCATGAGCGACGGTTTTTTTGTATTGACATTTCCGACAAAGTTTTTGCCTTTTGAAAAAAATATCGGAGTCCAATAATTCTTCCTGATTATAAGAAAAATACACTATAGCAGATCAACTTTGACCAGATCAAAAAATCTTGCATAACAATACAGCACTACAATAATACTTAATAAAGGTGTGAGAAAGAAAGAGATATTACTGAGCATATAAGATCCAATAAGAAAAGAAGATGATTTATTCCTTTATCTTATATAAGCTATTTACATAACGATCTGCGTGATTGTCATGAATAAACTTCACTAGCAGCGGCTGAGCCCATTCATAAAGCCTATTGTATCACTTTTATTTTCTTTAAAGAAGTTACACTTGTAAGTTCTTTTTTTAGAAATGCCGGTACTCAGACTGCACAAAAGGTACAAGTACAAGTACAAATGCGAGCACAAAAACGTATATTTATATTTATCTAAAAGATGTGTATCTTGTGTACAATATTCCTGGTTTCTTTTTTTCTACAGTGATTCCAAATATCAATGTTGCAGCCAATCAAAATCGATCTCACTTGAAAGTCAAAACCAATTTCGTATTTATTTTGCTCTTCTTTTCGGGACCCTCGGCGCCAGTACATTTATAACCTCTTTAGCCCAGCCACATCAAGGTTGTGCCAAAATATAAAATAAAGAAAATTGTCCTACAACAAAGTCAAAAATAAATAAATTGTATTATTTCAACCCAACCAACAAAAAAAACCACTCAAGTTGCTATCCCTTCTTTTTTTTGTTGGACATAATGAAAATAGCAGGATCGAAAAAAAATAAATAACACCAGTAAAGAAGTACATTTTTTTTGTACAACTTTGGATCAGCAAAAATATTTATTACCCTGCTTTGACTTACTTTGTAGTTAAAGTCTAACAAGTATATATAATACTATAGAACGTCTTGTCAAAAAAAAAACAAGAGGTTTATTAGTGATTTTTGACTTTGTCAGGATATTTTTTTTAAAAAAAAAATTCTCATTTTCGCTTTTCGCCTTTTGCTTTTTATTTTCAGTCAATATAAAGATATATATTACTTCTACTACTACCACTGAATTTGGATATTGTAAGCGTAAGCCATAAAGACTATTTATACAAGATGGTATAAAGTAAAGTAAAGTAAAAAAAAAAAGGATAAAAGGATAAAGTGAAATGTTGAAAAATATGAGTACTACCTTGACTATTCCTCTTTCTGTCATGATATTCAGGGCCATATAAATCTGGCACACTTTTGAATATCATTTTTTTTTTAGAAATACATATACACCCACACCAATACTACAAAATACTACCTTTTTGAGTGTAGTATTGGGGTGCTTCAATTGAGGCTCTATTTTCTTATGTACTCCGCCACAATCCTTTTTTTCTCTCTGTACTATTTTCCATTATTTCTACAGAGTGGAAGCACAAAGTTTCGTAGGGATTTGATTTGATTTGAATTGAATTGATTTGAATTGATTTGATTTGTTATCTTATTTTTTATATATATATTCAAAAAAATAAATATAAAATAAATTCTGATAAATTGCTCCATTTCTCCCCATCTCCACACACTCGGTTCTCCCTCTCCTCCTCTTCTTCCTTCTCCTTTGTACTCTATTTTCCTTCTTCAATGGCTCAGAGCACCGGAAACTATGGTGGACCTGGCTTTGGAGCTGTAGGAAAGCGTCAAAAGAAGCATCTGTCCCCATCTAGCAACATTGAATATAACGACGAATTCAATGAAAATGATCCAGAAGCCAATTTCATCACTTCCGAAGGTGGAAGTATTGAGATCGGCAGTCATATAACCCACCGCAGTCTCAGCAGAAGCTCCCAGAAGCCTCCCAGCACCCGATCAAGCAATAAAGCCGGCTCTGGCTCAAACCACACCCGTACCAACAGCCAGCAGCACGGCCACCATATTCTGCACGGTCACCATGGTCACCACAACATTTTTGATCAAGTTACTGCTCCTACTCACGACCCTGCAGGCCGGCCCCTCCGTCGGCACGGTACCGAAACATTTGGTGATGTTTTGCTTCATCCTTTAAAGGAACTCGAGCTTCACCGCAAGCGCGTCGAGGAATTCGATGCCGAGAAAAAAGAGTTTCAAACCACACACCCTGAATTACTCGATCCTAAAGCTGACACCAAACCTGAAATGTAAGTTACTTACTTTTTCTTCTTCAATCTTTATTTCATCATTGTAAATAGATCTTATTAGTATAACTACCATAGATATTATTAGTGGAATTTTCTTCTATTTATTTCTTTTGGTGGTGAGATCGACAAGACTAAACAATTTATATATATATATATTTACAACTATGGCTATCTTAGAAAGCCTGTGATCAGAATCAGTAAGTACTCTTTTTTTTAATAAAAAAAACTGCTTTAATTAATTATACTACTGGAAGTATTAGAAATCAAACGTATGTATTGATCATTATTTTTTATAGTTGTCCATTTCATTCACTTGGTTGGTGATCAGGACCTTCTTATGTCATCACATCTCATTGAACAATTAAGAGAGCCTGTAAGTAATATATATAAAAAATATTACAACACTTTATATAATTCAAACTAAATCATTTGTGTGTGTATGGGGTTTATTTCGAATGTTGAAAATAGCTTTCTCTTACTGACATCGAGATAACCAGACTACGAAAGATTGACGATACAGACGGTCTTATTGAATTCTTCCACAAGACAAAACGTGACTATTCCTTAAAGATCCACAAGACAGTTAACATACGTACTGAGCTGAGAGAAGCGGCCGCTGAGTTCAAGAAGAGTAAGTCGTACATCCTCTTTTTATTCTATTCTAGTGTCCCATGTCTTGTTGGAATTGATTCCCAAAGCCACACTTTCACATTCATACTTGCACATTTGCACGCACACGCACACGCACACGCACACGCACACGCACACGCACACCTACACCTACACCTACACCTACACCTATATAGAGCTATAGTTATAATCATAGTCATATCACTCACATTTCACACTCATATCACACCCTATAAACAGACAAACGTAGTTCTTCCGACTCTGACGATTCCATACCCCGCCGTAGAGAAATAGTTGGAACCGATACACAAGAAACTCGGGAACAAGTAGATCCTGCTATAGTGCTAGTATCACCTCCAGCAACCGAGTCTCCAAAACAGGAGCAATCCGAAAAACTCCAAGTACCCGAAAATAATGGAGTGACGACCAAGCACGTGGAGGAGCCAGAGAAATTGAGTGAAAAGCCAAGGACTGAAACTCACCCCTTGTCCCATCTGTCTGGAACTGTTATCCGACTAAACGAAAATGTTTACTTGGAAATCAAGTCATATAAACCAAAAGACGAAGAAGAAGGCAGAGAAAGTGGGGCAGGACGTCGCCCGATTTTTGTGTAAGAAACCTTAAAATTATAAATATGTACATATATAGAAAAAGAGATATATAGATAAACAAATATTAACTAACATTATATTGTAGTCTTCCTGATGCAGATCTTTCTGATGATACTGAAGAAGAAACAAAGGCTACATGGGTGGAGTTGTTTGGTGATGTGTTTTATGTCGGTTGGCTCACGTATGTCTCTCTCTCGTCCTCATATACATATGTATAATCAGTAAATGTCTAACGCTGTGTTGTTTGTAGAACCTTTACTCATGCAAACCATATCACTGGTCAAGAACAATTGGGAATCTACGCAGCCTGGTTTGTTGTAATGTGGTGGACATGGTGTTCAAGTGCATTGTAAGTATCTAAGCATAGATACAAGCCATCATTACACTTGTATTGACTTTTTCTTTCTTTCTTTCTTTCTTTCAGGTATTCTTCTCGTTATGACTCTGGTGGTAAGACACTAAAGTATATATATATATATATATATATTGTTCATATTATTCGTATTTATTTCTTCATGTACTAAAATTTGATATCTAGATGTTATGCACCACATCTATAAGGTCATAGAGCTGTGTGGTTTGGGTAAGTTTTTCATTATATTTCTCTCACTCTCTCTACGAGTGAACGTGAGTGTGAGTGTAAGCTTGAATCTAAACAATCATTCATAAACACGTATAGTTGGCATGGCTGCATCTAGTAATGGTTTCTGGCAAGATAGTCCAAAGGGTTTCATTATTGGCTATATGGGTAAGTTTTCATTCATTCCTATATATATATATATATCTTTTATTACTGAAAACACATGTACACACATCTTAATGTCTAAATAATCCATGTTCTTGCTTTTCTTTTAGTCATGAAGGCAGTTTTGTTGATCGAATACGGCGTTGTACTTATTGCTGCTATTATTTCTGGCTCGTTTGCTCGCAAAACTCTGGCTGCTTATGTAGCAATTAATGCAATTTCAATTATTATGTGGGGTTGCTCTCTCTTGTTCCCCACAAACCAGACCGCTCGTTACTTGCTTTGGTATATCAGTATCGGCGCAGAATTTATTGTAAACGTAGCCTTGAAGAAGAACAAGCAAACCTCTTTGGCTGCTAGTCATCTTGCTGAAAGATTCGGTCTTTTTACTCTTATCATTCTTGGTGAGAATTGTATGGGATTTATTACGATGGTCTCAGATGCCGAAGCCCACGTTCCAGTCGTGTAAGTTTATATATATATACATATTTGGAATCATGTTTTATTTATTTTATTTTATTTTATAGTGTTTCTATCATGTTTGGTTTGATCATCATCTTCAACTTCTTCTTCATGTACTTTGATGATTTTAATACTGAGGTATGTTATCTGTGTTAACCTACATACTTTATACTTTTAAACGGCAGAAGCTAATATATATATGTATTTATTATCAAGATTCTCAACGAAATTGAAGTGAGTCAAATATGGGTATGGCTCCATTTCCCTCTCCACCTATGCCAAGTCGCTTTTGGTATCGCATTGATTGATGTTATCACAATCTTCCGTCTTGGATGGGATGACGGAGAAGCCGGTGCCGAGCTGATGCGTGAGGCCTGTCATGAAGTCGAGGCTGAATTGCATTTACCAGCCGCAACAACAGCAACATCAGAGGCCGCCGGTCACTCTCTTATTACTGCACTGCGAGTTGCCTCTGGAGCAGGTGGAGAAACCGAGGCGTGTGAAGAGATTCCAGATACTAGATTTGTATTTCAAGCATTCTGGATCTCTGCTGGACTTATTCTGTGTATCAATGCTTTGATCAAGTTGGTTAATACTAGAGTTGACGGTAAGAAAATCAATAACACACACACACACATACTTGTAAAATCATAACAAAATCTCACTCTACTACTCTTAATCTTATAGCAAAATGGTCTCGCATTATCTGTGCTTCTCGTATATTGAACGCAGTTTTGTTCTTTGGTCTTTCTGCTGCAACCTATGATAATCTTACTGGTATCTCTATGCTTGCCATTATGATGTCCTGCATGCTTCTCCAATGTAAGTTTTTTCTTTAAAAAAAAAGTGCCTATGAATATACACCTTTATATTTCTATACTAACATTGAACAATTGATTTAATATTCTTTTTATTTAGCTGCAATTGATCTTACAGATTAATGGTTACCTTTTTTTTAAAAAAAAACAGGCGGGCAGAGAGGGGAAGGAGAGATTATATTGGAGAGAAACGGTTTCAAGTACATTTTATTCTTATCCCTATTCTTTTATATACCTCTTCTAAAGTACATACACAAAACATAACACACATACAAACACATACCCTCTTTTTGTCTACCCAATTTACACAATATCTCTTTATTTTTATTTTTACTTCTATTACCCTATTTTATATCTATATACAAAAAATAACTATCTACTTTATATTTCAAAGCTAATTCTACTTGGTATACCTTTTTCTTTGTTTTATTTTATTTTATTTATCTTTCTTATACAATATGTAATTAATAAATAATGTATTTGTATATTTATAAGCAAAAAATAAATAAATACACAAAATACTTCATTAGACCATTCTACTCTACATCTACACTCCGTCTACACACACAGCTGTTATATACATGTATGTGTATATTTCTTTCTTTGAATAGTGGGTTGCTTTAAAGTTGTACATCTTATTGTCCAATAGATCGGGTGTGCCAGTCCATAAGAGTCTCAAATACGGTCATACTTATGGTAGTCATTGGAATCATTGTAGCAATTCTTGCGAACAATCCTCGTGTGAATGCTCGCCACTTGCCTTCCTTGTGCCACATCTGATACGCAATTGCAAGCGGTCCACTGCGCGAATTTACTACAACGTCCTTATTTTCATCATCTGACTCTGACCCTGATTCTGATACAACTGATACCATCCCTGACTCTGACTGTGGTCCCGGCTCTTGATTTGACTCTGCCCCTGCTGACACTTGCCAACGTGTCTTGATAATATCAAGAGGTGTAGACACCACTGTGGCCACTGTACCTGCAAAAGTAGAGCAGATCATGTAAATCACAAATGACTCTTCTCCAGCTACTGCCTTGAGCTTCTCATAGACTACAAAATAAGTCATCGTGTGTGGAACAAAGACAAGTAGGCTCATCCAGTAGCCTCGATAGAACCCCCGTAGACCTTTGGTTTTCCAGATATAAAATACCAACTCAAATGTCGAGCTGCTACTGGTGCTGTTACTGATGTTGATGTTGATGTTGTTTGATTGAATGTGATTGTAATCATTATCATGGTACTCATTCTGGAGACAGCTCTTGAGAACTTCCATGGGCGTAAAGAATACACCAGATACTACTTCTGCAAAACAACCCGAGACAAGTGGGTTTATTATTCCGCCCTGACTAATCCATTCTGGTCCATTGATGTCGAGCCAGGTCTTGGCAGCAGCGTAACAAGAGAGATAGATCGAAAGAGCCGGGACAGAGAGAAGGAGAGTGACAAAGAGACCATGGTATAGAGAAGCGAGCGAGCTGTGGGTGATGAGATATATGGATCGCGATGCCTGATTAAGGATTGTCTCATTTGAATATTCGCCATTCAGCAACGGAAGATGTTCTACTTGAAGTCTTGTCTTGATTGTATCAACTTTTTTTTTTTTGGATTTTTATTAATTTTTATTTCAATTTTGACAAGGTTCATTAATATAGTTTATTCGTTATTTGTTGTTGTTGTTGTTGATGTCTTTTTCTTCCTCTTCTTCAAACTCGATTTGCCAGCGACAGTCCAAGAACTTACTCGGATAAGTTACTGTCCTGGCAATAAGAGCAGCAACGCTCGATGCAAATAGATAATAGCCGTCTATACTCATGTATATATCAAATTATAATTAAAAAGAAAGAAATAATTAAAAAAGAAAGGTACCAAAGAATTTATTTAACAGATAAATAAATAAAAATTATAAAGTCTAATCTTCAAATTCATTCACTACCCCTTTCTTTTTCTTTTTCCCTTGCTTCCATCCGTTCTCTGTCCTTTTTTTAAAAAATTATTTTAAAAAAGCGAAATTGTGACTCGGTTTTCAACGGTTGCCAAGTTTGGGTCATATCTATTCTGGCTTTCGCAGTTAACTTTTTTTTTTTTGGTCTTTGCAACACGTCCATCGATCTTGTACGCAATGCCAAAAGTCAGAACAACACGAACAAAGCGACCTCCTCAGGGTTTTGATGAAATTGAGCCAACTCTAGATGAGTTTGCCAAAAAGATGAAAGAAGGTATATAAATATAATTGAATATACCTTGACATTATTTTATATATATGTGTGTGTGCGTGTGTGTATTAATTTAAATATCTTTCTTTCTTTTATATAGTTGAGAATGAGCCTCATGAGGGTAAACGTATTGTAGAAAGCTCCTGGCCAATCTTCCGCATTCATCATCAACGTACACGATATATTTTCGATCTTTACCACAAGCGAAAGGCAATCTCGCGAGAACTATATGATTATTTATTAAAATACAAATATGCCGATGCTAATCTAATCGCAAAATGGAAAAAGGTAATGTATTGGTATATAGTATATACATGGCTATATATGCGTGTGTTTCTGTGTGTGTATGTTTTTATAAAACTCATTCTACATCATTTACCTTACTTATTCTTTCTTTTTCTTACTATATTTATATATAGCCTGGATTCGAGAAATTGTGCTGTCTTCGATGTGTTCAGCCAAGAGACACCAACTTTGGAACAACTTGTGTTTGCCGTGTACCTAAAGAGAAGCTAGAAGAAGGAAAGACAATCGAGTGTGTTCATTGTGGATGCAGAGGTTGTGCAAGTGGAGATTAAAACAAGAAATATATAAAATGAAACAAAACAAACAAAAAGCAAAAAGCAAAACGGTAATATTGTAAGGCTGTGAAAGAAGTGGACAGAAAGATATATATATATATATGTGGGCAAATATAAGGCTGTATGTGACGTATTTAAACAAAAGCAAAAAGAAGAAGAAATGACCGAAAACCTTTCTTTCTTTCTTTCTTTATTGTTCCAATGTTTCAATGCTATAACTTTTGGTTGATCTCTTGTCAAGATATGTAAACTCACCTATGCACATGAAGAATGAAGGACAAAAAGAGAGAGAGAGAGAGATTAAAAGCCAATTAAAGTTAGATAACAGAAAGAAAAAGATACATTATAGAAAAAAAAACAATAAAAAATTGATATTTCAATGATTTTCTACCTTTTTTTTTGTTCTTTTCTGTGTGTATTTTTGTATCTTTTTTTTTGGTATTTAAGACTGCGGTTTATGTATATATTGTATTATAAATTATTCCAAAGTCTTTTTCATTGTGAAAGATTGAAAAATGACAAATACTATTATTTATTTATTTTATATATAAAAAAAGATTCCAATTATGCTGTTAATATTGTTCTAGCCTTTTTATCTGTTGATCCAACAGTTTCAGAAATACGTTTGTCTATCAGTAAACTGGCATTAGAAGTTAATATTAGCGGGGGAAAGTTTCTTTTTCTTTTCTTTTTTTGGTATTGTATTTTGTCTCCTTTTTATTATTTATTTTTATATACGTATATACATTTTTACTATCAATTTAATTTAATTTGATTCAATAAATGAATGAACTTGGTATTCTTATTCTGATTCTTATTGACCCTACAGGTAACTACGATAAAAGCTACTCATCTCCAAAGAGGTACGGAATGAATGTGCGTATAATACCTGAACATTAGCAAAATCAATGCACGTATTATGAATATCCTTTACTACAACCAGAACAAGAAACGTGTATAATATCAGACAATAATCATCACAAAATAATAGCAATACTAACCATCTCTCTTCTTTCTTTCTGTCTTTTTGTTTTTGCTTTTTTAAGCTTCATTATCACAGTTGTATTATCAGTAATTAATCAGTATTTTATTTCGAGAACAAATCTCTCAATTAGGTCTAACAATATTATTATTCTGTTTCAGAAAAATAAATGAATATAAAAAGTCTGTCAATATTCTTATGTATATATAAACCTCTTCTTTCAAGTTTTCATTTTATCTTTCTTTTCTTCTTTTTTTTTATTCAAAATATGGATGCCAATTCAAAAGAGCAGACCGATGGCGAGCATAATCAAGAGCACGCGAATACAAATAGCTCCACAAGTACGAGCGATGACGAAGAATTTCAAACCGAAATAAAGCACAGGCACCGGTTCTCGACTTCTGAGCTCGAGTTGCTCGAAGAACTCTATCGAAGACACCCTCGGCCATCTTCAAGCGAAAAAAAGGCGATGGCCGCAAAACTGGACACCACTCCAGGTCGAGTCCAGGTGTGGTTGCAGAACAGGCGTGCAAAAGAAAGAAAGGCACAGTCCTCGCAAGAACATGGGCGGTCCCCTAAGCGTGATTCTGGATATCCACACGTCTTGCCAGTCAGAACCACACTGGCTACAAATGATCCAGATCTATTGTATTCCAATACCAGCACTGTTCCCCTCAGTCATCAAAGTCCTACAGTAACAGTCGACAGTTCTAAACACACCGCTACTGCTACCACTGCCACTGCCACTGCCACAACTGTTTCTGCTACAGCTAGTGGCAGAATTACTACTAGTGATAGTGGTAGTAGTATGTCAATGTCTGACCGCGAAGCTTTCTTCATTAACTCCAGATCTAGCCACAATAATCACAACCTTCACAACCTTCACAATCACCACAATTACCGTAACCACCAACATCACCACCACCACCATCACCACCCAAGCCAAAATATCAACCCCAATCTAAATCCAAATACAAATCCAAATCCAAACCAATACTCTAGCGAAACTTTTCCAGCTTACCAACATTTTATGGACAGTTCAGGTAGTCACCCGCCTATTTTTACTTCACATAGACCAGATATTGGAATTGTCACAAGTATGCACCCTTCTGTATTTCGACAGCAAGGTCAAATGTGGCCGTTCCCGACACTGCACCCACACGAACACAATGGTCCCGGATTGATTAGCAGCTACCCGAGCTCTCACCAAATCAATGAGAGTGTACAGGAAGCACGAAATACACATAGCCATGATCAGGCATCCGACAAAGGGAAAAACTCCATTTGTTGAACCAGAAGGTATGTGCTTGTAATTTTAACCTTTAATAACAGAGTCTCCTTTTTCTTCTATTCTTCGTATATTTAATATTTGTGTATCTACATCTCTGTATATCCACTCTGTATCTGTTTGTGTCTGTGTCTCTGCCAATGTCTATATCTATATCTGTCTCTGCATTTAGGTTAAGAAAAAATAACTGTAGCAACTATGCAATACTCATGTCTTTATACATTAACAAGCATATTTAATAAATGAACGAATGAATAAATAAAATACATTTTGTGAAAGTAGCGTCCTCACCTTAATAATATTCTTACCGATTATTGATTTATTATTTTTCTTTTTATTCACTTGGTTACCCACCAAATCAAATGAAATAAAAAAGAATCAAAATGAAATAAACCTCTTTCACCTTTAGATTTATGCAAAAAAATCATATCTTTCAATTGTTCTCTAATTGACTTGCACATTTCGTTTAAAGCATAAATATCAGCATAAAAATAAGAGCCTATCATTATCTTGAGCAAATAATAATAATAATAATTTTGAGCCTACAGTTCAAGTGGATTTCATAATCACTTTGGAAATAATATATGAATATTTCTTTTAACAGTAAAACACGTTTTCTTCTTTGAACCAAGACTTTTGTACACAAACACACAGACAAACATGCACTTCTTGATCCTTCTACTATATTTATATACTATGTTCTGTTTCATTCTTAATGGGAAAACTAGACTCTGGTTTTTGCTCTTTGTACATATCAAGATCAAATTTATCTGGATTTGGAGTATCGCATAATCCTTGCGAGTCAGCAGAGGTAGTGGTTACTATGGATAATGTTGGAGATGTCTCTAAATAAACAAACCCAGCAAAGAAGGGACGTTTTTTTTTCTCATGTTAGAATGTAATTTCTCCTTCTTATTTTTCTTCCTTTCTTACCTCTGGTTATAGGTGATTCGTTAATATTTTCAATATTTTCGTCAAAGGTAGGGAATATATTTGTGTGCTGGCTAACAAACGTAGTGATATCTTTTGCTAGATTTGATCGCATAGACTGAAGGATTTCTCCTGCTTTTGGGTTACGAAGTGCCAAAAATAGTGGTTTTGTTGATCTGAAAGAATGATATTTATATCAGTTAATTTGTGTATATATGTATGTATTTTGCAATCATTCGAGTCTCATTTACTTGTATAGATCACGGCCGGCATCACCAAGGCGCAAGAACCCGTACTGGAGTATGAGTTGTAAGGCAAACAGATTGGAAATTTTGAGGATCTTTGCTTTTGGTGACAAGAAAATTCTATTCTTTGCAAAATAAAAAACGTAGATTCCAGCATACAGAAGATAAAGGGACGGGACCGCGAATGCTGCTACCAGTACCTTCCAGGTAGCCAAGACATCCTTTGCAGCCACTTTTACCATGGATCCAGCCAAGGCCTCTAAAAACAATTTACATATACAAGTAAATTAGTAAGAATTCCATTTAACAACTATAAATCAATAATGCATATATAGATATATAGATACACCACTTTAACTAGACGCTTCTTTACCTCTTTGCTTCATTTTGCTGATATACTGAGTGATCCACATTAGTGGTAGATTGGCAATATATCTACACAACATAAACAAATAAGTAAATAATGCAAGTAAGCTTCTTTATCACTAAAAACAAAGTATCAATCAAAGTCCCATATATGGATTTACTCATCCATTTACTTATTTATTTAAATTAATCAATCAATCAACCAACTAAAAAAAAAAAAAGAAAAAAAAAGAAAAAGGAATTACTTACGCAGGCGCACACACACCAGAAACCACAAGGAGTTTTGTCAGTCGTTGGACAAGTAGTCTAGCTGCTGTCATTTGAGGTATATTAAGCTTTTCAACTTGATGGTCTTTTATATCAAAAAAGGAGAGGGTTTCGTTGTATAGCTTTACTCTCCGTGACAATGCTTGAAGTTGGGGGTCGCTTCTTAGCTGGTTCCATCCCTTTGCAAAATCGCGGTTGTGCTGAACGATTTGCTCGATAGAGAGTGGAGTATGGTGGTCAGATTCACGTAGACGGCATGCAGCTCTAATAATCTAAAGAAAAGATATATAAAATGAATATGAATATAAGTATTTGCGCGCGCGTGTATATATACAAGGTGGTTTAAAAGCGAATATTCTGTCATTATATGTATGCTGTTACTTACACAAAGTGTGTCGTCGTCGGGAGCACTGATTGTTACTCCCTTGAAGGCTTCGTCGCTTTGATCCAATAGACGCATTACAGCCTCATGTTTATCCCTTCCACCCCGTTTAAACATCTCTGCATCTTCATGACTGACAGAAATCGGCTGGCCATAAGAAACAACAGCCCTGGATCGGAACTGGTCGGGATGAAAGTAGTTCAAACCTACACACAAGTTTATCTGTCAGTCAATCTTCAATTATCACCACTCCCCCCCCCCCCCCCCCCCCCCTATCCTTCCCCTTCTCCACCCCTTACTTCTCCCCCTCTTTCCCTCCCTCCTTCTTTTCTCATTATATTGTTTTCTATTTTATATATGATTTTTGACGTCCTTATACAATTATACATAGAGATAAAGATGTATAAATACTCTAAAAGTATCTTGTGCTGTAATCTTATCTATATATGTTTGTTTGTTTTTTTTGTGTATATGTATACTCTATTTCCTCTTATCTTCTTCTTATTTAATGATAAGAAAGAGACATTAATAAATGACATACCAACCGGGATAATCTTGAGATCAAGCGAAGGGTTCTCAGCCACAGCTCCTAATGCCATTACAGCAAAACCAGCTTAAACAGTAGACGATAATTAGTAGTTAGTTATTAGCATTAATATTTTACTATATTTTACTTTGCATGAATACAACACAGAATTATCTTTTAGATTTAACCATGTGTATGTATAGATAAGGAACAACATCAACATCAACATCAAAATCAACACAAAAGACGCAAAAATAAATAAAGACAAAAGAAAGACAAACCTTTTAATGGTAACATTTCAGTACGATCATGACTACCGCCTTCAGGAAATATGACTATGCATTGGTTGTTGTCTAGGTAATTGTGGACTTCTTCATACACTGGTGTCTGATCCACATGCGGTGCAATTTTGAATACACAGGGAACATTAGACTTGCACCCTGCCAAGGCATCTTCCCTGGTGTCGAGTGTGTACGCAATTTCCATCTCGGTGTCCGACACAACCTTTATCACCTGTAACTTGCATCCAACAAACACAACAGTATCACGGGGCATCAGCTCCTGCGTAAACATAGTACCAACACCTCTGACTCGGTAAGGATCCATTGGATCATAGAGTACATGTCCAGTTCCACTCTTCATGATATCCTGAGGTCTAACCACAGGAACTAAGATAATACAAAATACATAATATGATTGTAATTATTATATAATTAACATTAACATTAACATTACGGTATATATATATACATGTGTGTGTGTGATATTAAAATTAGATTAAATTATAACTATGGAGAATATTATATCATATAACATATATATACATTTTCTATGATGAAAGGAGAATAGAAATGGGAACAAGAATTCAATAAGACACTTACTTGCTCGAAGTACTTGCCCTATGTGTCCAATAACAGGCTTTTTATAGGAAACAGCAGCCATTACAGAGTAGGTTCTACGAACAGTGTAGCTGTAGAATACCATACCGTCAACAAATTGGTTGGAATGAGGTCCGACAATGAAGATGCATGGCCCATTGGCAGGTACTTGATCTACACCACTGGTCTTAATTTCGCGAAAGAACACATGGAGAATCACTCTGAATCCAACTTTGACAATTCCTTGTGTAATTGCATCGATGCACAATTGACCCGTCATTTTCGGGTTTAAATGAGTACAATAATATATATAAAGACTAGGAGAAAGAAGAAGAAGGAGAAAGAAGAGGGTGAACAAGTAAAAAAGAAGAAGAGGAGGAAGAAGAAGTTGTAGGCGAGCTTTCTTTATTTTCTCTCTCTTTTTCTTTCTTTCTTTCCCTTTAATTTTTTTTTGAGTGTGAGTAAAAGAAGAAGAAGAAGGTGAGTTAAGACTGTTTAAATATATTATAAGAAATGGTTACCATGACGATATAAAATTAGTTTTAAAGAATATTTATATACATGTGTATATATTATCAAAAGACTTCCTTTCTCCTTTGTGTAGCATTTATGATTGTAGTAATGATTCCTTCTTACACACACAAAAGCTTGCTTTAAACAAAGTCTCCCTTTCTAGTGTAATTGGACATCTATTCTAACTTCTTTGATAATTAAAATATATATTTTACACTGAACCAGCCGGTCATTAGAATGAGGCAAAGAAGAAGAAAAGAAGAAAAGCATTTGATATTGAAACCCTAATTTGAACAAAATAAAGCAAATAGGCAAGTGTATACTTTTACCTACCTATAATCTTCATATGCCTGTATATATATTGCCAAGACACCAACTTGTCTTTTGTGTTTTAGACAGTTAGATCCACACACACACACACACACACCTTCAGAGAAATAATATTGTTTCCTTACATTACCTTGATATTTTTTGGTATTTCACCTCAATTACAGAGCCTTTTTTTAAACGCCTTATAATTTATATATACCTATAGGATAGATAGATCAATCGATTAAAGAAGTGCAGTTGTCCTTACAAGTAATTACTATCAATTTCTTTTTAGGTAAACCTACATAATTTAAACTGAGGTTTTATCGGAGAACCACCCCACATTTTGTGTGCTTGTGTGCCTGTGTGCCTGTGTGCGTACAGAGTGGGAATATGACTTTCTTCTTTTCTTTTTCTTTATTTCTTTAGTCATCTTATATATGCTCCCAACATCGTTGAGTATTTTTACTCTTAATATTTTTCTTCTTATTTGGACGATATCATTAAAAGTATATCAAACTTTATCACACACAACATGTAGCTAATCTCCCCCCCCCCCCCCCCTTAGGTTATATACAGTGTAAATTAGAGAAGAGCATTTTGTTTATTTAATTATATATATATGTCTTTTCTAGCCAGGTTGCCTAGACAACACTAGCAATTATTCTTCTTTTTTTTAGACAAATTTACTTATATATATATATACATCTTATTTATTGAATTATGAAAGACTTTTCAATTTATTTTGAAAATGCATGCTCATAAATTATTTGAGTATTAAGCTGTCATTAATATGTATATAATGTAGTATAGTACTCCAAAAGCTTCTAAAAGCTTATGAGAGAGAAAGTGTCTGAGGGATTCTACACACTCTGATGGGCTTTTAACTGTACTACTTTTCTCCTCTTATTTACAAACTATAGTAGATATAATATCGTAAAGGACTTTGACAAAGGAAGCCGTCCATCTTTGTTATAAATTCACCGTTTCGATTAACAAGCATTGAAACTAAAGAACTCAAGATTGTTCATATAAATGAAGTATATCTAAGCGAAATGAGAAACGGAGAAAAAAAACCCCCTTTGAAACCATCTGGAGCTGCCTATAGCTGTCTAAAGCTACCGGAATCAATTATCAAACTACGCAAAAAAAAATTAATAAATTTGAAAACAGAATACACTCAAAAATCTAGAAAATAAATTCTAAAAAAAAAAACAAGTCTTCATAAATCCATCAAAGGTTGAAACTCTTTATTTTTTGTTTTGTTTTTTTTTATATTTCATACCGAAGCTACATTAAGAAACACCTCGGGTTACCAACACAGAAACTATCAAAGAAACAAATGCGCCTAGCCGTGTGCTAGTAGATTTTCTCTTTTCTTTTTACATTGTGACATAAATGCTCTCCATCAAGAAAAACCATTTTCCCTCCGGTGAAAAATCAAATAAATATCTTGGACCTCCCTCATTCGACGATTGGCATCATCATCAGGAATTGACAAAGCAACTGGAACAACCGACCCCTAAAAAGCCTACGCCAGAAAAACTCAAAGACACTACGCGTCACCGATAAACACTAGCCTTTGTTCAAATGTGCGGCGAAATCTATTTGGCCGAGATGAGGATAAAAGAGGGGGTTATGGGGTATCACCAAATTAGCTTGGCACATCTCGGTGGAATTGCTTGTCAAGAGAGCCGGTTATCAGCTATATTCGCGCAGACAACTTTGCTTCTTACATCCCAGTTGCCAGGTCAAAATTGGAATCCAAACAGATGAAAAACAGACTGCGTTGGGAAAGAGCCAGAGCCGATATGGCAGTTGAAGACTGGAGAAGAGTAATCTGGTCAGATGAGTCCAGGTTCATGGTGAAAGGCAATGATTCTGACGCATCCGTAATTCGTAAGACTAGAGAGCGTCTCCAGCAAAGGCATATAGTTCCTACAGTGAGGTTTGGAAAAAGTTAAGTAATGGTATGGAGGTGTTTCTGGCCAGGAGGATTTGGATCTCTCGTGGCTCTTGAAGGCTCAGTCGACCAAGACGTATATGTCGACTGTTTATCCAACGACTTCAATCCAGGGTATCAAAACTTAAATGGAGAACAGGATATAGTCTTCACCTTCCAAGAAGATGGTGCTAGCTGTCATACTGGCTCATATACAACATGGTGGAAGAATCGTTGGCAGATCAAACGATTTGACTACTAGCCTTCCTAAAGTCCTGATTTGAACCCAATTGAACATGTATTGAAGGCCATAAAAGACCGAATTACAAAGCAAAAGGCTTATATTAACAATACTAAAGATATCAAGGTCTGCATCGCAAAGGAATGTGAACAGATGGACCCAAAGTTTGGGGCTGGTTTTGTTGCCAGGATGTCTGATAGAATTAAGGCTGTAATTGATGCTCGTGGTGGAAACACCAGATATTAAACTTAAATTTTCTTTTCTTTTTTATAAAATATATGCTATGCTTTATTGGAATATGACACTCTAAACCTTTACAATGAACAATCCAAACTTTGTTTGTTAAAGAATAGCATATATATATGATTTGTGTTAGAAATGCTATGATTTTTCAAGACCTTTTTTCTTCGTATGAGTGGTATATACATAATGAATTTCTATACTACTGGTATAGCAAGCTGATCCATAGGCCTGTTTAAATGTCTACTTTTTTTTTGGTTTATCTTTTCACACAATTTTTGGTTTGTTCTGTAAGCACTGAATTGAACCATTACTTATATAAACTCAATACATTTTTAATAAGATCATTAGTCTCTGACCCATACCTACATTCATACTAATGGACTTGACAGATATATATATATATATAATTTCTAAATTCTGTAAGCAATTGACCTTTTTCTTTTGTTTTATGGATACATACAAACGTATTGCATATATATATTGTACGAGACTAAAGAAGCTAATATAGTCAATTTACCTACAGAAAGAGATAAAGAGATCCAGAATAAGAAAATGAAATACAAATCAAAGACCCATAAATAATATACTAATAAATGTTAATAGTAAAAATGATCTGTACATAAATCTTCTATTCTAGATAATATTTGCACACACACAAAAAGGCACCCAATATTGATAATAACACATTAAGATTTTATTTTTATTAAATTGATTATTATGTTATATCTGTATTTACTTATATATTTATATATATATATACAATAAATAAAAGAAGAAATACAATATTCTATATACACATATTCTATGTCTTTCTATCTTTTTATATGTACACATTTATATGTATATATATATATATATATATTTAATTATTTGATTAATTAATTACACTATGTTCTATTTTAGGCCAAAGCTAAAAGAGACAATAGAGCAATCATCAATGTAATACCGATCTGGATCTGCAAATTACTAACGCCTGCACTGTCTTGCTTAGCCATTACGACGGATGGGGCAAGCTTCTTCACGGATGCCGAGGCAGAAGATGGCTTGGATGCCTTTGGGAAGTCGAGCAGATCCACAGTTGGCATAGGAGAGCCACTGACACTTCCGGTCATCGAAGGTTCCGAAGAGGAGGCCGAGCCAGCCGAATCAGTCTTCTTGCCCTTTTCGCTCTTCTCGCTCTTTCCACCCTTCTTAGTCTCGTGCTTGTCATCATCGTGTTTTGAGTTTGTGGGATGTGCAACGGCAGGATGGCCAGGTGTGATGTGAGGATTGACGTGGTTAAGGAATGGAGGTCCTCCTGGTGGGCCTGGAGGTCCAGGAGGAGTAGGAGGTCCAGGTGGTGCTGGAGGTCCTGGTGGGGCAGGTGATCCTGGTGGAGGAGGAGGTCCTGATGGTCCTGGAGGAGCGGGAGGACCTGGAGGTGCAGGAGGTGCAGGAGGTGCAGGAGGTCCTGGTGGTGCAGGAGGTCCTGGTGGTGCAGGTGCTTCAGGTGGAGGTGGAGGTCCTGATGGTCCTGGTGGTGCAGGAGGTCCGGGTGGAGAATGTGGTCCGGGTGGAGGGGGAGGACCTGGAGGAGGAGCATTAAATGGACCTGGGCCTCGTGGAGGTGGTGGAGGTGGTGGACCTGGAGGACCTGGAGGAGGGGGAGGACCTGGAGGACCTGGTGGGGGAGGAGGGGGAGGGGGAGGTGGTCCAGGTGGTCCGGGTGGTGGAGGTGGAGGAGGAGGTCCAGGTGGAGGTGGAGGAGGACCGAATTGACCTGGTCCGGGTGGAGGTGGAGGTCCTGGTGGAGGTGGAGGTCCTGGTGGAGGTGGAGGTCCTGGTGGAGGTGGAGGTCCGGGTGGAGGAGGAGGTCCGGGTGGAGGTGGAGGTCCGGGTGGAGGTGGAGGTCCTGGAGGAGGAGGAGGTCCTGGAGGAGGAGGAGGTCCTGGAGGAGGAGGAGGTCCTGGAGGAGGAGGAGGTCCTGGAGGAGGAGGAGGTCCTGGAGGAGGAGGAGGTCCGGGTGGAGGAGGAGGTCCGGGTGGAGGAGGAGGTCCGGGTGGGACACTCCATGGTCTAGGTGGACCAAACGGAGGAGGTGGAGGTGGTGGTCCGAATGGAGGGGGAGGGGGATCAAAGTGTGGTGGGGGCGGTGGAGGAGGAGGAGGAGGACCAAAGAATGGCGGTGGTGGAGGAGGTGGTGGTGGTGGAGGAGGAGGACCAAAGAATGGCGGTGGTGGAGGTGGTGGTGGTGGTGGAGGAGGAGGGCCAAAGAATGGAGGAGGTGGAGGTGGAGGAGGACCCATATGGTGAGGAGGAGGTCTTGGAGGAGGACCTACATGGTGAGGAGGAGGTGGTGGTGGAGGAGGTCTAGGACGATGGTGGCTATCCTCGTCTATAGTAGCTTGAGGAGCTGGACCAGTTCGAGACACAGCATGGGTAGGAGTTCTTCTGTTGGCAATCTCGGTGACCGTGGTAGCAACAGTGACGGTGACAATGTCATCGGAACCATTATTTTCCTGTCGATGCTGAGCAAGGGCTATAAAAAACAAAATTAAAAATTAAAAATTAAGATTAAAAATAAAAATAATCCAAAGTTTAATTATTTTCTTTTCTAAAAAAAAGTGGATGAAATTGTATTGAAAAGATTGACTTACCCATAGAGGCCACTGAAAGCAACGACAAGTATACAATTAGAGAAGAACGCATAACAAGTTATTTATTTATTAAGGTTCTCTCGTGGAGCTTGACACGAGTAAGGTGTGAATGAAAGCAAATTTCTGGTTTATATTTATACCTGTCAAAAAAAACAAAAAAAAAACAAAATACACTATCACTATCACTATCACTATCGCTAATAGTATTACTTGTAGTTCATGGCTATCTTTTGAGAATCTTTCCTAGGATTTTGTATCCTTGAGACTATGTTACATAATGTTCCTCGTCATTTTTGAATACAATCCCATGTTTTCAGGAATTTATTATTTATTATTTTTATGCAATAAAAAAATAAAAAGAAGATCAGTGAAATTCGCCTGTAAAAATAAAATAAAATTAAAAAACGAATAGTAAACTTGGTCGAAGATCCTTTGGTTTGCAATTGAATCAATATTTATTATTCACCAGAGGCTCAATATGAGAAATATTATTGGCAGGGTGAATAGACAATGGAATATAGGAACTAAATAAATAAAAAGACAATTTCTATGACAGATAGGATTTTAATAGAATAGTAACAGTAATGGTAATGGTAATAATAAGCATAGTATAAAATAAACAAAAAATGCCGTGATTCTTGAGCGGATAATAAAGGGTTGCTTTCCATTTGGGCCATCCCCAGGAAAATGAAGAAAAAGTAAAATAAAATAATAATTTACGAACCAACAAACAAACAAGCTCACACAAATCACACACATACACACCCGCACCCGCACACACGACATCACACCCTTAGCAAACACAGAAACAGGGAGAAAGGAAGAAAAGGAGAAATAGGCTAAAAATAAAGAACCCCCGGGAAATAATAGCACTTTCCGTATGTTCCGCTCTTCAACATGTGAAAGCTACAACAGAGCTTGATCGGGAACCAACCAAACCATTTTGTGTGTGTGTAATAAATCGATGTTCACTGCCTTGTTCCGGACAAGTTTATTTTTTCTTACTTGATATGTCCCTCTTTTCTCTCTCATTACTACTACTATTAAACAGCTACAGACACAACAATAAACATGCTTTTTAATGTTGAATATAAGCTTGTTACTTAGATACACAACAAAATAAGCTCTACGATAGTTGTATTTTCTACAGTCAATATCATCAATATGAGTTATTTTTTATAGTTTTTCAATTTACGCTCGCACCGAGCAATTAATAAAATAAAATAAAAGAGTCGCATGTATTTCAAGAGAATAAAACCCAATGATGATATTAAGATTGGACATCTTTATATTTATTCCATTTTATTTTGGTTTGGTTTAGTTTGGTTTAGCTTGTTGTCTTTTGTTAGAGTATATTGCATGGTGATAATTAGAAGAAATAATATACCGTATATCCCTATTTGAACAAATAAAAAGCCACTATCATTTTGCTTTATTTTTGGGAGCTACCAGACTTTGAAAAAGATTAGGCTACACTTGAAATAAAGAGAGAGAGAGAAGAGAGATTCAGGTTGGACAACACTAGTGTAACATTGTAGCGATTAAACCTCCATCTCTATCTCTCTATTATAAATAACACACATAAATAAAATGAGCATTACATGCAAGCATAAAAAATGTATTTCAACTGATGGAATAATACATGCCTGGAAGTTATAAGAAATTATTATATTATTATTATTATTATTATTATTCTTATTATAATAATAATAATAATAATAATGGCAATAGTAATAAATATTTCACTTTGAACACATATTCTAGTAAAATTTGTCTTTTAATATAAAGTGTTTTATATTATTTATATTACATTAAAGACTAAAAAGAATCGCATACTGTGCAACGGTGACTGACATCACCCTCTTTTTTTTTATTATTTTTATTATTTTTCTATATCTCTTTTTATAGTAAGAAAAGTTCATTGGGATGTATCCGTTTTTATAATTATTTTATATTATTCAAGGCCCTATAATTTTGTGTACAAAATATTATGTCTTTTAGGTGGTGTCTATGACCTACCTACCTAGGTTTTCTTTTTATCATGATAAAGTTACTGTTGGTAACGATAGTAACTATGGTATCTATGGTGATGGTAACTATGGTTACGGTGGTAACTATGACTACAGTGGTAACGGCGGTAACGGTGGTAACGGCGGTAACGGTGGTAACGGCGGTAACGGCTGCGGTAGTTATGAGGATTATGGTTGACATCCTCATTAGCTTCAAACATGTATATCATTGGACATCAGTATATTTTTTATTTTTTTAAAAGATTCTAAATATTAATATTAGAAAGAAAGGATTAGCTCATTTACATTGTATTGTCTAGTATGTTACAATATGTATGTATGTACGCGTACATACATACAATAGTAATAATAAAAGCGATCTGATTGCTTTGATTGCTTATCTCTTCCTATCCATTTATTTTAGTGTAGAAAAGAAAATCAGGGGGGCTAGAGAACAATAACCAAGCTAAATAAGATCTACCCTACAAACCAAAACCAAAAAATCATTTGTTTTCATATCCTATAATGAATTTATATTTCTCTTTTCTCTTTATTAATGATACTTATCATAAGGAAATGTCTAATACAAAGATGTATATATATATAAAAGAAAAAGGAAAACAATCGGCACCATAAAAAATCAAAACAAACCTAAAGCTAACACACACAAACTCCCACAACTACAATTTGAGATTCAAATACAAAACGAATGAGTATTGTATTGTATTGTATCGTATCTTATTGTATTGACCAATTTTTCATACAATTTCTTGTCTTTTTGAAGATAAAAATTATAAAATATATAATATATATATATTGATTTATTTTATAAGAGTAAAAATAAAATAAAAGAAAAAGTAAAAAGAAAAGAAACAAGCTATGTGAGTGTGTGTGAGTAGATAGGTAGGTAGATAGGTAGATAGGTAGGTAATTGAGTGGGTAATTGAGTGGGTAAGGGGAAAAGAAAGAATAGGGTTAGCCAGAAGTGGGATATTTTGTGTATATATATATATAGATATTATATATAGAGAAAGAGAAAGAGAAAGAAAGAAAGAAAAGAAAGAGGATATACAAAGTCATTCCTTCAATTCATCTCATTTCATTGGGGTTTTTTTTTACTCTGCTTTCTTGGCCTGGGCATTACCAGCACCAGACATGTTGACCATGCGCAATGCCTGTCCATAGTATTGCTTGGCAGTCTGGCTAGCAACACCACCGTACTGCTGTGCAAGAGTGTATGCGTGCTGACTGTGCTGTGTGACCTGGCTATCGATGATGTCCTTGTGCTGGAGATAGAGACGGGGGAAGAGGAAAGCGGAGACTACAAATACACCGACGATGTACTTGGTTGCGACGTACTTGGCCAAAGTCCAGACAGAGTAAGACACAGCCAAGGCTACCAGAGAACGAGAGTTGTCCTCAATCAATACAAGCTTGGTCACCTGGCGGGAAAGAGTCTCGATGACATCAACAGCAAGTTCTGCAGAACGAACAACACGATCACGCGACACCAAGGTAGTCTTGACTGCAAGACGAGCACTGTTTTTTATTATCAAACAAACAGAACCAACGAAGATTAATAAAGGAATGTACATTGCATTACATTGAATGAGAATTACATTAACGGCTTTTAATAATGATGATGGTAGACAGATACTTACTTGTGAGGGTTGGTTACATCAGCGGGAGCACGTCCATTAATAAACTTTTGACCTTGTTTATGGGTGTTGACATAAACCCAGTTCAGACCAGTGACGATGGTGAAAAAGGCAGCAAGGAGCTGGAGAACAGAGTAGTATTGGGTAAGGATCAAGGCAGTCAGAGTAGAGCCAAGAACGACAGCACTCTTCTTGGGCTTCTCCCAGAAAATAAGAGACGCGGTTCTTGATTTGATATAAGCAGTAGGATCTAAACACACAGAAACACAACAAGAAACATATTTTGATAAGCCCCAAAGTCAAGGATTTTTGTTTTTTATATATACATCTATATATATATATATATATATATATAATACTAATAGCCCATTTCCCTATCTATTTATCTACCTATCTATATCTCTCCCTCCCTCTTCTATTTTCTGTCTAGACTGGATGTATATATAGATTCCCTTGCTTTATTCAAACTTACCATCATCAAACTTAATGTCAGGAGATTGGTAAACGGGTGCAAAAAATGAGTTGGCGGCGTTGGATCCCTTTGAAGGAGTAGAAGTAGGAGCAGAGGAGGGAGCGGGAGTAGCAGTCACTGGAACTTCCTTCTTGGTGATAGGCTCCTCGACGCTTTTGACACTTTGAGGTACTTCCTGACGAGGGGCAGCAACGGCTTTATATAGAAGAATAAAGAAATTGTCAATATTTATTTATTGCGTGTTTATATTTCATTGTATTCTATATATATAAACATATACGTGTGTGTGGGTGTAGGAGACGCGTCTTGTATTTGACATGATTTTAATTTTGTTTTTGTTTTGGTTACTTACGGACTTCCTGGGCAGACTTGAGTTCAGGAACAACGGCAGCAGCAGCAGGGGTTCCTTGGTCAATGGGTGTAGGCTGAGACTCACTGGCAATGATAGGAGCAGGAGCAGGAGCAGTAGTAGGTGTCAAAGACTCTTGTGCGAATTCAGACATTATTGATTGATTTTTAAAGAGAAAATGTATATATATATAAAAGAAATTGAAAATAAAAGTAAGAAGAGAAGAGAAGAAAAGGAAAAGAGAAAAGCAAAATCCAAAAGAATATATATATATAATATATGAGATTATTAAAGAGACTATTTTTTTTTTGAAATATATATGAATGAATGATGTATGTATGTAGCGCGTTTATAGTGTGATTTACAAAAAAAAACCAGCTAAAAGGGAAAAATTTATATATAAAAATACAATAAAATAAAATAAAATAAAATAAAATAAAATAAAATAAAAAGCGACGCAATTTACTTGATTTGTGTGTCATCGAATGCACCTCTTTTTTTTTCTTTTTTTGTCTATACCGTAATCTACACTCAATCTCTCCGCTCGATAAGCGAGAAAAATATATAAAAGGATATTTATGGTAACACAGATATAATAGACACACATAGACATTTCGAGACAGAGACATGTGTATATAAAAACACAAAATGACTTCTTTTATTTAGAGACCAAGAGAGTCTTCTTTTTCTTCCTTCTCAACCTCTTTAAAGAACAGCTGGATAGCATCTGTGAATTTAGGAAGGCGTGGGATTTGTTTGATAGGAACTGTCATCATATCAAAGCTAAAGAACACGTTCGGATGAGATCCTTCAAGTAAAGGAAGCTTTGGATAACGTTGACTGAAATGATTCAGTATAGTAAACCGAGCATTCATTCTATAGATCATTTTTCATAAATTTAGTAAATAAACTATATACAATAATTACAAGAATCACTTTACCTGTTGCCTACTTCCACTGCTTCTCCAGTAGTAGAATGTCTTTTGACTTCAGCTTCCTCTTTCATTGAATCTTCAAACGAGGCCTCATGAATCAACAGAGTGCAGTCCTTGCCTGCTTGAACCAGGCGATTGCATGGCCGAGTATCACCCGAGTAACTAATAGCAAAAAGAACCAGCCGGTTAGTCAGTTAATCAGTCAGTCATTTAAACCACTCAGTCAATCAATCGATGGGACGTGTCCAATTGTTAAACATCCCACTCAGCCAAAAGGAAACAGAAGGAAAAAAAAAGTTCACTCCCCCCTTTTCTCTCTCTGTCTTACACAAGCTTCCATCCCGACGCGTGCTCTACCGAGAGTCCGTAGGCGTAGCGACAGTGAAACACCTCTACCGGTCGCATGACCATTAAGCCGAGACTTTCTTTCAAATACTCATAGTTCTTTTGTCTAAAAGAATATTAAAGAATATTAATATTAATATTAATATATCATGGTGGAATGATATGCTTATTGTTACTTACGCCAAAGGTGAGATATTGTTGGTGAGGATATCTTCTGACCTGATGTACAAAACTTTCTTGTACAGTCCAAATGACTCGATTTCATTATATTCTTGTAACCACCTTTCGTAAGTAGTAGGAGCTACTACAACAAGCTGTTCAGATGTGTCTTTGTTATGCTATTCAACAAAAATTATTGTTACAGTAGTATAGATTTATAAGCACAGAATTTGTATGAAGAAGACGCACACAGACGCGTGTGTGAGATGTTTTATGGTTAAAATAAACAAAAAGTCAATCACTCAATCAGTCAATCAATCAAATAAGCGATCACTACCACCACTTTTATTATTATTATTATTATCATCCAACCCACTTCTAGTTCCGTGGGTTACCTACCTTGTACCACTGCGTCAAGAGTTGTGACACCCCCAAATGGTGATCCGCGTGAAGGTGAGACACAAAAATGGCCCGGACTGCATTGAGTTCCTCTGCCAATTTGTTCTGTCCACATATACGCATCATCTGTCCAAATGTGCCCTCACCTGCATCAAGCAGTAATGATCCATAGTCTGGAATCTTTACAAGAGTGGCACTGACTATTATATTTTTATTTATTAATTTATTAATTCATTTATTCTCTTTTCTACCCTTTTTATTTCTTTGTTTTTTGTTCTTGTTATTGTAATTGTTGTACACACACACACACACACGTCTTCTTATTCTTCTTCTTTTGTAACTTACCATTACGATACTTAGATGGAATGGCACTACCAGTTCCGAGTGTAATAACCTCAACATCGTCTCCTGGAAAACTACCTCCCAAATCAACCTTGGCAGCTTCTTGTTTAGCAAGTGTAATGGACTCTTGACATGCCGCATCGTTAAAGAAGTCCTTGATCTTTGGTTGGTTCTTGTCAGTGTGGTCAAATACAAATGGCTTGGGTCCTTTTAAGTTTATGCCCGTGCGTGGCTCAAGATTACAAACGGTCAAATTTGTCAATGGAACACATCGTGGGGGAAGATCAGAGACTAAAAAAAAAAGCGCAAATATAAATAAGAAAATGATAATTGTAGGCAAGGTAGGTAAGGTTGGTAGTGCCAAATACATGGAACCTTTTTATATTTCTATATTTTTACATAATATATATATACTTGCATTCTTCAAGGTACTGCTCGGGTGTATTATTGTAGTCTGGAATTGGAAACACATTGGGGTCTAGCTGTGCAAGCTTCAATTGACTAAGAGCATGGCTTTTGTAAAGAACTCCTTGAGGGCAGATCTTTTGGGTACTGATGATGTGCTAATACACACACACACATATATATATATATAAAATTAGTTTAATCCCAAATAATAGTAATAATAATATAAGTAATAAACTTACCTCGGTATTGGAATCAAATGTTTTAATCCATTCTCTGTAACGAGCATCTTCCAAGACCTGGGGACCCAATAAATGGATCATGACATTTGGTGTGTGACTTCCACCAATGGCCTGATAAGGAGAAAACTCGGGAGACGTAACGAGGTTGTCAATGTAGCTCGAGTCAGGGCAGTCAATGATCATAAAAATCTTATATATCATATATTATACACACACATATATATAAAGAAGACAAAAAGGACTTTATTAGTCCAACCCAAGCACTTATGCGCACATACATGTTATTCTCTTTCAATTGGTTTCTTTTCCCTTTATATTAGTACAAGATAGAATACTATACTCACATGGCCATCTTTCTCTGCCTCACAAACTTGACTCTTGGTAACCACAGTACCGTTTTCCAATACAATATCAATACCTTTTTGCAATTGACCTAGAAATCAAAGCAAAATAAAATAAAATACATCGTTCAATTCATTAAAACAAAACTCACAAGCTGATAATTATATATATATATATATCTTTACCAAATGCTGGCCCTGGCTTTACACCCAAACCAATTGCTGCCTTTGGATTGAATTTTCCTGGAATTGTGGGACCTTGGCAGATATACGATACCACCATTTGACTAGGTTTTGTCGGAGGAAGTCCCGAGTAAAGATGATCAATCTCACGACCAACCACCGTAGCTCTCCTTTTCACAACTTTTTTTGCCTTGACCTTTTCCACAATATTCTCGACAGTTGTTGCCACCATTTCAATATCTTCCATGGCTTCAGCAACCTCATCACCAAGAGGATGGTTATTATTAACATTGGCATTATTATCATTATTATTATTATTATTATTATTAGAAACAGCAGCAGCAGTATTATTATTACTATTATTATTATTATTATTATCAACTTTTTGTTTTTGTTTTTGTTGCTTTTGTTCGGTTCTGGGTGTACATGGAGCCTCAATGGTATGGCCAGGTGCATTGGAAGGTCCAAGAACAGTAAACATCCTTGAAAGAACATATTTACGGTACCCATCCTTCTCCGCTTCCGAGAATGCTTTCATGTTTGCCGCAGTCACCCATGATCCTTTGTCTGTCAACCAGCGATCTCTGGTCAAGTAAGTTTTTGGATCCACGACATCTTCTTCCCAAGCACGCTTTTGACCGGCTGAAGCATCACTCATCATGGAGTTCGCAAGTGAGTCTTCTCCTTCGCTGTTGCTAATAGCACTGTTAAAGCTGCTGACGCTACTAGTACTACTACTGACGGTAGGCATAGCAGTAGCACTGGCGGTAGGAAAAATCGGTACTGGTTTTACAGAAAGATTTCCATCATCAAAAGTATCCAGACTGCTCTTGATTTCGTGGGTTTCGACTTGGTTCGAGGTACGATAGATAAACTGACGCATGGCAGCCATAAGGTGCGTAAGGTTCTTGCCGCCGTGAAGATCGAGTCTCTTGGTTCCGACGTCAGTCAAGGTAAGCAGCATGCCAGGCATGCCACCCATGGTTTCCCAATTGATGCGAGTCAGGAAAATGTTTCGCAGTTTGGTCATGCGCACCTTTTCTTCTACGCACAGTCGCTGGGTACCTTCACGACAGTTGAACATGTAACGCTGCTGATCGTAATGCACAATAATTGTTGGGGGTCCCTCGGGGGAGGACTGGCCGACGACTTGAATGTATGCTTTCATGTGTCTGATCTGTTGTTGTAACGAGGCTGGTGATTTATATAAAAACGATGAACTGAGCCGGAAAGAAGTAAGAGCTGAATGTTTGGTTGTACGTAAAGTCGCAGTTACAGCAATGAAGGGCATGCACAAATTAAGGAACACAGAATGACGTTCAAAAATAGCAATGAAAAAAAACAATATATAAAATAATAAAATTAAGATATACGTATGTATTATATATATGTATTATATATACATATATAAAAAGAAAGAAACCGTAACAATAATAATAATGGTTTTAATTATAAAAAAAACAATAATAATAGACTTTTTCTCTCTCTCTTTGTGTCTGTGTCTGCGTGCGAGTGTGTGGCTAAAGTCAAAGTCAAAGTCAGAGTCAGAGTCAGAGTCAGAGTCAAAGGTGTACCACTAAGAAAAGTATACATAATAATAATATATATATATTTGAGCCTTTCTTAAAGGCACTTGTTAATTTTATTTTATTTCAATTATATCATAATATGTTGCTGTTTTTCTTCTGCTATGTTTTATTTTGCTTATTTCTCTATTAAACTACAAATAGCCTATTGTTAATGTATATATGTATATATGGTCATTTTGGGCTTTCTTGTAATTTATGGTTTGAAATCCATGCAAAAAGGCAAGATCGACTGCGACAAGGATATTTAGTCACAGTGGCTTGTAATATCACTGCATTTTCTCTCTCTATCTTTTATCATTTTGGTTTTATTATTATCGGTGAGCATATAATTGCATACCAATTGTACAGATTCAATTGATATATTAATTTAATGTAGTTTATCTATTTGATAATAAGACCTTCTTTATTGATATATACACAATTTAATTAAATTAAATTAAATAAAATAAAAGCTTGTCAAAGAAACTATCCTTTTGCTGCCTTTTTTTTAAAAAAATAAATATATAAATACATTCCTTTGTTCAATATGGATAATCAAACGCCTTTGAAAGAGGTAGCTTATTTATATATCTGTGTGTACGCTTGCCGACTAATCGAACAATTCTTATAACTTTAAAAAAGGAACTTAAACAGAAGAAGGTTGAATATGATGAGCTATGCGGAACATCTGGGTGAGCCAGCATATATTGATATTGATACTGTGTATTATATGTTTTATGCTTTTAATATGTACTGTATTTAGAGTTACTGAAGAAGAGGCATCAAAAATCACAAAAGAGTACATAAAGTTGCTGCATGACTATAACGACATCAAGGACTCTGCTACTGTTCTGCTTGGTATAGTAAGTTTTCATTTACTTGAACTTATATAATAATTGGTATTTTATCGACATTTTTATTTTTCAATTGCTGAGTAATCTTGAAATATATATAATATATATATAAAAAGTATGCCGCCAATCAAGAGGTTACTATAGCCGAAGCGTATGAGAAATTTGATGTTCCTAGTGATGATTAATAAAAAAAAAAGAAATGAGTAATAATTCCAACGTCTTCTTCTTCCTTATATGTATATACATATTTGGCTTATCTAAAGAGAAAAATAGAAAGATTGTCCAACAAGACTGTCAGATCATCGCGTCATTTTCATAGGGTACAAACTTTCAAGTCATTTTTTTTTGTAGATTAAAAAATTCAAATTCAATTATCACTTTTCTTTATTTTATTTTATTTTATTTTATTTTTATTTCTGTATCTTGTGTCTGTGTGTCTGTCGTGTAGTCTGTGTCTGTGTCGTTTGAAGCCTATTCTTTCTTTTCCTCTTGTCTTTATCACATCTTATTCCACTATGACCACCTTCCTTCGTTACTCTCGGGCAAACCTCTTCAAGGCAATTCAACCCCTAACCCAAATCAATCAAAGAGGTATAATATACATACATACATAAATATAATATATATATATATATATCTGGACATTTTCTTTTATCACACTATAAACAATACCGAACATAAATTCCCGGTATTTCTTCTTGCTTTCATCCCCTACCTTTTTGTTTTCATTTTATTTCATCTATATATATATAAAAAAGAGAGAAACAGTAATAAGAGCAACAATAAATATACATATACATCTTTTAATTAACTAAACATATATTCGTTTCTAACAACCAAATCAAGCTTTTCATCGTTCGCCAACAATATATTCCCTGTGTCCTCTCGAATCCGAACCTTCTACTTCCTCGAACCCTCCACTCTCTTTCCCATGTATCGACAAGCTCAAGTCTCGAACTCTCGAACTCGACAGTGGCCCCGAACCAAGTTACGACAAGGTCGTCACAGGCTACGAAACCTTTGAACACAATGAACCCTTTCTTCTGGACCATGGTGGAATCTTGCCCAGATTTACGATTGCCTACGAAACCTGGGGAGAGCTGAATGCTAAGCGAGACAATGCGATCCTCATCCACACCGGACTGTCGGCATCTTCACATGCCAAGTCGCATTCCAAGAACACCAAGCCAGGCTGGTGGGAAGATTTTATCGGGCCTGGCTCACCCATCGACACCAACAAGTTCTTTGTGATCTGCACAAACGTGATTGGTGGCTGCTATGGCTCCACAGGGCCTAGTTCAATTGACCCCGCAGACAACGAACGCTATGCCACCCGGTTCCCAATCCTGACTGTGTTTGACATGATTCGAGCTCAGTTCCTCTTGCTCGACAACCTTGGAATTGACCGTCTGCACGCAAGTGTGGGAAGCAGTATGGGTGGAATGCAATCGATTGCGGCCGCATCTCTGTATCCCGACAGAGTCAAGCGATTGGTCAGTATTTCTGCCTGTTCTCGCTCTCATCCGTATTCAATTGCCCTCAGACACACTCAAAGACAAGGTAAGAAAAAGAGAGGATATATATATATATATATAAAAGTGAAAAATAGATACAAGGTTTATTGACCAAATGCTATTTACAAATCGATTCTAGTCTTGATGTCTGATCCAAACTGGAACAAGGGGTTCTACTACAAGTCAGTTCCCCCTCATGTTGGTATGAAGGTAATAGATAAAAATCAAATCTTATTTCATTTCATTTATTAATTGATACATTGTATTAGTTGGCTCGTGAGATTGCTACTATTAGTTATCGATCTGGCCCAGAGTGGGAACAGAGATTTGGAAGAAAGCGTGCTCACGAAGACCAATCTCCTGCTCTGTGCCCTGACTTCTTGATCGAAACCTATCTGGATCACCAAGGCGAACGCTTCTGCCTCCAATATGACCCCAACTCTCTGCTTTACATCTCTAAGGCCATGGATATGTTTGACATGTCCGAGTCATCGGTCAATGGTCTTTTGGACCAGAGACTGCGAAATACCCCCAAGCTCGAAGAACTCAAGAAGCGTCGAAGCGGGCGTGGACTCTCGGAGAACAACAGTAGCGATGATCAGGACAATGCCGAAGCATGTCGAACCATTTCCGGAAATACCTCTGCACTCGAGATGCGCAAAAAGAACCTTGATGTAGCAAACTCTTCTGCGAATACGGATAGAAAAGAGAGTGCTAAGTCAAAACAACCTTTAACTAGCCTCACATCATCTGACCCTGCCACTCAGGATCTCATCAACGGAATGCGCAACTTAACTATGCCTACACTGGTCTTGGGTGTTCAGTCTGATATCCTGTTCCCGGTATGGCAACAAAAGGAGATTGCAGAGTGTCTCAGGGCAGCCGGAAACAAACGTGTGACATATTATGAATTGGATGCCATGTTTGGCCACGATACTTTCCTCATTGATCGTGTGAGTGTGGGTGGTGCAGTCAAAGGACATCTTGAACTTTTGGATGAATAAATTAAATTAAATTAAATTAAATTAAATAGTAAATACATTATATAATAAACACATAATAAAGTTGGTAGACACGCACACACATACACATACTTCTTGTAGATTATAAAACATAGATCCAACACAATAAAGCACCATACAACAAACCAACGACAATGAATAATGAATAATGAATAATAATGTTTATTTCTTTTTACATATATAAATGCAAGTGTTATGTATGTATGTAAATATTTTTATAGTTAAAGATACAAATAAAGTGTTTGTGCGTATTATTATTGTATATATATATATTTAAGCAGAAGACTTCTTTGGTGGGGCTTCGCCACCGAGGCGCATACCATCAGCAGAAAAGTCTTGCTTCCAGATGTACTCGGGAGTAAACACATCTGTTAGAGCACAGTTGTGTTTACAGGTGTAGACATAAAGAGATCCCCAGTCAAGCGAATCCTCGGAAGTGTGGGAGACAGCAAGGAAATTGAGGATGGTTGACAAGATCTGGAACTCAAATGTACGCACACCACCGCATTTCTCACAGGCAGGAATATTGCTGGGTTTCTGATCCTTTTGAACCCACAAAGGTTCCCTGTCTGGCATGTCGTACTCGACACGATCATAACGAAGGACCTGATCTGGGTTCAACTCCAGGCGTAGCTGGAACTGTAAGAAAGTGTCATCCACAGATACCTTGGAGTCCACAGGCGCATCATCTATATTATATTATATATTATATATATTTGTGTGTATGTGTGTATGTGTTTATAAGTATATATATTCATTACACACACACACAGAAAGAAATAAAGAAAGAAAAAACCACTATCCACTGCACATATCTTTTTTCTTTACAATCTACAAATGGATCATCTTGATTGACTTACCGTACTCTACATCATCTTCTTCTTCCTCTACTGTACCAGCCTCTTGGATCTTCTTACGGTACTTTTCTTCTTCGAGCTTTTCAACTTCTCTACCTTCGGCTTCACTCACAATTTCCTTTTCTCCAAACACTTGTGCCTTGCGGAGTCTATCTACACTCTCGTCGGATGTCTTTCCACAGAACATCTTGTGTTTGCACTCATTCCAGTCAGCCAATTGATGGGCACGAGAGCAATAGTGGGTGCTGTGGCATCGGCCACATTGCTTTGTTCCAGCCAGCCCACAAATTACGCACAAAGTAGGAGCCTTGAATTGCTTTGGTGTGAAATCAGTGTCCATGGCGTCTTCATCTTCGGACTCGTCACCAGGAGGAGGCCAATAAGGGTTTTCTCTAGGTAATTGACTACGGAAAACCTTGAAACTGGATTTTGTATTTATACACACACACATTGTTAGTCATCTAATAATAAGATCAATAAGATCAATAATACCCATCGTTTATATACACCACACACACACACATGTATATACATATTACCTTTTAGTCCAATCCTTTTTAATACAGGATCCTTTCTTACAGCAAAAGACATAAACAGTACGATGGAAGGCTTCTGATGGTTGATCCTCGGGAGTATAAAGCTATTTTTTTTTAAAAAAAGTTTATTAAGTAAAAGTTCAACCAAGCTAGTTAGAATATTCTTGCCTTTTATTTATTTATAACAATAAAAAAAAAGGATTATGTGTAATGTAGTGTAATGTAGAAGAAAAGAGAATACATTCAATACAGTAGAATTCAATATAAAAAAAATATTGTTCTCTTACTTGAACAAGCAACACCATGGGTTGATCACAGTTACCACAAGTAACCTGCTCGGCTGACAATACATGTTCAGGATTCATCCATGCCTTTTAAATATATACATGCACGTATATAAAGAATCCATTAGTATTGAATAATATAAATCAATATGATCATTGTCTAAATCACTTAATAATAATATAAAAGGGAAGAAGGAAAAGGGGTTTGTCTTACGGGTCTTCCACCTGATTTGCTTGGGAACGTGTCGGCTGTCAGGGGTGTCTCGGGATCTTCAGCATAACCTAGTTGAGAAACCCATGATTCGGGTTCATCGTGTTCATGTGAATTATGGGCGTGCATCGTTCTTTCGTTCGTTCGTTCGTTCGTTCGTTTGTAATTTGCAATTTGCTTTTTTTTTTAGATCTAAAATAAAATAAAATAAAATAAAAACTGAGATTATTTTTCTTTCTCTATGTCTCTTTCTCTCTCTTTTTTTTTTACATTTTTAGAAGTCCAAAAAAAAATTGTGATGGCAGTTAGCCAATCAAAATCAATATAAAATAAGTAGTGTGTGTATAAATTTACTCCCATAATAGATAAATATAGGGTATGGGCCTGTAACAATTTTCTTGGACATGGAATTTTTCTACGGAATTGAAGGTCTTTTAATCTAATAATATTATTGAATACCCCTATGGTAATGAACCCTAGTATGAACCAAGTCCAACAAAATGAAAAGAATAGAAGTTAGTCAGGTTCACTAACCAGATTCACCAGCCCGCTTCTACCCTGGATGCCTCTAGCCTGTTTCTAGCCCGAACCATTAACTCGCTTCTAGCCCTGTTTATTAGCCAAATTCACTACAGCAAAAAGTTCTGTATATTATATAGGGTGTGTGCTTGTAGCAATTTACTATCAAATGTTTCTATACCCACCAAATAAGAAATTGTCAAATATATTGTAGTGAGTAAAGTTCCACAAGTACATACATATCCCCTCTAATACAAGGTAGAATAATGGCTTTAGAAAAGTACAAAAAGTGACATATTCAATGTACACTTTTATAAATTTAGCTTTAAATTACTAGTAAATACTTCTGTGTATAATGACATAACTGTATATCATACTACTTAAAGATTCTACATCCTGGCAGGAAACGCCTACATCCTATCTTGGAAACGTCGTGTCTTTAAGATCGTTGATAAACAAAGCACAGTGTCGGCTCACTTATTGTACGAGAAAAGCGTTCTCGAATATGTCAAATCAAGTTATTGTTGTTTTAAGCTAGTTTACAACAAAGGATGTCTATAATCTTCACAAAAAATATAATTTTTTATTATTATTTTATCAAATATACAACTTACCCAAAAGGATCTTGAGAAGGTCAGATAATAAGCGATCAAATTATTTTCTCATTGGTGTCATTTTTTATAGTCCAAGGCAAGTTTTTTCTGGGAGCAATAAATTAGAACTTTCAACAACACGATCTATTAGAGCCCTAAATAATTAAAAGCAATATAAAATAAATACGTTTAGAGAAAAACCAATTTTTTATTATTTAATAAAGAAAGAAATATCAATACCAAATGACCTTTTTTTTTTCTCTTTGAAAGTAATATAATCATCTTATGGTAGTTCTTTTTAAAAAGTATAAGTTCCATTATAGTAACTACTTTACTCTCCTGTAATTAGCATCACCGATAAATCCTTAACTGTATCTCTCAATAAAGGGCCAAGTCATTGTTGTTGTAGAATCAAAATAGCCTTTATAAATTACTCGACCTTGTTCATAGCCAAGTCAACATTGGTCTTGAGTAAGCTAAAGGTGTAGTTAGACTATCTGTGTTTTTTTCTGGCTACATCCTTAATAGAATCTCCGGTATTTAACTTATACTACATAGTACGGAATGGCTGGCGTGTCAGTGCCAAATTAGACCTTAATAAAATGATAGAATTCGATCTTTTCAGTAGAATTTATTTGCCAAGTGCTTTCGTTTTCATTTGTACATGAATACTATTAGTAACTAAATCTCTTAAAGAGTAAATTTTGAAAGCGTTTATTATGTTCTGCACAATAATCTCTAAAAAAGCTTATGGCAAACACTCCTTCTCTCGGAAACTCATCTTGGTACTTTCAACTATCGGTATAGTCTCATTTCAATAAAACTCATGTTTAAATTCAAAATTTCTCCATCTACCGTATTATGCTAATTCAGATTATATACATGTACAAACAAAAGAAAAATACTTTCTCTTGTGTTCTTGAACAAAAAGTGCACAGACCAGTTTAGAGTAACCTACAAATCGCCGTTATAGAATTTTATACTCCATCTTTAGAGTTATTGCTATACCGATCAATACCGAACACTTTATTACTTCCTTGCTTCTTTGCTCTACTTTACTTCGCCTTACAAAGTCATTTTCATAAGTACTTTGAGTAAATAGTATTAGCTGTCTCTTCTGCAGTATAATAGTTACACAAACTTAGTAAAACGCCTATATATCTATGTCACGTTTGCTTTGACGTGGTCATCTAAGACTGACAAAAAGCGCAGTCCTAAACTTTAATCGCAGATGAAAAGTTTTTCTGTTACAAATAGAACCCCTCCAACGCGTGTCGTTTGTTTTCTCCTTGAGCAACAACAGTCCCGGTTTCATAGTGAGGCGTCTCTTGCGACCGTTGCAGGGAGATTCTTCCATGCTACAAGCATCGGAAAGTGAAAGTTGTTACTCGCCAGCTCAGTTAATTCTGAGAAGTCGTGGGGCATGGTCTCTTTTCATTTATGGAAGGACTACTGTGTACATCGCATCGCCAATGTGGAATCATGATGCTGGGGGGAGGGAGGTCTAACCTGTGGTGAGATGTGCTGGCTCTTCACTGCTAACCTGACTGAACTCTTTAACGGCTGACGGTGAAGCTACTGGTAGTCGAATGAGTTGGACCTTATCACCTAGTGGTAAGTTCTCTGGCGAGTTCGCACCCACATTACTCGGTGACGAGATGTGGGGCTGGATGAACGGGTGCTTTCCGTTGGTTTGCCACCATTCCAGCACCTCCTTCGCTACCAAGTCAGGTTTACGTCCTGAAGGAGATTGAGCCGCGTAATGCGGGGACAAAGAACTTGGTGTCATGCTTTTTATTCTTTTACTCATGTAAAAGAACATTAACTGAAATCAAATTAAATTAAATCAAATCAAATCAAATAGCTTCTTTATGTGTATATGTAATAAATAAATAAAGTCTTTTTTTTTAACTATGATCGTCTTTAATAAAAAAAACACGCTTTTAAACTTTTTTTTTCACTTGATGGAAGAGGTTAATGTTGTAATTAGGAGGGCTCATTTATAAGAGAAAGTCCATTTAGTCAAGCAAATTCGAAGATTAATAAAAATAAATGTTTGTATATTTTAATGTGATATAGATAACTCTGTCTAATTGTAGAGGTTGTCTTTGTCTATAAAGTATATAAGGGTACAGTCAAAATAGTTTTTTAAAATGCTGCTGGCTTGAAATGTATATTACGGAATTTGGCTTATTCGGATGAACATTGTGAAAAGGATGCATTGTAATGAGAGAAAGAAGAAAAACTAAAAAAAAAAAATAAGTGATAATTGAGAGATAAAGAATAAAGAAACGTGTGCTTGAAAGATACAGAAAAGGCGCGATGAATTGAACACACAAACAATGTCCTCATTTTACTTACACAGACTATGTACGAAAAGTTCAGTATTGACGTATTTATTAAAACCATAGTCATCATTTACTAAGCTTTTTGTACTTTGAATATCAGAGAATGCTTGGTAACTTTTTAATTTGCTATTGTATACATACTTGCAATTATATTCTCAGTGAAAAAGATATTGATATATTACATAATACATCCTTCAATGTTCTGTCGCGTACACTATACACTCAAACAGTGTAAACCAACCATTACACAACAGGGATTTTAATAGTAACAGATAAAAGCAATATTATTTTGTCTCTTTAATAGATAACATTCTTACAGTATTTTCTTACTCTTCTCTTTGTTAGTGCAATAGAATTAGTTTCTCTTTAAATGAACGGGTAATATATTGTCATATTTTTAACATTTGCCTTCCATTTTAGAAATACACTTTGTAATTAATCAAATATGTTATTATCTAGAAGACTTATCTTTATCAATTTAGATCGACTGTTTGTCTTTTCTTGGTAAAAAGAAATGTGTATTTCAGCATCTTTAACGTAATTGTAATAGAGCCATTAGACTTACTCTCCAATAAGAATACAACTATGAAGAATATTTCTTTTTATTTATCTTTAAGTAAATCATGAAATAACATAAATGGCAGCTATCTTAAAACACTAAAGTTTTTTTTATTGTATTGTATATTATAAAAGGTATAATATTTTATAAGGCTTAATCAATTTACCTTAAAAGGTCTCAATATCGGTACCATGTTTTTTCTTTATATTAAGATTAAATTGAATTTATATATATAATTGTCTGTGCACTAACCACTCGAGGCCTGGCTTTTATTTAAATTTGATGTGAAAGGATGAAAGAAAGTAATTAATTACTACGAGTTATATATTACCAGGCCCATAAGATGTCTTTTGATCAAAAGAATATTCTCGACAAGTCCATAAAGGCACATCACATTCAGTCTTGTAATTACACCTCAATTCGACATAGCCTCTACAAAGGTCTTCCTCCCAATCTTCTTCATCACGCTTATCATAATAGGATTTTTCAGCCTCAGAAACATTCGCCTTGCTTTTAAACTGAGAAACTTGAAAGTATTCATTTGCAGTCCAGACTTCTTGTTCTGAAAGCGGTCTGATCCGTAGGCAAGAGTCAAACAAGCCATCGTAATCACCACGAAGATGTTACCAAGCTAGAGGCTCCACAGAAGATTTTTGATTGACATTAACGTTCTCGTTTTCATTCTCTTTTGCTTTGGTTGACATGTGGGGATTGGTTGAGTGAGAAAGCAATATCAAGTTAATGGAAGTATCATCGCTCATGTCTTCCTCGGATGAGAAGAATCTGACATGGTCAAAGATTGATGTCTTGAGCTTTAAGTGAGATATGACAATGCATATGCTTCTGGCTTCGGCAGAAATTGATCCACAAATTCTCGAACTCTTCATATTTATAGATTGTAGACTTTTGCATCTGAAAGATGCATATTCAAGTGCGGAAACACTTGTCACAACAAGATCTAACTTCAAGAGCTTTAAGCCATGTTGACTTGGGCATCCAGAACTCTTTGGATTACTAATGTATAGCTTCCCATGGGAAAACCCGAATTTCTGTAAGGATGGATAATTGTCCAATAGGTTGTCCAATGCAATATGTACGCCACAATACTTGATCTTAATGCTCACCAACAGCGAAGAGTAAAGGAAAACTGGGTTTTATATGATCTTACTATCAAAACGTACTTGTCCATTAATGGAGAGTCTTTCGAGTGTTGTGACAAATGACTGTAGTAATCGTTCAAAGACTGTACAAGGAAAAACTGTGGTATGATATCTGGGTTTTAAAGTGTACTTTAAATTCTTGAGACGTACGTTCGATGGGCAAAGGAGTTCCCAGAGCAGTACATGCGACCATTCTGACCATTCCAGACTGTAGAAACGCACTGTTTCCAAGCGTGGAAATACTCTCTTAACTGAACGGAGAAGTGATATTTCTCTTTTGTCGTTTTTTTTATAACTATCCCCCCAAGTCGGCATATGGATACAAACGACAAAGTCTGCAGGTTTAGATACTTGTAGCAAAAGTAGTACAACCACAAATGACTCCAACCGGAGAGTTTTAAATAGAGTTTTGTTACATCGAGTGCTGATAGAGTTTTTGGAATACTTGGTACGGCATCTGGATGTATATCTTTGAGCATTAATTGGACCCTGATATTTACCAGTCGTGGCAATGCGATATGAAAAGCATTATATTGATTTAGGTTAAATTCGATTTCAACATAGTGGTGATCAGAATAGATGCATATTTCTTTGAGATTGGAGGCTTTTTTTAAAACCTCAAGAATAGCTGTAGTCGATATTTTCCGGTCTATTGGGGGAACTTTGAAATATAAACTGTTCAATGTATCCCATTGAGGGCCATATTTTATACGTTTTATGTTGACGTTGTAAAAAGATAGCGATCCCATATCGACATGCTTCAAGTTTGGAAAGGTTTTGAAAGCACTGGTCTGCTTCCAGTCAGCTAAAATTGTCTTTCCATCGACCCGCAGACCTTTCGTTATATGATTAGATGGTAGGTAATTATTTGTTGTATCCTTTACACTAGTACAGATGGTCTCAAGTTTATCCATGAAATTGATTTTGATATTCTCCCAAAGCGATTCTTGAAATGGAATTTTCCATGCCTTGCAAGTGAGAATACAAGATAGTTTATCATCTGCTACCAGAAGCCTTGCAATTTTTGAGAGAATTTCAAAAGGTAAGTTTGATGCTAGCATACAAAGAGAGAATAAAGAGAAAGTGATAAAAGCTTGTGAATAAAAAAAGAGAAAAAAACAGAGGCGTAATTTATTTAGAGAAGCATGTGAGTAATAAAGATATTATGTGGTACAAATATCGTTGAACTTGGCTTAGTAAGTAGCCACAAAGAGTCTCAGGTGGTAACAGCTTCATCCTTTTTCCAAATTAATTCATTTGATTCTATAAAAGCAAAATAAGCCGTCGATGCATATGTGTGCTATTTTTCTTTAAAAATATATATATAAGACTATCATTTCATTTTTGGTAACAAAGGCTTTATATGTAATATGTCATTAGATTCTAAAATTATTTTACTTGCTGTAATGGATGTATGAAAGAAATTTTACAGGCAGCACTCAATTTAATGATATTTGGCTTAGTGATAGTGATATAAATAATTTCACAAAACATCACTAAATTGAGGCGCTGACTGTAGTGATACTGTTGCGGAAACAAATAGATTTATTGGAAGTATAAGATAATGACCATCTAAATGACTGTTAGTAAAAGTGTATAAAGTGGACAGTTACATGCCAAAATACAGGCTGGTTGTTAAGTTAATAGATATAGAAAATGTACTTTATGTAACAAAGTTATTAAAATATGAGTATTTTGTGAATTTGGAGCAATACTCTTGAACTCTTGAACTCTCAAAATTTACTTCCCAATATAACACATTTGTGTTTGATCGTAGCCTTATTGTAAGCACCTTTTCCCCAGCCTAATAGAGATTGATATGTTATCGGTGTCCTATGATTTCACCAAAAGGGATTTTATGATATTAGTTAATAAATGATGAAATTTATTTCTCATAATATGTATTCTTTTATTAACTTCGATACCTGTTTATTGTTCAAACTTTCAAGGTAGTACAGAAAGTTTTGGGCCGAAATATGCAACACTTGTAACTTCAAGCCCCGTTCATCCTTTCTCTTCTTGATTCTAGCCTTTCGTATTCCTTTGCGATTGACACATATTACTTTACTATCTTAATGTGGTAAACACACATAATCCTCTTATTCACCCGACCTTCTTTCTTCTCTGATGTCTGCACATCTCAGCTAACAGCATTAATTTTTTTAGACAACCCAGTTAATTCATCTTTGAATCAACAGGCACATATATCGCTATATTATTAGCACTTCTTGAAGTATGTTGTATTTTCTAGTCATATAAAAACACAACGTCAATCTCGGGAGCCGATTATAAATACATGCCCAGTCGTAGAAGAGGTTTTATAAAAGGAATGTAACCATCACAATTGAGACAGCATCGTAATTGATACCAGTCCGCTTTTTCTCTTCTATAAGCCAACAGTACCCAAAGTATCACTTTAATTCCTCGTCGCTTGTTTTAATAACATGTTTATACTCTTTTAAAACTTCTTCTGAATATATCAATGCTTCATTTAAGGATACACCTTGTGGTTAATGAATTGCTTTGTATATATTCAATGACACTATCTACAAGTCAGATATGTATAAACTTATTAGGAAGAATATATATAAGTCAGAAATTGAAGAAAGGTAAGAAAATGGAGCTTTATTATGATTATGATTATGATTTATTTTTCAAAGTAGAAGCCCCAATTGAAGGTCGAGTGAAGTTTATTCCAGCCTTTGTTTAAGCTTTTAGAAGTGAGATTCTTTATCTCCTAAAGTGTATGTGTCAAACAAATCATTAGAGTAGTTTGGATAATAAGAAAATACCCAAACCATTCAACTCTATTTGAATTCTGTCCTGTTTGTGGTAATATACATCACACTCAACTGAAATATAAACTCCAGAGCAGGACTATGGTTCCTTCTTGTTAATGAACCTTCTAGACTAACAATTCTAGGGATTTTAAACACACTTGGGTCACGTACACTTTATAATTATAGACTGTAAAGTAATTGTAAGATTGGATAATGTGTAGTCTTTTATATAGCTGTTTAGTGTAAGTGATGGTAGTATTATCTGGAAAAATGTAGTGAAACACAAAAACGGATTTTTTTGGGGGGAAGTAGTGACAGAGAGTTGAATACATTAAAGCGTCAAGGATACACAGAGAGAGACAGATATAGGGAGGTTCCTCTGTTCAATACAGATCAATGACAGTGACCAGAGTAATATACGTTCTCTGTAATGCTAATATACTACAAGATCCACCCATACTCTGTAAGTAATAGTTACTCGATACTCCTTGATTCTATCCATGCAAGCTATACCATTGTCAGTTCAATTAGTTTACGCTACAAATAATATGTACGTATATTTAAGCTTTGGTGATATAATTACTATCACTATCACTAGTGTAACAAGAGATTGTAGTGGTATCTACTTAAACAGACATCTATACTTTGAAGGTTGATGGATTTATTGTTGGAGTCCATATTTGTTTATCAAATATTATTGATGATTTTAGTCCAATATATTTAAATATGAAGAATCAAATATGAATCAAAATCATTCAAATCAAATCAAGGCATCCCTTATTTAAATCAGATTAATGATGTGTAGAAAGTTGATAAATCCTGACCATATTTTAATAGATCGAATGAAAAGAAAGAAGATACATTGAGAAAACATTACATTTTCTTTGGTGTATAATTTAGTTGCATTGTTTTGTTTTCATAGTTAAAGAGGTGTGTAGTCTTAATTTGATAAAATCGAGAGAATTATGGTAATTATCGGTATGGATATGTATACATCTATATATATGTATGTATATTATATTCATTAGAAAAGCATTCCTATCGCCAATTGGTTAGAGCTTCAGTACAAAATTAATAGCCTACAATCAAGGCAGGATTATCAATAATAGACTTTGATGAAGATCTTTTTTTGTTCATTTCCTTGGATCAGTTTAGGGGTAGGACAATCCCTTTTTTTGTTATTGTCGCTGTAGTTAAAGCTGATGTTATTTTGTAAGGAATATAAATATCATATAAATTATTGCATATAATTTAATACAAACCAAAAAGAAAGAAAAGAGCTTTGATGGTTAAAGCCAAATAATAACCCTTTTTATTTTATTTTATTATTATTTTTTAATCAAAAATGGCTTGTATTGTTCGATTATAATTGTGTTTTTAACAATAAAGTCTCATTTCAAAGGTAGCATTCTTTTTGGCTTATTTGTTTCTTTTAAGAAAAGATGAAAAGTATATCTATAAAGAAGAGTAAATAATAATAATAATATCGATACACTTCTTTACCTTTTATTGTTTTATTATTATTATTCTGTATTGACAGTCGATCGATAAGTACAGCCCCATCTTATAAAGAATAAAAGTGAATTTATTTATATATTGAAGGAGTAGATAGACCAGACCACATGGGATGTATTGAAAGCTAGGGAGCAGCAACAGGAGAAATATGAAATCAAAAGAGAAAGAAGAGGAGAAGAGGAAGATAAGTTGTTGATGATAACAATAATAATTTATGTTGGCCAGAGATTAGTATCTGCATGATGTCTATCAAAGATATATAATATTACTAAATGTGAACATGATAGACCAAGGAGTTTTGTATTGGACTTAATATATACGGTGGCTATACAATGCTTGTTGTTCGATCATTATCCAATAGATACATACATACTAAAGAGAGAGTGAGAGGCTTAAAATAAATGGTTTCAATATTATTGAAACATTGACCCGTTCTTTTCTTTAGAATAAATCAATAGTAAAAACACAAAAGATAGTTTATTGTATATGTATTTGTTTATTTTTCAAACTGTACACTTAATGTATGTGTCTTGTTACTGATTTTATATGTATTGATTACAAAACACTTATTTAATATGTCTACATGTCTATATATTAATATTCTTATTTTACAAATCAGCAATCTTGACCACTTGCTTTCCAAAGTTCTTTCCCTTTAATACATCTAACAGAGCCTGGGGAGTGTTTTCGATTCCTTCGGCAACTGTCTCTCTGTACTTGATCTTTCCTTCTAATAACCACTGAGTGCATGTTCTCATGAACTCTTCTTCATATGCTATGTTTTCTTTGTCCATCACAATAAATCCACTCATCGTCAGTCGCTTAGTCAGTACATAGATGATGTTGCGAATCGGGTAAGGGTTCGAGGTATTGTACTGAGAGATCATGCCACACACAACAATTCGGCCAAAGTTGTTGGCATGGTTGAGCACATGCTCGAGCATTTCGCCACCCACACTTTCGTAATAAATATCAATACCCTTTGGACAGAGTTCCTTGAGCTTTTCGTCAATACTCTGGGTCTTGTAGTTGAAAGCTCCGTCAAAACCAAGTTCTTTAAGATAAGCAACCTTTTCGTCCGATCCAGCAGATCCGACTACATGAAGTCCAAGCGCCTTGCCAATCTGACCAACGATTTGACCAACAGCTCCAGAAGCGGCCGATACATACAGTGTCTCACCCTTCTTTGGTTTTCCATACTTTTGAAGTCTATATATGTGTTTGTAATCCACGCAAGTTAATCCCAAACCAAGTTAGATTTCTTTCTTTCCTTCGGTATTTTTGTTTTGTAAAATCAATGACAGCTCTCTATCTATATAATATATAAAATACTAAAACTTACCCAACATATGCTGTCAGTCCAGGCATTCCGAGTACACCGACATAGTAAGTCAATGGCAGACCAGTAGTTTTGGGGTCATTGCGAACAACGTATCCAATGTCAGCATAGGCACCCTTGACGTGTGAATATTCTTCAAAGTACCCAAGGCCTGTCTTGCCATAGACTAGGTCGCCTTGCTTGAACTTTGGGTTGTTGGATTTGATCACGACAGACATTGTATCACCAGTCATGACACTGTTGAACTCGAATGCTGGTGCATAGGATTCAATTGAAGGGTCTCGCATACGGCCACGCATATAAGGATCGACAGAGAGTACAAGGTTCTTAATGATTATGTCGCCTTGAGAGAGAGCACAATCAAGATCAATTGTAGATTTGGCAATCTTCATAGTTTCGCCAATAATGGGGTATTCCTTGGGAGGCTTGACATAGATTACTTGGGTGTTTGAAGTCATTTTGAAAGAGATTGATTGACGGTAGTAAAGAATTATTTGTTTCTGCAACTTGGTTCTATATAGTTTTTTGGATAAAGTCCGATCGTCGGGTTTTGAGATGATTCCCTTCATATTATAAGAATAATAATAATAAATGTATGTAATGTATGTATGAATATTTAATGTAATAACAATAACAATATATATATATATATATATATATATAATGAAATGTGTACACGGTAATAATGATAGTAATACTAATAGTGATAGTGATAGTTATAACAATACTAATCAAAAAGACATGTATTTTTTTTTAAAAAAAATTATTTACTTTGATAGTGAATAAATATGTCAAAAACCTTTTTATTTTATTTTATCACTGAAATTGTACCCGTCATCAATTGTTGTAATAGGAGTTGCTTCTTCAAAGTTATAGGTTTAATTCCTTTAAAGAGAAACATTACATGCTCTTTATTATTTTATTTTTGCAAAAGCAAAAAGGTAAAATATAAGACCATTTATCTGGGCAAAGTACTTTGTCATGGCAAGCCTCAAATATTCCTATTCTCATTTTACTTTTTGCTATAATTATTGGTACCGTTATTAAGGGACGGATAATATATCCTATATTTATATAGCTGCGAGGATTATTATAAAAAAATACTATTACAGAGTACGCCGTTACTTTAGTGTGAATTACGTATGTATTGTATATGAATTATATCAGCCGAGGATCTCAAAAGAATATATATGAATTTTTTGAACGCCTAGGATAAAAGAAAAATCAGGGCTTGGTCTAGTTTTATACTCGCTATTTCTCTCTTTTTGTATATCAAGCGTCTCCTTTATTTATTTCATTCATTCTGATCTATTGTGATTCGAGTTTATTTTATATATATTATTGAAACTTGACTATCAATACAAAACGTGCTTTAATTATTATTATTATTTTTAAAAAAAAAAAAGGATCGCAGGCTTGCTTAGTAATTAAGCTCATATTTATAAAAAGGACATTTTCATAAATACGATAAATTTACAATGTTTCCCAAAAATAGTAAGGACATAGGCCAATCGGAATCAATAGTATATTTTCGGGAATTGAACTCATATTCTTTAGAAACCACATCGTTTACTTGCAACAGTACATACTATCGAGAAAAGAATAGTCAATTGCGAGTAGTTTTTTCAATACTTCTTTAGTATTAATCATATTATTATAGCATATTTTTGTACAGATATGGAGGGGGGATTGGAAATGCTGCTGTTATTGCTGTTGTTGTTAATGTCAATGAGAATAGGGTTGCCCTGAATCTCATTGATTTAGCATTGTTGATACAATTGTTTGCTTACTAATATCCTACTGAGTACTTTTTATTTAACTTGACCCAATATTGATAGACAGCTATACAATCTATAAAAAAGTGTCTGGAAGCGTATTAGCTGTAGTGAAAGAACTAGGTCGTTTCATTCATATTTGAACAGCACAGAGATAGATAAATGGGTTAAACAGTACAATATTGAAAAGAAATATTATGCTATATATATATGAGTATCTTCTTACTTATGCTTCCTAGACTTTAACACAATAGAAAAATTTTGTGCAGCGGCAAAGAGTAAACTTACGCGCCCTTGATCTGACTTTTACAAAAAAGACACTATCAAAAAAATACAGAAGCCTACAAAAGTATAGAGCAAAAAACGTCATCTCAAGGGTTTTATTTCATCTTATTACAAGTGCTGGGATACATGCCGAACTAAAGAGTTTGTGAAAGCGAAAAACTAACAATGCAGAGGTGAAAGTCCGGCAAGTACTAATTTATATACCTGTTTGTTTTGTCTCTAACTATAAGATAAGTTAATCCATTAAGGTAATAATCACGCTTGAAAGTTTTATTATATAAAAACAGTACCCTCCTCTAATATGCGAGTTTTCGCAGCTTGAAGAATCTGCAGCCATTACATTCTAATTCGATTTTGCATTCGGTTAAATATATAGTCAACCTACATGTAGAAGACAAGATTTTCAATAAAGTGACCGTAAGAAGAGTATTAATGAAAGTACTATGGAGTTAAAAAAACTGTGGACATTGTAAGCGCTTAATTATTTTGTCAAATATAACCACAATCTCGAAGTTTATGTATTTTTTTTCTTGCTTTATTCAACCACTAATATTCTCAAAATACATTCACTAAATATAAGGTTAAAAGTTAACCACTTCAAATGCTTTGATGCAAAGTACTTAATCTATTTTTCTCACTAACATACTACCGTCAAATTTGAGCTTTATTATTGAGTATTGATATCATGAAGAGCGATTGAGTAGCTGTTATCTCTACTTGGTAATCCGCATTCTGTTATTGGATTCTTCCCTTGTTTCGATACGTCTTTGAATTTAGTATAGTTTAAAAAATACATATTGTTTTAAAGATTTTTATTTTAAAAGTAATAGTAATGGTAATAGTAGTATATTAATACATGTAATAGAGATTGGATACACACACAAAAGTACGTAACAATTACTATATTTCTGTTTAAATATTATGTTTTATACTATTAATGTAAAAAAAAAAGATTGTTCAATTTATCAGGAAAATAGTTCATCTACTACATACTTTATTTTTTATAGGGTCCCAATAGAAATCAGCCCAACATCTTTTAGGCATTGTATGAATATAACAGTGTTCTACATATCCACACATAAATTTCACATATCCTCGGCTAAGATCCAAATCATATTCTTGAGGAAGTTCCTCTTCTCCAGGAACACAGATACCCGCTGTTTTACCAGAAATACGAATACCCTGAATTTTACCAGAAATCATATTGTCTCGATAATTCTCAAAGTATTCTTCTATATAGTCTACCACAGGCTTCTTTAAAATGTCAAGGTTTACAGATGATGGCATGTCTGTGCGGTTGAATAGGTTATACCAAGTAGTTTCAGTCTCATATTTGACTACATTTCTGGGAAAAGATTGATCAATTCTTTCATTACTCTCGATCATTTGATGATGCGGTCTAACAGCTCGTATCAGTTTCATAAAATCGATTTCTGTGGTCGGATCCCACGATCCTATTTCAGCAGGAGTTCTGTAAAATAAACAGCCAATTCGCAGTTCCGTAAGTTTGGCGCTGGACATATCGACCAAAAGAGTTCCTGTGTCTGCAGAAATAGTTCCGAATACTGACAATCTTCTCAACCACACGTGGCTTAGAGATTCACATCGGACAGATATGTATTTCAATGTATCAGGATCAATGGAAGAAGCATTTAGATTAAGTACCCGCAGTCCATGTGGCTTGAACGATTTCATTGCCTCGGAACCAATATAAACACCTCCACCAAATAACCGGAGTTCCTTTAAAGAAGGACAGCAGTCTGCAATAATATCGAATTGTAAACATGAACCGCAGTTAAATATGTTAATAAGAACTAATCGGGGACAATCTGTGAATGACTTGGATATATCGTGAGGCGCGGGTGAGTCGATAGGATCCGTATATTCAAATATTATTGACTCGATGGTTTTGGAGCATATGCGCATAATTTCTGCAGTGGTTCTCTCGAGTCTTTGGTCTTCATCCGTCTGAATGTAGTAATCATATTTCCATTCTTTGATCAGTGTTATTCCATTGTAAAGGCACTCATATAATGGGAGGGAAAGCATGCTAGTATATCCAACATCTCTTATGACCAGTTTGTTCAGGTTTGAGAATACGTGAGGAAGCATTGATAGTTTTGATCTGGTTAGTCCTAGGTTGTAGTCTCTCAAAGGGCCGCTTTCAAATATAGGGCATAACGACAATGTACGGACATTTGTATATTTTACAGCAAAGTAATAAAGCCACTGTAAGTCTTCCATGTACATTGATAATGAAATATTCGTCAAATCATAAGCTGGGACTCTCTCGTTTATATGGTTCATGTCTTCTTCAGTAATCCTGGCCAACTTAACTTTGGTTGAAAAGTGTTTTAGGCGTGGCAGATAATAGTGAATACCTTCAAAGTCCCCGATTCCAGATGTGTATGCATCGCTAAAGCTCAAATCAAGTGTTGTCACATAGGCGAACTGTGATAATATTCCAGAGCACGGTTTTATCAAGGTACTATTGATGTAATCACCAAAGTTTATGCTGAGATTATCCATTGACCTCCACACACTACAGTTTGTGTCTGTGTCTGTATATATCATCTCTGGATAGGATAACGTTATACTAAGTTTCCGAGTGTTTGGAAAAAGTTGTTGAAGAACCAAGATATTTTTGCTGCTGACAGGATATTCGTTACTAATGTATATGTTTCTGACATGCTGACCATAGATCAAATATTTGTTTTCAGGGGATATATTGTAAACTGCATTAGATGCCTTTTCATCAAATATAGAGATGTCTTGCCAAAGCTTTTCATAAAAAAGTCGTCGCCATTTCTTGCAAACAAGTGAACCTTGCAGTAAATCTTTTTTAGAAAGGAATTCTGCAATTGAACTAAGAACTTCAGGCGGAAGTTGAGTAATTGGCATGATGGTAATGGAGTATAATGATTGTGTTTGTTGTAAAAAGGTAAATTGCTAGTCAAGTTTCGCGTTTGTAGCTATGCCCACGTACACATTCATAAGGCTTTATAGTACCAAATTTTGTGCTCCTAATACAAATAAACCATTGGAGTACCCAAAGAGAATGCGTAGCACAAGACGAGAAAATGGTTTACTTTTTTAAAAAAAAATGTAATCTTAAGCTTCTATAAGTAATAAGTAAGAAGAAGAAGAAAAGAGTAATTGAAGTCGTGCAATGAAACATATCACATGCCCACGTCTTCATAAAGAAGTGGGAAAGAAAGAAGGTCTCTTGTCTCTACCGTTGGAGATAATGGCCTAAAGTTGAGTATAGAACAAGTACGGAGATATTTAGAAAAAAAAATATACTGGAGCACAACGAGAGAGAGAAAGAGAGCAGAACCGAAAATGTCTGAGAAAGAAGAGTGAGCTTATCAGATACTTTGAAAGGGGACCACCTGTTGTCTGATTATTATGACCTGAAACGATAATAGATTTCACAATAATTTTGCCCTTTTTTTGCCCTTTTTTTTGAACTTTTGGTCTGACCACACCAGAAGAATATCTGAAACGTTAATTTCAAATACTTTTCTGTAAGCCATAGCCAATCAAATGAGCACTTTCAAAATAAAAGTGATATATTATTTCTTGAAAAAAAAAACAATTAAAGAACATGTATTTTCTTCATATATAAAATTAATCGATTCCATAACCAGTCATTTAGTTAAGCTTATATTATATAAAATATGAAGCCTTATAAATGTGTATAGTAAATCCATCATATATAGCAAAAGTATAAATTTCTGTTTTTTCTTCTTCTTTTTGTTCAAGAATTGTGACTTGCAGAAAAGTATTTGAGATTAACGTTTCCATAGTTATATGAAGAAAAAAAGGAGTATGATATTTTGATGGGAATATTTTATCACTATATATACAATCAATACAAGACAAATATAAAGATATATAAAGGTATCTTTCTTGGTTCTTTGTATTGATCATTAATTATTTATTTATTTTACAATTTTAATGACCTTTCCTGTAAAGAAGCATGATAATCTCAGCAGCATTATACAAATCATTCCGCTTAAATACCAAAGCGGAGACTCATGTATTGCCATTAACGATAAAAGCTTAGCATTCAATACAACACACAATGTATATAGTAGTGAGAGTAAGATAATCGGGAATGACAAGAGTGAGACGGGTAGAAACTCAAGCCCAAATACGAGCACAAGTGCAATTGCAAGTGCAAGTGTCAGTATCAGTATCAGTACCAGTGCAAGTACAAGCTCAGACACAAACATGGACAGACGGAAGGTTGAGCCGAGATGGCCAATCGAGAAATATTTATTCTGCTTTGGGTTTATATTCCCTCCAGCTTGGTTTATTGGCAGCAGTGACTGTGGCTGCTGGTATGTGTCTGATGAAGGAACAGTGTGGAAGAAGCGATGCCGAATATCGACTACTTTGCTGCTGACATGTCTAATCGTGACCGCTGCAGTCGTGATGATTTTCAAGCCTTCCACATTCGGACTACGGTCTTCAAATACCTCTGGTGCCCAAACATCCTCCACTTTGAATACGGCCGTACGTCCTGGTGTACCAATGAGTGGGTCCAACAGCTGGGGAGATGCTCTTGCTGGTACAGTTCTCAGCTAGCTATATATATGTGTATACTTACTTACTTCTATACCTACTTGTGTACCTATATTATATAATTGTGTTTTACTACTATTAATATTACTATTGCTATTGCTGCTGCGATTTGGTCTCTTCCCTATTTCTTTTAATTGCTTTCCTTTTTTATTTTACTTTATTTATATTACATTTTTTTATAAGACAATTGCTATCTCAAATTTATACACACAGATATACATATGCTGCTCATAAAGATAATATTAATCACATAATAGAGAGGGTGTCTTCGAGCCTGAATTGCAAACGTTTGCAATTTTTTATTTTACGCGGCGAATTAAATTCCAATACTTGTTTTGCAAATTTCATGGTGGAGGCCATTTAGTGAGCATTTGAAGCCAAAAGTTAGGGATTACCTAACTTTTGGCTTCAAATGCTCACTAAATTTCTAGTAAAAATTGGGCTTATTTTTCCCACTTCATAACAAAATGTATGATAGCCAGTAGCCTCTTCTTCATACTTACTTAATAAAATAGGCCTTGGAAAGTCAAGTTTATTAAGGTCTATTTCCTCTAAATTTCTTAGTATCAATGCTTTCAACTTATAATATTCATAACTGTGTCTGAGCTTTATTCTTATTTTTGATTGGGTTTTACAAATAATTATTTTTTAGTCATCTTGAAATTATCATAACTCGACACCCTCTCTAATACAAATATATACACTAAATCAATCATTCGGCTAATTAATTATCAATTATGATTATTTTCAACATTCGGCAAAATAAAGAGGCTACAACTTTCTTAATTGGAAACCCTGTTCCTTGTTTTAGCTTTTTATTTTATTTTTCATTTCTTTTTTGAATTCATTATCATTAACATTAACATTATCCTAAAGAGATAACAATAATAATATCAGCATTAAATATTACATCACAATGAATCCTCGAGATCAAAAAAATATTGGACAATTCTCTACAATTGACCTTGGAAATCGTCATTCACATTCCTCTCAGGCGGAAACCCAAGCTCAGCAAAGCTGGAAACACTCTACTAGTTCATTCAAACCTGTCATAAATGCACACACACTAGAACAATCTGAAATGAACTCTAATGATAATACAATCATTGACCAAGGAAATTATTCAACAACAACAACAGCAGCAGCAGCAGCAGCAGAGACAGCAACGACTAGGAAATCAAACGCTACCCAAAATCCACGCCGTACTAGAATCACCAGAGCTTGTAAGCCTTTTATCAAATTCAATTAAACCAAATAAAAAAAAAGCGATAAGAATATATAAAAAGAGCATAAAACGTTTAATGAATAAGGATAATTAAATAAAAATGACAAAGCAAAAAAACCCAAAAATAAATAAATAAGTATATAATATTTGTGGTTAAAATATCATTAAATATTATTAATACTATATATCAGTAATAATTAACATGATTGTCTTGTAGGTGATACTTGTAGGCGAAAGAAGATAAAGTAAATCATAATTTTTAACCCTTGATCTCAACTAAAGAAGAAGAAAAAACATGTTGCATTAATCTTTTTATTTTACTTTTCTCCCTTTCTCCCATTTTAATATTGTTGCTATACTTGCTCTAGATGTGATGTCGATAATACACATCCTTGTTCGACATGCAGGCAGTATGAATGGGAATGCACATTTAATAACGTAAGAAATATTTTTAAACAGCCATATAGGCACAAACACCTATAACTTATAAAACTTTTGATCCCTTAATATTTTTAAACTATTATAGACTACCAAAAAGAGAGGTCCGCCAAAAGGGTAAATTGAAAACCAAAATTGTGCCAGAATATATGGATCTAGATATACAAAAGAACGAACGAAATATAAAGCAATTTTCTAATGATAATAGCTGTTGCTTTAATACGCATTATTATTCTCTAAATCCATTCTAGTTACATCGAAAGTTTGGAGATGCGTTTAAAAAAGATGGAAAAACTTCTAGAAAATATCCAACCAGGTCATCAGGATGATACCGATAAACCTTCCAACAAACGTCAACGATCTCAGTCATTTGTGTCAACCGAAGAAGGCTCAGAAGAATCCTCGATTGAAAAATCTAACCAACAACACCACAGCCACTCGATGTCCCCAAGTATCTATAACAACAACAACAACAATGGTTCTCCATATTCCGAAACCAGCTCAAGTGTACAAGCATTATCTGATGCCGGCTCTCCTGTTTTGCCGTCCATTGATAGTATGGTCTGTACAATGGAAACGGCTAAAAACAAAGTTATACGATATCACGGTAGTTCCTCAGGCTACTATATAGTTGGAAATATACTTTCTGGTCAACAAACTAATAAACAGGATGAAACAGCAACAACAGCAACAAAAAAATTACCATCAGTATTAAAGCCACCATCAGCATCAGCATCAACATTAACATCAACACCATCATTAGTCTCAGCATCAACATCAGCATCAACATTAGTATCAGCAGCAGGAGAAAGAGGAAAAGAAACCCCGCTACCATTTGAGGAACAATCGGGACGAAATGGACCGTATGGGCCGACAAGAAGCAACTCAAAATCCAACACACACACTGCATATTCGCATTCACATTCACAAGCACAAGCACAAGCACAAACACAAACACAAACACACCCGTACATATATAATCAAGAAGTACCTCTCTTGCCAACCTACAATGGAACCTACAGACTACGCAAGCTCAATAAATTTGACGAAGATATGGTATTTATCAGAGACGCTACTGAAGCTGAGCATGCCTGTCAAAGAGAGGTGGATAAGCAAGACACAATTGACGATCTTGTCCCTCGTTCTGTGTTACGAGCACTGGCTCAAGTGTAAGCTTAATTAATTTATTTATATATATATATTTCTCGTCTATAAAACAAATACACAAACATATAAATATACTTATATACAATTTTCTTTAGTTATTTTGAAATACCTCATCCTACTCTACCAATTCTGGATAAAGATGATTACATGAATTCGTTAGATGGACGGTCATCGCCGCCTCCAGCCCCACTCTTGACATACTCAATCTGCCTTTATGCTTGTTTCTTGATTCAATCAGACGATCCTTTGTTTAAAAATGCAGGAATGGAGAGGGACGTGATCTTCAGTACCTTGCTTGAGAAGTCCGCAAAATTGGTTCGAAAAGAGTATCTGGTTCCTCGAATAGCTAATATACAGGCCCTGATCTTACTCTGCGCTCATCCGACCTACTCTGGTAACACACACCGTTGTTGGATAATGGCTGGTATGGCTGTCAGAATGGTAAGAATATTAATTTATATATATACAAATTATGTACATAAAGAATCTCATCATAATTCATTTTTCTGGTTTCGTTGTTGTTTATGGTAGGCTCAGGACCTGGGTTTACATCGTACATTTTCTTCGACAAAGATATCGGAAGAGGTGCACGAACAGAGAAAGCGGCTGTGGTATAGTGTTTATGTGACCGACCGTTGGTGCTGTGCAGTGATGGGAAGACCTCTGGCAATTGCCGATTCAGATTGCGATATTGATTTGCCAAGACTTTATGGAAGTACCGACGAACGTAAAAACAAGATGGATTACGTTTTGTTTGTGAATTTTGTCAAACTTTCGGGTATTCTGGGCGAAGTGCTGCGCCGGATATACTCTCCAAAGGCTAAATCTGTGGGATACAAGACAGCGTCAATGGAACAAACGGCCTACAGTTTACAACGGATGTTGAACGAATGGTTCGACCAATTACCCGAACAGTATCGTATCACCTGTGAGGACCTCGAAGGAATCAAAAAACAAAAATACAGTAACAATATCAATGGTGGAAATGGTGCCGGTAACTATCATTACTCTGGTCCAAAAAACCTCTATGATGGTGGATGTATTACGGCATGCTATTGCGCTGTTGTCATCCTACTCCATCGCCCTTTTATCGCGTTGGAAAACAGTGACGGTGCAAAGGCGCAGGTATACGCAGAAGCTATGCAACGTTGCACCAAGATGGCCAAAATAACAATTGACATTGCACGAGTGCTACCGAGCATAGCAATTACTAGATTTGGATGGAACTTTGCTGGTGAGTGGGGCTTTTAATTTTTTCTCTTCTTTTGACTTTGAACATCTTTGTATTCATGTATTTATTTGTTTGCTTGTGTTTGTTTGTTTCTGTGTATATTACAAGCTTATTCCATATATCAGGCTGTATTGATACATATTTACAATTGTATGAGCAATGATCCAAAAGTGGAATCATTGGCATGCGAGTACATTCGTATCAGTATGGAAGAGTGTGTGGGACCCTTGACAAGAGACATTCCATATGGCCCTCCAATAATCAGCCTCTTGACAAAATTAATGAGTATTGTGGGAGTAGATGCAAATGGCGTTAGATACACTCCAAGGGCTCCACCACACGGTTTTGACAAAACCAAACCTCAAGCTCAAGCTCAACCCCAAACTCAACCCCAGACTCAAACTCAAGAACAAGCTCAAGCTCAAGAACAAGCTCATGCCCAAGCACAAGCTCATGCCCAAGCACAAGCACAAGCTCATGCCCAAGCTCAAGCTCAAGCTCATGCCCAAGCTCAAGCTCAACTTCAAGCCCAGGCTCAAGCCCAAGCCCAAGCCCAAACACGACAGGAACATGGCGGGAATGAATATGCTTCGCAAACATTATCGTTTAAGGATTACAGATCTCCGAAAATGATGAGTGTACAACACATTATCTCTGATGTACAAGAGGAGCCTCAGCAACATCCATTTTACCAGCCACAACAGACACTAGCAAACAACATGTATCAAACCCAGAACCAAAACCAAAACCAACAACAACAAGAAAATAATAATAAGAATAGTAGTAGTAGTAGTAATAGCAATAGTAACGTTACAGCCGGTGATAGCAATGGTAATGGTATCATTGGTACCAGTGCTGGTACTAGTGCTGGTACTGGAACTGGAACTGGAACTGGCAATGGTACTGGCATTGGCACTGGTACTGGTTTATGTGGTTCGGAAGAGCAGGATTCCTGGTTATTTGGAGGTCCTTGTTCGGTAACCCAGGCTACGTGGCAACAACTCTTCTCATCTACTGGTGCTCCGTTTGTGGATGAAACTAATAACGGTTCCCAATGTAAGTGGAAAAAGAATTAGGCTTTTTTTTTTCTTTTTTTACTTTATTTTATATTACATGTATATATATATATGTTTGGAAGTTTTCTCACCCACAAACCATAATATAAATTATCTTGGATTAGGTTGGGAGAACATCTTCTTTGACAATATACAGTCTTTTGGTGAACCAAATGGCAACAGCTTATTTATGCAATAACCTTAATAATTGTAATAATTGTAATAATTGTAATAATTGTAATAATTGTAATAAACATCTTTCCTTTATACATATTTATACATCTTTATATATATATGTACGTATGTATTTCATTTTAATACAACTTAGCAACAAATAGGTTCATTCTTTTCTTTCTCCCGCACGTGACTTGTACATGGTAAAGCTTAAAAAAGCGATCGGGGCAAAGAATCTATTAAAAATATAATAAAATAAAAAATAAAATAAAAGAATAAAAGAAATCCAAACCTCGTCAACTCCTGCGCTTTTCCCTCTTTTTTATATTTTTCATTACTTTTCTTCTTACACAGTAAAATAGAAGAACAATAAGCCAACTATACCAAACCAAACAAACAAGCAAACAATAGCATAAATGACAGAAAACTACTATCACAGTTACAGCAGAACTAGTAACTTCCCTCCTAGTGAGGGTTACGGTGATTATACTGAAGAAACGCGCGAAGAGTCTGAAGATGGAACCACAACCTATCACTATACAAAGGTAAAAAAGAAAAAGAAAAAGAAAAAAAGGGGAAAATATCGCGTACCTTTTCTCTTTTTCACAGTAACAACACCAATATCAACAATAGCAGCAAAGAATCTCACCATTCAAAAATTTACAAAAACCCATCTAGACATACACTACTACTACTTCTTCAAACTACACTACTTCTGAAGGCTCATACTCATACGGGATTCCGGTCGGTGGCCATGGCAGGTTACACAACGGTTACTCTGTCCCGACCGATACGGAAGAGGAAGAGGAGGAAGATCCCGAGTCCACTTACACCCGTCCTACTCTGAAGAGTTCTGAAGATTCATTAGGTAAACAAAAAGAAAAGCAACTACCATTACCATCGTTATCTTTTTCTCTTTTTACTCTGTGGTCTGTAGCTGAGAAGCAGATTCTTATTTGGTCTAGTAGAAGTATAAAATATATAATAATCATGATGGCTTATTTTTTCGCCTTTTAACCGAGACCCCCCAAAATAAGAAAGAGAAAAAAGAGAAAAAAATGCCTCGTTTTGTTGCTGATTTTAGATTATTATTTTGCTTTTTGAAATTCTCATGTAGCACGATATCATGAAGAGCACCAGTCGTCAGGCGATGAAGTGTTTTTGCATGTTCGCCATGATTTGAAAAACCAGCCCCCTCCATCATTTGAGCTCTCAAATTGCAAGTATTACAATATGGTTGTTATGTGTACAATGCGCGTATATGCACATGCATTCATAATTATAATCATATAATTCCATTTATTAAACCGTATTGTTTTGATAATCAACTAGGTCAAGGAAAGAAGAGAGCCCTTTTGATTGGTATCAATTACACTGGCACACCCAACGAGTTAAAAGGTAAAAAAAAAAAAGAGAAGAACATAGTGATAATGCAATACAAGTTGAGCAAAAAAGAAATTAACTATAGATAATAAATAAATTAAAAACATTTAGGATGTATCAATGATGTTCATAATGTTAAGAACTTCTTGACAACCCTATACGGATTTCAAGAAGAGGACATGGTAATCTTGACTGATGATCAAGAAGAACCACAGCTTATTCCAACCAGGGCCAACATTTTGGCAGCTATGGAATGGCTTGTTCATGATGCCAACCCTAATGACTCGTAAGTTTACAAAAAAAACACACCATCCCCCTTGATTTTCATTTTTCTTCGTCTATATTATAAAATGGTGATAATTATATACTAACGTTGTAAAATCCAAACAAAAAATATATAGATTTTTCTTTCACTACAGTGGTCATGGTGGTAGTGTAAGTTGATTGAATATTTTGGTTTAAAGATTAAATATATATATGATTAATTAATCCGTAAATATGTATGTATGTGTGTGGTTTCAATAGGTCAAGGATATCAGTGGTGATGAAGATGATGGCTATGATGAGACAATTTATCCAGTCGACTTTCAAGAATTTGATGGCGAATCCGGTCAGATTATTGACGATGTAAATATATAAGATATAAAATGGGTTAGGCTGTAAGAAAGACAAGCAGAGTATAATAGAGTATAATAGAGTATAATAGTAGAGAAAAGAGCGTAAAAAAAATAAGATAAGATAAGAAAAGTAGTATATTGGAGAGTGTTTTTTTACTCTTGCTTTCAAGTGGTCAAAGGATATTAACCTTTTACTTCTTCTTTTTAAATGATAAAAAAAAGGATATGCACGATATTATGGTGAGACCATTGTGTGCTGGATGTCGATTGACCGCAATCTTTGACAGCTGCCACTCGGCCACTGCACTTGACCTTCCATACATTTACTCTACACACGGTGTCATCAAAGAGATGAATCTTTTCAAGGATGCTGGCAAGGGTCTGCTTACTGCTGGTGTGGCATATCTTCAGGGTGACAAGATGGGAGCATTTTCTTCGATGAAGGACACAGCCATGAGACTGTTCAATGCTCGTGATGTTGGAGAGCAAAACAGACAGCAGAACAGTTCTCCTGCAGATGTTATCATGTTTTCAGGGTAAGAAGAAAGGAAGGAACAAAGAAAAAGAACGGTCAGTTGATTTATTGATTTTATTGAATATTTTTTCTAGATGTAAAGACGATCAAACTTCTGCAGATAGTCAAGAGGCAGGAAAGGCTACCGGTGCCATGAGTTATGCATTTACTTGTAAGTTTTGTTTGTTGTTGTTGTTGTTGTTGTAAACTTCTTTCTAAATCAGCTTTATGCATTATGTCTTATTCTAGCTACTCTTCGAGAAAACCCCAACCAATCATACCACATGCTGTTGAACAGCGTTCGCGACATCTTGCGAAACAAATATGAGCAACGTCCTCAGATGAGCTCTTCTCATCCTATTGATGTCAACCTTATGTTTGTCTGTTAAATAATGATATATATATATAAATAGTAATAATAGTAATAATAATAATAAAATACCTCTTAACCTCTCTTATATAAATATAAATATATATGAATTATCCTTCTTGAATTAACTTGTATTAAACAGAACATTTACAGCCAAATATATAGATTATTATTATTATTATTATTTTGAGGGAAAGGATGATGCTGGTATGGAAGCCGTTTATCCACAGCTGCTTGTATGTGTTTTACTTTATTGGTAATATGGGCATACTTTAGCCCGAATAGTCTATTCTATTCTAAGAGCCCGATTGTACCTTTATAAAAATACAATTATGACACCAGTAACCTATTTAAGAATTTTCCTGGACATTCAAGCTAATATCCACGCAATTGGGCTACGGAAATACGATATACCGATTCTTGCTATACATTATATTTATCATTGGCACTTTTTATTATTCTTCCTCTGTTTATTTGAATAATGGTAATTATAGCTATGGAAAATAAGAAGGTAATGTTGACCTTTTCTTTGATTTTTTTAAAAGAGTAATAATAACTAATTACCATGGAAACGGGCCAAAGAAAAGAATCGGCCAAATATAAATATATATATAGGCTATGATGTACATTATCATAATCATCATCATCATCATCATCTTTGACTGCGATTTGTGCAAAAAAAGTAAAAAAATAAAAATAAAAAACAGTATTGTACTAAATATCTTCATTTACTTTGAGACCATTTGTGTGGGGCACATGTACACCTTCCAGATACACCACTGGCTGCTACGTAATAAATAGATAGATAAGTATTTCTCATAATTGTCTGGACCTTCTACTATTTATGACATGGCTTTGACTTTGACTTTGACTTTGACTTTGGACTTGGGCTTAGGCTGGTACAATACATCGTGTATTTAAATATACATATACTAGCTGCTAAATATCCTACACAATTAAATACTTCTTTGGACAAGCTGAACTATCTTGAATGTTATAACATTATTATAAGTATTATCAGTACTATTGTGATTCTCAAAAAAAAAAGAAGAGACAAAACAATTTATCTATACTAAGTTATCATATGTGCAGTATGATTTCAAAAGAGAGAAAGGAAGGAAGAGCTAGCAATCCTGTTCTTTAGATCGTGGCACAAATTGCTTTGCTTGTAATCAAGAAAGATATAGAGCAACATAGAACATTTCTATTCGTACTTTCCATGTTTTCTCTCCCTCCTTCTCTCCCTTTCTTCTTTTATTATTCTTATTGGCATTGCTATTAATATGATAATCATAATGATCTTCTTCCTCTTCTTTCTTTCTATAAAATCTAGAAATTCCACACCAAATATGTGTTGAAATTAGTAGAATATAAAGAAGTTCTCTATTAATATTATCGCTTTTGAACAATAATCTGTGGTTTCCTGGGAAACATCCTCCTTTTCTCTCTATCTTTGTTTTCATTATTGGATATCTTTATTGATCTTCTACATGTATGTGCATGTATATATGTATGTATGTATGTGAGTAGCTAAGTCAATAGATATATATGTATATATATATATATATAGAATGATAAGCATTAGAGTAAACTAACGTAAAGTAAATAGGTGAGGGGAAAGGTAAGGGGGTGGAAAATGAATTGAATGGCATTGACTGGGATGAGGGAGATGGAGGTTTGCAATATTAGGTTTTGTTGGTCGTTTCACAGATGGCGCCATAATTTTTTTAAAAAAAAAAATTCAAATCCGCCATTTTGAAGATCCTATAAAAATAAAATTATGAAAGGAAGAAAAAAAGAAAGAAAAAAGTGCCTCGACCGCAATTCCTTTAAAACCAAAAAGCTAAAATCTTATATTTATATTTATTAGGTTTGATATATATGTGCGCGTATTTTTGTACTGATGCTTCGTGACAAAGTAGCTCTTTTCTTTGGTTCTTTAATTTTCTCACTATTGTGGTGTATATCATATACACTTTATAAACCTCATAAAAAATGCGCAAATATTTTAGTTATGATTTTCCACGCTGTACTTTTTAGAGAGAGAGAAAAAATATCTGTAATTGACTTGATAGTCTTTGGTATTGAGTATTCTAGAATCTTTATTTAGCTATGAAGAAAGAACCCCTGTAGAATTGTGTTGATTTTATTATAGTTATATCTTTTTGTATAATATCGACGATGCCATGTATTTGTTTGTTTGTGTGTTTGTGTGTTTGCTGTTATTCGTCAAGTCAAATTTCTTTATATATAAAGTATCTGGATTTACCTATTCTTATGTGTAATAAATATAAAATATTAAAGTATATTTATTTAAGATTTGAAGTTCTAGTGCCGATTTTTGGGACCATATCCAACCCTTGGTTTGTGGTTTTTTAAAATATACATATATACGTATATACAAGTCAGAAATAGGTAGATATTATATGATACGCCACAGTAATATATACATAAAAAAGATAGATAGATATAAAAATTATTTTATTTTACTTTATTTTATATTTCTTTCTTTTATTCTAATGTAGAAAAGAGTACTTTGTTGGTAAGGGTCTGGTACACAAAATTTGAATTTATAAATGAAATATTTAAATACAAAATAAAATAAATTAAACTGGGTTGGGTTTGGTTTGGTTGTTGCCTATACAAGGCCAGAACATTTATTTATCTATCTATCTAATCAAATATTAAATTATTCAATGTACTAGAGATTAATGTCATTTTGTAGTGCATTCTATCATAATTATCAATATAAACATATATATGTGTATGTATTACTATTAATTACCATTAATGACAAACAAGCTGTAAATATAAGTCTAATAGAGAATCACCTTATAATCTAGATATGTATATCATTTATAGTTAAAGACAAACCAAGAGTAATATATATATATATATTAAAGAGCAAGAAGAAGAAAGTGGCGGTGGTGGTGGTGGTGAATATAACAAACTGTAGTTGAATTATTTTTAATTTAGTGTTTGTTGTTTTTTGTGGCAAATAATAATAATACCATATTCCTTTACTTTACTTTACTTTACTTTTATATATTTTATATTTAATATATCAAATACAAAAGGAGGGGTGGTTATAGGAGGTCTGTTTCAAATTAATAGTAATATATAAATTTATTTATTTACTTAAATGAATAAATGAATGGATTAACAAAAAATAGTAAATTTCTTGTCCAAGGTCAGTCCAAAATAACTTTTTTTTGTGTGTGTGTGGCTTTACTTTACTTTTTCTTTTTCATGACAGAATTATATACCAATAATTATATATAAATATTATTCTTTTGAGACGATTGGTTCCAATATCCATTATTACAGCACAGGCCACTATATTTCTGCCTGCCATTTCTTCTCTTTTTTTGGTGTTTTCTGTTCAAACAATATTTTGATAGTTGAAGTGGGATACACAAAGACCTGGTAGATTACCTAAAGAAGTAGTTGTGCAAGAGATATTTGAGTACCACACGATCGTTAAATAAATTACATTTGTATATTTGTCTTATATAATAACAAAGACAGGTAGAAAATGAATAGAAATACAAAACAAAGAGTAGAATAAGATGGGGATTGTGCTGCATTTTTTTTATTGATAGGGTAATGTACTATATTTTATATATATATTTTATTGCGTTTAATGAACAGCATGGAAACCATGGTGATTCAAATGACCAATAAAGAATACATATAGATTGATAGACTATTCTTAATTGAAATTGATATTCCTAATTGATGAAAAATGAATATATATAAAAGAATCTTTAGTAGCCGGGAATACCAAATTCTTCAATTTTTTTCTTAGTCTCCATGGCAATATATAAAGTCATCAAGGGTCCAGGCTACTAAAAAGAAATATATCACTAGCTTACAGCTCCTACTTTATTTTAATTGAAATATATATATAGCCGAAAAGAAGGTTTTCATGTTCAATATACCAAAAGTAAAGTAAAGACCAAAATTATATATATTTTCAAATATATGTATGTAAGAAAGAAAAATGGAATTGACTGTTTACAAGTCAAGTCATTCCAGATTTTGTGCTTTGGTCTGTCTAGTAAAAAAAAAGAGGGTTTTTTTGTTGTTGAAATTCAAGACAGAGAATAGGAAATACATACTATTTTTGGCTTTAGAATGAATATGATACCAACCTTCTTGTTCAACCATTGACCAACTCAGAAATACATCACCAAAAAAAAACTTTATACACCTTTTTTTTGTGGTTGTTCAACAACTCTAGAGACAACCAGGGAATCCAGCACGTGTAATACTAGATTTGATCTCTTTTAAGACTGCGCTATTATTATTATTATTATTATTATTTTTATTTATTCATTATTTATCATTATTTATAAAGTAGTAGTGTATTATGGACTTATGAATTGTGGATTATGAATAATAAATTATGAATTGTGAGGTATTATATAGTCATTATCTTGTGATTGTGGTCATAGACGCGAGAATGTAGGTATAATTTGTATATTGATTTGTTGAAAGCAAGTACAATAATGCAATGATGTCTGTGTATATTAAAATAGAAGCAGTAATTTGTATCTGATCTCTTCTTCATATACATACATATAAAAAAATGTATTCTGGGACACAGTGGAATGAGTGGAAGATAACAACCCGGGGAAATGGGTCAACACCACGATTAGTAAACTACAAACACAAATATATCTTCATTACAGGGCGGACGTGTAAAATCCACAAAAGTTGGCTTCTTTATACTTTTTATACAAACCTATATATAAATGCGTGCCGGGATATTTTGTATAGAAAAGAATGTGATTGTTTCAAAAAGAAAAGGTTGAAAAGAATAAAAACGAACATCTTGTTCGATTTCTGCGGAGACCCGAGTCTTGAAGAGTTAGAATTGTGGATATTCGGAGCGGGTAGACAAAAGAAGATATATAAATATATAATATATATAAAGTAAAAGAAGGGAACTTCTATTGACAAAGAAAGGACAAGATCAGCAAGGACAAGATTTGACTTTCTTTTTTTTCTTTTTTTTTGATAATAGAAAACACATATATAAAATAAAATACAAAAATAGAATCACAAAAAAGTTAATAAATTTTGTCCTCATATTCATTTCCACGGCAACCCAATCGCACGCTGTCTTGGAAGTTTTCCCTTGTTCTTTTTAAAACTCCATTCAATTTTCCCTCTTTTTGCTTTTCCCTTTACCTCTTCATCCTTTTTTCCACCCCCTCCCTCGCCCATCTTCCTTCTTTCGCTCTTTCTTTCGCTCTCTTTACTTCTTCTCTCTTTCCTTCAACTCTCCCTTTCTCTTTCTCTCTCTCCCTCACTTGTAGAACTCAATTATATATTACATATAACAAATTGTTCTATAACAGAAGAAAAGGGCAGTCAGCAGAAAACAATAAATCCCTGAACACCAAATTCTTTTTGACGTTCATACAAAAAAGAATATAACAACAACAAGCCTTCAATTATATTCAATCCCTCTCGCTCCCTTTCTCTTATATATATACAAACATATATAAAAACAACCAACCAAGCAAAGAAAGAAAACAAATAAACATGCGCTCTGCAATCCTTTGTCTCGCAGCTCTTGCCCAGCTCGCTCTCTCTGCTTCGGCCGAACCCATGAAGATTCCTCTTTACAAGCGTAGCAACGACTTTGTAAAGGCTGGCGGAAAGGAACTTTCCAATGGTGTTGTAAGTCCCATATTTATCTACATTTCTTTATTAAATTAAATTAGATAGAATAAAATAAGATTCAACCTTTAAACTTTCTGTAGAACATTTAAAAAACAAAAACAAAATGTGTATATAATATATTTATATACTAATAATAATAGATTTCATTATTAACAAATATATATAATTTTTTCTATTAGTTGTCTGGTACTGTTCAGATTGGTACTCCTCCCCAGGAGTTCACCATGGCCTTTGATACCAGTAAGTTGATCATACATTTATTTATCTCCATAGAGATATACATATATATATATATATATTAATTTATTTTCTCTTAACCATAGCAACCGGTTATTCCTGGGTTCGTGGATCTCGGGTAAGATTTTTTGTCATTATTTTAGATTTATTTTGGTGTTCATTTTGATTACTCTTTTCGTTTTACTAATGTTACCTATTATTTATTTTGCAATAATTATCAATAATATATCTTTATTATTACCTTACATTAGTGCAAGACTGAAAACTGCCTTGATCGCTGTACCTATTACTCTAGACGCTCCGATACCGTTACTTCTCTTGGCAAGAAATTCTCAGTCGAATACGGAGATGCCTGTGTCGATACTCACGTTTACCTTGACACCTTTAACTTTGCTGGTCTCACTGTTGAGAACATGCCCTTTGGTGGTGCTTACCGCATGAGTGGTTTCGTCGATGGCTTTGGTAAATAAATAATTATATTTAATAATCATATATATATTAACGTAAATTCTCTCTTCTTTTTTTCTTTATTAGATGGTTATCTCGGTCTTGGTCGTGATGTGAACTTTACTCAGACCAAGATTAAGTCTTCTGCTGCTTATGGTAATTAACCACTCACTTGCACAACCCATACACAAAATATGCATATTACTCTTATTAGTCTTATTATTCTCTAAAGATAATAGTAATAGTAGTAATAGTAATTACCAAATATATATATATAATTATATATCGAAAATATTTAACAAAAATAATTTTTGTTTTTTTTTGTTTTCTTGTTTTAGGTCTCAACAAGCGAGATGTTGCCATCCCTGCTTCTGCCTTTGTTGAAAACGCTTACCAGCAGGGTTCTGGTATTGAGAGTCTGCAATTCGGCATGTACACCACCTCCACCGAGGACGATGGTTTCAGCCAGTCTGGTGTTGTCACTCCTGAACCCACTATTGTAACCAACGCTGATGGTTCGGTCACTACCACAAATGCTGACGGTTCTACCTCTACCACTGCTACCGACGGTACAATCACCACCACTCCTGCCACTATTGTAACCAACGCTGATGGTTCGGTCACCACCACAAATGCTGACGGTTCTACCTCTACCACTGCTACCGACGGTACAATCACCACCACTCCTGCCACCGTTACTACTCCTGTCGATACTACCACTTCCGCAACCACAGATAACACTGTTTCGTCTGGTGGTTTCGGTTTCGTCAAGCGTCACAACCAGAAGGTTGATGGTTACCTTGTTCTCGGTGGTGTTGACACCAGTGTCATTGAAGGCGATGTCAACTACTTGCCTCTTTCCAACAACCCTGACGGTGGACCCAAGAACTGGGAAGTCTGCATTCGTGATGCCAACTTTGGTTCTAAGCTCAACTTGAAGCAGCAGATTGGTGCCATTGCTGCCATCAGTACCTCTTCCGAATACATTTCCATGCCTGCCCACCAAGGTAATTAATACATACACATATATATAATTATTATTTATTTATTTATTTTCTAAACATCGTTTCATTTTTATAAATATTTATAGCCGATGCTTTCCACAAGAAGTTCGGGGGAACCTACTATGCTACCACAAAGACCTACAGCATCAAGTGCTCCAAGATCAAGGATCTCCCTCCCCTCAAGTTGCAGTTGGAGACCCACATTGTTGAAATTCCCGCATCATACTGGACCCGTGAGATCGACAACGGCCGTGATTGCTGTGCCACTCGTATCAGCCGTGGCAGCTCTGACAGAGACTGGGTCCTCGGATCCAGCTTCACCAATGCTTTCTACACCACCTTTGATACCGAAAACGACACCCTTGGCTTGGCTATCAAGAAGGGCACCAGTGCTTCCGGTCTCAAGATCTACAAGAAGAACAAGAAGGCATAAGCAAACATAAAAAAAAGAATAAAAAATGACAGACAAGACATAAAGAAGTTTGATTTTTTTTATTACTTTATTATATATATAATAACCAAACCCATCAATCAAAAATGTTATTATTTGCTAGCAAATAATAATATTAGTAATAGTAATAACAATAGCAATAGTAATAGTAATAATATTAAAAAAAAACCTCCCAAATTCTTTTTCGTCGTCTATCTTTTTTTTTATAAATCAACATATCTAACTACTTCTTTTTCTCTATCCTTATCTTTATACACTTCTTTATTTATTTATTTAATGTGATAAATGTTCACAAAATGTTCCTTTCTTTTCTCTTCTCTTCTTTATATACCTATTTAAATTATTCTTACTATAACAACAAAAAAGAAACTATAAAAAAATATTACAGAAAGATAAAATATCAAATTTTACCAGAAAATGACAAAAGAAAATCATAAAGATTAGATCAATATAATTTTATTGGTCATTAATTTAAAAACGAAAGAAAAAAGTTAATTTTAGTCTTCTTCTTATAGCCTTTAATGAAACGCGAGACAAGAGGTATAAAGAGGTCGTTTTTGCAAACAACTGTATATCGATATGAGAATAGAAGCAAAAAAAAAGGGAGAGAGAAAGAGGTTATGATCTATATTTCCTTAGTGTCGTACGCATAGAAGGCCTGTCTTTCTTTTATTCATTTATTTCTTTTATCCGACATCTATTTAGAGTAAGAGAAATATATCTTGCACTACTTGACCAAAAATATAATAAAATTTGTATATATATAAAAAGTCGTCTGATAGAAGCTTTGTTCCTGTTTCGATCTCTTTTTCTCTTAATTTACACAAGTTGGGCTTGTAGTACTCTTTATTATTATCTTTTAGTATTTCCTTTATCACCAAAATAAGAAAAGATAGTACTTCTTGACCGTCTATTTCTGTTACTAGGTATGTAAGTATATACGTGCTTATTGACTATTGTTAGATTTGCTTATTTAGAAGTAGCCGGTCCTTAAGAACTAAAGGAAGAAAAAAGAAAAGGTAATCATTTATAAATATCTTGCAATCTGATGAAAATGACATGGCTTATATTCTCTTTTATTTCTAAATTAGAAGAATAAGGTCCAAGTTCAAACACACGTATAAAATAAGGTAAAACAAAAATCCTCTGTATTATATAACCAACACTTGTAGGCCTTAATTTTTTTTGTTATTTATAACCCTAAGTTTATTCTTTTTATATCAAAATCTCCATACTGGTTAACAATACCAAGGCGTCTAAATAAGTATAGAATATAGTAGTAAGCCAGCCATTAGCACTATTGTATTATATAATATAGAAATAGAGACAAACAGACAGGCAAGATAGAAGAAATATATATATATATATATGTGTGTGTGGGAGAGAGAAAGAGACAGGAGAGATTGAAGAGAATGTGGTAAAATGCCTTTTTAGGTATATTTTTTCAAAAACAGAGGTGAATACAGCCTCACCAGCCATAAAATTATATATTTTTATATTTTTATATAAATTCAACAGCAACAAAGTAGCACAGCCTTTTATATATTTATATATTTATATATATATATAATCAATCAATCAATCAGTACAATTCAGTCAATAAAGGAATCTCCTTTTTAACAGTCCGTATTAAACGGGGTCTTTCATAATGAACTCAACAGTAATAATAATAATAATAGCAGAAGTATTCATTTATAGGTACATGTAAGAAAAAGGGTACTTGATTGTAATCAAAATACTAAAAAGAAATTATCAATTGAACATAAATATCCTTATTATCGATTTTTGCGTTTATTCAATACTGGTCCTAATGAAGCTTAATCTACCCTATATTTTATGTATAGATATAGACATGGTCATGGTCATGGTCATGGCCATGAGCTTAAACTTTAACTTGAACTTGAACTTGACGTCTCACTATCAATATAGATATAAATTACGACATGTATAATATAAACTAATAAAAGAATCAAAGCTAAAATACATTTCTGTTTGACTTTCTGAAATTTGCCAAGACTGTCACAGGTAATTCCTCTTGTATATTTTTTTATTTGTTTTTTCTAAAAGCCTAAAATCGTGTTACGTAATACGCATGGAATTTTATTTACCTTTTTATTATTACTTTATATTTCTTCTTTCAATGACTGTAATGTAGAAAGTACGCCAAGCTAATAATCTTGCTTTTACAAGTCCTTCATCATAACTATAGTCATAAAGTCTATTTCAAAATACTAATTTCACTTTTATATCTTCATTCAAAATCAGTACTGAAAAACGTTTCTTTTCAGGTACTATCTTGATTTGAATATGTTCTCTAGCATATACATACATAGAAAGAACAAGAAAAACGAGTAGTAGCAGTAGCAGCAGCAGCATATTATCCCCTTTATTTTCAACACGGTGCAGATAAAAAGTCGCGTAGCACAGACTTTGGCTTTCTTCCCCCTTCCCCTTCCCCCTTCCTACTTTGTGCTCCTCTTGTATTTATCCGTAATTGTTAAAACTTGAATGCCGTCAGGGCGCGCACTTCTCTCACACCCCCTCAACCTCAACATCTACCTCCTTCATATTGCCTCTTTTGAGTTTTCTACTTTCTGAATAACTTGAAGGTATAAAAAAAACATAACCGTGTTTATCCCTACTTCATAAAAAAAAGCACAAAAACGACTATAGTGTTACATTGACTTTTCAAGTGTATATTGATGCCCTTTTCTTTTTATTTCTTTATTTCGTTATTATGGCTGTTATTCAATATTATCAAGGTAAAATATTGACAGCAACTTTAAGATGTCCTTAATGGATACAAGTTAGATATCGTTTGATTTGAGTAAAAAAAATCATAAATGAATGGGTAGAATTTGTGATACAAGTCTTGTTTGCTATCAATTATTCATTCCTTTAGATAATGAATGAGTTTTCTTATAAAACATGTGTATATTCTAATATATACATATACAGAAGATTTAATATTGAATGTTTGTTACTAGAATGTAGACAAATACATGCCTACACCAAGTTATATCTTACTACTACTACTACTACTACTACTACTACTACTACTACTACTATTACTACTACTACTATTAAGACTAAAAAACCAAAACCAAAACCAAAAACCTCCCAAAGGGTTGGGTATCAGAAATCTTTGACATATTTGACATATTTGACCGTAAAAATCAAAATTAAAATTAAAAGGTACGGGTTGGTTTGGATTTTTTTTTAAAAAAAGTTTAAAGTATAAAGGGGGTTTCAACAATGTAGATATGCAATTGTTTTATATGCCTTTGATATCAATTACTCAAATCTGTTCTTTTGGATTTAATATGTTCCTTTTCATTTATATATAAATAAAGTAAATGAAGATTATGATCATAATGCTGACAATAATTTTGGTACCTTAATATATATTTATATATATACTCCCTTTGAAAATCACCTAAATCCCAATTTCTCTTGGTTCTATATGATATCATTAATCCCGAGGAATTAAAGTTATATAAAACACAGAAGAAGAAGAAGAAGATCATACACAATATACACATATTGATTGTTTGGGTTGATTGTTTGGTTTCTATGTGTTTGCTAGCTTGTTAGTATCCTATGGTCCTGTCAAACGAATTCTTTGATCAATGAACACATGACTGCTTTCCCCATATCAGGCAAGAGTCTTTGACCTTTATTTTGATTAGATAAAAATAATAATAATAGAGAGAAAGAGAGAAAGCGTGTGTGTATGAGAGAAAACAGTGAGTGAATGAGTGAGTGACTATCGCTTAGTGTAGTGAATGTAGTGTAGTGAAGAATAGAGGAAGAAATAAGAGAACATCCAAAAAAAGAAAAAAGAAAGAAAGAGTGAAAGAAAAAAGACACTTCCGCAAGCCACGCTGAGTTAAAAAGCTCTGCTTTAAAAAGAAAAAAAAAACTTTTTTTTTCTTTTTTTTAACTTGGTATTCGTACGTCTGTTCTCTATTTGCTTTAATGTCATCTACTACGCCCGAACTCGACGCACTAGTACACCAATACTTGGTGCATTGCGGCCAAAAGAAAGCAGCTGATTTGCTTAAGAAGTCAATTCCTTCTGTAAGAGAAAACAGATCTGATCTAGAACTTTACCTAACCTTATTTTTTTTTCTTAAAATCAGACCAAGACAACTGTCAAGGCTGATCTCCAGACAATCTTCAAGGAGTACCAAAGCAGGTAAAATTAATCGAATCGTGTCTGCGTAATGACTTACACATTAAAAATTAAACAGACAATCCGTAAAAGAAGAGAGCTCCAACTCCAGCTCCAGCGACTCTGACAGCTCAAGCGATTCCGATAGCAGTGATTCTGACGACGAAAAACCCGATGTTGTGATGGAAGAGGCCAAGCCTATTGTTTCCAGCGCTTCCTCTTCCTCTTCTAGCGACTCTAGCGACTCTAGCGACTCTAGCGACTCTAGCGATTCCAGCGATTCTGAAGATGATGAGGATGTTAAAATGAAGGAGGCTAAGCCTGTGGCAATTGCTGTCCCTACCTCCTCATCCTCTGCTTCCTCCTCTTCAAGCAGTGATTCTTCTAGCTCCAGCGATTCCAGCGACTCTGAGGATGAAGAAGAGAAGAAGGTCGAGGCTTTGGCTGCCCCCGTTGTAGCTTCTGCAGAATCATCCAGCAGCAGCAGCGATTCTTCCAGCGACTCTTCCAGCGATTCTGACTCTGACTCTGACGATGAGGAAGTAAAGACTGTTGCTACCACCACCGCCGAAGCTGCAAAGTCTGATTCTAGTAGTGATTCTTCTTCTTCGTCTGATTCAAGTGATTCTGATTCAAGCGATTCTGATGACGAAGAGGAAGTCAAGGCTGCTCCTGCCGCAGTCAAGGCAGCCGTTTCTGAGGCAAAGTCTGATTCTTCCAGCTCTAGCTCCAGCGATTCCGATTCCAGCGACTCTGACAGCTCCAGCGATTCTGAGGATGAGGAAGAGAAGAAGGTTGAAGTTAAGGAAGAAGTTAAGGAGGCTGCCAAGGAGAGCTCCTCCAGCTCCAGCGATTCCGACTCCAGCGACTCCTCCAGCTCCAGCGATTCTGACAGCTCCAGCGATTCTGAGGATGAGGAAGAGAAGAAGGTTGAAGTTAAGGAGGCTGCCAAGGAGAGCTCTTCCAGCTCTAGCTCCAGCGATTCCGATTCCAGCGACTCTGACTCCAGCGATTCCGAGGATGAAGAGGAGAAGAAGGTTGAAGCTAAGGAAGAGGTCAAGGAAGAGGTCAAGGAAAGCTCTTCCAGCTCTAGCTCTAGCTCCAGCGATTCCGATTCCAGCGACTCTGACTCCAGCGATTCCGAGGATGAAGACGAGAAGAAGGTTGAAGTTAAGGAAGAGGTTAAGGAAGAGACCAAAGAAAGCTCCTCCAGCTCCAGCTCCAGTTCCAGCGATTCCGATTCCAGCGACTCTGACTCCAGCGATTCTGAAGATGAAGACGAGAAGAAGGTTGAAGTTAAGGAAGAGGTTAAGGAAGAGACCAAGGAAAACTCCTCAAGCTCTGATTCCAGCGATTCCGATTCCAGCGATTCCGATTCTAGCGACTCTGATTCCAGCGACTCTGAAGAAGAGACCGAAAAGATGGATGTTGACAAGAAGGCCGAGTCTTCCGATAGCGATTCTTCCTCTTCATCTTCCTCTGACAGCGACTCTTCATCCGATAGCGATTCCTCTTCAGATTCCGAAGATGAAAAGGACTCCAAGAAGCGTAAGGCTGAGGAACCCATTGAATCCCCTGCTGCAAAGAAGGCTGCAGTCCAAAAGTGAGAATTTTAGATTTAATGAAAGAGTGTGTGAGAGAGAGAAAGTGAGAGAGTGAGAAAGAGAGATATATATGTATATATGTAGAGAGAAAGAGAAAAACAAACGCATAAATGATCAAAATGAATGATCAAATTAACAAATGAATTAATGAACGAACGATAAACCAAAATAAAACACTGTTTCCTGACCCATTATTTTCTTCTTACCCTCCCTCTTCCTCACCCCACCTCGCCTCATTCTTATCATTCCGCCCATTTTTAGGCCTCTCCCCAAAAAGAAGGGACCCCGTCAGCCAGGAACACCTTTCCAGAGAGTAAAGCCCGAGGAAGTCGAATTCACAGATGATCGCCTGAAGGATAACTCATACGTCGGAAAGGGTGGATCTGATGAAATGTCATACGGCTGGAAGGCACACGTCGACCTGATCAAGACTCGCGGCGACAAGTTCAGAGCAGAGAAGAATAAGAAGAAGAGAGGAGCTTACAGAGGTGGTGCCATTACATTCGAGAGCCACAGCATCAAGTTCGACGCATAGATGCTTATTTGTCCATATTACAAGTATTAAATAAAAATTAAATAAATTCATAAACAAATAAATAAATAAACAAATGCATAACATAACATAATATAACATAACATGACATTTACTATACTTAATTATGAAGCACTGTATTACATTAAAGACAGCTAAATTGATATTCCTTTTGTTGTTTTGTTTTCAATGTGTTTAAAGAAGTATAAGGATTAAAGAAAAGACCACATGCACAAATAACAGCGACTCTATTCATTCAAGTCTTTATTAATTTATAATGAAGTATTTGTATTTGATGTGATTTGAGTTATAATGCAATGCGATGCAATGTAATGTAGTGTAATGTAGTGTAATATATAAATATGTATGCATTTAATATGGTGTAATTTTCTTCTTTTCTTTTGTTTTATACAACAAAGATAGAGTGTCCAAAAAATAAGAAAAGAAGAGGGGAGTAGGTTCGTTTCTAAACAATTATAGTTTGCTGTCTTTCATGGATACTTGTGCCGATATAATAATAATAAAAAGTATATATATATAAAAGGGTAAAGAAGAAAGAGAGAAAGAAGAAGAAGAATAAGAAGGTGTATCTATCGTAATATTCTACTCGTGTCTGAGTACCTATTTGTTTCATCGCAAGATATATCGTATGTTACAGTTGAACAGTTACCTGGTTACTTCCTTCTAGATCCATTATTTCTGAAATTGCGTTTTGTTTTCTCAAGGTCCTTTTGAGTGACCTTTGCTCTAATGATCTTAGATTCATAAAAGTCTAACATCTAAAATATAAGCATAAACAGACGCACATAAAGAATGAAGAAAGTATAAATTCTTATGATTAGATCCCATATATATATATTATTTTCGCCTCTATCTCTCTGTTACCCTACCCTTTCAGGACATTTTGCATAGACTTCGGTAGAATGATGAATAGTCTTTTTTCCATTCTTCCTGTCAAAGCATCACTTCAATGAATTTTTACTGTATGTATACGTACGTGTATACGTGTATACGTTCGCACGTGTCTGTTTCTTTGTCTGCTTGTTTTGTCGATCCTAACCCCCCCTGAATTATCCTTACCACACAATGTAGACAACTAATCCTGCATATTGAGCTCTTTCTACGGATGCAATGTGGTCTACTTCGGTTTCCCAGTCCGTGATATTTTCAATAAAGTCCATATAATCTTCAGAATCAAAATCTTCCGTTTCTTTTTTTTCTTCATTCCTTATGGCATTTTCTATGGATTGTAACTGCTTTTTCTCCTGGATTACTTTGTTTTTATATTTGTAAGCTAAAGCGGGAAAATCTCTATGGCATAGCATAGCATAATATATGATAGTATAGTTTTTTTTTGCATTACATAAGTAAACCACAAGATCCTTAATGATTCTATTCTTCTTCTTCTTTGTTTGCTATACAAAACTCACGTTTCAATCACATGAGCAGATTCCCAAGTAGAGGCATCGACATCGTATCCTAACCATTTGATGTTGTATTCTTCAATCACTCCCTGTGAAACAATGAAGATTAGCATGACTACATTTTAAACTTTCAAATGACCCATTACATTGTTTTCTTTGTGTCTCAATATCGACTCGGCAATATCATCTGGTTGAAAACTCATTTGTTAAAGGAAAATAAAATATGTAATAAGAGATAGAGAACGAAGCAAAGGTAGAGATAGAGAGAGATAGAAACAAAAATAAGAAAGAAGATGAATAAGAAGAAGAATAGATTATCACTCTAAAAAATTGAGTAAACTACTTCAACAAGGCAACGCATTGAGATAGAGAGAGAGGTCTTGTCATTTTGTTCAGGTCCCGCTTCTTTATGACAAACCGTCACATTGGCTTGGCCCAAACCCTCCCCTGCGACAAACACAGCCTGAAAGGCTTCTTCTTCTGTACTGTTCACCATGCTGTCTGCCACACCTGCTTACGCCCTTGCGCGAGCCACCTTCAAGCGTGCACAACGTGGTCTTTTCGGAGGAAAGCACATTCAGTTTGGTAACAACGTAAGGAGAAATGACTATTTCCACTTCATTCTTTTTTCTTGCTTTTCTTCTTCTTGTCAGTCGATTTAACTCCAAAAATTTGAACATTCTTTTGGTAATGTGCGTTTATAGAACCCTTTCTCCAAAACAAAAACTAGACGTAACTGGCTCCCAAACGTCCAAAACAAGAAGCTCTTTTCCGAAACTCTCGGAAAGTTCTTTGAGCTCAAGGTCACCACATCCGTTCTCCGTACAATTGATAAGAAGGGCGGTTTGGATAAATACCTGTTGGAGACCAAAGATAAGAACCTGTACAGTGAAAAGGCAGTCTCTATGAAGACTGTTCTTCTCAAGTACCAATCCCGCATTACCCAAAAGGCTTCTCAACAAAAGGCACCTTTGGCCTAAAATTTTCATGCTAATTAAAAATATTCGATATCAATAAGAAAGAAACAAAACGAAACGAAAGAAAGAAAGAAAGAATGGAAAAAAATCAAAAAGAGAAGAAGAAGAAAAGGAAAAGGATCAAATGTTAAAGCAATTATGGAATTGATTGAGTGTATTATACGGTCAGAAAGATTTATTAAGGAACCGTTTTATATTGACGAGATATATATATAGAGGAGGTGTATGAGTATGTGAATATTGATTAATTATTAATGTGGTGTAACATAACGTAATATAATATAATGTAATGTAATGTAAGGCGTAAGGTGTGTATGCATGTAAATATATCTAGGTGGTTGAAGTAGAATCGTCTGGACTTATTTTCTTGTCCTCTGTTTCTTTTTCAGGGCATTGGGTCTCGACATCACTGATGTCTCCTTTCTTTCGCCTTCCTCCTTCATTTCCATTGTACCATTTGAATACATAGTAGAGAATTAGAATTCCAGCATCAAACACAGCAATTCCAGCATAATTGACTAGTGATAAGACGTCCATCTTGTCTCTAAATGCTATTGTATGTATAACATATAATAGAAAATAATGTTTCAATTGTTGCTTAGAATCTGCATATTATAATCCGTTTCAATTATCATGCGCTTAATTACCTAGGGCAATAAATGAGAATATAGATCCAAAAAAGTCCATAGCCAAGAATACGTGCGAAATTCCTTCGACCTTTAAGTCACCTACAATATATTTGTCATTTATGATTAGATCTTCTTCTTTTTTGCTTTGGATCTGTTGCCAATTTACTTACGGAAGATGGTATAGTATTGAGGAGCAAATCCAATAAGAATAGTTATAACAGGAATAACACCAAAAAAGGTGATTGCTTTATCCACCCCATTATCTTGTGCCGCCTAAACACAGACAAAATGTAAGCCACATTTCCCCTTCTTTCTTCTCCATATTTATCTGTCTATTTAACTTTCACTCTATATTTGAATTTCAACATTCTACATTTCTTTTTTTTTTACCCTAAATGCAAACACCATGCCAGCTTCAAAGCCACCTGCCAACAAGACAGTAATAACAAAAGCCAACCAAGATCTTAAAACAGACCATTTGAAGCTGTAATGCAGTTCTTGAGCAAGACATATAATAGCAATAAATGTAAATAATTGGGGTTGGATTTGGAGAGGAATTGCCACATTCAATCCGACATTGTAATTTCCAAGAAGGGCACCTGAGATTGCCCAGATCAACATTGTCCAAGGCGACACACCATCCGTTGATTTTCTACGATAGCTTTTCCACACTGCACATATATAGGAACGCGTTCATAGAGAAAGAAAGAAAGAACATATATATATATATTTGTTAAGAATAGTTTATTCATATTCATATAACCTTGATAAAATAAGCAAGAAAGCAAGATCAATCAATTGAGTTTTCTACCTTGAGGAGCCAATTGAAAAGACCAAAGAACCAGGCCAAAATAACTGAAAACTTGTTCAGCAACATATCTATTCACCATATTACAGCCAAGAATAGAAAGTAAAAGAAGAACGAAGAGAGCGAGAAAGAGAAAGAATAAAATAATATAAGATTGGGATAAGGAAAAGGATAAAACTACAATAGTTTATTTTATTTTACAGATCCGATCCATCTGCGATTCGCGACGTTAAATTAAGATTTATAAAGCAAGAAACTTATCTAACCAAACAGGATTCCAGAAAATGATTGAATCATAGTGGATGTACGAATAACCAACCGAATAGTTTATTCAACTGTATCACAGTGTTACTCTTGTGCACTCTTTTCTGGTTCTTTAGCTTTGTTCTACTATATCTTACCAAGTCAGAATTGAACGTTAGAATTAAGAAAAAAAATTGATTTTCAAATCTTATATTTTTCTCTCTCTCACGTACACAAACCCACACTACCTGTCACTCTTCTGGGTACACGATTTGCTCTGTGTCCAGGTTTATTATTAACACAAAGTTTATCTGAGACCGACAGATTAACAAGTGGTAGTAAAAGAGAGAGAAAAAGAGGAAAAAATAGTAAGATTTGACATATGCTTCAGTAACCCACTTATGTATTCATATTGTATTGTATTGAATTGAATTGAATTGTAAACTTTTATTTTTATTATTAATTTGTAATAGTTAAAAGTTTCTATAGTTCTATTTTTTCTTTATAAATAATAATACTATATACATCAGTAATATGGAAACGCATTACTAGCACCAAACTGCCTATAAATAAGATGTACATCTGGTGTATTGTCCAGACAAGCGATTGAAAGCATTTCTATTGTCTCGGTTACAATGTCTCTTGGATAGTATCCTAACATCTGGCTAGGAACAATCAACACGGGTAAAATACCGCGTCTGATGTGAGTATCAAAAAACTCGACTCCCGGGTCTACAGGTATTCCAGACCGCACTTTTCTGGCATGTTCGAAAAGCAAGGCTTGATTTGCATAGTCAAACACAGACCAAATCTTGGGACCATATTGGTTATCTCCCAAAGCACGAAACACCCAAATCTGGCTGAGATTAGCGATTCGCTCTGCTTCGGGTAGGACAACTGAAGGCGGTGAAATCAGGGCCTGGCTGGGGTTTACATTGTAAATTCTAGAGAAAAGGTTTGCTCCCTGTTGAGGAGTCAAGACCTCACCCGGAATATCACTCGTAGGAACTGTGTGAATCATGCGCCCTGTTGCAGTGTAGTGTATACGAGGCTCTGGAACTGGTGGCGTATAATAATCGGATCGGTATTCTCTTGATCTAGGAAAGTTGAAACCCATGATACGACGGAATAGTGCAGAGAATGTCCATCTGTCTGTTTTGTATTGGTACATTGAAGGGCCTGAAGAAAACATTGGGGAAATTGCGCGACTAGGATCCAAATAATCAGCAAGAGTATCAACCAATGGCAAAATATTCGAATTTGGTGGGATAACCGGTATTGCTGGGCTCCTTGGTAAAGACAAAGGAGATGCGGGCTGTGGAGAAATAGATATAGGTCGATGTTGAGGTTGGGCTTGAGATTGGAGTTCCGGTTCCGGTTCCGGTTGCGGTTGCGGTTGCGGTTGCGGTTGAGGTTGAGTTGAGGTTGAGGTTGAAGTTGGGGCTAGATGTTGAATCTGAGGACGAGGACGAGGCCGAGGTTGAGGTTGAGGACGAGGGGGAGGTGGAGTTGGAGGTTCAAAATGGGTTGTTTTTGTGTTTTTAAGTGAATTCTCAAGTGCTTCTTGATGTCTTTTATTCAAGTTGTCTTCTTCACTATCATACTCATTATTCTCAAACTCATTGTAATATCCGCGGTATTCTTCTTGTACTGGATTTTGTTGCCTAGGACTTTCACGCGGTGAAGAATAAGGTACATGAAAGTCATCATGATATCTATGCTCCTCCTATCAAATAGACATAGACATAGACATATACATATATTTAAAAGGAAAATAAAGAACAAAGTAATCTTCAAGCTTACCTTCACTTGACTCTCTTCACCTCTATTTTTACGTTTTACTTCATAGTCTAGCAAAGGCCTTTCGGTAAGACCATTTTGATGGTTCCTGGGCATGTATCCTATTGAATTGGATCGAAGTCTTCTTGGCTGTGGCAATTCATGTCCTGCGAATAAATCTGGTGGCTCGGTACTCTCATCACGAAAATGTTTCGAAATATTTCTCTCTATATAATCATTTTTATTTTGTAGATAATCTAAACACTCCTTGAGGTGCTCATCATATTCACTATTAGTAAGATTTACTGCAGGGGATATCATTTTGTACGAAAGAAAGATAGAAAAAGGAAAGAGAGACAGACAGACAAGAAGACTATATATGTTGTATAATAAATTCTTTTACTCTTTCTTGTTTTTTTTTTGGACTTTCAAGTATCATTGACCCCTTACACATCTGGTCTTGGTGTGACAGAATAAAATACAATTGAATTAAATGAATATGAACAAAAAAGAATCAACAACAGCAGCAACATATTACAACAAAATTTTAGCTATGGTTGTCTTGCTTGATTTTGTAAGTTTGACGACTAACTTTGTTCCCACTTTATTTTAAGTATTTAGTACGGTACAATATACAATAAGCTAGAAGAGGTCATCTTGTTTGAATATAAAGGGAAAAAAGTTAATGATGTTTATGCTTTGTATTCTTAGAGAGGACAACATACCTTATACATGCCTTGGTAATGCTCATTTTCTATTTTGTTTGAAATTCAAGGTACATTGCTCAATAGACTTTTTTTAGTTGCGTTTAAAGCTAAACTTTGAATTCAACCAATAGGGAAATATTGAAAGAGAAAAAAAAAGACTATTTATCTAATAAATATTAAAGAAGTTCAACAGCCTTTTATGCCCTAGTTTAAAGATTTCTATTCCTTTAATTTATCAATAATCATAAAAATTACTCGGAATCTTATCATTAAGAGATAGATTCAAAAGATCTCTCAATTGAAAGACTTCTAGGGCTATGTTAATGATATACCCTTGCTTCTATATCTACAAAGTTTCAAATTTCCTTATTACTACTATAGGAAAAAAAAGTGGTGATTTTGATGTGATTTTGGAAAGTACTATATATTTTTTCAAAATCACCATTAATTTCCCATAGTGTACCCTTTCTCCTTCTTTTGATAACAAGGATCGAAAAACTCCTATATAAAAAAAACAGTTATATGTTTTTTTTGCGTTGGTTTTCAAGATTGTTATGAAATTGTGGGATATTTACCCTTCAATATTTGATCGTATCATCATTATATACTGTTTATTTGGACAATTTTGAATATGTAGACCCTGATCGGAGCAGATAAATCTTAAGAAAATGATGTACCATTATGGCCAAGGACAATAGTAAACGCATATATTTCAGTGTAAATATGCTATATAAGAACCAAAAAACACACCCGGCGTATATACAGTTACGTAAAACGCTATGGAAGTGTTATTTATAGCAGCACTTATTGTATTTGGGCTTGGCGTACTGTCAATAGTTGTTTTGTTTTCTTTTTTCCATATAGGAATACAGTGTGATTGTGTATTTTTTCGGCTTAATTAAAAGAGATATGATGTATATGATAATATAAAACAACACATAACTAGGGTGATTACATCACTAGATTATTACATTGAGAGACTTAAAAGGCTTGGTATAATACACAATTTAATAATAAATTAACTGATGTTCAATGTACGATATCCCAAGCATTTCCGGGGATGCCGTAGTACTTTGCTTTGGTAAGCGGAGATTATATTTCTCGGTTGTAGAGATGCCGTCTCACTCTAGTCACCTTCTTGCTGTATTTATGGTAAGGGTGAACTATGCGCCAAAATATTACTATTAGTATAATAGGAAAAAACTGTATTGAAGATATATGCATATACATATATATGTTGATTTAATTTTCTCTCAAGTACCATGTTCAATTAAGACTCTTGGTATTGTTAGGTAACGCTACCAACTGAATATTGTGCGTGCACATAATAGGTTTCTTTTGGCCAAGAGAGCTATTACTACTAAGCTTTATAAGAGACATTGGTTTGATCTGCCAAGGATCTTACTATAGCCATATATTTTATATCATTCCCATTAATCCAATACATATTTTTTTCTCCCTTATATTACCTGGTCTGTATATAGGAAGCCACGTATTGATCAGTAATTAGTTGGAATATTTTCATCTTGTTTTCCGATATGAAATGGGCGAAGAGGGAGAGTGTTATGTCATTAATTAAATTATATTAAATAGAAAGGGTCTGAATATGCAATTTTAACCCATTACTGCAATAAAATATGATGTTAAACATCAATACTCTATCAAATTTATATTGATGTACAATAACTAATATATTCTGATCCAAAAATGGCAACCAACAGAAGTAATCAGCATGAAAGCTTCTAAACTAAACATAAAAAAAAAACGATGGTTATAATATACAAGACAATTTTGCCTTTCATTTGTGTTATAGATGATGGTTAAGATCCATAAGATTAAAGCGACTAAAGATAATCCAATTGTAATAAGATGCGTAAGATCAAAATGTTCGGAACGTATGACTCAAGAAAAAGAAACTCAGGATTTTTTTTGCGGATGCCATGCGGGTGGGAGCTTATTTGATTTATATAGAGACGTCAATGATGCTTCCTACTTTCTTTTCCAACAACAGTAACAAAGACCTCATGTTGAACAATTTGAGAAACATGTGACAGAATTCCATTTGCTTTCTTTTATATATATATATATATTTTTAGGTGCCCTAAAATATACCTCAATAAATTCGTAATACAAAAGAACCTTAAAGAATATACTATAGCTTACTGCTTATAAGCCTCTGATTTATTAAACGAGGCTCACATACATTAAAACATAATCTTACGTCTTTTAAGATGATGATCCAAGTTCAAAAGTGGTTTGGTATTGGCCAAAGGTTAAAAATCAATGAGATCAAGGGTAGTACTTAAGGAATAGTTTGGATCAGAAAATAAAAATAAAGACTTGAAAGTCTTGTCGAAATATCCGGTTAAATTATGCCTTGAAGCAACAGCTGGTTAAAACAAATAAGTAAATAAGTAAAGATAGTATGAATACCTTTTGTATGTTTTAAAAATAACTGTCTCTTGTCACTCTAAAGCATTTTATATTTTTATGTGTTTATACATTATATTAAAAGATCAATGTATAGTAGATGCTCTGGCTTACCTTGATCTACTGATAATAGTCAAAGTATTGTAAGTTCCACAAGATACAAAGAACAATGAGATCTATGCTGTAGAATTAACAGGCTTTACATTTTACCATATCTCACCTTGGTTTCACTAGACTTTCTTACTATTTCCATTCCAGTCTGCTTGATATCCTGTGGTTGTGCTCTGGTTGTCCGGTCCGGCAAATAGTCCTCATTTTAGAGGTCGAATTGTAATAATCGGACAGTGCGCCTTACAATTTCAGGGAAAAATGATGTACACCTCTATTACCTCTCCCGTGCAAGCCATTGTGCTCCGCTCTTTATGGACAGGATTGCTCAGCGCCACATTTAGCCACGATAAAATAAGAAATCTAACGGTTTGTTATGCTTCCCTTCTCAGCACCTTCCCCTTACTAATATACGTTTTCGATTGGCTGGGAATACTATACCCGGCATTCTAAGAAAAAAAAAGTCTGGGCAATCTACACACACAAAGTTATATATCATACATATATATATAAAGACATAATGTATTTCTAGCTTATTTTTTGCCTTGCTTGAACTAGTCATATACATAATATATATATATATATATATATATATATATACACATTGCATCGTATCTTATGCTGCCCTTTGATGCTAATGACAGGCCACGGTCACAAAGTTCGCCCCAGTCCTCAATGTATCATGGACATGATCTAACGGCCTGTAACAATCTACCAACTATGCCACATGTAACCAACCCTATGACTCGACCACAAGATTCCCAACAATTTGTGATCCAAATGCTACCAACAAATGCTACAGCACAGCATGTATATGACCAATTGAACAGTATTCCAAAAGAACGAACAAGAAAAGATAGAGCTTGTAAGTCTTAAAAATATATATAAATGTCATTAGGAATTGACCTGATTCGGACTGACCGCCGAAGATTTTACATTGCGAAAAATTAAAACAAACCACGTTCTTAACCATTCTCATTTTGTAATTATGTTTTTATATTCATGTTGAACATATAAGGCGACTTATGCCGACGCAAGAAGATAAGGTACACTAGACTAAAAGCTATACTCTCTCTCTATAAAAAAAGAATAAAAAGACATATAAGAATTGCTTATTAAGTTAGAAATATATCAATAGATGCAATTATAGCCAGTTAACTCCAAATAAGCCATGTTCATCGTGTGATAACTATAAGAAGATGTGTACATTCAATGAGGTAACTAAAGGCTTGGCGCATATGAATCTACATAATTATATATATATATAAATATATGAATTACTTACAAAGGAATTAGGCAGGGAAAAAAAGAGGTCCGCCGAAAGGCTATGTAGAAAAACTAGAAAGCCGATTGAAGAGAATGGAGGATCTACTTATGAATATGTCTGATAATGGAAATGAAAGTTCTGATTCAATCAAAGCACTACTGAAAGGAAAAGAAGTGGACATTTCAGAAGACATTGAACAAGCTTACAGTGACGAAAGTGATACAGACATCCAGACTAATGAATCAGCCAATACCAAGAGGAAAAATTCAGAAGAAAGCGAAAACAGTGAAGATCAATGGAGAAAAAGAAGAGAAATCACATATTCACCTGCCCAAAACCCACAGACCACCTCAAACCAATCCGTGTCTCCTTCATTACACAAGTCAGCTGCGCCATCCCCGAGAAATTGTGGAGCACAAAATTCACCGTATTCTACTGACTCTGAGAATCCTGGATATAATGATTCCTTTATGGGTAGCTCTTCTGGTGTGTATCTATTGGGTAAATTGTTCGAAATGACCGGAAGGAACATGAAAGACTTGACCCACGATATAGCAAAGCCGCTAGACAATCATGAAGACGATCTGATAATCTCAATTTCTAAAACTGGAATATTCAAAGAAGACCTATTCAATTTTCCACATGGAAATGATTCTGTGCCCTGGAGACTCCCTCCAAAAGAAGTTATAGACCACCTGGTTGATATGTATGCCCGAGTAGAAATGGAAAGCTTATTCAATGTTTGTCCAGACGCTAATCATATATTATATTGTATAGATACTTTACGCAGATGAATATATTCGTACCAATTGTGGATGAAGAATCATTTTATGATACGTATAGAAACGACTTTGACTCCCAGTCAATGGTTCTTCTAGCTGCGATCTGCCGTTCTTCTTGTCGTATTATGGATGAAAACAACCCTTCGGCCCGAAAGAACTACATAACACGCGTCCAACTTTATGATTCCTTGACGGAGCAAATCAAAGAGAAATTCGACCTTGATTTAATACAGCCAAGAATCGAAACAATACAAATCCTATTATTAGGGGCATGTAACGCTACAAAATGGTCTGCAGATGGTGTAGACTGGATAGCTATGAGTATGGCAATAAAATTGGTCCGTTCGCTAACAATATTATAAAAAGAAATATGTGTTTCTAATGAATGCTGTTTATTAGGCCCAGGAACTTGGTCTACATCGTTCAAGGAGTACATGTGGAGCAACCAAAGAAACAATTAAATTCTACAAAAGATTGTGGTGGTCCGCCTATGTTATTGATCGCTGGATATGTGGCTGCCTCGGAAGGTATTGTATAATATATATATATATACATGCCTTTCTTTAAAAAAAACAATAATATTAAAGAAATTTATAATGTTTAGGCCCTTGATGATTTCTGATGCTGATTGCGATGTAGACCTACCAGAAATCGATTCTGAAACAGAGGAACCATTACCTTCAAACAAATATATTACTTTCTTTTATCTCGTAAAATTGTCTGAGATATTGAGCGATGTTCTTCGTACACTCTGTTCTCCGCGTGCACGAATTGTTAATCATAACGAAGAAATATACAATCAAGCAAGAGTGAATATCGAGCGGATGCTAAAAGAATGGGAGCAAACTTTGCCTAGTAATCTCAAGATAACGGAGGAGGAATTTGATATGATACGCCGAAAGGAACTATCTCCTGAACTTGCACAGAAAATAAACAGTGGCTGTAAGTGATATTATGCAGTGCCTTAAAACAGGAATTTAATATATTTACAAACTCACACATCACACACGCAAATATGTATATATCATAGCTGGACAACTCTATTTAGGTTACTGTGCCGTTAATCTCCAAGTAAAACGACCGTTTTTGTTACCTGATTCCAAACTGAAGAAAAATGAAAAAATCCTGAGTGGTTGCATGAAATATATGGAGAGAGCAATCGAGATTTTGGATGTAATTGATGTTCAAACATTCCTCCAATTTGGATGGTCTATTTCAAGTAAATATATTGTTTTTGTGGGTTTGAGCAAAGCCATTAACTCCTGTTTTATTTATTTAAGGTTTTGTGCTGGCTCAAGTTTACACCTTTGTCCTTTTCAGCCATCAAAATAATGATAAAACCACTGCAGAACTTGCAAACAGACAGCTATTTATCTTGAGCTATATGTACAAGCGCTTAGAAGCATATATAACAGAGGTAAATTCGAATATATATATATATATATATATTGCTGTTTTACTAAGTTGTATATATATCCTCCTTCTTTTCTTTCCGTTATCTAGCCTTCAATGATGCCAGTACTTGAGCTGATGTGTAAAACAGTAAACGAATCATATACTACAAGTAATAACAACAAGAACACCACTATGCTACCTCCCTCCCTCGGTTGAGAAACAAGGATAAGAATTATATATAATTACAAAGTCTGGCTGTACTCGAAATATCATCGAGAAAAGGGCCCTAGACATTTCGTCCAAGTATCACACATACACATACACATACACATATACACACATACACACAAAGAAATCGATTTCTCTGATATTGGACCCTGTTACCAAAGTAACCAATTCACAGACACACTATAGCACATATTACCATATTAGCATAAAACAAGCTTTTACAGAATTAATATATAAAATACGGTACAGGAGAATAACCATGTAAGGTACAATTCCTATTTATTCCAGATTATACCGCTCAGTGATAGTTTAGATTAATTTAGACTATAAGAATATATGTATACGAAATTGCTGTAATCCATATTTTATCTGGTGGTCAAAGAAGAAAACACCGCTACTGTTACCATGATGAGCTCAACAAGGTTACATAAGCGCTGGGTTCTTGCTCCAAGGCCCGACCTTTACATAAGCAAAACGGGCCCGCGGAAGGGGCAAAAAGATAAAAGATACTATAAAAATATATAACAGTAGCAATAACAATAGTCATAATACCAGTATACAATTATTCACAAAGTATTTAAATAAACCCGAGTAGAAACCAGCTAAGAAAAAAAAGAAGGAAAAATTAAAGTGCCTACACCCTTTCCTTTTATTCCTCTTAATATGTTTGACTTTAACCACCATTCTCACCGTCGTTACAACCCACTCACCCGCTCATGGGTCCTCTGTTCACCTCATCGCACACAGCGTCCTTGGCAGGGTCAGCAAGAGGGCCCAGATCTCGAACAGCGACCATCCCATGATCCTAAATGCTACCTGTGCCCTAACAACCAGCGTGCAAATGGAGAAAATAACCCTGACTATACTTCTACTTACATCTTCCCCAATGACTTTGCAGCTGTCAAGTCTGATCAGCCTACACTCGACAACACAAACACAGACGACTTGTTGCAAGTAGAAGGTGTCCGAGGAGAATGTCATGTGATGTGCTTTTCCCCGCGCCATGACTTGACTATGGCCGAAATGACAAATGATGAGATTCATTCGGTGGTGAATGCCTGGACCGAGAGTTACAAAGCCATGGCCGAGAAGGAGTGTGTATCTCATGTACAGATCTTTGAGAACAAAGGTGCTGCTATGGGTTGCTCAAACCCCCATCCTCACGGTCAAATGTGGTGCACGGACCGGATCCCTGAAGAACCCCAGACCGAGTTAAATTCCCTCAAGGCCTATGCTGACTCACACGATGGTGCATGCATGCTTTGCAACTATGCAAGCCGGGAATTGGCTGACAAGGAGCGTGTGGTGATGGAAAACGATTCATATGTGTGTGTGGTTCCCTTCTGGGCAGTGTGGCCCTTTGAGACCCTTGTGCTTCCAAAGGTGCATGTGTCCAGTCTTCCTCAAATGACAGACGAGCAAAAAACCGATTTGGCAGACATTTTAAGAAGGATGACATGTCGATATGACAACCTTTTTGAGTGCTCCTTCCCATACTCCATGGGGATTCATCAGGCTCCTGTGCGCGGTGAATTTGACTATTCACATCTTCACATCCACTTCTACCCTCCTTTATTAAGAAGTGCTACCGTCAGAAAGTTTTTGGTTGGGTAAGATACAAGACATATATTTTTTGATGATTATTTATTGAGCGTATTTTTTCTCACATTATTCTTGCCATCATAATCAGATTTGAACTTTTGGGTGAGCCACAGCGTGATCTGACTCCTGAGCAAGCAGCTGCAAGACTTCGGGATCTTTCAGAAACCCATTACAAGCACAAGATCGAAGCTGAGGCTTCTTTGTAAATATACATTAGATTTTTTTTTTCTTTTGCCGGTTTGGTATAGATTTAATACGAGACTTTATATACATAAATACATACATATATCACTGATAATAAATTAGTCTCGGAATATAAGCTGTGATTTGATTTGTTGACTGGTTGTTCTTAGTGGTTTATAATGGCCTTTGAGAGTGTCTTATCATAAATGCTCGGTGAATTCATATAAATTTAGAGAATTACACCTGTCTCAGAATACATTAATATCAACACTTGGTCATCATTAAAAAACGTTCTCTTTCTTGTATAATTATCAGCCCAACTCTCTACCTATATATTTAATACCATGTCAGACAACCCAAGTTCTGAACACCAGGCGGCTTCTCAAGGAGATCCTATTGAGCCTGACTGGCCTTTAGCTCAGCATGACATATTCTCACAGAAACCTCCTGGATGTGGGCTAAACTTGACATATCTTGCACCGTCGAGATGCAATTCTATAGCCAACAACTATAAATTCAATGCAAATGGCTCTAGATCTCACAATGATCTAGTCCCCGAAGCTTATTCCTCCAGAAGTTCTGTTGTAAATAGTAACCGGCCATCTCTTGAGTGCTTTGATCCTCACTACTCATTCAGAAAACTCACAAACCCTATCCGCAACGAGCACACTGAAGTAACAAACAACAATGCAATACGCGACCAAGAGTTTAAGCTTCCGGCTACACTGTCATCGGAACTCTCGGTTAGCGCACCACCTCAAGTTTTACAAGAGACCGATCAGAATGAAGAACGATACAAGTATCTGAGCACACTTTACTCTGTCGGGTATTCTGACCTCCAAGACACCAAGAAAAATAATTATGGCATGGATACAACAAAGAAGTGGTTTGGATCTAGACGCAAAGATAATCCATCCGCTGCTCTAAAAGACGTGGAAAGAGCAGACGACATGATGCCTCAAAAGTTATCCAGGGCTTATTTTATCATTGGAATTTTCTTTCCTCCATTCTGGATCATAGGCTCTATCTACAATCCTGCCTCAGACACCAAACCGAGTGGAAATGAACAGCGAGTTGATACCAGATGGAGAAGACGTTCCCGGATATGTTTATTTTGCTTTGTTATCCTTAGTATTCTTCTTGCCCTTGCTTTAACTCTTCACCCGACCGTAATCGGCTGGAAGGAAATCGAAAAAGTTGATGTTAAGCGTACTATAGCCGACTCTGGTCCGCTTTACCATTCTATCATAACACCAGTATTATAGCTTTGTTATCCTTGCTACTGTGTATATGTGTACTAGTTGCTTGTTTATATAAAATAAATTTATTTTCCTTTAACTATGTATTTATAGACATTGGCTTTATAGCTCTGGGAGTTTAATACAAATGGTACACTTCTTTCAATGGATCATTTACAGACTCGGAAAAAAGAAGGAATTACACAGGATTTAAGTTCACTGTGCAAATAACCTTGGAAATTTATAATACAGAAATATAGAATCTTATGAGTAATATGTGTTTAGTCCCCCCAAAAAATAAAACAAAGTGTATTTTTCCTGAATAAGTAATTCAGTAGAAGGTTTTAAAAGCTGGAAAAAAAAGGGGATAGAAAAAGAAAAAAAAAAAAAGGTTCAGAATTTTCCAGTCACAATGAGCGCGCTTTTGTAATCGCGTTCAGTTTAATTTCAATACGCAGTTTGGACGTGCGAGAGTTTACAGGCCAAAAGAAGACAAAAATAAAATAATGCTTGACATGGAAGAATACTTAGATACAAAGTTGCTTCATGAAAAGGAACCAGTAAGCCTACAAATAATAATAATAATAATAATACTATAAAAAAGCTTATCAGTTCTTTACATAATAATTAATAATTCTATAACAAGGTTACCTACAGACTCCTAACAAGACAATTTCGCATTCCTGTAAATACTGCCAAGCAGTAAGTGGCCCGAGCCATTTGTAGGATTCATTGCGCTAAAACATGTAAAAATTAGAGTTTTACAAGATTATGCAAACGCACATCAACAAATACACGCAACTTATTGCTTGATCGGTACAGAAAAAGCATCTGACAGTAATCAGCTTGTAATTCGCATGGCAAAGAGTAATGAACTAGAGTGTAAGTTTATTGAAATAACCCAATTTTATTTTACGTGAGGCTATGCAAATGATAATTACAGATGCTGATACGATTTTCTTTTATCTCAACCATATCACACACACACACACACACACACATACACACATACTGACAAAATAAAATCAAAAAGCTGTAAAACAAACATTTAAACATATATCAGGAACACAAGTTTATAGTCTCTGTCCATATGATCCAAAGGTAAAGCAACAAGAAGATGGGCAAGCTCAATAGATTGATTGTATAGAAAAAGATAAAGGCAGTGAAAGCTAATTGACAGACACAGGATTTATCTGTAATTATAGCAGCTGATGAAAATCTTCCTAAGCTGACAGCCGAGGATCGCACAAAGTAAGCCTATCATGGAGATTAATGAATAGACAACCTGATAAAGAAAGAGGCATCCGATTGATGTAGATTATCGTGAAACTATTTATTTGTAGGTGCGGTTTGTTGCAGAATACTCGTTTAGTAAATAAATCAAGCGTCAAGCAAGAATCTAGACCAACCCATTCGATCTCTGTACCGAAAGAAACACCAGCACCAACACCAACACCAGTTCCTGCACCAAAGGCAACACCAGCAAAGGCAACACCAGCAAAGGCAACTCCAAACACATTTGGTGCATTCTTAAAAGTAATTATTTAGACACGGCACATATAGGTGTACTTATATTCATTTGTAGAACAAGACATCAAATGCATCAACATCCAGTAAAAGAAAGTCATCTGAATCTGAAGAACCCAAATCAAAAAACCACCATATTTCCAAGAAGATTAAAGATTCTAGTAAACCTATAATCCCAGGTAAAAAAGAAAAAGAAAAAGAAAGCGAAATGTCTGGCGATTTATTAAGTTGAATATTACAACAAAACTGGTTAACAAAACAAATAGCTGTCGCATCAGAGGAAGAAGAATCTGACGAAGAACTCGATCGACGACTAGCCCGATCTAATTTGAATGCAAACGTCTTTACGGATGAAGAAGATGATATATTTGACGATGATATTCCAACTGAAACAAAAACATACACTGATAGTAATGAAACACCTGGGTCTGATAAGTCGGCAAAAGATGAAGATGTTGCGATGGCGGACAATCCAATTGATGTTGATTCTGTTAAAGAGATTCCCGAAAAGACAAAAGGTAATAGTTGTAGTATGAGAACACGGTTTTATTTATTGATTTATTTATGTTTTATGTCTTATAAAATCTGGCTGATTTATTCTTCTAGAAAACGAGCTAGAAACAAAAGATGGGTCAACAACTTCCTCGACACCTGGAAAGATTCGACGCAAAGTACAAAAAAAGAAAACATATGTGAACGAACGTGGATTTAGAGGTAACAACTTGAATCATATATAAGCAAGAATCAATACTGTCTGGTTTATTTATTTATATGTGTGTGTATACTCATTAACACTTCCTGACGCTTATATATTATATTAGTTACTGAAAATGTGTGGGAGTGGGAAGAGGTTGATGCCGACACCGCTTCTGATACTCCTGCTACCGTTCCTATTTTTTCCAATTTGAATAATACTGCCAAAAAAACTATCGCACAGACAGAAAATACACCCAAACCAAAGGCAGCCCCGGCGGCGAAGAAGGGTGCGAAGAAGGGAGCAGCATCTGCTGGACAGGCAAATCTGTTAAGCTTTTTTGGTAAGAAGTAAAATCATAAACATTAAACATATATTTGTATTTTGTATTGTATTCACAAGCATTACACAATATGTACATGTATTTTCGCAGTCAAAAGCATGGTATAAAGCACCAGACATAAACACGAATATGAAAATAAAATAAGCATAAAATCATAATCATAATGATAATAAGAATAAGAATAAGAATAAAAATGAAGACTACTAGTATCTTTTCCTTTAAAGAAAAAAAAAGTAATTATTATGCTAGTGATTTCCATTGTGTAGCCTGCAATTTCTTGACAATAGCAATAGTCTCTTTACAAATCTCGCTTGGTCTAGAGTCAGGTTTGATAGGCTCTGGTGCTTCTCCTTTAAGTACAGCCATACACCCAACACTAGAGACTGCGATAGAGTTGATATTATATCCTCCTTCCAAAGCCATCACAACTTTTCCATTTGCAAGTGACATCAACATGTGGGTCATTTGGCCATATCCTGCAGGTGTAACCTCGCACTGGCCAATATGATCTCCATGAGCAGCATCGAAACCAGCCGAAACTATAAAGATATATCAAAAGGAGAGAAGAATCAATTGAGCCAAAAGATGAAAAAAAAAACATATATATATATATATATATCATAATCAAAGTCATTTTTTTTGCTTACCTATCACCAGAGAAGGAGCAAATTCTCTGGCAATTGGCATAATTACTTGCTCAAAAGCATAAATATATTCTGCGTCTCCCATTCCTTCTTTAGGCCATGGAACATTAACGGTCCTATTATAAAGCATACAATTAGTCATTGGCTATAAAACCATCTGGACCCTCCATCTGATCCAAAAATCTTGAATACTTACTTTCCTTTTCCTCTCTTTGAGCCAAAGTAATCTGCTCTTCCTTTTTGGTTCTGAGGATAAAAACTTCCGTTCTCAAATCGATGAAGAGAGACGTATAAAACATTTGGATCATCTGAAAAAATCTCCTGCGTGCCATTACCTATTTCCCTCGAGAAAAAAAAAGAAGAGGCAATGTAATGAGATTAAAAATGGCATTTGCACATACTTAAACAAAGGTTTCTAGATCAATAAGCCTTACCAAAATGAACATCCCTATCGAGAGCATATATTTAAAAAAAAAATCAATTCAATCAATTCAATTATATCATTTCTATCATTTTTTTCTCTCTTTCTTCTTCTTCTAAAAAAATAACTTACCAATCTAATATCATTACTTTTTTCGTGTCAAGGTGTGTCATACAATACCTTGTTGCAATCGCAACATTATTCATAACACAAAATCCCATTGCATGCTCAGTCTCTGCATGATGACCCGGTGGACGGACAATAGCAAATGCATTTTTAACTCTATTTTCGATTACAGCTCTACAGGCCTCTATGACACTACCAATTGCATACATGCTACACTCATATGTATGACCATTCAAGTAGATTGAATCATGAGAGTTCTCCATATCAAGCAATTGGTTTCTTGTCATAGCTTTTTTTTTCAAAATATAAAAAAGAAAGAAAAAATGAATAAATTAATGAGTGAATGAATGTACATATATATATATATATACACTTACATTTTGTGGATTTGATATTTTTGAAATGTTCTTCTGTATGGACCATCAAAACATCCCGAGCATGGGCTTTTTTGCACATGAGGCGTACACAGTCGTCTAATAGTCCACTCTGTTGTAACTTGTTGTAAATGGAAAATATACGAAGTGGATCCTCGGGGTGGTCTTCTGATTGGTTCAGGTTGGCATGATATGACATTTCCACACCATACACATATCCAGTCTGAAGGTGACGTCTACTAGCAACAGCAACCACTTCATTTTTTTCACTTGGAGGACGTCGTAAAGCTGAGGGTCTTTTAGGCGGAACATTTGGGATAGTTTTCTCTGTAGGCGAAGTTTCCCTTGATCCCTTATTTCTGTTATAAGTAGAGATTAGTTTCTCTTGTTATTTTTCATGTTATTTTGTCGCTTGGTGCTTATAATATTAACTTACTTTCCAGTATTGGCTTTTTTATTCTCGGTTTTTGTTTTCGTGACATTCTTAGACAAGTTTGGAGTGTAGTCACCAGGACTTGGACTGTACATGAATTCCGATCCGAGTGGGGGGTCCACGTCTACCACATTTACTTCCATGTCTTCGTCCATATTATCTTGAGAATCGTGAACCGGCTGAGTCACAGGTACAGTTTGGTTGTTGCCGGAATGGTTGGACTTCATTAGATTATTATTACTATTATTCTTTTCATTAATAGTATAATGTTTCTGAACTTCGTTTTCGGTAGATACTAGAGGTTTTATTGTAGCTTCCATATCTTTCGAAGAATCATCTTCCCGGACAGAATTTTCTACGGGTCCATTGGCATTGTTTTCACTGCCATCATACCTAGGGCGGTTTAATTTGGATGCGATATTCAGTGTTCCGGTAGTTTGTCGTGAGTTTTGGGATGACAAATCATTGCCTAATAAACTATCGATGCCTTCTGAAGAAGATCTTTGTGTAGAATTGTTGGATACAGACATTGAACTCTGGGTGTTTTCTTCTACAAACGAACTTTCAAAGGCAATGCTATTTGCCATTTCACTTTCTGAATATGTAGAATTTGGACGAATTGGTTCAGGTGTATTGGGTTCTTCCGGGGCTGGTGAGATTTCCATAGGGGTTATATTTTGTGTACTAATATTATTGTATGGTTCTACTATAGGGTCCAAGTCATCATTTGCATTTTCGAATTGTTCGGACATGGCTAATAATTGTAGTGGTGGAGGTGGCGGTGGCGTGTAGAAAATTTCATTTGGTGAATTTTCTGATGGAGAGCTAGAACGGGAATTTTGTGGACTTAGAAGAGTATCGCAGGTAGGTCCAATAGGTGAGTGTGGGGTTGTGTCGATTACAGGTGTGGTTCTAAGTGCTACTGGTGTACTGCCTGTGCTCAATTGTAGGTTGTCATTTGTAGCTTCAGTAAGTGGGTGTGAGGTTACGTTGATTACAGGTGTATTTTCAGGTGCTGCGGATATACTGTCTGTGCTTAATTGTAGGTTATTACTTGTAGATCCATTGTCGGTAGGAGTGGGGTTGTCTTTTTTTGTTACATGTGACACATAGTTTGAAAACGAGCGGATCTTAGCGTTATGCAGGTCGTTCATAGCTGATAATATATTACTTGATGTTAAGGGAGTTTGTGCGACTGTATTGTTTGGTGATCTGGGAGCTAAGAGAGTTATTCTCTTTATTTTACTCGAATATGCTGATGTTGTATTTTGCGTCGATGAAGTGTTTGGAGTTTCTGCGCGTTTTATAGGCTCAGAGTTATTTGTCGGTGCAGGCATTGGCAAAGAACCATGCTCTGGGTTATTGATCGGTGCAGGCACTGGGAAAGAACTGTGGTCTGGGCTATTGATTGGTACAGGAACTGGCAAAGGAGCATGCTCAGAGTTATTGATCGGTGCAGGTACTGGCAAAGAACCGTGCTCTGGGCTATTGATCGGTGCAGGTACTGGTAAAGAACCATGCTCTGGGCTATTGATCGGTGCAGGCACTGGCAAAGGAGTATGCTCTGAATTATTGATCGGTACAGTTACTGGCAAAGGATTGTGCTCTGTGCGGAGCGGTGATTGCATAGGTTGTTCAACAGCTAAATTTGAGATAGGATCTTCTTGTACTTTTTGAATAGGTTTGGATGAACTAGTCTGAGTTGTTTCAACCTCTTTAGTCACTCCTTCTTTTTCTCCTTCTTGTTGTTTTTCTTTTCCTTTTTGCTTATTTTTATTCAGTTTATTTGCAGCCAAAGCTGCTTGGCGTGAGATACCAAACATCAAGGGTGAAGATATATTTAAGTTGTTTTCTTCATCGGAATCGTCTAGTGTTAAGTCTATTACAATGTGTTTGTTTGAAGATTCTGGAGATGTGCTGTCTCTGAAATTATTAAATGAATGTTTCGATGTAAGGGAAGGTGGCCATGCCTGGGTGCGCCTAGGCAGGAACAGTTCTGACGGTTTTTTAAGATTGGTGCCTAAATTCTGTTGCATGTACCCATTTTCCGTTATTTGTGATGCTGGAATAACACGTGGTAGCCTCCGATTAACTGGGTGATGGTGATCATCAACGTCTTCGATGTTTCGTTTATGGCTTCCTCCTGACATGGCGCACACAACAGTTGAAAAGGTAGGTTTTTTTTCTGTACAAATTATTTTATTGTCCGCATTGTCAGAGTCGTTACGTGACAGCGATTGTCTATGAATAAAGAGGATCCAAGAAATAGGTACTTTTTTATAGAGCACAAAACCGAAAAGGTTTAATAGTTCATCTTTTGTTTTCTGTTTCAATAGATTAACCTTTTTCTTTCTATTGGAAGTTAAATAAATGTATAGGTGTGTGTGTATGTGTACATGTATTAGTACAATCCTTTAAGAGATACTCTATAGTATTAAATGTATGTAGAGTCTGAGCTCAATTTAGTGATAATTGTATTATAGTGACAATGACAATGACAAGGGAAAAAAATAAAGCTTCCAAATATCACTAAATTTGAACGCCAAAAGGTTTTCTTATTTGATACATGAGCATCTTTAAGAGAAAATTGCTGTGTTTATTATTCTTAAATAATAATATAGTAAAAATGAAGACATTCGGTGTAGATAATGGTTGCCACTACAGTCTGAGTATAGTGTTTCGCATTCAAAAATCAGAATATCAAAGCTTTTAGAGGTAGTCTCAGGTTAAATGCGAGAAAGTCTGTCTTTCAGAAATATGATCCATAGCGCCGAAGCAGAAATATCATAATGATATGTATTATGTAGATACAGTAGAGAGGATATAGAGCTGTATCAATTCACCCACTACTATATTCGTTAAGTTTAATGAGAAAATGCTACAAGCCCACGTTCTCTCTATTCATGAAAGGTACACTTTTTCAAATTTAACCTGAGACTGTCTCAGAAAAGGTTCATTTTTCATTTATGAATGCAAAACTTAGTATTAGATCGAATTAAAGTGCCCTTAATACCATATCTTCCATCAAAAGTATGATGTACTTTTCAATTTAATTAGCAATGGAAAAATACTAGACAATCAGAGCCAGTTGATTTTTCCTTTTAATCTTAATTTTAAAAGATCAATTTTTTTTTTAAAAACACAAACAAAAAAACTCTAATCCAATAATACAGATTGAAGGTTTTAGTCTTTGTTTCATCTTTGATTAAATTTTGAGTTGGATTTATCCCATATGTTTGGGGGCGGACAGACTAGAAAGATTAAAGTTGCTTGCTTAAAATAAGTTGAAAGGTATAGAATGCTAAAGTTACGTCAAATTTCTTAAGCTTATATATGACTTTTGGCGAAAAAAGAATAATGTTATCTTTGTTGAAGCTTGAATACTTGAGAAGCTGAGTTCAACCAAGTGTGTTAATATTTTTAGAAGAGGAAACGACTTGTTCAAGGGGTTATTTTCTTCAAATCTTTGTGTTACTCATGCTGATTCAAAATTCATTGTCTGTACCAGATTGATCTTAAAATAGGAGTGTTTTAAAGTGTTGATGATATAAGATATCCAAGCGAAAATGATCTTTTCTGATTTACACTTTATATATACATATTAAGATATGTGTTATGTCCTATAGCTGCAAAAGCCTGGTGTCCTTTTAACACCATCGCAAATGGTACATGATGTATATATTTGTATGAAGATTTTTAAAATATACAAATTTTAGTTTATTGTCTTTATATAAAAAATGTGAGAGAGTGAGAGTGAAAAAGAGTGGAAGAAAAATTATAAAAAAATATAATAGTAATATAAAAAATAAAGATAATCGAAAAAAAGGTATTCCACAAAATACACAAAACACACAAAACACACGCACATACACATACACATACACATACACATATACATACGTAACACATACGTGGGCATGTAATTTATACACAAATGTGGTATTTATTTCTAGGCAAGTTCAACCTCTTTTTTTGACCAACCGCATTCTACACTCGGATCCTTCACCATATCTACCAAAGGGAAGTAATGGTTGACCATCTTTACTGACAGCATGATGGGCACATTATCAAAGCTCACACAGCGCACACGCACATAAGTATTGTCAGCAATATCCTTGACAGCCATAATAAAGTCATCAAGGGTTTCTACTTGCTTGGAGTTGATGTGTGTAATCCACATGGTTGGCACAAGGCCATACATATAAGAAGGAGAGCCCTTGGAACGTGCAGAAATATAAATACGCGAGGGAAGGGTCTTGCTCTGTTGTAATACAGCCTTGTGAGGTTCTAAGCAAATAAATAACGTCAATAAGTTAGGTAAAATCTCTTCGATTACAGACACACGCACACACACACACACACACACACATATATATATATACAACATTTGTACATACCATGTAGTGCAGCACCTGCCCAGAACACAACACGGCTGGTACCATCACCAGACATAACATCAGTCTTGACCTTTACTGTGATTTCCTTCTTTTGTCTCAGGATAGTCAGAGACAATTCTTCTGCCTCGTACTGTACATCCATCTCATACATTCGTGTCACGACCTTGCCATTGACAGCCAAGATGAGATCCAGCTCCTTCAGTACCTGAGCGCTCTCACTGCCTGCCTCGGTACGTTTAATCATAAACAGCTGGTGTTTGGCAGGATTGGCTTCCTCAATCTTGCGAACCCACTCATTCGAAAGTCCCATGGCACCAGCCTGGGCCATCTGGACAGTCGTCAGCTCGGCATTGATGCTACGAAGGTTGACAGGAACACCCTTTTGAAGGCGATCAAGAACAGGTTTGATGGTTGAGATGTGGATACCCAAATGGTACTCGTTGTCATGGCCATTCGGGTTGCGTTCTCCCAAGAAACTCATCCAGAGACCTTGTACAAGACCATTGGAATCTGCCAAAAGTCCAGAAGAGCATTGAACAGCAAGAGGTGTGTCGAGAGTAATGGCATCCAAATTAATACTTCTAAAACGAGGGGTCTAAGAAAAAAATTATATGTAGATATGATAGATATTAATAAGCATATTTTTGTTGTTTCTAAAGTACAAATGAAATCTTATTTCTATATCCTCCAGTTTTGTTTTACTTACTCCATTGTGAGGGATTGTGACACATGTAACATCAGTAACAACTGTTGTCAAACAAACAGGGCGTTGATTGTGGTTGTGAGCTACCAAAGTAACCTTGTGTCCCTGAAGCAAGGTTTCGGTGCTAAAAGGAGCACTCATAACGTCGGTGTCACCAATATGTTTAGGATCATACTGAACAACTGTGAAATTGTGAGTTGGGTGGAGGTACTAAATACAATTAATCAATAAGCGATATTCACAAGCATATATGTGTGTGCATGTGTGTGTGTGTAATACTTACGATGACCTTTGCAGGAATAACAGTAGAATCTGCGACGGTTAATGTCAAGTCGCCCATTGAGAATGGTACAATGCTGCGACTAACAATAACAAAACCTCTCTCCTTGTCTACGATAATGCCTGCACCTATCTTACGACTACGAGGAAACCCATCAAGACGACAGGGCATATAAAAGTTAACCTTGACCAGACAACGGATCAGATCCTTGGCAGGGCCGAGACTATCGTCAAGTTCAATGAAACGTTTTGTGGAAGGTTTGATAGCGCGAGGAGAAATAGGTTCTCCCATGTCAGTGAAATCCCACAATCCGGTCTTGTCATTGCGTACAGCTAATCTGAAGCTAGACCAGTGACGTTCTACTTGCACAACAGCAACAAGGATTGTATGGGCATCTGCAATAGAGTAGTACACTACAGGGACTCTTTCACGGTCGGGCAGAGACTTCATGACCTCGATAAAGGTGTTCAGGTCAGGAGTTGGTTTGTCATCAACAGACTTGATAATCCAACCATTGTCAGGACCATCCAATCGGAACACTAATAGACCATATTAGTTTACCAAATTCATAATAATTCAAAAATGAAGAAAGAAAGGTCTTAATGTAACCTTCTCTTCCTCCCTATCCCCTCCAGCTCTTTGTTTATTATTATTAATTAATTAATTAACTAGATACTTACTGCCAGAAGGTTCGGCGACATAGACTCCTCTGCAAGGTACACAGTAAGTACGAGCAAGTTGGTAAGAAACCTCATTCAACTTTGATCCACCAATTTCAACATAACGATCTGGAGTGCTATAGTTGAATATTGTTAGTTAATTGCGTTTTGTTATAAGTATATATTCTATAAGCACTTACATTGCATGAAGATTTCCTACACAAATATCAAGTTCCATGGGTTCACCACCTCTCTCGATGCCAATACGGATAGTCTTTCCCACATTTGAATCCATCATCTCCTCAAAAGGTACGAATTTGGTGATGTACTCGCCATTTATTGTCAGCAAAATGTCACCCTCCTCCATTTTCTTATGAGCGGGGCCTTCGGGAAGCACTGTTTCTACCACCAACATACCAATTTCGTCTTTGAAGATTCCTCTCAACTTTTCTTCCGTTTCTGGTCTCAATCCCAGTCTACGAGCTTCGTCAAAAGGACGATAGCTTATATATATATATATATAAAATAAGAAAAGATGATAAAAAATGTAAAGCATTAATTATCCTGTTTTTTCTCTTTTCTTTTTTCTTCTTCTCCTATTGACATGTAATAGGTGTCCTAAAGACTTACGTAAATTGGACCTGAATATCTCCTCTTGGTACAGGTTCACCACGTCGAATATAATGCAGTGCACGCTTAATTCTGTCAAGAGGCAAAAAGAAATCGGTAGCAGCTTTGGTGTGTCCACCAGCCTGTAATGCAACAGCGTTTCCCTCGATATCAATTACTGGAGATCCAGAACTACCGCCACTTGTGCTTGATGCTGCTTGTCTTGAAGTTTTTGTTTTTTGTTTTTTTTTGTTTGTTTGTTTTTATTTATTTATTTTTGTTTCAAATAAATATATAGATATAGGTATAGACATAGATATAGACATAGACATATAGATATATAGGAATATAAATATTAGATAATTAAGATAATTAAGATAAGTTACAGAAGAATCAAGTTTATACTTACAAATAAAATGTATTGAAATCGTTGTATGTCAAGTCACCGTAGTCGGGTGTGTTGCGATCGAGACGAGATATGGAGCCTGCCAAGATACTCAACTTTTCACCTGCATCGTTACTACAGCATAAAACCAACATTTTGTTAGTTAAAAAAAATCCGTGCATATAGTAAACCTTTTCCTCCTTCTTATTGTTTTTTTTTGTTTGTTTTAATTCCTCATCCCTACCCAACCACACGAATGTCAAGGCCCACCTTGGCTAGCTCAGGCCTCAATTCTACTTGAGTTACTGGCATGTATTTGATTTTGCTGGGGTCGAATCTACAAATTATTAATGTAATTAAAATGTGAACCATCAACAACAATTAGAAGCAGCATAAAAGAAAAATGAAAGGTAAAGGTAAAGATAAAGATAAAGATAAAGATAGAGATAAAGCATACAGTAGTAGTATATCAAAGATAGGTAAAAAATTATGATCTTAATTCAGAAAATAGTAACATACTTGAGGAATCCGAAATCGTGAACAGGATCTCTGTAAATTGGATACACGTCTACTTCTTCATGATCGTGACACACGGCCTCTCCTACAAATGGGCCTGCACACGCAACGTGGCGGTTGGTGAGAATGATACCGTTCTTTGCGTCCACAATAAATCCAGATGCTTCTGAAGTCTCAGGGCCTAAACAATTGAATCATATGTGTGAGTCTAATAAACCTTTTTTTGCTGCATCAAACTGCAGTGAATTAAAAAAGAAAAAGAAAGAAAGGAAGAGTAGAAGAACAATGTGTGTATTTGCGTCTAAAGGTGGGTATCCGTAGGTTGCCTTGGATACATGTATATATATATAAAAGTAAAATCTGACGAGTGGCTAGTTATTATTTTCTTGCTTTAATACCTTCAGTATCAAATGCTGCGACTTGACTAAAGCGGATCGAGACAATGGCTTTAACAAGTTTATTGATCGTATTTTGCCACTTTGTGGGCTTGAAAGGTGAGATTTCATCCAGTTGGACATCTGCCATTGGGACATCAGTAGAGATTGTCGGCTCCATCTCATCATCGGATATATTGACCTGCGTTATTTCTCTAGTGTCGAGTTTTCTTCTCTTAGCAGGACTGTTAGAAGGTGTAGCGGCTGGTGAATCGCCTCCCTCTAGATTATGATCTTTGGGTAGCAATAGAAATGCTTGCTCAGCTGTCAATTTCGAATCCATGTCAACGGAGCTTGCGATGGTCCCTTTTTTCTTTTTTTTCTTTTTGCCTTTTCTCTCTTTCGAGCCTGTCCTTCTATTAATTTTTGGGCGGAGGCAAGTGGCTTTGACTTGTGTGACAGGCAGAATGGGAGTGACTTTAAACTAATTGCTAGAAAGTATATATACTAAATTTGTACGTGCGTATGTGTATATATGAAATTACAATAGAAAGATATGCCTATAAATTTGTAACTTGTCATTATTCATTACATACACACACACATGTATATTTCTGTACATATAAATATACGTCTTTACGAGAAGCTTTGTGCTTTATATGTTTCTTGATTTGATATAATTCTTTTTAGCTAACATTGATAGGTAGACATTTATATTTTACTGGGTAGAAGATCTTTCTCTTTTTTCTTTTTTCTTCTTTTATACATATATATGCGTATTTAACTGTTCAGGAGACTATAATATAATCATACTCCTTTGTAATAAGTGCCTATAATATACCATGTTTTCATAGAAAAAAAAACACCATTTGTGGATACAGAGGGAGGCAATTGATAAATTACTAATATATGTATATATATATATCAAAGAGGGGATGATTTTAAGGAGTAGTTCCTGTTGTGTTAATGTTTGTTGTTGTTGTTGCTGCTGTTAGTGATGTCGGTGCTGGTTTATAGATCAGGGATGGTTTATTTAACTGTTACTTTTGCAAGAAGATGTTGGAAAATACATAGAACACTTTATTATAATATACTGGGAGTAAATCATTATATTTAGCGTTTTTCTTTCTTATTTTTTCTTTCCTTTATTAATAATACTATTAATAATTCTTTTGTCTGTTGGGTTTGCATTAAAGGTGTATATAGTGATCCTTTTAAATCTCTTGGACTTATTTAAATTATAACGGTTTATCTGTATGCAGACCTTATAGTCATCACAAGTTTTGATACTTTTATATGCTGAATTGAGTAACCTTTAAAGAAATATTTACATCCAAATCCTTCAAACCGAAATGAGGGTATTTCTGTTTTTCTTTTGGTCTCTTATGTATATATATGGACATATACCTAAACAGCGGATTCGTACTCAATTAACCATTGGGTCGCCTTAGTCACTTACAGTAAAGCTTTGTCTTGACCCATTAGTAAATATACTAATGAATACATATATTAATAAATACTCTAGAATGGTTACAGACTGAGGCGTGAATTATGTAGATAGAAATGTACCAATAACATGCGTATGTACTAAAAGTGAATAGGCTAATTTTGACCATTTTTTTATTTTCTTGGCAGCTTTTGTCTAGAACTAATAGTCTATTGGATTTTTGAGTGGACAGAATTTTTCTTTCTTTCTTCTAATAGAACATATATATATAGAGTATTTTCCTGTCATTTTTTTTTCTCCAGAACATTAAAAAGCTAAAGCACAGTATGATTATTTGCTGTTATTGGTTGGGAGAGGATTTTATGTAGATCCAGAACCGTTACTACAATATCCCGTCCAGTTTTGAAATGTGCAATAACCTTCTGAACAAACGTGTATAAAAAACTCCAAAAAAAAGAAACCCCATTGGCCCACATATATTCTACACCTTTAATATCAATAATCTAATCTATTATAAGCAACATAAGTTATATATACTGTAAAAAATAATAAGAGAAAGAGATATAAAAAAGCATATGACCAAACCAAATACCAGGAAAAAAATCATATAAATATAATAACAGATTCAATATTTGACAAGGTCCACAAACCAAGAACCAATATATATATATATATATATTCAATATCACACTACAAACATGTCTACAATTGAAAACATCAACACTGATCTCACTCACATAGAAAATCCTATCCGACAAATACCGCGTCTAGATAAATGGGAAGATATCCCATTTCCTTGTAAGAGCTCATAAACATATTGTACACATAATAGGACATATGTATATGTATATATACGTATCATTGAAAAACTAACATGGTATACATACCAAAGCTATTTATGACAAAGAATTCAGCTCAAGATGGTCTTTGAAAGATCGTCAAAAGTTTGACGAGTCTATTCGTAAACGTGTAATTGAATACAGAAAGGAGCCTCCTACTGAAAAACTGGTAAACAAAAGCAAACACAAAAGACTTGGAGATTTTAGTCTTGTAATAATAATGTATTTCTCTCTCTCTCTATTTTGCTGGTGTATGATTTTAGATGTCGCACAGTTATGTAGAGCAGTATTTACCGTTCAAATCTTCCCAAGAATTCAATGATAGCCATACTTCTGAAGATGGAAGTATTCAGTTCGGAAAGATTTTAGAAGGTTGGCCATATATAATAATCACAAAAGGCTTTCTTTTTCAAATATATATATATATATATATATAAATGTATATACATTGCCTGACTCCAAAGAAAGGCACTTAAACTGATATTTCTGGTAGCAATTGATGATGTAGCTGGAGTAATTTCGGGAAGACACATCGAGTGTATGAAAGTGAATGACATATTCGTCAATCTCACGGTTGGTATAGAGCAAATATACCTCAATATGCCAGATTCAATTGAGGACTACAAGCTTAGTGGATGTGTTGCTTACACAAAGGGTACCTTGTTAGTCGGTATGTTTAATCTATGTGTATTGATATGAAGCTTTATTATTATCATCTAACCAATACACACATACATATAAATCTTTAGTTGTTCTTTCACTAGAAATGGTCAAGCATGAAAATATTACAATGGACACCAGGATTCTTCGCCCCATAGTTGTTCCTGGTCTAGGTGCTCAAAACCAAAACACTGTAGCGATATTTGAAGCTACCTTTATGCAGTTCAATACATTAATTGGAAAACCGTGCAAAGTAGGCCAACTTAAATGCACAACCCTTTCAGAAAAATTATTATTCGACCGCACGGAGAAAAAGATTGCAGCTCAACAGAATAATAACCAAATTCAGCAAAAGCTAGCACTTTGCACGCAAGAGAACATTATATCAAATTGCATATTAAATACTGAGCAAGATCAAGGTTCAGACGTCCTTGGATCAGTGGCAATTTCTGATACGCAAGTTGAGAGCCATGGAATAACAACTCCACAAGATAGAAATGCACATGGAACTACGTTTGGAGGATATCTTGTACACGGAGGTTACAAAGTTGCATGTTCAGCAGCCACTCACTTCCTTCAATCAACTGCATTCAAGCTAGTTAATATGAATGACATTTGTTTTATATTGCCAATACGCACAGGAGAACACATCAAGACATCTGCGCAAGTAATATATTCCGACAGTCGATCAAACAAGGGATTTGTTGTACGTGTTCGGATAGAAACACTAAATATCAAGACCATGAAATACAAGCTAGCCATTTTGATGAATACAGTATTTGCTCCTATCGATCAAAGTACACCATTAAAAACTCTGCAGCCAAAATCTAATGAATCTGACCTGTGGAAACAAGGCCAGCACATATTCAATCAAACATATAATGTTGATCTGTCTTATCCTTACAAGTCAAACCAGCTTGGACCAAGATCACACAAACTTTAAAATACAGCGCATCCCTTTTCTTTTCTTTTATTCTTTTGTTTCGCTCGAATATGTGTACAGTATACCTACCATGGAAAGTATTTTGATCCTTTTCAATTCTCAATAAATATATTATGTTTTCTCTTTCTTTATACAGAAAGTACCTCATTTTTCATGTTGTTTCGCTAAGAATCAATATGTATAAAGATTTATAAGTTAAATATACGCATAGTAAAAAGCGTCAATCAGGGTGTTCGATTTTTCGAGTTATTTTTTTTTTTTAGAAAAATAATTTAACACCGGGGACACGATAAGATAGCTATATATATATATATACATGTACACGAGGTAGACTGTCGTCTCCAGCGGGACTATTTTAAGAAGAAATAACCATACTATGCAAAGAAAGAAAACACCATTCGCCTAAGTTTGTTTAAATATTTTATTCTTATAAAGGTTTAATTCCACAATATATGCGAGATTCAGGTATTCCCTCCAAAGGTAATTGTTTACTTGTGTCTATTGTTTACCTCAATTGGGAACACAGTTATATCGTGGATTATATGCGCGGGAGTAATTCATGGACTTGCTTTAAAAATATAGAACGACTAAATGTAAGTCATGGGCAGAGATATCTCCATTGCTTTTTTAAAGAATAATTATATGATGGTGAGAACGATACATATATAATTTACATAAATCATATCAGCTTATGCAAGGGCTTATATCAAGATAGGCGGATTAGAGTTTTAGAACATCTTCAGCAGTGAGAGAACTTTTAATTTATCTAAAGTTAAACACCGCTACTTTAGCTAAAGAAAAGGTCAATTTTCCCAGCAGTTCGATTTATCTTTAAATAAATTTTGAGAGCGTTTTCATCAATAAATTTTATCTTCCTATTAAATTTAATAGGAAGATAAAGAAAAGGGACTGTCTTTTATATTTAAAGTGAATTTAATCGAACTGCTGGGAGGACAAACTTTAGCTAAATCTTTAAATTTAATGTAAAAGTGGAGATAAAGTGGACTGCTGAAGATGCTCTTAGATGCTAAGTATATGCTGGGAGCAGAAAGCAGAGTAAAAAATAAAGCTTACAAGAAATTACAGGTAAAGTTATTAAATTTCTCTGTCTGTTTAAAAATTATAATTTTCGCACTTTTGCCTCGAGTCTGCAAGCATCATAAGTTATATACATATGTAATTATGCAGAGTGACAAGAAGCAAGTTCTTCAGCACTCATTCTTGTTTGAACATTTCCTTGTTTCCTACACTAGCTTGGTCACATATTCTTTTCTTTTACATCTCGTTTATTATTATTATTATTATTAATGAAATAACTATTCTTATAATGTACTTGATGGGCTTAACCCCTTTACAATAAATATGAGCTGCTATATTCTAATTACTCAAAAAATAATAATAAGACATTTGATAAGTGGTTATTGGAACAAATATTTTATTCTTGAAAGAGTTATTTTTATTGACATCAGACTCTAAAAAACTGAAAATGAAAAGTAGACTTTTGTGCATTTAAAAAAGCTTGTATAAAGATAAAACTTACTTTATATGAGGGCATTTGCCCATTTGGTGTATTGTGCCATAGAAAGGTCAACTGTATTGCACGGAATCTTGACGTGCAATACAGACAAGAGCTGCTAGTATACCACGGGACCTTGACGTAGACATACTAGCCTAGACTGCCATTAGAGGAAGTGACGCCCCTGTCCTATGACACAATACTCGCCATACCTTCCGCCCCACTAATTACAGCTGTACATTACGGAACCTAAGCGTATCATACAGAAGAAATCAGACTCAAATAAATAAAACAATTAGAATTAGGCGGTGCATTTCAAAAAGCCTGTACAAAAATAAAACCTACTTCAGATGATGGACTTGAATATTTATCGCGTCGTATCATAGCAAGGTCAACTGTACTTCACGGAATCTTGACGTGAGATACAGACAAGAGCTGCCAATATATCACGGAATCTTGACGTGGGTCTATTAGCCTAGATTGCCTCTTAAAGGTCTTAATGCCTCTTAGCTATGATACAACGCGTTTCTTTTATATACATTTAGAACATGAACGTTAGATTTGATTAATTAAACAAATTACAGGCTTTCTTTTATATACATACCATCGTCCAATGTAAATGTACACCTGAATGTATTGCAGGGCCATTACAATCAACACCTCACAATTATATCAGCAAAACATCTGTTGACTGACACAACCAAGAATGATGCAAGCAGGAATGATGTAAGCAATCACGTGCTGTTTAAACTCTAAGGTGATGGCTGGTTTTGAGATATCGAAACGATTGAAAAAAAAAATTAAATGAAATCAGCCAATAATATTAATTTTTGTCTGACATTACCTATTGATCAAGGTACGTTTTTTAACGGTTGACCATGTATTTAAAGCCGGGGTCGCTAATTTTTAAACAAGGAAAAAGTTAAATAAAAAGGATCATTTCGATCAAAATGGGAAATTAAATACAGAAAATCAGCTATATATCCAAATCGTTTAAGCAAAGGGTCTTTAAGTGTATAAGTAATATGGTAAGGCACATGGATATCCACTATATAAAGTTTGTTTGAAATTGATTACTCAAATATTGATCAAAAACTCAAAACGTTTCAATTTAAAAGAAACCCTATTAATATTAACATTCGGGTTATTTTATCACATGGGCATGTTTCATATCAATATTTCTTTAGGGCATACATCTCTAATTTTTTATAAAGAACTCTTTACGTAGCTAGAGTAATATTAAGGCTTAAGAAGACCTAATGCTTGGCCTTATACAAAACAATTTAATATCTGTATGTTACTCTGGTTATTTATATATTTATTACAAAGATACCCCCGCAGTAATTTATTTAGCCCTGTGGTGCAAATAGATTATTTGCCTTTTTTATACTTCCTTAACAAATTTAGGCATTTTTAGAGTAGTTGATATCTCCACGAGTTCGCATTTGTTTTTGTTGAGACAAGTATTGACGGACTCGTATTTATGTTCTACACAGCTTTACTTAATAGGCTAAAAAGAAAATTTTCCAGACTTTTTTTCAGTTGTCCTGTGAGTAAAAGTGGGTATCGAAAATGGACTTTTTTGGTGCAAATAGCCCGATTGATAGTGAATTAAGATTTTATAAAGTGAAAATGTGGGATGTTTTGGTCAATATTTGAGCAATCGATATCAAAAAATGTTGATAAGGTGGATCTTGATGTGTCTAACCAGGTTACTTATAGTTATAGAGCCTATTAGCTTTATGAATAGTGATTTATAGCTGATTTTCGGTGTAGAATTTGCCAATTTGATCAAAAGCATCATTTTCGTTGATAGTTAAATTTTTATCCAAATAGTACATTCGAGTATTTAGCAGTTGTAGCCTTGCTGCTACGAAATAAACCTATCTGAAAAAAGCAAATTGGGCAATTAGTCCCAATGACTTCCCTTTTTTCTTTTGCTTTGATATATTGCTTGGAACTGTTTATAATCAATTTGATATACAAACGGAATACGTTACTATTATAACTTAACAAGTCAGCATTCATAATTTATATCTCAAGACAGCAATCTTAGACAACTAGGACACAGACATTAATATACGGTTAATTAAATAGCAGCTGCCTCTCAAAAGATAAATATATATAAGAGACTCAAGGGACAATAATTTGTATTTTATATGCCTTTAAATACTGATAAAAAGATAAACCCATTAAAGTCTAATATATTATGTGTGTGGGTGTCTATACACTTATATAGCGATATTTGAGATAGATCCTCGATGTTCTCTACAAATATCAGCTATCAGGATGGATTATTTGTACTTTATTCTTTGCACATAAACCTCGTTAATGAAATACATTTAATGTAATATTGTTAGCTTATAACATTTTGAGCTATATTATTTTATTGCTACAAGTTTATAGTACAAAAGCTTTAACATATTTAAACCGAATGATTGAGAGACTATTCTGGGGATCTCTTTTTCAGAAGAAGAAGAAGAAGAAGAAGAGAAAAATATTGCATAGTTCTTGTAAGCAATATATATTCTAAGATACTAACATTATCATTTATGCGCAAAACAGCTTTGTAATATCTCTGAGCATACTAGATATCTGTTATCTCTAGCTTCCACACACAGGTTCTTTTTGATCAAATAGGCTGTTTTTAGTGATTTTGATTCAATAAACTAATATTTGCACGATAAAAATATCTAATGATATGATGTCTGATACAAGCAGCTCTCAATATAATCATATTGCTGAAAACATTAATATTACTCTCATTATATCAAAGAAATAGGACTAATTAGCAGGGAGCAGACGAAAAAGCTAAAAGAAGAAGAAGAAGAATAATTATTGTTTCATAAATACAATGGGACTATTACTTGGGTATCTAGTCCATACTTCCCTTCACTTTCTCTCTTTTAAACACAAATATACATAAAAGATATATTATTTTCTATTTTTTTTTAAAAGAATAATAGCACCGGATTCTTTGTCTCTGGATTACACAGATCAATATCCTTCGGAATGTAAACTTGATTTGATACAGACGAAGTGTGAAAATGGTGGTAAAATATATCACACTCGTTATATTCCTCTCACCCACAAATCTCATTGGTGAATAATGGAGGGTGCAAACTTGGCAGCAGGATTTTACTACAAAGTAGCAAGACTCAGCTTATTCGACTACGAAAGCGTCACTTCAAGTCATCGAAAGTTTTTTTTTTACGTGTTAGCAATAAAGAGTCTGTAGGATTCATTGTAGGTTAGTTCCTCTATCTCCCATAACATCACTATGTTACGATTGGCTGATACGCTTTACACAGCAGCACATCCAACAACAACAAAAATTGCCTTGGCCTAGTATTAAACTGTAGTACTGCAGTTTGGGGGGTTTTATAAGTGGTCTGGCATTTTGTTGACAAAAAATGGTCTCATAAGAGCTGTTAATATTTATATGTGGATTGAATATAACAAGGAAGAGGGAAAGCATCCGATAGTCAATATGATTTTTTACTACCTTGGTACATGTTTTCTCTTTCTATTGGTTATAATTTATATTAACCTGTAATCGTGTAACTGTTATACAACGGAAGGGACAGCCAATAAGAAACAGTCATTAGATAACAAAAACCAACTTTTTTGTAAAGTAAATCAAAAGTAAATCAAAAGAAAATAGAGGAAAGTAAAGAAGTAAAGAAGTAAAGAAGTAAAGAAAGACTTGGTTTTGATCGGTTGTAGTAACAACTCTAAAGACAGAGTACAAGTTTCAATAATGGCAATCTTCAGGTTACTCTAAGCTGGTCTGTGCACTTCTTGTTCCAACAGAAGAAAATTTTCATTTCATTTCATTTCATTTTATTTTATTTTATTTTATTTCGGGAGTTTAATCAACACAATATAAATAAAATAAAATAAAATAAAGAATAGAATAGAATAAAATAGAATAAAATAACATATTCAAGACGAGCGTATTAAACATATAATGAAGCCCTTTTACAACAGTAAAGTACAGACCTCTTGGTACTTGGACTTGGTGTTGATACAAATGTACAAGAACTTACCACAGTGTAGAAGCGTTAAATATACATGAACCGGTTGGTTGTTCTTTTTGTGTGGGTGGTAATCCTCAGAGGGCGTGCGGTACCTGTATTAATCATCATGTGAAAATATACAGGTTGCTTGGTAGTTGTTTGGGGGGAGACAATTCTTATCTGCCAATACCTATGTGTGTCAAATTGATAAAGGCGTATAGACAGATATATTGGTAGCCTAGAGTGTGATGTCAGCGCGACTACCATCAGAAAACAAAAAAAAACATATACATACCTCAGTTATTCCCACCTGCCCTGCTTTTTTCTCTTTCGCACTTTGTTTATCCATCATTACTCTCAATGAATTCCAAAGTTTACAACGCTCTCTGCGCAGCCTTCGCGCTCGCTTACCTACTCGCCCCAGCGCTCCTATTCATCCCTGTGATGCTATTGGAAGCTTCTCCTTTGCCCTCTGCATTTTGCATGGCCAAACCTGCAAGAAGACGCCCCTCCATGGCGGAAGTGGGTGCAACCCCATCTCTTGACGTGAGACCAAACGGCGAGAATCGAGTCGAAGCTCACGATACTGTGATGCGTCAGACAATCCTTGGCCTTGTGTCAAACTGGGTAGGCTCTTTGTGGTCTACTAGTTCACGAACAACGGGAGAACCCTCAGGTAGCTTGTTGAGTGAGCGCCACGGAGGTATCCCAGGTCATATGTCCGTCGATAATTCCTCTTCGGAGGAGGAAGACGTTGTTTGTGTAGGAGAGTCTAGCGTGTTCTTTGGAGTAGGGCTTCGGGAATATATTCCACACCTCCTTCCCTTGGATGAGTTGGAGCGTGGCATTGATACAATGGTGTTCCCAGTTGACGGCGTAGCTGGTACCTGTGGGGAAACCCATGCTGATCTCGACGAGGGTGTGTCGAGTGAGCTTGTAGATATATGCGATGAAGCTGAGGTCAGCGTACGACTCAGATTCATCTGTGAAAGATTTTTCTCAGAGGGTTTTGCAAATCCAAGACTCCCTACAAGATTCCTTGACGCGATGTTGGAAGAGGAGCTCAACGACTCTGAAAACAAAGGTCATTGCGACTCATTGACTGAAGTCGCTGAACCAGAGTGCGGTTTGGTTCCAAAGCCAGTCGAGGAGACTTTTGTCTTTGAACAAGAGTCCGTTCAAACCCCATCGGGTTTGAATAATGCTGGCTTGAAGGATCCAAAGCCAAAGTTTGGGACAGTAGAAGGTCTTGATGAGGCGTTCGCTTTATCTTCTTGGCAGTCAGTGAATGGTTTTTTTGGCGAATTTCTCTCCACAGGACTTCCCACACCGATGGAGATTGACGACGACCTGGCTTGGAGTGAAGTCGTGGAAGTCGAAAATCCCATGGAGATTGATGATGATGTTGTCGAGGTAGTGGTGCCTGACGCTATTTGTGGCGAAAAGCTCGTGGCCCACACCTGCAATCCGACGGTTGACGATTTGCAGCACGTCTCCCAGTCTGCAAAGAAGGATTGCAATGCGAACAAGATCCCAACCTGTGTCCCGCAGCAGGTTGTAGACGACAAGGTGGAACACGACATGACACGATTGGATGCGCCCATCGCTGTTACTGCGCTGAAGCCTCAGAGTCGCGGTACCAAAAAGTCAGGTGGACTGAAAAAGGGCGGAGAGTCGCTTCCTGCGTCTGTGTCTGGTCTGCTCGCCGACGGGGCAGAGAAGGTTGGAGAGTGCGCTTCTGCGGTCCTAGGACCAAAGGGCCATTCAAAGACAGCCAAGCCCGCCAGTCAGAGTGGAAAGAAGAAGGCTAAGGACACCGAGGTTGCAACAACGACCGAGAAAGCCTCTGGCTCTCGCGAGAAGCAGCCAAAGGAAACCAAAGCCGAGACTAAGGTCTCCATGGCTGCAAAGTTGAAAGCGCTGGCTTCCGGCGCTCATATGGAGCAGCCAAAGGATCCCAAGGTTGAATCTTCCACCAGCGTTGGGAAACCCAAACGTTCTCTTGTCAAGGGCAAGAAATCGGCAAAGTCTTTCGATGCGCCAACAAACAACGGTTTGTCGGCCGCCGAATTCCAGGCAAAGGGTTTCTAAAATGCCAAAGATTCGGTGCCAGTGAAGCCTACTCCTCGTGCTACATCCAGTAGCAAGAAGAGAAAGCCTAGTTGTGCTTAGCTTTTGAGTTCCATCGGTTGACTTTGGACCTAATTGTGAACGAATGTTGGTTAAGAAACAAAATTTTGCTTTGGCTTGGTTCCTAAAGCCTGGTACTGCATCCAGCAGTAGAAAGGTGGTGGAAACAAGAATATGGCTTCCAGGAAATCCCCAGACAGATAACTCAAGAATGACAATGGCTGTAGTCACCCCCTTTGACACGTAAGCTTTTCTGTGTTGGTGCCGCTGACTCAGGGAAGGGTTGGGTAGGCAAAGAGGAACAAGCAAAGTACGCCACAGCGTAATTCAAGTCATGAACCGGTTCAAAGGTCTGCACATTAAGATGCGATCTGTACGCTTCACCAAGCGGACATCTTGTCGGTCGGTTGGCCCTGGAGCCAAGCCGATGCGGTCGGAACCAAAGGTCGATCCTGAAGCTTCTGGTAAGCTTTATGGTGACACTGGAATTCCCAGACCTTTCACAGTACTTTTCCTTGGGACTATCTGCGTGGTGATTCACGTTGGGTCTCTTGGTTAAGCTGTAAGGGTAGCCTCTTTTACGTTCGGTTCCTCCTGCTTTCAGATTCAAAGGACTGGATTATCGTTTCCCTCTGGGATCGACACCATGCTCCGCCTGTTAGCTTGGTTCTGAGTCTTGGCTTGGCATAGACAGTATAAAGAGAAGGTAGATTGTGGAGGTTTACATATGAGTGTAACCTATGGTGGTACTAGACTGGTTTTCAATCCTGTTTGCCTCTGGTATTTGCCGTTTGTATACATTCGAGGGTGGTGCTTGCACTGCTGTAGGGTTGGCTTGAACTTTTTGTTCGTAGGGTTCTTGTTGACTTCCTCTCAGGTCTGAGGCCGAGATCTGTGAGTGGTGGTTTCTGTACGAGTAGGGCTTCCAGAGTCCTTGATTCTAGGCCGTTTTTGGGCCACGGTGGTCCTGTTGGCTGGTCTGGTCTGGTTGGCTAGATTTCCGGTATTTTTCTGGAGATTGCGGTTGGCTGGGTCTCTGGCCTGTTCGGTACCTGGGTTCTGGGTCTTTGTAGCTTGAGTTTTGTGCTTAAGCCAGGGAGAATGAATACTGTGGGGCACGGTGTTCATTATGTAGTCATGTCTGGCCGAATGGGTTTTGCTTCCTTGCCGGATTCTTTCTTGGGGTCCTTGGAAGGCTATTGTCAGTCCCCTACTTTTTTCTGGTGAGTTCCTGAAGATTCACTGGTAGGCTCGGAAAGGTCCTTTTGAACTTTGAGCTGGCTACACTATAGATTGTAGAAAATCTATTGCTGTGGGGTAGACAGTCCCAAGAGGTTTTGGAAAAAGAGCCAAGAACATCTGATTTCTATCAAGATTGGCGAGTTTTTTTCCACACAGATATGACGGTATATCAGTCACTATGATTGCTACTAGTCCTTGTGTCCGGACTCAAATGATGCATACACACGCATGTCCAGACATCCGCAGCTACTTTGAGATGGCAAACCCAAAATTCATCTGCGTAAAAGGATATGCTTCTAGGTCTGATCAATTAGGTATCAGTGACTTTGTCAGTCGAACCAAGATAAACTGACTATACAAGAAATTGTCACTGAAGAGATAGCGTGGAATTCGCCGATGGTTTCAAGCATCACGCATAACCTGTGGTTAGAGTCCTAGCCACCCTCATTCGAGGAGGTCTCTGATTGATATGGTCTGGTTTATTTACCAGACCAAGCAGGGTGAGCTAGAAATTGTCACCAAAAAAGGCAGGTTACAGTTAGCGACTGGAAATGCGTATAGTCAAGAAACTAAGACCCGAGTCGAAGGGCATTTACGTACACTTTCAGTTGTGAAGGAGAAGCAAGGTTACTTTCGACGAACCTATCCAATCCAGGTCGAGACAAGTGCTTAAAAGCCATGCATTTATATATATATATATAATTTCACGAAAAATTGGGTCCAGTATCAAAGCAAAATTGAACATAAACATGAAAAAAATGAGATCAAGCATCCAAGAATCCAAGAATTCGAGCATTCAAGTATTCAAGCATTCAAACATTCAAACTTTTAAACCGCCAAGTACAAAAGGTTAAAATCAAGTAGGCTAACCCAGAGTCTCGCCATCTCGCTGGGTTGGCCAAAAAGCACATGAAGTGTCTCGACTGGGATATGGTTACAACAAGAATAAGTTCCTCATCATCATTCAAGACTATTGGCTCAGGACTGCAAGAAGGTATTTGAGATGACTGGGTTTATATTATGGACCGAGAACACCAGCAGGAACAAGTAGAGGCCTCCAGTAGTAAACGACAGAGCTCAAGGCAGAAGCAATGTGAACCACAAAGCAAGCAATAAGGCAATTTTTCAAGGGTTGTTTTTGTCTCTGGATTTCTTTGTCAGAGATAATATCAACCATTAGTCCGTTTATCCAGAAGATAAGTACTATTTATATACAATATGTCTCGGTACTAATTATATGATATTTTTTCATCTTCCCAGGGCCGCCCTGTGACAGGGCTTGCAATAATACAACCCTTTAGAGAATACCAGAGAGAGCTTGTGAGCGTTGGACTTTACCAAAAGGTAAAGCTGCTCGGCACGCTAGTCGTACCTTTTCTCCCCTCAAAATATTGTACATTGCATTGTATGCCTGTATATATTTAGGGTTCTTGGTGTGGTAAGCCAAGATCTGGTAGCTCCTCTGCCATTCGGTGGTCAAACCCTTTTGTGGTTGACCCCATCGCTGCAAGTTGGCACATTGTTTCTACTGGAAGCTTGGTTGTTTACTGCGGGTGGTTTCGTATACCTCCTGCTGGTGGTCAAGGCCCATTCCGCCCGGTCATCGAAGAGCATTTTGCAGTCCCGAGCCCATCTCTTCAGATGATGATACATATTCCAAGATCCATTCCTTTGCTTACAAAACAAATCCTATCAATTAAGGTATGTTCTTTTGGTCTTTCAAACCTGCCTCATATGTAAATATGTTCCTCGTTTTCTCACTCATTTTTCTCTTTATCTTTTTAAGTCATATTCGGCCTTATCAACTCCAATAATGTGGAAAATTCCGAAGCCTGAATCCTGTGCAAGTATGACAGCAGCAAGAACCAAGTCAAGCAAGAAAAATATAAAAAAGATACAAAAAAAAATACAAAAAATAAGATACGAAAAAAAGCAAAAAAAAAAAGAAAAAAAATTATATTCACAATTATCTCTCTATCTCAAGTCGAAACTCATAGACTAACAGAATCCCTGAAATGGTCAAGCCACGGTTTGCTTATATGTCCAAGTCCAATTCCAAGTCTTGTCCAAGCCCAAGTCCAAATGTCCAAACACTCTCTAAGTACTGTTATAGTACTAGTAATAGCGCACACAAGTATACAAGTGGAGAAGTACACATAGATGCACACAAACACATACAATTTCTATTTTTCTCTTTTTCTTACACACACACACACGTATATATACACACAGATATAAACACATACACATACATATACATACACACATACATACATACATACATACATACATACATACATACATACATACATACAAAAGTAGAGGCGCATTTCTATACAAGTCCAAAATCTGGGTTGTATCTCCAAGTCTCAAGGCCAAGTCGATTTCCAAGAAGGGGTCCAATGCAAAATTCCAACAGCAAATTCCAAAAGAAAAACCAAAAACCAAATCTGAGGCCTATACTAAGTCCTCCTCTCCAAAAGGATCAAAAGAAATCCAAATCCGAGGCCTATACTAAGTCCTGTAAAAAAAACAGGCATATACTAAGTCCTCCTCTCCAAAAGGATCAAAAGAAATCCAAATCCGAGGCCTATACTAAGTCCTCCACTCCAAAAGGATCAAAAGAAATCCGACCCTGAGGCCTATACTAAGTCCTGTCCAAAAACCACACAGGCATATACTAAGCCCTCCTCTCTCTAAAAAAAAGCAAAAAAAAGCAAAAAAAAAAAAAAACAAAAAAAAACAAAAAAGAACAAAAAAGAACAAAAAAAAAGAACAAAAAAAAAGCAAAAAAAAAGCAAAAAAAAAAGATGAACAAACCGGAAGAACTGCATTGGAACCTGGACCTGGATTGAAGCAAAGCTGCGAACTAGAACAAGACTCTGGATTAGGACAAGGTATGAAATCCCCTTATATACATACAAAGCAAATGAAGTCTTTGAACAAAAAAAAAAATGCTCAAAAAAAGAAGTTAAAAAAAAAACAGAAAGAGCAAAAAGAGCGATACCAAAACCCCCTTCTCTTATTCTTTTCAATATCAAAACCCATCCTCTTATTACTATTCTGTGAAATTGACTGGACAAAAAAAAAGAAGCAAAAAAAAAGAATCAAAAAAAAATCAAAAAAATCAAAATCAAAAATCAAAATCAAAAAGTCCAAATTATCCCCTTTATTATGTGTGCTGTGTTTGGACAAAAAAAAAGCAAAAAAAAAAAAAGTCCAAATTATCTTTTTTATTCTTTTCAATATCAAAACCATTCCATTATTACTATTCCGTGAAATTGACTGGACAAAAAAGAAAGCAAAAAAAAGAATCAAAAAAAAAGAATCAAAATCAAAGTCCAAATTATTCCCCTTTATTATTTTTCAATATCAAAATCCTCCCCCTCCTCATATCACTCTTAGCTTATATTGACTGGAAAAAAAAAAGAAGAAAAAAACGGACAAAAAAAAGATCAAAAGAAAAATCAAATGAACCAAGAAAAAAAACTGACTGGACTGGACTGAAGTAGCATGAACTTGACCATCTTATATTATATTATATTATATTTATATTTCCTTTATAAAAATCTTTAGACGCAAATATATTTGCTTTGAATAATAAAATTTCCCTCGTATGTCTTTGATACAGAATATTCGTATCGAAATAGCCATGAACGCAAATTAAGAATATTTATTAAATGTTTTGCTCCATATTAACACATCTTCTGGGGAATGAGATGATGTGTCTCACCCAGCCCTCATAATCCTGTTCGGGTATCTTACACTATATCAATATTTCAATTGTTTCCTCATTATTACTTTTAAAATAGTAATAATATAATCATCGCCCAGTGCTATATCATCATTTGCGCTCATGGCTATTTCGATAGTGTATTTGTGACCATTTACTTTTGCGGTTCCATCCAAATTTATGTCACAAATGGCGATTTCGATACGAATATTCTGTATATAAAAGAAAAGTCTATAAAAGTCAGCACGATTGACGGGCAAGAATTTCAAACTCTACACACCTTTACCTTTTACTCTTGCAAGTAGTCCATTGACCGACATACAACATATATAATTACCCAATCTCTTAGTATAGCAGCCCTATAAAAAAACACTACCAAAACCTCATATCTCCAGTCGTTTATGGATTAGAAGATATTGAGCGAAACTACCCTATCCCGAGCCCTTACTGCCAAGGAATCAATACAAGACCTGGTTACTAAAACCCACATAAGTTCCCCACCCACTTATGCAGTTATCAGGTACACATTTCCTGCCAAGTTAGCATACAATCCATTCTTCGATCTTGACGGATAAATTAAGCAAGATATTGTTGTTTGATCATAGAACTGCTTCATATATAACGGGAAAAAAACAAGATTAAATTATTAGCTTATTTAACGCCGCGACGATGCATATATTGCTGCAAGTACCTTTATCCTCTGCTTCTTTTACGCAAATTAAAAAATCAAACCAGCTGTCAATATTTATTTCGCAAGCTTCACCTCTCCTCATATATTAACCAATTAAAACCCAATGAATGTCTAGCCAGCAATATCAGTGCTGAATTTGGTTGGACTTTTGTATTGATGGTGAAAAGCTAGTCTGTATCTGACAAACATAACCATGAACCAATCAATGGTGTAGTGACTAGATGTCTACTTCGTAAGCATGGATTTGATCTTTGTTTGTTTGATAAATTTAGTACTTCCAAGCACTGTTTTTCGTGCTCCCAGATTTCCCTTCGAACATTCAAGCAAGTTGAAAACCTTCACTCATATAACCCCACTCAAATTCCAACTGTAACTTGACATGGTCTTCTAAGGTAAATAAATATTACAACCAGTCATCATTCTTTCTATTATTAATATTATTGTTTTTATAAATCTATACAAATTTACTAAATCGAAATTGTTTGGAGGACATGTCTTCATTACAGTTTGAGCATAATTTGTGGAATAGAGAACCTGCTGCTGTTCTGGACTTCCAACATATACTTAACTGATTTAGACACGGTATTGTCCCTAATAGATTCACCTGTGTCATTCATGTTGGAAGTACTATAAGACAAGCAGAAGAAGATGTTCAGGAGGGTCGTCGTTTGAGACAAAGACTAACAAAGGTTCAAAGAAGATAAAGAATATTCCGGGCTCGTTATCGCAAGGCTTCACCCAAGATACATTCGGTAAGCTATTAGATTTGAATAATTTTATTAACTTTAATTTTTATAGTGGGTTGAAGAAGTGGGATATTTTAAAATATGGCATTACTTTTGAACTACAATAATAAGTAAAAAGGGGAGAAAAATCAGTGCTTAATTAAAATTCCATTATAAAACATACTTTTAACTTTGGAAAACTTGTAAAAAAAAATCACATTAAAAATCGCTTTTTCTTCATATTCTTTTTATAGTGTAGCTTTTGTGGGTTACTTTCTTTTTAATTCTCTCCACCTTTTACCCCAAAAAATAACACTAAAATTCATAATTGAAACAACGCGCACAAGCTTGAAGAAAATAAAATAAAGCTAGCAACGCACCAATGAGCTGCGACATTGATATGTCGGACTGGCTTCTCCATTGGTCAAGTAGGTCCCTATTTGGTCATGCTGTGGATGATGCGGAGAGTGTGAAAGAGAAAGTAAGCGAAAGAGAACAAGAAAGAAGCAACGAAGCAAAGAATCAAAAGTGCGAGCAAATGTGAGAGTATGAGTGACAGTGTGAGTGTTAGTGTGAGTGTGAGTGTGAGTGCGAAAGAGAAAGAAAAGAAAAAGAAAAGAAAAAGGAAGGAGAAATGGAGGGGGAGGGGGGTTTCCAAGACTAACTTTATAGAAACCAATTTCTTTATTTTATTATATTTTATTTTATTTTTACTTTGGTTTACTTTACGTATCTTCTTCTTCTTCTTCTTCTTTATTGCTCCTCCTCATATAAATACATAAATATAAAGAGCCAAACAACAAACAAAACTGAAATAAAATACCACAATGTCCACAGAATCATTACCTTGTACGGATGTCAACATACCAACCACTACCACCAAACCATGCAGTAACCGAACCCAACCAAAGACTTCCATTACTCACCCGATAAAGTAATATCATTATTTTGTGTATTTGTACCTGTACTTGTACTTGTACTTGTGTGTGTGTAAAGATAATGCACTTTAGATTACCACAAAAGTTAATGTATCTTCATGAACAGCATTAGTTGGATGATTCCTCTCGAGGCCTTGACATACCTTTCCATATCTCCATTACCTCCCAATCTTGATCTCAATGACCTCGCCAGCTTTCCCTCATTAGTTATAGAACCCACAGAACCAACTGCGATATGGGGTAACATGGCACTTAGTTCTTGTCCTGGTAAAAAAGTACGTCTGTCAGGTCCGGTTCGAGGGAGGGCAGCCATAAACCGTGATCTAGATCTGGATTTTGAGAGAATGGCTTCGTTTAATATTACTGCAATAGTTTGGTAAGTGATCTACGTTATGTCAGATATCATTTTCTGTGTGTGCTTGTAGTAAATAACAATAAACGTCGATCTCTCTTTTCTTTTCTTTTTTTTTAAAAAAAAAAGTTGTCTTGATGACAATGAATTGGATTTCTTGGGTGCCTCATGGCCAGACTATATCCAGGCAGCCAAAACACATCATTTGGAAGTCATCAGATTACCGATGGCAGAAGGTGGATGCCCGAGTACACTACAAGAAGTACACGAAGCTATTCAATGCATAAACAAAAATATCCAGCATGGACAGAATGTTCTTGCACATTGTAGAGGAGGTAAATCAAACAAATCGATAATAATATATATATATATATATATATGTGTGTGTGTGTGTATGCGGATGTTCGGGAGTCGTTATCTCGAAAGATAAGAATATTTAATAGTTAATAGTAATAATGTAATGTCTGTATTTAAGATAAAATAAAATTATTGATTATGCATTTGCTTCTATTTATTTTAATTAGGAGTTGGACGTGCTGGCTTATTTGCTTGTTGTTGGTTACTCGAGAATAGACTGTGTTTAACAGCTGAACGTGCAATACTTTATGTACGCACACGAAGAAGTGCAAAGGCAATTGAGACAATGCGCCAGGCAGAGTTTATCATTCATTATGCCCGTTTCGTCAATCAAAGGGCATACCAACTGCCTACAACCAATCTACCTCTACAGATGACTCACACTGAGCACACCTTATCAGTTCCCTCTCTCACAGATATAGCTAATCTTGAACGACAAATCTACGAAAATGAACGATTATTATTGCAAACCACTTATCCTATCCAATTAATACAACCAAATTCAGAATAAAATAAACCAAAATAAAAATGGGTGTAACACATATACATAACACACACACACATACATTGCATACATGTCTTGCTTTTATTTTATTTTAATTTATTTTATTTTTTTGGCTTTTTTTATGATATGATATGATATGATATGATATTATATTATATTGCTTAGAATCGCTTCATTCTATTCTTATTCTCATAAAAGCGATAACCCACAAACAATACACCAATAGCACCACAGATAGCCACCAGCTTGAACAAGAATGACCAGACTCCACCGTAGTTCTTCTTTGGCTTGGTCACAGGTACCTCGGGTAATGATTCGATAGGTTTAGGAGGTAAAGTGCGGGTTGTGACACTGATAATATCATGGTTGTCTATTATATTATTTGGATTATTCGTATGAGTATGTGAATTATGTAAGATTTCATTATTTAATTTATCTCTCTCCCTTGCATTTATTTTATTTTAATTTACCTGTGACTTCACCAGTGTGAGCAGTAAAGCCCAAGTACACCTGATCAGGCAATTCAACCTTGTGTTGCTACAAACCAAAAAAAAAATACGATAATTCATAATCAGATAAAGTTTAGTAAAAACTTCTTGTATATTTCATACAGCTACTACTACTACTACTACTATTATTATTATTATTATTCAATATCTTATTGAATTTTGCTTTACCTTGAAGCAGACCTCCCACACATCCTCCTCGCGCCACATAAGCTCCAATTGAACATAGTTGTTCTTGTGGTAAGTCAATTTACCTCTGGTGGGGAATTCTCTATCACGGAAATTGGCCTAGATAAGAAATAAAGATCAGATAAAATTTAAGGTTTATATATATATATTCTTTAAAATATTCTATCAACTTTTCTGTCTATTATTTTCATACCTCACATCCAGCCAATTCAGTCATTCGACCATCTTGGCTGTTATCGTAAGACTTTGAACCATCATTCAACATAGATCTCACATAAGGGAATGAGTGGCGCTACAAGTGTTTTGTTGTTGTTGTTGTTGGTTGAAGAGAAAAAAAAACATTTGTTAACCCCGATATTGATTTAACACTGTGGTAGATAGTTTATGTCAAATTCCACTCTTTCTTACATGAGCTCTCTCGTTGTCATAAGAATCGAAGAATATGCCAAGACCATTAAAGAAATCAACGGAACCGAATACAGGCCCAGTAACAGCTCTCTGCTTTGTCAACCACACTAATGAAGAAAAAAGCACAGAACAAAATATAAATACAACATTATAAATTACATCAATTGGCTTCAAAAATACATAAATATATGTATCTCTCTAGCTTACTTGCAAATCCATCTCCAAACAAATGGCTAGAAGATCCAGCAACCTTGAATTTGAATTCAATCTCGAAATCTGTAGCTGTCAAGGGCTAATTATATAATTATATATATTGTTCGTTTATTGAAAACACCCACCAATCAATTAATTAGTTTATATTTTTCTTCATATTCTTTATTTTAAAATTTCCAACTCGTGTATACAGAAAACATATAAAGCAAACTCACCAATCTCGACCAGAGATATCCACTCTGGGAGGGTTTGGTACTAGTGAGTCGAATTTGTCGGTTGGTATTGATGATTGTATCGCCTCCAAAGTCAAACCAGCGACTCTGAAGTTCGTCATCTAATGAAATAACACTGCCTGCTCAGTTTTTTTTTGTTCTTTTTGTGTATATATATATATATATATACTTTTTTTCCATTAATTGAATTAATTAATTTATTTATTTAATTATATATTTATATATTTATTTTGGTTTATTTCATTTGCTAGTATAGCAATAATAAGATTGTAATGAAGAATGAACTCATTGTAACGCACCAATATAAGGCATGGAGATGGAGTGTGTTTTCAAAGGCACATTGCTACGTTTCTGTGCTTGTGCTGTTATTGCCAGGCACAAGAGTGCGACAAGAAACAAGAGCTTCATCACAAGCAAGACAAAGAAAAGGAAAGTAAAGAAGAAGGAAAAAGAAGGAAAACGAACGCGAGCAAATGAGCAAGAGAGAGAGAGAGAAAATAAAAGAGGGTTGAAAGGACAGAAAATAAAAGAAAAAATAGGATGTGTAACACTTAATAAAGTAGCAGAAGATATATATATAATATATATGTATCCAAATAAACGTGTGTAACTTCTTTCTTAGTGACGTGGCATTAAGACTATCGTGCATTTCTCTCCATAAGTCTACCGACAAGCTCCTGCTGGATCTTGGCCTGTCGTCTGGTTTCCTCAAGCGAACCGAGACTGCGGAGATCATTCACAATATCCTTGGTCTTACCAAAATAAACTTCCTGGAGTGAGTTGCGCATCTTGAGTTCCATCTCCTCCACCATACGTCCGATATTAACAATGTGGGCAGCAGGGTCATCGACGGGGTAGTCCTGTTCAGACTGTCGGGTCATACTTCCGCTCAAATTCATTGTGCCCAGTTCTTGGCTGCTGGTCAGCATATAGAGCATAATTGTCGAAGTCAACTTGTAGTGTGCGTTTCTACCGCGTTCCTGCACTTCGAATACATGGATCGAGTCCCATGCACCCTTCATACGTTTCAGACCATCTCCAACTAAAATATATACATTTACATGTGTTTATATGATAGAGTAAATTAATATATATATATATATATATAAGGCAGTCTTTTTTTTCGTTTGCTTTGTTGGGAGTTGTTGTTGTTACTGTTAGTGTTAGTGTACCTTTCTTGATGAGAACAACTACAGCAAATTTGTCGTCAATATCAAAGGTATAGACCGAAGAAACTCCTCCTTCATAGTACATTTCTCGGTAGGTATCAAATGCTTCATTGGCAGCAACCTCTAGCTTTCTCAATGTGCGCGATGGGACGGTGCCATCCAAAAGCTCTGGTTCATACTCATTACTCCATGGTGATCTTGAAAGATACACACACATATATATATATATATATATATATAAATCCGCAAAAACACATACACACACATATACATACATATATACATATAATTTATATTTAAAACATATAATAACAGTAAAGCTATATATAAACACATACAAGCTCCCACACACCAGAAATATATATATATATATATGCATAGATATTATTACCTGTAAGAATCTCCATCTCGGTTGTAATCGCACACCAGAAAGTCTCTTCCGGTTTTTGAGCAGCGTTTGACTTTGAGAGGTTGGTCAATTGCCGACAAGAGGTCATCTGCAAGTTCAGGGCTAACAAGGTCAAGTAGTTTTGCGAGGTTCTCTTCCACATTCTGTGGAGGAAGTCTACGCATCAAGTCAAGGGCACAGTCATAGGGATCAGACTAAGTATTCACGAATAATAAAGACAAAGAAAACAAGCAAAATAAGAAAGAAAGAAAAAGAAGATGGTCAATTTGGTTAAATATGCATAGTATGTACCCACTCTCACCCCTCTCTTTTATGTAACTTTGACAGAAAAACGTATACAAATGCACACATGCATGTACACATTAAAGCACATTAAAGAACATTCGTATACATTTATAACTATTGCTTATATTTTTACTGGTGTTTGTGCCTTTGAACTCACCATGTTTTAGAGAGACAGACAGAGATAGAGTGAGAAAGAAAAAGAAAAAGGTAAAAGGTGAAAGGTGACGGAAGAAGAAGTAGGCTATTTTATTTGACATGCCGCCACCACAGGGCAGAAATGACATTCATATTCATATTTTTTTTTAAAAAAAAAGACTGACGGATTCAATACCTTTTCTTCCCTTTCTCCCTTTCTCCCTTTCTCTCTCTTTCCTCATCCCATTTCTTATTTCTTACTCCTACTGCTGCACTTTCTATATGCACTTCAAAAAAAAATTAAATTTTCTACTACAGAATAAAATAAAATAAAATAATATATATAATGATTTTATTTTTATTGTCCAAGGAGATGATGATGTCAGCCTTTTGGAAATTGGACCTTGGGTGGCTTGGCCCGAGCGCAACGAGAAAAAATTTATGGTTTATTGGATGAAGCCCAAGGGGTGGGTTCAAACTTTCTCTTTTCCAACACATTCACAATGGAGAACTCTGAAGGCAAATTCGTCGACCTTTACGTCCCCCGCAAGTGGTGAGTTTCTTTGCTATATATTTTTTTTCTATTTTTCTGTGTGCGACTATACTTTTGTATACAAAACAAGTAAAATGAGGCATGAATATGAAAGATGAATTGGATGGAGTAATTTCGGGAGGAAGGAATATTCTTTTTTTTTTTAAAAAAAAAAACAAAACAAAACAAAAAAAAAGAATTTCAAAAATATCTATAAAATTGTTAATTTAAATATATAAAATCAATGGGGGGAGTGAAAATACTACTTGTGATATATAACAATCAATAATAAAAATAAAAGCAAAAATGGGAGAGGGGGGTGTGAGTCTCGGAAAGTGAGATAAAAAGAATGAGTTCATAGAATAATATATATATATATATATGTATATCAAACATGAATTGAGTAATCAATTATTGATAAAATCAAAATATTAATCAAATCAAATCATTTTATTATTATTATTATTATTACTATTCCTATTCGATCGATAGCTCTGCCACCAACCGTCTCATCACTGCCAAGGACCACGCCTCCATCCAGCTTAACGTTGCTGAGGTCAATGCCGAGGGTCGCTCCACCAAGTCTTTCTCCACCTACGCTCTCTGTGGCTTTGTCCGCAAGAACGCTGAGGCTGATGACTCCCTTAACCGTCTCGCCACCCAGGATGGTTGTAAGTATTATTATTTTTTAGAGGATCAAACATAATAATAGATATCATTGGCGGTGTTAAGGAGGGGTAGGGGGTGGTTGTTATTATGTTTTATGGTTTGTCTGTATCAAATACAAATACTTATTTCTTTATTATTCTTTCCTCTAGTCCTCAAGAACGTCTGGTCTTACCAGCAATAAGTAATTGTTGTAATTACTGCAATTACTATTATTTTGTGAATAAAAAACATATAAAACACCCAAAACTATACATACATACATGGCTTTTTCAATTTTTCATACGCCTTTAATTGTGATTGTGATTATTATTTTATAAAAGAAGTGTCTATTAGAACTTTATTTGATTTTGATTTTGATTTTGATTTTACTATTCAAATATAATATACACAAAGAATAATGAAGGACAAAATGTCAATGATTTTTATTGTGTGATGTGATCTGGTGAGATGGGAGATCTGTTATTTATAAATATTACAAACAAACAAAATGTTTATAGATACTTTATCATTTATTTTTGTACCTTTATTTTTCTTTCAATTTTTTAATTTTTTAATTTTATATATATATATTTATTTTTATTTTTATTTTTGCTTTACAAACTCACCTTCCACCATACCCGATTTTAGCGTTAGTAACATTTGATCCTTCTTCTCTCCTTCTCCCTTCCTCCCTCCCCCTCTCTCTCTCTTTCTCCTTCTCCTTTCCTCTATTCCCTTCACTTCTATTCTATTCTAGCCTATTATATTATATTATCTTATATTCTTTACCTTACTTTACCTTACTTTACCTTACTCTTTCCCCTTCCCTTCTCTTCCCCTCCACTTTTTCTTTTAAAATTTTAATTTTATTTTAATTTCTTTAATTTTTTATTTTTTATTTTTTTAATTTTTTAATTTTTTTTCCTTCTCTGTACTTTGTCTTTCATGTACCTCATCGCTCTCATTTTATACTTGCTCATCCCTCTCTCCAATGGCCAACAATGTCTCTCCTTAGCAAATTCAACCGCCTGTCCTGCATTCACCAACTACTATGTCAGCATTGGCCAGGCATCCTTTGTGACATATCCATGGCTTGCGAACGTTACCTCCATCGCCGATTTCGATCTTGGTCTGCTGTCATACATCAACTCATCAGCCCCATGGCAACCTTTGGGCTGTAATGGGCATGTCTATCCACGCTTTGCTGCCACAGTCACATGTTCCAAACTTGTGCTCGACTATTCTTCTTCTTTACCTTGTAACCTCGAAAACAACGTCTTGCCAAAATTGCTCTGTCGATCCACTTGCACCTCTAACGTCAATTCGATCCTTTCTCTGATACAGACCAAGGCTGTGACCTGTATTGGTGACGAAGACGGATATCAGCAAATACTACAGAATCAACGTACGGCGTGCGAATCTACCGGAGAACAATCGACTTGTTTGGATGGTTTAGTAAATGAAGGTGGCTGTGGTAAGGCTGAATCTATTATTATTATTATTTTTGGTCATCCAAAGTGGGATATATATATATATATATATACACAAAAGTGTGTGTACAACTCTATAAGGCATATGCATAACAAGATCCAATATATATATCCACGCATTTGTAGGATTCCAAAATGATCAAAAATCAATGTGCAGCTACTGCCAAACAGTTAATACAACTCTAGATTGTTGCAAAGGGCTGCAGTGCAAGTCTGCGGCCGATATCAGTCGGACCCACAGAAACAAGTTGATCGGGATTATTGTTGGTGTATTGGGAGGTCTTTTATTATTGGGGCTGACGATATTGATATGGTGGTGGTGTTTCTGGGGAAAAAAGAAAAAGAGTCAAAAAAAGAAGAAGCCCAGGCAGGGCTACAGTCAGGCAGAATCCTATGACATGGTGCCTCCGACCGAGCCGTTGGGCGATGAGCCACCAATAGACACATGGTCGGGCGTACCAGGACAGCCGGGCGTTATACCTGCTGCGGCAGTGATGGCAAAAAACAATCAAAACAATATTATTATTAACAATAGTAACACTGCTAGCAATCCTAGTAACATTAACAGTAATCGTAACAGTAACAGTAACAATAGTAACACTGATGGTGAAATCGAAGGTGTATCCAAAGTACAGACTTATCTCGAAGGATTCTGTCAAGTAATCTACTCCAAAGAACCTCAGCACGAAGACGAAATCCTTATCACTCAGGGCGACATTATTCGAATGTACTACTACTTTGATGATGGCTGGGCACTTGGTAAACATACACACTTATATATTAATTTTTGTAGACATGTAAAGAAAAAGAATAGAATAGAGAATAGCTTATATACTCAAATACAAATATATACCTATCCATGCATAAATATACCTACATACAAAGATACACATATAAAGACATACAGATATCAACGAAAAAGAAAGAAGAAGAAAAGAAAGATCAAAAGGAACTATATTTTTTATTTTATTTTCTCTCTCTCTCTCTTTTGTGTGTGATTTTACTATTATTTTTATCATTATTGTTATTATTATTATTATTATTATCATCATTATTATCATTTTTTTATTATTACTTGGGTTCAATAGGTGACAATCTAATGACCTGTGAACGAGGACTATTCCCTTTACTCTGTGTGGTAACAATGGATCCAACCGAGATCAACGCCATATTTGCCATGGCCGAATTACAAATACCCCAAGACACTATTCCATGTGACGACCAAGACGCAAGTAGCGAGGGCTCCTATCGATTGACTACATCCGGTGTCCAGAAGCTACGTCGCTCGGCTACCCTAACCAATACCCGCACTCCACAACCTCCAGAAGAACAAAACATACTGCTACCCCAGAGATCGGCTTCAATGCATTCACGATTCCGAGCTGCTCGATCAAGTCTTGAACTTCAAAGGTGTTCTGGAGAACACAGTAGTAGCTGGTCTGAAATTGCACCAACTGCCTCTAATAGTCGTACATTTCTTAACAACTATTAAAACAAAAAAAAAGGAAAAAAAGAGAAAGAAATGAAAAAGAATAAGAAAGAAGCAAAAAGGAAGAAAGAGAGAGAGAAAAAAAGTCATAATCTCACAATCTATAATAACTTTAATTAATAACCTACAATAATCTATAATAATCTATAATAATCTACATTAATTGAAACTTCAGAAAATTGAATTCCCCAAAAAAAACAAAAACAAAAACAAAACAAAACAAAATGCAGGTAATTTTTATTTTAATTTTAATTTTTTAATTTTTTAATTTTTCAATTTTTCAATTTTTCAATTTTTCAATTTTTCAATTTTTCAATTTTTCAATTTTTCAATTTTTAATTTTAATTTTAATTTTAATTTTAATTTTAATTTTAATTTTAATTTTAATTTTAATTTTAATTTTACGCGCATTTACATATATAATACAATATAATGTATATAAATATTTCAAGTCAAACTTTTTTTAGTACCATCATACCTAAACCACACCACTTCACACTATACAATGAAGGAAATTTCTGCAAACACAAACCCTAGCATTCCAAAAGAAGAGTTTTATAGCGATCTTGTTGATCAAATCAACGCAATTACCGAAGATCAAACCTATTGGGTAAAGATTCTAAAAAAAAAAATGTTAATATATATATATATTACTAATCATAATCATGTTAATAATCATCACTTGCATTATATAAATCTAGGTTACTAATCTTTCGAATGCATCTTCTGTGATCTATCATGGTTTGAAATCACTTGAGCATTTCCAAAAGAAACCTATCAACTGGGCTGGTTTTTATTTGGTTGACCCCAAGAATGAAAAGAACTTGATTTTGGGTCCCTTCCAGGGCAAGGTAAAGAATAATAATGATAATAAGAGGAGAAAGCGGAGGAGGAGATAGAAGAAGAAAAATGATAGATTATATCCCCTTTTAATTCAAAAAAAGAAAAAAAAAGAGATGTAGTGAAATAGAGAAATGTTTAAATAAATAAATATATATATATATCTTACTTTTGTACAAATGAAATGTGTATTTCTGTCTGTGTGTCCACATACATATATTAAAGGTGGCCTGTACTGCTATCCCATTCGGAAAGGGCGTATGTGGTGCTGCTGCTGCTACTCAAACCACTCAGCTCGTCAAGGATGTTCATGAGTTTCCTGGCCATATTGCTTGTGATGCTGCCTCCAACTCTGAGATTGTTGTACCAATAGTAAAAGATAAGGTAAGATCAGATAAATGAATACACTATAATAATGAGAATTGTAATAGTAGTAATAGTAGTAGTAGTAGTAGTAGTAAGAAAAGGGGGGGGGGAGGATAGAATGAGGATTTTCTTTTTTGGGAGAATATGGATAACTTGGGTTGCTAGTCTAGATGAAATTTCTAGCTTTTCTTTTGTATTAAATTTGGTTGTAAAACGCACCCGTATATATATATATACGTACATAAACACAAATATATAAATACATATATGCATATATTCTTCTGTAGCGTCTATTGGGTGTATTGGATATTGATTGTGAAGAGGTCGAAGGTTTTGATGATGTCGATCGTAAAGGTTTAGAGGCAGTTGTCAAGGTAATCGTCGCCAATTGTGAGTGGTAATAAAGATTTCTACATATCTTTCATTTTTATTTTATTTTTGGTGGCCAAAGAAGAGGAAGAAGAAGATATGCAAGTGGGGTGGTCATGGCTGCAATCTGCACTTTTGTGCATGACAGTACTATACTACAATAATACAGTAGAGTAAATTACACAAATAGATAGATATAAAAAGTATGTACAATTTGTTCAAAGGCGTTAGAAATGACCAAAATCACATCACAAATGAAAGATCAATCCACACCACACATTGTTCAATACCCTCTCCTAATTTGCCTCCTATATTTCATGCCCTCGGGCTAATCTCTGCCTATCCAACTATATCTACTATATATCTCTTTCTATAATTGCCTTTCTCTCTCTCTCTCACACACACACATTTGATTGCTTTCTTACTTTGCTTTGCTTTGCTTTGCTTTGCTTTGCTTTGCTTTGCTCTGCTCTGCTCTGCTCTGCTTTGCTTTGCTTTGCTTCGCTTTGCCTTGCTTTTGTTTTGATTACTTTCATTATTATTATTATTAATAACATTTCCCTCCTACAAATAAAAACCAAAAAAAAAATGGAATTTATGCTGATGCCAGAGGTAGTGCGAGTAGTATATTGTGTACAATTATATAAATAAAAGATGGCAATACACGCCAAGGCCTGGAATGCTAAAAAAGATTATATGGATATATAATATTAATGATGATGGTTAAAACACACACACACAAAAATCAAATTGATAATAATACATCATTCTTCAATGTTTAAAAAAAATACCCCCACTAAAAAAAACCAAAACCAAAACCGAAACCTGGTACTCTTTTCTCTTTCTCTTTCTCTCTTTATTCTTCTTCTTCTTTTTATTTTCTCTAAAGAAAAGGACTTCAAGTTGGTCGAAATTGAAAATAGATCATTTTGAATTGTTGGGAAGATACACAAGCTCTGCTGATATGCCGACCTCGTTTGAACCAATCAAGAAAACGTCGCTCAAACATCGTTTAAAGAATGCGTGGAGACTACGACGACAAGAAGACCCAGTTGTCCAGATACCCTCTTCTCAGTCAAGACTAGAGTCACTCTGCATGTCTCCAAGGGGTGTACATACATCACGAGTGGCGTACGCAGCAAATTGTACGCCACCGCAACCGCACCTATACTCGAACTCGCATTTGCACTCATATTCACTACAGACACCACCACCACCACCACCACCATTAACAGCAGCAACAAAACAAAAACCACAGCCACCACAGCCACTTGTGTTGGATGACTGGGTACCGATTCCAAATGCATTGAGTATGCCATCCTACACATCCTCTACTACTTCTGGCTCTTCTTTCTCTTTTGGTGCTGGTGATTATTACTCTGTTTCTACAAACACCCTTTCGAGCCTTTCTTTCACCATGTCCCCAGATGAGCCACTGCCGACACCCTTTGCGTCTGCTTCCACACCAGCATCCACAACAGGTCAAACATCTGCGCATACGCCTACACATACACCCACGTCTCCATCCTCTCGTTTTATGCTGGCCATTTCAAAATTTGCTTCTGTTGGGTCCAACAAACGCGACAATAGCCAGTCCAAAAAGTTTTCCGATAAAATAAAACACAAATTACAGCTTGACAAACAAAAATATCCCCAAAAACACAAAGAGCACAAAGAGCACAAAGACTATAAAGACTACAAAGACTATAAAGACAAGCAGGATTATCAAGACTATCAAGACCGTCACGAACTGCAGAAGAGGCAAGAGCAGTGGCGGTCACCACCAATAAATGTTCCACGTTCTATGTCTTTATCCTCACTATCACCACTATCACCACCGCCGCCGTTACCACCATCACTAATACTACTACCATCATCTCAGCAGCAGCAACAGCAACAACAGCAACAACAGCAACAACAGCAACAGCAAAAGAATACTTTAAATATTTACAAAAATACCCAAAAATCCTTGTCTAAGGAGATCAAGTCTAACTCAAGATCATCCAATCCAAAAATGAACTTTCCTGTCCCTAGCCCTTATCGATCTTCATCAAAGGGTGGTATCCTTCGAGGCAAGTACAAAACAAACAAATAACTAAATAATTAACTACCTAAATAAATAAGTAACTAAGCAACCAAAGCAAACAAACAAATCAATACATTAAAAAAGGGGAAAAAAAAGCAAGAAATTACTTTTTTTGTTTAATATTATTCAGTTTGTATAAAATATACTTATTTTTATAGTATAATTATTATTATAGGTATTCCAATAGAACCAGTGTCTATTACACCCAAACCGATGTACATTCCCAACCAGAGTCGATTTCAACAAGAGAAGAAACAATCCAGAGATCTTGTTGTACAACGACCAGTCCACCAGCAAGAAAAAGACAAGAAACAACAAAAGAAATCAACCAATAGCAGTGGTCAAACATTACGGTTCGCAAAGGTGGTTGCTGTACGAGAGACTTACTCGGCCCAAGAATACGATCGCAGTTCTGATCCTGAGGCAGTGTGTGTTCACTTGAGTGCCACTCTGGCTCAGTACATTAAAGAAGAACTTAATACCTACAAATTACAAGAGATGAAAGTACATGAACACAGCAGGGTTCATACACACTTTTTTCTATAAAAATACTATACAGATAATATATACATATACATATATACATATATAGCTATTCTTATAATAATAATAATTTATTCTATCTATTTATTCTATTTATTTATTTTATATATACATTTACAATATATATATATATATAATACATGTATATAACCACTTAATATCCAACACCTTTTATACATATATTAAACAAATAAAATATTATTCTTATTATATATCGTTACATAATCAAATCAAATCAAGTTATTATGTAATATATATATATTTTTTAGGTTGAGAAAGCGTGTTCCATATATTTATTTATTTTTGGTAATTTGTTTAAGTTTCATGATAAAATCCAAATTATCCCAAAAATAACCTTTTTTTTTGTGTTTTTTTTTTTGGTTATTTTTTTTTTTTTGGTTATTTTGGGATTTTTTAAGATTTTTGGAAGTAGAATTGAATAAAGAGAATTTTGAGCTAAATAATAATAATAATAATGGTAATGGTAATGGTAATGGTAATGGTAATGTTACTAGTAATAAGAAGAGGTAAGAAGAGGGAGGGAGGGAGAGGGAGAAAAGGGCATATCAGTATAAAATGTCCTTTTTTTTTTAAAATAAAATAAAATAAAATAAAATAAAATAAAATATAATATAATATAAATATAAATATAAATATAAAGAATAGAAAGTCAACAAGTAATACAGTGGGGAAGACTACTGGTTTATGACAGACTAAACAAACTATATGAATAGAATATTAATATATATATATATATATATATATAAAAGAAGAAGAAATATACACGTATATAAACAAGAAAGCATAATAAATCACACACAAATAAGAAAAAGAAAAGAGAGAGAGAATAATAATTAATTAACTAAAGAACTAAAAAAAAAACTAAATAACTAATCAAGTAATTAGTTAGTTCTTTGGTTAATAAATAAATAAATAAATAAGAAAGAAAGGGAAAAAAATATATAAATGGCAACAGAAACTATAGACAAACAGAACGAAGCGGTTAAATTGTTTAAAGGTAAAGAGTAAGATAAAGAAGTTCGGTAAAGATAAAGAAGTGTTTCTTTTTTTTTCTTGAGGGAGGGGGAGGGGGGAGTAATAAACACATAAAAGTATATAAAAGAAGAAGTTTTTTTTGGGGAAAAAAAAGGGGGGGGGGGGTAAGGAAGGAAATAAATAAATAAATACTAAACAAGGAATGACGGGTTCTTTTTTTTTTTTGGATATGAAAAGCAAAAAGGAAATATATATAAAAGGAAAGGAAAAGGGGTGAATGGTGAGATAATTGAAAGGGTTAAAGGAGAATGGAAGGGATTTGCACACGCCGTTAAAGAAATAAATAAAAGAAAGGCAAGGAAGATACAGAATAGAGAATGGGTAACAAGTAAGAACAACGCAAATTATTAATAATAATATCGGTCAACAAATCACACAAAACAGGATAAGGTATGTGTATGTGAGATGTTGTGATGTAATGTTGCGTTGTGTAGTATTGTGTAGTGTTGTGTAGTAGTAATAGTAGTAGTAGTAATAGTAATAGTGGTAGTGGTGCTGGTGTGTGTACGATTCTTTTTTTTTTGTTGTTGTTGTTGTTGTTGATTTTCTGATTAACTTGGTTTTTGCGATTTTTTTGTTGATTTTTGCGATTGTTTTTGCAATTGTTTTTGTTTTTTGGCTAGAGGATGATTTGGCAGGCCAAACTTCTCTCGAGCGCATCCAAAGAAATATGTTCTGGCCAACAGATAAGCTCTTGTAAAGGACAGGCATCGTCATGGATCACTAACAAATAAATAAATAAATAAATAAATAAATAATTAAATTTGTGTGTGTGTGTATGAGATTATAAGTAAATTTTGTAACTTACGTTGACATGGATGAACACTTGGTTTCGGTTCAAAGGTTTCATCCGGACAACCTTGATTGCTCTGTGCAAGAACGGGCGACTCCTGGTTAGTCAAGCAGTATCCGGACAAAGGCCAGTCCTCAAGATAGTCGTGATTAATGTCGTCCTTGTTACCATGCTTGATTTGTGGCTTTAGATCCTTGTTAGTATCGCGCAGGAGATAACGCACGATGTGCTTGTGGCCGTGCAGATGTGCCAATTGAAGAAGTGACCGCTGATCAATGTGTTCAACACCACCATAATCATTAAGGGTATCAGGAGTATTACCGGTAGTATGACTATTATAAGCACTAATACCAACGCCACTAATACTAATGTCCTTGGCGCTCTTGCTGTTTCGGCTGTCGTCGGCATCACCATAGTCACCATCAATTTTGTGATTCTGGTGGTCATCACAAGGCTGCAGCATCGCATCCATGGTCTGACTGACTTCGCCGAGGTCGCCTTTGACACATGCGTCCACAAGAATGGCCTTGGGATCAAAACTAACGTGAAGATGGCGCCTTGGCTTGATAGGATCAATAAACACTTGTTCGGCTTGGCGGTCTTGAATGTTCCGACTGCCATTTCGATCGGTTGAGTCGATGATGATGATCTGGTCTATGCCGCCATCGCTGATTGGATTTTCATCAACAGGTGTTGTTGCTGCCGTATTAGTGGTCCTAATAGTAGTCTGGCAACCGACAAATTCAGGGGGTCCAATACTCGGTCTTGCCTCACACAAAGAAAGCGTGGTTGGAGTGAGTGGCCAGGCAGGCTCCGTATCTAAGGATAATACAGTCGAAATTGAAGACGAACGTGAAAGTTGAAGATCCCACTCATCCTCATCCTCTTCCACATCATCGCACTCTTCCTCTTTTACATGCTCTGCTTTTTCTTCTCGCACGTCTTCCAACTCAAGCTCTTCATCATTTTCTTCTTCTTCTTCTGCAACAGGTGAAAGTGGAAAAGCCATGTCCTTGGGTAACACGCACAGGCCGTCATCGGAGAATGTCCGGGGGGGGACGATGGTCAAAGCGATCGGCAGTATTCTTGGACTCCTTTTGAGTGCTACCGACGGCGGAGATGGTCCAAACGGAACTGCTAGGGTAGACGCAAGTTTTTCTACACAGTCGGACAACAATAGGGATGTTGTGCTTTCCGTATCTGAATCCGTCATGTCTGTGTCTGCGTATGCGTCTACAGCTGCGTCTACAGCTGCGTCTGTGTCTACACTTGTGTATGTATCTACGTTTGCATCTGCGTCTACACTTGTGTATGTATCTACGTTTGCATCTGCGTCTACTTCTACGTTTGCGATTGCGATTGCATGTACGTCTACGTTTGCGTCTGCGTCTGCGTCTGCGTCTGTGCTTGTAGGTGTGGCTGAATCTGTAGATATAAATGTAGTTGTAGCTGTGGTTGTAGGTGTAGGTGTGGGTGTAGGTGTAGTTATAGTTATAGTTTTACATATTTGAGTTTCTGTTGTAGTAACTTTTGGTGCTGTTGGCGTGGTTGGTGTGGTTATTGACTTTTGTGATTTTGGTGAGAGAGACTGGGATGCGCTTGCCTTTTGGAGAAAACCAAGACACTCTTGATTATTACAGACGTCTGCAGGCACCAGCTTACGGGCATTTGGAACAGTGGGATCTGCACCCATGTCCAACAAAAGCTTGACCAGACGCGGCATGGCTAAAAAGGATGCCAGATGGAGACTGGTGTTGCGGTTACCCCAGACATGATGAACAAAGGATCGCTGTTCGGCAAGGGTGGCCTTTTGACGGACAAAGGTCAGGATCTGGATGGCTATGCTTTCGTTTTTGTGAAACAGACAGAGCTGGACTGCATTGAGATCTGTAACAGATTTGCCGAATTTGCGGGTGGCTTCCGTACGGACCAGAGGATCGAGCTGGATGACACGGTGCTTGTGTGAGGCCGGATACTGGGACGGGTCGTTGGTCAGCCGAGAGGTCAACAAGACGCGCAGGACATGAGGAAGCTTTTCGATGTCTTGGAAGAGGCGGGTGAGTTCTTGCTTGTCGTTTGTGCTGATGATGGTCTGCAGTGTGCGCCACAGCTTTGAAGGCGAACAGCAGCTGGCAGAGGTGCATCCTTTGCCATGAGACTGGGGGTGACCAGTGTCGTGAGATAGGGTGGCAGGAGATGCCATTTAGTAGTTTTGTTTTTTCGTTTTTTGTTTTTTTTTTGTTTTTTTTTTGTTTGGTTTGGTTTGGTTTGTGTATGTAATTTGTATGTCTTTCTGTCCGTAAGTATTTATATATTTATATTTATATATGTATATATATTATGTGTGTGTGTATATATATATATATATTAAGGTATAAAAAAGAAAGAGTAAAATTGAATCAAAATGAATTGATCAAAAAAAATATATATAAAATATTAAAATATTTAAATATTGAAATCTCCTTTATTTTTTTTTATTAATTATTTTTATACGTTGAGTATAAGAATAAGAAAGTTATATGTACATGTGAAAATGTGAAAGAGAGCAAGAAAGTAAAGAATACTGACAATTGAAATATTTATTTAAAAAAAAAACAGAAATGGTAGAGCGGAGGACATGGAAGATGTAGAATGATTGGGACACGACAACAACAGCCAAAAAAGAAAGAAAAAAAAAGATACAATTTGGGGGATAAAAGCAGGCCAAAGCGTGTGTCTAGTGTGTTTGAAGAAATGTGTGACCAAGAAGTTAGAATATAAATAGACAAGGTAAACAAGATAGATAGATCGATAGATAGATAAATAGATAGATAGATAGCTATCAGTAAGTACAAAAGGTTCGAGACCTTGTTGGAATTGAAGACAAAGTTTTGTATTATATAATTAAAATATGATAATAATGGTGACTATGATGAGCAAATCCGGTCTGGTTATTGAATTCCTTTCAGAAACAAACACACAAACACATAAACCTTCTTGTTCTTACTCTACTCAGTAACACCCCACCCCTTATTTCTTATTCCTCCTCCACCCGTGACCAGACCATTCGATTCTGTTCAACGTAAGACCGAAAGGTGGATATGTGAGTAGCATATGCAAAAAGTAAAAAGCATAAACATAAAAATAACTATACAAATAAACCATTTCCTCCGTCTAGTCTACAAGTCTTTGTATCATTATTATTGGTTGAATTTTTCTTTTTTTTTTCGTTTTGCTGATCATTTTGCTTTATGATTTCTTGTAAACAACTAGCAAAGTTGGACATTCTATTTTATTACATAATATATACATTTAAATCTCATTAGCTCACAAGTCTAAAACGAAAACACCTTTATTTTTGGTAAAAAGTAAATATTAAGTAACACCATTCTTGTGTATGTATATATGCACGAATGTACGTATGTGTTGGAAGATTTTAATGGCCTAGACTAGACGCGTCCAACTTATGAATCAAATTTTACAAACAAATCTAAGCAAAACAAATACAAATACAAATACAGATACAAATACAAATATAAAGATTATTCCTGCCTTTTAATTTGTGTATGTGTGTGCGTTTCTTTTTTCTTTTTAGTTTACTTGACTTTATCCTCACAACTTCTTTATATAAGCCACGTAATTATTATTATTATTATTATTATTATTAACAATTGATTAATTAATTAATTAAATACTTAATTAAATAAATAAATAAGTAAATAGGTAGGCAAGTAGATAAATGGATCTAGCTTACACTACTATAAGCTATATACACATTGTAGACTGTAAAGGTATTTGACATGGTTTTATACTCAGATGCTATAACATGTCACTACAAGCAAACAAATAAAGCACAAGCAAAAGTTGGATCATTTTTTTATATATATAAGAAGCAAAGGAATATTATTTTGATTATCATTATCATTATATCAAGTTTCCAATTCTTAAATACTCAAACCAACAAATAAAATAACAAGACGCTCTACTTGTCACCGAGATCATGGTCGCCCTCCAACTAATACTGATAATAATATTGCTACCAAGACTAGAAAGAACTGAAGAAACAAAGAAAGAATCTGATAGCACGATAGCTGTAATAATTGATATTACTCGAATCTCCAGGTCAATTCTATCTTTTAAATATTAAAAAGGCTCCAATTGACGAAGCATTGACATTAGCATTAGAATTAGAATTGACATTAGCATTGAGTATGGAGATTTAAAAGGTTGAAAAGGCCCGACTTCGAAACATTCAAAATTAATATTGGTGCTAAAGAAGTATTAGGCTTAAGGTAAATGATAGAGGTAAAGAAGAGCTATTGGACTTGTAGTATGTATGAATATATATATATATATATTTATATATACCCACTATATCATTTTATACTTTTTAAACTTATGTTGCTTAGTTTAAATATTTTCTATTCCAGCACATTGAACCTTTCTTTTTAAAATATCAGCCACACTTGCTACATAAGCATCTTCTTAAGTGTCTGCTTTCAGTTTTGAGATTTTAAAGGTTTTTTTTTCCAATTCATACCATTTTATACTTTTTAAACTTATGTTGCTTAGTTTAAATATTTTCTATTCCAGCACATTGAACCTTTCTTTTTAAAATATCAGCCACACTTGCTACATAAGCATCTTCTTAAGTGACTGCTTTCAGTTGAGATTTTAAAGGTTTTTTTTTTCCAATATATGTCGGTATTTAGACATCTTCAAGGATACTTAAATATCCGAACCCCCTTTTTTTTTCGATCCCTTCCCTATTTAGATCCCCTAATGTCGTACCTTTAATCCCTTGGAAGAGTGGCAGCCACCAAAACCAACTTATCTCCACCATCTCACAACGTCCCACACCCTCTCTCTCTCTCTTTTATATATATATATATTAGTTTAGGGGCTTCTCAAGCACCCACCAAGGTCTTAAATTTTGGCGGTGATTTCTATATATGGATTGGCGAAAGTTATCTAAATTAGTAACCTTCGCCAACAAAATTGACTAAATTAGGAAACTTTCGCTAATACTTATTTGGATTTCAACGCCAACTTTTAGGACCTTGGCGAGTGTTTGAGAAGGCCCTTATTTATTTAATTTTCTTTTTCTCTTATAAGAAATATATAGTCCAAGCGTAAATATACGTGTGTACTGTGTTTGTGTGTGTGGTTAGATGTACAGAAAGAAAATTGGGCATTTCGTAATTAAAAAAAAAAAGCAGAATAACAAAGCCCTCTCCCCGGTCAGGGCTTCACAAACGTTATCCAAATCATTTCTTTTTTTTTTTAAAAAAAAAATCCCTAGATGAAATTGTATGAGTAGACCCTTCCTATTCTTCTTATTCTTCTTCTTTTCCTTATTTGGTACTCTGTGCATATGAATATGAATGAAAGAGTGAATGATATATTGAATGAGTGAGTGAATGAGTTCATTTGACATGAATTTTTGTTGCTGTAGGGTATCATTTCATAGTTTTGCTGAAGATAATATGTCAAAATCATAAGCTAATGGTTTAAAGTGTTTTAAATGATTAGGACTAAAACACAACACAACAAGAATAACAATAGTAGTAGTAGTATCGATGTCATCAAACAAGGGTAATATAATTAATAGATAAGGTTTATTTGAAAGAGTACGCACAGAGGTTGAAAGGTTTACTGTCATTTCAACCCGTGCACGAGTATAATATATATACAGGTGTGTGTGTGGGTATAATATTCGGTTTTTGTGGAGAAAGTTAGATAATATTTGAGGTTAAGTATATTTGATAATGATGAGCTGGAGTGGTACTCAATAGAACTGATGGACTGGAAATAGGATCAATTAAAAAAAAAAGACGAGTGAAAGTCATCAAATAATATATATATATATGTATTTATTTATTTATATAACAATTTTTTATTTTTATTTTGATAGGTTCGTACAAAGAATCTAACCTAGTACCTCATCTAATGTGACTAACCAGGAACATCCTATTATCCACGCGCACATACGCACACAAAAGCTATGGACAAAAAGAGAAAAAATCGGTTCATGAAACACTAATAGTCTAGAAGCACGATAGACTTGGCGGCAGACACAATGACATCTCACAAAATACTAATATATATATATATAGACAAATCACCTGACAGACTTTCGCAGTAGTTTGATTTTTTCTTTTTATTATTCGCGTTACCAGATGAATAAATTCAAGGGCGTAAAGAAAGAGAAAGAAAGATAAAGGCTTGGACAGTTGAGGATTGTTTAATCGCTCAGGGCAGCTGTGTGGCTGTGGCTATAAGTGGATATGAAAACAGGCAACAAGGTTGCTGCTAAAATTGGGAAAAATAAGTCTTGGCTATCAAGTGGGCTAAAAACAGTAGAATACTAATAATAATAATAAAAATCAAAAAAAAATCGATCAATTGATCCGGCCATTTGACGGACTGGTTGGACAAGAGATAGAGGATATGAATGTGGCTGGCGCTAAAGAGTGCAGCCGGAACAATATGGTGAGGAGCAACTGGGGTACAAAGATCTACTTGCACATACCAGAACATACGGATATATGCAGATGTAATGCAGCATTGTGTAGTACAGTGCAGTGCAGTACAGTGCAGTACAATACAGCCAAGTATAGTGTAGTGTAGAGAGCGATTGTTGAAGATATATATATATATATATATATATATATTGAGTCCTAGTGTACAGCGGGAACTCATTCAATAATGATGTAAGTTATGACATACAGCTTGGATTATATATATGTATGTATGTCAATAGGATAAAGAAGTTACTGTCGTCATTTGTAGGCGAAGATAAACAAAGAAACTAAAAAAGGAATGATGTCTTATTATTGTTCTATTGATTGATGCCTGGGGTGAACAGACAATCAGCCCTTGGGTGAATACAAGGCGTACATTAAATCACAAATAAAATAAAAACGAATAAGCCAAAGGAAGATAAAATTGGCTGGAAATTTAAGCCACAATCAAATTCCATCTTGAGCCACTCTTTTAAATAAATAAATATTTATGATTATGCTGTCAATATTATTGTTATTTTCGGGCTATCTCAAAGAGAATGTTATGATAGCCTTTTTATATTCATAGTTATATTATTATATAGACAACCCACACAATAACAATAGCAATAGCAATAGCAATTAAAATAGGAATATACAAAGCCGTAAGAAAATAGGCTTGGTTTATGTAGTACAACAAAGATCGGTAATGATGTGTAGATGACGCTGAATGAGGTACACAGGCCAAATAGGATACCAAACATACACACATGGACATATTATAGATGTGTGTTTTGTTATTATGTCAGTGACATGAAATTTGCCTGAATTTCTGTAGTCAGGTACAGAATCTTATAAATGTTACAAAGAATAGTCAGAAAGAAAGGGGAAGAAAAGGGAAGGGGAGGAAGGAGAGAGAGAGAAAGAGATTTTAGATAATTATTATCATATTTATATTGTGTGTTTTTTTATGATATATATATTTGGGATACTTTATACATTATGTACACCGTATACATACGTTATGTATGCAAGCTGCAATCCGTTTCTATTGTTACTGTTGCTTGCATAGCCTTTTTATTTTTATTTTTATTTTTATCTATTTCTTATTCAGCAAATCTTGCTAAAACGCCACCCTCTTTCCTTGTTTGGGCATCGTAGATCCAAGGGAAGCCACTTTCCCTTCTTTTTAAATACATATAAAAATAAATACAAATACCAAAAAAAGGAAGAAGAAGAGGAAGAAGAGGAAGAAGAAAAAAGGTGTCGGGTATTAAATATCGACAAAACGCAAAACGATAGGTCGATCCCCTTTATATATATATAAATAATAAGAAAAGGAGGCATATAAATGAAAAGGCATGAAATAAAGTAAAGAAGAAGAAAGAGAGGCTTTAAAGAAGCTTTCATTTTTATAAATAAATAAAGATATATACTTCTTTAAATAAAAAAGAAAAAAACAAGAAGAACAAAAGAAGATATCTTTGACATTATATATATGTTATTTAACATAAACACTAATAGTAATAACGTATTAAGATAAGAAATCCCAGCACATCACCAACAAAGGAACATGAACACAGATATAAGCCAAAAATGGCAATTAAAGACTACTGAATATTATTTTTGAATAAAAATAAATTATCGGAAGCTAGCCAGTTGGTTAGCTGGTTAGTCATTCAGTCATTCAGTCATTCAGTCAGCCTTTCCATCTTTTTATATATATATGTCTGTATCTGTACGATACTCTCTCAGTATATACTTTTATAAGTATATTTCTTATTTTAAAATAGGTGTGACACGAAAGGGAAAAGCCGAGTTTAACAAACTAGATTAAGTACAAAACTAGTATCGTGTGTAATGTAGATAAAATATTTATTCCGTATTGTATAAATATCTTTTATATACATATATACTTTTTGTATTGCGCTTCAAAAAATAATAAAAAAATAAAAAAAAAAAACTATGAATAAAAAGATTATTATTTCCAATATTGATTTCAAAGCTTTGGTTCTTCTGCTATTCTTTTTAATTTTTATTTATATAATATATATACATTTCTTACCAAACAGTACATAGATACATACATTTGTACATACATTATACATTTATATACATATATTTCCCCTATTTTTCTTTTTCCTCTTCTTCTTCTGCTTTAGTTACTTGAAAATATAGATATATATAATATATATAATATATATATATATATATATATATTTGTTCCCTTTTTTGTATTCCTGATTTATATATTATATTATTTATATTCTAATATAAATTATATATATATTATATACATATATTTATAATTCCCTCTTTCTTTCCTTCCTACTTTCCTTCTTTCCTTCCTTCCTTCCTTCCTTCCTTTCTCTCTCTCTCTCTATCTCTTTCTTTCTTTATTTCTTTTTTATTTTATATATATATTTTATATATTAACTTCATTCCTTTTTTTTTGGTGAAAAAAAAAAAAAGAAGAAAGAAAGAAAGAAAGCAGCATAAAAAGCATAAAATCATAAACTCTCGATCCCTTGTTTATTCGATAACTTCTCAACACCTCTTCCCTTTCTCTACTACCTTTTGTTGCTGTTGCTGTATTGGTTGGAACGACCCATGCGGGAATCTCTCTTCAAAATGTTCGGTTCCTTTCAAATAGTCCAGGAAGTGTCAGGATCAACGAACCAACCGTCATCAACATCATCGTCAACGATGCCAACCTCCACAATTACAGAGCCAACTGCGACCACGACGGCGACGAATGCATCGACGACGACGACGAACAACAACAACAATAACAACAATAACACAAAAAATAATAATAACGATGTTACTGTTGATGTCAATAGTAATCATAATCATAAAAATTATAGTAACAACAACAAAAATAATAATACCTCAAGGTTGACAAAGACAATGTCGGCAATGTTTACGGATTCAGCGATAAACCGATCAGACCTACTTTCGCTCGAAGAAGAAAACTCTTTTTTAACGAGTAATTACAACCAAAATTATAACAACGAAAAATACTTAATACCGAGTCGAAAATCAGCATCGTCGACATTAGCTTCAACAACAACAACAACAACATCATCATCATCATCATCATTATCATCGTCAACCGCAACTGCGATCTCTACCTCTACCTCCTCTTTGAACTCGATTTCCAATTCCAATTCGCATTTCCCTTCAACCTTCCCCTTGTCGATTTCGGTTCCTACTCGCACCCGGAGCTTTGTACTCACAATCCCTTCATCTCCAATCTCAATGTCCGTACCTTCCCCTGTACGAACCCACGCACGGAAGAACTCGAAATACAGAATTCGCCACCATCGACCGAGACAATTGACAAACGCATCCCAATCCCAACCACAACCACAACCACAATCATACCAACACATGTTGAATGGTAAAAAGTCTAAATCACAAAAACTTCTCTGTCTATGGCCTCTACCGGTCATCACTCGCTATATCATCGTCATCTCTGTCTTTTTGTCGGCCCTGAACTTCTTTGACCTTATTGAACTCAAATGCTCAGCCCCTTCGTATGTCATCCACCGACTCGAGATCGCCAACCTCTTCTTGTCTCCATTTCTCTTTCAGTTTTCTTTGCCGACCGTCCTTTTGTTTGGCTGGAACGTCCTGATTCTCGGTTTGTTCGAGGAGTCGTTGGCACACATGTTGGGCAACACGCGCCGGTTCATTAAAGTCTTATTGGGCGTGGTATTTACGGTCTGCACAACGCGTCAAGTCATTGGTTATCTGTTCACCAAATCTACAGGCTGGGCCGTTCCGTTATTATTCTTTAGTGATTCCGCCCACGAGTGTAGTCAAGGTATGTAATTATATATATTTATTAAAAAAAATATATTTATTTTATTTTATTTTTACACATTTTAAAAAAAAATTATAATTATAATTATATATATAATAATTACAAGTCCATTAGACATATTATAGTATATTATAGTATATTATAGCGTATTATGGTATAGTGTAGGGTCTGTGTGTGTGTCTGTGCATTTAAGGTAGATAGACACACAGACACAAACAAAAAGACAAACAAAAATTATATACATAAAGAGAGAGAGAGAGAGAGGGGGGGGGTGAAGGGGGTGTGTGTGTGTGTGAAGGATACTAATAATAATAAAAAATAAAGTGAGGGAAATAAGGTGGGGGTGTGAATTAAGAATCGAATGAAATAAATAAGAGAGACCGTGTCCTATTTCTTGTTTAATTTGTTGAGAACACGCTTGTAAACCAATAAATAACAAATTTACTTTTTATTTGATTTCTAATAGGTTTGGCGCCGTTTCTGTTTGCTTTATTGGTCGTACAGTCATTAAATATAGAGGACAAGTACATCCTTATTTACGGAGATGAAGACTCTCACAACAAGCTGACCGTCCACAAGGTCGTACTTCAATTTCTGATGTGTCTGGTCAACTACACGGTCAAGAACATCCTCTGGTGGTCTTTGACCGGACTATTGACAGGTTATATGACCACGGTCCTGATCCAGTCCTGGCTTGCACGAGAAAAGTGGTACGATCACCATTATTACCGACAGCAGCAGATACACCAAATCCAAATCCAAATGCAACAACAACAACAAGAAGGAGGAGGAGGAGAACAAGAACCAGAACAAGAAGGAGAAGAAACAAAAGACATGAACGAGTTTATTGTTCAGGAACGGTACCGACGGACCCCTCTATGGAGGATTTTGTGGTTTACCATGAAAAAGGCAGCATTCGTGGTTGGCGTGACACTGTCGGTTCTCTTGATCTGTAACTCTTACCATACCCGAGAGTACCTTGTCGAACCAGCGACGATGAACGGAATGTCAAATGATCGATATATGTTTACCTTTGTATTCATGACTGCTCCCCGACGCTCCAACCCACCTTATCTCACCCGTACCCTGGAATCCTATCTTGCCAACTGGCCTGTGAACCCTGCCCCAAACTCACTTTACAGCCGAATCCAGACAGTGGTGTACACCCATTTTACCAATCATTCTCAGTTCGACGCCGCCCGAGAACGGTTTGCAAATGATCTCAAGGGACAGCAGTACATCCGGTGGATTCGGGAGGAAGGAGATCAACTCAACCAGCGCCTGCACGTCTCAAAGGCACTTGATCTGGTCACCGACAATATGCAGACTACTTACATTGCGCTAATGGAAGACGATTTCCCGGTCTGTGGTGCACATGAATGGCGTGAGATCGAAAACGTAATCTACAAGGCAAACCAGCAAGTGCCAAACCACTGTGGAATTTTTGTTGGCACAGGTGGAAGGTAAATATCATATAAATATAGAAACTTAAAGAAGTTGTCGATAGAGAGAAATGAATATAAAATGATCAAGATCATTTATTTATTCATTACAAAATGTAAACATAAACAAGATGTTTTATTTTATTTATTTATTTTGATGTTTGTGCAACCCAAATCTCACCTACATTTCTATTTCTATTTTGTGTTTGTGTTTGTATTACCAAAACAAAAAATCATATATATATATATATATATATATATTTATATTTATATTTATATTTATATGTGTGTGTCTATAGTGGATTGTTTCTTAAGCCAAAGATAGCCAAGCTTGTTTCAAGGCTTCTTTTACAATACGACACCATGCCACCAGATATCATCATCCAAAAGTGCCTTTTGGGTGAACTGCCCGAATGCCAAGAGTGCAGCCAGTCGCTTGTTACAAGCAAAACGCTCTTGATGTACCATATTGGCTACAATACCTCTACTAGTCATGACCGGACATACAAAAAGAATGATTTCCAGTGCGGATGGCGACATCCTTTTGTAAGTCTTTTTTTTTTGGCTTTCTTTTTCTTCTGATTGCTTTACACATTTATTAATTTTCGCCTTTTTTTTTTGTAGAATGGAGATCCTAATGTCATTACTCTCTAAAGAACTACGACAAAAATCAAAAAAGGAAAAGACAAGAAGTCCTTTTTTTTTGTTTCTCTTCTTTGTTTAAACAAAAGAATCCGAAAAAGAAGAAAGAACAGGAGAATCTGAAGAATTCGAAGAAGGTTCAGAAAGAATATGGAACCCTTTTCAAATACATCAAAAACACACACACACACATAACTCTTTATTTTATCTCTTCTACCTCTTCTACTACTTCTACTACTTCTACTACTACTTCTTCTACTTATTCTTTTAAACCACTTATATCTTTTTCAATATTTCTTTTTATTCTTTATTACTACTACTACTATTATTATTATTTTTGTCTTCTTTATTATTACACTATAATTTTTCCTTTTTTTTTTTTTACATTTTAGACCAATAATTATGGTCAAACCCTTTAACTAACTTACCTACTTTACTTTACTTTACTTTACTTTAACTATCTCTTTATCTCTTTATTTTCTTTTTCTTCTTTATATGTCTTTACTCAAAGTCGATAAGCGAGAGAGAAAATAGAGAGAAAAATAATCCCTTGTACAATAATGTTATTACTGTATTTTGAAAGAATATTTACACCCATAAAACACCAAACACGTCTTACATTTTATTTGTTATTTGTCATTATAATAAGCAAACCTACTAAATGAAAATAATAACTTATTTATACTTCTTTTATTTCTTAATATATATATATATAAATCTATAGTCTATAGTCTATATAATAATGAATGAACAAATGAAATGAAATTAAATGAAAGCAAAGCAAAAATAAATAGATAATTTTATTATGATTATGATTATTATTATTCTTTTTTTTTTTTAATCGTCTTGTTCAAAAATACTGATAAGTTCTTTAGTATATTTTGCAATCTCATATGCTTCCTTGGCCAGGTCACGCTTGGCAGCCGCAGTAGCAGTAGGGGGAGGAGGTGAAGATGATGAAGACGAGGTAGACATATGATTTTGGTTGGCCTGGCCAAAGAACCGGTCTCTGATACGCACAAGGGTTTCGTTGCACTCGGTCAGGTTTGCCAAAACATGTTCTCCGCGGTGACGATAGGGTCTGCCCTGAGCCGACTCAATCGTGCTCTGAGAACGCACGACCACAAGAGTAACGATATCCACAATCGAAGAAATAATCGATTTCACTTGACCGCTCTGGTGAGGAGGTAAACGCAGTGCACTCAACAAACCTTGGATGGCCTCTACAATATGCTCAGTCTCTGTTTTCAAATAACTCTAAAAAAAAAATTAATTAATATTGGTATTGGTACTGGTATTAGTATCTTTAGTTTTAGTTTTAAGTTTAATTGTAAACTTACGGCAAGTTCTTGTGGTGAAAGTGATCGTTCACCTCTTGATGGATTTGGTGAGGATAATGGTGAATAGTTTGTCGAGACCTCATTATAGGCTTGGTTTGTGTGATAGTTGTGATTTTGGCTTTGGCCTTGGCTTTGATTCTGGATTTGAGAAATGTAACCTTGGTTTGGCTGAGGCGCATAATTATTATGCTCAATACGTGGGGATTGTGCTGTTCTTGCGGTTGATGTTGATGTTGATGTTGATGTTGATGTTGAGTTTGAGGTTGGCGCTGATTTTGTTGCTGTGGCTACACGACTAGAATAGTCTTGTTGTTGCTGTTGACGGCTAAAATATCCTTTGGTAGGTGAAGGCTCGGCCCGCGTGGGTGGTGCAGAAGAGCCTAAAGAGGTGGTTGATGCTGGCAAGGAAGTCAGGGACGTAGAAGATAATAATGCAGATGATGATGAAGATGAAAATATTTGTTGTTGCTGATGTTGCTGCTGTTGATTTGGTTGCTGTTGCTGACTTGGTTGTTGTTGTTGTTGTTGTTGTTGTTGTGGTCGTAGTTGGGATGACATGCCAAGAAATTTGACTAGTTCAACAACCACGACTGTGACCTGACCTGCAGCCACATCCACAAGACTGACGGGACTGATCCCTTTTCCATTAACATGATTTCTTGAAGCCGCCAGTAGGTCTGACAGGGCAACCGAAAATCCAACCTTAAGCTGACCTAGCTTAGCCTGCTTGTCTGACGATAACGATAACGATGCCGATTGAAGTTGACCAGATGCTTCTGCAGATTCGATGTCACTTGTCACTGCTCTGCATATCTTTACCAAACGTGACATTACTGAAAGAATTCCAGAAGGGTGGCTTGATCTATCAAATGCATAATTATTATGATTATTACTGTTGCTGTTACTGTTGCTGCTGGTGAATATTTTACTAGCCTTTATGCTCGTATTTCTATCTCTTTCTTTGTTTCTTACCTTGCAACTTGTAATAATTTATGAATGCAATCTTGATAATCCATAATATTGTCCACCAAGATAATGCCATCTTTGGTTGGCTTCAAGAACTCGCTCTTTGAAAGATCTTGCTGGTAAAGTTCGGTAGTATAAAGTGAAGAAGCTAAAATAAATGATGATATCATAAAATTACAATGAAAAAATATATATATAATTTAATTATCATTTAAATAAATAAATAAATTAGTTTTTAGTTTAGTTTTGATTTGATTTGATTTGATTTGATTTGTTATATATCTTTATATCGTTAGTTTCATTTCGATTTCTTGAACCCAAATCCGTATTCCCATCCGTATATCCTATAAAAACACACGCACACAAGATCTTCCCCTCTATCTCTTTTCCGCTCCTTTCCCTTTTTATCATATAGAATCTTTCATGTATTCCAATTTACGATATATAAATAAAATAAAATAAAGTAAAATAAAATTACCTTTGTAAGACCGCAACTCTAAACGAGCATTTTGATACTTTGTTTCAAGTTGTTTCAACTTTTATGTGTATATATTTTATATATAAAAAAAGAAATGAAACATAAAAATAAGATAAAGATAAAATCATCTTTAATTTCTTACCTCTTCAGCATACTCTTGTACACGTGTATCAGCTTGTTCTTTATCAATCTGTAGGGTCGCATTGCTTTCTGATAATCGATGCAATTCATCAAGAAGTGGCAAGGTTTCTTGCTTGATTCTGTTGATAACCTACAATCAAATCAACAATATATATATATATTCGAAGCAAAGTTAGTTTATTAAAACCCACTATACCCTAATTAATAAATTACCTGTTGTTGTTCTAGACGAGCATCTTCAAGATGTTGATAGCGGTCCTGCCACTTTTCAAGTTCTTCCTGAAGTGCTTCTATTCTAATACTATTTTCTTTGTCTGCCTAAATATATATATGGGTGTGTTTCGATAGTTAGTTTACTTTTAACTCTTTTTTATATTGTTGCTGTTCTGTAAAGATATATATATATATATATATATATATATATATATATATGTATTCATGTCCACCACAACTACTCCAAAAAAGGTTATTACTTACTTTTTTGAGCTGTTCCAATTCCTTTTCAGTAGCCAGATTTGAACTTGATTCTATCGACTGTTTTATATTATAAATAAATAAATATATTTTATTGTATTGTATTGTATTGTATTACTTGCCTCTTTCTCGTTTTCAAGTTGTCGAATTCGCCTAGTTAAATTGGCTATCTGGTCTTCATATTCTTGCCTGAGTTTTGTGTTCAGAGATCGAGATTCATTGAATGCCGATTGGGGTGTAGAGGGAGAATTGCGAACCATGTTACCGAGATCGTTCATCAGCATATCAAGGGATTCGTCCTGATCGTTTTTATCCTTGTGGATTATATTTGCAATAGGTTTTGGCCCTAACCCTCCAGATAATAATCCCTGTGCCTGACCTTGACCTTTTGGCCAATCGGGTTCTTGATGGTGCCCAACCGGACTCTTTGGAGAATAAGGCGAGTGTGGTTCGTTATCATCATCATCGTCGTCGTCGTCGTCATCATCAGTGTAGTGTCCTCTTTCGACATTGATCATTCCTTTTACGGGTACGATTTGAGTTGCCTGGCTTGGTGGTTGTGGATTAGTGCTGTTTGAAAGTTGTTTTGTGAGAAGAGGCATTGGAGGCATTGGTGGACGATGAGAATCCTTTTTTTTTGTATATAGAAAAATAAATAAATCAAAAAATTTGTACAATAAGAAGAACAAATTTGTTAGTTTTGATTTTAGAAAGATAATTCATTTGAAATTCTATGCTAAGAAAAAAAAATAAGAACAAGAATCATTGAGAATATCTTTACTTCTTGATCTGTTACTTGTGGATATCTTCTTGTGAGCTCATAATAAACATCACTAGCCAGGTCTGTGAAGCGTAACATTGGTAAAGTGGCTAGTTTCTGTCGTGCCTGATTACGCTTTGGGTGAAAATCGGGTCGGACAGCCAGAAAAGGTACTTTTTAAGATTATTATTATTATTATTATTTTAAAAAATAAATAAAAATAAAATGCACACACACGCACACACGCACAAAGAAAAATAAACGGTATTTTTTTTTTTTTTTTTTTGGTTATCATTGTTGTCATGGTTACAATTAATTTACGAGAAATACACACATATATATATAAAACAATAAGTTAATGAAGAATTATCAAATGCTTATTTCTTACTTGAATCTTAAATCTTAAATCTTATTTTTTATTTTTATTTTTATTTTTATTGGCTTACATAGTTTATCACCAATATTACGCCTAACCAATTCATCGTATACATCCATGGCCAATTCATGAAATTGTGAGTTGTTTAATTTGGAAAGTTTGTGGCGTGCAGATACTCTTTGTGGACTTGGGCCTTCCATAGCCTCTAAAATAATTATATAATTATACATATATTTAATATATTATAAAAATCATAATACAACATAATACAATACGATAATGATTTATATATATATATATATATACCTTTTTGTAAGAATGACTGGAGGTGTTTCTTCAACTCAACATAATAAGTGCGTGCAGTAGTATCATATCCTGATGTACTAGTTGCTCTGCTTGCTGATGATGCCAATGAATGAGATCGAGAATTGGTCATTGACCGAGATGAGGTTGAGTTTGTTTCGCTGTTTTGTCCCCAGTCATCGTAAGGTTGCGATTGAGATGGAGGGTATCGAGAATAAGCCATGGTATTAATTATTCCTTATTTCTTGTCTCTTTATTATTATTATTTTCTTCTTCGTCTTTGTTTTGCTTTTTTTTAGGTGGTTTGAAAGTGCTGGTGAGTTAAGATATGAGAAAGTATGTACGAGGAATAAGAAGAAGTGAAAAAAAAGGAGAGTAAGTAAAAGTAAAAGAAGAAGAAGAAGAAGAAAGTAATAGACTTTCTATTGAGAATATACTTTGATCTTATTACTATTATTGAGCCTTTTTTTAAAAAAAATAAATAATATATATATATATATAATATCGATATCTATCTATCTATATATAAATATTAATATAAATATTTTATTAATTAATATTAAAATATATATAAATATATAATAATTAAATAGGAAAAAGAAGTGTACAAATCACAATAGACATCTTTAAATAAAATATATATATAAATATAAATATATATATATATATATAAAATAGAGTACAAAAACGGTTCGTACGACCAATAATGTTTAAACCTGGAAAATATATAGAAGAATTTATTCGTTTGTAACTCACATGCAAAAATACATATATATAAAGAATGGCTGTTCAGGGAATCAGTCAGTCTCTTTCACACACAGGTACAATTTAAATAAATAATTTTTTTTTCATATGAATTTCTTTGGTGTATTTTACAACATCTTTACCCATCTTTACCCACAATTACCAAAGAAAACCTTAATTTGATTTATATATATATATATATATAATTCAATATAATATAATACAATGATTATTTTAAAATGGTAGTTAAGAGCTTAATGAACACACTCACACACACACACATATATATATATATTGTTTTGATTGTTTCAAATTGTATATATTATATTTCAAATTCTGAAAAAGAAAAAAAAAGAAAAGAAAATGTAAGTAAGAAAAAGAAAATAACGAGAATAAGTATGACTTTTTTTTTTGGTGGTGGGGAGGTAGATAGATAAGGTGAATAAAGGTGAGGTGAATGAGTAAGTGAGAGAGTAAATTAAATGAGTGTTTTTTTTTATATGTGTAAAAGTTTATAGCACACATAAGATACACTAACAAAATTAATCAAAAAAAAAGAAATATATATATATATATAATGGATTAATGAATAGAAAGGAAAAAGAGGTGGGGGTTTGGGAGGGAAGGGGGTTTATGTACACATTCTAAAACAATGACAATAATTTCTTGAGATTACCGATAGAGTTATATATCATATATATCATATATATAACAGAAACACACGAACACACATATATAAAATATGTGTGAATGAGTGAGCAAGTGTTATATTTGTTATATATGTATATATGTATATATATATACATATATATTCTTAAGCCAATTTGAGGGAGTGCATGTTTTGAGCCTCTCCTTGCTTCTCAAGGCCATCAGCATATTGGAATGCACCACTAGAAAGAAGAAAAAAGAAGGGAATTAATATTATACCTATTAGAGAAATAGCCTTCTTTTTATATATTTAATAGCTCACCTTGTTTCGTACTCGTACATATCAAGAGCAACCACACAACTTTCACGAACAACCTGCTCATTGTCTTGTCTAAAAGACTCGAGGATCTCAAGAACCTGAGGAGTGGCAATTGAACCCAAAGCCTCGGCAGCTTCATGGCGGACCATGTGTGCTTCCTTACTATCCCTCAGGGTTTCTGTCAAAGCAGGGACTGAGGCAGGATGCTGCATTTGGCCAAAGATGTAAGCCACTACATACACATACACATACACACAAAAATATATAAATTTAGTACCAATAATAATAATAATAATAATAGCAAATTATTTGTATATCTAATTTACCTTCGTGACGAAAGAGGGCACTCTTGTCCTTTAATCCAGTTGCAAGAGCAAGAACAGCTTCGGGAGTTCCAATCTCACGCAGAGCAAACATGGCTCTGTAACGTTCAAAGAGAGACAGATCGGTGTTGTTCAACTGAGAACGGAGTTCTTCGATCGATTTGGTCGAGGTGCTTGGTGGGGCAGGATCAACAGAATTGTAGCAGCTCTTGTTGGCCTCTCTCTCGGCCTTGTTCTTGGGATCATTGTCGTAACGGATCTTGTCAATGGCCAATTCGCAGGTCTCAACCACAGACTGGTTGGGATCCTTCAAGTACTCTTCCAAAACAGGCAACATCTCAATCGATCCAATAGCACCAATGGCTTCAGCAGCCTATATGTATATATATATATATATATAGAAAATATAAATTAATTAATATATGTATGTATATATGTATATATGTATATATAATTGATCCATTATTTATTTATTTATTTATTTATTTGGTTTCATTCTTATTCTCCTTTATATAGATACATAAAGGAATTTGTGACATTTGATATATTTACTATTATTACTATTACTATTATTTCTCGTATTATTATTTTTTTTACTTGCCTCATGGCGAACCATCTCGTGTTCAATAGGATCAGCCAAGACCTTTGTAAGAACAGAGTTGGCACGGGGGTTACCAATCTGACCAAGACAATAAGCCAATTCATGCTTCAACAAAGCAGAATCATCAGCAAGAGCTAAACAATTTATTTAAGAGAGAAATTAGATTATATGTATAAATATAAATATCTCTAGTTACCTTTGGCAATAATGTCAATCGAGCGATCGTCGGCAATGTTCTTCAATGTGAACAAGGCACGGAATCTCTCGGCAAGAGGAGTGGTTCCAGTGGTGTTGCACAAGGCATTCTCGAGATACTCATAGTTGACATTAAGCTGATCGACCATGGTGCAAATTGGATTTTATGAGAGAAACAAGAAACAATAAAAAAATATATATAAAAAATATATATAAAGATATTATATTATATTATATTATATTATATCGTAATATAATAAAAATTTAAAGCAAGCCCAAAATAATAAAGTAAAAAAAAAAAATGATGGGAACTCTAGGGACGTGTGGCTTTGAACAACTTCAAAAGTTTATTCAGTTGCTCAACATACTTGGGATTCGGTTCTGTAGTCTGTTCATCTAACTAAGCTAGCTAACTAGATGTTTGGCTATATGTATTTACGTATGTAGGTTTGACTTGATCCCTTTTTATCTTTTCTTCTTTCTTTCTTTTATTCTTTTTTTTTATATTTTATTTTATTTCATTATCTTTTTTTTTTTTTCCCATTCTTATTTTATATATTTTCTTGATTATTTTTAACTATAAGAGTAAGCGTAATTTATATATTTATGGTTTTTAATCTCCGTTTCGCATTTTCTTCAAAAATAAAATATATAAGATTAACCATGGTAACAAATGACAAAGGTTTATTAACTTATTAACCTTTTTAGCTTTTATTTATATATGTCAGTTTGTTTCCATGACAATAAAGAAATAACTAAAAATATATATATTTTTTCTTGCTCCAGATACTCTTCTTCTTTTAAGCAGATACACAAACACAAACACATACATACGTACATACATACATACATACATACATAAAATAAAAGACCTGTAAGGCTACAAAAAAAGAGAGAGAGAGAGAAAACTTGGCGGGAAGATAATCTGACAGTTCCTTTAGTCATTTCGAAATTTTAGGATAGATTTCCATTTCCAAATCATGGAAACGTGTGTACAATGGCCATTTGTGGCAAAGGAGTGAGGGCAAGCTTAATGGGCATAGTGAATACATATATACATACATATACATACACATACACATATACACATATACACATATACACATATACACATGTACACTTATATATATATATCTAATTGTTTGATTATTAGACTCATTTATTCCTCTTTCTCTTCTTATCTTTTTTTCTTCTTCTTCTTGGTTTTCTTTACTATTTACTCTTTCTTATATATATATATATATATATACTTACTTACATATCTTTATTCATTCCTTTCCTTTTACTCAAATAAGTCAAACATATTTTACATTATATATAAAGATATATACACACATATATATAAACAGCACCAACCAAACGTTTTTTTAAAAGAAGAACAAAAGAAAGAATAAGAATAAGAAAGCCAACTTCATTATCAATTCTTTTTTTTTCTATTTTGTTCATTTATAAAATATAATAATAATAAAAAAAAACTTGTCGACATTTTACATGCCACCATCTCGGACAAAACCCGGGCCAGCTTTTGAGCTTCGGTTCTGTGACAATAATGTAAGCCTCAAATTATATATATATATATGTGTGTGTGTGTAGAGACGTGGGGGAAGAATGAGGGGGATAATGAGGGGAAGGGGTGGGGAAATAAGAGGGACAAATGAGAAGGGTCATTGAACATGATCTCACCATCATTATTAGATCGTACAAGTTTATGACCTAACACGTCGTCAGAAACCAGCCGAAAAACACTTGCTACCCAATGGTAATTATTAAAAGCAATAATTTGCTTATAAAAACTAGTTTTCTCTATTATTATGTTTTTGGTTAAAAAAAAAAAGACTAATCAAATATATATATATATGAATGTGTGTTTATTATTACTATCTTGTAGAATATCCAATTGATGATGTTCTGAAAGGAAGACTGCGATACTCTAAATTAGGAAATCAACGTTTAAGTAGACTTTCCGGAGGCAGTAGTAAATTCCAAGCATTTCAGCTAGCACTGTCCCGCCAACACTCAAAAGAAACGCTTGCAGACATAGAAACGGAGTCCAATGAAGATAACGACGAACAACTAAAAGATCGCAGCAATTTACCCACAAATAAGAGTGGTGGCAATATTGGGATTGACGGTGGCGGTAATAAAAGACGAAGACGAAGAGAGCGAACAAGGACAACAGGGTCAAAATCAGAATCAGAATCAGAATCAGAATTTAAATCTAAATCTAAATCCAATACAAAAGATTCAATTTATCCTTCGACTTCCAATTCAACCAAAATTCCTGTGGTTGTGAAACGCCAGATTGAAATGGACGAAAAGGAATTGGCAGAAATAAGAAAAGGACAAGAGGCCGTCCGAAAGGCAATGGAAAGAAAGGCCAAAATCCAGAATGCGCGCAAGAATGCCAAAAGAGTAATCGAAAAAGAAGGTCTGGTGGATACAAACGATAATGAAGTATGTCACACCAACACGCGCCCGGCTTTAAACGGTGTGAATGATCTACCTAATAATAATAATGTAAGAAAAATATAGAAGAAATGTAAACTAAATTAGCAAAACTAAATCATTAGTTAGTTAGTCATTCAGTCAGTCAGTATTATCATTGGTGTCATTGTTTCTAATATCTTACTTTTATTTTTCTTTAAAAAAATTATATATTTCTTTTCTTTATTTATTTATTTATTTCTTTGTTCCTTTATTATATTTTGTTTTATTGCATTAATAGCACTTTACATGCAGCAAGGTGCCAGAACAGCAGACAGTATTGGAACACTCATCAGGGAAAGATGCATCAGATAAAATGCTTTATGAAAAGGTAACACTGGCCACCTAGAAATATACATATATATATAGTATTGCTTTATAATAGATAACATAATATAAATATCTGGATCTTAAAAAGGGATGATGTAAAGAAAGGAACATGAGGGGTTGATTAGAGAAGGGGTATATTGAAAAATAGAAAAGATTGTGAAGGGGCGAGATGTGAAAAACATAAAGATATGGAAGAAGGAAGGAAGGAGATAGGGGGGGGATGAAGGGAAGATCATTGTCTGTGAATATTGGTAGAAAAAAAAATAGAATTATAATGTTAAATTTGATAATTGTATTAACTAAAAAAAATGTTTCATTATTCATACAACCTACAAACAATGTCATTTTTATTTAGGTTTCTGAACAAGAATCTTTTGATAGAGCAATTCAAAAATCATCATTTTCAGACATCAATACACCCATTCCTGCCAAGATTTCTCGTATCCATTCTACAAACGACTCCTTTGAATCCAATGGCCGGACCAGTGGGGAGACAGTAGACACGATAATCACTTCACAAAGAGTTCCGACAAAATATTTCAGTCTCGCCTCGCCTACACCAAGTCTTCAGCTATCACACTCCAGACGTTCGTCCAATGAGACCCATTTACCCCCCTTGATAGAAACCGATTCAATTCATAGCAATACCCACATCAAGCAAGCACATCAACCAGAACTAGAACCAAAACGAGAACGAGAACGAGAACGAGAACTAGAACATTTGGAACAACCACAACACCCAGAGCCAACAAAATTCCCTCATAATCACAAGCAAAAATATCAATATCATGAACAACAACAAGAATATCATCAGTATCATAATCATAATCATAATCAACAACAGCAACAGCAACAGCAACAGCAACAGCAACAGCAACAGAATCAGCATCAGCAACAGCAACAGCCAACAGTGCTACCGGTTCACCTTCCTCCAAGTCCACCCAGTACACACAAACATTCTGTAGAAACCAAAGAGAGTTGTTCTCTACCTCAACATCAGCAGGCTATGTCGGAAATGCAGAATGAATACCCCACCTCATCACCACCATCATCAGGTAGTTGTTGTATCATTTCCTAGATCATTCTTTACTATTATTATCATTACTATCATCCTTATAAATTCTTTTTGTCTTACCGCTACTGCTACTATTACTACTATTACTATTACTATTACTATTACTATTACTATTACTATTACTATTGTTGTTATTGGTATTATACAAATACACAATATACATGCATACATTATAATACACAAAACAAGAAAAAATACCCTCTTTATATACACATACATACTCATATACTCATATAAGCATATATATGTATATATGCTTATATGTATAATACATTTGTTCACAATTTGCGTCTCTCTTCTCTATAAATCTATCTACCCGTCTGACTGTTTTTTCTTCTTCCGTTGTTTTTTATCAATCAATTAATCAATTAATCAATTAATTAATTATATACATATATCTTTATTATTATTAATATGAATGAATTGCCTTGATTTTAAAGAAGTAGAAGAAGAAAAGAATATTACTTATATATTTATATTAATTAAAAAGACTCTACATATTTTTTATATGTGTGTGCATGCGTGAGTTATATATATATATATATATATATATTTAAATATGTAACTATTATTTTTTTGCGTAAAAATAAAATAAAATAAAATAAAAAATATATAAGGAGGGAGGTAAATCATGCTTATACAAAGTAATTATATGATACGATAGTAATGAGATGATGACAAGAAGATTTAATTGTTTTTATATACACTGTGAGAAAGAGAAAGAGGTATGAAAGATATTGAAATAGAGAGAGAGAGAGAGAGAGGAAGTGTGTGTGTGTGTGTGTGGGTGGGTGGGTGATAGATAAAAAGAAAAGAAAGAAAGAGACAAATAGAGAGAGAGAAAAGGTAATTATCAAACGTCTTGTAAAAGAAGGGAAGAAAGAAGATTAACCCAAAATACGCTCAGCGTAAAAGAAAGAAAGAAAGAAGTAATTCTCTACTTTCACTTGTTGTTGTCTTTGTTGTTGTCTGTAGTTGCTGCTGTTCTCTTTCTCTTGATCGGTTTTTGAATGAACCGAAAGTGAGAATAATCTCTATAATGAAGCATAAAGAATAAGTGAAAGTGAAAGCGAAAGAAATAGAAATAGAAAATAATGCAAAAGAAAGAAAAATGAAGAAAAACAGAATAGGAAGGTGGAAGAGGTGTAGGAAGATGAATATGAATATGATGAAAGGAAAGTTAAAGATGTAGTTTGCTTCTTTTGTTTTTTTGGGGGGTTTTTTTCTTTCTCTTTACATTTTGTCTCTCTCTCTCTTTTTTTGTAGTTGCTGAATACTAATTGTTGATTGTTGCTGGTTGATGTGATGGTTGATGTGATGGTTGGTGTGATGGTTGGTGTGATGGTTGATGGTTTTTTGCTGATCGTTTAGGTAGGTATGTAGGCAGGCAGGCAGGCAAGCAGGCAAGCAGGCAAGCAGGTTGGTAGGTTGGTAGGTTGGTAGGTTGGTTGGTAGGTTGACTTGGTTTATCCTTCTTTAATTTGTTGTCACCGAAACTAATTCTAATCTTCTTCTAGGCAATTGTTGCTTGCCGATGATTGGTACTATCGCCCGTTTCTGCTGATTCAGGTAAGTTTTGTTTAGTCCTTGGGCGACCCCGACCACGACCTCCACTTCCGCCGCCGCCACCGCCACCACCACCGCCGTTTCCACCACTTCCACTTCCATTCCCACTACCTGTCAATAGTGGTTTTCTACGCTTCCGCCGTTTCTCTTCATCTTCAATATCTTCAAATCCATACATACTCTTGGCCTTGCGACTGGATCGTGTATCGGATGAATACATTTTCCACTCGGCCAATAAACCAGCCTTGACAGTGTCCTGCTCTATCCAGGTCAAGATATCCGATGCCGTGTCCCGGTTCTGCGGCCGAGTCTTGAGACACTTTAGCAGCAACTGGCGACTCAATTCGCCATGGACTTCACGCTCAAGCGCACGCTGGATTCGATAATCGTCCTCGGCTACATACCGAAGTCCCTGCAGGTCGGTATCCAGAATCCCACGCCATGGTTCGGTTTCTGCAAATACCTTCCACATCATCACTCCAATAGAATACATGTCTTCGGCCTGGGGGTGGATCAGCCAGGGCAAGACCTGATTGTCGGATCTAGTCTTTGGCAGGGTCTGGATCGATCTGTACATCCGGTACCCGTGATCCGGTTTTCCTTTAACCCACGGTAAAGATTCGCACCAGGTTGCCAGTTCTTCTTCGGTCTCGGGAACCACGTCCCCATCGTACTCCCACGAGGCCCGTGGTACATCCACAAACCAGTCTCTGACGTCCTGCGATTCGCAAAACACTGCCTTTCCGAAATCAATGAGGTACATGCAGATCTTTGAGCTGCCGTCTTCCAATTGGCCGTCAATTGTGTTGATCATAATATTGACCTCGGACAGATCACGGTGCGCAAGTCCGGCCTCATGGATTGTCTTCATACAGATCAGCATCTGGTGGATAATTTCGTATTTTTGGTATGCTGACAGTCGATGATGAGAATGAACGTGTGTGTATTGTTTTAAGGTTGTTTGGTATCTACAAATACATACATACAAACATACGATTTTTTTTAAAAAAAAAATTAATTGAATTGATTAATAATTCAAAATTCTTATTATGTAATTTACCTTTCCATTGATAGACCAGCAATGTCACCATTATTGTTGTAAATAATTGCCTTCATTTGTGCCATATGAGGCAAGTTTTTCAATTTCCTAAAAAAAATAGATGTGCATATAAGCAAAGGCATAATGAAAACAGCAAATGATATTCTCTTATAAAATAAAATTGCCTGTGCCTGATATTAATATATACATTACACAAGATTGACTTACATTAGACAGGCTACTTCTGTGATACGTTGGTACATTGTCATTTGTCTAAAGGTCTGTACAACAACACTTTCAAGAAAGTACACTTGCTTGAAGAATCCCTCAGAGTTTGGTGAGCTCCAATTGATATTGGTGTATTTTTTCTCAATATTGCATATCTCGATTCCTTTTGCCTGACAAACTGTGTGTTTGTGAATGTATGTGTTCCAATGAGAAAAAAGAAAAGAAAAACAGTAACAACAATGATAATGATATTGATGATATTGATGATAATGATGATGACGGTGACAGTTAATGATAATGATAATGGTAACGACATCAATAATGATATTGTTCGTGGTAATTGTAATGGTAAAGATAATGGCAATGGCAATGGTAATGGTAATGGTAATAAAGATAATGATAATAAAATACATGACACATGATTAAAATTTAATAATTGAAAATCTTGTTTTATAACCTTTATAGCTTGTTTATGATTTGCATTACCTCCTAATAATTTCTTCCACACCGTGTGTTCCTTTTCTGGCGTTGACAGTCTGGTCGCATCTGCTGAAATTTGTGCTGCCGTCCGCTCATCTTTTACATTCTTTGTAGAGTTTGTAGAAACGTTGTTGTTATCTTGTTTGACAAGTCCTGGTGACAATGAATTGGTGATAGTCTTTGTATGCACCGCAGCTGACGATATAGACAGTTGGCAATTGCTTGGATTCGAACCAGATTTACTTTCATTGATATTCAAAAGATCAAGAGCAATAGATCCACTTGTTGGCTCTTTTTTTACGCCTCCTGATGTTGTAAGTACGTCTTTGGAGTCGGCTGCCGTAACTACTACTCCTACAGATGGTGATACCGATGATGCTGGTGCTGGTGATGATGATGCTGATAATGATGGTTCTGCTTTTGATGGTGATAATGCTGATGATGCTAATGCTGATGGTACTGATGTTGCTATTGATGCTGATTTTACTGCTGATTTTACTGCTGATTGAACCGCTGATGATAATGCTGTCGTTGTTGTAGTTGCAGTTGTAGCCGGAGTCGCAGTCGTTGCCACGGCCTTTTCTTCTTCGGGTATACCCAAAATCTTACAAACGATCTTTTCCAAAAGTTGCCTAGTTTCTGGTGTATCCTGCCCGTTCTTTTCCTCTACACTCATCATCTTGCAGGTTGCAAACATGCGACGGAAATAGTCACGATCAATTGATTCATTGACTTCGAACACGATATGCTCCAGAAGCTTGAGGGGTCTGAGGTGGACCCAGCCCTTTGGTGAGAAATCGTCTGTGCAGACATTCATCTGGTCAATGTCAAACAGGTCACTGACCGGGTGGGCTAGGATGATGTCGGTTTCGATCTGAAAGCGTTTGGAACGGGTTCGGTTGGCCTTTGTGTTATAAAAGATTGCCAGAACTCCCTGGGCTTTAACCTGACGGAGTAAGGTTCGATTCTTGGCAATGTAGAAACGAGGCACGATCGAGTGATTGGCAAGTGGATCTAGTTTCATGCGTTCGACTGCTTGGAAAAACGGGCCGTTGAGTTGGAGATAGAGTTGTTTTTCGTTCGTGAGACCTTTGGGTTTTTTTGCCTTTGCTTCAAAAGGTGATATGGCAGAGATGGTGTAAACTTTACTAAAAAGAAACCGATTAATGAATAAACACACACAGACACACAGACACACATATATATACATTATATATTCTTTTATTTTACCTTTGCTTGGAGTATATCTGACGTAGAGGTGGATATGAAAAATCAGATTCTTCAGGAAGACTATTTGAAGTGTCGAATTTGAATTCTTGGGATCCTTGTGAATGAGATTGTTTTCTAAAATATATATATATAACAAGAAAAGGGCAATGTTAATTATTTTAACAGGGTACAAAAATAAATATGATAAAGAACTTGCCTGATCTGCCTTTTTAGATATACTATTATTTTGTAAAACAATTGTTCAAGGTTGTCTGCGTGTTTTGGGATGGTTCCTGTATTGCGATGGAATACTTTTGCGTTCTTCCAGACCAATTGCATGTCCTGTTCAAACTTTGCAAACGTTCTGTATTTACCCTGCCAGACATTCTGTTCGATTGTGAATAGGTCCATTGGGTGCTGGACTTCTTGGTGGTAAACGACTGCGGTTTCGGGGACTGGCTGGATAAATGGCCAGCAGTCTGGTGTGGACAGCAGCATGTTGATTATAAACCGATAGAGCCGTAGGAATAGACGGGTGACGTTTGTTGGAGGTTCGTATTTTACGCCCGAGAGGTCGTGAACGTTTTCTGGCAAGGTTCCGTGGTGTACGGCAGATGCGGATGCAGAGAATGGAGATGAGTCGGATTGAGCAGAGCTGTCGGCCGAAGAAGGAGGTTGGGCGGATGGGGTTGTGTGGATGACAATGCTTCTGGCTCGTAGACCGGCGACGATCATGCGCTGCAGGGCAGCCAGGTCTCCATTTGAGATTTGGGATCCTACGGTTTGGGAAACGTCCTTGTCACCCGATGTACCGAGTATCATGGCCGTGATGACCTGCATTGCCGCAGCGGGTAAAACCTGCTGGGAGTCTGTTGGGAGGGTTTCGGCAATGTCTACCGGAGGGAGTTCATCGACGGTTGTGTGGACGCCGAGGGTGCGTAGGGTTGCGACCGTAAGACGTCTAAGGTTTTTTTCGTCGAGGTCTGGTTTCATTGGGTCTTTGTTTTCTTCACGGGCAGGGTTTGGAGAGAACTGCTTGAGGATATGGAAGCGTAATTGAGGTTTATCAGGAGTATCTGATGCTGTGGGTGTGGGTCTAGAGGGCGATTCTTTCTCGGGTGGAGGGTTTATACGTAACCGAACCTTTCGCTCGGTTGCAGAAGAAGGAGAGCGCGATCGTTTTGGTTGAGCGGCTTCTTCGACGTACATTCTGACCCGAACTTCAGGTTGTGGTGGAGTATCTACAAAGTTTTCAGACTGTTGCAATTGTAATGGTAATTGCGGTTGTTGTGGCTGCTGTGGTTGCTGTGGTTGCTGTGGTTGCTGTGGTTGCTGTGGTTGTGGTTGTGGCGGAGGAGTTAATAATGGAGGATGAGGAGGTTGTGTGGTTGGTCTATGAATTGAGTCGAAAGCCAATGGCGTGAGGTGTGCACAGTCTAAATTGTATATACATTGTGTATATATGTGTATATTTAATAAAAGAAATATAAGAATATATATAAATATATATATATAAAGAAGAAGAATAGAAAACAAGCAACCAATAGAGATATTATCGTTATTATCGTTATTATTAAATAAGATACAATAAAAGCTTTCTTTACACAACAGATAATTAAATAATGATAATTAATAAAGGAAGGCTTACCTGTTTCGATTCCTAGACTTTGTCTGAATAGTTTATCTACTTCTTGTTGAAAGTCGTCTTCATCTGTTGGATTTCCATCGTGATCGAATCCCAATGGGTCTGTGGACTGGAGGCCATCGTCTGATAGACCAAGGGATTCGAGAGACTGGAATTTCCAAAGGGCGTTATTGACTAGTCCGTTGACTGTGTCTACAACTGAACTGCTAGTGTTCTGCAGAGTCCAGTTCTCCATCTTGATGAGGGGGGGGTTTATCTTTGTTTATAGATATTTGTGTGTGTGTGTGTGATGCTGATTTTTTGTTTTTGTTTGTTTGAGGGTTGTGTAGTATGTAAAAAATAATAATAACAATAATAATAATAATAATAATATTAATATTAATATTGAATACAACCTCTCTCTCTGTGTATTATGTAGTGTAGTGGGTTGTATATGTAAATAGAGAGAGAGCGAGAGAGAGAAAGAGAAAGAGAGAAATAGAAAGAGAGAGAGAGAAAGAGAGAAAGACTGTAAGTGTATTGTATTGTATAGTGTATAGTGTGTGCACAGATAAAGTGTGTGTAAAGTGAATGAGTAAATGAGTGGAGTGTGGTTTAAATATATTATATTATAATATGAAATAATATAAAATATATGTAATGATTATGCTTTTTTTAACAAGCTGCTGAGACTCTTTTCTTTTCTTGTTTTAAATATTCATATTGGTTTTTATTTTTTTTTCTCTAAAACTCTTGCTTATTTGTTTCTCTTTATTTTTATATATAAAATATATATATATCAAAATTACCATTACTCTCACTATTACTGCTGATATTATAATTAGCTATAGTACTAAAGGTCAACACTAAACATAGATATAGAGTAAATGCTTGGATAAATATTTACAAAAAAAAAAAAGGGAGGTTGCAGAATTAAGGGTGCTTTTTTTTATTTTTATTTTATTATTGTTATTTATTTATATATGTAATTTTGTCTTTTTTTTTAATAAATAAATATAAAATCCATAATACTACTAGAATTATATGAAATGTATAATATTCTCTTCTTGCTCAGTCTCTTTCTTAATGAGACGCTTCTTTAAATGCTTTAAAGACACCAAGAAATTCCAAAACAAAACAAATCAAAAAAAAATTAAAAAAAAATTAAAAAAAAATATTGTAAAGTTGTATATCAAAAGTACCAGCCACCAAAAAAAAAGAGTAAAATAAAATAATAATTCTTTTAATATAAAATATATATAAAATTGTTTCAAAAGTAAATTAGATAATAATATGCCTATCTATATGCTTGTCACTATCTCACTCTGTATGTGCGTGCATGTACGTACGTATGTATATATGTATGTATGTATTAGCAAATTATTTATGCTCTATTTTTGTATGCTCTTTGGTATTTAAATGTAGAATTTGGTCTTCTTTTCTCCCTCTATTTTATTGCGACCAAAAAAAAAAAGTTCTTTCAGTGTGTGACGCAATCAGATTAGACTTGTTGGATGTGGCGGGATTTTTTTTTTGGAAAAGGTTCATACAGTAAAACCAGAAATCAATCTTACGGGGACGACGTTTCCTAATGGGGCACTACCTTTTTTGCCGGACTAATTGATTGTGGCTACCTGTCCGAGGTCTGATGTCTTTCTCCAATCCTTCAGGACAAAGCGGTGTGTCTAGAAATTCTTAATTCCATATTTAAATATAAGGCCTTCTTTTCTATTGTATACTCATCTCATAACTACTAATTGACTGTACTAAAAAGATTCTTCTTTTTGGGGATAGCAAAGATATTACTTTGCTCATTGGATATTAGCAATTAAAATTTATAGTGTTAGCAAGTACTTTTTAGAAATCACTTCAATATGAATCCTATCAATAAAGAAATCGGTTTTTTGAATGGAAAAGAACGTTATCCTGTTCAAAAACCTCTCCCTGAATCACCAGTTAATGGCTAAGTTGACATGGCAATGGAAATTGCAAAGATTCAGGAATTTGCGCTTGTAATTATAGAGAGTAAACCTACTTGAGCCTACTCGAAATGTGCCATAAGGGAAGGGCACGACATTTCCTGTTGGGATATAATGTCGTGAAGTAACATGTTGGGTAACTATTTTACTATTCTCTATATATCAGTTAACTCACTACAGGTAGTATAAAACTTTAAGTATAGCATTAAATATTTAAGAGGATGCCTTTACACTTGGCCAAAGCTATTATCCTGTCTTGTATTAAGGTATGTTTATTATGACAAGTATAACTCCTTACGGACCAGATATAGTTATTTGATTTCGGACAGCAAATCCGAATTTGTGGTTCGGTATAATCAAAACATCGCTTTCTACCAGAAAAGGGTAGTACCCCACCAGCAAACGTCGTCCACCTAATAGCGCCTTTTTGGCGGTAGATAAATGGACTTCAGGCTGCAGAATCATGATAAACTCGCATCTTTTCAAAAGTGTCTTTATCGTTTCTCTTCTCCTTTAGCAGACATTGCTCTCTTGCGAGTGCTTCCAAAGATATAACGGAGTTTATTTGCGCAAATTAGAAATACTTGTGTTGTCTATATCATCAAAGTGCTTTAAAGTCTTTTTACGTAATTCTAATAGTGTGGTTGTGTTGTTATTATCAATAATATATCCCAAGAAAACAGTCTCCTTGTGGTGGACTTGGGCCATAAGTCCTCTTATCACCATCCACAGACTTGCACCTTGTACTGACTGATGTCTCGAATCTTTTTGATAATCTCGCCAACTGTTGGGTGGTGGAATGTTAAGCTTCTTTTGGCAGCTTTAACTGGTGCTTTCAACTGGTTGTAGCTCTTTTGATATTGTATGTACAATTATTTACTTTTGCGCCCAAGTCTAACTGCAGGTCACAAATGTTATTTTGATACGAGCATTCTATATAACCATAGTAAACATATACGAGATTAGAAGAACTCTAAATGATAGCCAGAGTGACTAGAAGTGTTATATAGCTCAGGTTAAATATGAGCTACGCGTCTGAAGCTAAGCAAAAAAAAGATTGCCACATTTCTAGTGAAAAGGAGGGTGATAATGGGCTTAATGAAACTGCATGACAAAAGCCATGGACATCAGGAGGAGCAAGAATTGAATGTACATTAGATGAAAGAGATGGTGAAATTGTATGAAAATGTAACAAGTTGAAGTATGTATATATATATTGAATGGAGATGAGGGCTAAGGATTGAACTTTGAGGGATGTTTGCAGATGGTGTACATTATGATGTGAAATTGATTCCTCAATATGGTATCATTTTATAAGTACTTTCAAGATTTGACACAAAAAATAAAATAAAATAAAAATAATATTAGGTGGTGACAAAGCAAAAAAAATATGCTCCGTAGAGCGTTCCATCTCAGAAGTTTAGTGTCATCCTTGTGCAGGGGCCATGCTAATCTTCTCTGTATCGTTCCAATTTTAATATGTGACAGAGGTGCAAGCACTTGTCGACTAAAATAAATGTCCCAAAACACTAGATATATGCATTTATTTCCCGCTTTACAAAAGTTGTGGGTTTTTATAAAATTTAATAATTTTTTGTATTATAAAACTTATACACTAAATAAAATCAAGTAAGCTGTAACCTTTTCCCACCGCTCTTTTTTGAGGGTTTCCTTATCCTACAGACAGTTAACATATAACCCTTTTCAATTTTTATTTTTATAGCATGTAGCTGCGTATTTATTTTCTTCATTCTTATTTTAACAACATAAAAATGAATGAAGTTATAAAGAATAGACTTTACATTACTGTAAGGGTATTTTTGTAATACCTATATAAATAACCAGAGTAAAATACAGCTACTATATTGGCTTGTATAAGCCCAAGCATTCGGTATTTTGAAGCCTCAATATTATTCTAGCTACATAAAAAGCTCCTTATAAAAAATTAAAGATGTATGTCTCAAAGAAAATTTGCCATGAAACATGCCCGTGTGGTAAAAATAACCAAAATGTAAATATTAATGTGTTTTCTTTTAGAGTAAAACGTTTTGATCAATATTTGAGCAATTGATGTTAAGCAATTGATGTTAAGCAATTCTTAGATGGTGAATCTTTATGTGCCTCACCATATTACTTACACAATTAAAAAGCTTTTGCTTAACTGATTTAGATATATAGCTGATTTTATGTATTTAATTCCCCATTTTTATCAAAATGATCCTTTTTATTTAACTTTTCTTTTTACTTTAAAATCCAGCGATTCCAGCTTTAAATACATGGTCAACCATTAAAAAACCTACCTTGATCAATAGGTAATGTCAGACAAAAATTAATATTATTGGCTGATTTCATTTAATTTCTTTTTTCAATTATTTCGATATCTTTAGACCAGCCATCACCTTAGAGTTTAAACAGCACGTGATTGCTTACATCATTCCTGCTTGCATCATTCTTGCTTGCGTCAGCCAACAGATGTTTTGCTGATATAATTGTGAGGTGTTGATTGTAATGGCCCTGCAATACCTTCAGGTGTACATTTACATTGGACGATGGTATGTATATAAAAGAAAGCCTGTAATTTGTTTAATTAATCAAATCTAACGTTCATGTTCTAAATGTATATAAAAGAAACGCGTTGTGTCATAGCTAAGAGGCATTAAGACCTCGAAGAGGCAATCTAGGCTAATAGACCCACGTCAAGATTCCATGATATATTGGCAGCTCTTGTCTGTATTTCACGTCAAGATTCCGTGAAGTACAGTTGACCTTGCTATGATACGACGCGATAAATATTCAAGTTCATCATCTGAAGTAAGTTTTATTTTTGTACAGGCTCTTTGAAATGTACCGTCAAATGCTAATTGTTTTATTTCTTTGAATCTGATTTTTTCTGTATGATACGCTTAGGTTCTGTAATGTACAGCTGTCATTACTAGGGCGGAAGGTATGGCGAGTATTGTGTCATAGGACGGGGGCGTCACTTCCTCTAATGGCAGTCTAGGCTAGTATGCCTACGTCAATGTCCCGTGGTATACTAGCAGCTCTTGTCTGTATCGCGCGTCAAGATCCCGTGCAATACAGTTGACCTTTATATGGCACAATACACCAAATGGGCAAATGCCCTCACATAAAGTAAGTTTTATCTTTATATAAGCTTTTTTAAATGCACAAAAGTCTAATTTTCATTTTCATTTTTTTAGAATCTGATGTCAATAAAAGTAACTCTTTTGAAAATAAACTCTTTGTTCCAATAACCACGTATCATATGTTTTATTATTATTTTTTGAGTAATTAGAATATAGCAGCTCATATTTATTGTAAAGGGGTTAAGCCCATCAAGTACATTATAAGAATAGTTATTTCATTAATAAGAGTAATAATAGTAAACGACATATAAAAGGGAAGAATATGCGACCAAGCTGGTATAGGAAACATGGACATATTCAAGCAAAGATGAGGACAAAATTGAGATATACGAATAAATTGAAAATAAAAGATAATTACTATGAGTGCTACTTATTCAAGAGAGTTAAAATAATATTGTCTGTATTTATTACTGCTAAAATTTCTTGTAATCCAATTCCCTACTGTGTAATGGTTGGTTTAGACTGTGTAAAAGTGTAGTGTACATGTGTTTGCCATGTAACAGTTTTGGAGATTACTAACTTGCCAGATTAATTAGCAAGAAGGAACAAGTGTGTTTGGCTGTAGAGTCTGTTCTTCACTCGATTGTGGTTTGCATATCATAATATAGATACAATAGGTGAAAGAAAGAGAAAGACAGTATAGGCGTAAGAAGGCCAATAAATAGTAAAATATTCAACAAGATTGCATCACAATCTAATGACAACAACTCCTTATAATCTTCTGCATAACTGGCTATTGATAAAGTGTATTTTTTATGGCCAAGTCTAAATGTAGGGCCACTATTTGAATATATTGTATTTTTAAGACACGCCATTTTGCCCTGCAGGATTATAGAGACACCATGCCCCGGACAGGTAACCACAATTAATTAGTCCGATTAGATAGAAACGTCGTGTCCCACCAGAAAGTCGTCCCGTAAGATTGCTGTACAAGTAAACAACAAGGGTACTTGGTTAACAAAAGAAATAAAGGCTATGGATGTGTATATCTTGCTCCATACTCACCAGAACTTAATTTGAGTTGAATAGTTTCTGTCTACTCTTTCTTTATTTCCAAACCTTCGAAACTTTTGGTTAGATTTTCGACTGCATCCTAGATAACAGCTTATCGAAATAAGCAGATTTACTAACGAAATGAATACAGTAATACAATAAGAAAAGTAGCCAATCTAACCTCACACAAAATGTTAAAAAAATCAAAAAACTGGGCAAAGTTTTCAAATATCCGGTAAATTGAGAGTGTGGGACAGTAATTTTTTTATTATTATTATAAAAAAAAGAAAGAGAGAGAAGATCCCTCCTCCCCTACCCCTCCATCTTTAAGATTAAACTCATTTACACTTATGTTTTAAAAAAATAACTATATACATATGGTTATATGGACACAAACTATATGCTTTTTGGTTTTTTAATAAATAAATAAATAAATATATTTTGTAGTGTGAACTGTGTACCGTGGTAGTGGTTGGGAGGATCTGGTGTATAGGGAGTTTGTAAAAAAAAAGAATAAAAGGAGGGGGAAGGAGCGTAGAGTACAAAATGTTCCTAATATAGAATCACCAAAAAACTGTAAGTACAAAATGCTGTGTAAGACCCACAGCACAGGTGGTTTGTAAATATACTGCAGTTTATACTTGTCAATGATAAAGGTGGCGGTATATTTGACAGGATTATGTTCTTCATTATACATACATATCTATATACATATAGTTATGTATACATACTATGATAAAGACAGACGGGTGAAATATGATTTTAACAATTATGTATATACTGATATATTTATGAGTAAGTGAATAGGCGAGTAAGTGAATAGGTGAGTAAGTGAATAGGTGAGTGAACAAGTGATAGTGATAGTGATAGTGATAGTAATAGTATGCGTGAGTTCACGAGTGCGTGTTTGCGTGAGTGCGTGAGTACGTGCGTGCGTGTATTCAAAACATAGATAGTTTGTAAACTGCTTTTTTTTTTGGGAATTAATAGGTAAGAATTTGAAAAAAAGTATATAGGAAAATATCAAGTTTCCTAATAATGAGTTTACAGCGAAGAAGAAGAGAAAATGAACCACCAGATTGAACTCTACAAAATAAAATAAAAATAAGAGGAAGGGAGGGGTTGAATAAAATAAGATATACTAAAGTAAGAAAGGGAAGAATAATAATAAAAAAAAGGGAAGATAAAGGGGGAGGGGGAGGGATAGAAGAGTCGGTTGAACAAAAGGGATCTTTTCGTAAATTGTTATTGTTGGTTGTTGGTTGTTGGTTGTGGTTGCTGAATATTATATTAGGTTGCAGCACAAGAAAAGAGCAACGGCAATCAAACAGATCACAGAGGACTGTGTTGTACGAGATGCAGCAGATACATGGAGACGCCCATACTTTCCAACCGTGTCATCAGGAAGAGGTGCCGACTGAGAAGGACGGGCAAGGCTAGACAGAGCCGAAGACGACGACGCCTGTCTGGTTGGCGTAGGAAAGTGGGTCAGCACTGATGTGGTGGGCGAGGCAGAAAACGAGAGAATGGATAGGTTGACAGAAACCAAGGTTGGTAGGGGAAGTGGTACGATGCTATTGATGGTGCTCGTGGTAGTAAAAATGGTACTTGAGGTGGTTGTGGTTGGAGTGGGGATCGGGTTGCTAAAAAGTGTCGTGTTTGCAGTGGTGGTCAGAGTAGGTTGTTGGCCAAGAACTACAGTAGTAGCGATGAGTATTAAGAGACAATGCATTACAAGATGAGTGCAGAACCAGAGAAAAGAAGTGTTCTTGGGCAGGGTACCAGAGATGGTTTATATATAAATATGCCTGTATAAATAATCACATAAGAAAAAAGGGGAATCTGGCTATTTGAAGAAGAAGAAGAAGTGAAAGAAGAGGGGAGAAAAAAAATAGAAAGGGGCAAGATGATTCTTTTTCTATATTTCTATATTTCTTTAAAGTATCTACCTTCTTTCTCGCTTTCTTTCTCTTCTCTTCTTTAATATATATGTATTTGTATCTTTCTTGAATATTTTTGTATGTATATATAGTGTTGGGGGGTAAAGGAATATGTATGTATGTGTATGTATTTAAAGACGTATATATATGTGTGTGTGTATATGTATGTATAGATATGTATGTGTAGGTACGTGTGTACATGTAGTAATTTATTATTTCAAAGTGAATATTATGTGATTGGGTAGGTGGGTTGATGAGTAAGTGACTGACTGACTGACTGACTGGCTGGCTGAGTGAGTGAGTGTGTTAGTGAGTATTTATGCAAATAGTGCGAATAGTGTGAGTAAGTAAGAATTTCAAGAAGAATCTTCCATGGTTTTGTGTGTGATGTGTGCGCGTAGATAGATAGAGATAGATAAAGAGAGAAAATATGTGTGTGTGTTTCATGAGATCGAAAAGGATCGCTTGTCCTGCAGCCTTGCAAGTTCCCGCTGCAGTTCCTCCTTTTCATGTGCAAAGCGTTCTTCTTTGTGCCGAAAGTCCCCTATGTAATCCACGGCTGTATAAAGCATTAGAATTAAAAAACAATCTTCAAATAACAACAATGCTAGTAACACTAACACTAATAGTAATAATAGTGATGCGCAGTCTTTCGTTCTTTCATTTATTCACTTATTCATTTCCTTTTCTTACTAGTCTAAATAAATAAATAAAAAAACCAGCTAAAATCCCAGTGATTTTTTTTTCAAAAATATATATTACCTTTGCTGAGTATTTCCCATTTGCTAGTCTTTAAACCTTGATCAATCGGGAGTAAATCGCGCAGCTCATCGAATAAATCTTTCATCTCCCTGCGACGCTTTCGTTCTGCCATCTTATGGCTCACTCTAAGCTCTGGTGAGCGGGAGTAAGGTGCATGGACCGCACTTGCTCTCCTGGACAGTCGGTCATGTGGTCCTGCGGTGAAGCTGTGCATTCGTGGCATCGATGATGATGATAGTGTTAGTGCCGATGACGACGATACTGAGGATGATGCTGATGCTGAGGATAATAATAATAATGTTGATGATGACGAAGAAGATGATGATGATTGATCTGTTGACAGATCTGCTGTGGTAGGTGCGTTGCGACAGTCCCGATCAGACACAGCAATAGAGTGGCGCCTGTCAATTGGTCTGGCTAAAGAAGAAGAAGGAGAAGAAGGATGAAGAGAAAGAGAACGAGGATGAGGATGAGGAGGAGGAGATGTTGACGGCTGGTAATGATCTTTTACGGATAGATGTGCAATCGACGGAAGTGAGTCGCGTCGCCATGATGATGATGCTGATGGTGATGATGATAATGAGGGTGACGACGACATTGATAGCGACGACAGTGAAGAAGGCGCTACGGATGACAAGGATTGAGAGTTTGTACCAAGGGATGACAGGAAACGCCCTGTTAGATCTGGTCTATGATCCAGTGCAGATGGACGTAGATGGTGCTGTGGGGAATGTGGGGGAGATCCGAGCGAGGGCAACTGTGGACGGAAGATGTAATCTGCCGAGGATCCGCGTCTGGAGTTAGAAGGTGTAGGCATTTGCATAGACATCGTCATAGACACCGACGAGGGGCATCCTGGGTAATCGGTTGGTCGAAAGATGTTTGGAAGTATCCTAGAGTTTGGATCGACAGATTGTCGGCGGTCCATAGGATGCTCACGACTTTCGGATTGATCGATTGGTGAAAGGTTGTATTGGTTTGCAAGTAGCATTATAAAAATAATAGGGTAACAGTATTAAAAATAATAGTAATAAGAAGTATTAGTGTTCAAATTAAGAAGGAGAAGAGGAAGAAGAAGAGGTAAAAAAAAAAAAGAAAGAAAGAGAACAGAAGTGAAAGAAGGGAGAAAATATACACAGCTTAACAACCTAGAGATTATATGCAAACACAACTCCGCTTTCACAAGTGAGCAACTGCACGTGCTATTGCGTTGCCACGAGGCATCCACATGGTTTGGCCATCACCATGGCTACCTTCATTGTGTATATATTTTTGTATTATAATACTTTTTTTAGTTGTACACTATCTTCGGAAATTGCTCGCAAAACATCAAATGTATACTGGTACACACACGTAAAAAGATATATATATATATAAAGGAAAAGAAATGAAGGAAGGAGAGAGAGAGAGAGAGAGAGAGAGAGAGAGAGAGAGAGAGAGAGAGAGAGAGAGAGAGAGAGAGAGAGAGAGAGAGAGAGAGAGGTGAAGGGGGAAAGAAAACCAAATATCTATATGTTAAATAAAAATTAAATTACCCAAAACTACCCTGATTCAAATGCACAGAGTTGGAATGTCATTTACAGAGAGATTCACAGATACTCAAGTGTATATACATATATACATGAAGTAGACTGTGTAATACAAGGATATTATATAATACTCCGTTGAATATGTGTGCCTCGTTCAGGGAAAATATGATACCTTGGAGGCTGTCAATATGCAGCAGAATATTGTATAAAACAACACTTATAGTTTTTATTATTGTTATAGATATTATCTTTTGGCAGATACCATCATCATCATCATCATAATTAATACATATAGAGTTAATTCTACATAATTACCTATCCCAATGAATGTTATTAGTAAGCCCTTACATAATCTTGACTCTAGTCTGTTGTGTTCCATTGGCCAAACCTTTCTAAGCACAGGTGGACACCCCTCTGGATTGTAGATAAGATTATATATAAAAGAAAAGAACAGAAAATAAAAAATAGATGATTTCGAATCACATATCTTGTTTTTTTTAATACTGATAATAATAATGAGATTGGTGAGATTTGTCGAGAGAATTTAATAATAATAATATTCCACAAAAGAAAGATCGCCTTGGTCAAAGAGTTGATAAAAAAAAGAAAGAAAGAAAGAGAGAGAAAAACTCCGGGGGGACGGAGTATCACTGATGGCGTGGGTATATATATTTGACTAAGAAGCATTGTGTCCCTTGTTCCTAAGAGTAACACGGATGCCAAGGCAAGGAGCACGTTGAAGCTTTTGTAGGAGAAGCTCTTTGTCAACAACAAGGCATGTTGCTGTGCAACCATAAAGGACATATTGTTTCCATGGATATAAGTATTTTAAAATAATTATAGCAATATATATCTATTTTATGTAAAAGCTTTAGTATAGATATTTCTTTCTCTTTTTCTTTTTTTTTTTCAAGCGGCCTTTCTTTTATGTTTTTTTTTGTTTTGATCTCGAAATAACTAGATTTCGATTTAACCGAAATCCTCTGAAAAGCCATTTTTCTTTTCTTTTGGACAACCATGTGTACTTGAGACACACTCGTCAGCCTACCACAAATCTAATGCAAGTTAACTAGGGATATGAAATACAAGTTTAACATATGACGAGGTCCAATGTTTCTAAGAAATATATCAGTGTGCATAAATATATCAGTAGCTGTCAAAAGAAATTACAGTGGACACACTTTTATCATAATATATAATTAGATATATAAAGCACACATTGAAAAAAAAATCATCCAATTAACCTTTTTTTTTTCTTAAAGCAAAATCTCATAATCATTGCATTATAGACACTATAGAAGATTATAAAGAAAACTTATTTGTGCTTAACGTTTATCAAACCACCAGAAAGTAAGAGATGCATAAATGTTTATTAAAATACACAATTTTTAAAAGAATCGCCTATAGCATTATTAATTAATGTACCTCCAGAATTCATACACACACACACTACTTCTTATAGTATTAGTTACATGTGTGAAGGAATTAGATAAATGTAAAGAAGGTATGCTTTGGTTTTGGCTTGAATTGCTTTGCTTTGCTTTGCTTTCATTTCCGTGTTTCAGAAACCAAAAAGCGAAAAAGAGACTTAACTCTTTGTGGTAGTTTGTTAATCAGTAAAAATGTAGTCATCCATTGGTTTAATATTATATCCAAGATCCAAATACTCAAATTTAGTCAAGCGTGCCAACTCTTGTTTTAATCCCTTGCATTTATTTTTATTCTGTTGTTGACCCAAATAGAGTAAGCGTATTTTTTTTTCTTGTGAACTAGTCTGAAGCCTCACACACTCTCCTTTTATATATTCTTAATCTGAAAAGCTTTGCAGGGAATAAATGGAAGAAGTTTATTTAAAGGTACAAAAAGAACAGGCAAGAGGCACAATTCTAGCAACTTGACAATATATTAAATGTTAGTAAAGGGTAAACAAGGATTTCTAGGCTATGCGTTATTTCGTTTTCATACATTAGCATATGTTAGGTCTATATAACTATCCTAACCTCATATATATGAATATGCTGCAAGCCACACATCAGGGCTGATTTAAGGTATTCTTAAAATCATCGTTACAAGCAATAAGCCCACTACACCTCATACAGTTATAAATCCGAAAAAAAGCCATTGCTAAGCACCAACCACAGCCAAGTACCTGCGCCACACAAGTATTTCAAGCAAACACAAAAGAGAATAAAAAATGTTGTATTACAAGTCAAGATGTAAGCATAATAATCTCCAATCTCTTTTCCCCTTCCCACCTTTTTATTATTATTATTATTATTTGTAAAATTCTATACAAATATTTTAAGTCAAGTAAAAAAAAGTATAATACACACTGTATAGTTTTTATAGAGAAGCCTAAAACTAGTCATTAAAATTGAATAAAAATTTACACACTGAATATGACCATATTACATCATGAAGTTTGTTATCATTAAATGTCATGACAACAAAATATATTAAGCGAAATCTCCAACTCTTGAATACATGTAAAAATTTTAAAGCCTATGCAAATCAGTTTACTGTTATATATATATATGGGTGTGTGTGTGTGTGTGTATGTATGTGTATGTTTTATTTATTTACTTTGGGGTAATGTTAAACTAATGAAGTGACCAGGTGGATATACATTTATTGTGGCCCAGCTATCATTTTCATTTCCTATCTTCCTATTTTTTTTTTGGGATATATATATATGTGATTTTTCTTCTATGCAGAGCTGTACTTTCGCTTTGCTGCCCAGTCAACCAATTCGCTTGCCACCAGTTTGGCCCATACTGCTGCATATCCAAACATGACCGGAATATACACCTCTCTCTCTCGTCTATCAGAGGCAGCCACAATACGACTGGCTACAGACTGTGGCGACAATTTGCCCTTGGTTGATCCAGCAATCTCGCCTGTTCCTCTGTCGACTGCTGATGCTCTGAGCTCAGTATCAACCGTACCCGGACAAACCAATCCCACGTGCACTCCATACTTTTCCACTTCTACCCGCAACGAGTCAAAGAATCCGTGGACCGCATGCTTGGACCCGGCATACATTGCACGCGTAGGAGCACCTACTTTACCGGCCATCGACGAAATCACAATCCAGTTGGGCATATCGGACGTCTCGATCATCAAAGGCAACAAGACTCGTGTAGCCTCGACTGCTGCAAAATAATTAATGTCCGTAATTTTCTTGAGCGCCTCGTATGAGCTTGTACTCTTTGTTTCAATAGCTGTGTAATGGCTCTTTTGGTCTGACGATTTTTGGAACTCGATATTACAGGCTTCGAAAAACGGGCGGACAGAAATCATGCCTGCACAATAGATTGCGGTGTCCAGTCCACCCAGCTCTTCCCGGCTTCGTGTCTTGATTTTCTCTAGATCAACCTGGGATCCCACATCACCTTGGACAACCAAGACCTTGGTCGCACCTCGATCCTTGCATTCCTGTTCAAGCGATTCCAGCATGGCCATGCGTCGTGCAAAAAGAACCAGACTTGCACCGCGTGCAGCATACGTTAATGCTGTTTCTCTACCAATGCCTGATGAGCATCCTAGAATGACCACACGCTCTTTACGGGCCGGGACTGCTGCCAGGCGTCTTTGATTCTTTTTGGCAGTGTATAAGTAGGTACCCAAGACAGCCAGACCAGTTACAACGGTTATTGGATTCATGATTTATTATGTTCTTTAGTTTTTTTAGTTGTTGAAATTTAATATACAATGAAGGTTAAAATAAAACCAGGACTTATATTGTGAATTTTAATGATTTTATATTTTATTGTCGTTTTCGGTGTACAAAAAAAAAGAAGTACGATAATCATATGCTAAACACTCAAGCTATTTGCTTTAGTCTTTGCACGTTTTATATAACGCTCAGCTCTTGACATCCCATCTTTCTTAATACATTCCGTAATTTGGTCATTTTCTTCTTTGATAGGTCTCTTTTTAACCTTGGTCTTTACTTCAGATTTTGTCTTTTGACTCTCGGGAAGAACCTGGACTTCAGGTACAAAACAGCTTGTTCGACCACCGACCTACATATTTGAATCAATTATGTATGTGTATGTGTGTGTGTTGATAAGTAATCAATTTAATATATAAGTGTATACATAAGTGTATATATAATCTTTATATATTGTACTAAATATTCTGACTGATCAACACAAGCTAATTTCTGTAATTATCCTAAAGGTTTCTCTAAAAGGCTATAAAATCTAATGATATATATATATATTTACCGTCTCAAACGCCATAACTTGTCCATTAGGTAAAACACCATTTCCTTTGCCTTTGCCTTTTTTCCACCGATAGTTCATTATCCAGTTGTCAGGAAAGAGTGAAGAATCTGCGTCTGCTTCGACTGCAGTCCGACAAACATACTCCATATTTTGATGAAGCGTGTGGCACTGTGCTGTCGAAAGAGTGTTTGCATATTGTGCAGGGTGGATATGGGAATGATACAGGATTTCATCGGCTACCCAATTACCCACGCCACTATTTTTTGTTTTGTTTATTTGTTAAGATAGAGAGAGAAACACATTAAGTATACCCATACATACATATATGCATGCATTTGTGTGTATATGTGTATGTACAATTTTAAAGTCTTTGTGTAAGTAAACTACAATATTTTGAGTGTATGTCTATTAATTTTTTTTTGGGATATACTTGCGCAGAAAATGACTGATCCAGTAACAATGCTTTGATAGGCATGGCACGTTTTTGAACCAAAGCTGTAAAGGTGTCTTCATTGGGTAGATTCAATATTGGATCAAAACCAAGTTTAGAGATCGGCTCACTCTTGAGTGGATCTCCGCCAACTAGCCGAATACGGCCCAACCGACGACTGTCCGTCAGTGCCATATCCATAGGGGATTTGTCTTGAGGACCTTTTAATGTGAGCAATATTTTGTAGAATCTAGGTGGCCAGGTCGAGTCTTTGGCTTGCTTATCATTGTGTAGCTAAATAAAATTTAAAAAGAAAAATTGAATCGAATATACCATATAGTATATATATATATCAGTCCACGCATACACAGATTAATAAAGAATTGTTAAATTAGTTTATTTGTTAATGATGAAAGACACCTTTTTTCTTTAAAAAAATAAAGAAAAAAAAACCCATTGTTTCGATTTACACTTCTTTTATTACCTGCAAATTATCTACGTTATGTTTAAACTTTGAATACAGAAAAGACGTTTTTTTAAAAAAAAACAATAAGCACAGAAGTATAATCGATTGAAATAGAGCCTTTTTTGTATATAACATGGTACTTAATACCTTGAGTGTGCCTGTCATTCCAAAATGACACACCAGGTGGGGCCCTTTATCAAGCACTATATTTATGAGGCCATTTGGTGTACATATGTATTGTTTTTCATTTAGCATCGAAAAAATATACCAGCTGTATTGCTTATACTTGCTTAACACAAAATATTTCCCCCATCTTTTTGTATCCACAACTTTCTTATTTTCCAATACTTTTACAATATCTGCTGGTTCTTTTCCTGCAAATACAATTGGGTCTGGTTGCTACCGCCACACACATTTCTATCAGAGCGTTCTGACAATAACTTGGGCGACATTCATTTTCTTCTTATTTCCTTTTATATATATGACTCACTACTTCTACTTTGACTATTTTACGTCCAACACAATTGAGATGACATTTGCGCCGAGCATTCTCAACCTTGAAGCATGTTAAATTAGACAAAAAGGTTAAGCTTGTTTTATTAAAAACAACAATAACGCAATAGACAACTTACTTCTGCAATCTCAGGCATAGTTTTTAAGAGAAGAAAAAGAAGCACGCAGACAAGAGAAAGAGGTTAAGCAGGCGGGATTATAATGTTTTATATGCAGTCAAGACATTCTTTGAAATATTCACGGACCCTCTAGTGGCTTAGAAGATCTCTCTCATTTCCCCCTTTTCTCTCCCTTTCATTCCATCTTTTTTTTTTAAAGATTCATTGTGACATTTTTTTAAAAAAAAATGCAAGATAAGGCCCAAAGCTCAAAGGCCAGCTATGACAAGGCTGCCTTGCGTGAACGAAAAAAGATCCTCGGAAGTGATCCTGAGCAAAGTCTGTAAGCAATTGCTATTAACCAAAGAAAGAAATGGGGGACATTTTTATTTTATTTTATTTTATTGTCATTAACTAACGCATTGATAATCTATAATACTTGTCAGGCATTCTCATTCTGATTCTAAAAGCATGCACACCGACATTCTCAAGACCTGACTTTGGAAAGACCTTACAAAGCATCAAGGCCAATTTTGTTCAAAGAGATTACGAAGGAATCTTTACGGATGCAGAAAACTTGCAAGTTTACAGTGCCGCATATGTACCTGGACGAGCATTGTGCTACTATGAGATTTTCTGTAGACCCCAACTGTCTAGGGTGCTTGCCAAAAACAGCCTGGTATATGCTGTTGGATCAGGAAGTGGGTCCGAGTTGGTGAGTATTGCGGCAGCAATGACACGGGCACCAGCCGACCGTCAGAAGGTTCATTTGGCTATGCAAGATATTGGAGAATGGGCAGATGTACTTGGGTTGTTTGAAGAAAAGATTCGTACCGACTGGAAGTTGACGACAGACCAATTGACGTGCATTTATGAGCAAGGAGATGTTCTTTCTACCGAGAATGAAGCACGGCGTACAGAATTGATTTCGTCTGCAGACTTGATTACATTTATGTTTGTAATGAATGAACTTTTTGTAAAGAAGGCCCCTGCAATGGCTCTTATCCAGTCGCTTGTGAGTTCGATGAAGAAGGGAGCTCTTTTGCTGGTAAGTTTACGATATAAATTTATTGGTTGTTTGGTTGGCTGGCTGTTAGTTAATGAGATGTTTTGTGGATTTTTAAGATTGTGGAGTCTGCTGGTTCTTTTTCTCATCTCAAAGTTGGAGACAAGACCTACATGGTCTATACCTTGTTGGATGCCGTTAAGGATCTTGAGTGCCTGATTTCAGAAAATTCGCTGTGGTACAGGCAAGTGTTTTAGTGATTGAAGTCAAATGGAATGATACTTACTTTGTTGCAAGCAGACATCCTAGCCACCTAAAGTATTCCATTGACGTACAGAATATGCGATATTTTATTCGCCTCTACAAGAAGAAATAAAATATGCCTTGTTTTGTTAATTTTTTATTAATATATTTCATTTTCATTTTCATTTTCCGTCAAATATACACTTCAATGGCAAAGGGGTATTTTTGCAGGCTTTCTTACTTACCAGACTTCAATTCCTCCAATGAAAACAGTAGTACTGGATCCAATGATTAATCCCGATTCATCCCCAATAAGCTTTTCTCTCTCATTTTTTTTTTACATTAAAATAAATATACAGAAAAAAGGACCCTAAACCCTTGTTTGCCTTTTTCCTCTCTCTTCCTTTCTCCCAACTTTTTTTTATTTTATTTTTATTATCATGTCGCTTCCCACTAATAGCAGTCGGTCATTTTTGGTCATGTACCTTGCCCAACTGGCAGCAAACCCTCTTCGTACCAAGGCCATCACTAGCTCAGTATTAGCAGGATGTCAGGAAGCAGCAGCCCAAAAATTATCTGGCCAAAAACATATCGACAAACGTGTTCTTCATATGGCTGCCTATGGTAAGCAAAATAAATAAATAAGAACAATTTGCTGGTATTCGTGTACAGACACCAGGATTTTTCTTTTTATTAAAAGTATTTTGTGTGTATGTGTTTTTAGGCTTGATTCTTTCTGGTCCTTTGAGCCATTTTTTGTATGAAATCATGAATAGACTGTTCGCAGGCAAGACAGGAAACAAGGTCAAGGTGGGCCAATTATTGTTTTCCAACCTAATCATTTCACCGATCATGAATACGGGTAAGACGAGATGAAGATGAAGAAAAATATGCCAGACAAAAGAGGGGTGATGAGATATCCATTGTTATTTGTTTGTTTGTTTGTTTTTTTTTTTATTTTAATGCGTACGTGTGTTTTATTCTTTGATTATGATTGTGGTTATGCTTATGCTTATGATATATACATATAGTGTATGTGAGCGCAATGTCTGTTTTGGCTGGAAGTACTTCCATAAATCAGATCAAACAGGCCGTCAAGAGCAACCTTTTGGGCATGCAAAAGGTGTCTTGGGTTATTTCGCCTGTTTCAATGATCGTTGCACAAAATTTCCTTCCTCAAGCAACCTGGGTTCCTTTCTTTAACCTGATTATATTTTGTAAGTCAAACAAAGAGAATATATAGATAGATATAGGAAAGGGAAAGAATACGTACAATATTTAGTAGACAACAAATGAACCACAAATCACTCATGTATTTTGTAATTTATTTCTCTTGTTTATTATCACATAGTCTTTGGTACCTACATTAACACCATGATTAAGAGAAAGCGTATTGCACAAGAAAAGGCAAAGCGCCCATAAAACATTAACATTAACATTTTGACATTAACACAAAACAATTTATACATAAAATATACATTTATCATACAGTTAACATATTTCAAAGAAAAAATTATTTATTTATTTATAATAATTATTCTCACAAACTCTTCATATATGTATATATATATATTCTTCTTTACTGGAATCTGTACCACAAACCGCAACCCATCTCTTATCCACATATAATATTACACACACTCAAGGGACAAGTTTACAGTATTAATTTTCTCTCTCTCTTGTATCCCCCCTCTTCCCCCCCTCGAAACCTTATCATGTGAATGGTACACAGTTGGGCATAAAAAAAAAGAAAAGAAAAGAAATCAGGCTTACATCCTTTCAAAGCTAGGCGGGATCCAAAAGGTGACGATTAATGCGCTTTTGGCTTACGTATCTCTATATATCTCAAAGACAAAGCCTTGTTACACCTCTTTATCGCTTAAGCAGAAATAATGACTCTTGACCACAAAAATAAGCTAACGTAAAACCAAAAATATACATAATATTCAGGAACAGCCTTTTTTCTCTTTCTTTAAAATCACAGTTTATTTATTTTTATATGTATACGTCTTTTATGTGTATAGCCCTAATGCTGGTGGTGAAGTGCCTGAAGTAGATGCAGCTCATGATCCTGCAACTGCAATTCTTCGTCGCAAGTCTGCTCCAAATAAGCTAATGGTTGATGATGCCAGTTCGGATGATAATTCGGTCATCACCCTATCTAACAACACAATGGAGCGTCTTGGACTCTTTAGAGGTGATACTGTCCTAGTCAAGGGCAAGAAGAGAAAAGATACTGTTTTGATTGTCCTTTCTGACGACGACGTTGAAGACAACAAGGCCAAAATTAACAAAGGTAATTCATATCCACATTATTATTATTACTTAAAAAAGAAAAAGAAATGACAAGTAACGGCAGTAAAGCAAACAATGATGTTATTTTATTCATTGATTATGTCAAATATACACACACATTAAACTGAATTCTAAATCTATTGTGTTGTATTTATACTTTAATTGTAACAAGTTGTTCGCAATAACTTGAGTGTTCGTTTGGGCGATGTGATTAGTGTTCATCCTTGCAACGATATCAAGTACGGAAAGAGCATTCTCGTGCTACCTATCGATGATACTGTCGAAGGTCTGACAGGTAATCTGTTTGAGACCTACCTCAAAAACTACTTTTTGGACAATTTCCGTCCTGTTCGAGAGGGAGACTTGTTTGTTGTACGCGGTAATATGCGTCCGGTTGAATTCAAAGTAGTCAAGACAGACCCAGAAGAATTCTGCATCGTAAGTTATTCTTTTTTTTTGCAATCTATTATAATTCATATTTACATGTGTACATGCACACACACGCGTATTTATATATATATGACCTTTACTAATCTAAACATCGCGTCTGTATTGCTTTTATAGGTCTCACAAGATACAGTTATCCATTGCGACGGTGAACCTATCAAGCGAGAAGATGAAGAAAATAATCTGAACTCGGTTGGATACGATGACATTGGTGGTTGTCGCAAACAAATGGCCCAAATCCGTGAATTAGTCGAACTTCCTCTCCGCCATCCTCAGCTTTTTAAATCGATTGGTATCAAGCCTCCCCGTGGTATTCTTATGTATGGACCACCCGGTACTGGTAAGACCCTCATTGCCAGAGCAGTTGCAAACGAGACAGGGGCCTTCTTCTTCCTCATCAACGGACCCGAGGTCATGTCCAAGATGGCTGGTGAATCCGAAAGTAATCTTCGTAAAGCATTCGAAGAAGCCGAAAAGAACTCTCCGGCAATCATCTTTATTGATGAAATTGATTCCATTGCACCCAAGCGTGAAAAGGTAAAATGATAATAATAATAATAATAATAATTCATAAATATTATCAACAACAACAAAATTACAATCAAAATTAAATAAATACACCAATATTTTATCAATAGACCAACGGTGAAGTCGAGCGTCGTGTTGTATCCCAGCTGTTGACTTTGATGGACGGTATGAAGGCCCGTGCCAATGTGGTCGTAATTGCTGCAACCAATCGTCCAAACTCAATTGATCCCGCTCTTCGTCGTTTTGGTCGTTTCGATCGTGAGGTTGACATTGGCATTCCAGACCCAACCGGTCGTCTGGAAATCCTTCGTATACACACAAAGAACATGAAACTCGGTGATGATGTCGACCTTGAACAGGTTGCTTCAGAAACTCACGGTTACGTTGGTGCCGACATGGCTTCCCTGTGTTCGGAGGCTGCCATGCAACAGATCCGCGAGAAAATGGATCTTATTGATCTGGAAGAGGACACAATTGATGCTGAGGTACTGGAAAGTCTGGCCGTGACTATGGAGAACTTCCGCTACGCCCTTGGAGTCAACAACCCATCTGCCCTTCGCGAGACTGTGGTTGAGGTCCCGACCGTCAAATGGTCTGATATCGGTGGTCTGGAGAACGTTAAGTTGGAACTACAGGAGACTGTTCAGTACCCTGTCGAACATCCTGAAAAGTTCTTGAAGTTCGGTATGAGTCCTTCTAAAGGTGTTTTATTCTATGGTCCTCCTGGTACTGGTAAAACCTTATTGGCAAAGGCAATTGCCAATGAGTGTCAGGCAAATTTCATTTCCATCAAGGTAAGTCCCATACATATATATACACACATGTATATGTATTAATTCAACTTCTTCTTTTCATATATTAGGGCCCTGAATTGTTGACAATGTGGTTTGGTGAGTCAGAAGCCAATGTTCGTGATGTATTTGACAAGGCCCGTGCTGCTGCTCCTTGCGTGATGTTCTTTGATGAATTGGATTCGATTGCCAAGTCTCGTGGTGGTTCGGCAAGTGATGGTGGCGGTGCTGGTGATCGTGTTCTCAACCAAATCCTCACAGAGATGGACGGAATGAACGCAAAAAAGGTATTGATTGAAAAAGAGAAATTAAAGTAAAGCAAAGCAAAAAAAAATAGTTTATTTATATTTGACTGATTTTTTTTTGTTTTTTGTTTTTATATATTAATTATTTAGAATGTTTTTGTCATTGGCGCTACTAATCGCCCTGATCAAATTGATCCTGCTTTGTTGCGCCCTGGACGTCTTGACCAGCTCATCTACATCCCACTTCCTGATGAAAACTCCCGTTTGTCTATTCTTGAAGCTCAACTAAGAAAATCCCCAATTGCTTCTGATGTTGATTTGCGTGTGATCGCTAAGCACACCCACGGTTTCTCTGGTGCTGATCTTGGTGAAATCTGCCAGCGATCTGCAAAGTTAGCTATTCGAGAAGACATTGAAAAGGATATTCGTAATGAAAAGGAACGTCAGGCTCGTATAGAGTCTGGTGGCAACAATGATGATATCATGGACGAAGATGATATTGAAGGCGTAGCAGAAATAACTCGTGCGCATTTTGAAGAGGCCATGAGATATGCTCGTCGTTCCGTAAGCGATGGCGATATCCGTCGTTACGAAATGTTTGCACAGAATCTTCAGCAGTCTCGTGGTTTTGGTACTTTCAAATTCCCAGATAGCCAGCAGTCTGCTGCTGATGGGGTTCGAGCTATGGATGGCGTTAGTAACACAAACACTGGCTTTGGGCAAGAAGATGGTGATGATGACCTGTATGCGTAAAAGAATACAACATCGTCTCCACAAAAATAGAAAAAAGAAATAGTGAACATACTATGCTTTTCTTCTTCTTCTTTTTTTTGTAAAAAAAATATATATAAACACACACAATATATCTCACAAGCAATACACAAAAAATAAGGTTATTAAATTTTTTTACATAATTACCATTATTCTCCCCTCTCCCTCTCTCCCTCTCTCTCTCTCTCACTTTTTCACTTTCTTTTTTTTTCATCCTTCTTCAATAAATGCGTTTTTAAATGTAGTGAAATTATATTGACATCTTGGAGCGGGAAATGCCTACACTAATCGATTTTCGAGAGGCCACTTGTTCACGTACAAGATCTTCCATTCCACTTTCTTCCCATTGTTTTTGGACTAATTCCAGTTGATGCTCTAGCTTGCTACCTTCCCAGTTGGCTAATTCGAGTTCAAACCGGCTCTTGCGAGTACTAGCCATAATCTTGCCCTCTTCATCACATAACCTACGGTGATCACTATGATAGCGTTCCATCTTGATGTAGTTCATATTGATCTCATTGAGTAAATGCTCCCCTTTTTTATATATATATTTACAATATATATGTATATGTATATATATATATAGCCTACTCTCAAATACAGTCTATTCCATTCTATCCCATCCCATCTGAATTTCACATATTGTATATACATTACCTCTTTCTCTTGGTCAGGCGCCCAGCTTGTTCGTTGGCGCATAGGAGGTGTGGAAGAAGAGTTTGATGGGGTGTGGTGATGGTTATATGATTGATGGAAGCTATAATGGGAATGATGAGATCCACTAGAGTGATGTCGAGATGATTGGCCTTGAGACGAGGAGTTATTTGTGTTGTGGTGACTGTATGCATATGAAGAGTAACTGGCTAACCCGGAAGCAGAACTAGAAGGAGTTGATGCTGCTGGGGCAGGAGTGTTGCTATTACTATTGCTACTCGTAAGAGCCGCATTTGAAGTAGCAGCTACAGTGTTTGCAATAGGTGTTGTAGGTACTGCTGTTGTTAGGGTTGCCGAAACAACCGCCGATGCTTGTGTTGTGGCTGCTGATAAAATTGGTACTACTGCTGCTGATGCTGCAGTCGTTGATACAGCTGTCGCGACTGTTGCTGATGTTGAGATTGATGTTGATGTTGACGATGATGTCGACGCTGGAGGTGGACCGGTTAAGGTCTCTGCATCCACTGAGGCCGCAGTTGATTGATCTGGCGCAGATACAGATGTAGTTGTTGGTATTGCCGTATCATTATCTGTTGTTGAAGTATTAGTCTGTGAAGTATGGTGTGCTGTTTGTGCTGGGGTTTGAGTAGAAGGTAAAGACATGGCAGAGGTTGTGTGGGACGATGCTGTTCCACTTGGTGGCAAATAACGTGATGGAAGGGTGTTTGTGTTTGAAGAGGATGAAGGATTCTTATTTGATCTGAGACTTGAATCTTCATCAGCGTTATGAGACGTAGGCGAAGTAAAAGAAGAATGAGGGTGGCCAGTATAGTGTCTCCTTGAGGGAGTATATGATGAAGGATAGTGTGATCCCGAACTATGGCTGTCTCTGTAGTAATGGCTTGACATATAAGGTGGGTATGATGTATTAGACGCACCCGTGGAATAAGATTGTCGGTGGTCATAAGACTCCCTCCGTGTACTTTCTGTAGAAGGAGATCGGCGAGAATAAGTTGGTCTGTGGTCATATGATTCTCGGCGGTTATTTTCTATTGACGGCGAGCGTCGAGAAGGATAAGGGTAAGTAGTTCCAGATGTGTTCGATTGACGGTGTGAATAGTACGCATAGGATGATCGCCGAGGAGAATCGGAAGACGACCGTGAAGGAGAAGGACCACGAGACGAGTAATGCGCATAACTTCTCGAGTCAGAGTTTCCATAACGATGGTCTTTTGAATAAGAATCCCCTCGATTTCCACTACTGCTTCTACCTCCCATTCCTCCATGCCCAGGCGATCGCGATGATGAATGGTAATGGGAATTCGGCGAGTAACTGCGTCCACCACCGTCCCTGTAATCTCGTTCAGATCGATAATTTTCACCTGGTCGATAAGTGTCCGATCGAGGTCGGTCATAATAGCTTCTATAGCGTTCGTCGTATCCACGCGAATACCTATCCATAAGTCAAAAGAAAAGAAATGCCTTCTTTATTTGGTAGTATGTTAAAAATATAATAGAAAAAAGACAAAAAAAAAGAAGTCGTCGAGAGCTTTGTGTGACTGAAGAAGGGGGGAAGGGGAGGGGGGCGAGTACCATGCATATGATTAGTGATTTTCTCTAGTCAGGTAAGGTTTAACGTCATCATCGCGTGACGTGAATTAAAACGGCAAAACGCGTCCCATCGCGAGTGCGCAGTGAAATCATTCACGTCCGTGCATTTGATTGTTACTTCGATTTTTTTATTTCCAAAAAAAGAAGGTAAAGAATAAAGAGTCCTCAATAAACTTTATATATATATATATATTTAATTTTTATCTATTAAAATAAAAATTATAATAGACAAAAAAGAAAAGGCGCATACTCGATTGATATGGGTAGCTCATCATGCCTTATCATGAAGATACATCAAGTCAATATCCACTTGACATGTCGCGAATCAATGCGATTGCCAGCATGGATCCTGATGAGTTCGTGAGAACATTTGAAATAGGGTCTATAGTTTCTATTGACGGTAATACAAACCGCAAATGTCCAGTATTCATTCATAACTCAACCACTCACACCTTACTTTTTTGAAGATCTGGCGGTACCAACTGAGCATAATAATACATATGTATTCAACAATGTACGCATTCGTTCTACTATCAATCCAACAATCCAAACAACTCAAACAACTGAGCAGTTATTACCGACTCAAACGATTGTCCCTGAAGTGTTTGAGACAAATCAAGCAACAAGCAGTGGTCGTTCGCTTAGAAAACGAAGTAACATTCAAAAGCATCCCTACACAATAGACAGCGCTACATACAACTCCATTGTGGATAAGATTATTGCTACTGCACCAAGCGCTGATGCTGAACGCCGAGTCTTACAAAGCTATGAACAGAACCCTAAAAGACAACGAACCAGAGAATCTCGTTACGAAAGCGATTCTAGCAATGAAGATTTCAATTGTGCTGACGATGTTGACGGAATGGAAGAAGATGAGGAAATTCAGTCGGGTCCATATGATTTGTGCAGCGAAGATGACACTATAGAAGACAACATGGATTTAAGTATCCCAGAAGAACCTCATAGGACTTCTTCCAAAGAAATACAAAAATACTTGCACCAACCTTCAGATGATGAATTCTCGCTTGAAAGATCTTTGGAAGAAAGCCAAACGCTTTTGTTGCCAAATTCCCGGCTTAAACAGCCTTCTCAAGCACCCGCTCGAGCCCTTATCACTTACCAAGGAAAAAAGAAGAAAAATAAGAATAAAAATTCAGGCATAGGCTCAAGAAAAAATAGACCCTCTACTTTCATGCAAAACTCGGTCGTATCAGTGCCTAAAAATACCACACAATTATTTTCCACAAGTTCTCAATCACTTTCCTCGTCAACCAAATATAGCATTTCTGCAAATGTGCCTGTAATTGCCCATGGCGATATCATTGATATTAGTGAAGATGATGAAACGATTGAGCTGAGCTCCCAGGAAGATGACGAAATTTACGGTAGCCCTGGTCAACTTCAATTAAATCGCACGAGACGAATGAAGAATAGATACATAGCTCTTGAAGATAGTGATAATGAACTAGAAGAGGCTTCTGTTGAAGATGTCTTTGAATTCCCAGAGGACTATGATCAATTTACTAAGCGCAGTTATCGTCGAAAGGCATTAAGAGGTAAAAATTTAGGTAATTTATAAGCCTTTTTACGGTCTAGAAAATGAACATTTTAGTATTTTAGATGATGAGATAGATGTATTTTCACAAGAATCTAGAGAGTCTTCACCAAATTCTTTGACCGATTATTCGGAAAAAGGACTGTGTGGGGTAGATGAAGAAAACATAGCTTTCACTAGCAGAGCTTTCAAAACGAAACCTCGCAGGGCAGAAAGAAATAAATCTCCGGAAGACTCTTTCATTGTCCCTGATGAACAATATATGTCAGCTCAACGTGTAAAGGCACCGACCATCGATGATTTACAAAATAAGAAAAAGTTTACTCGCGGCGTTCTTCCACTATCCTTCCAAAAGGTGTATTCAAATGAGATTGAGAACGAAAAGTATCGTCAGAAACCCCAAACTTATCAAAAGACTATACCTAAAGCAAAATCAAGTCATAAGAAACCCATACCAATACAGGATTCAGATGAAGATATGAGCAGTACAGAAGAATCGGTTAAATCAAATATTCTAAGTGGCTCTAACAACGGATCAAACAAATTTGTTTTGTCATCATCAAAGGGAAATGATTTATATCTATTATCAGATAGTGAAGATGAATCCCCTTTATTGACAACTCACAGTTCCAATAGTGGAATGAGCACTTTTCCGACAACGTCCCAAATGGAAAAAGATATCCAGTCCGCATATCTTTTCAGCAAGTCAGTTAGTCAGCCTCAACGTGTTCGCCGCAAAAAACCAGGACAGAAAAAGAAGACTATACCATACAAAAAGCCAGCAGAAACGATACCAACTAATAATATACTGCCGTATCGTAGACGAAGAGAGCCCGAACCACAGTACACCCGCCTTTCCATTGAATTCAACATTGAGCCTCTCGAAAATCATTCTCGTTTGGATAATACGATTTTTCTCAAAAAGCGTTTTTTTGAAAGTATCCCAGTTGACGATGAAATGGATGTTGATAGCCCATATAATTCGGTGTGTTTACCATGTATACCAACGGCAACATTTGGCAAAGATACTGGAGGAAAACAAACAATTGATGATGCTCTTTCAGTTATCAGAACATTATTCTGGGATTGTTTTAAATGCATGTCTAGCCCTTGGGATATCGATGGAGTATTCAACGAAGATGATATTATGCCAAAATGTACCGAGTTTTTCAACTACGTAACTTTTTGTTTGACCGATTGGATTCCAAGCCTCAAAACGGAAGAAGACCGAACAAAATCAGCGAAATTCTTTCGTAAAAATATAGAAGCTCTTTCGGTCCGTATCATGAAGCTTTCTGGCGACGATTTTTATGCTGACGATATCACGATTGCTCAAGAGATTCTAGAGTCTGGCGTTTGGAAACAACTAGTTACTCTCCTTCTGTTTACATTGGACTGGCTAATATATCTTGAGACTCTAGATCCGCAAGGTTCAGAGGATTTTAATGATCCACTGGAACTGCTGGATAGTCTTGTTGATTTGACTCTCCAAGATGACTCTAAAGGATCTGATATTGCCTCGAAGAATAAGTTCAAGACCATTTTATCTCAGAAGAATAGATTATCAATCCCAACAAGAGAAAGAGTGATGAAGAAAGTTGATTACCGATTCTGCACCGACAGAATGATCAATCATTTATTGCGGCTACTAATGACACTGGGATACGAATATGCAAAAATCACTACCAGAGGCTCACTTGTATGTCCTAGCACACCAATAGTGACAGAAGCCTGGATATATTTGATTAATCTACTGAGAACTAGACTGGATTCAAACACATACATCGGACCAGAAACAACAGAAAAAAGCACAACATATCTCTGTCAGGTTTTAATTGACCATCTTAAGGCTGAAAGTGTAGACTTTGACATGTCGGTCTTGGATAAAGGAGAAGATATATGGAATTGGCTATACACCCTTCAAAGAATACAAGTATTCAACCATGAAGGCCAGTACGACCCAGTATATATAGCAAACTTTGGACATTGCACACTAGTTGGAAATATCTTGAATCGTGTTTGTGAATTACCTGACGAGCATCATCCAAGATCATCCCGAAAAAGAACAATTTGTTCAAATTTCACTGAGTATTGGGAGACATTTCTGTATCGATGTCAAAATTTTTTGGGAATCGATCAAGGATAATATCAAGACATGTATCATCCAACCATTCATTTATATTTTAATTAAATACATCCTATAAATATCCTTTTCCATTTATGATTTATATATATATTCTTATATACTGTCAAAATACAACGATTGAGTATCACTGAAATATTTCGCTAATTAAAAGCAAAATAAAGCAAGATTATTAATAATGTCTAAAATGAATTGCTACCTTTTGCTCATATATCTTTGAGGAGTAATATTTAACTTTTATCATTTTAATATAATATATAATAAAATAAAATAAGCAACAAAAAAACTTAAAATTATGTTTATATTACGTCCATTAATACAGTTTCAAATTATAGCAGATAATGTGCTAAATTATAAAGATTAAAACAAAAGGTAAACGATTTTTAGCAAGTTGGTATTTGATTTATGAGAAATGAAAATAATTCTTAAGAAATTCTAATTTTATATGTCTTTGAAGACAAAATGACTGAAGAGTGACCAATGTGTATACACTCTGACATAAAGAATTAGCGATAAATTATATTTCTCATATCATATTTCTTTTATGAAATTCTTTACATTTCTCTTCATAACACCTTTCCCTTAAACTCAACTACAAATGTTGTCAAGAAATAATAATAATAATAATAATAAATCTTAAAGTTCCTCCCCTAAACATAAGTTCTTAAAGTTTGAGTGTGGTTGTATTCTTTGACTCCATAAAGCTAATAATACCCCTATTGATATTTCGAGCCACATGTGTATTCTTAGAACAGCAGTTTGCAGCAATATAAAGCGTAAGGAACTACCAGAGTAACTAGCTCAAAACTCTGACTTGGAGAGCCAAAAAAAACACAGTTTTACAGACTATGCGAGATTTTGTTTAAGTGTGAGACGAAATATTTTTGAGAGTCAAGTATGTCCTCAAAGAAATTAACAGCTTCTGATAATATCATTCATAAGCCAAGACTCATATGTTATCGGTGTGCCGAAGAGTCCCAACCTTCATTATGTAAAGTTGAATGTCAAACATAGCACCAGACTTATTTTCTAAGAAGATTCTACTAGCTTTCATACTGGGCTCCTACACAGCATATTAAAAAAAAACATTGGGAAATTAAATGCTCTGACTAGTGGCCGCCTCAAAGTCCGGATCTGAACCTAATAAAGTGCGCCTAGTATGCTCTAAAAGCCAAATATCAAAAGAAAGATGGGTATATAGACAATATCCAGGGTCTCAAGGCTTAGATTATTCAGAAGTTGGAGATACTCGACCCAAAAATTCTCCATATTCTTGTAAGCAAGTATATCAAATAGCGTCCAAGAAGTGATGACACGGTGGATTTAATATACCGGTGTTTCTTGTATCGTTCATAGCAGTGAACTTCGAAGTAGTTAAATGGCTCTTTCCAAAAGACTCTTAAAAAATTGTCTTTCTATTTATATCCATTCTCTTTTCACAGAATTGGACACTTAAACTACACAACCATTCCACCATGTGTCATGACTGTCTTTGGAATATATTATAGTCTGTAATTGCACTTATTATACTTTCCACTAACAAATGAAGAAAATCTGCTACCTATTGCCTAACACTCTGATTAAAATTCAGCCTTTCACACCTCCCTATGACTTCTATGTTCTTCATTGATTCACTAGACTTATGTTCCAAAACTATAACAGATATTCTTAATATAATCGAAGTACGAATTTTGAGTTGGTAATATAACTGGAAACTTTTGATTTGATAAGAGTTTTTCACAGCTTCTCGTGAGAGTTAGCGTAATTTCTGGCGTTTATCCTTTATTAAAGTATAAACATTTTGTTTTGTTTTTATAACACATGTTTCTAGCATAGTAAAAGAATCTCTGAGCCATATTTTTTGTACTTGTCTTGGTTCGCAGCACTTTATACTAATACAATTTCTTCAAAAGTTCCCTACCCAAAAGCATCTCCGAATTATTGTACTTACTTTTACAAACTTTGGTTATTAAGTTATATATCATTCTATAAATATAGAAATAGATTCATCTGTCTCAGCAAAAAGACTTGGTCTGATATTAATAAACATGGGAAATGTATTGGCTTATTATATATAAACCAAAACTTCTCAGGCAGCCATCTCTCTAAATTTTGAGGGTAATGTGTAAAAAGCAATGATCTTTTGGTCCAATACTGCCACAATGTATACGACTTTACAACTAACTTGTGCTCTCAAGGGTATCAGTTTAACAGAACCGCACACAAGAAAAGAAACTAGCCAACTAACTTTTTTTAAAAGCTGTTATTATTAGTTGAATCCGGGCAGTGAGCATGGTACAAGAGGATGTGTGTGTGTGTGTGTGTGTGTGCAGTGGCGAAAAAAAAACACAAATGCTTCTGAAGAATGATAGTAGCCGTAGATTTTTTATTGCACCATTATTTTAAAAATAAAGCTTTGAATAACTTTGATGTTATTTCAATGTGATAAGCAATACAAAAATTTACGCGTATTTCAGTGCCTAGAAGACATGTTTCATCACTTACTTCTTTTAATTATACTTTTTCTACCACTTAGATACAATTCAAATTTGCTTTTAAAAATAATTCCAAAAAGAATACGCTGTGTTAGCTAAGACATGCAAATATATTCTATAAGAACAGTGTTTCAATCGACCAAAAATAAGAGAAAACTTTATGTTCGTAGTTGACAAAAAATATTTCATATATATGTAAAATTGCCTAACTCGTAAACCCCCCCCCCCCCCCCCTTTTTTTTTTTTTAGAGCTGGTAAAATATCAATTAGTATTATAGATACATTATATTATTCTCTCAATGATTGTACTTCTCTACTTACATGTCTTTCAAGATACTTTTTGAAGTGAAAATAAACAAATTATGGTCTGAAGGTTAAGAATGTTTTCTTTATTTGTTTGGCGGGTTTTTAACAAAAAGGATGATCATCAGTAGTGTGATTAGAGACATATAGAAATATAACTCCCCAAAGGCATACAAAAGCTCTTTAAAGCAAAGTAATACCCGAATGTACTTATTTACTGTAATATTTAATGCATTTATTAAGCAATTCCAAGGGGTTCATGATAGTAGTATATAAAAAAGCATAGAGCTTTTACTGAAAACATGAAACCCTATACTTTTCATATGAATTTGTTTTGATTTGCCCAAAATAGGCAGTTTACGCCTTCAGTGCTGCGCAATCCCCATTTTTTTTCATATAAAAATCGATACAATTCCCTATTTCCTGTTATCCCTCCTCTTCCTCCTGGTTTCCTTTTGGTGGTCCTTGGTTTCCGACACGGTAAGAAAATCGCCTTTAAAAGCCTATATCTTTCCATTTGTATAAGGCGCATACTCATATTTATCATGGAAATGCACCCCAGACGCGGTTTCTAGCTAAGTTCCAAAACCGATGTCCAGTCTAATAGCAGGTAAAGTATTATATACACACATACACACACACACACTTTGAAGCGGTCATTATACTAACTACAGCACAGTGTTTTCTTGTGCATGTTTTTTCTGTCTTCTATGCCCAGCGTCCATTCCACTGTAGCCACGGAGAGGTCCTTCACGTCAAGTTCATGTACCAGGTAAGTAAATACACACACACACATGCTTTGACACGATCACCACACTAACTATGATTCGATGTTTTCTTTTTTTATTACAGTGTCCAGTGTCTAGTTCCGTTTTGCTTTTAAGCACAAGTACTTTTTAAACCCTACGCAGTTATCTGCTAGGTAAGCAAACACTCATACACTTTGACAAGATCAATACACTAACTATGATTCAATGTTCTCTTTTATTTTATCACAGTGTCCAGTGTCCAGTCCCGTATTGCTTTTTAGCACAAGTACTTTTCAAGCCTTCCGTAGCTGTTTGCTAGGTAAGTAAACGCGTACACAAACATACTTTAACACGATCAAAACGCTAACTATAATTTGATGTTTTCTTTTTTTCTATTGCAATCTCTAGTTCTGTTTAGCTGTTAACCACCATTCTTTTTATGGTGCCTTCATACCATGTATGGTCCACTGAGTGGTAAGTCAATATATACATACTTTGATTCAAGCAACATACTCACTTTATACTTTCATATTACTTTATTTTCTTGATAGTATTCAAAGGTATGCTTATGGAGAGGTGTACCGAGAACCAGCTCAGTATTTTTACACCCTTTGCAGTTAACAGCTAGGTAGGTAAACGCGCACATACACTTTGACATAATAATTATACTAACCTTATACTCTATTTTCTTTTATATCTCTACTCTTGAAGTGGTCATTGAGTACCTCGTATTCTATCGGTCACGATATATCAAAAGGAATATACGTAAACATTTTCATGCAAGATGTGTATATCATGGTCTTTAACAATGAGTTTCCGGGCTCATTTCCAACTCGCTCATTGTAGACGCCTTATTTATAGGGCTTGTCTTAATATGAGATTCTGGTTTTTTTATTGAACGCACTGCACTCTTTGGCGTCTAGTCATTGAGTTCGCTCAAGGTACCATGGCCTAAAATTGGTCCGTACTTTGAGCGATTCTACCTGCATTTACTGCAGTGGAAAAGAAACCAAAAGGGATTCCGTCTTGGACTTTATTGTTTGAGATGGAGAAGCTCCAATGTTTGAACCGGAGTGGTCTTTTGACTGCTTTGGATTGTGAACTAGTGAACTGCTTTTCCAGGCATACCAACAAGTCAGTAGCCTTCACTCCATGGAAAAGGTTACTGGAGGGTGAAATCCCCTCACCTTGTCTTGAGTTCTTGTCTTTGTGTTAAGTAGCTTCCGATGAGTCGGGTTGTTTTACAAACTCCCCAATCCCGGTGAAAAGTTTCATCGAAGGCTAAATATATTTATAAAAAACCAACTGATCACAAGTACCGTAAGGGAAAGTAGCTCTTAGTGTAGAGCATACTGGATGTTAAAGACCTTCCTGAGCCACTCATATGAAGGCGAAAGCCGGATGAAATCCACGTCAGTTTTTTCTGTGTTGTGCGGCACATAACATGGAGAAGACTGAGGAACGCAGAGGTAGCTTTGTGCTATTTTCTTAGGACGTTGGATATTGGCTCTCCAGATTTTGTCCTTCGGGGCATGTCAAGATTGTCACAGAAAGGTGCAAGTATAAGGGTGTATCACCTGGATGCGTAGAGTTTTTTAAATTCGTTGAGCACCTGGACGTGAAGTAATGCAGGTAGATTCCAGCAAAATCGCCAGATTACCCAGTACAATCGCCTGTATTTTACTGCTTCCTGTTGAAATGATCCCTGTGCTTTTCAAGTCCCTCATTGCTTAGACTTTGATACTTGTAACCCACGCTCTGGTAAACAGAACTGGACATGAGGGACGAACCCGAAGCAAAGTTAAGGTGCCTAAGTAAATGCTATGCTGTTCACTTGGGTGTCTCAGACACCTGTCCCGAGCAGTTTGGCATTAAAGCATTTCACCGATACTTTGCCGTCATGGTAAATTTGATGCCATGCCGAGTAGGCAGGAATGAGGGTTGTTGAGAAGCTTGGGTGTAAACTTGAGTGGATCGGCCTTCAAGCGCAGGTCTTGACAAAAAAATCTTTATTTTTTTACTTTTGGGATATATCGGATATACTTTAAATGTATATAAATCATTTTTCAATACACTACTCAGTATTGAAATCTTGTCGAATCTTTCCTTACAACCAAGGTATGTATATGTATATTGACTCGTAGCAATAATGGCCATCATGATTATCAGTTTATGAGAAATTAATAGTACAACCTCTTTGTCTTTCTTATTGTAGTTGGTCTACTTTCACCTAACAACCTGACACAGTCGGTTTTGGACAAGATCGGTTTTCGGCCACACACATCTGATATATCCATACCTTGTCAACGCGAGTAACAGTCTAACAAGCTTCCGGATTTATTCTATCTTAAGTATCTCCTTATTTTTACTTCCTTCATGATTTGCTCATATCAAATTTCTTTCCATAGTTTTATCTTCCCGTTCTAATCGTCACAAGTACCCATATTCAATTACCCCAAATGTTATTATTAAAATTATTAAAATTATCTTAATGACCTACTATAAATCTATTTCAGAAAAAAATACTATATTACCCTAAATTCCCCTGGTTCTTGATCTGAAGAGCACTACTATTTGCTGCAAAGGCTATGAGTGTTGATCTGACCACCCCCTTTTTTTATTCGCACCTTTTTTTTACTAACCCTTACACCCCACAAACCAACATACCATGTCTCAAACCCTCGTCTGAAAACACATAAATTCAAATATATAGTTTTTGAAAGAAAGAAAAAAAAAAGAAAAAAGCCAAATTTATTTAAAGAAAATAGTGTGGTGGCCCCTTTATAATTCTTCATCTCATGCATGCAATTAGGAATTGACATGCAATGAGTCAGAAATCTCAGCCAGAATACTGTTTTATTCCACATGAGTAGTCGTCTCAAACTTCTTAAGAGCTTATTATTATTTTTGGAAATTGGGCTCTTACCTTTACTCTTCTGGTAAGATATGACCATAACTTTCCTATGGAGCTGAGGTCTGGGTTATTGGAAAGCCATACTATCACTGTCAAGTTTTGGTATTTATTCCACTCTTCTACAAAATTAAATTTTCGACAGGAGGTACTATTTCCTTTGCACGATAAACTCTCAGACAGTTGCAATCGAAAGCTCACATAAATTGAAGTCGCTTCTTTTATGATACTGTCGCACTCTAGTATTCCCACCTTTGCCAAAAAGCATAAATTTTGACTCATCACTCAAGATAACGCAATTGTCACATCTGATTAGTCTCTCCGGTGTAATTAAAAATAAATCGCTTCTTCTTGTGTGCATTTGGTAACAGTAGTATTACGGTGTTTTACGGGAATACAATCCGGGTTTATGAAGAATTCAGCGAATGGTAGACTTGAAGATCTAATGTACCAAGGTGCTTGACATGAAGTTGTTAAGACCTCCTAGAGTTGTCTTAAGATTCGTCTTTATGTTCATAATCAAATGGTGTTGGGCTCATTCATTAACCATCCTCAAAGTTTTTTTTTTGGCTCTTAAGAAAGTCTATCCCAGTATCTCTCCAAATTTTGATTGCAGTATATACTTTTTATAGAGGAATATCGTTCTTCTCAGATATATCAGTGGGTGATCCATTTATAATAGTACTGCTGATTATTAGTCTTTTTTCATAATCTAAAAGCTGATTTTTCTTGGTATGGGTTTTTTGTTGTTGTTGATCTGGTGAGACGTGGTGTAATTTCAAGGAGAAAAGGTTTTAAAAAAATTGTAGTGTAGTGCTGATGTTTTATTATGACCACTGGTATATATAGCATATTTATTGATTATATTTTATGATTTATTAGTTTGTTCCTACAATTTTTTCTTTTCATTTGTTCAAAGTAGGGATATACTATATTTAATTATATGGTCAAACTTCAGCTCGACGTAGCCTCTAGAAAGGTCTTTTTGCCAATCTTCCTTGTGAACTTGTTTTTTAATAGATTTTCCGGCTCCTTGTACATCATTATTTGATTTGAGGTGGAAATCATTATAATACTTGGTGATTATAAAGGCTTTTTCTTCTGAAAGCTGCTTTACATCTGCGGAATTGTTGTCTGAATCGTTTACTTTAGAGAAAATGTGGAACCAAACTAAGATGGTCCACACCAAATTTTATATTCACATGTTCTTGCTTTGCATTAGATTGCTTAATACCAGTTAGCTGAGACAGCAACATTATGCTGATAGTAGTATTTTTTATTCATGATCTCGTCGGATAAATAGCATTTAACATGGTCAAGTCTCGAAAGTTTAAATCTGGTAAATTGCATGTCGATTTTCAGGTCCATAGTCTCGTTAGTTGTCGATCCATAAATTCTAGCTTTGGTCAGTTCCATATTTTCCAAATCTCTGCACCGAAGGGAAATATAGCTGGATACAGAAGCGCCTGCAGCAATATCATTTAAATCCAAAGTCCTGAGTCCATATTTCCTAGACTTTCCATCTGTATATGTATTGGTATCTGTATCTGAACCAATACATAGCTGTCATCAACAAAACTCTAGTCGTCTTAGAGCTATACAGCTATCCAATAAACTGACCAAGGCAACTGATACATTACAGCTTATGATCTTGATTTCCACCGAACGTGGACAGTAAGAGAATTCTGGTAGAAACTATCGGATATTAGTTTCCAGGAAAATCGCTTTAAAACTGCTATGGTTGCTTTTGTATTTTAAATGCTTGATTGGAGAATTTAACTAGAAAGTCAAATCCCAAGAAATATTATCACACTTTATGGTGTATTCAGAAGCAAAAATCGATTGTTTCCAGGTGCTGAAAGTAACGTTTAATTTAAGATTGAAAAAGTATCTCTCTTCCGTTGTAGTCTCCGATAGGAATTGATGTAATTCCACTTGATACATATCACCCCAAAGTACGTAGATTTGGATATTTGGATCTTAACTAATACATCCATAGGTCATCCAATTTACCCAAGTTGGGATAGAGTGTTTTTATAGAAAAGTACGGGTTTGCGTTAAGGATCATCTGTACCTCATGTTGTTAAATGTCAACGAGTTTTAAAAAGAAAAAAGGAACTTGATAGATGCCAAATGAGGTAAGATTTTTTGGAGAGTATCAAAAGTATCTAAATTAAAAAGAAAATATTTTGCCCCATCATGTTGTGAGATGTCTATATTTTGAAGGCTGGGAAAATATATCAGAATGCAAACAAGATTGACACCAATACTTTTCGGCTACTAGGCGGGTATTGAAACATCAGACTTACTAGCTACTTCCATGAATCGCTGTGCTTTGAAGCCATTGTATGGAGGGACGCAAAAGATATATCTACCATATCAAGATACTTTAAGCTTGAAAGCATCTGTAAAAAAAAATAGCAGTCTGCATCATAATTAAACCAAGTCGTATACAAAAGACAAAATCTTGGACTAGTGAATTGTAGGAAATTACGCTTGGTGGATGCTCCATGGCATCACAAATCTTGTACATATGTTCCAACAAATTAACTCTTATGCTTTTCCAAAGTGATTGCTGAAATGGGGTTTTCCATTCCGTGCAAGGACAAAATTAAGTTTGAGAGGCCAAGAGGTAAAAAACGCAGCAGTAAAAATTTTCTGTTTAAAATTTCTACATATCATGTACGTGTACGTTCCTTTGAATCCCAAAATACTTTATATACTTTAGGATTGTTTCCCTCTCTTTTATTCTGCCCGTTTTATATATCGTATCATGTAATGATTGATACGATTATGTAGTATCCATAATAAATTATTTCTTTGAAATAGAACTTTATATTTTCCTATGAAATTCTTGACTTCAACATCATACACCTAGCAACTGAAGCACCTTGACATTTTTATAATTCACTTTTAATTTAGTTGTTTTTGGTGGTAAAAGTAAGAAGTTCTTTCAGGGTATTCTTAATAGGCAGCAAAGTTACACGGCAAAAAAGTTTATACTTCCGTATCAGGGGATCAATTCTCTTCATTTGCCATAAGATGAGAAATCGAGGATCAATATTTTTCTTCCTCTACTATTAAATGTAAACACCGATTCTTTTTCAAAAACACAAATATGTTGTTGAAAATGACAAGACTTAATATCTTGTCAGTTTACTTTGCAGAGAAAATGATTTTTAGTAAAGTAAGCCAAGCAGTTTTTAATTCTGTTATTTTCGGCAAAGTCTTTGACTCATAAAGCAATAATCGGAGTCCAATTATTTTTCATGGGTGTAAAAAGAATATACCTAGAACCAAGTTTTTCTTAGGTGTGATAACTGATATTAGAAATACTTTGTATGAATTGATATCATAGTTATATAATCAAGCAAAGAGACTTTCACACAATCACTCGTAATGCAATTATTACTAATTTATATACTCAAATAGCTAGATTTTATGTCCTTGTCACTTGTTGTATAGCTATCTATTTCAAAAAAAAGACCCTCAAGTTCACTATTTTGATGTGTACCTTTTAATTGATACATAATTCTCCGGCTTCATTAAACAAAAGTTCTTTTTTAAAAAAAGAAGCTACAGAAGTTTTGGTTTTGCAAGAAAATGAAATGGACAGATTTATTTCATACCAAGGTTACCTTGATGAATGTACTCTATTACTTAAAAAGGTTTTAAGATACAGATTAACCAAGTTAAATCTTTGTAATACTTGTGAGAATATGAGGTCTCCGAAAATACGGGAGATGTAGAGTAGCTAGTAACTCTCTTATGGCTACAGAGATAGTTTATATGAGTATAATAAACGTGATATATTATGCCATACTTTATACTTTGTACTTTATATTTTATACTGTACTGTATACTCAATTCTACATTCTGATTAGTCAAATCCTTGTTTTAGTTAATACTATGATTTGTATAAATAACCTATTTTGTACTTTTTTTTAGTGAGTGTATAGGATAATTAAAATATATATATTCTACAGTGCTTTTACAGAGCTTTTTATGTTTAAAATGAAATTTTCAGTGCAGAAAGTAAGGATATGTTCTATAAACATAATGCTACGATAATAGCATAGCTACAAGAGCCACTAAAAGAAGAATCCAATCAAATCAGTTGGCTATAAATGATTTTTCTTAAAAGAAAATAACAGAGCATTTAGCTTTTATATATCTATATATGTATATATGTATACAGCTTAGATGTTTTAGTTTCTTTTATCAAAAGAATCATATTTTATCTGAGCTTTACACAAAAATCTCTATTACGGCTTAGTCCCATTTATTCTTTTAGAATTATATAGCTTTGTTTAGATTGTATTGTATTGGATTTATAAAAACCTCGTATTAAGAGTCTCATAATAAAATTTTTGTTGATCTGTTAATTTGTTTCACTTGTTGCCTTGTCCAAGTAACCGATCCGCTTCAATGAGATACAAGCGTAAATAAAAGCAAGTCAATTCAACCCGCTCTATGCGGTGTTCATTAATATTATTATTGAGTCAGTTTGCCCTTTTTTTTACATGGTTCACTATACCCTGCCGTTAAGTCAAAGCTTGGAAACCACCTGGTTTACTAATAAGACTAACGAGGCGTTTCTTTGTTTCTTTTTCTTAAAAAAATAGCCTTTTGCCTCATATGGATAAGAGTACCACACTTATTTATGATTCGTTTGATAGTACTTTTTTTTTGTTAAGGCAAGTCGTCTGTTGTAATTTTATTTTTAGATTGATCCAGGTGTATGGTACAAATCATTTCACACGAAACAAAAAGTTATCTGATCTTTGATTTTAGATTAGAGCATATAATGGATTCCAGGGAATCTTATTGTATTCAAAAAATATCAATCTGCTTTAAAGAATTTCTAGAGAGGAAGCCGTGATCATAATCGTCTATATTTATTCATTTATATATAAATATACATCTTTCTTCTTTCGTAACCAAAGTAGTGCCGTCTACTGTTGTATAAATCACCAAGATCATTTTCTTTTCTTACAATAGAAACTTAAGATCAGAGTGACACAGATAATACCTACATGCTAGTTTTCATTCACAGTAATATTATCTCTTGCTACAGAGCTGAATCTACAAAACTTCTTAGATCGTGCAGTGCTTCACTAAGATTTCTTGTAGTTCTAAGAAATAAGATAACTTTATAATAATAATAAATACCGATATTAAGATTCTACCCAATCTAGCCAATAATGGATTGCTCTTTGACCACCTAACTTTCAATAAAGAAAAATCTGCTTCATGATTGTGACCATTTCATTATGATTATAATAAAATTAATTGGGCAACTATACAGTGATATAATGGTGTGATAACAATATACTTCATACTGTAATTTAATTAATGTTCTAGAGCTATATCTCGACCGTAAATATAAAATCTACGGCACTCGCCATTTTATTCAAAAGGGTATTTAAAGAAACCCGGAGTTTACTTTGAAATGATATGAATAATTCTTATGACAGAGCAACTGTTCCAAAAGCAAGGTGTACGGAAAAAGGATAAGATCTAGCAATAGTTGCACCATCACCGTATGATTATTAATTAAAAAAGGGAATCTAATGGCGACAAAATATCAACATTTTTTTTGAAGATGAGCTGACAGAGAACGGATATAGGAATATGAGAGAAATCTACCAACGAGAAAAAAAAGTTAATTGACAGGTCTTAAAGTGGCTCCAAAACAGGGACCTTTGCCTAGTCACTCTTGTGACAGCTCCAATAAAAATGCGGGCGGTTTCTCGGCCTGACTCAGGGAAACGCTTCAGTGCAAAACTGTCGTCCAAAAAGAGTAATTTTTAAAAAAAAAAGTCAAAGTGGGACAATATATTTTATCCCAAAAGTTCTAAAGTCTGAGTGACATTGTGAAGCTAAAAAATGTTTCTTCGATGGTAAGTCATTGAAAATATAGCAAATATCTAAAGATCGGTTCAGAAAAACTGTCTTGATCTTGCTTGATCTTGCGAGATCCATCAAAAGGAAGGAGTGTTTTCGTGCTTTCAGTGGCACACAAACTTGGGGGCACAAGACTTGTACGTTATGATCGCGTACAAGAAAATAAACTCCGAAGTTTGTCAATGGTATCTGATGATCAGATAATTTTTTTGTATAGTAGAGCACTGCTTGCTGTTTATTAGAATAATAGCTCAACGCACCAAGTCTGCTCTTCTGCTTTTCTCTGTCAAACTCTGGGAATCAATCTGTAGAACGGATTTTACTTCCGACAGAGGTATATATACAGACCCTTAATTTTAGGATTTTCATTCAACAAACTTTTTATTCAATTAACTTGTCAGTACTTCCACAATGTCAGAAGCATCTGGATCCGCTGGCCCTGTGGTATTATCCGGTGTCAAGAAGGTTGAGCTTTACAAAAAGGTGTGGTCTAGAAACGATCAGATCTTTATTTTTGTTGGGTAAGTTTACAAATCAAAAAACAAAAAAAAAACAAAAAAGAAAATATTTTCTTAACCAAATCACAATTGTAGATTGTTCTTGCTCTCATGGGCCATCACTTGGGAGACTACCATTACTTCCACAGTAACTCCTAAGGTTACCAGTATTCTCGGTGCCAATAATCTTTCCAGTATCCTATCCACTATTCTCTATATTCTTCAAACTGCCCTTCTACCGATGATTTCCAAACTTTCGGATTTTACTGGAAGAGCTGAAGCCTACTCTTTTGCCATGACTTTCTACATTGTTTCATTTATCATTATGGCCTCTGCGAACAATTATCCTACTCTTGTAGTAAGTACTTTTGCATTTCTTTTTAAAAATTATATATCAAAATCTAATCTTTCTTTCATGGTATAATAATAGGGAGCAAAAGTTATTTACGCTTTTGGATATTCTGGAACTACAATTCTAGGACCAATTCTTATTGGAGGTAAGAAATCCAAAAAGAAGAACTCCGTTTATTATCAGATCTATTTTATTTATATATATATTAATAATTCGTTTTGTAGATATGACTAGCATTGTCAACCGTGGTATATACCAGGGCCTTTACAATGCTCCCGTCCTCATCAATTTGTTTGTTGCTTCCAGTGTCGGCAGCAACTTTGTAGAAAGTGGTCGATGGAGATGGTCTTTTGGTATTAACTGTATTCTCCTGGGAGTTACCAGTGCACCTCTTCTTGCTGGTCTCTGGAACGTTCAATTCAAGGTTAAGCGCTCAGGTCTTTTGGTGAAGGCTGAGGAGGAGGAACGCAATTCGGGACCCAGAATGACTCTTTGGGAGAGAATTGTCTGGCTTGCTATTGAGATTGATATCGTTGGAAGTCTTTTGCTGATTGGTGGACTGTGTTTGGTGTTGCTTCCTCTTGTTCTTGCCCTTCCTAAATGGGGCGGATGGTCAAGTGGTAAAGATCTTTTTAATTATTTTATTTGTGTTTGTGTGTGCGGTTCACCCACCAAGATTTTAAGGCTAACTCTCTATTGTTTTAAACCCAGGCCTTACTCTCGGTACACTCATTAGTGGTGTTGTTTGCTGGGGTCTGTTCGCACTCTGGGAGTTGAAGTTTTCTCCAAAACCTATTATCCCTCTCGCTCGCTGGGAGTCCCGCACTCCTCTATATGGTGTTCTTGTTACATCCTCGATCACCCTGATCTCATCTACAAACTGGCAGTTCCTTGCTACTTATCTCCAAATCTCCCGTAGAGTCGACTCAAAAACTGCTATCTATCTCGAGTGTGGCTACAATGTCATGTATATTATTACTGAAGTATCTGTCGGCTTTTTGATGGCCCGCTTTAAGGTCTGGAGACCTTTTATCTGGACTGGTATTGCTATTGCCATTGTTGGTCTTGGTATCATGATTCCCGCTCGTCTGCCAACTTCGTCAGATGCCTTTGTTGTTGTTTCTCAAAGTATTGTCGGTTTGGGTACTGGTATGTGCTTTATCCCTGTACTTGTTGCCGTTCAGAGCTCTGTTCCCCACAATGGTAAGAGTTTTACAATATAAAAACAACCAAATTACAGGATCCTCATTGCTTTTTTTTTTCTTGCATTGTTAGATCTTGCTATTGTTACTGCTCTTTTCCAAGTTGGTGGTTCAATTGCTGCTAGTGTTGGTTCTACCATGGCTGGTGCTATTTGGAATGCCCTTCTGCCCACAAAGATCGCTGAATATGTTCCTGGAGAATACGATCACGCGCAGATTATTTCATCTATTACCTATGTCCAAAGCTTGCCTATTGAACAGTATGATGGCGCTGTCAAGGCTTACGGAGAAGTCCAGAAACTTCTCAACATCATTGCTGTTTCTCTTTCTGTTCTGACTTTCGTATTTGCCGTTCCTATGCAGTCCTTTGGTCTAGACCAGACTGAGGAGACACGTATAGCATCTGGAGCAAAAAACACCAACGGAAACCCCAACGAAGTACCCAGTATCCTATCTGAAGACGATATCAGCAAGTCTGATATCAAGCCCACAGTTTCCCCAGCTTAAAACATCTCTCAGATATTTATTACTCCTTATTATTATTATTCCTATTATTCCTATTATTCCTATTATTCATCTTATTAATCCTACTCCTCTTACTCCTCTTGTTCCTATTCTTATTTTCTTGCAACTCATATAACACACTTAGTAATTCCTACAAATATATTTTTAATTTTTAAACAAATAGTTTATTTATTTTTATTAATATTATCATCTAAATAAAATAAATGAATACAAGAGCAAGAAATATTCTTTCTTGTATAAAATTCAAATAAAATAGCCAACTCCTTTATATTTCTATATTTTTTATTTTAGTATATATATATAAATAATATAATTTGAATTATTTACCCATTTAACTCAACTCAAATGCTAAATATAAATATTTTAAAATAATCATAACATAAACCATTTAATGAATTGGTGCTATTTCACACGAAAAGATCTACAAACAATTAAAATTTTAATGTCCTTTGTTGTGAACAGTTCATTGACCCATTCAGTTAAACAGCATGTTCTCCATGTCCTCTTAACTTTTAAAGAAATTCCGTTAATTCGCCACATGGAATTATATTAAACTATGCGGCACATTAAATCGCAGATGAACTTTACACGTTCTAAAGCTTTTTTATTATTACAATTCAATAGCGACTCTGACGTGTAAAAGGAGTAGAGATAGAAATATATGTTATACATGCATTTCATTTCATTCGATCTAATCTTTATTGTCGTTATTGCTATAATAATATATGCTTCGACTATATAAGATATTTAAAGCTCAAGAAAATCAAAGGCTTGAAAATAAAAATTACAGGAAAAAAATATGCATAGATGTAGATCTTGAATGTTAGTGGAGGAGTAAATTTCTAAGAATAAACTTGGCTGTCACAAGAACAAGTCCCGCAAGACGGAAAGAAACCGATAGAATAATTATAATAATCTTGTGAAAAACATTTGAAAAAAAAGTTCAGGAAAATCAGAGACTAATAAATCCTGGTAATTTATTATATTGAAAAACAAACACAATAGTCTTGCGACATTGGCTTTATAAAAAAAATAAAAAAGAGAGATGATAGATCGATAAAGGGAATAAAAGAAAATAGCAGAATGGCTTTAAAAATATACAGCCAAAGAAAGGGGGAAAAAAGGTGTATATAAAAAAAGAATTGCTACAAGCTAAAGAAATTATTCTTAATTTGTTATTATCTGTTGTTTCTTTCTACACGAATTAGATGAAATGGAGAGCCTTATAAAAAGATGATTTAGGAATCACCAAGAAAAAAAAAGTGGAACAATGCATGGCATTAGTCAATTCACTTTGACTCCTCAGCATGCTCAGCCTTGGACTCTTCAGCCTTGTCGGCATCTAATAGAAATAATTAGTTGTGAGTGGGATAGAATCGATTTAATTATTTATAATGTACGCACCCTCCTGCAAGTCTGAGGTCCACAGAGTAAGGTTGTCTCTCAAGAGCTGCATAATAAGAGTAGAGTCCTTGTAGGATTCTTCAGAAAGAGTATCGAGTTCAGCAATGGCATCATCGAATGCCTGCTTGGCCAAGTGGCAAGCACGGTCGGGGGAGTTGAGGATCTCGTAGTAGAATACAGAGAAGTTCAAGGCAAGACCAAGACGAATAGGATGGGTAGGTGCGAGTTCAGTTTGAGCAACATCAGTAGCACTCTTGTAAGCCTCGTGAGCCTGAGTAGCAGACTCTTTACGAGCATCACTTGTCAAGAACTCAGCAAGATAACGGTGGTAGTCACCCTTCCTAGAAATCATATCAAAATATTAAATCTTTATCATTCTATATATATAAATAAATCCTTCTAACTTACATCTTGTAGTAGAACACCTTGGACTCACCACCCTGAGCATTGGGGATGAGGTTATCAGTCAAGACGTTAAGGATATCATTGCACACATCCTGGAGCTCGGCCTCAATCTTCTGGCGATAAGCCTTGATCTTCTCAACCTGGGCAGAGTTACCCTTGGACTCCTCCTTCTGCTCGATAGAGGAAACGATTCTCCAGGAAGCACGGCGGGCACCAATGACATTCTTGTAGGCAACAGACAATAAGTTACGCTCTTCAACAGTCAGCTCAACGCCCATCTAAAAAAATCACAGTATGTATTGGTAAGTATGAATTCAACAACAACAATAATAATAATAATAGTAGTAGTAGTAATAATATTTGCGCAGCTAGTGAAAAAAAAACTAGAGCAAGTATTTTTATCCGAGATTCTTACCTTGGAAACATCCTTGGTGTACTGGACCATTTCTGATACAAGGAATGAGATTGCCGAACAGCATCACAAGTATCCCCAAATCACTTACCATCGTAACGCTCGGCTTGCTCAGCGAGCTTGGCCATGTAGACATTGTTTTCGCGTTCCTGATGTACAAAGGATTAGATGGGCCATTACAACTAATGTTTGTGGTGTCCATAAGAGGAACACGCAGCTAGCCTAAAAGGTTGCAGTGCAGTTTGAAGCAGCAGCAGCAAAAAAAAAAGGCGCGTGCTGAACGAACGTCCTCGACAAGAAAATAGGCATCTTCTTGTCTAATCTCGACCCAATAGACAGGATGTTGGTAAAGGTAAATTAAGACTTACAGTAGACATTGTAAAAAGTAAAGATAGAGAGTTTTTTGTGATGAGTTCTGGAGTGGTTGTCAAACAAGAGGTACGAAGAAAAACACAAGCCTAAAAGGGGCGAGGATGTTGACGTAACTGTTTTCGGAGTTATCCGAATCCCAGGTGACTCGATCCTGTGGATCCATCCAGCTTACTCGTTCTTCAACCGAGAATCCCATATTAGCATATCAGGTGACATGGCGTGGTCCACTTGAATCACTCGTATAGTTTATTGGTAACCATGGTTACCATTTCGGCCAAAACGCGTTGATTTGATTAGTCTTTTTTTTAGTAAGATTTCAAAGCAAGCCCTTAGTATTGGAGCTGTACTTTTTCAGCATTGAGAAGCCTAAAAAATGCCTTAATGATTACAGCCTCGACGTTCATATAAATATACACTAGCGATTAACACAAACAAATACTCCTCCTTAAGACTATCTTCCAGAATAAATATATTATGTACATAAAAGAATGCTAAAATGTAGTGCGAGTTGATACAAAATTTGAGTCGTGTAAGGATGATTTCCATTTTTATTCAATAATTTTCATCGATTTCCTTTCATTTATTTCTCATTATATGCGTTCAATCTAATGAATGAGTACAAAGCCGCCAAATAAAAGCTAGCAATAATACCAACGCTTTTAACGGTAAGACTTCTGGAAACGGGCACGGGCACCGGGACCACCGAACTTCTTGGGCTCGCAACGACGGGGATCGGCAACGAGGAGAGTACGGTCGTACTGGACAAGGATGTCCTTGATCTCCTTCTTGGAGGCCTCATCGACGTACTTCTGGTAGAAGGCAACGATGGCCTTGGCAAGAGCCTGACGGATGGCGTAGATCTGGGAGGTGTGACCACCACCGTTTACGCGAATGCGAATGTCAACGTTGGAGAAACGCTCCTCACCGAGCAGGAGGATGACCTCGTAGACCTTGAACTTAAGGATCTCGGGCTCGAGGAGAGCGAGGGGGGAACCGTTGACTCTAACGAGACCACGTCCACGCTTACAGTGGGCAACAGCAGTGGCGGTTTTCTGTCGTATAAAATTTTAAATGAGATTGTCATGTCTTTAATCCCATCTATTATTTTATTTTATTTTTTGTTCTCAACGCACCTTGCGGCCAAAAGTTTGAACAGCTTCCATGATGGCTATAAAATTATTGTCAGCTTTACTGATCTAAGATATGTCCATCCATCCATCCATTCATCCATCTTCGACATCCATCAATTTGTCCTGAAATTGCTTCACTACCTTTGATGCTCGGTGAAAAAAGGAAGGCTGTATCGATTGCAGACTTCCCCTTGCATTTTCCCGACGCTTGTCCATTGCCGGCAGGGAGAAGAGAGGCACCTATTTTTTTTAATAACCGCTCTCCAGCACGAGTCACGACCATTCTCCTCCTTTCCCCTATTGCCTTAACTTTTTTTTTTAAAAAAAAAAAACTTCTTTTTTTCTGTATGCTTTTCAAGGTGGCTATTAATAGAGGACACAGTCTAATGCAAGTCGTATAAAAGAAATATTGGTTTAAATCATACAAAGATCCACTTTATCCTGCACACTGTCTTTGTCTAGTTTGTTTTTCAATGTAACAGAAAGTGAAGGCGATCATTATTGCTTATTTGTTAATCTCCCGCCACCAGACGTTGCACAATTAATGACCTTCATGGTCAAAGCAACATAGCTTCCTATCGAGACGAACATGTATTAGTTGTTTTTGGAGAATCAGGAGGTGTACTTAAATATTTTTTGACAATAAATATCAGTGCTTATTCTCCACCCACTCCCGAAAATTTATAGTATATTCAAATAAAATACCTGGATCTATTCAAGGTTGATTGTCTAGTAGCATGAATACCTTGTACAACTCAAAGAGACTTGTCTTTTATGATCAGTTGTTCTGTTAGAAATAGTTGAAACCAAAGTCCCTTGAAAATAGCAGCAAGATAAAGGACGATGCTTTTATTATAGTTTGTTTTATTTTATATTGTATTGTATTGTATTTTAATAATTATTTGAATTGGTCTTCATCATAACTAGATACAACTTATCAGTCTGGCTTTTTTTATTTCTTCTTACAAACATCGAGGGAGAGGAAGAAATAAGGCTTCACACGTCACCTCTTACAAACTCTATAAATACTGATACCTTGAACCTTTTGACTGCGCCGATTTGTTCCATTCAATGGTGAAATCACTTTATGACATTTGCATTCAATGTTTGGTAGACCATTCCCAGTTCATTACTGATCTTGAAGGAGTTGCCTACAATCCATACGTATCTGATCTAATGAACTCACTATTCTCGTCGAGAGGAAAACGGTTACGCTCAAATATTCTTGATGTCATTGGCGCTTCACAAGGCGAGGGTCTGCGGAAAGACAAAAAATACGGCACTATAGAACTTACAAAGCATGCATTTGCTTTTAACCAGACGAATGCTTTACACTATATTGCTAATTGGTTTCCTCGATTTGTCTGTCGCCTCAACCTCTCAAACACTGACATTGGAGATAAGGATATCTTGTTGATTGGTGGGCTCATAAATCTCTCAGTTCTTGACCTCAGTTGGACTTGTGTTGGTGACCAAGGGGTGGGGCACCTTTGTCGGATGACAGACGAGAGTAGATTGGATGGCAACCCTCGAATAAAGTTCCTAGAGATGCTCAGTTTAACCGGAAACCAAGCTGTGTCTGATGCTTCTCTCCTCAATCTCCAAAATATCAAAAGTTTGATTGGCCTGGATCTATCATTCACAGACGTTACAGATGTGGCAACTGTTGTGCTCTCTCGCATAGGATATAAGCTTGCAAATCCCGTATCTAATCCAGAAACGCCTTCAACTGAACCGATACCTATGATCGTGTGGGAAAGTTCTTTGTGGTGGAACAATACCAGTGTCGCGAACACGTACACCGATTTTCCTCTCCATAAAGATGTCATTGGACGTGACTCTGATGTGTCTGCTTATCTGTCCCGGAAACTAAAGAGCGTCAACCTCAATCTTGGGATCAGAGAATACACGAACTTCACCTCGGTAAAGCCAAAAAAATTAAACGGTAGCAGGATGGTGTATGTACGATCAAAAGAAAATATAGCTATACAAAATATAAGCGAACCTATCAAGAAACCATCTACTCCGCCTGTGAATACAACATCAGTTAAGACACAATGGACTTCATCGTCTTTTTTTGATATGATACAAAATGATCTTACTGCGCCAAATATCCTAGAATCTCCAGAAAATAACATTTTATCATAAAAATACAAATATATAATTATAGCAAAAGAAAGTAATGATGACAAGTATATCGTATCGTATTATTGCTTATATTTAATAGATGTCATTATAGTTTTGGTTGGTTTAAGATAAAATACACCAAGATATGATAATATATACAGACCCATATCAGTACTGAATAAAATTTTAAGATTCCGCCAAATCAAGGCATCACCATTACACTACCTTTTATTTATTTTTTCAAAGCTTTTCCTCATTCGAATCTCACCATGTCTCACCAAAACAAAAAGGAAACTCTTCCCAAACGAAAACAGCTTTCAGATTATCAAAGAGGACTGATAATTGGTGGTGCTATAGTAAATGGCACTGCTGCTGAAATTTCTGAGAAGAATGGTATACCTCTAGCAACGGTGTATTCCACAATCAATAGATGGAGAGATACTGGAACCGCATTTCCTGATAAGCGAAAAGGAACTTTGAAGATAATGGATGAGCGAGATGAGCGTCACTTGATTAATGAGATGAAGACGAATCGTGAGACAACACTTGGGGGTCTTACCACCTTCATGTCTGACACCCTAGGGCATCCCATCTCCAAGTCTACCATTCGTCGAACTATTCGTAGATCTGGATTGTCTTCTTGTAAAGTTGTATACAAGCCACTGCTACCAAAAGCACACAAGAAGAAGCGGTTGGCATTTGCTAATCATGCCAGAGAGACCAATCAGAGATGGGATCGCGTCATCTGGAGCGATGAGTCAAGGTTTATGCTTTTCAGCAGAGATGGCAATACTAGAGTATGGCGGTATCCTCAAGAAAAATACAGAGAAGAGTTCATTAGACCAAGACTGCAGTGTGGCGGAGGCTCCATTATGGTTTGGGGCTGTGTATGGGCAGGAGGAGTTGGCCCATTGAAAACCATAAAGAACACGCTTGACCAGTATGCATATATGGACTTAATGAAAAGGAAGCTTCTTCCATTTATGGAATCTCTTAGTGAGAACAATGATGGGGAGTTTATCTACCAAGAAGATAATGCTCCTTGTCATAACTCTAAGCTTGCAGAAGAGTGGAAGAAGCGTCAGAACTTCCCAGTGATGGTATGGCCGCCGAACAGTCCAGATCTCAGCCCCATAGAGAATTTATGGGCATATCTTACCAGAAAAGTGAATGCCAGAGTCCCCTCTCCAAAAAATCTTAATAAGCTGGAGAGGGCTATTCATATAGAATGGAAGAATATTCCGGCTGACGTTTGCAAGACACATTGCATGTCAATGCCTAATCGCTTACATGAGATGAAGAAGGCTCGTGGAGGGTCAACACATTATTAATTTTTTTAATAAATTTACTTTTTATTTTTTAAAGAGCCATATCTTAGTATATATATGTTTTCAAACATGGGGTGTTAAGTGAATATAGACAAACTAGTGTAAGAATGTTAAAGAAGTTGATGCCTTGATTTGGCGGAATCTTAAAATTTTATTCAGTACTGATATGGGTCTGTATATATATATATACATACATATATGAAAGCTACAAGATATAAATAAGAAAATAGTTGTTGTAGCATTATCTATAAATGAGGTACATTGCATGCCCGCATTGTCATATTCACAATCGCAAAAGTTCCTTCCCCGAGTACAAATCCACTCGCAACAATAACAATCAAAACCTTTCCTGCAACCCTTCTATGTCGATCCAACCAGGACAAGTTTTCATTGTCTTCTTTTACATTGTCCAATTTATCGCAGTAGACATTCCATAAATGGCTTACGCAGCCACCTATTACACGTGCAAGTGTAAAGCTAGGGGGGTTGTATATACCAATTGCAAACGCAATCCCTTGAGGAATGTACTTGTGCCATGTGCGATTAGCAGTAGTTTCTTTGATCAAGACAAACGCAGTAAAGCAGATTGCGAATCCAAATGCAAATTCGGAGACGTGGGGTGGTAAAGGATGACCATTCACCAGTCTTGACATATCCAACCATACTTGAGCAGTAGGGACAGGAAATTCAGGGCCTGGAATAGAATATACAGTGCGATAAAGAAGATATGCACCTATATTACCAAAGTCATAAATAAGTACTTGAGATTTACCAATACACAGCTTACCTGTAGCAACAAAAGCACTAAAGAAAGACCCAATCATTTGTCCATAAAACTGAGCCTTTGGAGATGCTCGCAAAAGATGCCCTGTCTTGAGATCTATTCAAATATATCAACAATTATTCTTAATAGTAAATTGATAGCCGTACCTTGCATTAAATCGCCTAAATATCCGTCGAATATACATTAACCACTTTGTGCGATATGATATACTGTAAGAGCACATATCAACTTACCTGCTTGCTGTGCACCTTTTTTTTAAAAAAAATATTAATAATAATATTATTATTAATATTGTATATTGAATACAGACCAATTTTTATTTTCATAATCTAATTTACCTGCTTCAGCAATGCCACCTGCAATCAAGTTGGCTGCAATACCCCCAGGAATTATTAAAGCAAAAATAACCTGACTAATCTTGCCGATTCCACTGACCTTATGCATAAACAAAGTATTAACAACATACTAAACTCTAATACCAATTATATAGCAGCAACAATAAAAGGGTAGTTACCGGGTTTAAGTCTGTCTCTCCCAGGGCACGTACACCAAGTACGCTTAGTATCATAGCAACAATTACTGATAATAGGGTCATACTGATGGGCAGAATATCTGGCCCAAATACAACTTTTACCAAAAGTACACACATAAATGTGGACAAAGTAAGGCCAATAATAGTCAGCGTAGTAGACACGCGTTGCTCCTCAGGCGCATCGTCCTCTTCTTCCTCGATCTTGTTTAAGTCGGCTTCCTCCCATTCTTCTTCAATATGCTCTTCTGCTGAAAGACATTGTTGTGTTTCAGACTGACTAACTCTATTGTATGCACTCTTTGGTGCCTGGTTAGGTCGCTTAGAGGCATTCTGACGTATGGCCTTAACTAGGGATCGTATGAACACAATTCCCAGCGACACAACAGAGTCGGCAATCATAACGCCCAATGACACCCACAATATCCACCCTTTTGAACCTGTCTTCCAGTCATTGACCGGGCCGGGCGCCCACCCTGCATAATAAGCCAAAGGCGATAATATTCCCCAGCCAATTATACAGCCGAGCAGCATTGACAAAGTGGTGGGTAAACCCTATTTATATGTTTGTTAGAAGCAAATACATCACATTACGCCCAAGATAATTTCTCACCATGATAATCCCTTGTCCGACATAGCTCAAACTAGGAGTAAAGTACCACTCCCAAGCAGCAAAATCAACAAAATTGAATGTGATCCAGTTAAATACTGGAAGAGCGCTGACAATAGGAAAGAAGTAGGTCAAGAGAGTATAGAGAGAGGATAAACCAAATGACATGACTAGTGCTCGGAGCTTAAGATTCCAACTGGTTTCAAAAGCCTCGCGTTGCACAGCAGTTTCTACTTCGGTAAGTGAAGTTGTCGAAGAAGCCGAAGAGTATGATGATGAACCAACAGGAGATAATAAAGGATTTTGCTCAGGATTACTGGGTCCAACATTCTCAGCCGATGTTCTCCTTCTTCTTCGCAACCGAGTATCTTTTGGTTTGGTAGGATCTTGCTTTTGGTGAAGAAGACTGATCATTTGAGCTGTTGCAGTTCCGGATGGAAATCGAAGCTTTTCTTTAATAATGGTTTGTTTACGTAATGGCACAGCAAAGAATACGCCAAAGAAAGCAACTCCAAGAGACCACAATATGAGCTGTAGCCCAGAAAGTCGGATGGGACCATCAGGATTATCTGCGGTTGTAAGCAATTCCAGTGCAGGAATAACTCCTACAAAGCCTATTTTTGCGGTGGAAAAGAAATCGGATCAAATTAAAGCAATAAGAAATAGTCTGTATTAGTAATCCCGCGACACATTTTTTTTTACTTCGTCGTCATAAAAGTATTTTGATATACCTGCAGCCAAAGGCATGGTGGCAGTAGCTACAGCAGTTGTCTGTAAAACAACATTCTCAATAGGGCCAAACCTTGTCCTGAGACGGTGCTGGAATGGTTTGAAGATAGCGTAACCAAGAAGAGATGACTGAAGCGACATCATGGAGATCCATCCTGTTTGAAGTCCAAAGTACATGTTCGAAAAACACATGAGACTACCAATAGCTAGTCCACATAAGACGGCTCGCCACTAAAAAAGCGATAATCCAAGTTTAGCAAGATAAGAGACCCACGACTGTTAGGTGTAAGAATACTTGCTGTAAAATGGGGTAGTTCTTCTTTGGAGGGTAGTGACCTATCTACAGGCATTGTATAGTAATGTTTTTGTGTTATTTTTCGGCCCTAATAGTACCAGCGACTTAATAGTAGCATAAAAGGTTATATACCGGCCATATCTACAGCTTCTACTTCTTGAGGCATTAGAACAAAGCGAAAGAGGAAAGAAGGTCGGGATCACAATCTCCGCTGGAAAGACTGCCCTTTAGTGGTGGCTTTGAATTCTAGTCAACAGACAGTTCCTCACTTCAACAAGGGCCATTCCTGACCAACACCATGTCGTTGCTTTTCACGGTACGCAAACGTTTCGCAGCCGGTCCTACACAACCACGAAAAATTTCTGATTTAGTTTCTATTATAGTACCGCATTGCTGCCCATGTGCCTCGTCTGGCCAGACCAGCCATGACAATTTCGCGCTCATTTGTGTAAATATTTCTTGTACCTCTGTTCTTATTGTGTTCCTAAACACACTGAATTTTTTAGGTCTACTACCAAAACCGATGAGACCGTAGTGGTTGCTCCTGGGGGCATTGAATTGCCCAAGCTTACAGAGAAGGAGACCTTTGACGAAGTATTTGAAGGTACGGTAGAACCGATTTTCCTTTTATATATAAAAAAACAAACAATGGTACATACTATCACAAATATTTATTCGATGACATTTTATTTAGCCCCTCCCCGTATTCCCGCCACTCACGGTATTCCCGTTTGTAACCTGCACTTGCGTGGCTATCTCCCACAGCAGTTGGACTTTTATGCAGACTTTGCTCGTCGTGCTGCTTTCCACCTCGGTATGCCATGCTCGGGTACTGTTCCTCTGCCTACTCAGACCTCCCGATGGACTGTGATCCGATCTCCTTTCGTACACAAGAAGTCCCAGGAGAATTTTGAGCGTAAGACACACAAGCGTCTCCTTCAAATCAAGGATGCCCATCCTGAGGCAGTTGATAGATGGTTGCGTTATTTGACCCGCAATGCACCTGCAGGTGTGGGTCTCCGTGCAACAACATGGGAATTTGAGTCGATTGGTGTTGGAAAGAAAATGTCATCAAAGGCATAAAATAATAATAATGATAGACGGTAGAATAAATAAATAGCATATATACAACACAAAATCCAAGTGATCAAAAGTGACGTGAGAAGCTTCGACTGCACGTGTGTCCAAAGTGTATGATAGTGTGTCCAAAGTGCCAAAATACCCTTCTTCTCTTCTTTACTCCCACACTCACATAAACTTTATTATGAGCACAAATTATTCTTCTGCATTCCCTCCTTTGAGGACCATGCCATGTCATCTCTCTCTAAAACACAAACTTCAGCAACGTTCACAGCAACCAGCTCTATATCTTTCCTTAGCTCCGCCGAAATACCCGTCATACCTTAACCACACTCTTTATGCCGACCTTGCACTCGAGCAGTATGATTATCTTCAAAACCCACAACGCAATCGTACAAACTCAATGTGGGAAACACTCGACTTGCGCCTTCCTTCTTGTTGGAACGATCGAGACAGATCGCGCAACATCAAAGTTGGTGCTAATGGTCTCGACCTAATATATACTGGTAGCATTTCTAATAGTTTTTTTTTGATGGTGCCTATATTTTGTTCGCGTGTATAAATTAGTCTGCTTATGTACCCATGTACCCATGTACCTTTAGGTCCAGGACTTCGTGAAATTGACGCGGCATCCGTGCGAGCAAATTTTCCTATTAGATCTCGCTGTGGGGTATATTATTATGAGCTCAAAGTCATCTCACGGGGGCACGACGGATTCATCGGAATTGGGTTTTGTGGTTTAAATAACCAGTTAGATAGACTACCAGGCTGGGATCCATATTCGTGGGGCTACCATGGTGATGACGGGCATTCTTTTGCTGGATCAGGTACAGGAAAGGTGTTCGGACCTTTCTTTACGACTGGGGATGTGATCGGGTGCGGCGTCAACTTCGCCGACCAGTCCGTCTTTTACACCAAAAATGGCGCCATGATTGGAACCGCGTTTCACTCGCTACGTCTTACACTAGATATCTATCCCTGTGTGGGATTAAGAACCAAGGGAGAGATAGTGACTGTGAACTTTGGAGAGAATGCCTTTGCATTTGACATTGTTCAGTATGTAAAAGCAAGTGCAATTTTTTACTTCTGACTTGTGAGAGGAGGACATGTTCTTTGCAGACAAACTTATGCATTCCGATGTTTCTTAGGACCAAAAGAAGAAGCTCCACAAAGACATCACGCATACTTTGTCACCAGGTCCCCCGTTGCATAACACAGCTGAATCTATCAAGGACATTGATACACCCACCAGTTCACTTCTCAATCATCTTGTCCTTTCCCATTTGGCACATCATGGCTATGGAAAGACGGTCAATGCTCTCCTAAAAAATGTCTCTTACACAGATTCTTCTCCACTCTCTCTCTCAACAGCTAGTCCAACGGATTCTACTTGGGGTGAAAAAGATGTGTTTGAACGCCAATGTACGTGATAGTTGATAGCTGACAGTTGAATAGCAGATACTAACATACAATGCAATATATATATATCTTCTGTTTATCAATTTAAGCTATTCGTTCTGCTATCATGGCAGGCGATATAGATCTGGCCATTCGTCTATTAGACACTCATTTTCCAGATCTATTTGTTGGTAACGAAAGAGGACGGACAGCCCTGTTCCAACTCAAGTGCCAAAAGTTTATCGAAATGATAGGCAAATATGCAGAGAAAGAATGTGCCCAGTACCGTAGAAAGGAAAGATGTCTTGATCTTACCGACAGTATTTTCTCGGATGATGATCATATGAGCTTGGGTAGTAATGGAAGCATTAGTGCTGAAGGGGAAAACGAAGCGAAATATAAACAGAGGACTACTGACCTTATATCAACATCGCCAATCAATTTAACAAAAGTATTCCCTGTTAACGCGCCGGGAAGGCGCTTAAGCTATGCTGCCATCACGGCATCTTCATATTCTGTATTACCACCGACAATTCCCACCCATTCCCGTTCAACACATCACACCTTATCTTCTCATAATTCTCTCGCCAATATTCCACCCAGGCGACGAAGCAGCTCAAGTTGCAGTGCTTTCAGCGCTTATAGTAGTGGAATAAAAAACCGCGACATTCTATTGGAAGAAGGAGAGAGTGCTCTTATTTCTCAGCCAACAGTCGATACAATGAAGCAGATAATGACATATGGTCAGCAGTTGCAAGAAGAATATCGTTCTGATGAAAGAACCAGTGTGAAAACAAGACTTGTGGTAAGAGATACAAGTCAACTTTTCTGTTGGATTATGAAAACTGATTTTTTTACTGGGCGTGGGAATACAACCAAACATACATTGTTTATTTCTGATTTCTCAGGAGATATTCTCTCTTTTGGCTTATCCTGATCCAACATCAAGCCCCGTTGGATACTTGCTTGACAATAGTGGTAGAAGCATTCTTGCGACTGAATTAAATACCGCTATTCTTCGTAAGAATTTTTTTTTGCATACAGCAAAATTAAGTATTTAACACACACCTATACTCGCTTGTTTCTAGTGTGTCAAAAACGTCCAGGAATTTCTCCTCTTGAACAAGTTTACAGACAAGCCTTGGTTACAAGTAAAGAGCTTGCAATACATGGTCATAGTAAAGCTGTTATGGTCAATGTTGAGGAATCAATGTGTAGACCCTCTCCCTCTATTCCTTGATTTTGATTCTCTTTTTTTTTCTTTTTTTTCCTTTTCTTGTTTTTTTTTAACGGTCGTCAGATGCTTTGCTTGCTATACTACAAGATGGCAAGTCTATTCTTATTTTATCGATATGCTACAGTAAATAAAGTTTTTTTTTTCCTTTTAAGAAAAAAATTGTATGTGTATGTGTTATTACAAAAGACCATCATCCGAGTCTTGTGGAGCTTCCAATCCCTCTGGCCAAGTGCCATCGTTCTTCCAACCCTGGACAATAATTTTAATCTAATAAACAAAATATTAGACCCATTCTTCCTTTCTTTATCTATCAATCTTACTTTTAATATACATATATACTCACAGCAAAACCAAGAGGTAGGGGTGTACTCAATTTCCGACGATCAACCACAAGTGCTCTGTATATTCCCAGCTGGTTACTTTGGCTCACAACGTCTAACCAAGCATCTCGCTGCTCTACAGAGATATTAGGTGGGAGATTTGTTGGGCGATCCGGGAGCTGATCAGGAACTCGGGTCCATTCAGCTCGTCGAACAAGCCAGGATTCTAATCCTGTAGTTGCTGTCGTGGTAGAGGAGGTAGAGGAGGTACTTCTGGATGTCGGGGCAGTCGATTGAGATGATGTTGTGTCTGTCATTGAGTACAGGATTAAGATGTAGATAGTAAAGAAGAGTAAAATGAAAACTAGGGTTATCTGTGTGACGGGGTTTTGTCAGAGAATCCCTATCATGCCAAACCAAGTCCAGAGCAGTAGAGCTACTCCTTTTCACGACGGACGTGATTTTTATTTCTAAGACAATTACACTGCTGTTCCGGTGCCGCCCTGGAAGCTATATTCCATTACTAACCAGACAAATTACCTAAGTGATATAAAGATACACTTAAGGATTCTTATAATAATAATAATAATAAAGTCAAATAATATATATGCATATTATAAAAGTACAATTCGTGAATTATTTAATAAAGAAATGCTTTTATCAATATATATAAGATACTAACTTTAATCTATAGTCGGCATAGTATTCAAGGTTACAAATAAATTATATACAATGAAACAATAGATAAAGAAAATAGTTAAATTTATATTGATCTGGAAAAAATAATAAAGCTTTGTTCATTGAATAAAGAGGATCAGTATATACTTTTATTAAACACATCATAAAGTGATTAGATACTTAGAACATATATAAAAAAAGGTCTTTGTTTTTCTAATAAAAGATTATGTGGTAGTCTTTTGTAAAGAATTAAAAGGATTAGTCAATGAAGATTCACTTATTAAAGGCTTTTCTAAGCTTTAAGATCCTTTTTATTGATTGTATTTGCTTCTTTCAATGCTTAATAGAACCCTTAAAAACAAATGTGTAAAGCCTATCTACATTGTTTGTTCAAAATATAAAGGTCTTTTTTTTTCTATGGATAATATAAGCATTTGCTTTTATCCAAAAAATGCTTTTTTATTATTATAACTTATTCTTATAGATAATCTTTAGTTTTATTTTTTTATTGTAGTTCTTTTTATATACAATTAATGTATATGCAAAATATGAATATCAAAGTTTAGCTGAAAATTATATTTCTTTATATTCGACTGAGATAGACTAAATATATACTTTGATTTTTAGTATTGTTGGGTTTATAAATAAGCCTATTCCTACGATAAATATTAAACACTTCCCGTAATAATCAACTCATAGTTTTTTATAACATACTTAAAATCAATATTGTACATTGTGGATCTGGAGAGTTTATGTTTCTTACAGTGATAAATATAAAAATATAAATTGAAGCTATAAATGGAAGATACAATTATTTAGATTCTTGGAGCACAGTTACATATTCTTAAACCTGATCCAAATCAATGTATTTGTCCGTATTGTATAAGCATACGTTTTGCAGTATAGTTCTAAACTAGACATATTATTAACATTCGATTGGCAGATTTTGTATAGGACATAATTCTTGAGACCTACTCCACATTGTTACACTATATTGCGGGGGGAAATTTAAGGAATAGTGAAATACATCAACTGCAGTTTTTTTTCTCTTGTTTCTGTATATCTAATATCCAAGAGAGGTAAGCACATGATGGTCTCGATACCTACTCCAAATAAACTACACCAAAATTTTTACCGATGATTTTTTTATGTTTATATAATTATATGAGAATAAATGGATCAAGTAGAAAAACTAGAGGCTATTTGGATAATCTTTATCATTGAATATATTTTATAGTTCTAATAATAATAATAATAATAATAATAATAATAAATCTTGATTTAACCAAGACTCAATAGATTTACTTTATTTGTGTTCGCGTTTGGTGTGAAGTTATGTATTTTGTACGTGTGTATGTATATTATGTTATGTGTTATACAACATCACGATTCTTCTACAATTACCCATTTATAGTCATATTTTGAGAATAAATTGTTGCTTATCAAATTCATGCTTTCTTATTAAATGTCCTAGTTGTCGACCAGACTATTCAAAGGATTTATCTTTATTCTATCTTTTTAATGCTATATCTCTATATACACTTCAGTGACTAATATATTATAAATATACTACAGTACATAATACTATATGACATTTTTTAAAAAAATGAAACAGAAAAGAGGTTTTCTTTTTTTTTTTAAAAAAAAAAGTAATAATTATGGTTACAAACTGTACTCAAATATGTTTTAGCTTGCAGAATCGATCTACCAGAATAGTAACTTATTGTGTTCAAGATAAAGAATTTAGATGTACAAGTGCTTGAGAGCTTGTGAACGATTCCTGATAAAAGAATCTTTCTTGGGGTGGGAAAATCAATTTATACTGAATTTGAATATCAGTAATGTAACATGATTGGCGTGTAGGCCAGTGATTTGTAAACGATTGGAAAAGAAAAACAAGAATCTGTCAATTGTATATTCCTGATTTGAAACAATTCATTATACAAAATAAAGTAGTGTGTTAATATAATAAGGTACAAGACATATATACTATTAAGTTAACGGTTTATAAAGCGATGAAGATAATTTATACAAACCATAATAACGGTAATTTAAGGGGTGGCGTGTAAATATACGCTTGTTCCCAGAGATAGGTAATTTGTCATGCCAGTATGCGGGGAAAAAACTCTATTCGTTTTTCGATCTGTGGGGGGAATACCATGGTTACCTGGATCACCATGTTGCTGAAAATTTATACTATATAAAAAATGAGTATAAAAACTTGGAGATATCCCTTTCAAAAAAAAACAATCTTTCTTAACAATACCAACACAAATGTCACAAATTAAAAAAGAATTGGATAACGTATCTATTGAACAGATCGAAAATGCTCCAGAAAGCAGATTAAGACGAAAGCTAAGGGAGATCAAGGAGTCTATCTATCACAAGCCTGATAAGCTAGAAAATCCTTTAAAGCTATTGATTAATATCAATAACACTCAAAGAATTACATTCGTTGCTGGTAAGTCTTTAATTAAACATATTACTTGTATTGAAACCAACTAAATATAAATATATATATGCATATAAGCTTTCTTTGGCTGGACCTTGGATGCTTTTGACTTCTTCTGTGTTTCTCTGACTGTTACAGATATTGGTAAGTTACTATTGGGTTCATAAATAACTGATGTATTAACATTACGTTTAGCCAAGGACTTTGATGTCGAGCCATCTGCTGTTACAAGTAAGTTAATAAAGTCTACGTAGTGACAGATATAATAAATCTAACAAAAAAATTGAATTTTCAAAGGCGCTATTACTACTACTTTGGTAAACTACAGAAGCACATAAGAACTGTAGAACAGAGGTCTAACATAACCATTATAGATGCTAAGACCTATTGGCGCTCTTATTTTTGGGTAAGCTGATTTACAACTACCAAGACATATATACTTACTACTTGTATAGTGCATTAGCCGATAAATTTGGTCGAAGATGGCCGTTGATGATTGATATCATTCTCTTTTCAATCATCAACATGGCTAGTGGATTTGCTCCTAATCTCAAATCCTTTATTGCTCTTAGAGCACTATTTGGTATTGCCATGGGTGGTGAATGGGTAAATCTATTGCTTCCTTTAATTATTTATCCGTAGTTTCCCCACAATAGATGTTTCACGACTAACCACATGATCAAAAAAATCTTACAATAGGGTCTTGGCGCAAGTCTCGCGCTTGAAGCACTTCCAGTTGAGGCAAGAGGCATATTTTCCGGAATTTACCAGCAAGGTAAAAATCTGAAATCTGGTATAAGATAGCGCACTCTGCTCACATGGATTTGTACCCAATAGGTTACGCGTGTGGTTACCTTTTGGCAACCTTGGTCAACTATGCAATCGTACAAACAAACTCTTCGTGGCGTATTCAGTTTTGGGTTGGTGCTGCATTTGCTCTCCTAGCAATTGTGATCCGATTCTGGGTGCCTGAATCCGAATCCTTTGAAAAAACCAAAGAAGCGCGCAAGATTTTGGGGCGATCTATATTGAAGGAGACGTGGGTTGTTCTCAAGAACCACTGGCTCAGACTGATTTACATGGTTATTCTGATGGCTTTCATGAACTTTTTGTCCCATGGATCTCAAGATCTCTACCCTACGTTTTTGACTACTCAACTCAAATATACAGCTTCTCAAAAGACTTCGACGAGTGTTATATACAACATCGGAGCTATCTGTGGCGGAACAATTATCGGTTATTACTCAACATACTTTGGTAGACGGCTTGCTATTGTTGTGTGCGCTATCATGGTGGGTGCTTTTATTCCACTTTGGGCATATGGACCCAACATTGGATCACTTCAGTTTGGTGCATTTGTTCTCCAATTCTTTGTTCAGGGTGCATGGGGTAAGCCGACAAATACATTTTGGATAAATTAAAAAAGAAAAAGAAATAAAACTTACTTGCATGTTTATAGGTGTTATTCCAGCACATATCAATGAACTGGCACCTGCAGCTTTCAGAGGTTTGATGCCTGGTCTGGCCTATCAGTTAGGTAACTTGGTAAGTCTAATGCAAATGTTGGTTTAAAGATGTTTTATTTTGGCAATAATAGTTTAGTTAACTTTGTTCTATTTTCCTGTGCTGTAGATCAGTGCAGCTAGCAGTCAGATTGAGGCTACCATTGGTGAGAGCTATCCTCTCAAAAATGAAGATGGTTCCCTGAAATTGAATGCTGAGGGAAAAGCTATTGCAAACTACGGGTTGACTCAGTCGATTTTCATGGGATGCGTGTGCGCTTGCTTGATAATCACAGGTTAGTATTTTGTATAATATCTTTATATTTTTACTCAAAACATTGTCGTGTGTAGTTCTTGTTGGTAAAGAGGAGCGCAACAGAGACTTTAATGTAGTTGAGCTCGAGAATGAAAAATCGGGGGGAGCTGTTGGACCGGTTGATATCTCTGAACTTTCCATGGAGCAGGGCATTGCCTCAACTTCTGAAAAGCCAAAATCCGTATCTAGTAAAACAGATGCCAACCGTAGCGATTTGGAAATTGAAAATGCCAAGTAACCATTTTATGGTATCATATTTATTTTAGTACCTTTGTATACCCAGTTATTTATTTCTAAAATCTATCCACTATTTACTACTTATGTTCTGTAACTGTATATTACTTTTATCCCACAAATATACATGATTTATTTAATCTAGTTGTCTTTAAAGCTTTCACCTCTTTCATATTTCCAAAAACAACAATAGTTTGTTAAATCAAATTTTATGTATCTTAATGATTAGGTCTTTACTTCCACTCAGATATTATTACTATATTTCAAATTTAAGCTGTATTCTGCTCTGTAATTCTATTTAAGACCCAAATTTATAGCTTGGTGGTGAAGGTATTGGTACACCAGATCCGTCCAATGTCTTATAATTAACATGGGTGTGTGTACTCACAAGGGTATTATGAATTTAAAGCTGGCAGTCTCGAATTAAGCCAGCCACACTCAATGAGCCTCATTTCTGGTAGGTACATATTTGCGCATGAATTTCCTTTAATACATTATATAGAGTCTGTACACAGAGAATATCTCAAATATCCATTGTGCACAACAGTTATTTGTATATTATCCAATGGGAGAATCAAAATGCTTTTTTTTTTACAACGAACAGTACGATAGGCAAGTCGTGCTAGAATATTACAAAGTCCGATAGCGTCATAAGCTTTTCATTCCAATTTTGCCAGCTCGAAAAGTAGAGGTTGAACTCTTTACGGTTATTACCTTTTTTTTACCAAACGGGGAACATATCTCATGCTTAAACCACTCACAGTGCTGGTTCTTACAGTAGGACTATTGGCTTCGGCCGAATTGCACTGTCAAGATCCCTCGAATTGCCCTTTCTATCCCATCCATAGTTGCTTTGCAACTGAAAAAGGGCTTGTGTGTGGAAGCAAAAGTGAGTGCTGAGCCTTGATTGAATTAAACTATTGACATTGTTTACAATTTATAGGCGATGGTGGATTCGAGATGAGTATCAACCCCATCGAGACATTCTACTACACACCATTCAATGTTGAGAATGACACAGGAATGCCCTGCATCACAATCCCACTTTCAGATGAACTTTACAGCTATGTTGATTACCGGGGACCGACTGTAATGGACTTAGACGATCTCGAACTTATTGGAAATTGCAGTCGAATGTCATACTGTGACAAGCGCAAGAGAACATGCCAGCCTAAACGACCTGTAGGATCTCATTGTAGTCACAATATGGAATGTTATTTTGGAATGGATGGATTCCCAGGTCATTGCACAAATCAAAGCGTTTGCTCTATACGTGAAGGTCTCCCGGCTTACTATTATACACCGTCTAATGAGCAATGGACGGTGGGAGATCAGTGGCAATCTGCTGTGTATGCTCTTGTGATTACAGGAGCCTTGGCAATATGTCTTATCTTTGGTCGTCAACAAGCATCAAATCTGGCCTCGGGCGTGCGTGGATTGTATGATAAATGGAATAACAGGTCCGTGCAGACACGTGCAGTAGACGCGAGTTCAATTCCGCCTTTTCAAGACGAGGCTTCTTGGCATCATTATCGTGGAAGATGGTGGAAAAAGGTGCCTGGACTAGGCTGGGTTTACAAGCGGTTCAAGCGAGAACCCACCAACGATGATGAAGCCTATCTTCATTTGACACGACAAGAAAGAGTAGACGATCCACCACCGTACAGAGGATAAAGAAAACCCAACAGCAATCTTGTTTCCTTTTTTATGCGATTCCCAGTTTCTCTCAAACGAAAACAATAACTAATGGAGACTGTGGGTTAAACTAGTAAGCAACCGAAATCCTAACACCAATCACAGCCTCACACCATACTGTTTTTTTTCATTATATATTTTCTGTTCTTATTTTGATTTTTATTATTATTATTATTATTATTATTATTTCCCAAAGATACTCAACGGGCTTGTTATGCTTTGGATAAAATGCATACAACATGTACAAACACCAATGATAAGAATAGAGAAAGTAAAAGTAAAAGTAAAAGTGAAAGTGAAAGTAAAGAAGATATTAGTAAATATCCTTGTTTAAATTAAGGTGATGCATGATTGACTCTACTACTTGATCGAAAAGATAAATAGTAGATTGTCAGCAGAAATTTTTGAGTAATTGATATATACATGAAAGTGCCTTTTTTTCGGTTTGTTTGTTTGTTTTGGTTTGTAATCATAAGTGGCCCAAGTGAGAAAGTATATGGTTTCACGGAATATTCAACTTGCCATTATTTTTTTTCGTACATTGCAATCTTCAGGGCAAAGATTGATATCCCACGCCATATGATGTCTACGGGTGTGATAAGTGGTTGGCGGGAATGTGCGTGCAAGAAGGTCCTCTGTCGTACTTGGATTGACCGCATTAATTAACATTGTAGCTTGCATGTCACACGTTGAGTCGACAGGAGCCATAAGGACTGTTGTTGACCCTGCATGAACAAGGCCAGAAGTACGCGGTGGAAGATGAGCCATCAGGTCAGAGGGATATGTAATTCGAATGGTTTTTATGTTTTGCGCCGTGAGGTGATTTACAAATGCACGGTTGCCCACTCGAGGTGAATTGATAGTACAGAGTGTGACTGATCGGTCAACCAAGAGCCTGGTTGACACTAGTGATGATGCACAGAGGGCTGCCACAGCTTTTTTTTTTTTTTTTGAAAAAAAAATAAGAAGAAGAAGAATAAAGAAAAAGAGAGAAAAAATCAGTCATGAGCCAAGTATCTGAGGATGCTGTTTACCTCCGCCAAGTGAGTGTCCAAGGATGACAACTTTATAATGAGCAGGTGTGGCATGGCACACCCGCATTAATAATGTAGCAACCTTGAGTTCGCATCGGCGCCAGGCAGTCAAGGCATAATCCAACACCCACGGAGAAATATCTTGGTCGGGTTCTAATGATTTCGCATTTTGATCGTCTGTAACCTCCATCGACTCGGGCCTGTGCTTCAAGAAGCTCGCACGAGACCACGAAGACTTGAAATTTCTACTCTTGGAACGTTTGCGTTCGTGCGTAACTGATTCATCGGTAGTATTTCCCATATTATCTTCAGCCTCTTCCCATGGAACAGGTGTGTAAGACACATTTTCAAATAGGGTATCTGATGAACACGCACCAGGAAATACAACAAGTATCTCTTCATTCTGATGGTCAACGGCTACATACCCTCGCTTTTCGGGTTTGGTAGAATTTGAGAAAGAAGTGGTGTGAGCTGGAAAGGATGACATTGAAACAGTGTCGGACACAAGAGATTCTGTGTAGTGCACACTTAAACTAGTTTGGGGGGTAGTTCGTTGGCCAGAAATGTTTTCTAAACTTTGAGGCACTCTTTGACAAGAAGACAAAGAGTCGGTGCCAAACATAGCTTGAGAGAAAGAGACTACGAATGTGGGGTCACCCAGACTATCTTCCGTTGAGTCAATGATGTTGTTGCTGCTGTGATGAGTAGATACTCGGACTGTGGGTATTGTGCCTGACATGTGCTGGTCGCTGCTGACGGAGAAGCGGGAGGTGTTCATTCCCGAAAATGGAGAGATGGCACTCAAGGCCATATGTAGGTTGGTGTCGCACTGGCATTTGCGACACGTCAAGGCACAATAATGATGTTGGTCCTCGGAAGATCTTTCTGTCATTCTCACAGGGGCGACTTCATGAGCGGAGAGTGCGATCCGGTCTGCATAGCGCAGTAGGCGCTGATGGAATTCCGGACTAAGTGATTCAAAAGGTTCTCGTAGAGCACGTTGGTAGGACAGATCAAGTTCAAGAAGCGGAAGCTGTTTTGTTTGTGGAATAAAGGTAGCTGCTTGCAACAAAAGGGCTTTTGGAAGCATAAAAAGACAGTGACGATAGATGTCAGGCATAGAACGGTGCTTTGCTCGCAGAACAAGCCTAGCAAGACGTCTGGCTAGTGTGCGAGTGCAGATATGTGCATGCAGCACACCTAGCATAGGAGCAGGAGAAGCGGCAAAGGGGCGAATGAAAGCTCCCCAGCTGGTAACACCTGGAGAGGGGGCTGCAAACAGAGCGGAGCCATGGTCGGCCTTTAAGGCGTCGTGAACGCTTTGTTCTTCTTGCAATTGTTGAATTAGCCAGGCGTATTGATCCACCGTCAACCAAAGCGAATTGGAATATTTTGTATCTGGGTTTGATCCCATTGCCACATGATCTCGGTTGGGCTCGTAGTGTACAAATGCTCGAGGGTTTGCTGCAGACGATGGCCAACTCAAATGACCTCCATGAGGAATGAAGTCCATGCTCGGGTGTAGCAATGTGATGGAATGCATGTCTGCCTTTGTGCGTAGATCAGCTGTGAGGGTCATTGCCACTGCTGACATTCCAGCTTTGGCGTACGAAGTCTGTAACTGGGCCTTGGTGTCGTAAGTTGAAGCATGTCGTGGTTTCCAGAGTTGTCTGACACCCTTAAATGAGCGTGCAAGTCGCGAGCTGGGAAATGACGCTGCTTTGTTTGGCTCTTTGGGTGCTGTTGAGCCGGCGGTTGCTATCCTTGGTAGCATACAAACTGTGCAGTAAAAGAGCAAGGAAGAAATAAAGCGAGGCTAAACAAGTCTAGAATAGGTGGCAAGAAGATGGCCTGTTTGGGAAAAAGAGCACGTCAAGGTGTACAGGAGAACACCTAAATAAGATCGCTTGTACTTGTGTAATAGATATGCTGAGCGATAAGTTCGCTCTTGATGGTAAGGAGAATAACAAAGAAGTTATCAAAAAGGGGAAACTTTCTGTAACCAAAAAAGAAATAAAGAAAAACAGGGAACATTTGTTGATGGTATTTGATGTTTAAATATAAGAGATTGATTGTGTGTATAATTGGATACATATATATATAATCAGATATATCCACATACATGTAAGTACTGCGATTTATCTGTACATATTAGTTTGGATCGTTTAGTACTATGGCAAATAAGAAGAATATTAGCACCTTTAAATTTATTCAATAAAAGCAAATTGGCAAGACAAGCAAATCAGAAAAGTCAAGGAAAAATATATTTTTTTCCTTATTCTCGTTGTTGTTGTTAAGATATGGTCATACAAGAAAGTGAATTGGCTCCTGTAATTTTCCAGAAAAGGGTATATAGGCATGCTGAGTACCTTTATTCCAGATACATCAACAGCAGCTTTATTGTCCGTGCCGACTGCTGCTCGAGTAACATCAGAAACAATAGCCTTTCTGTTGAATTTTTTTTTGGTCCAGTGGCAGGAACAGGCATGTCCACGGACAAATCCCGCGATAAATGTCAACAGGTTTTATACTCAAATACTTGTTAAAATTTAAAAAAAAAACCAAAAAAAGGATGATATACTATCACAGTGGCTATGCTGACTTGTACTTCTTTAAATTTTACTTGATACTTAGTACACTACAAGTTATTCCTTTGAAATGATATATACAAAAAAAAAGTTCTTTCCATCATTTGTACAGCGCGATCGGGGGACAAGCATCAATACTTCTGGATTTGTTTCAATTTTTAATAAAACAAACTCCGCATAGCATCATTTTTTTTTATCTTCAAATTGGACAATGATCTCAAATTCAGTGATATTTGGCCCACCATCAAAGACATTAAATAAGCTTATGATTACTATTTATCTAGCTAATAATGTAGAAGACATACTCAGAAAATACATTGATTTTTTTCTGGTCTACTGTGGTGTCGAAAGGTACATTTTCTTGACATAAACTTTTTAATGACTTTGTCAGACTTATTTGACGTTTTAAATTTTGGATTCATGTATCAATGTAGTACCAAAAGCAGTTGTTGTATCATCCGATATTTGAGCGTTTACTATATTATTATTTTTTCATAAAAGTATAAAAGTCGCAATCCAGGCAACTTGTAGCTGTAATCACCTTGAAGGCTGGTTACTCATCCTACAGCTTTTTCAATACCTTTTAATATCATTGAATTCGCAATGATAATTCAAGTATAGCTCAAAGCTATCCCTAAAGTTGTCTATGCTCTCATAAATGAGTGAAGCAAAAAGAAAAAGAAAAAACATATCAATGCCAGGCATTCTCATAATATTCTCTAATGTTTAATGTCAATAGGTATTGGTAGCATTGAATATACAGATAGATGAAAGGGAGAAAAAGAACAAAATGAATAAAAAATGGGTTGACAAACTAAACAAGTTTGTCAAGCGTTTTCCTATTTTTAACGCAGACTTGTCCCCATAGATTTCGTAAACGCCAGCATAGGGCCATTCTGTTTTACAAGAATATCGAGTTCCACAAACTACCAGCCTAAAAAATTCTCCCCTGTTTTTCACAATACTGTTTTTATAAATTTTCTATATAGCCTAGAACAACTGTAACGGTTACATTTCCCACAAATGTTCTCTATCTCCATTAAATCGGCCGCAAAAATGAATTACAATGTAACCGCTGAAGAAGTTTTAACCGCGGCAGAAACTTAGTCGGAAGCCATTACCGAATATCAGAAAAGACATTTTATTCTTAACAACAACGGAGTAAGTTTCTACACTGAAGCATATGCTCAATTGTGAAAGAGGGCCCACCAGATCACTGTTTTTTCTTTCTTTTTGACTTTGGACCTGCCCAATTTTCGAATCCAAATCCAATTGAGAATGTATGTAGTGCTTTTGAAAGGTGGATCGATAAGAGAATATCTTGCATCTCCTCCTTGAATGATTTGAAGGTGGCCTTGCAAGTTAAATAGGTAGAACTAGGCTTGGAGTGTGCAGGACACTTGGTTGATAACATGCAGAGATGATGGCAAGCGGTAATGATTCCCAAGAAGGTCCCGCAGAGGAATCCACTTTTTATTTTATTTTACGACTTTTAAAATAAACATCTCAACCTCTATTTGAAAAAAAAATTCTACAGCTACTAGCTACATTATATATAGGAAAATTGATTTTTGAATAAATAGTGTGTGTATTTGCAAATGTTATATAATTTAATTTTATTTGCCATTACTATGTGTAGTTGTATACTTTATATATGTATATATTCACTATTGTCGTCGTTTTCTTTTTTTTTATGTTAAATAAAGTCGATTGTATAAACGCTTATACCCTTTAATTTGGAAGATCTAGATGTATGAAGGGCTCATTGATCATTCTTAGTATCAGCATCGGTAGAAGGAGATCTAGAAGAAGAACAATTATGTGTGCTCAGGTGCTCACCTCATTTTTATATATGAGAAACATTTATTTAACTATATTATCCTGGTTTACATTTTAATTTTAATTTTCTTGACTCGATGATACATAGATGTAATTTAAAGAGGTCGACTGACTAGCTTTTGAGCCTTTTGTCCAGTAGGCGTTTGAAGAGCATCTTGAGCTTTTTTGAATTGAATCTTTGTTAGATATTTCATTACACAATCACTTCTCGATTAGGCAACAGTGAGAGAGTACAGTGCCTTTAGTGCCAATTAATAAATAGATTGAAGTATCAAAAAGATCGATTTTTATTCTTTCATCATACATTTTTTTGTAATGAGCTAAAGGTTTTGTTTTATAAAAGATGGACTCAGGTATATACAATGATGGAAGTGAAGTAATGAATTGGGATGAAGAAGTTGACTTCATTCAGAGCGCAAATTCCTATTCTTTTTTTTAGAGCAATGGTGTACACTCCAGTTGATTATTGAACCAAATTCTCATGATACAGAAAAAGTAAATGTTGTAATGATAGAATCGGAAAGCAACATTGCTCGCTCAAGAAAAAAAAAATACAACATTTACTGGGATGAGCAAAAGGCGCTCATATTATATTTGCTCATATTCAAGTTCTTGAAAGTGAAACCTGTTGCAGAACGAGCGGGAATAAACGCAAGTACAGCTTGAGGGTGGGTAGAGCGAATGAACAATGATCCAGAATGGGGCATATACGGCAAGCTTACGAGCAAAGTCAATCGTACTGAATCTCAACTTCAGGAAGAGCAACCTCAAGTAACAAGGAAGGGCATGGTCGATAACACTACAGAATTTGAGAGATTCGATTTCAAAGAGTAGGTCGAGAAATGGTTTTATATAGACGTATATTATATGAACAGTTGCGCCTTTGTGGATTAGTCTGTACCAGATACCAACATGAAGCCCTCGACAAAAATACCTACAAAATTCACTTTGGCAAGTGTTGCTATGTTATCAACCCATAAAGTGCTTCACGCCATTCTAGGAGAAATATGTGTCATGCGTGCTGTCAATATCGAGGTCAAGGTCGATGGATCTCACAAGAGAAAGTAACCACAACTCAAAAATCCAGCACTAAAAAATATTGGCGGCAGTAATTACATTTTATTCCTACAAGAAAAATGAGTTGTACGGACAATGCCCCAATACACAGTGCGAGTGACATTGACTAAATTACTTCAAAGAGAATATGTCTCCTCATCCTATTCATCTGAGTTCAATCTTATCGAGGATTTTCGACATTTGATGAAATTTCACGCCAAGAGAAGCAAATTCGCTGGAGGTGAAGGCCTTACAACAAGAGTAGCCAATGTATCTAATAGAATAACAGCTCTCGCTCTCTTAAACATGAGTCAGCATTCTGTGAACATGTTTTGCAAATGTCTTTGAATAGAACTTATCTAATAAATTTTATTTGTACTTCTTGAATGAAATTATTCTATGCAAAACAAAAAAAAAATTGAATGTATTGAGTGAATATACCATTTGAGATTACTAAAAGCGCTTTAATCCAGCTGATAAAAAGCATGATTTGGTTTGATCAAAAGCGCAAATTGGGATATTCAAAAAGGCGAGCTAATCTTAAAAGGCGTTCAATTGGCAGTGGAGACATTAGAAAATTGAAACAAACCCAAAAATATTGATATGTTTATCCCCCGATTGAACCATACATTTTGAAGGGATGTACCAAAAAAAAAAAAAAAAAGCTCATATCGGGGATTTAAAATTTCGCTATAAAATCGCCAGTCATTGTGCTGTTTGTCTTGTTTCTCATCCCAGTCACCAAATAATTCATCCTACGTGGCTTTACCCTTTCTTATAACAAAGCGTCTACGCCCAATACCAGTATCGTCATTGAGTATTGACAAACCTTCCAAGCTATGGAACAAGGTATACTTCAATGACCGATCGCCCGGCATTTGCATTGCGTGTTTTCTAAGCATCGACCTTCTTCTTTATTCGAAATCTGTTTTGTTCTTCTTCCATTTTTCATTTCATTAAATCATCGTGAACTTCATTACGCCATTAAGAGGTAGAGCGAGTGCGAAAGCAAATGAATATAATATTACCCCGACAAAATAGGGATTATGAAATAAATGTGCATCCCTAGATCTATTTCTTGATAGCCAAGTTTCTGGCAGCGAGTCCTTGTAGGGAAACCTCGCGCACACTTGAAGAAGAACTCAAACAGTATCGCGACCTTCTCCCGCCAAGTGCTGGATATGGCAGATCTAAGAAACCTGCATCATTGGAGAGTCTAGTAAGTTTTTCTTCGTCTTCTTCGTCTTCGTCTTCGTCTTCTTCTTCATAGACACGATTGGTTTCATACGTGTCTCTCTAGTCCGACATGTATCCTGCAGTTACAGGCGACTATCTCGTTGATCTACTACGAAAGCTAGTTAAACATTTCTCGGAAACCGCGGATCCAACAATAGAAAGAGTTAATGCCTTACGCCATGGAGATGATTCTCTATTAACCTTACGCAGAGCTTTTACTCACAATAATGACGATCCAAACGAACGTCCTACCTTACAATTACCAAACTCACTTTCGCCTGGTAAGAAAAATTTACCAAAAAAAAAGCGAAACAAATGAAAAGAGAAACAAAAGCACTTTATCTGTTTTCAACAACTTACTTGGCGCCTTATCAGCTCAATGGTTTAGAGCAAATGAACTAGGCATAGTACCTAGTGCTATAAAATGTACACCTACCTTCTTTTCGCAGTTTTATAAAGAAGTAAGGAAACATAATCTTATTTTTTTTTTAATGCATTTAAGGCAAAACAAAAAAAAACACACAGACACACACACAAAGCGAATATAGTTAACCGAATTATCTGTTATCTATTGATTATATATTTACTTTTTTTTCTTACATATATATGTCATATCATATTAGCTTATATCAGTATTTGGCCACCGCAATCCAGTCTATTGTCTTGCTTTTGATAAAACAAATAGACGACTCTTTACAGTGAGTGCATGCATACGAGAACCACTTTGTCGCCGACCTTTGGAAATCAAACCTATTATCTCATTTCTAGGGAAGTGATGATTTCCTGGTCAAGGTCTGGTGTGTAAAAACCGGCCGCCTCTTACATACTATAAGAGGCCACATGCATGTTATTACAGATATTGCTATTAATCAAGAAAATACTTTACTCGCCACTGCATCTTCTGATGGATATGTGCGTGTGTGGAATATGGATGGATTTTCTCCTGTCGTGTCCCTAAAATCGAATTCTGCTACAGTAAGTTTTTTTTTTAAAAAAAAATGTGTTCACTTTGAGAAAGAAAAAGAAAGAAAGAGGGAGGGGGGAGTTAAAACAAACACATGATATCGAGACATAATTTTTCTATATACATATTTTTCATTACTTTATTTTTTTATCTTATTCTGTAGTCGAAACCATTCACAACTATCAGATTTTCTCCTTCACCAAAACCAGAAACCCGTTACCTAATGTCGACTAATGAAGACGGCCTGGTACGCTTGTGGAAATGGGATAAAGACACCCTTCAGTTTTCCAATCCAGAGTCACCTGTAACTTTTAGCTGTAAATTCAAAGCACGCGATCGACTGCGATGTTCCTCTTTCAATTACACTGGTACCCAATTCTCGGTAGCTGGCGACGATGGGTTTGTGTACGTATTCTCTACAATCAAAGCAGAACCCGAATCGGAAGGAACAACTACAAATACTGCGGCACAGGATCAGAAACCACAGGTTGGAAGAGGTCGTCGCAGAGTAGCAAGTGCTCTGTTTCCTGACAAGAATGGGCAGGCCCAACCACAACCTGTGGTCCCAATTGCCATTCTTGAAGGACACATGGGTAGTGTGACTGATCTGGTTTACAGTCATGATGGTCAGAAAATCTTGAGTGGGTAAGTTACAATATATATAAACACAAAACAAAAACAAAACAAAAACAAAATTTCGTGTCTAATATACAAACCAAAATTCTTGTTACAGATCTCAAGATGGAACAGCACGCATATGGAAGTATAACAGTCGCCTAAAAGCATGGACTTCATTGGTTTGTAAGTAAATTAATATATATATATATATATATATATATATATATATATATGGATGTGTTTGTGTGTGTGTAGTAGAAAATATATTATGTTTGTAACATACAAGAATAGTGGATATCAAAGGATCTCCCAATGTACCTATTGTTCAGCTATCTCCAAAACCTGAACGACCTGCTTCTCGATCTGAATTGGTTTTTAAACCTTACGTATCAAACAGTTATCATTCTTCTGTTCCTACACGGATTCTTGCCGAAGAAATAGATCCAAACGATAATATTGACGATTTGAATCCAGGATCTAAATTATCGGGAGAAAACCAACATTTTCAACCTGTACTCCCAGAACAACAACCAACACATCCAATTAACTCACAACAACATACACCTAACCAAACCTCAAATTCACATTCAATACCGTCACAGCCCCATACATATACACATACACATACACAGCCTATAGATTTTGATAATACAACCACCGCTTCTACCGCCAATACTACTTCCACCACTACTACTACCACTACACCATCTAACTCCAACTCCAACTCTAACCCTGCCACCACTGCCACCACCACCAACACTAACACCAACTCTGCCGCTACTCCCACCGCCACTATCCCTCCTCACCTACAACCTGAAAATTATATCGTTGACACACCCAAGGTTTCAATGATTGCATGGAGTGCTGACGATCGTTGGTGTGTTGTGGCAACCACACATGGAAACATCTGTGTATTCTTTGCCTGCGATGGCCAACCTGCTTGTATATTAAAAGGACACGAAGGCGAGACGTTTGCGATGGATACACACCCAAATGACCCAAATACAATTGTCTCTGCTGGCTATGACGGAAATGTTATTATTTGGGATATACAAGGCCAACAACGCCCCATATGTAAGATTATATATGTACATATTTTCATATTTATTACTCACTAGCGTAAGCATATTTCTCATGTAAATCTATATACATGTACATTCAGGTTTTAGTTATCCAAATAAGGTGTTTTTGGATTGCAAATTTTCAAAAGATGGTAAAAAAAAGAAAAAAGAAAACTCTCCTCTCCTATCCTATCATGTTTGTCAATTGATTGAATTCAACAAGTATTTTAAACATTTCTTTACTTTTATACTTATTTATATGAACAATAGCTTCCAAATTTGCTATTACCGATGAGGATGGACATTGCACTATATTTGGACTTAGCACTGGTGCCAACCGTTATGAACAAGCCAAACAATGGGTTCGTGGTCAGAACTTCTACTCTGACTATCTTCCCATTAATATGGGATCCGATGGAAACTTTGTGGATGAGCAAACACAAGTAAGTAACATACAAAATATGGTGCTCTTGTTTGCTTTAAGCTTATTTATTTGTACCTTTCTATAACAACAACAACAATAATAATAATAATAATAATAATATAGAATCCACCTCACATACTTCAACATCGTTCAATTATCGACCGTCAAGGCGTTGAATATCCAAACCAGAAACCTCGTAGTAATGGTAATAAAAATGGTTTCCTTTTTATATATATATCTAATTATCGTAAACTCAATATCTCTTGTGTCTTTTGTTTTATTTAGCTTTTAAACCACTTGCTTCTGCATCTTCTACTGATAATGAAGACTTGAGACGTTTAACTTGCTATGAATACGAAGAAGATCAGTAAGTCACAACTATCTTTTTTTATTATATATACGCATATATTAAGTTAATATTTTTTATTTTCTATAAAGGATCTTGGAAAGAAAGGCTATTGTTCTCCCACCTATCGATAGAGCACGACTTACTAAACGACGAAAGGAATTCGTACGAAATGACGAAGAAGACGAAGCAGATGCCAATTCTGCAAATCCGCCTATGCAGTATATGCAGCCTGTGCAGCCATTCTTGTTGCCAGACGACTCAAACGACGAAGACTACAACGATGATGTACAGGCAGCCGGGCCTTCTGAATCTAGTGATACCGAGAGTGCAAGTGATGATGGTGCATTTGAGGACCCAGAGGGTGGTGTTGATGGAGACGAGTCGGATGAAGCAGAAAATGGGATATCAAAGAGAAGCAGGAGAGGCGCCGGACATCCTGTCGGAAGACCGCCTAATTCTGCTGAAGAAGGCTCGCGTCGTAAAGCAGGATCAAGTGGAGCCGGAGGATCAGGTGCCATAGGAACTTCTCGTCGTAGTGGATCATCGAGCAGGGGTCGTGGTCGCGGTAGAAGCCGGAACAGAAGTTCTTCTCGAGCAGAGGGTCGATCTGATTCATCACGTATAGAAAGTCGATCTGAACTACGACGAGAATCAAGTAGGGCAACTAGGAGCCGAGAGACTCGAAGTACCAGCAGAAGAAGAAGAGAAGATGGAAACCAAAGTGAGGAGGAAGAGGATCATCCAGTACGACCAAGACGCCGGGCTAGGATTATTCACAAATCATACCAAGAGAGCGAATTGGAAGACTCGGAGAGCTCTGAAGAAAGCACTTTGGCGGCAATTGGGGAAGAAGACGATAATGATAACGAGGAAGACGAAGTCGAAGAAGAAGGAACAGGAGTACGAGGAAGAAGAGGAGGAGGAAGAGGAGGAAGAGGAAGGGGACGTGGAGAAAAGGAATATGATGATGAAGCAACAAATATTAGTGATGTTTCCGAAGCAGGTCCCTCCAATAGCTCTAGCAGCGCTCCTAAATCTGAAGCCGAACCACCCAACAAAGTCGATCGGAAAGGAAAGAAACGGCTTCGTTCATCTGCAGCCGAAAGCGACGAAGACTTTATTGGAGAACCCCAGAAGAAGATGGCCAAGAAGCCTGTTGCTCGAGAAGTAACGAAACCTGTACGTGTGACACGCCGTACCGGAATTCGTGGGCAGCGTGACGAACCATATGATCTAACCCTCCAGCAAATCGAACTCCATGCACCGACCGAGTGGATCAAGCAAACGAATAGAACGCTGTCAAAGTATCATCCCCAACTAGGAGACCGTGTGGCTATCATGACAGAGGGCCATAAGCAATACTGGAAGACATCCAACATGATCAATTACTTTGACCCCAAGAATGGACCGATCGCAAGTTCTGAGCCTGTGGTGTTTGCCAAGGTGGTTAGTATCCAGTGGCTCGTTGGTCCACCGGTGTTTTGTCGGTTGAAGCTCAATATCCAGGAACTCGTCAACACCCCGGCGGCTCTATTCCATAAATCAGAGCCTCAATGGCAACTGAGAGGCCATGATGTGACGATTGACTATAGTGATGAGGATGGCAAACCGGAATTCATTGTTCTTTTTGAGAGATTTTTGACTTCGATGGAGATATTTCAGACTGCCAGAGTGGGTCAGAGAGTAGATGCTATGTACGATGAAAGTCGTTATACGGGAACCATACATAACATAACCAACAGTGGGATTACATGGAAAGCAGCCAGATCTCAAAGTCCTTGGGCCTACTATCATGTTGTATGGTAAGCAAATAGACACAAAATGAATATAGTAACATGTACAAGATAAAAGAAGAAGAAGAAGTTTTTTTTTTTTTGAAAATAAACAATATGTATTTTTTTTTCTGTAGGGATGATGTGGCATCTTCACCAGAAGATTTATCTCCATGGGAATTTGTACCAAGTGGTCAAAACTTCCAGACTCGCTACGATGTCAGCTCTCGCCTGACTCGCCAAGAGAAGCAGCGGGCTAGAGAAGTTCTGGGTTGGCTATCATCCGAAAGTGCGTTTGAGCTCTATGTACATCAAGTAGATTACTATACTTACAGAAATTATCTGTCGATGATTGCATATCCAATCTGCCTTGAGATGGTACTTGAGCGTGTCAACAATGACTTTTACAGACAAAAAGAAGCATTGATTGATGATGTTGAACTGATACGAAAGAATGCAATGAAATTCAACGATGAGACATCATCTGCGCACAAAGATGCTGTTCGAATGGCAAATTATTTCAAAACCCGTATGCTAAGTAAGGATTGCTTAAAGACCAAGATAAAATAACATATCTTATAACAATCATATAAATGCTTTTTTTTGTAGGTAATAATAAACCGCTTTTATTTACAAGAGGTCCCCGTCGCAAAGTAACCAACCAAGAATCAGACGATGAATACCACGAAGAAGAAGGAGGAGGAGAAGAGTCGGCTGAGAGTGATCCAGAAGCTAGCAAGCAATCGCGTCACCTTGATGAAGATGACCTTGATGACGACGACGACTTTGTAGTAAACGACGAAGATGAAGACGATTAAAACCATGTATACATTCCTTTTTATTATCTTATCTTATCTTTTCTAAACTAAACTTAAACTAAATCAATATGAGAAAAAAGAAAAGCGAGACACACACACACATACACACACACACACACACATATATATATATATATATTCAAATTCAAATTATTCAAATCCAAATTCACTCACATTCACTCACTCCCTCTGAAAGTTTGTAAATATATAAAAAAAGAGGGGCTATACACTTTAAACAAACAAAGCATTATGGAGATTTTATGAACATGTATTTTATACATAGCTATCAAGAATCTCTTGTATCATCAAATTTGGTGTACAATGTGTTTATATGAAAGAAAGAGATAAAGAGAAAGGATAATGTAGCTGTGAATTATGGAATTAAAATGGTATATTTGGACAAGTCCAGCAGTCTTTTAAGCTTTTTTTGTTTTTTTTTTATAATAGTAATTAACCGTTATGACTTGCCGAAATATAAAAGATGTAACAAAGTAGCTTAGATAAACCAACGTATATTTTAATAAAAATACAATAAAGACGTTGGTTTGAGTGAAGCAGAAATAGAGAGAAAGGAAGTAAGGGAGGAATGAATGAAAAAATGAATGAATGAAGAAATGAAAGGGAGGAGAGGTAAGGAAGTAAGTAAGGAAGGAAGGAAGGAAAATAAATAAATAAATAAAAGAAATATAAAGAGAGAGAGAGAGAGAGAGAGGGGAGGAGGAGAGGGCTTGTTCATTACTTTGCTTTGCTTTTTTTCTTTCTTTCCTATAAGCATTTAATAAATTTTACGTGTCTCTGTGTTTGAGTGTCTTGTCTGTGTAGGAAAGAAAGAAAGAAAAAAAAAAGTATCTTTGTATCTTTCTCTTTTTTTTTTAAAAAAAAATTAATTAATTAATTAATTAATTAATTAATTTAAAAAAGAAAAGAAAAAAAAAGGGGGGGACTAGGCAATCATCCAGCCAGTCTTTTCATTTTCTTTCCATTGCCGGCTTTCGTTTTGATCAAATTCATTAGGAAAATGTTGTTGTAGGCGTGAATTTGGAGAGAGTGGGGTTTCTGCCAAGAGAGGGAGTGTATGGGACGGAGAGTCGTGTCCGTTATAAACACCGTCCCACTCCAGATCCTGTTGTCGGCCATGAGGAGCTTGGTGGCCACGTACCCTTCGATGGAAGCTTGCGACATTACTGACCACACTAGAGCGTGCGTTGGATTGTGCCGGCGCAAGATCCGAGAACCGTACACTGCTATTACTCCTGCGATGAATAGTATTTGTTGTCCGTCGTGGCGCACTTTCTGTCCAGCCTCCATCCCTCTCGAGATCGACAATTGCTCTTCCGGAAAGGCTACTACTACTATTACTACTGATACTATTATTATTATTATTATTATTATTATTATTATTATTACTATTATTATTACTATTATTATTACTATTATTATTACTATTACTACTAACAGTGTTTTTGTTGCTGTTGCTTATGTTATTATTACTATTACTAGTAATACGATCCCAAGAGTCTACATAGGTATCCTGTATACTCATAGGTAAACTCAGCATCTGACCAGAGTCGTTGTTACCCAGAGATTGTGATGGAGAGTGTGGAGAAGATTGGTGGTTGGTTTGGCGAGCCATGATTATATGTTGCGGTGATTGATGAGAAGAGGACGGGGAAGAAAGAGAGGGTCCACCACCACCACTACTACTACTACCTCCTCCTTGAGGTGCATGATCGACTTTGATACCCTGGAATTCTGCATAATGACATTGGCTAGGGAAAGTACTTGACTGAGCATGATGAAGGCGATGTTGATAATGAGTCTGATGGGGTTGAAGGGACGGATGGGACTGGTGGGACGGAAGGTAATCTTGTGCGTAAGTTCTGAATTGACCAGAGTTCCTTCCATCATCAGGATCGAGATGAATGCCTTTAAAGGTGTATCCACCACCACCACCACCGATACCATTGTGGTTATCATGATTACTATTACTATTACTACTCATATTAGTATTAGCGTTGTTGTTGTTGCTGTTGCTGTTGGTATTGTTAACAGCACCAAATTGATTGTGGTTTGTGTTCCAATGTCCCTGCGGTAATTGCATTGTTCCGACTGTATTTGCCCTTGGGCGGCTTCCTACTCCTCCTGTTAGTCCTCCGTTGATGTGCAACCCCTGCTGTTGAGGATCCAGAGTTTGATGATTGAGTGGTTCGAGTGGTTTCATGGCGTGCGATGTGCCATCATAGCACGCATTAAGTGCATCTGGTGGTTCCAATACGCGTGGAGGGGGTAGGGAATTGTAAGCGGACGAAGACGATGAAGACGATGATGATGATAATAGTAAGGACGAGGCGTGGTGGTTCATACGTGGGGAGTTTTCTTTAGGATGAGCGGATTGGTGAGACATGTGGTGGTGGTGGTGTTGAGGAGGTTTGTTGACATGAAGGTTTTCGGGGACGTGAAAGGCTGGTAGGGTGGAAGAAGTAGAGCAGGAAGAAGGGTACGGTTGTTGTTGTGGTTGGTTAATGATCGTATCAGGGTTGGTGGTCGTGCGGAGGTGCGAAAGGGGAATGGCGCTAGTACTGAGGTAGCCCTGAGTAGGTGGAGAGACGACGATTGGTGTTGATCTGTTGTGGCTATGCTCTTGATGATTCGACATGTTCGTCGATATCTTTAGCATCGGGGACTGTTTGAGTGGAATGTAAGGCGGCTTAAATGGTCCTGTGAAAAGTTCACCGGTGATAAACGGGTGCTGTCTCGCTTGTTGTGGTGTCCAACGTTCGAAATGGTTTTGGTTAAGTAATCCCTGTAGAAAGTCTATAAACGCAAGTCGATTTTGTTTCTCTACAAATGATCGCAAATACTGTTAATTAATTGTGTATAAAAAAAAATTAATCTTTTAATTAATTTTTTTTTTTTTTTTTTTTTACCCTTGTCAATCTCTTTTTGAGTCATGGAACCTTTACGCATAATTGGATAACCATTAATGAGATCAGGAAGTGTCTTTGCCGCAAAGTACCGCTTTGACGGCTGTTCTTCTTTTCCTTGTTCTCTTGAATACTGTTCAAGAGACCGAAGTCGATAACACTTTTCTCCATTATCGTCAGTGTAGCGTTCAAAGTAACGATGTGCATTTTTGCTCATTTCTATCATGTATGTCGGAGGCATTCTGTGTTTGTGTCTATGCATTAGATGATATGTTTTCTTTTTCTTTCTTGTGATATTATTATTATTATTTACCCGAGTGTTTCTACAATGCGTGATAACTGATTGTATTCTGAGCTACCGGGAAAAAGTGGAAGACCTAGAAAGAGTTCTGCGGCAATACATCCCAAGGACCACATATCGATAGCACCGGTGTATGGCAAGCCAACGAGTACTTCGGGTGAGCGGTAGAAGCGGGATTGAATGTATGTATACATGGTCTGCATCTCATTACATGCTGAGCCAAAGTCAATGACCTTTAGAGCAGGCGACTCGAGGCTTTATATATAAAAAAATAACAATAAAAATATAAAAACGACAACGATAATGATAATAATAACAATAATATAAAAATAGTGATTATATGATATGGGTAAATACAAAGAACAACAACAAAAGCAATAAGAATAAAATTAAATAATAAAAAAAAAAACAGATATGGTATCTTACTTTTTGAGCAGAATGTTTTCTGGTTTTAGATCGCAGTGGATAATCCTGGCTTCATTAAGTACAGTCAAGGTGTCTAAGATTTGGGCAGTAAATACTCTGACGAGATTTGTAGACAGGCCACGAAATTGGTTCTGTTTGATGAGCTCGTAGAGATTGACAGACAAAAGTTCGAATACAAGACAAAGATGCTTTCGATGGATAAATGTGTCTTTGAGTCGCAATATATGATGCTTGTCATCTGGATCATGTTTTTTGTTGAGCTAAGAAAGTAAATAAATAAATAAAAAAAAATTTGGTAGGCACAAGATGTGTATATATATATATATTTATACACTATTGTTATTAAGTATCTTACCGCCTCAAGAATAGCAACTTCCATCATACTTTGTCGGAAATAAGCAGGCTTGTTCTTCACAACCTTGACGGCAAATATTTCTTGTGTCTTTGTATTCTTACATTTGACTACCTGTCCAAAGGTACCTGCTCCAAGTACATCCAATATGATATATCTATTGTATATGATAGTACCATGTATCAATTAAATCATTAGATAAATGTGGTTGTTATAATTTAATTTTTTTTTAAAAAAAAGAAAGTGTTAAAGTTTTAATTAATATATATATATATAAAATTAATTAAATCAAAATCGAAAGGAGAAAATTATATATGTATATATAAAGGGAATTGTAATGTATGTAATGTATGTATATAGCATATACTTACTTGTGACCTTCTGTTGCTCCAAGAATATCATTGACATAGAGAATATAATCGAAATCCTTGTTATCAAATCCTTCGTTACCAAAAGGTTTGCTTGGTTTGGTTAATACTCGACGTGGGTTGTGTGATGCGCTGTATTGAAAGCCATTGTTACAGGCTTGGTATGTATCATTGAGATCTCTTGTGAGAGACATGAGTGGCTACATTGGCATTGAAATAGGTACACAAATAAATAGTTGGCGTGTGTTTGTTAATGATATTCATGTAAGCACATATATCATTTATTTATTATATATATATATATATATATATAATTAGACATGATATTTGGGAGGGGAGGGGGGGGGGGGGGGGTTTGGCTTACATTCACATGCTGTCGTTTTTCTCTTTCAGAAAACAAATATCGTGGAACTCGTTGTAAATCAGATCGACGGATTTTGCGGAAGGCACCCGAGCGTTCCTGACCTGATGGATCTACAGAGCTGAAGTCGAGAGGGAAATCTTCCGGGATTGTTGTGGAAGCAAATTTGGGGCGGATAGGTGAGAATGTGGGGAGGTTATTTGTGGTTGTTGGTGGTGGTTGTAATGGTTGTAGAGGTGGCTGTTGTTGTTGATGATGATGATGTTGTTGTTGTTGTTGTTGTTGTAGTGATAGTGGTAGTGAATTTTGTTGTATTTGTGAAGGATGGTGGTGGTGGGGGTGGTGGTGGTAGTTAAGATAGTTAAGGTGGTTAAGATTGTTTTGGTTGTTTTGGTGGTTATAGCTTTGGTGAAAGGAGTTGGGAGAGGATGGGTAGGAGGAGTAGATATTGTTTTCTTTTGTAGGAGTGGTGACTTGGAAGGGGTAGCGTGAAGAGATATCTTGTGAGTGAGATAATGAGTTGCTAGAGGTGTTGATAGAAGGCAAGACGACAGAAGTGTGTCGAGATGGTAGGGCAGACTTGTGGTCTTGTGGGGAATGGTCAGATCGTTGACCATGTGTTGTGTCTCCAAAGTTCATCTGACTTGAGAATCCACTAAAGGAATGACGAAAGTCTGGGGGAGAGATCTGTGAAGAAAGGGGTAGATGGACATTATGTATCTTTGGTAGCTCGTCCTGGTCGTTGATAGTAATGCCAATATAATTTGTGTCTTGCGCAAGTGGATATTGTGCATGCTGCGACGGTGGCCTGAGTGGCGGTAGAGGTGCGTACATGTCATTGTCATGAGATGGTAAGGAATCCATCGTTAATTGAAAATAAAGAAAAGTTGAATCTTCCCAACCAAAGGGATTATAGTAAGCGGGATGAAAGAGCTCAGGCCAATATAATGTGTATATATATAATATTTTTATGTGTGTGTGTATAGTGTGTGAGTGTGTTTATATATGTGATTTGTATATATATATTGTATATTGTATGTATGTGTATATAGTGTGTATTAAAAAAAAAAAAAAAAAAAAAGAGGGAGCGGAAGGCAGTTAAATAATCTGGTTAGATTTTTCAAAAAAGAGGCTAAAAGTAAAATGGGAGACAACAAGTCTATCCAACTGTTTGTTCTCTTGCTCTCTTGTTCTGTACTTCTTCCCTTTATTCTTCTCTATGTGTCTTTTTGTTCCTTTTTGCTTTATAAGCCCATACACTTTAAGACTTTTTTTTAGGCTTTGGGATATATATATATATATTGTATATATATAAAAGGGAAAGGCCCTACTGTGGCTGATATAATATCCTCTCTGTCTGCCTGTCTGTCTACCCTTCTTTTATTTTATTTTATTAAGCCTTTATTCAAGCCAACTCACCTGCCCTGTGACGGTTACCAATCGGAGCCCATTGTTCTTGCACAGCATTGTTTTATATATATAAACTTTCATTAGAGTGTAGTGTATAAATTGTGGGGTCCAATATTGCTATTATTATTGATCCATTTAAACGCAATAAACGCAATAAACGCAATAAACGCAATAAACATAATGCATACATGCATGTAAAAATAAAAGTAAAAATAAAAAAAACGCAAATATAGACATAAAAAGAAATTGTATTAAAAAAATAAAAAAAATAAAGTAATAAATATATATATATATATATATAGCTAATAACAATAAAGTATAAGACCTTTTGTTACTTGTTCATCTATTTAGTTATAAAAGAAATAAAAAATAAAATGGTTCAAATATTTGAAACAAGATTCCCTAATAATTATTTATTTATATTGTGTATTGATGATGTTCATGCACATCTTAACCAAAGATCGGTCCCTTATTATTGTTAGTATCGGAGCTTACGGTCAATTCAAATATCCAAAACTATCAGCCACTGAGACCAAAATATAAATATAAATATATATATATATATATATATAGAAAAGTAAAAGAAAAGCAGGATCGAGTAATAAGCAAGTCCAAAGAGAAGAGAGAGGGGCCGAAATTTTATTTAATCGCTCTTTTTATATACATACATATATAGAGATAGAGAGATAGAGAAGCAAATGTCAAGCATAACGTTTGAAATTGGTGTTGCACCTCGATCGGCTGCCAGAGACACGACTGGAAGAATATACATTGCACTTGAATCTATGCAAAAGGCTCAATTGGCTACCGGAGATCTGATCATCCTCAAACATGTTCAGGATTCCTCAAAGGCAAGTGGATTTATAAAAGCATAAAACAAAAACAAAAACAAAAACAAAATTATTATTATTACATTGTCATAAAACTTTCTTTCTTTCTTTTATTATTCTACTTTTGCCATTAACAGACTACAATTGGAATCGCATGGCCAAGCATGGCACTTGCGCGACATGGTAAATATTAGTTTTGTCCAACCCCACCAAACTAGACTAAGCTAAGCTAAGCTAAACAAAACAAAACAAAAAAAGTTGTTCAGATTAGCGCAGTAGCTAGAATGAGTGGGCCGTATGGACTCGGAGACGCTGTGACAATAGAAAAACTGGATGAACCAGCAATTGTGGCTAGCCATGTCACCTTAACTCCCATGACCCAGTCAAACTACCCGATCGATGCTGCCTTGACTGCTTATGTCAAAGAATCAATAAGTAAGATTATATATATCTTTTTTATATATATATATATATATATATGGTATAATTGTGGGGTAAAGACAAAGACAAAGAAGAAGAAGAAGAAGAAGAAGAAGAAGAAAATTATTTGATACTTGATATATATAAAATATGTATATATATATATGTATAAATATATGATACATGACTTTCTTTTGTTCTTTTGTCATTGTCATTGTCATTGGTCTTCTGACCTTATTATTATTTTTTGGTTGATTGATTGATTTTAATGGTTCGATAATATTTTTTGATATGTATATTATTATTATTATTATGTTTGAGTGTAGATAATAGCTATGTGAGAATGAACCATTCAGTGGAACTCTCTTACTTTGGAAAACAAAGGAGATTTAGTGTGTGCAATTTGCGCGGCCCTACGGAGAATGTGCCTGGACTTCTGTACAAGGTCACACGCGACACAAACGTCTCGTTGCAATCGATCTCTCAACCTGCTGCAGCCACAACAAAGAACAATGTGATGATGGCATATGATAAAATCGGTGGTCTTGGTGATCAGATCAAGATGATACGTGAAATGGTCGAGTTACCCTTACAGAACCCTCAAGTATTCCTACGATATGGTAATTTTAAAGATTTTTATTTTTATTTTTATTTTTATTTATATTTATATATATATATGAATCAGGGCTTAAACCTCCTCGGGGTGTATTACTCTATGGACCTCCGGGAACAGGAAAGACCCTGATTGCTCGTGCAGTTGCTCAAGAAGCAGGTGCGCATGCCATTGTTATAAACGGTCCCGAAATTGTGAGTAAATTCTATGGAGAAACCGAACAAAAGGTAAAAAATATATATAAAAAAAATTCAAATTGTAACGACGCAATTTGAATAACAAAGAAGAGAAAATCAATCAACGAAACTCAAAATTAAATTCTTATTATTTAGTTGCGGGATATTTTTGCAGAGGCAGAAGAACATGCTCCCACGGTGATATTTATTGATGAAATAGATGCTCTCTGTCCAAAACGAGATGAGGTAAGGATCATAATGGAATCAAAACAACAACAATAATAGCAATGTCAAAGTCAAAAACCTACTCTTCTTCTTCTTCTTTATTTAATAAAGAAATATTGGACTTTTTTTTTTTTTTCTGGCTTTATTATATTAATTATTAATCTTTCTATTGTCTTTTTTTTTTTTAAAAAAAAAAAATAAAAAAATAAAAAATTAAATGATTAGGCACCAAGTGAACTGGAGAAACGTGTTGTCACAACCTTACTGACCTTGATGGACGGTGCGTCCGAGTCTGGCCATCAGCACTCTAGTAAGGTCGTCGTCATTGGTGCTACAAATCGTCCTAATGCTTTGGATGAGGCGCTTCGTCGACCTGGAAGATTTGATCGTGAGGTTGAAATTGGTAAGCTTTTTTTTTTTAAAAAAAATAAAATAAAATACATATTGACATTTATTATTTACTTATTAGGTATCCCAAACTCAGTGGGACGATTATCTATTCTATCCACCCTAATCAAGTCAACTCCTCATTCACTTTCTCAACAAGATCTTGAGATCCTGGCAGGGAAATCGCATGGATATGTTGGTGCTGATTTGGCAGCAGTTTGTCGAGAAGCCGGTCTGAAATGTATCAAACGATGTGCCCAAGCAAATAAACAAGGTATCAATAATAGTATTTTATTCTTCTTCTTCTTCTTCTTCTTCTTACTCTTTCTTTTATATTACAGGCCATCTAGATGTTCCCTTGTGCGTCAATATGCAAGACATGCAAGAAGCAATGGGTGAAATTAGACCGAGTGCAATGAGAGAGGTACTTGGATACAAGTTAGATAGAGAGAGAGAGAGAGTGCGTGTGGGTTAATGGATATATCCATTTGTGTATATTTGTGTTTGTAACTGATCGGATAACAAAAAAAGAAAAAAGAAAAACTAAACAAATATGCGAAACCTTCTTCTTCTTTCTTTTTTTTATATATGGCTTTTACTTTATTTGCAGATTTTATTAGAAGTGCCCAAGGTTTATTGGTCGGATGTGGGAGGACAAGCTGATATTAAACAACGGCTAAAGGAATCTGTGGAATGGCCACTAGAGGTAAAGAAAAAAAAAAGGAATATGTTTTTGAAATAATACAATGATATGATATGGTATTGGCTCTAAATCATGATAAAATTTGCTGAAACTATTTCCATTAAAAATAAAGCATCCAGAGGCATTTGAACGACTCGGAATCCGCCCTCCAAAGGGTATTCTTCTCTATGGTCCTCCTGGATGTAGTAAAACACTTATGGCAAAGGCACTTGCTACAGAAGCAGGCTCAAATTTTATTGCTGTCAAGGGTCCCGAGGTAAGAACTTGCTTTCAAAAAAAAAAAACATATATACACACACACACAGAGGCAGCTTTAAAGATTATTCATAATAATGATAAGAATTATAAAAGAGCTTTAAAATTAACCCTTTCTTTAATTTAAAATCATTAGTTGTTTAGTAAATGGGTTGGAGAATCTGAAAAGGCTGTCCGAGAAGTGTTTAGGAAAGCGCGCGCTGCCTCGCCTTCGATTATCTTTTTTGTGAGTTGTGAATAATATAATATAATATATTCGATTTGCTTTTGTTTGATGTGGTGTAACAAATGGTCTGCATTTTATGCATTCATATATTTGTGTATTTATTTATCTTTAGGATGAAATTGACGCCTTGACTGTGAAACGTGGATCAGAAGGAGGAACTTCTGTGGCGGACAGAGTGTTATCTCAATTACTCAATGAACTTGATGGCGTCGAGGCTCTTGTGAATGTCACGGTAGTAGCTGCCACAAATCGTCCGGATATAATTGTAAGCTGTTGCTATCATAAAGTCTGACAAAAAAAAATGAACGGAACTGAAGTAATTGATTGATTGATTGATCGATTGACTCAAAAAAATAAAAATAAAAAGGACGATGCCCTATTGCGGCCTGGTCGCATTGATCGGATACTCTATGTAGGACCGCCTGATATCGATTCCCGCAAAGAGATCTTTAGGATACAAATGAAGAAGATGTCATGTGATACGGATGTAGACTTGGAGGAACTAGCACTAAAGGTAATATAATAGATATAGATATAGATATATGTTTTTGTGTTTTGTGCTTTTCTTTTGGTTGGTTGGTTGGTTGGTTGGGGCTACACATACGTACAGGTCAAATATTATCTAATGATCTGTTTTACTTTAGAGTGAAGGATGTTCTGGAGCAGAGGCTGTGTCAATATGTCAAGAGGCTGCATTGTTTGCCATGGAAGAGGATCTATCGATTGACAAGGTAAGAAAATCAATAATATAAAATTTGAATTAAAGGATCTTGACATTAAAGAAGAATAAGAATAAGAATTGTGAAACTTTCATATATCCATATGTAATATTTAATCAATTAACCTTTTCTATTTTCTTTCTTTCTTTCTTTTTTTGGGCTGTTTCATAATAGATTAAGAGACGACATTTCACAAAGGCCCTAGAGTCATTCACAAGGAGAATTACACCAGAGATGATCCAGTTTTATGCTGATTTCCAAGCACGTTCTGGACTTCAGAGCGTCTAAGAGTCATCTTGATTACAATACAGATTGGTTTATTGATTAATTGATTGAAACTTGATTGTAACTAGATAAACAAAATAAAAATAAAAATAAAAAATTCAAGGTTCAAGGTTCAAGGTTCAAAATTGCCTAAATTTTTTTTTTGTGAAATGCGTTGATAATTCTTTATAGAGTAATAAAAACAAACAAAAAAAGACAATATTATAAAAGCCCTTACTACCACTACCAATAACCTTGTTAAGAGGTACAAAGGCAATGCAACCCCGGGTTTGAATATTCTCATATTTAATATATATACACCTTATATTATATTATATATTCATTCATTCAATATACACAAACAAAGCTTCTTTATTTTTTTTTGCAAGATCTCATTACAAATCGATTGAAACAGATCAAAAAAGGATCAGAAATTCTTGATAATTTTTTTTTTCTTTTTTTTCTTTTTTTTTTTTGGTTTAATCGGCTCTGCTGATGGCTCTGCTTCCAGCACCAGTACCTTCGCGATAAAGCTGTTGGTCCCACAAGTAAACACCAAGTCCTGAAAATCAACGAAAGAAAATTCAGTCAGTCAAAGTTTTTTTTTTTTTTTTTTTTTTAATTTGTGTGTGTAAAAAAAAAAAAAAAAGGATAAACGTTTGATGACTCAAAACACTTTGACCCGTTTTTTTTTTTTTTTTTTTTTTTTTTTTCGTAGTTTGAGTTCTTACCTTCACCAACACGGTTGAGTTGAGTAACCATATCAGCCAAAGTCTTGATAGCCTCAACTTGTTCACCCAAGTATGTAGCCTCAACAAAGTCACACATCTGTGGGTCACCGTTGCTATCACCAATCTTGTGAAGGTTAAGCAGGGACTTGTTGACATCCTTCTCCAACTGAAGAGCAGATTCAATAGCGTTCTTGGCAGACTTCCATTCAGTCTATTTTTTTATTTTTATAAATTGTAAGTTATTATTGTCAATAAGAAAAAAAAATTATTAATAATATATATATATATTACCTCGGGAGCTTGCAAGGATCTCAAGATAACCTTTCCACCACGAGTGTTTTGATAATCTATAACAAATAAATTTATAGGTTAATAGTTGTCATGGCAATAAATAAATAAAAAAATTAAATACGCGAGAATATATAAATATATAAATATGTATGTATGTATGTAATCATATATATGTAAGCATATAAAGAATTGCTTGCTTGCTTGTGTGTTTGTTTGTTTGTTTTATGTAAGAGCCTTCTTTTATATATATATATATATATATATATATATTTACCAATCAAATGCTGGGCATGCTTGCGCTCTTCCTCTGCTTGTTCACGGAAATATTTCTCAAGACCTTTTTGATTAAAGATAAATATTAGCAACATGAATCGTGAGAATATATAAATTTAGTATTATTACTATCATCATCACAACTATTTGGCTATCAATTTATCTATTGATTTTCTATTAATTTTTTTACCTGGCAAGGCAACAGAGGAGTGTTGAGCCCAGGAGGCCATGGACAAATAGACCTGGGAAGCCTGCAACTCAGTGTTGATTTGCTGGTTGATAGCCTCCTCAGAGGTAGTAGCGAAGTTCTGCTTGGCGAGAGACATGATTATATAGAAAGATAGAGTATGCTTTTTTTTTTTCTTTTTAACAAAGAGAAAAGATGTAGAGGAAAATAAAATAAAATAAAATAAAAAAAGGTGGTGTGTTTTAGGCTGGCTTTTTATAGACAAAATTTTATGCAAATAAAATAAAAAATAAAAAATAAAAAAAGGAAATCCCAAAATTATGTATGTGTATATGTGTGTGTGAATAAAAAAAATAAAAAATAAAAAAAATTATGTAGTTTGTGAAATGTTAATTTATGAAAGTTGTAAATTTTATAATCGTGATTTTTGAAGTGTAAATGTTGTTTCAACTTTTCTTTTCTTTTTTTTTTCTTTTTTAAAAAAAAATAAAAAATAAAAAGGACTGGTGCAAGTCGGATGTTTAAAAATTAAAATATAATAAAATAAAATAAAAGTTGAAATAAAGTTCCGCTTTATTCTCAGACAAAAGACTAATTGAAGAAAGAAAGAAAAAAAAAAAAAAGTAGCTCTTTGTGTCCCCCCTTTATAATTTTATAATTTTTTATTTTTATTTAAGAAAATAAAGATAAAAATGGCTCTAAAAGAAGCAATAGAGAGCTGATGCTAGACTGTGAAATAAAAATCAAAATAAAATAAAAAAAAGAGAGAGTCCAAAAGAAGTAAAATAAAAATAAAATAAACTAATTTTTTATATATATATATATATAGGTATAAAAAGGGGAAGAGGAAGGATATTGGATGACTCGCGTTGTACTGACATGTTTTCTTTTCTTTTCTTTTTTTTTTTATATATATATACGTTTCAATCTTTCTTGTTTTAAAATGCCGACAATTCACCATAATATTTTATCTCCTAATGAGTGCCTCGTTTTTTTTTTTTTTTAAATATTTTATTTGATTTTATTAAACACAAAAAAGCAATAACCTTTTTACTAGTTATTTATTTATTTTTGTTTTTTTGCTCCCTTTCCTTTTTTTTTCTTTTCTTTTGTGTTTCTTCAAATGGGCTTAAGAACCAAGCTACTCTGGCCTCTGATAGCATGCCTTACATACCTCTTTTTCTTTACAGTCCGGCTCAAACCAGTTACGGATAACTCGTCAGAACTAGACCCAGCAACAATAGCAGCAATAGAAGAAGAAGAACTACGACTACTACAGCAGAATGAACAAGATTCGTCCTGGCAATGGCAATACATTCCTCACCATCAACCAGATCTCGAACAATTGACGGCAAACGAACCTCTCGAGACCCTCGTTGTTCCTGAAGTAACCTATCGTCCCGACGAAAAATTCATTACCTTTCTTACCCACAGTGGTTTCCAGAATCAACTTATACAAGGCAAGTCAATAAAATTCAAATTCAAATTCAACATCAAAAAATCAAAGATCAAAAATCAATAATTGAATTCAAGTGAACAATTAATGAATACAATTAAAATTAGAGTACAATATATAGATATATAGATATAGATGTGGGTGTATAAATATTATTCTTAGTATTAGTATTATTATTATGTTTACAAACAAATACAATGAAAAAGACTAGAACACATATATAAATATGTGTATACATTCAGTGTAACAAAGAAGAAAAAAAAAGGCTTACATGTAAAAATAAATAAATTATTATTTAGTCGAGAATGGTATACTTTTGGCATGGTATCTCAACCGTACTCTTCTGCTTCCCAATGCGTTTCTCGGTGAAGCGTTTGGCTGGAGCAATTTCGATAAGCTGCATCTCGAACACATGCTTCGGGACTCCAGCACCACAGAGACATGCAGTGAGTTTGCCGAAGGTCTTGTTGAATGGGGAATCGAGTGCCCACCTCGCGGACGATATGCCGTCTTGCCTTTTGACGAAATCTTTGACCTTTCATGGGCTAAAAAGCACGTGCGGATATTACCCCGTCAGAGATCTGACTTTGGGTGGCTGGAAAAAGAATTTGATATCCAAAGAGACAACGTACCTAATCATGTCAATGGATCGTACAGAGATGGTGATATTTTGTTCTTTAAAGGTAATAAAAATATAAATATATTTTTGGTTTTTTTTCTTTAAAATAGAAATTTATGTATATATAATTATAATTTACACATATTATTACTCTATATGTAACCTATAAATGAAAGCATAAATATATATATATATATATATATATATATATATATATTCCGAGTGGCTGGGTGGAAGTGGAGGGAAATGAGGGTTGGTTTTCTTTATATATACATAAATAAAATCCTTTGTTAGTTTAATTTGAACAAAACACTAATAATAATTTGTGGTTCTAGGCGAGACCCGTTACGACTGGCGTATCTTTGACACACCTCGAAAGAATCACAGACTTGGGAAGTACGCCGACAGTCTAGACATTTACCAGCTCAGACAACGTCCTGAAAGACTCTTGCATTTCTCAAGCTTGTTTGGAACCGGCAAGCTTCCGATCAGACGCCCTGAGCACTATGAGTTTTTGCGAAACCTTCAACGTAGTATAATATATCGGCATCCGGCTGTGTTGACCATGGCTGAAAAGATTGTAGACCGACTTGGAGGACATGGTAACTTTATCGGACTACATGTGAGGCAAGTACGAAATAGGATATAACTTTTCAAGAGATTAAGATCAATGTGTGCATTACATATGTCTTGGCAAAAAAAAAACAATTAAAAAATTTAAAATTAAATTAAAAATACAATAAATATTGGTCTAGTTTTTAGTTCAATATACATTTTTTTTAACACAAATTATTGGATAGATCAGGAGATGGCTGGTTTATTAAAGCATTGCCAGAGAATGTGAATAATATCATCTCTCAGATCCAACGGGCCGTAGAGTCTCATCAGCCTGGAAGCTTAAGAGCCATTCTGCGGCCCACAGAGCAACGCCTGACGCTCGATCAATGTCGGCATCTGGCAGCTACCCAGAACGTCACTCTGGTCTACATGGCAACCGATGCTCGTTCTCCTCAATTGAATCCTGCTTTCGATCCCGTTTGGAATCTATTTCCGTGCACATTTACGCTTGACGATATTTTTAGTCCCCTGAGCTCCGATTGGGACACGCTCGAGAGAGTGGTGGACAGGAATTCGGGCGCTAGTCTGCGCAAATTTCTTGTTCCGCTAGTTGATGCCACAGTGGCGAGTCGAGGGTGGTTCTTTATTGGCAGTAAGGGATCAACCTTTTCGGGATACATTTATCGACTCCACGATGTGTTCTGGTCCAATGAGAAGAGACAGCAATTAGGGCTCGAGGAAGTATAACCCCTTGTTTTTCTTTATTTCTATTTTGAAACGGTTCAAAGCAAAGAACACCACACCACACCACACCACACCACACTACATAATATCTTACACCTTACATATCACACACACACACACACACAATTCATGCACTCAAAAGAAACGAAACGAAACAACGCCCTCTTCATTCATTTCATTTCATTTCATTTCATCTTATTTTTTTCTTCTCCTATTCCTTACCCAACATTTATTTTTTATTTTTTATATTTTACTATTGACATTATTATTTTTCCTTCATCCCAGCCTTTGTACTGTACCACCATCACTACATCTATTGACCTCCACCACAATTAACTCCTCTAATACTTCTTTCTTTTACTTCGATCGATTGTATTTCTTTTTTTTCTCTCTCTCTCTATATATATATTTTTCTCAACACAACAACAACAAAAAAAGTTGCGCTCCTGGTGAGCAAATTCTTTTTTTATTTTATTTTATTTTATTTTAGTATTGCTTTGCTTTGCTTTGCTTTGCTTTGCTTTGCTTTTGATGTACATAATCATAATAAATATTCCCATCAAAAAAGTAACAGAAACTGAAAATGTTCTTTATGTTTTATATATGTATATAAAGAAGAAGAAGAAAAATAGGAGGAGGAAAATATAAAGTTAATGAAATGGAAAATATACACATAATGCCTATCAAATAAAAATTCAATATTATCAAGTAAATAAAAACGCACAGTCATTGTATATATTTATATCTATCTTTTCTACACACCTCCTCATTCTCTTTGGTTACACCATGAGACAAGAACCATGGTTGGTTTTCATTTCTCTGATATTTATTATTTATATAAAGGGTAACTCCTACCCTTCTCTCCCCCTCACCCCAATAACAATAATATTAATAATGTAAAATGGCTTGGGTGTCTTGCTTGACAATGTTCTTGTTGAAAAATAAAGAAATAAAATTAAGAATATAGAATATGATATGATATGCAAACAAGAAAGCTAGTAAAAGCATAATTGCCAACAATCTACACACAGACACAAAAAAAAAAGTTTTTCTTTTCTTTTATTACGGTATTTAAAGGAAATTGCTGTAGATCTCTCAAACCTTTTATTAGTGTATAATACATTCTTGGAAAGAGAGAGAAAAGAAAGTTTTTTTTTTTTTTATTAATTGAATTGCTTTGATCATTTTGCTTTGCTTTTTTACTTGATTTAGGATAGATAACCTGTAGACTTTATGAAATGGTCTTTTATTATTAGTATAGTGTGTGTGTGTGTGTGGCTGTATAGTCAGTCGGTCAAGGTTCTAATGATTATATTTGGTCAATGGGTTTTTGTCAAGAATAGACCAATGTATATGTATTACAGGTGGAATTCTTATTTTCTCTATATCTTGTGAGGTTCATTTATAGTATTTCAAAATCAAGACCATGTAATTTGGGGTTGGAATGTCCTGTACAGATAAATGTGAATTTTGGATAGGTTGCATGGAACATATTTACATATGCGCATATATGAATACAAACGTCTATTTAATTCCCATACTTACACGTAAAGAAGCCAGAATATTATCTCTTATATGAAATGTAATGAACCGGATTGTTGGCTTTGAGAGATTTCTGTGAATTTATTGTGACATCAAACTAGCTTGGTATGTGGGTCTGTTTCCTTTAGATAAAAAAAAAAGAAAAAACTGATCGGAGCACTTGCCATTAAAGTCAATCAAAACCTCGTGTTAATGTATATATATATATATATATATATATAGATCTGTATTATCTCTTAGCACTGACATACTCACTCACTCGCTTTAGGCTACTCTCCTCCCCCAACCTCCCTTTTTGCTCTCTCTCTCTCTCTTTTTTTTTTTGACTATTCACACCTCCGCGCGCGATTACAATGTCCAAATTTAACCTCATGCGCAATTCATTCCATCACCCCCCATTCCCTTCTCTCTCTCTCTCTCTCTCTCTCTCTCTTGCTTTTTCACTCTTTTTGATCTCACTCGCTCACATAATCGCTTGCTCAATTCGCCCTTTTTTTTTTATCTCTTGCCTTATTTTCTTACTTTAATTTCTCTCTCACACAAAATCAATATATACACACTGTATTATATAATTCTCTTCATCTGAATCTTATCACCTAACCCCCCCCAAAAAAAAAGGCCCCTCTCACCCACTCACACACGCACTCATTTGCTTTCACCCTCCCCCTGAGGATGTATTTGACTGCATTACATTTAAATAGCTTCTCTCATTGAATTCTATTGATTGTTTCTTTCTCTCTTTCTCTCTTTCTTTCTTTCCTTTCCAAAAAAAGAAATAGTCGATCTCTTCAAAGGTCTCTATTACTTTCTATACCTCTTCCTTTCTTTCTTAAAAACTATATATCTATCTTCTTGGTCTGTTACGGCGTGCCGTTCTTTATCATTCAAAGCAAGAAGAAAATAAAAAGAAAAAGAAAAAGAATCATTTATCCACACACACACACACACACAGAAATCCCTATCTTCTTCTTCTTCTTCTTTTTTTTTTGAGGATTTTGAATGCTATCTGTATATCCTGGAATGAGCCTGGAAACTAACTTCCCCTCTTCAACGAATGGCCTCAATCGCGGACGAACCCTAACCAATCAGCACGGGTACCAATCCATCTCCGATACTTACCCTTTTTCAATTACTCCCGACTATGGGCTTGGCGCTGCTCTTCCTGTCCAGACCATGAACACCAGCACCAGTACCAGCACCAGCACCAGCACCAGTACCAACACCAACACCAACACCAACACCAACATTAATATTAATATCAATAATAACATTATCCTTGACACCAGTAATATTAATATTAATAGCAATAGCAATAATACCGCTGCTAATACTGCTATGGCGACAGCAACGACGACGACGACTACCATTAATAACATTCAAAATAAGAATAAGAATAAGAACAAGAACAAGAGCAAGCAAAGCTATAGCCACAGACACAGACACAGCCATAGCCATAACAATAATAGTAATAGTAATAGTAATAGCCTGGCCAACGTTTCTCTTCTTGGAAACATTCAAAACAATGACTCATTTGGCACAAACATGCTGTCGGCTGGCCCGATTCTCTCTTCTCGAGTATTCATGGACTATCAGTCACAAAGCTCACCACGCACACCGATTTCAGGGGCTACTTCAGCATCAGCATCAGCATCGGCAGCATCGGCAGCAGCAGCAGCAGCAGCAGCAGCAGCAGCAGCAGCATCATCTCCATTTTCAACTCAATATTTTCCTCTACAACCTTACACCTTAAACACTCATCAAAATAGCAGACTCACCTCATCGTCCTCATCGTCCTCTATATCCACGCCTTCCTCAGTTCCATTATCAGTCGATGAGCAGTTATTCCAGCAATGGTCATATCCCAGCCCAGACTCTAACATTAATCACAACATTAACCACAATATCAACCACAACCATAACATCAACCATAACATTAACTTTAACCTCAACCACAGCCACAGCCACAGCATCAACCTCGCCACCGCCACCACCACCACCAACAACAGCAGCAGCAATACTACTAATAATAATAATAAAATTGACAGCTCAAAAAATACATCAGCTCATTTGATGATGATGTCTCCTCACACAAAAGACCCAATTTCTTCCGTCGACTGCTCACCGTCATATGACACTACACATCTGGCTGGACCAGGCGTTATAGGCGTACCTTATCACAGAAGTGACATGTATCATCCCTACACCCACTACAATGGTAATAATATAACACCAATGTCAATGTCAATGTCAATTTCAATAGCTATAGCTATAGCTATAGCAATACCAATACCAATACCAATAGTATATTACATTCAATATATAACTACTTATTTATTTATTTACTCAAACGTAACACTAACCACACTAAATTCATTAACAAAAATAAAAATAAAAAATAGAAACCTTGAGCTCACCCATGCCGTCGTCTGGGGTCATGGCCTATGCACAAAAGAAGGCCGGAATGACCTCCTCGGCGTTCGTTTCACATATGCAACAACAGCAGAGACACACCTCTGTGGCTTCTTCATCTTCTTCATCTTACAAGTGTCAGCAAAGACGGTCTTCGGTTGCTACCTCTAGATCCACATCACCCTCAACTGTTTCTGAAAGTAACTGTGGCCAGTCCAATCAAACCCCACAGCCTCACCTACAGCAGGCTTTCAATACTCCAATCAAGGGAACCGGTTCACAATCCAAACGTTACAAATGTAACTATTGTTCAAAGGAATTCACACGTCCAAGTTCACTTATAACCCATACATACAGCCACACTGGAGAGGTTTGTTTTTTATTTTTATTTTTATTATTATTATTATTATAAACATAGAACATAAAGCGCAAAATGCAAAATGCAAAATGCAAAATGCAAAATGCAAAACGCAAAGACACAAGACACAAATATTTACTTTTTTTTTTTTTTTGGTATCTTGCTTTTATTTTAGAAACCATTCAAGTGTCCTATCGAAGGCTGTGGTCGACACTTTTCAGTGGTCAGCAATCTTCGTCGACACGCAAAAATACACTCTGCAAATACCCTTTCGACTTCTTCATCTTCTTCATCATGTTCTTCCTAGACACCAAAAAAAAATATATATATATATATATTTCTCTTTGCATGCAATGTAGACTTATTTCTTTCTTTCTTTCTTATATATTCAGCACTCTACACACATTTATATGTATGTATTTATGTATATATGTAATATGTATATGTATTGACCATTCGTACATCTTGTCTCACCTCTCATTACCCTTTTCTATCTCTCTCTCTCTCTCTCTCAGATCCCACACACTTCTCAATCTCCCCTTTTTCTCTCTCTCTCTCCTTACCATTCGTTTTTTTTTTCTCTTTACTTTACTTTACTTTCTTATTTATCTCTTTTGGTTCGAAATCAATAACATTCCTATACTTTGTACACTGCATTCAAAAAGGGGCTAAGGGATTTTGTGGCAGAGGGAAACTGATTGATGTCAAGACGCGTGGTCAAAATGGGTCAAATTGGCATGTAAGGAACACGGCAGGCGTTTAGATATTTATATTTATATATATATATATATATGTATATGTATGTATGTATGTATGTGTATATAGTCTTTAAATAATTTCTATTTTGTGTGTGTGTGCGTGCGTGCGCAATTGTGGCACAATAACGGGTTACCGTTGTATTGTGCAACACATACATACATACACACCTGCAGCTGATGCCAAAACATTTATATATATATAGAAGCTTTTTGTTTGTTTGTTTGTTTGTTTGTTTGTTTGTTTGATTGGTTTGGTTTGGTTTGGTTTGGTTTTTATCAATGTTGTTGAGTAAAAAAAAAAAGGGCAGATAGACATGGATACAAATGTAGATTTAAAGCCATGGTAATAATAATATAATGTAATGGACCAAATGAGAGAAATATATATAAAATACACTGTGTAGAATGTGGAGGGAGAAAATATAGATAAAGTGAGTGAGTAAATGAGTGAGTATGGAACTATAAGCAAAAAGTGAAAATGGAAACAAAAATCAAGGGGGGGGGGGGGGGGGAAGTATTTGATTTTATTTTGGGGGGGGGGGGGGGGGGAGTGTATGATAATTAACAAGCTTGGGACTGGTTGCCACAATAATTAACCTGTCTATTTCTTCACTTTACTTCACTTTACTTTGCTACAAATTGCCTTGTTTGTAAGTCTAACCGAAACTTCTTGTGATACTTTTCTTTATTTCTTTTTTTGGTTACTTGTTTCAATTTAAGTTTTTTTTTTTTTCTTAATTATTACTTGTTGTTGTTTTTTGTTGTTGTTATGGTGATTCTACCATTGTGTTTGATATCCTATATAGTCCATTGATATCATTCATCTTTTAGATAATCTTTTGGGAGCTTATATATATATATATATATATAATTGTGTGTATATATGTTATTCTAGGAGTAAAGAGATCGAGAAAAAGAAAAAAAAAATACTAATAAAGCGCTCAATTTGTTGTTATCATTGCTGCTTACTCTTTGTAACCAATTCAAAAACCTCGTTTCTTTCTTATAACAAATTTAATATTAGAATTAAATTCAACAAGTTATTATATAGACTCGATCAGTTTACATTGAAACATGTCGTGTGAGTTCTGGTCCGAGATTCTGGACATAATGTAGATTTTTCACACACACACACAGAGAGAGAAATATCTTTTATGTTGTGCAAAATAATAATACTAATAATAATGATTTACGGAAATTATATAAATGTCAATCAAACTGTGATTTTTTTGTATTCTACAGAGGTCAAAAGTAAATGTAATGTCAAGAATTACCAAAAAAAGAAAGAAATGGTAAAGCAGGAAAGTCTTGGATTTTTTTTTTTTATTTTTATTTTTTTATTGATTTTTTTTTTTGGATATTCAGTAATAGCTGTTACCTCATTTATATTTTATCTATAGAATGAATAGGAATATAATAGAATAGAATATTATCAAACAAGCAAACAATTTTTTTTGAGGAGCTGACACTCTTTAAAGCGCTATCAGATGTTACAACGGTTCATATTCTTTGTGTATGGGGTGTGCGTACATAAAACAGTAAAAACTATTAATGTTATATAAATATAATATGATTACAAGATAAAGAACAAAAGAAATGAGGAGAGGGGGGGGGGGAAGTGGAGATCAAAGGTTTTCTTGGGGTTTACTACCCTACAAAAAAGAAAGAATATCCATCTTGTTTAAAACCCCGTGTATAACATTGTATGTTGTTTTGCGTTTTCTGATATTAAAATAAAGAAAAATCGTGCTTTTTAGCAATGGAGGTATCACAAGAAAAAAGAAAACTTTCGCAATATACTATAGACAGAGAAATGGAAAAAAAAAAAAAACTTGAATTGAACTTGATTTCCATAGATACATATATATATATATATTACAGATTGTTATGTTTTGAAAAAACTGAATATTAATATTATACACCAATTGATTCTTTTTTTTTTAAAAAAAAAAAGTTAGACTATTAATGTTCTCTATTTTAGATATATTTTGTTCTTTTAACATACTGATAACAAAGGATTATTCTTTACTATTGAAACCATGAGACCTTTAGCTTAGTATTATGTATATATACAATCTGTGCTTGTGCGTTTGTGTCTCGATATTTAACACAAATTTTCTTGGCAAACAATGTATTTTAAGTAATCTTTTCAAGTAATTACTCAGGGACTATATAAAAGAATAAAATTAAAGGAGACTATTGCTTTAAGTACATATAGATGTATATAACTAGCCTACAAAAGTATAGAATTTAATAGAGCCTGCTATTTAATGTATGTGGGCGTACATGTATGTGTATATTGAATATAATATCTTAGACGCTAATTACAATAAGCGTATAGGTTTTTTTTTGATAGCAATATCATAAGAGTTGTTAAAGAATGCTGTTCTAACGTATGTGCGTATGTGTGTATGCACAGTTGATGTTAATCGAACAATAGGTATCCTGTTTACACAATCTAGAAAGCATATTGGGCAGACCAAGAAAAATAAAATAAAGTCACAACCGAATACCTATTTCTTTTACCTCTCCCCCAAAATCCAATCCGATCCAACCCAACTCAACTTCTGATATGTTTGAGCTTATAAGATATAATATAATATATAATCATTCCATGAATGAATGAATGAATGAATGAATCGATTTTATTTTACTTGAATTCATTTTCGAGCGAAAATACTCTAGTTTAATATTTTGTACATTATGATTGTATTACTAAAGGAACGACAAGGTCAATTGCGAGAAATGCATCTTGAACAATAGTACCGTTATTAATCTTATCTGTTAAATATTTATGTACGGATGTGCATGTTTATTGTAAGCGAAACATTCAATACAAAGTTACGATATTTCTACGCAGTATATAGAAAGCGTTTCTAATTTAATTTGGAAAAACAAAACAAAACAAAACAAAACAAGCAAGCAAAAAACATATGAGGCATTTCTTTTTTAGTCTACACTTTATTCAAATCAAATGTATACAATTGTACAGAGCGTTTACTAGAGTACCAAGGTTGTAAGTAAAAATATATATATAAAAAAAAGTTTTGTAATTGATGAATACAGGTTGGTTTGAAAATTACATGCTTTTTATCGTAAGATATTAAAATAGGAATACTAAATAGATATATAACATTTACAGCACAAGGTAATATAATGTAGCATAGTATAGCAAATTATATCTATTGGATAACAAGGCGCATAATCTTTTTCTTTCATTCGTTCTTTCGTTCATTCGTTCTCAATACCCCCCATCCTTAATTTTTCATTCTTTTATTTTATTTTAAAAGCAGTTTGCATTACACAAAATAAAGAACCAAAGAAAGCAAAGAAAAAAGAGAAATACTAATACTGAGTAGTACATGTTTCTTGGAGCGTGTACACTTATTGGGGGAGTAAAAGTGTCTATGGCTTTGAGATGATTAAAAATGCAACCAATGTTTTCATATCTCGTCTTCTGTTTTCTATTATATGTAAGTCTACTTGGCTCTAGATCCAGTTCTATCTCTTTATCTCTTTCTTTAAATGTATTTATTTATTTAATTATGTATGTATGTATGTCTTTTGGGGTTGTACGTTTTGTGCGTCTAGACAAATATGGCAAAAATTTGTTCTAAATATTTAGTCGTAGAACGTCCAAGGATTTTTTTTTTTTAAAAAAAAAAGCATTCTGGTTGGACAAAACTAAAAGAAAGAAAAAAGGTCTCTAATTTATTTAATTTTTTTTTTTTTTTTTTTTGGTTTTGTAGAAATATTCTGCAGAATTTATTTTCTTTTTGCAGAAAATTCCTATCATTTTATTTGAACTACTCTTTAAATTTTTTATTTAATTTAATTTGATTTGATTTGATTTAATTTGATTGCTTTATTCTTGGGTTTGATTTTTTATTTGGGGGGGTAAAAGGGGAAGGTAAAGGGGAAGTGGAGTAAAGTAAATTATAGCAGGACATATCGAATGAAAAAGAAAATAAGAATAATAGCAATATTTCTCATTCTTTTTCAGATGTATGTATATAGTAATAATAAATACCGTTTCCTGTTTCTTGTTGTCTTTGTCATGACTGTAATATACTACACAAATATGATAAATGCTTTAATTTAAACCTTATTAAATAACTAGATTAGTCACTACTACTTCTATTATTATTACTGTTATTTTCAGTGTCATTCCTGTCATAATAATAACCTGAGCTTATATAACAATCTCGTTACATATATAAATAGTTAAATAACAAAAAAAGAAACGCTTTCGTTTAACTCGGAGGGATGATCTACAAAGCAGCCAGTACACAATTGCTTATTGAAAGGAGGGAGGGTTTTATCTTTAGGGTGACAGAAGCAAATGTGGGATGTTATTTAATTATAATATAATGTCATGGAGACGGCACCATCTCTTTTTTGAATTCAGACACTCCAACTCTTAAGCAAAACAATATTAGTATTCTTTTGAAAACGCACACATACATACATACATACATACACTCAGAAAATGAGAAAAGAATGGCCACATATGTTGTTTTATATATAGAAACACATGCTGGTAAAACATCAATACTAGGTATGAATTTAAGATCTCCCAATTTACAAATATTTAATGAGAGCGTAATAAAAACAAAAGAGGCAGATCGATTGATCGATCTGCCAGTCAGCCAGCCAGCCAGTCAGTTGATCGGTCTAGGAAGGGTTAACCAAAAAGATATTCGATCTACTTGTACCAAGACTTAAGCCATAGCCCTAACAACACCACAAAATAAATTAACATTAAAGTGGTGAAAACAATTCTCATAACCATTGACCAGCTTATATATCCTGTCCGTTAGTAATCCAGCAAGCGCGATTTTTTTTAAACGTGTATGCTGTGTATCCGCAAATAAATCATAAGAATCAGAAAAGAAAATTGATAGGACGTGTCATAGCAAAAAAAAAGAAGCCTAATGTTAAAAGTAGAGATGAAGTTGACACTATATAGAGTTACATAAAGACAGTCAAGTATACATTATCTTAAATGTAAAGATCTTGTGGTTTATGAGCGCGCGATGGAATAGTGTATTGGCTTTGATTTGTTTATATTTTCTTGCGACCAATAAATGTGCTTATTTCAAATGAATAAATCAATAAAGTCTAATACTTATTCATATCATTATCTTTTAAAAAGACGCAGATAATTATATATGTTGTATTTTATATCCATTTTTCAAGTGCTCTTTTTATTTATCTACTAACCTAACGATAACGATTTATCACAACTTTTTTTCTTTGTTCTCTAAATCATATAATCGGTTTCTAAATATTAACATTTGTGATTACTCTTGACTTATTTATTTTAAAGAAAAGTAATGTATTCATTCAGATTGGTAAAGACAAAAAAATCTATTATTTTTTTTTATACTCAGGAATCACACCCGTTTCTTTCTATGGTTATTGGTGACGAGCTTATTTGTATCATGTTTCCGATAACCCGACCAATCAATAGACCTGCAAATATTTCTTCTTCTTCTTCTTCTTCTTCTTCTTCTTTCTCTTTCTCTGTCTCAGATTCCTTTACTAAAAGCAAAGGAAGGCTGATCTGCAAGGAGTCTAACACGATCAAAGACGGCCTTCAAGCTACTCACGTTAAATATACTATACAGACTCTCTTACTTTCTACTCTTACTTTGCTTCCGTAAAAGATTGTAGATGCTACAAAAGAGCAAGAAGATCCTGAGTTGGAACATAACAGTAAAGCTAGCTGTTCTGAGTATGTAGCAACAATTCAAGACATGTAACAAGATAGAAAGTAAAGGTAATGTACATTTATAGTAGTACACTATTTTTAATAATAATAATAATAAAAAACAAACGTTTTGGTATTTTGGAGTTTTTACGCAAAGCTGAAAAGAATATACTGGAAGTCTAATCCTGACTACCATGCCTCTGCCCTAAAGACAACAAAAACAACTAGAAAGATGAATTTCCACAGGGAACTCTGCTGTAGCCAGTCGCGTGGCCTTCAAAAATTGTTGGTTTTCTTGCATCTGGATGATAAACAATAATACTTTTTTTTTTCTTCTAGATACAATTTTGAAGTCTTATAATCTTTAGAAATAAACCTTGAACCTTTCTTTTAACACTCTTTTCATTACGATATCTCAAATAGGCATATAGAACATCGGTCTCTTTGCCAAAGATTCTAAAAATCTCTTGGCTTTGTTTCAGTAGCTCTTTGGTTGCTGGTGTAACAGTAGGTCTATTTTTTTTTCTTGGGGTAGAATGGTGTCGGCGGGGAAGGAGAAGGGTGGGTACGAATTGAATAAATCTTGAACGGAGTCAATATTTGAAGAAACCAAGAAAGTCCTTTGATATAGCGTTCATGGTTCTCGAGGATACCACCATACTTATATTAGTACATCGATTGGTTATCGTCTTTACCGCGACTGCAATGTCCTTTTCACTTTACCTTCCAAGGCTGAAATTCTTTATATATGAAGAAACATACCCAATTTGTATCCAAAATGAAAAAGAGGCAGCATTTAAGTATGTGACATTGCTTTTTATTTTACTGTTTCGTAGCTAACTATCTGCTGAACATACTTCAGCTGTAGTGGTGTATAAGAACAATATTGGCTATATATATATATATATATATATATACCTCTCGATACTTGTTAAGAAGATTCTTAAAATCTTTTGTTCTGGCCTTAAGCCTTTCGCTTGTCTGGTTTATAGCTTTTAATAAGTAACAGAGACACTTCTTGATAAAGAGAACATACAGTCAACTATTTGCAAAGTCCTCCAGATTAAAATTGGAATCGTCTTCTAATTCTTCAGTGAAGATATACTTCAAAAAACGCATAATTTTGCATTACAAGACCTTGAACTTTCGGTATGAAATGCTAGAGAGCTATTTTGAATCGCAAGTCTTTAAGCGAGAATTATACTTGAAATCTGAGAGCTACTCAATTAACTGAAGACTATATTGCAGAATAGACTTTATCTATAATAGCTTGTGAAATATATCAATCTTTTTTTTTAAAAAAAAAATGGGTTTACCTACAAAACAAAATATAATTTGTCGTTAAATAAAGTTCAACAAGAAATACATTTCACGTTTTTTTTTTATTTCTTAATATCAATGGCAAGAACAGTAACATTAAGTATCACCAAGAGCTGATAACTTTCCATTATGGGAAATAAGAACATCTTCAGCAGTGAGATAACTTTTAATTTATCTAAAGTTAAACACCGCTACTTTAGCTAAAGAAAAGGTCAATTTTCCCAACATTTCGATTTATCTTTTTCTTTGAATAAATTTTGAGAGAATTTTCATCAATAAATTTTATCTTCCTATTAAATTTAATAGGAAGATAAAGTAAAGGAACTCTCTTTTATATTTAGAGTGAATTTAATCGAACTGCTGGGAGGAAAAACTTTAGCTAAACCTTTAAATTTTCTAATATCCTTAACAGAAGCAAGCACCCATTGTCTACTTTAAATTCATGCGTTTTAGTGTATACCTTAGTCGAGACCCGTCTAACTATAGCGAGACTTTTTTTTGTTTTACCTTCCGATATCGATGTTACCAAGCAACATATTCATACTCTCTGTACCATGCCTTCTATCTTCCTTCTTCTTATTAACAAGACGGTTGCTCTGATAGTAGCAATTATGAAGTATTAGATTCCTGTATGTTGAGATTCTCGCTCCCCCTTTTTTTTTTTATCTATTTTCTGTAAAACATTCTTTGTTCTTTTAAAAAATATTAAAAATTAAGCATCGATAAATGTTGAAGCCCCTCTTATCATATATATATATATATATATATATATATATATATAATTATCAAAATTAGCATTAATAACTAAGGTTGAGATTCTGTCATTGCATTGTAAACGAGCTGCTGGATAATAAATACTAAGAGAGAGAGAGAGAGAGAGAGAGAGAGGGAATACATGTAATAAAAGATTGGTTACATGATACAAGTGTTGTAGAACACAGTGACTTGCTTTTTTTATATAGAAGGAAAGTATTACTGCTGCCAACAAAAGCTATAAACCAAATTGATATACTCAGCTTTGTGTGGGAAATTAAGATTATGTACAAAGCATTCTTATATATATATATATGTATGTCATAGAATTACTTATAGTACCTTCCACACACACACATACACACACACAGAAGGAATATCGCAAACCTTTCGACAAATAATAAAATCTCGTCTGTAAAGGTATCTGTATATCAGATTTACAAGAGATTGTTTAGTAATAAGATCACATAATATATACGTTTTCGGCCTTAGAAACCGTGAGGTGAACAAAAAAAGAAAAATATAGATGGTAAAAAAAAAGGCGCTTTTGAAATAACTTTCTTTAATTTGTTTTCATCTTTGTGTTCGTGTTGGCTCCTGTCTACATGTATTCTCAAAGCCGTTTACCCCACCCCCCACCCCCACACTTGGGGTTTTTTACGTGCTTTCTTACTTTTTTTCTTCTTCGCTGACTATTACCCTTTGTCATGCCTTGTCCAATACTTCTTTCCTTTATTTATCTATCATTTGTGCTTATTTTTTTTTATTCCCCCCTCATATTTAGGGGGTAACATTTTTTATTATTTTCATTTATTCCTCAGTCCTCACTGAGTCAACTGAATGCTAAAATGCGCAAGGCCTAGTACAACCCACAATAAAAAAAAAATTCGCCTGTATATATGTCTGTGTCTGTGTTTACTTTTGTGTCAAACTTTATTTAGTAGTGTAATATATTGTACTTATCAGAGCATTTACTGTAATACACTTCAAGTCTAGAAGGTTTTGGAACATTGACACTGGGAAAAATGTGATTGAACTGGTCAGTACGTGTTAGTATGGTGTTCGCATACTAGACAACTATGGTTATCGTGTTATCTTTCATATATCCAGTGAGCTTTTCCCGCAAGAGCACATAGGCATGCACATCCCATTAATGTAAAGGAACAAGGAAAATAATGTCGCAAAATCTGACTCTAATTCACTCACACATGGATATTGATACACTCCTTTTAGATACCATGTGTTATCTTCTTGTAGGCTAATATACTTTTCTTTATTGTACCTTGTGCACCAACATATTCCTTCTTCTCCTTCTTTTTCTTCTTCTTTGTATCGAGTTAAAGTTACTGGTTAATATCTTAGCTCTAACAAATCAAATCCACACAATCCATTTCAGCCTAGACAAATTCCCTTCAAAAATCGTTGCCCTTCTGCTTAATTTAATTTTGGAATTTTTATAGCAGCTTTTGATAAACCAGCTTAATCATTTGTAGAGTATCGAGGAAGAGTATTTTATCGGATTGACATGGTCTATCTTGACTTACTCTTTTTATTTTCATTGAATTGAATTGCTGTGGTAGAACTTGATCTGTCTCTGCTCTGACCCCTTGTATCGTGTGTACAATTCCCATGTGTGTTTCAACAGTTTCTTTCTTTTCCCTCTGGCCAGTATTTTGAGTTTACTGTCTTCATTTGCTGTTTCTTCCTAAGCCAATTTTTTTTTCATTTTTGACAGGGTGTTCCGGTGCAATAAGTAGGAGAAGCGTTGCTCAAGAACATGACAGACAACCTTTCATTTTTTTTTCTGGTGATTTCTTCCAATATAACCATAGACCAATCTTGAATACACAAACATAGAGCTGTACATCAACTGTTCGACTTGTCTATTACTAAAAACTAGGTTACATCTTCACTATCCTTAAAAATGGTTCAAAAGTACCAAAAAAAAACTTTATGATTCTGCTACTGCTTTTCGTACATATTATTTTATATATCATGGCCGTGTATATTTTTGTTTTGGCTACCAGGCTAATACAGCAGTATTACTCATTCAATATTTACCTCTGGGTTATAGAATTATAAAGAGTAGCTTAGACACTAAAGAATACACGGCATTTAAAAATAAAAAATAATAATAAAGAAACAAAGAAGTGGCGCAATTGAAAGAAGACAAAAGAAAGAAAAAAAAACATTTATATTTTGGAGTTGAGCCCAAACCTAATTGGTGTTTCATTTAAAATAAAGAAACACGTTTATTATACGCGACAAAGAATTTATTGAATAGTATTAGTGGAATCATATTGCGGGTAGTAAAAAAAAAATGAACAAATAATAACGACAACAGAGCGGTGGGAAATATTTACACCATGTTAAAAAGGGGGTTTTTTTTTGTTTTTTTGTGTTTGTTTGTATTGATCTGTTGGATAGGTTCATATTTATTAAGAGGCTCCTGAATGAACAGGACAAAAGAGTAAATTATATGATTTGGTTTGAGGGCTATATGGGCTATATGACACACCATCCTGAGGGAAGCTACTTTAAAGTTTCTTTTTTTGTTTGTTTCCGTTTCAAGGTGTATACATTTTTGAAGTCATAGCTACTATACATGCAGTAAAATAAGTGTTTAGAATTTGCAAACAGAATTAGATTTTTATCCTATATATGAAAACAAACACACGAGTATTATTATAATAGCCATAGTCTTAAGAAAGTAGTCCAATGCCACTTTCTTTAAATAATAAACACCTACAAGAATACAGGCAGATAGGCATACAGACAAAACCTCCCGCTTATATTCATTTTTCTTGTAATATGCACTCGTTAGAATAGCAGAATTCTGAAGGCACAGTAACACAGAAAAAAAGAAGGGTTAAAGAATGTATTGCCCATTTAAACTACGAATAGCATCCCATTAATATAATATATATATATATATATAAATAACTTGCAATTCTCGCATACACTTGGTACTAATATTAATCTATTGATATTTAAAAAATATTTAAGAATAAGAATACCAACAGCAAAATCAACAAGAATAGTACAAAGATGAAAGAAGCTGTATTGTGAAGAATTAAATCAAATTCCTAATCTCAAACACAAAATGCAACCCGTGAACGTTCTTCCAAGGTAGTATCTTTACAGTCACCTTTTTATTTATTTTATTTCTAAATTATCATTAATGCATCAAGAAGTGCTGCTTTGAGAAAATCGCTTTGTTACATAAATATCGTCTTTGCAAATTGATATCATATTGTTCTCTTGGATGTCCGAATCATTTTTCACCAATTGCAACTTAATTACACAGCCCCGGGGAAACCCTTCCGCGCTTTTCAGCTTAAAAGTACCATGGAGATAAAGAGGACATGTTTGAGAGAGTCATTGTGTGAGACAAAAAGAAAAGAAAAGAAAACTGACAAGTATAAGAGAGCGAACAAGTACTAGAAGAGTGCTATTGACAAGAAAACAATTTCTATTTTTCTGACCTAATTATTACTGTGTACCCTCCCTAAGATAGTATTTCGATAATTTATTCTACTGTTATTTTTTTATAATGAATAAGGGCAAATATAAAATAAATTTCTTTTGCTTCAATGCAAAACCAAAAAAAAAAAAAATTAACTTAAAAACTAATACTATGGTGCAATCAGAGATAGTTATCCAAGTCTGGGTGTTTTTTCTTTTCTTTTTTCTAGAAATTGAAACACTTTAAAGGCCTTCATAGACGGTGCGTGAAAATCTACGGTTTAAAAAAGAAAGTCATGTGATCAGAAAAGTAGCCAAGCTTCAAGTCCATAGCCTTTTTTTCTTATAATCAGCGGAGATCAAATAATTCTTCTATATATAAAAAAACGATCAAAGAAATTGAAACAAATCCAAGAACATGGATATTTGCGCCCGATTGCACCATAAAAAAGAATGTAGGACAAGAGTAAGATATTGAAAAGGTGCTTTTAGATTTGGACTACAATAATAGCAAAGAAAACTAACAAAGTTAAATTGAAACACATACACACATATATATATATATATATAATGAAAAATAGTTGATATGGATAGACTAAAAGTTCAAAAAGAAAGAGTAAAAAGAAAAAGAGCAAAACTTTACGACATATTATTGGGTTAGAGTTTTAATTAGTTTTGCCCTTTTTTTGAACTTTTTTTTGAACTTTTAGTCTGTCCACACCAAGTGTTTAATCAAAATTCAACCTTAAAACAACCCCTTAAACACAATAAAGGTTGCAAGAAAATATTTTATTAAAGTCAACACCCCCCTCGTCCCTACTCTCCTTTATTTATTTATTTATATATTTATTTTGGCATTGAACATAGAACGTATGCATACTATATTGTTAATGTAAAAGGAGCATTTCAAGATAATGCTGATATACTTATCAGAAACAAGCTGAAAACTTCATATTCCCATTGTTATTACTTTATCTGCCAAGAATAACGGTGCTCTATTCTTATGCTTATTAATGGCTCAAGGATGCGATGTTATATCGCAATTTTTTCAAATTACATTGTCTTGGAACTTTAGGAATGTAATATTTGAAAACCTGCTTATAAGCATAGTAATTTTTTTGTAAGTACTAATGAATTGATAACTGATTATGTTTATTTTATTTATTTGTTTTTTATTTTTGAAAGAGAGAGAGAGAGAGAGTGGGATAAAATATCAGGTTTTTTCTTGAACATCTTGATAATTACAAGTAGTTTAAAGTATGAATGATAAAATACAAATACAAATTTAATAGTAAAAACATTAACATAACAGGAACCATCAAGATTTTCTGTAGTTTTAAAGTATTTTCCATTGAATTGATGCTCCTTTTTTGGCACTTGGCGACTATAAATCTGCATTTTATTATTAGGACAAATTAATGAGAATGGCCTCTCCATTATTCCAGGTATATATATATATATCAATAATTTATAATCAATAGAAAATAACTTGAGAACCTTGTGTTTTTTTTTATTCTCATACTGATATTGATATTATAGGATATTGATTTTGTTTTGGATCAGGTAACTTTTGCTTCATTAGTACAAACTCATCGTTGTACACAAGATACACACAAAATGAGCCAAAAGTCATTTCATTCCAAATATCTGTCCTGTCTGCCTGCCTTTTGAAAAAAAAACTCTTCCTATTAATATGTAAGATCTAATCTTTATATATATAAATATATATTGAGCTACTTGTTTAAAGGCAATGGGCCTTTGGGCACACAAATCAAAAGCCAAGACAGTTTGGGGTTTATAATTATTGTTACCCAAAATCCACTTTGATTCTATTTCCTCAAACTATTTTTCTTTCTTTCTTGATATTTATTTATTGATTTAGTTTTCTTGGCCTCAATACTTTTGGGCTCTCAGATTGGCTGTATTTCCCTATCAATTTGATCGAATATTAATTTCTGGTAACCTTCTTTATTCCTGGCCTCTTCATTCTCTTCTTTAATCTTTATATTATATATGTTTATATCAAAATAAGATCTAGGTCTATGCTTAAAACAAGAAAGAACTTTTATAGTTGCACTAATTGTTTATCGATCAGAACTGTCCCTTTCTATAAAACAGCCAGTGGATAACCTCACTAGAAACACACACACACACAATTGTCTATTAAATTTAAATTAAATTAACTAATAAATACATATAAAAATGAATTACACTTGATGCCAAATTAACATCTGTATATATATACATATGTGTATTGTATTATGTATCGGACATTGAAGCTAGTTATATTATTCCTTTCATGGGAAAGAAATAAAATAAAAAAAGAAATAAACATCCTATTTTAGCCATGAGATTCCTATACCCCATCACTCACAATGTGCGTCGATTCACTACTGCCAATACACTAAAAGTCGAACAAAAGGCAACAAGAGGCTGGCGTAAATATGTTCAGCAATTCCGCGACAAGCCGGCCTCTTATGTGACCACATTTGCAATTTTACATGAAGTTACAGCAATCATCCCATTCCCGTTTATTTACTATGCTCTTGATGCATCTGCGCTCTCAATCCCGGTTTCAGAGACTGCGATTACAGAAGGAAATCGGTTCATCAGCAAGGTTCGTGTACACTATGGATATGAGCCACTTGATCCACAAAGTCGCGTGATGATAAACCTAGCCACAACTTATGCTGCTGTCAAGGTAACCAATTGCTATTATATATATATATATAATTGATAACCATAATAATTAATATAATAATGATACTGTTTGTGTGTGTGTGTGTGTGTGCATATTCTGTAGCTTTTGATGCCTGTCCGTCTTGCAGCATCTGCTGCCTTGACACCATTTTTTGCAGAAAAATGGGTTGGACCCTTGGTAGGTCTGATCTCAAGATTGGGAGGCAAGATAAGATCACCAAAGCCAAAAATGTAAAGGCAACCCGGATATTACTTTTAGATTTCATCAGGCCTTTCTTTTCCGATCGTAATAAAAATAAAATGATTAACCCAATCCCAGAATCTTTAAATAAATATACATTTTCTTTTCTTAATTTAATAAACAGTTTTATTACTTTTAGCCAAGGAACATATTCTGTTTCTATAACAACAAATATAATACACATTTTATGCTTAAATGAACGCTCGCCCACAGGCACATACAGAAAGAGACTAATAGAGATAGAGAAAGACCTTTGAAATAATAACATTTTTTTTAAAAAAAAACAGCTTGATTTCTTACTGTTTTACAATAGTATATATATGTATTCTTACTTATTCAGAAATTAATCTTTTTAATAATGCCAGACGATCTTTACTGTAGACGTGTAACAATCAGCAGTAATATTTAAGCTATTGGCGCACGTGTAGCCATTAAAAATAAAAATAAAATAGAAAGTTTGTCGGCTCATATATCAACTCACAAAAAATAAAATAAAATATTATCTTTATCTTAATTATCGCAAGTCGCCTTCGATCTTTCCGGGCTCCTCCATAGATGTTAATGGTCACAAATAATTTATATATATATATATATTTCTTTAAAAAAAAGAACAGCCTAATAGATTATTATCAGCATCATCATCATTATTATAATGTCTATTAAACAAGAAAGCAAATATACTGATGATCTATACCTAACATCAGATGGTGACATACTCAAGACTGACCTACAAAGCTGGATCAACAGGTCTTCACACCAGTCATTTTTTTTCTCTTCTTTTCATTTTGTATATATATATATATCTAATTTGCTAAACCAAGAAGTGCGATATTATTACGTCAATAGCGAGCTTCGTCGTACAAGAAACCCATTACACTCTTACTGTTGAATAAAATGGCTCGTTGATGGTTACACTGTGACGCATTGGCTATCTGGGACTTGAGGAACAACTTTACCTCAAGCAAGAGGAGAGAAAATGGTAAACAGACCACCCGACACAGCGTGCAACCCTCACGCGGTTGTTTTTTTTATTTTTTTTTTATTTTTAATGAACATATTCATTTTTCCAAAAAGTATCCCCGATTCAGGATGAGATGAACATTTTGTGGTTATCTATAAAAAGAGGCCAGGTATTTTTGTTCTCAAATTTTAGACATTCCTAAAAAAAAACACACGCACACAACTTCATCTATCTCTTTTCTTTACTCCAAAAGAAATTCCTTTCTTCTTCTTCTCCTAAATCAAAACCTTATACACCATGACCATTCCAGTAGAAGATATCGAAGGACAAGAGCCCGAGTGCCACAAGAAGTTCCATTTCTATGATATTGCTCAACAGATTGTCAATAAGATGAGAAGGTACTTTGAAATAAATTTAGAAAAAATTAAATTTATTCATTTATTGTATATCATAGTGAGGCACATTCAGAGGCCCATCAGACCCTTCGTAGTTACCCAGGTAATACCAACAAGGCAACCAAAGCCAAGAATGCCGCAAAAATCTACGGTATCGAGCACCCTGGATCTACTGGTGTCATTTATGTAATGGACAGAGCCATGCAGAATGGTTTTACCTATGGTGACCCTGAATGGGGTAAGTTACTAAATTTTCTTTCTATTTTAAAAAAGATGTTGATATCTAACGTTTATTTTAAATGTTATTTTGGAATCATATAGCAAACTTTGGTCAAGGTGCTCCAGAAGGTAAGCTAATAAAATAATAAAAAGAGGGATCGAGAAAAAGATTTCTTACTTTTATATATTTCATATTTTCTTTATCTTTCAAGTTGGACATATTGATGGTTGTGCAGACAAGCCTACCCACATTGAACTACCAATTGAATCGTATGAGTATGCACCTACTGCTGGTATAACCGAGTTACGTTCTGCTGTTGCCAACCTCTACAATGAGATCTATCGACAGGATAAGGAATCAAAGTACACATCTGCAAACGTAAGTTTTCTAGAATTCAAAAGAATTGAAATGGAGTGGCGGACATAGTCTAAAAGGCGATATCATTATTTTAGGTCTGTATTGTCCCTGGTGGTCGTGCAGGACTCACACGTGTAGCATCAGCCATCGGTGACATCAATGTGGGCTACTTCTTGCCCGAGGTAAAGTCATTTTGCGACCTTTTTAAATCACAATCTCTCTCTGTGTGTCTGTCTGTCTGACATCTTGTGAATATTATATGCATTTTTCTGCCAACAGTACACTGCCTATGAACAGATGCTGTCTGTCTTTAAGCGCTTTGTGCCTATTCCAACCACCCTGGAAGCCGAATCAAACTATCACATAGATCCTGACACGATCCGCAAAGAGATTTCTGGACGTGGTCTTGGTTTGATTGTTGCCTCAAACCCTCGCAACCCGACCGGTCAGCTCATTGAGGGTGAAGAACTCTGTGAATTGGTCAAGATCTCCAAAGAGAGACACACAACCCTTGTTATGGATGAGTTCTATTCGTCCTACATCTACTCACACCCAGAAGAAGAGAATGGCCGTACAGTTAGCATCTCGGAATATGTTGATGGTGAGTAACAGCACACGAGAAAAAGCAAGAGACTTTTTTTTTACAGTTAATGTTTTAATTAACTTTATTAATTAACTAATTTAATTAACTGGTGGGATTTTTCTTTGGTACCAATCCACAGATGTCAATGCAGACCCTGTTATTATCATCGATGGTCTGACAAAGAACTTTAGAGTAAGTAAATAAAAAAGTTGTTAAATCAAACGAGAGATTAAATCCGGTGGAATGGCTTGTTAGTTACCTGGTTGGCGTATCTGCTGGATCGTTGGCCCAGAATCTGTTATATCCTCTATGCAGAGCTGTGGCTCTTTCTTAGAAGGTGGTGCAAACCATCCACTCCAGCTGGCCGCAATTCCTATGCTCGATCCCGAAGTCTTTAAAAACGAAGCCAAGCACTTGCAGATCCACTTTAGAAGCAAGCGAGACTATGTTCTCGAGCGTCTGGAAGAGATTGGCATCAAGGTCAATGTACCACCAAATGCCACATTTTATATCTGGTTGGACCTCAACGAGCTCCCGGCACCTATCAACGTTGGTCTAACCTTCTTTGAGGAGTGCCTTAAAGAGAAAGTGTAAGTTGTTATTTTCATATCACCAGGTTTTCATCTTTTTTTTTTGTCGGCTTCTAATTGAATTATTGCTTAATGCCTCATAGTATCGTTGTTCCAGGAATTTTCTTCGATGTTAATGTAAGTTACTACTAATATATTATTTTATTACATGTTTAACTTATTGAAACCATTATTATTTTTTCCTTTCTTTTTTAGCCTGCAAGCCGTCGTGAGTTGTTTGAATCCCCCTGCCATCATTTCGTTAGACTTAGTTTTGGTCCTCCTATGGAAGAGCTCGTAAAAGGCCTGGATGCCATTGAACGAGGTAAGATAAAACCAGCAAAGAGTAATAAGAGAAAACATAAGACTGAATATTGTACATTTATAGTTATCAACAACTTCAAGTAAAAAACCAAAAAAAAAGAGAACAATTCCTTCATTTTTCTTTTCTTACATCACATCACACATTCAAATCATATTATATATCATATCATATTCTATTATATTATATTATATCCAAGAAATAAAGCATTATATTATATGATAAACTTCTTCCAAGCCCTCTATTTCATTTCCTTAAATATGCGTTATGATAAATCAAGTATTTCCTTTATTATCCTTATCATTATCCTTACCATAGAGATATAAAATATACACACAAATGCAAACGCAACAATAGCCATAGCCACATTCACAGCCACAATAACTTTCATCTTCTTCTTCATTTTATATATATATCCAAAAAATAGACTTTCAAAAGAGTAGATCGTCCTTCCCACTACCATCGTTCTGACTCGCCCTGACATGCTCTGCATCCATTCCGAGTACGATGACTTTGCGTAGCCTCTCTAACCGGTCTCTCTGCAACATCAAAAGTTCCTCCATATCCTCATCCTCAAGTCCATGCTGCTCAGCCAGATGTGTCTGAGATCTGTGGTGTAGATGTGCGTGATCTTTTGAGGTGTCTGTTGGGTCTGTGTCCATATCGATCGAAAGATCCATTTGAGACGAAGAAGGGAATCCCATGGATAGATCACCATCCATATCCGATGTAAGGTTATCATGCTGTAACTGCTGTTGTTGTTGCAACTGCTGTTGCTGTTCTTGTTGCAGCTCTTGATGTCGCTTATCTGCTTCAGACTGTAGAGCTACTTTTTGTTGCCAATCAAGTTGAAGGATTCGCTTGGATTGTTCCTAATTAAAAGAGATATATAAGCATTAACATTTACTTTGCCAAGAACAAAAACCAAAAACCAAAAAAAAAGCAAAAGAAAGCTTATTACCAAGATGTAGTATATTTGATCACAAATTGCCTCAAAATCATCACATTTTTCGAGTAATTTTTCTGTTTGGTGCAGAGGAGGAGGCTGTTCAACGATAACGCCTTTTTTACTAAACGTAGGTCAGTATTTAATAAAGATTCAGTATATATATGTAATTCCAAACAAATTGGTTTTAATAGGAAAAGTATATAACATACTTTATGTGGGAAGTAGCAAAGTGATCGAGAATACGCGCGGCTTGTTCGAGAATGTCCTGTAATGGAGTGTTGGCTTGTGACCGGCGAGCTTTATTTTTTTATTGCTACTATTGACATACTTTGCCTAGTAGACGATGAAGAGCAATCAACTCATTGTGAAGAGGACGCTGCATTTGCTGTGCTGCTGTATTGAATCGTTGAGACATTGTGAATGTGATGAAGACAAAAAGAAGGTCTTTAATTTTTTTTTGATCAACTGTGTGTGTGTGTGTGTGTGTCTATATCTTTAAAAAAGTTAGAATACAAGCACGTGACTTAGACTCTGCATTTAAATTCTCTGCAAATCTTCTTGCCATTTTACAACCACATCACTTAAAGTCTACTATCCATTCAATAAACTACTCGACTTATTTTTACACATTAATTGTAATATATAGTAACTAAACTTTTTATGGCGAAGAGTTATATAAAACTTGAGGGGAGACTGGGAGCTCTACTTCCAAAAAGTACGCTAATTATTTATTAATTTATTCTTTATATAGGTCTATAAATTCATGACAAAAAAGATATGTGTGTGTAGGTAGATTTATGTGTGTGTGGGTAGATTTTGTGCGCCAGACGTGGCACAGCGGAGGTACAAATATTAAGAGAGGCAAATTGAATAGTAAGAAAAAGAGCGTCTTTATCGATTGATATATATAAACATATTATTCTATCTCTAATAAATACCATTCTCACAGTATCTACTTTTTCTAATCTTAAGATACTAACCCAAGATTAGTTCCGAATATCTCGTATATTTTTTAATTTTTTTTAATAGATAACACTCTCACAGTATCTATTTTTTCTAAAATTGAGATACTAATCCAAAATCAATCCCAAATACCTTTTTTTTTTGTATGGAGCCAGGAAGAAAAAGCTCAGGATTTTATTAAAGGTCTCTGATTGAATAGGAAAAGAGAAAATTAAAATATTTGTTTGTAAGGTTTTGTAGATTATATGATGTTTTTGGCTTTTAAATTTTATGGTTGTTTTTGTTTTGTTTTGTTTTTTAAAAAAAAATGGAGGAGTTATGGAGAGTCCAGCTCTAGTTCAGAGCAGAGACGAGAAATTGACTTGCGCGCAGTGTGGAGCACCGCAGAGGGACGGTGCCGAAGAATTCCAACCAAATGCCTGTCCACACAGCAGATTTCAACGGGCAAGCGAGAAGAAAATGTTCTTGCGTCTCGATGGACACCTGGCAAATAGTGCAGAGAGGAGAAGAGACGGTGGATGGCATGATGCGGTACAGAAGTGCTCGGCACGAAAGCTTATTGTGCAACCCGCGAAACCAGACATTCCGAGCCCGGTGAGGGAGGGCGAAAGACCAGAAGGAGCGAAGTTGTCGTGGGATGAGAGGAGGGTGGATGGGACGAGCATCAGACAGTTGATGGGAGCAGGTAGAACGGTAGGAGCGCGTGGTGAGCCGGGACCAGGTCTGACCGGGAAGTTGGGCTGACAGAAGTGGCTGGAGGTCAATGAACGACCCGTCGCGAATAGGAAGATTTGGCTGTTGGAATGCCAGTACAAAAGAAGGAATGCATGCTCGAAAGAGAATGGAATGCAAGACCATTGTATGATCGCGAATTCTGTTGAGGATGCGGTTAAGTGTGACAGAACGGGGTAGAGGACGAGAGGGAGTGATGGGTGTGAGTATATCCAAATTGGACTCGATTTGGTATAGATGGTGGACTCGCAAATCACGCCAAGCAGGTCGATACGGAGGGTGAGAGGGCATACTGGATATCATAGAAGACAACGGCAGGATGAGACAACTGGAAAGGTTGAGCACCACTCTGTCAAAGTTTCGGGGAAGAGTATCCATAGCCTTCAGAACCAGGTGTAGCGGGGAATCAAGGGTGCGATGGTTGCGAGGACGACAGTCCGGAAAGAGTAAGGGAAGAAGAGGATCAACGGTAGGGACGTCGGAGCGAAGAAGAGTGGAGAACCATTGGGGAACAAGACCGTGAGGCAGTAGAGGATTACGGATAAGGGGCTTCAGCCAGCGAAGTTGGAGAGCACATTGCTGTATACCAGGATCCAAGATACCAAGGCCACCCTGTAGTCGGGGCAAGCAGAGAGTGTCAAAAGCAATGGGAGGAAAAGACTTGACACGGAAGAACCCGCGCACGATGGAGCGAACTCGGTCAAGGAAGGCGGAAGGGAACGAAACCACACGAAGGACGTGCCATAGTTGAGAGAGTACAAGAGAGTTCATGATGGTTGCCCGCCCACGAAAGGAAAGAGATCGTGATCCATGAATACTGCAAAAGGTCTCAATTTTTGACAGGAGGGTGGTCCCGTCCCAAATACCTTAATTGCAATACAGTATGATATTTAAATAAAATTATAGCTGGAATAAGAGGGTCAATTACTTTCTATCAAATAATAATAAAAAATTAAAGATTAATTGAAAACGTAAAAAAAGCAAAAACAAAATAAAAAATAAAATAAAATAATTAATTTAAATTTCAAATGCCCAGTCTTTTTGGTAGATTGTAGAGCATTTTTGGAACTCAAACGGTCTAAGCTGTTTTTAGTAATTTAAAAATACCTAGGAGCGTGGCATTTTTGTGAGGCTAGCAATTCTCCTACACAAAAAAAAATTCGGCGGTGTTTCAATATTTTATTTCTCCTAATGTCGTATAATCAAAAAGGCAAAATTTTATGACTTCGGGATTAAAAGCTTACTTTAGAAAAAATATTACTAAACGGCCTATTTTTTATGTGCTACAAAAAAAGTAGCAAAAAATGTCGGGAAGTGAAAATTAAATAGTTGGATTTCATATAGTGTTGCCCTTTGGTGTGCGAGTGTTTTTTTTTTTTTTTAAAAAAAAAATAACTAAATCATCTTGACTTTGTTTTGTAATATCTATGATTTAGAGCTCTAGTTTTAATTTATGATCCAAATATTTTTACTTTTATTTTTTTACTTTGTATGTATTTTATTATTTGATTTTTATTAAAAAAAATAAGGGCGGGTAGACAAACGATGGTTCTTTAGATTTCTTTTTGTTCAATTGGATACTTTAAACAAAAATTTGCTCAATATTTATAGATCATTTAACCTTACAAGTTTTGGAAATTTCTTACGGCAAGTTTATTTTTTTTCTTTAAATAAAATGGTGTTATCGATGGTTATTTCCAGTCAGTGAAAAGGAAAGCCTCGTCCCAATCCGACTCTTACGCACACTCTCTCATTCTTATGATTTGAATAATGTATGTGTATGTATATGTATATGTTATTTTCAATATGTAAAAACAAAATAAAGTAAAATGAACAACTCGAACGATATTTTGATGTCTAAGAAATGAATAAATGAATGAATAGAAATAATGAGTTAAATAAAGAACAAGAACAAGAAAAAAAACAATTACAATGAAATGAAATATAATAAAATGAAGTGAAATGAAAGAAGAAGAACAAGAAAAAAAAACATATTCTATGTGTTCAAAGGAGTCTGGGACATTAAAGTGTTGCGCTGAATGGTACTGTATCTATTGCCAGCTGAATCTGTTGTCATGATTATAGTTTGGAGAGGAAGCGGGTGTGTAACAAACTTTCGTCTGGCAATGTAACTATATATATTTTTTGTACATGTTAACAATGAATCATTGATTATGTATGTATTTATGTATATACCTCTTTGACCTTGGCTGACAGACAGAATGGATAAAGTTGCAAAACGAACTTCCAAAATCAAACATGGGCTTATCATTCGGAAATGGTCTTCCGTCAATTTTCAACTAGATTTCAAAAAAAAGTCGATAATCTTGTTTAGTACCCGTTTGTCTTGAGCGCGGTGTCTTTTTTTTTTTAAAAAAAAACATAGATACATTATCTGTATACACTTTACCTTTTCGTGGGTGGTTACTCCTGCGCAAACGATATAACAATGAAATGCGGTAAGATAGCCAATAGGAAATATAAACAAAAATGAGAAAACAGTAAGGAGCAAACTGACAGGAGCATTATTGGCAATGGTCTTAAATTCCCGTTGTTCAGGGTCATTAAAGTACAGAAGCATAAGGTGCGCAAGTGAAAATGCAAAGACAAAGACAGAAAGAAATGTTCCTGTTACAATGAATACAAAAAATGTACGATAGTTTCTTTTTCCAATACAATTGTTGAGCCAGATACAATGATGATCGTAAAGCTCTAAAATAATAATAAAGAATTAAGCATCCCCACAAACACAAACACAAACACACACAAACATAAATATATGTATAAGCATCATATTAAGAAAGGAGAAGCAACAACAAAGAAACTGTTGTCTAACAAAACAAAAGTAACACTGACAGAAACAAAAAAAAACAATGATTTATTATTTACAAAATGCACTTACCAACACAATTGTCACAGTCTCGGCAATGGCTTGAACGTGGAGGTCTGTAGATTAAGCAGGTCTCGCAATAGTTGAGTTCTACTTGCTTGCCTTTTATCATTACATTTTTAATTGGTGGTGTCATAAACTGTAAAGGATCGGGAAGGATACCAGAATTTTCATTAATTGAGCTGGCAATGGGTGGCATCTTGTTGAGATTTCGAGGGATAATCTACAATAGCATTATAGAATATTAGTCCGGATTTATCAATAATTTATCAATTTTTTTTTTGCTTTTGTTTTTACAAGCTTTTTGTTGTAGCTTAATATATATATATATATATATATAAATGCTTACTCCAGGGTCAACCCAAGCAGTCCTCATCATTGAAGAAAATGTAAGTATAAACGTATAGGCAAATATAATTGGAATTGCTGGAGACAAGTGTGTCCAATACCATGGGCATCTGTAATCAATTAATATAATGTTACTAATATATATATAAAATAAAAATAACCATAGATCCAAAATGTGCTACTGTTATATATAGCTTTGTGGATCTTTTTTTTTATTTCTTTTTTGGTACTTGCATAAAAACCGCAAACAGAATAGCTGGAATAAGCAAAACACCGATAGAAACGCCAAAAGCCCAGTATGCTTTGCTCGTTATAAACCGACCACCACAAAAGAACTTGATGTTTCCTGGAAATACTTGATAGTTTTTTACGGCTGTTTTATGCATGACTTGTAAATTGACTTGTTGAGTTCTGGGTTGGTCAGGAGGATTATTATCCTGGACTGTATTGGCTGGGTTTTGGGACTCAGTGGCGGCAGCAGCAGTAGTAGTAGTAGATTCAGGGCCATGTTGTTGATGTTGTTTTGATTGCTCGGGATTAAGATCGGGATTGTCGATCGATGAGGTAATGGGGGTTGGTATAGAAGAAAAGGCAGAAGAGTTTGTGTGTGGTCTACCGTGGGTCTGTGAAGCGCTATAAGACGAGGCTGTGTCTTGGCCACGACCTTGCATAGTGAATAGTAAATAGAGAGAACAGGAGAGCAAAAGAGTAAAAGAGTAAAGATGTGTGTGGGTGTGTTTTTGTTTATTCTCCGCGTAAGCTGTCTATCTTGTAGACATATTGCGCATAATGTGGCACTTTGGGATCAATGGAGTTATTTTGAGTTGACCGCAAAAATAAAATTAAAAGAAAAGAAAAAAAACCAGAGATCCATTTGGACGGAGTTGATACGCACGTATTGTACCTCATTTGGAATATAAGAAAATGGGCGGTTGTAATACATATATATAGATATATAATATAGATATATTCAAAGGATATCAATACAATTATTAAAGAACGATTGATGTAATACTACACAAGGAGAAAAAAAAGGGATAAGGTTTGTTGTTTGAATTGATTCATGTAACTTGTGGGTTTATGGTTTTTTTTTCTTTGTACTTCATAACTAAGAAGCTTGTGGTAAAATATAAAGAAGAGCAAAAAGAACAAGAAAACGAAGAAGGAAAAAGGAAAGAAAAAAGATCCTTTGTGAATAAAAGGAATTTCATTCTGTGATGATCTCCAGTCAGCATTACATGTTTGTGATCATCTTCTTGCCTTTAAATTAATAGAATTTAAGATCTTTGATGGCTCTCAATTCAACACATTATTTAAGGGTGAGGATGAGTAAGGGTGATAAAGACAGAGAATAAAGGGTTTTTTGGTGTAGTGTGTAATTAACCTATTGTTCTGTGACATCAAAACAAAAGCCATCTTCTTGGATTTCAGATACCAAGAACGTAAAGAAATGTGCTTAATTGTTCTTTTTTCTTTAATTCAAGGTTTGAAAACACCTTTTTATATACATAAAAAGAACCTGTACATTTAATATTCGTTTCTTTTTATATACTTATTTTTGCATAGATAGAAGAAGAAAGCCATGGATATGTGTTTATGTGTGTTTTTCTGTCTTGTAAGTTATAGCAAATACCCAACGGTTTGTTTCGGCAACATATCCTTTGAATGTTTAAACAAGAGTCATTGATATCTTGGAACTGAACAATTCTCCTAATTACCACTCTTGACTATTATTCTGAGCATGGTCTGAGCAACAATGGGTTTCAGTGAGTTTAGCAATTATAATGTAATGGATACCGTTGCCAAAGAATAATAATGATAATAAAGAAATCCAGTTTATACAAAGTATGTACAACAAGTCTTTAATTCCAGAAGAAGAAGATAAAAATGAGAGCCTCTTGAGTTGAGTAGTGTTAAAGGACCTTGAAAGGAAGAAAGCCTTTAAACTTTATATAAAGAGGGTCTTTCTATTCATACGATTTCAGGTAAATCGTAACAATTTCGTTATTACGTTTGTTTTGAAATATTGTCTTACAATTCCTCTAAGTTCTTTGATTTTTTTTATATGTGATGCAGAAACATGTAAGATTAAAAAGTGTCATAAAAGATGCATTTCAATGTGTAAGTTTAATGATTTTTGGTGTTTTTTTTTGTAGACTGACGTAAAGAAGTACAAATAAAGATAATTTTATTTTTCTTTTTTACAAAAGAAATGTCACTTAATTTACACCCTGCTCTCAAATTTGGACCTGTTTCCTACATAAATAAATGAGTTTTCACAACTTTTATTTATTTATTTACATCTTTAGGATAGTAGGTTCCGTAGATGATCATGACATTGACTGGCATGTGAATGTAGGGAGACATAAGTCACAGACAAGTCATTCATAAATATAGTCTACAAGTAAGAGCCTTTTTTCTTTTAATTTATTTTAATTTATTTTTCTTTGCCCCACTTTCTTATTTTGGAACATGATTGACAAAAAAAAGTCCTGAGCAGGACACCAAGATTGCCCTGCTAGAATTTACATGAAAAAAAGACCTCCCTAAAGGTTGGGAGAATTTATGTTGATACATAAATTAGTAAATACTAATTATTATTATTATTATTATTATTATTATTATTGCCCTTTATAAATGAATAGTGGCTCTAGTTTAACAAGATAACTGTAAAGGGTAGTATCCAGAAATATGGATTTGAACGTATTTTTTTTTAGTTGGATCTTTACAAAACTTGATTTGGTTATATCCAATGACTTTCTTTCTTGGTTTTTTTTTGTATATTTCAGAGCACAAAAATCTTCATAATCATTGACTGTAGTTTATTTGGAAAGTCTTGAGATTTTCATGAAACAGATCGACAAACCAGAAGTAAGATATATATGTATAAAGTTAGTTTTGTGCTGGAAAGTCAAAAAGCACTTTTTTATTGGTTTGAAGGCTTTATACATAACTTTTAAGCGCACTTCTTCAAGTATCTTTCCTATATGTAAGCCAATAGTATACACGATTCGAGTCATTCGAGCCATATTTGATATCTTAATATTTAATAGCTACGACTTTACTGAGCTATAACCCTTAAAAAAATAAACATGTGAAATGGGTATAAAGTTACTTTGGATGATTCCTTTATTATTTTAATGCCTTTATTGAAAATCTCGGTGGCTTTTGAGACCTTAATGATTTTACTAAAGATTTAATGAATGAATTATAGTTGTAAAATCCTACATGCTTTCTTTATATTGCAAGGAAGAAAAGAAAAGAACCAGCATTACATACTATAATACAACTAAAATAAAACAAACAGAAAAAAAAACGTTTCTGCATGTACATCCAAATAATAAAACTTATTTTTTTGGAACTCGCAGGCTTAAGGGCTTACATAAACATGCGCTTTGTACATTGCATAATCAACAAATGTTATTCTTGATTATTTGAAAAAGAAGAAGAATAAGGAAAAAGAAAGCCAAGAAGTATCAAACCTTTGCAATTTTTTGTTTTATTGATTTATTACTAAACAGATTGAAGATAATAATAAAAAGCCTTACAATCGCCAAGGGTTAAGTTAAACTTATCAATAGCCAGTTACTTAATTTCTCTTTGATAAGGCTTGTTACATGTTATATGAAAATTACGCTTCATTTATGAAAACAAAGTTAACCCCCCTCTCAATTTCCCCCAGCTTTTTGGATATAACTGTATCACAGCAAAAAAAATGTCAGAAAGTGCCACACAGAAACCAAAGAAAGCTTTCATTAGATTAGAAATATCTTCCACATATAAACATACCACTCTTTAATTAATAAATTATCATAAGGCATCATTGATTTCTATACTTCTTTATCCACGATATATATTCAGCCAACCAATATACATAAATACATATATAACTATGATTTTTTTATTGAATTAATATATAGCCAAAGTCCCACAAGGCATCCAAGATAGTCAAATATTTTTGCTTATGTTTATTTTGTTTTATCATATTTTCAAAAATTCTTCTTTTTACACATTCTCTATAGTCTTCCGGGAAAAAAGGGTAAAGGACAGTATAAAGCATATACATGTATATATATGTGTGTACGTGAGTGTGATTGTGAGTGTGAGTGTTGGTGTGTGGGTGTGGGTGCGTATATATATATATATATTTATCTATGGAAAAGGTCTATTAAGCAATCTTTGCTCGGGATGATCTAATAATTGCGTAGAGCAGAACAGTGTAGTTTGTAAAGATATCTTTCATCATAAAGAGAAGAGCTTGTGAAAGGACAGCCTTTGTGATCTGGGTGCTCATACCCTAATATAACAACAGCAATAATGATGATGATAGTTAGTAAGTGAGAAACCTAAACTCTCCCCCTCCCATGAGTTTGAAAAATAAAACCAAAACCAAAAATAAAAATAAAAACCTTACCTTGTACCACCCAAAGAATCCTTCTGTCTTGAGTACACGGTTGAGAACATCCAAAGATCCCTTGTAGGCCACAACACGGTCTTCCATTTCTTTGGAAGGCTTCCACTGAAGACGAACCTTGGCCATGATATAAGGGTAGGTAATGACGGTGGCCAGGGTTTTGCTCATAGCACCGACCCAGAAAGCGAGGGCAGGGGTAAGAGATGTCTTGAGAGCATTGAGCACAATTTCCTTGATCTTTTCGAAACTGCCATAGGTAATAGCAGGGTTGACGCAAAGAATGAGCGAGGGCTGGATACCCCTCCAGAGTCCAGCAATTCCTTCTTCGGCCAGGATGCTCTTGCAAGTGTCGATCATGCCCTGACGCTCGCTCGAGGGCAAGGTCTGTTGGCGGGTTGTGATCACAGACACCGGGGTTGTTACGAGAGTCGTGAGGGCACCGGCAGCAGCACCCAACAAGAGCTCAAAGGCTGTAGAAGGGGCGGCAGTTCCAGTTCGGCGCTTGTTGTAGATATCACGTAGGAGGGAATAAAAGTAAAAGTAGGTAAAGTTTGTGGTGGCAGTGCCGATCAAGGAGCCGCCAAGTCCAGCATATAGTCCAAAGATACCCTCTTTCTTAACGATCTGAAGGATACCGTCCATGGCGGATTTGTAGTGTTCCTGCTCACTATCATCAAGATTGTCGTGCTTGGCCTGGACTTGAATCCGGGTCTTGATACTTTGGATTAAGTTTGAGTGACGCTGTTATGAAATTTTCATATTTTCTTTAAAATAATAATAAAAAAAGGGATGGAAAGAAAAAAGAAAACGTATATAGATACATACATGTCTAGAGGGTAAACAAGTGCGAGTGCAAACATAGCACCAGTGGCTCCGGAAATAGCATGGCCAAAAGGTGGGAGGGTTTCCTTGGAGATAGCAGCCATGATAAAAGTAGAAAGAAGGAAAACGAGCCGGCCATCCCGCTACAGAGATGGGCCAGTTAACTTATCTCTTTCTTTTTTCTTTTTTTTTTAAAAACTGAAAATGCTGACTCAAAACTTTCAGGTGCCTGTGACTGCTGATACTACAATAAGCTGATGCATAAATATTGATTGGTCAAGGTATTACCTAGGGTAAATAAATTACGCCCTTATTCACGCGTGGGGTAAATTGTATCACTCTATGAAATAACATAACCACGTTTATGTAATCTAAAGGTTAATCCAAGGCTAGTAAAAGAAAACATTGGGAATATTAGTGAGATTTTTTCTAACTTATAAGCTCCCCAAGAAGTGTCCTAGATAAGCATCGAAAAATTTAGACCGAGAATAATCACTAGAAACAAAATTCTACACAAACCAAGAGCAATCGTAATGAACACTTCTTGTATAGATTTCGGTGTGTACCAATCATGTAGAAAGGGGGATCAAAAATAAAAAACTAAAAAAAAAAATGTGTTTAGAATCGGATACCTTTTCAATTCAACTCAACAGAAAAAAACTTAATAAAATTCAACCAGCAAGCTGCGATGATATCACTACTTATCCTTCAATAGATAAGCATGTACACAATCGCATTTAGTTTGAAGGGCTGGTATAAACTTGTAGTTTAAGCTGCTAGAAAGTCAACAATTGCCCATGATAAATGGTAGACTACCAAGTTCGATCTGAGTTATATTTACCAGGGACTTTTGTTTTATGATCGGATTTGTGCATTGACCAGTCAACTAAAGAAGAATAGAAAGAAAATAATAATACAATCTTGGTCTTTCTCTCTTCTTGTTCGTTATGTTTTTTTTTAAAAATATTTTATCACTATACCTATATCTCAAGTAGTATTATCAATGCGTACTATAGAGCCGCCGATACACATGAACTTAATTTTTTTGAAAAACAAGACAGCCAAAGAAGACGAAGAAGAAGAAGAAAAAAAAACACCGGAAAAACTTGATGTATCTGGCTACATCTCTTTGTGTCTAAAATATATATCCATATCCCACGCTTTCAAAATTCTATAACTCCCACGAAAATAATAATAGTAGTAGTAATGCCTTACAGCATAAGAGGCATGCAACCACTTGGCTCATTCTATAGTGCAATGAATTTTTTACACAATTACTTCCTTCTTTTGGAACAAGCCTGGGTATTAATTAATCTATTATTATTATTTTTAGAAAAAAAATGTTTCTTTTTCCAAATGCTAGTATAATTTCACCACAATATGTCTTTGGTAATAATCTCGTATTAATTTGTACAAATAGAAACAAAGATAAAGAGAGAGAGAAAGGAATAGTCTATTATTTATAATAAAGACATGGCGAGAACAAAATATATAAATGGAGGGAGGAAGAGATTGTGAGATGAATTAGAGGTAGATGAAATATAATAAGTTTTTCTTAGATTTCGTGTTCAGCCAAAAGCATGTTGGGAATGCCTTCCTTGATGTTAAAGACGTGTCCACAGCCAGGGCAAATCATTCTTCCTTGTTGGATGTGGGTCTATTGAATCAGATATTAATATATATATATGATAGAAAAAAAAACCATCCTTCACCAAAAAAATGTGAATATAATTACCTCGAGCAATACGCTGTGAAGACCTTGCAAGAAAGCCTCGTTGTTCTCAGCATCTTCGGGAACTTGAGCAGGAATCTCAGGAAGACCGAGCTTTAAAGCAATATAAAAATAATAAAAAAATGCAATAAACAAAAAAAAAATATATGCAAGTTAGACCTAAATGCAACATTTTAAAAAATACAATTCGGTTTCGTTTAGTTCTTTACCTGCTTGGCTGTGTTGACAAGCACAGGCCAGTCAATCTTGGGAAGCATGTTTACGAGAAACTCGGGATTATAGTCAGCCTCGATCAATTCAACCTGAGCATCCTCAATTTTGAGAGGAAAGTTGTTGCTGTTGCAGTTCTTTACGTGGCACTGGAGCAAGTTGTGTGTAATGAGTCTCATGTTATCGAATGTAGAACAATGAAGAAAAAAGTATAAATGAATTAACTATGCTTTAAAAAGAAAAAGTTAAAAAAAAATGACAGGAGTGGGGGTAGAGGAGGGAGGAGGAGGGAGGTGGATTTTTTTTGCCTTGAACACAAGCCACCCGCAACCTTTTGGATGCACTTAACCTATTCCATAAAGCAGTCTTTTTTCCCTCTCCTTTTCTGACAAGTTGTCATGGCATCCTCAGAGCAGCAGCCCGTACCTCAAGTAAACCCTGTCGAGGAACCATTGCGTGTCGATGAAGAGGGAGGGGAGGAGAAAGACCAACTCTCTCGTCGCTCATCAGCTACTGACCAAGACCAATACTCGCACTTTGCTAACCAGCTACCATTGGTTGTACCCAATGTCAGAACCAAACCCAGGCGATCTACAAATGCCCTCCATTTACTTGTTCAAGAGGCAGCCCGGAATGTAAGAATTACTCGTTTCAATCAGAAAATATATTTAAACATCAGAGCTTTCTTAGTTCATCCTGTCAGACCTTGTGCATCGCTCTGCTGAAAGCCTCGCCGGGCTTGCAAAAGATAGGCGCAAAGTGTGGACAGAATTAAGACAGTACTCAGACGCCAAGGTTCTGGGTGAGGCCAAGGAGAAAATCATGCATGAGTTGAGAGAGACAGACAAGGAAGCCTTGACTGATGTCAGCCCAGAAAGCGAGGTAAATATATATATATAACTATATAGACATTATCCTTTTTCTTTTTCTTTTTTGTTATCACTGTGCATATATTATTCATGGGTATGGGTCGACATTATGGACAAAGTCATAAAGAAAGAAAAGAAAAGCAAAAAAAAATTGGGAGTCTTACCTGGGTGGGATCCCACGGCATATCATCTAGATTATCAGAATGCGATTCGACGAACATGAAGCCGTTAGTCGCAGTTTTGAGGATGCATTGACAGAACTGCGTTATGAACACAACAACGAGGGAGAGGAAGAGGGACGCAAAGGTGTGTGTGTGTGCGTATGTGTGAGAGTGTGTATGCGTATATGTGTGCGCGTATGTGTGCGTGTGCGTGTGCGTATGCGCGTGCGTATACATGTAGTACATGTAGTGAGCGAATAGTGGGCGAGTGCATAATAATTTGAAATTAGGCACTAATACATTTGGGCTGTAGATCTTGAGGAGCTGTTTAAGGCTCTTGAGCCACTGATCGTTAGTAGGCCACGACCTGTGGAGAGAACTCAGCCCAGGTTCGAGAAACGCGGCCGTGGTGGCGGTGGATACCATGTAGGCACTCGGAACCCTCCTTACCCCGTACATCAGTTCCGGCCGCGCGATGTTCCAGGGTATAGTAGAGGAGGACCTCGGGACTATCGGGATCGCCGAGACCGTGAAGAGTACTATCGTAGACGGTATGAAGAAGATGACCGCCGTGAGTTTGAACGTCGCCCACCATTACCGCCACTACCACCACATGGCTATGAAGACTATCGCGGAAGACGAGACCCTTATCCACCACGACCACCGTTTGATGACCACCGAAGAATCCCTCGTCCGGATCCAAAGGACTCTAGATTTCCAAACCCTCGCGACAGTCGGCCCTTTGGTGGACCTGGTGGTGTTGGGCCTGGCGTCGGTATTGGCGGTCCGATGAAGCCAGGTCCGGTCGTATATGAGCCTACTCCAAAACCACCCATCCCAGTTGCAGTAGATCCTTCTACATATGGCTACCCACCTACAGCTGACCCCTATGCAGCAGCTGCCCCTGCACGTAAGCTAAAATATATAATTATATATATATATAAGGCCAAATAGAAACAATAGAACGTGTGTGCGTGTGTGTGTGTTTTTTTTTAATCGTTGTACTATCTACACTAGCCATTTATGATCCAAACGCACAATATTATCCACCAGATCCGTCTATGGCTGTATATGGACCAGCTTATCCAGCACCTTATCCACCTCCCCCACCCCAAGCACAACAGGCAGCACCACAACCCTGGTACCCTGCACCCATTACCCTAAGCTTCTCCAGTAGAGATCCAGGTCGCCACATGGCTCTTCCTCTTCCAACGTATGTTACATATATGACACGCGTACTTGTCTAAATATTTACAAAATTTTAATAACATCTGTACTCAATTATATAATTTAGGGATTTCATGGCAGGGCCCAGTGAAGCCCCACGGTAAGGAGCATTCCACATCGATTGGTAATTGTTCACACCTTATTTTTTTTTTAATTTGTGTTTTTTTTCTCTGTTTTTGTGTAGTCTTTCTATGCCAGAACCACACCAATCCATTGGCGTCATCAAAGGTGTCATAGTACGTGATGCACAGGGCAACATTGGCCTCACAAGCTACACATTCAGTCCATTCAATTAAAATATATACACATATATATAAGACTTTCATATCATACTTTCTCCTCTCCATTTTTCCCCTCCACACACACACACACACTACACAATACACACTACACAATACACAATACACAATATACAGTACACTATACAGTACACAAAACACAAACAAAAACAAAGTATATATATATATAAGGGCAATAAACCTCATTGACATTGATCGGCGACAAGGGAGGACATTGTTTCCCTTTTGGGTTATCTACACGGTCACACCAAAGAAAGGGCCATACCAGCCTCGTCTCGACTGTCCCAAAACACATGGCCTCGACTACATTGTTCATTACAGATGGGAATCACAACAACCCTCAACCTAATAATAAACCTCAGCAGTTAAACTTTGAAAGATTCACAGCTGCAGACCATGAGCAATGGTTTGACGACCATCTTGGCAACACTGAGCCGCACCACCAATTGACAATTGATCAATTGGCCATTGGTGGAGCCGCATTAATGCCAAGTGAAGCCATTAATCCAGCTGTAATAATACAGGATATGGACAACAAAGGAAGTGTTCACCAGACCAGCCTCCAGAACAATGATAAATTACTATTATTACCTAAGAGTGGTTATAAAGCTCATTTACCGGTTTATCTTCAACCCTCTTTGTCAACTCCCTCCATGGCTCTCTCACCTCGCAATAACAGCCTATTCCGACCTGCAGAAAAAATGCTTAATATCAATAACCCACGAATGAGTACCAGTGCAACGACTCACAACAACCATAACAACAACAATAACAGCAACATTAACAACAACAATAGCAGCAGTAACAACAATAGCAGCAACAATAACACTCCTACTCCACTTCACTACACACGCCCAACCAACCGATATCCTCGACGCTCTGCACGTCCAGACATGAATACCATTAATACCAATACGTCCAACTCTATTCCTCCTCATTATATTGCTGACCGAAATATCGACTGGAAAGCAAATCCCGGGCCGTCGATTCCATTCATGTCTGCCCCAGTACCTGCTCCACCTGAAAATCGTTTTTTGACAGGAGGAGGAGGAGGAATACAGCCACAGAAAAATATGGACTACTTCAGTCTGCCAAAAGGATACCAATCCAAAGGAAAAAATAGACATGACAGTGAACCTCAGTGGCCGCCGACAAACACGCCACAGAAAGAGACTCAACAGGCCCACATTCCAACAAAACCTAACGATGAAGTCTTTAAAGACTGGGTAAATAGGTCAACAAAAGGATTTTCTGCTGATCAAGGAACACAGACAGCATATGATCATGATCAAGATCAAGATGATAAGCCTAATTATAATTATAAACATAATCAGAATCATGATCCTGAACCACCCAATAACTATAATAGCTATATTAATAATAACAGTAGCAATAACAATAACAAAAATGATCTGCCGGAACAGATCTATCATTCATCGGAATCACAGTTGCCTCATAAAGACGTCGAAGATATATTTCATTTCACTAGCCATCTGGATGCCCATGATGCATTTCTTTCCCTCGCAAATCTTCTTTCGAGTATGGCGCCTGTTGAGAACTGGTCTAGTATAGTCAGTCTCGATCTAAGCCATCAAGGACTTGTTTCGATCATGGATCTTTCGGATATTCTCCCTCATCTTGAATACATCAACATGTAAATCAATTTAGATACTTTAAAATATGCATATACATGTGTATATGTAAAGGTTATTTTATACTTGCTTAAACCATGCTTATATCTTTTTTCTTTTATTTACTTCTTCGTTACTGTTATCTCTCACAGATCTCACAATTCAATTTACACCATATCAGGCTTACCGAGCTCCTTGCAGACCATCAAGGCACAAGCTAACAGGTAAATTTCGTGTGTTACAAATACTAATAAATAAATCTCTATTTATACGTTTTTTTTCCTCTTAAAAATAATATAATAAAATAAACTAAAATATATATAAAATGTATGTATGTATGTATGTATGTGTTTGATATTTAGGCTTACTGATATTGACGGATTTCAGTTACTCCCTAATCTACATCAGCTCGATTTGTGTGACAATGCAATCAGTTCTTTTGAGGGCAAGTATTATAATTGCCTACTTCTTTTTAAATAATATTAATAATGAAAACATGTTATTTGACAGGCTTTGGTCCATGCCCACATTTAAGAGTACTTCATGCCGAAAATAACAAGATATACTCTTGCAAGCCCTTCCAACACATCAGGAGTCTCACTTCACTCAATTTGAGGAGCAATGTAATTAAGCGTTTACGTTTTGGAGAAACTGATCTGTAAGTATACACTTCTTTAATTTTTTTTTTTTATTTTTTAACTATTTAATATACCTATATATAAATGGGAGAAAAGAATATGCACGTTAAAATGTTTTTTTTTAGCATTGAACTAGAGTCTCTTGATCTTTCTTATAATCGAATCGAGAGTCTTGATTCAATCGAAGGGCTACCTAGCCTAAGATTACTCAACCTGGGTAAATTATACAAAATACAAACACGCACACACGCATATATATATGTGTGTGTTGTGTATAAGCGTGTATGTCTGTTTAGGACTCTATGAAACTAATAGTGTTTTCTCCTTTCTTCTTCTAGACCATAATGACATCGAAAGTGTGTTTATAGAAACGCCTATGGATCGACTCAAGATTTTGCGATTAAGCTTCAATCGCCTAAAGTCATTCAACGGTTCTTTATTTCCCGATCTACGGACCCTTTACCTTGACACCAATCAAATCAAGCGAATCGTTGGATTATCTTGTATTCCTCGTCTTCACAGTTTCTCTGTAAGAAACCAAGGCGGGAATGTAGTGTAAGCACAAATACTGTACATACAAAGATATTTCTTCTAAAACAATTGAAAAACGTAAAACTATACCCTTTTGTAGTGATCTTAATCTTTATCACTTGAGGGGTTGTCGAAAAGTGTACCTGTCCGGAAATCCTATGAGACGGCTTACTGATATGGCGGATTTCTTTACTTTGGAATACCTTGAACTGTGTTCGGCCCAACTTGAAGAATTACCGAATACCTTTGCACGACAGATGCCCAATCTTGCTGTGGTTTACCTTTCCAGCAACTTCCTCACAAACATTAGGCCGTTGAGAGAATTGCGTTATTTACGAAAATTGGTTTTGCTCGACAATCGAATTTCCAACCTAGGAGATACAGTGGATGATATTTCTGTTTTTCATCATCTGTATTACCTTGATCTCAGGTAAGTTTCAAATAAACAAATAAATAAACAAACACATAATGATAATAACGTTTTAATTCATATGGTTTGCTTTGTATTTTGTGTGTATGGATTCTTATAGAGAGAATCCAATTTCTCAAAAGTTTTATCCTGCAGTAACCGCAACAACTAAACTCAAGTCACAGCCAAAACTAATACAATACCTTGCACCCGAATACGACACAACCTGGGGAAGCAGAGACGATGAATTCCGAGAAAAGTTACCAGTACATTGGCGTGTGCGGCGGGATGGCTATCGAGCATCTCTAATCAAATACTGTAAAAGTCTGAGGACACTCGATAATATGGTGATCAAAGATGAAGAACGGGACAATGCAGATGCTGCCATAGACAACATCAGGGAATTTTCTAAAGATATAAAAAAAGCTCTTGAAGAGAATGAATAAAAAAAACTTACATACATAAATACTCCTTTAAAAAAACATAAAACATAAAACGTTTGGGTCACACCAGTTGATCCAGTTGGAGAATAGGACGGAGTACATGAGTGGGAAAAAAAATATGGTTACAATTTTTTGGTTGAGATAAGCAAAAAAAGTAAAAAAATAAAATAAGTTCAAGATAGAAACTTTCTTATCATGTTCAGGTTCTTTCGCTCGTCTATTCGTTCAAGAACTCCTAAACCAGTTGTAACTTCTCCAAAACTTGCAATGTCATTCTGTGCATCATCAGTTACGCGATCCCCTTCTACTGGTGCTTCTGCTGAAGCATTAGCATTCATCGACTTTTTGAATGCCTCTCCTTCTCCTTTCCATGCCGTTCACGAATCAGTCCAGAGACTTGAAAATGCTGGTTTCCAAAGATTGAGCGAACGTCAAGACTGGGATCTCAAAAAACAGGGCAAATACTTCTTTACTCGCAACGGGTCCTCTGTCGTCGCATTTGTGATTGGAGGCAAATATGAAACTGGAAACGGTTTCTCAATTGTAGGAGCCCATACCGATTCTCCTTGTCTCAAGGTAAATATCAGATCTAAATATATATATATATATATATATATATAGAAGTGTCTGTATGTTCCTTGAAGGATGAAACATATTTCTGACACAAATAATCCTTGATTTGGATTTTGGATTTGTCATTGTCATTGATATTGTCTTTAGGTTAAACCAGTTTCAAAGAAGGAACAAGTTGGATACGTCGAGGTTGGAGTTGAATTGTATGGTGGTGGTATTTGGTAAGTTTATTCGATTCTATTATATAAAATATCATAAAGATAGTGGTTATTGAAAAAAATAATCAGGCACACTTGGTTTGATCGTGATCTTGGTATTGCTGGGCGTGTTATGGTACAAAATCAGGATGGTACATTTAAGCACACCTTGGTACGCATCAACAGGTAAGAATGGAAATATATATATATATATATTATTATTATTATTAGTGCGTAGAGTAACTGAGTGGAGTGAGATATAGTAAATTCAAATGAGCCAGAGAAATTAGTATTCTCGCAAAGTTACTAATGACGGATCATTTTCATTAGACCAATTCTACGCGTCCCTACTTTGGCTATTCACTTGGACTCTTCTGCAAATACAGCCTTTTCATTCAACAAGGAATCTCAGTTTATTCCTGTCTTGGCTACTACCGCAAAAGCGCAAGTATACAGATCCACAAATACAAACATAAAGACAACAATAATCTCCCTGCGTGCGTGCTGTATTAAACGTATTTAGTTTATTGTTTTGCTTCTTTCTACAGTGCCCTGAATGCCATGCCAAAGGTTGAGGAAGCACAGGAGACTAAACACCACCCCGCCTTGATCGGAGTCTTGGCTGAGGAAATGGGGATTGCACGTAGGGAAAAAATTTACTTTTTGGAAACCTTTATCTTATTGAACCTCACTAATATTCTGTACTATATTATGTAGCTCATCAAATTAACGATTTTGATCTCTGCTTGTACGACACCCAGCCAGCTACTCTGGGAGGTGTCTATGACGAGTTTATTTTCTCTGCTCGTCTTGATAACCTCGGCATGTCCTATTGTTCTCTAATGGTATTTTAATTTATATGTTTTTTTTTAATACTTGTCTATTACTGCAACTATTTGTCTAAGTACAAACACAAACACACACACACACATATGTATACAATCATAATTATTACTATTATTTAGGCTTTGATCAATACTTCAGACAACATTGCAGACGAAACAAACATTCGTTTGGTGTCATTGTTTGACAACGAAGAGGTTGGAAGCACAACAGCTCATGGTGCAAACTCCAATCTTTTGCCTTCTACCCTTGAGCGTCTGGTGGCCACTGAAGTTGGTAAAGCCAGCAAAAATACGACCAGCAGTAACAACAACAAGGTGATTATAAAATCCTTGTCTAGGCTTTTGAAGGCCACAAAGAGTCCGTTTAAATCCGAGTCCGCTGGCACTCCTTGTCCTCAGACGTTGAGTGAGAAGTACCTCAGTTCACACATGCACTCACCTATTCCTTTCTCATCTCATGATTCTGTTTCCTCTTGTTTTCCTTGGCCCCGTCGACCTCGTAACACAAAGATCTCGTTTGAACAAGCACTCCAGAAGAGTATGTTGGTCAGTGCAGACATGGCACATGCTGTCCACCCCAATTACAGGTAATACCAATGAAATAGAATAGAAGAGAAAGACATCTTTTTTTATTTTAATTATTTTTGAATTGTTAAAATTTTGTGGGGATAGTGAAAAATATGAGGAAAATCACCGACCAGCTATGCACAAGGGTACTGTGATCAAGATTAATGCAAACCAGGTAAGAGCAGATATGATTTACCAAAGAAAAAACCAATCGATTGACTGATTGTTTCAATATTCAATTATTCTCTTCCATTTATTTAGAGATATGCTACTACTGCACCCACCAGTTTGATATTGCGTGAAGTTGCCCGTCGTCGCAAAGTACCAGTTCAGGTATGGTACACACCAGTTATAATATCTAAAGTATTGTTCTAGAATTTTGATCTCATTGTGGATATCTGCATGTACATGTGCTGTGTCTGTATATATATATGTGTGTGTGTGTCTGTGTGTGTTGTTGCTTTTTTGTAGGAATTTGTTGTTCGTAATGATTCTTCATGTGGATCCACAATTGGCCCTATGTTGAGTGCCAAGTTGGGTCTTCGTACAATTGGTAAGACCAACAAAACAATCAGTTGTTGTGTGATCACATATTCTCTTATATATCTATTTTAAAAAGTGCAAAGAACACACAAGAAAGCCGTATTAAATATGATAATCATTTTTTTAGATGTTGGAAACCCTCAGCTGAGCATGCACTCAATTCGTGAGATTGGAGGTGCTGATGACGTGAAGAATGGAATTGATCTGTTGGGTGTAAGTTGTCTGTTTTTCGTGGCAGATAAACTAGTTGACTAACAGACATCATACATTGACTATATAGGCTTTTTTTGAGCTGTTTCCCATTGTTGAAGCAGGTGTATTTGTAGATTAAGAAAAATCTGTAGTTTTTTTTTTCAATAACACACCCTTTACTTTGACTTGATTTTCTTATTCTTATTTTATTTTTTCCTGTTTGTTTCAATTCAATAACTTTTTGAGGCTTAATATAATGAGAAATTCAAGTCAAAATCTTGACTGTGAATTAGTGGCCCTGAACAACCAAATATCTATTGTTACATGTTTGTGTCCCTCTGCAGATATATATATGGTTTACAAGAGGTCATTGCGAAAAACAAGAAAGTCTTCAAGATTTTTCTTCTGATTCGGCATTGCTTCCAAAAAAAGAAAATACGGTAGATGAATTATGATGAGTGACAAAAAGACATCATGATTTTATATATTTATATATTTATCAATGGTCTTTTTGGTGATCAATTTTTTTTTGATCAGCACAACCGCCATTCAAAAATACACAAAAAAAATGAACTTTATTATTTGATACAACACAAAAGTCTCAATAGTACAAAACTCTGTCTTGTAGAACTATTTTCCCCAGACTATACACACGCACACAAACACGCACACACACATGAATATACGTACAGGCACAGACACAAGTACACAGACACAGGCACAGACACAATTATAAGTGCTTTCTGTCTATAGAATTTCATTCAAACAAAGACAAGAATGAAAGAGCGAAATAAATGAGGAAAAGAAGAATGTATTGCCGATAAGAAATGCTGTACTTAGTGGAACAGACATTTGGTAGTCCAATACGAATATAAATAAAGCTTTGGTTTCTGAACACACATATATTGCATTTGTCCTATCAATATTATAAGAAACCTTATATAATTTATGGTATATATCTCAATGACCATTAATCGGTAATGCCACAAAGTTACTCCTTATTCAAGACATCATCACCAGAAAAAAAAGGCGCCTGTACTTAAGAGATTGTAACCATTATCCTGTTTTTTTGTACAAGCATCTTTTTTTTATATAACTTAAACGAGGCACTAAAAGAAAGAATGTGCTTCTACATTTACTATTTCTTGTTTTGGCTTTACGCTTTCTTTCTTTATTTCTTGCTTGCTTTTTAAGAACCAAGAATATCTTTCCAAGAATATATACTACTATTACCATTATTATTATCTCAGGGCCAAAGAAGAAAGAAAAAGGTCCACGATATTCAAATGGAGATGTAATATTCTACAGAAGTACATTTGTAATACCTTGTTTTTTTTATATGTATATAAAACATATAGTTTACTGATACAACTAGACTTGTTGAAAGTTCAATTCAGTTTAGTTATGTGTGAGAGTGAGAGTATGTGGGGGAGAGGAAGAGGGAGAAAGAGGAGGAGCTAATTACCCAAAAAAAATTGTTCTCTATTTAAAGCGCAAACACATACGCATACACCAACACAATTTGACTCTTATTCATAATATCAATTGATATTTCTCTATACTTATTTACACGCAAAGATATTCATTTATATTATAGGACACCAAATTAATAAGGACAAATTAAGAAAGACGTGATATATACAAAGAAGATGAATTCAGAATAGAAAAACAAAATGAAGAAGAGCAATATTGTGTATGTAGTTTGTACTATGTAACAAGGTTTCAATTAGATAAATTTTTAAAAATAATAATATATATATATTACTATTGCTATTGCTATTATCTTTTGATAAATTCACTACACACAGTACCTAGTTCCAAACCTTATAAGTCGTATGTGGGCGCATATTCGTATGCATGCATATAACACATTATCATGACATCACATTATCACTTAATGTTTAATGCTTAATGCTTAATTCTAAATGATATGGTCAAACGGGTATTGTGTGTATATAGCCAATACTTCTGTCAAGTATTCCTACCTGATTACTGTGTTACTTTAGAATCCAAGGTCAGCCGTCGTGACTTGCAGTGTCCACACATATCTTATACACACAAAAGCAAGCTAATCTCGCTTTGAATTTCTTTTGGGAGGTATTTATAACAATGCCACACATGTCCTACCACAAAACCCTGGAAGTGCGGCGTGGCGCTAGATGGACTATAAAAGAATAAAAATATTTTTAACAGGAACAGGAACAAGGATAATAGCAAGAGTTGAAAGAAAGAAGAAAAGATTCCAATGATAAGTTTGTTCAATTTTTTGGTCCTGTTGTTACTGTTACTGTTACTGTTACTGTTACTGTTGCTATTTCTGTTACTAACATAGTGTTACTGTTATTGCTACACTATTACTGCTGTAAAAAAAAGTGCTACATTTATTGAACCCAAAGAGGAGAGAGAAAAAGAGAGAGAGAAAGAGCTGACTTGGTTTACAGGAGTACACAGACTTTCAGAATCCATGACGGGAAAGCAAACTGATTTCAGAAGAACATCAAATGTTGTGTGTTCATGTACCACCCTTGAAAAAAAACGGAGGGCCAAATAAGCATTTAAGTTAAAGGGCTACCGTAGCACTGCCGAGTTGTATTCCCTACTTCTTGTTTTTTTTTCATCTTTTTTTTTCTTTTTACTTGTTTTCTCTCTTTCTTTCTTCCTCACTCTTCTTTAACACTACCAAAAGGAACAAAATAAGCTCTATGGCAGACTATCTATCTATTCTATCTAGCGAAGTCCAAAGGTTCTCGACTGACCATCCCCAGGTCGCAGCTGCGGGCGCACTCGGTGCAATGGCCCTGAGTTTGCTCTACACCGGTTTTGGCTCCAAGAAAGCTTCACCGGACGGTGCGATTCCTTTACCACAGCCAAGGGGACGCATGCCGGTTATCGGACACTTGTGGAGTATCGTAAAGGCACCCCATATCAAGATGGCTGAGTATTCAAAGGAACTAGGACCAATCTATCAAATGTCGTTTGGCGGCCGTGACTACATTGTTCTCAACTCCCCCGAAGTTATCAAGGGAGTCCTTGAAACCAATGGCAGCAAGAATTCTGACAGAGTGCCGAGTACAGTTGTTTTGCTGATGAGCGATAATGGCCTGATGTGGGCCTGGGGAGCTGACAACAGTTACCTTCGCAAGTCCCGCAGACTGTTTCACAACGGTTTTATCAACAAGACCAACTGGGAAAAGAACTTTCCTGAATTATACAATAACCAAGTCGGTCGTATCTTGAGAAAGATCAGGGACCACGGAACTGCCGACGAAGGTTATTCGTTAATGGATGTCTGCTATCTCTACACAGTAAGGTTCTTTTGTTAATATTTATTATGGTTGGCGTTATCGTTGATGCTGATATATAAGTATTCATATTTTTATTTTTCTATTTTGGCTATTTCTGGATAGATTAATGTGTCAATGAGTGTTCTATTCAATCGTGATTATGAGAGCTGTGACGATCCAGACTTCCTTGAAATGAATGCAGTTGCCCACGATTTTTCTGACCTTGGCGTGGCGTTACAAATTGAGTGCCCAAAGATTCTCGAGTTTGCCATCAGTCCATTCATGAACAACGCAAAGAGACTTCAAAATAAATTCCGTAGTGTATTCAGCAAATATATCAAGGAACTTCGTGAAAAGCGCGCAAAGGGCATAATCGTGAAATGTAAGCTAGTTTTATCTTCTTTACTATATATTTATATAAACTACGTCAAATGAAATCAATTTGAATCGTATTAGATTTCATTACAATTTAGCGCGTTCTTTTTAAAGCTTAGTCTATTTAAAAAAATGGCCTTGTTTAACCATGTTTTATCTGTTTATTTGATTTATGCATGGTATACTAATGCAATCAATTGTACTAAATTTTATTTTAGGTCTTATTTCTGACATTCTTGACGTTCAAGAAAAGGAACAATTGACAGAGCCCGAATGTAAGAAACATTTTTTTATATATTTACAAGAAGTATAATTTTATATACAATGTGGGTGTGTGAGAGTGGGAAATCAGTTGATTTATTTGTATGATTTTATTTCTTATGCTTTTAAACTATCATAGTGGACAACTTTGCCGCTGCTTCTATGGTAGGAGCAACAGATACGACTGCCTTGTCACTTGCAAATCTACTGGTTACCTTGGCAAATTACCCAGAAGTACAACTCAAGGTACAGAAAGAACTGGATACAGTAGTTGGTATAGAGCGTCACCCGACCGAGCAGGACTTGATCAATTTGCCATACACCAAAGCTGTCATAACAGAGTGTTTGAGATTCTGTCCACCTGTCTGGATCAGTCTTCCTCACATGTCAAGAGAGAGACAAGTCTACAATGGCTACGAAATTCCGTAAGTTTTTGCATATATTAATATTATATTTCTTTTATTGGAAATGATGAGAGAGTATGAATGACTGTAATGAATGGTATTGATGTTAATAAATTCACTTGATATTAACGATTCTTGTTCTCTTTTCCTTTTATACACAGAGCCAACACTGGTATTCTACAGAACATCTATGCCACAAACATGAGCCCTGAACTCTTTGACAAGCCAGAGGAGTTCAATCCAGACCGCTATTACAAAGAAGAACTCTTGAAACCGAATCAACGTGATCACTGGAGTTTTGGCAGTGAGTGAAAAGAATAAGCTATATGAACTACCCTCTCGTTCATTTTGATTAATGAATCAAAAGCCTACCTATATCTACCTAATTGACAACAACTGATACACAAACAAATGAACTAATGAATTATTGCTTAATTCATTTCATTGCATTATAGATGGACGCCGTACCTGTCCTGGTAATATATTTGCCGAGAAATCACTTCAGTACTTCACGGCCCGTATTCTTTGGGCCTATACATTGACAACACCTTTGGACAAAAATGGCAACCCAATTCCGGTGCCAATGACAGACATCAAGGATCCGATTTCCCAGCCTGCTCACTGTAACATTAGATATGTACCTCGTCGCGCCAACGTAGGCAGTTTTGTCTAGTTCAAGCCCATGTCTATAACATACGCCCACACCCAAACATCTAGAAAAAAACAACAATAACCCAAATTTTCATCAGTATCACACACATTTATCCATTTACACCCGCTTTATCCTTTCTGTCTATCCTTATTTCTTATTTCTGCATTTACCTTGAACGAAACAATGACCTTGATAAATCAACAATACCTCTTCTTAAAAGAACAAAAAAAAACAACCAAATCTATCCATTCCATCATTTCTAATAAATCTCTTGTTTCTTATTTATTTTTATTTACAACAAAGCATCATAAATATAGACAACCTTCCGCTGCGGGGAGCCATGTCAACTTAACTAAAGAGCTTATTATTTTATTTAAAGAAAAGATGAAATGAAATATATATATATATATAGATTTGTGTGGGTGAGTATATATAGCCCAGATTTTATTACCATTGCCATTGCCATTATCCTTGCTTTTTACTCGTAACAATCCTGTTACCAAAGCACTCTTTTTTATTCTTTGCCTCTACGTCTACTTCTCTACAGTTATAAAACACTTGAATATACATACTTCTTTATTCTTTTTCTTTTTCTTTTTCTTTTCTCCCTTTTCTATTAAAATACACCTTGTTCGCGCAAGCACACGCACGCGCTCACACATTCTCATACATATATAAATATAAATATATATATATATTTATATTTATTCTGCAAACAAGACAGTCCTCTTCAAACTCTGTTGTCCAACCGTCACCTCTAGGATGCCTCGCACCAAAAACAAGTCCAAAAGCAGCCGCCCAAGAGCGGAACAAATAGTTTCCGGCGATGACAATGGTCAAGATCAATTTGAAAATACACCCAAAACATCAAGCATGAGTCGCGTCGATGGCACAGAAGAATCGGATCAGCAAAGCATTAGCCGTTCAAGACAACAAAGTGTCTCTGACATTTCATCAATCGAGGGGATCTCTGAAGACAATCGTGAAATACGAGAAGGATCATTACAAGCCGAAACCGAACTTGGTCTCAGTGCGACCGACAGAGCAACAAGCGACAGAGTTACAAAGTGGTTAGCTAAAGATACATATATACATATATTTGACTGATATTTATTTATTAATTTATTAATTTACTTTATTTTATTTATTTATTATTGTTTAGGGTAAAGAGCAACTATGAGTATGAGCACGAACACAACGTGCCTCGTAGTGGCATGTATGATCACTACAAGAACCAATGTGACTCCCAAGGGATCGAACCTGTCAATTCAGCTACGTTTGGAAAGCTTATCCGCACAGTTTTTCCAGGCATAAAGACCAGGCGTTTAGGCACAAGAGGACAGTCAAAGTACCACTATTGTAATATCCGCCTTCGCACCGATCGACATACAGCTTCAGATTTTACAGAAGGCCCTTCAAATCTTACAGAAGGCCCTTCAAATCTTACAGAAGGCCCTTCAGATTCTCTTGGTCAAGAAGATGCCGGAAACCCTGAAGATAATGGCAGGTAATATATATATCTGTTATTAATTTTTGTTCCCACTATATATTTTATTTATTTATTTATTAACATTGATTTGATTTGATCTTTTTATCTTTTTCTTTTCTTTCTTTCTACAGTCAACTTGTTCCAGTGGCCGAAACCCCAGATTTTGAATCCTTTGACGAGCCAATGTCCAACATCACTCTTCCAAGCATGGACGAAGCTTCTCTGCTGGACAATATTCCTGAATCTTCTCAGAATGTCAGGAAATCTTCTACTCTTCCAAGCATGGACGAAGCTTCTCTGCTGGACAATATTCCTGAATCTTCTCAGAATGTCAGGAAATCTTCTACTCTTCCAAGCACTTCTACACAGACTGCAGGAACTCGATCGACGATACCTTCCAAACGTACTTACAAAGGAAAAACTCGACACCAAATTTTTTACCAGCTTAGTACTAGCAATCTTAGTAGTATCAGTACTGATTTTTCGGTTGACCTCCCCCATTTTTCGGTTCCTGATTTGCAACACTCGCAACAACAGGAAGGTCAGGACCAACCCGCAAGCTTTACGAAATTGTACGAAGATCATTGTCGAGAGCTATTGGGCATTGTTCTATCCGGAAAGAGCTTGCAAGTAAGATAATTATAATTATAATAATTATAATAATATTAATTGATATTAATTGATTTATAATTATAATTATAATTATTTCTATTATTTGTTACTTTAGATTGATGCATGCATAGTACTTTTTTATCAAAATATGGCCGATGACCATTTCCAAATGGTCAAAAAGGTGCCTGAAATCTGGGACGCAATCTGGAGGTGGGACAGTATACTTTATGATGTAAGTTTCTAAACTCTTGAACAAACCATTTTCAATACTTATTTTCTTTACTATATTTAATGATTTACACACGATTTTTCTTTTAATAAAATGTGTATGTATGTCTAGACCATTATTGTACAAGCTTTTCCGACTATTGATGCGCCATTGAGTCAAAAGGTGCGCCGGAGCTTGCTGAGGTTTTCACGCAATGTGGTCGATGAATTGGATGTTTATCTTAAAGGATTCCCCCAAAAATTGTACCAAAAGAAGTATGAAGGTAAAACCAAACCAAACAAACAAACATTTTTCTGTTGATATATCAAGAGATCAGTAATATTAGTGGATCAATTAATGAATAGATCAATAGATCAGTAGATCAGTAGATAGATAAATAGATAAAAATTGATATATCAATAAATATACGTAAACATGTTTCTAATCTTTTGCATTATTATTAGTCGCATACATATTTGCAGCAAAATTACAGAGACACTTGTCTATAAATGAAATGGCCCAGACCGCAACAGCAGTTCTCAAGGACGCTGGTCATATTCGCCAAATGAAAATCGATTGGCAGGATATGGACATCAGAAGTGTAACAGACCAAGGCTTATGGATCTGTGATTGCAAATCGACATTCATCGAACAAATTTGTATGATTCTTTTTTGATGTTATATTTTTATGAATGATGTCTAACTTTAATGTTACAATTTATTTATGTGTTTAGTGCAAAGTGATATTCCTCAGCTGCTAATAAGTGGTGCCAAGTTAGATGCATGGATGAAATGGATCGATAAGCTCATGGAAATGTATATGAGTAGATTCTCAGTAAGTCTACCTCTCGTACTCAAAAGAGAGCACTGCTTCCTGACAGCTAATACATATATCTACTTCTTTGATTCTTCTAGGTGAGACAGGCAATTGATTGTGAGCACTACATTATCCAGGCAAAACAGCTAGTAATGAAATGGACATTCTACACATCTCTTGTGCTTCGTGATCTGTCGCTCAGAAATGCAAGAAGCTTGGGTAAAATTTCAAGCAAAAGATTCCAACTTGGCAGATAACAAGTCTAATGATAGCCACTATTTTCTTTTATCTTAGCTATATTCCGCATAATCTGCGTATTCTTTGATGACTTTGTTCTCTATCTGTTGGAAGAGCGTATTGCCCAAATGAACTTGGCCCTCGTACAATCCGGCCGAGCCATTATTGAAGCCAACGCCAGAGTAAATTCTCTTCAAGGTTTCACAGATCCAACCGAGATTTTCTACAATCACCAACAAGATTACAACCCACAGGCTAGAGGCTCTCAGCCACCTAGCACCCACAATGGTAAGAAGCAAGAAAAAGTATATTATTTGCTTTATTATACACATCTTTAGAAAACACTCTTCCTCTATCAAGTACTTGTAAAAGATCACAGAAACTCACTTTTTGATATCTTATTATTTTTCGAATCCTATGATCTTGTTATGAACAACCAAGAAGAAGTACCCTAGGAATCTACTTGCTCTGATTCACTTATCAACCTTATCTTCTTATCTACCTGTTCTTTATCTCTTTGGATTTTTTCCATTTTAAGCTATAATTGCTACTGTACACATTATGTATCCCTTCTCTCTCTCTCTCTCTCTCTCTGCGTTTTTGAACACTACTCTACGATATTTTATTATATCTACTATATATATATATATATTCATTCTATATTTTATCTTACCCTATTTTACCTTATCTTACCTTAATAGCAGCTCACCTTCTCTTTGCTTTATGTCAATAAAAAAATACTCTAATTACTTGGCATTTCTTTTTGAGGGGTATTTTTTTTTAAACTTCCCCCCTAATTTATATTTTTTATTTTTTATTTTTGCGTGGTTTTGTCAACTTACTTGTACACCTTTTGGGAAATCGTCTGTGTCTGTTCGCACTTCATCTTTAGGTACCCCTTAATTATTCTTTTATCTATCTACCTATCTATCTAAATATCTATGCTTAAATCAGATCTTATGAATGTGTATTTACATATATAGAAAATTGTTTAAAGACATGCGGTTTGAAAACAATTTTGATCATATTACTCTTACATATTATTCTTTTCTTCTATTGTATTCTAGTCAATATGTGTTTAGTTTTGGTTTTTTTTTATAGATTTTGGAAAGGCAAGAATTTGAACTGTAGAAGTATATAGTAATCAAAATAACAGTATAATTACAATCAAAGCCCACCCCCTTGTTTTATTATATGCTCGCTTTGATTCATGAAATAGAAGGGTGCAAAGCCTATTTGATTTGATATTCCTTAAAATAAAAAATAAAATAAAAAAGGAAAACCAAAGGGGGTTTCGGCTCATCTTGTTTAATTCTTAAGTTAAGAATTAAAAGCTTAAATATATAGCTAAATTATTATATATTTTTTAAAGAAGAGAGAGAAAAAAAGGGTATATATATATAATATTACAAGCCCTGCCCTGCCCTGCCCTGCCCTGCCCTGCCATGCTATACCATACCATACCCTGCCTTGCTAAGAATAGGCGAATGTTATTTACAGTGTAAATTAGACTATCAACTGAATTTACATGGCTATCATAGGATTCATTCCAAGTTGTTTCTTTATATATTCTTTTTATTTTATTCACGCACTAATTCATGCCCTAGCTTGCTAACTTACCAATTATATAACTCAGTGAGTTACCGACTTTGCTCACCCATACACAATACTAATATTAACATTAACATTCACTCTCTTGATCTTTATCTTTAGCTGTGCCTTTAGCTGTGTCTGTATCTTTACAATTTTTTTTGTTTCTGTTTGTGACAAGAGCATGATACTCCCTCCTTTCCTCACCCTCCTTCTATGTCTCTCTCCTTCTTTCCCTCTGACTAGTATTAGTACTTTAATTGCTCAAAAAATATGTTTTGCTTTGTAACTAATAAAATTATGTGAAAGTATCTTTTACTTTCCTTGCCTTTTTTTTTAATTTTTTTTTTCATTTGTAAATGTTTATTTATCTTTTATTCTTGCATGCTTGATTGGTATACTTTACATATATATTTATTTCTTTATTTAGTTTGAAGGAGATATATGCGTTTCTTTAAAATCATTTAGCTTGTTTCAACTCTATTCTTATTCTTAGTCTTTATTATTCTTATTATTATTCATACTTTCTATATATTTTATTATCAAAATCTAAAATATAATGATATACTTGGCTGTATATCCTTGTACAATAATATTAATATTAATATTAATATTAATATTAATACCAATACCAATACCAATACCAATACCAATACCAATACCAATACCAATACCAATACCAATACCAATACCAATACCAATACCAATACCAATACCAATACCAATACCAATACCAATACCAATACCAATACCAATAATGAGAATGAGAATGAGAATGCAAAAAAAAATGAAATCATAAATGAAAGGAGATTAACTGCATTGAAGTTTGTTAGGTGGGACAGCAAGATAGATCGTCGTACAGATCCAATGTAATGGTAATATTAAGCTCTTTGACTGATTCCAAAAATAAATTTAAACATTTGATTAATATAACATAATATAATTTATTTCAAACCCATATGCTGTAAGTACATTTGATGAAAAAAAAACTACTTTATTGGACTGTTATGATTTTAAAAGAAAAGAAAGAGTTAATAGTAAAGAAGAAGAAGAAGTATATAGTTACTTTCTATTTTAATTACTGTCACTGTTGTTGTTGTTGTTGCTTTGCGTGTGTGTGTGTGTGTGTGTGTATTTTTGTAATGTTTACATAGATGATTTCAAATGGCATGCATCTGTATTTATATTTCAACCTTGAGGGCAGGCTCGCAGGTCTTGTAGAAGCTTTATAGAAACATAGAACCTTTTGTATTTAAATATTAATCTTTTCTGAAATAAGCTATCCTATTGTTTTACGCCTGTGTTTGTGTTTTTTGTTTGTTTTTGGCTTTGTGTTCAAAGACAGTATGAGTATAAAGTTGAAATATGCAGGGATTCTAGACATCGGCTGCCAGCTGAATATTTAGTCACTCACACAGAATGGTCTGTACCGAGTACCAAGTATTGATATTAATATTAGCTGTAGTAATGGTAGTAATAGAAGCAATAACAATACATATTTCTTTTGTTACAATAGGCATATGCATGTAATATGAATAAATAGATAAACAAATAAACAAATAGGTTAAGTGGAGAAACGAAGGAGTGGTAAGATAAATTTGCAAGTAGGTAGGGAGAGAGAAAGGAATGAATGTTCCGTTTAAAATTGCTTTTGTTTTAGAGTTCGAGAACAATCTTGTATAGTCTAGCTTATATTACAAAATATTAACATTTTATATAAAATAAGTTTATACTACTAGTAATAAAAGAAGAAGAAGAAAAAAGGTACAAACTTGGTGCCAGTTGAATGGGAATAATTATCAATTAAGCTATCTGATTTTGGAAACAATATAAATATATATAAAGATATATATACATATTTAACAAAATTGACTATCGATGTAAATATTATTTTCTATTACTGAGAAAAGAAAGGGCCGAAATAGAGAGTTGGCTGTAGATTGGCTCTTGTTATAAAAACAGACGCACAAATCGTACGAGAAAAGATCGGCATCAAATAAGAGAAAATAAAGGAAGTAAAGAGGGGCAGAGAAATGGAAAGGGGGGAAATAAGGAGGGCCTAATAGTCAGTAATAAGTAATGATATATGTATTAGGATTCAACAGTCCTCGCATGGTTTGTTCAGTAACACACATATGTGTATATAGATATACTCGAAAATTATTTCTCAAATTTCAGTAAATGAGGTGTAGTCTGTGTAGTATTTGGAATATTTTTGATTTTCGTATCTTGTCTTATCGCACCGAAAAATTAAATTTTCTATTGCTACCAATATTCTGGCTTGAGAACAAATTTTTGACAAAGATGAGCAAAATCATAATAAATGATAATAATACTATACTATACTATATATAAAAGTCAAAATCAAGTAAAGAATATATTATAAACTATAAATTCTTTTAAGAGGACATTCACTAATATTCTCAAGAAGGTGCCTGTTAATTTCAAAACCAGTGTTTATTTATCTCTTTTACAAACAAGATCAAAAATTACAAAAGAAAAAAAAACGACTTTGTTTATTTTTGAATAGTTAAAAGAAAGGGAAAGAAAATAACAGCCTAAAAACAAGGACAAGAATAGCAAATGTTTATCAATTGAAATGGGCAAAAATGAAAAGAGAAAATTGCCCTTACTATTCTTATCACTATTAGTCTTGTAAGAATGCAAACAATTTGTTCCCTTGGTTATTATTTTTTTCAAGTAAGAAAAGACAAGAAAAAAAGAAGGTTCAATCAATATATAGGACCTTGAAGAAAGAAGAAGAAGAAAATAGGTTACTGCTTCCAATTTGAGAAAGACCAAAAAGCCTTAGACCAACACAAAAAACAAAAAGACAAAAAAGAATTGAAAATCTAAAACAGACAAAGTCGTGTAATATTACTCGTACTCATACTCGTGCAACGCCCAACTTTAATTATCAAATAAAGAATATTGACATTTTGCTCAAAAAATATATATGATTATTATTATTATTATTATTATTGGTACTTTGTTGTTTGGTGAATTGCTTTATTTTATTTTATTTTATTTTATTTTATTTTTGGTTGTTTTCTTCGCATCTTTCTAATGTGTTCTATATCATTCCATCTTCTGTGATAGCCTTACAAAACTATCCCTATCTCCTTTATGTGTCAGCTTAATTGGTGTCAAAAATATTGAAAAAAAAGGAAATAGTAAATAATTACAATTAGCAAAGGCAAAGGCAAGGGCAAAAGAAAAAGGATCATAAAATACTAAAGTTCTATCGACAAAGGTTGGTAATATAATTAATCTTCTTTAACCTCGAGGAAGTAACCAAAATTAATGAAAAGTGAATTTTTTATAAAGTGCTTGTTCTTCTTTAGTAGAAGTGGGTAAGTCTAAAGATATAAAAATCGATATCTGTGGTCTAAAATTTTGTATATTTTGTCTAGGTTCAATATCGAAAAAAAAATGGAAAAAAAAAACAACCAAAAACAAACAGCCAAGAACAACTTTATTGCTTACAGTAATCTTCACACCTACACAATCACACACACACGATAGTAGTTACAGGCTACAGGCTACAACTTTCAGGTTATAGACAGTCGCAGCACAGACAAAATATCACAAATCTCCTTAAATAATAAGAATAAACTAAAGATCCCTTTGATAATATCGGCTTATCCCTTACTCATCCAGGCACCTAGACACTCGGGTATTCAGACATTCAGGAATTCAGACACTAACTCAACACTATATATATACATATATACATGTGTGTGTATACTTATATGATAATTGTGTAATTGGAAGACCAGTCTTTTATTGTAAATAATAACAGTATATAGCATATAATTACTCTAGTAGATTCTTCTAGTATCAAAACAAGGGATCAGCTGGCTATTCAGTAAAGGAGTGAAAAGAAGGATCATACTAATAATTACAATAGAATATTTATATAACAGCCAGCTCTGTACTGCTTAAAGAGAGTTAAAGTTGTTAGTTAAAGAAGAAAAGAGAAATAAAAGAAAAAGAAAGAAAGAAAAAATGGCGTAAAGTATGGATCTAATTTAGAGTTTTTATTGGGCTTGGTAAAAAAAAACGCCATTAAATCTAGTACGTTGATTTTTATTCTTTTTTTTTCTTGCAATATAATTGCATTGCTTTTTAATGTTCATAAATTGAGGCCTACTACTCTTCTTCCACTCTTTTATTTATTTTTTTGTACTTCTTGTACGTTAAAAAAAAAACGACAATTTTTTTTTTCAATTGATAAAGCGATTCACAGAGGCCATTATTTTGCCGTTATCATTATCATTATTTCATGTGAGTCAAATACATCCTCAAAAGATTTCCTGTTTTTCACACCCATTGACACATACACACTATGCTCCTGAAAAGACAAAAAAAAATAAGGAAAGGGAAAATAAAAGGGAAAAGGAAAAGGAAAAGGAAAAACGAAATTATACAATATGCTTTAAGATCTATTCTCCCTTTTTCTCGATATCGAAACGTATCTAAATATACAGAAAATGCACATTTATACAAATAAACAGCCAAGTACCCAACACAACGGAATTTATATAAAAGTAAAAAAAAAAATATTCGTATAATTGACACATTTAATAGATACATTTAATTTTATGTTAATTATTTACATCAATTGTAGAAATGCGAAAAACAATTATGACTTGTATTTCTGTCTAGTTTTCAGCATGTTTATAAATTTGTTAAAAAGGTAAATGTAAACTAATGATGACCATCTATTTATTTCTTGTCCCAGTGGGTCTATTTGAGAATGTGCTTTTACATAAAGACTACTTGTTAAAAATTTGGGTACTAACTATTTACTATCAACCTATTACTATTACTTTCTTTTCGTCCTGTTTGTTTCTTTGGATTCTTCTTTTTTTTTGGTAGTAAGGGATACTTGACCCCATGAATAATTTCGATTCTCGTTTTGGTTTTTGAGGTCAGTCTATCTAAAATTGTTTAAAAATAACTACCTATGTATGTATGTATGTATGTATGTATATATACATACATAAATTAACTATATAAAATTAATAGGTTATGCTAGCTATAATTCCAAAAAAAAAGCGTTGGCGTCAATGGCGTTCAATGGGGTGAGAGACTAAAGAAAGCCAGATTTGGACATATATATATATATATATATTATTTTTATTTTATTTTATCGATCAAGACATTATATATGTATATTGTATGTATGTATTATTGACATTATCATTATCGTTGCACCAGCCCTCTGGACCACAACACATATTTGGATAGTAAGTCATAGAGATTAATAATAATATTTATATATTTATCTTATGTTTTATAGTTTGTGATTTAAAGAAAAACAAAAAGAAATGGAACCTTAATTTGTATAATTTCTTCATGTTTATAGTAATGTTTCATTTTTGCCAATCTCTCTACTATTTTTTTTTTTAAAAAAAAAAGACATTATAGGAAACGAGGTTTCTGAATTTAATTTACAATAAAAGAGGTGTATTTGAATAGATTGTTGGCTTGTATTCGTCAGTATAGATTGTTTTATATGTATAATTATAAAGCCCACGTCTACTAGGTTTGGCTTTGGCTTTTTAAATGCCATTTGGTATAGTAATTTGATCTCTAAATTACATATATAACTATATATATATGTATATATATAGTTATATCTTACATTAAAACCATGTATTTGTTATATCGCATTTTGTGTCTGGTAAAAAAAAATACTCCATAATGGTGCTAAACATTGGATGGGATTCTCGCAAAAAGCTAAGTGCCATGTGAATTAAGACAAAAGAAAAAAATCGATTCATTACAACCTTAAACTGAAATATATATATATATATATATATAATTCAAGGTATACCAACCTAGTGGGTAAGGGATATGCTTTTTGTAGGGATTAAAAGTCCATATTCTCGTCAAATAGCGTATTCTATAAAAACCCGATTATCAATTGTTTAATCAATCTCTTTAACCTACATTTCTACTATTCTATTCTTCTTCTTACTTTTGCTTCTTCTTCTTCATTAACTGATAAGAAAAAAAAGAGTCACTTCTTTATAAATCTCTCTATCGATCTATATATCTATCTCTCTCTCTTTATCTCTTTACCTCTTACGTAACATATAACAATATTATCTTTTTTTTCAACATGAATTGTGAGGCACTCAATCAAATCTATCCTCTTGATACTTCTATTAACTACCAAATGGCCTGTCAAGAAGTGGCATGCTTCTCCTTGGCCTATACAGTCGATCCAGATACACTTAACTTCGGTTTCGCTAATGAGCAGTTTGTATCCGTTGAACCTTATGACCCCAAACTCCAAACCGGGTGTTTGCAGTCAATTTGTACCCAATCAAACTATCCTGAAATCATGATCGAGTCTCACGAAAGAGAAGCATACCAGGATGGTTTTGACAACACCAGCTCTTGGCAACACACTGCCAACTCCGTGTTTTCCTTTCCAAATATCGCGAGCTCCGTACAGGCCACCAGCTTTTATCCTACTCCAGCCTCATCTTCTCCCTCGACCCCCGATTACTTGCCTTCAACCCTGTCATTTTTCTGTCCTGACCAATTCTCGGCATGTTCAGAAGAAACCGGCAATCAGGATGTATTGTATTCGTCTTTAGACCTGTACGACCCCAACCATAATATTAATAGTACCAACATCAGCAGAAGCAACATCAACAACAAGAACAATATCTACCCAGATACCCGTACACCCATTTATTTCTCGGATCCCTCTCTAGCTTCCTATTCATCTCCAGATTCCTTTTTATCTCCAGTCTCCGTCCCAACTACTGTCTCTGTTCTACCCACGGTCTCCAAGCCTTCTCCACCCCCACCTCCACCTCCATCAGTCGTGATAAAGGTGGAGGATGTTCAAGAGCCAAAAAAAACCAAGGACCGCCCTTTTGGATGCGAAGACTGCAAGCGTGCATTCACCCGCCGCCATGATCTCGAGCGACACAAGAGGGTTCACACTGGTGTCCAGCCCTATGAATGCCCACACTGTCTTCGTAAATTCTCCAGAACCGATGCTCGTCAGAGACACTGGAAATTGGAAAAGGAGTGTGCCGAGAGTGTAAAGGTTAACTCATTGCTTGCCAACAGATACAGAAAGATTCTCAAGTAAACCTTTATGGAGAAGCCATATCACCAAAACAGCAACCCAAAAGAGAAAAAAAACCAAAAAACCAAAAAAAAACCAAAAGCCAAAGACTTGCTATGTACCACTCCTTCCCAATACTATTCACCTATTTAAATTACCTTACATCGCATTGCCTTGCCTTACCTTACCTTACATTATATTTATTGATTCGTATATATATATATATATATATTGATATTTCAATAGCCCTTTCCCTCCTACAAACATATATACAGATACAGATACACATACAGACATACAGACTTATATTTTACCCTTATTCTTTCATTTTCTTTTATATATACTTCTTTTTCCTTGTTCCCTTCTTTCATCTTTTTTATATACACCTCCAATATATTTACGGACTTCTTCTTTTTTTTTATTTATTTATTTAATTATTTATTTATTAATATTATTATCGCTATCATTATTATATATCTGAATGTTTATTTTCTTGCTTAAACTGTTCTTTATACCTTTTCCACAACAATGCTTATATGTATACATGTATACACACAAAGTACTTGAATAATTAGCATTGGTCTTCAAACCCTTTTTTCCCCCACATTCTCTTCAAAAATGGTTGCTTTCTTCTTATCTTCATGTGCATTTTTTTATATATATATATCTTTTTTTTTAAATTATGACTCTACTACACGGCTATTCCATTCTATGAAAATTTAATTCTTTACCTTATATATATATATAAAAGAAATATACATATATAAACACATACTCATATATAAGTATCCAATCCTTTGAATTTACTGTATATACACTTGAATAAGAAGAAAGATAAAATACAGCATAATTTATTTTACAAATTTATATATATGTGTGTGTGTGTGTGTGTGTGGGCGTGTGTGTGGAAGTAAATGAGTGTAGAATTATATAATTGCCTGATGGTCATAGATTAGGCATATATGTCTCTATATATACTACTATAATTATTGATAATATAGTGTGATAGAATCAAGTTAGATACAAGAAAAGAAGTCCTTAATAGTTCTTCCTATTAGAATCAAAACATACGTTTCTTTACCTTCAATTTTTATGTACATTAAACGTTGGGTAAAATATTTTATCCGCTTTAATACCAAATCAAGGCAAATATTCGGAGTATCTTTTTAAGTACAATGATAAAAAAAAATGCCTGATCATTTTTGTGATCATTTTTTTTGACAGAGCCAATGAACATCAGATGTTTTGGCTGGGTTTTGACAGCTTACACATTCATATGCAATTGAACTTGTTTTCTTATAGGTGTTGATAGTGCTTGTTTGTTTGGTTGGTTTATTGAAGGTGGGTATAAAAAGACTGCATGAATTAATTTCTGCTCTTGTAATATCTTTATTCTCTCAAATTTGTATTTTATATTCTTTTTCTCTTTCTTTAAGAAATACTACTACTACTACTACTACTACTACTACTACTACTACTACTACTACATTATCATGGAAGACATTGCCCGCCTACCCACTAATTTTATGCCTGCTCCAGTTGTGTCCAATGGACCAACTCCTAAGCGTACAGTGGTGATTGCTTATGACCACACAAACCAAAGCGACGCCTTGTTGGCCAAGGCAATTCGACTTGGAATGATTGCTCCTTCAGATGATATCCGGATCCTACACATCATTTGTCAAGACGAATTCAAAAAGCTGTTTCAAAACACAGGAATGACCGAGTCCTATGCCTCCCACTATATTGAAAGAGAAGATTCTGGCCATGACTCTGCAATGGTGGTTGCTGCAGATATGATTGTAAATGATATCATTGACGTTTTGGACAGAAATGGCGTAAGTTGAATTGAAATTTGTTTGTATGAAGTTGTTGATAGGCTCAAGTTGAAATTAAATTAAATTAAATAAAATTAAATTAAATACACGCATATACATATACACACACACATTTGAATGAATAATATATTTATTTATTTATTTATTTATTTATTTATTTATTTATTGATTATTATTATTTTAGTTTAAGAATGTTAAGTCTGAAGTTCTGAGAGGTGACCCAAAGAAATCAGTAATTGATTATTGCATTCAGTGCCGTCCAACCTACATTATCACTGGTACCAGAGGTTTAGGAGTCCTCAAGCGAACCCTTCTTGGTTCTGTTTCAGACTACATTGCCAAGCATTGCCCGAACCCTGTATTGATCCTTAAACTTACTCCCGAGGAATTAAGCAGTCGCGAAGAACAAGACGATCAGAAAAAGACTCGATTCACACAGCTACAAAGTAAGATAAGCAGTTAGAAGGAATACAATCTACACTGGCAAGAGAGCTCATGGTTATTGTTCAAAATATTATTATTATTAGATACATTGAAATCCAAGGGTAGAGCAGCATAAATAAGTAAAATGTATATAAATATATATAAAAGGAGGACATATATAATAAAATTTGGTAATACATTTATGGTGTTCCTCATAATCCACAAAATCCACAAAATCTTAAAATCAAATCAAGTAAACGAGAAAAGGGAAGTAGGCAACCAACCAATTGGCTGTCAATAGGTTACATATTATTTTATTATATTTTTCATATGCACACAAGCAAGAGAATTCTGTTAAATATTCTGATTGTCATCTAAGATATTTCTTCGAGCAAAATAAGAAGAAACAAGAGTGTCTCCTATTTCTTCCACATTAACTATATTTTCTTGTCTTTTGATAAGCCGTCTTTACTTGGACTACATTACACAAGGCTTTAGTTTTATTTTCTCTCTCTTTCCTTTGATAGAATATTATAGCATTCCATTGTACAATATATCATTGTGTTAAAATATAACCCGGATACATACAAGGTCAATACTAAGCTTATATATGTGCGTGATTTTTACTTTTATTTTTAAAATTATCATGCAATAAATAATAAAAGGGTCAAAATAAACTGAAAGATACTCGGACTTTTAGTAGCAGTAGTAGCATTTGTAAGAAATAGTAACGATGAAGCTTCTTAAGAAAGAAAGAAAAAAGAAAAAAAAAAGGGGGGGGGGGGGGGGGGGGGAAAGAAAAAACCTAGTGCTTTATTTTATGGTTTTTATCCCTTGAATATTATAGTTTATCCACTATTCCAACCTCGAGTTTTTAATTCAAAAAAGATAAAGATGTGCCTTATAGCCGAGGATAATATTATATAAATATATAGATATATTATTAACATTTTAAAGAAATAATAATGGTGGTAGTATTAGTATTCTCAATGGCCATTAAACTAGATATAAGCTTTAATTGTGCCCTAAAGAAGTAATCAGGCAATAAGGCAAGCAAACAAACAGAAGAGTAGTAAAGTAACATATATCTCTTATTGACACTGAGCCGACACCAGCACAGACGTTTTTGGAATGCAGAAATCTAAAAGGCAATAATAATGAAGGAGTGAAAGTTTGTCTTCTTTTTTGCTAAAATTCTATATCCATGTAATATATATATTTGGAATATTTGAAGATCGTTTGCCGAACCTTAGGGTTTTTTTTTTGACCTTTTTTTTTTCTCTCTCTAAGAATCATTAAGCAAAAAGGTACAATTTGTTTCTTTTTCATCCAATTAACCTAAAATTGGGATCTATCAATATATATATATATATATACACAGAACAATAACAAAAAAGAAAAAAAAAAGACAATATCGTACATATATAGAAGAAGAAGAATAAAATATTAACCTAGATAAGTAAATTTGTACACAATGCGATAAATATCCTTCTGTTTTGCGTGTATTGTTTCAGTCTCGATTCAATCGGTAGCAAGAACTATATATATATTATCCGAGGGCACAAAGTATTTAATTGAACCAAAAATAATAATAAAACAAAAGTACCCCAAAAAAGGGGAGAATAGAATCAAGGAAAAAGAGTACAAAGAAGGAGGAAATAATAAAAGCTTACAGGTGGGTTCAATTGATCAAAAAAAAAAAGGTACAAAAAATAAAATAACTTGAGAGAATCTCAATTGAGATTGATAATCACAAGTTATACACTATACACTATGCTTAAAACCTCCCCAAAAAAAAGATTGTTTTTTTAAAGTTGAATTCCTTGATTGAATACTACTTTTTCCTCCTTTTTATTTATTTATTTTTTATATACGTTTCAAATTTCAATTTCAATTTCAATTTCAATTATTCTTTCCCTATTTTCCTTGCTATCGTTGTAAGTTCAAAAGTAAATGCACCTTTAGAATACCCTATACCCTTGTCCTACACCCTTTATTTATTTTCAATCGAATCGACAAATTCCACATTAATCCAGTATAAAAATATATTAAGATAAAACAAGATTCATTGCATTATTCAAAGAATGGAATTACTTACCAAAAAGGAATCTTGAAGGATACATGGTAGCAGCCAGGTTAAGGAAAGAAAGAAAAAAATCTTTTATTTGTTTGTTCGTAGGGACTCTTGACACTTGTAAATATTCGTCTAATATTTCAACTCTCCAGAACATCTCATCTCAACCTAATTGTCATTTTCTACCTGAAGAACCTTAAAATGAGCCTCTCCTGGAATCATGTCATAATTCGGGAAGAATATCTGTCTTTACTAAAGTTCAAGACGGAATCAAAGCCAGGATCAAAATCTTAATTCCACAAACGATGTTCACACTGTAACGAATGACAATGCTCAAAACGAACCAAATTCATCGATCAGCTAAAACGTTAAGCTTATAATTTTGCAAAGTAAGCCTTTTTCTTCATTTACTGGAGACTTTAAAGAAAGAAAGAAAGAGACTTGTCACGCTTGAGTTCAGGTATTTGCTCGCTAAAGAGTGAGTATGTGAATGGTTATACTAAGTAGTCTATATCCATGTAGTATAATATACCAGATATCTTTTATTCCACTCAGGATCAAACAAAAATAAAGGTGCGTAAGCCTATGATTTCTTCGTGTTTGTTGCTATGACGATAAATCATGAAGCACATAGGCAATATTACCCGAGTAAATAATATGTGGCCAGCTCTCCTGGAAGTGGTAGGGTTTTTTGCTTTTGTTTTTGACAAGTTTTATGGGTCCGGTTTAGGATGGTTATCTCGACAACCATCTTTACGGATTGTTTCTCTGAACTCCATCACGCTGTTTTTTTCCTTGTCCTGGCGAAGCCTTATTGTTCGAAGCAAATCACTATTTACTTCCCTTCCCTAGAGATCTAGTTTGTTCCTAGATGGCCTACTAAATCTCAACATACGCTGGTGCAGGAATCCTAAATATTGATTTGTATGTAACACGAAAACCAGATCAAGCAAAAAAAAGGAGTGGGAAACAATTGAAGGATCAATACCAGATGTTCTAGGAGTTTATGCCACACAAATAATACAGTGAAGGAACGGCTGTAAGAAGAACAGGCTTTAGGGTCATGTCATAGTAGACAAGGTAAATTTCTTTTAAAATCCATGTTTTTCTTTTCTGGGTGGGTCATCAAGATAAGTATAATTGTTGCCGTAAAAAGTTTTTTATATTCTGCTAACGATGACAGGATTTTTATGGTAAGTGCAATATAATAACATATTTGATATCAAAACATCAACACACTTTGCAAGAATAAATAAAGTATCCATAAATAAAACATCAATTGATAAAGTCTTTGCTACAAAAGGAGCTTATGCTTTCGTAATCTTACAAGAGAGTTTTATTATGGATTGTCCAATATTTTAGTGTAGCGGAACAGTGGTGCCAAAAAAATAGGAATAGAGAAAGAGTTTAATGTATAAATAGTGTGACAAGAACAAAAGGGTCAATTCGATTATCAAGTGTGGTTTACTTTGACTATTAAGAGGCACAGTTATCGTCAGAGGCATTTATTTAGTGTTAAAATCAATTGTTGATCAAAAGGAACAAGTCTGGAGTGTGGGGATACAGAGGCTAGACTCCACTCTTAAAATATGCCGTGTACGTATCTGGTGTATGGAAGTTCCATAAATTGTTAGCTTATCATGGTTATTAGCAAGTAGGAACCAGAGTTTGATTGTAGAGCTTGTATTTCTACTCAATTATGGTGTGTATACCACACAGGCGACAAAAAAGACTGTGGTATTTGTGTTCTTAGAACACAATTGTAGGGATACTGACGACCCTTGAATGGATTCAGGGTCCACTTTTATAGACTAATTTGTGCTCCACCTAATGAAATGTACTTTTTTTTATAGATTTAATACAAAGATGCTTAATTTAAATGATTGGTGTAGACAGACTAAAAAAAAAGTTCAAGATTAGTTAAAATGAATATTAGATATCATTAAGTACTCAAAGTACAATATTTTTTATCATATGAAAATATTCTATCGCCGTTTTCTCTAGGTCTTGCTCCCTATGGTCCATACCTTCCATCAAAAACATGATCTTCCTCTCAATTCAAGTGAACAATAGAAGACGAGCCAGTCATAGTCGAGTGAACATTTTTTTTGAACATTTTTTTTAAAAAAAACTTGTCCAATAATATAACTTGCGGTTTTGTCTTTTTTGAACTTTTAGGTCGCTATTATCTATAAAGTAAAGGGTGAAAACTAAAAAATCAAAAGTTCTACACAAAAAAGCTCTTAAAAATCATCCAGATCTTTCCATAGTAATTAGTATAAAGAAGTATCTATTATGTTTCTTCTCTTATAAAGACAAAAATGTAGTTTCTCTTTATCTATATAGTTCTCATTATTATTATTATTATTATTATTATTATTTCCTACTCTTTCTTTTGCTCTTGTTCTTGTTTTTGTTCTTTGTTTTTGGAGTATTCGTTTACTCAATATATTTTGTACAAGAAGGAAATAATTGTGGTATACAAGGCAAAGAGTAAATAAAAAATAATAATAAGAATAAGACTAATAGTAATCTAAAGAAGAAGAAAAAAAAAACTACGAAGGGAAAGAAAATGGATGGTATTATTAGGGCTCATGTGCCTTGCGTAGATCCCTACTCGCCTTAATAAGTGGAATCAATGAACGAACATGCTCTGCTTTTCGAAGGAAAGGATGCTCAAGTAATTCGCTTGCAGATGGTCTATTCTGACTGTCCACAGTAAGTGATAATCTAAGAAAGTCTGTGAGATTGTCAGATAGTGCATCTGGATGCTGAAGGTGCGGTGTTCCATTTGTTGCGATTAGGTAGAGAGCACGGAGCGCATTTTCATGAAGATAAGGAGGTTCTCCTTCAATCATTTCAATAGCCATAATGCCCAACGACCACACATCAATCTTGGGGCCATATTCTTTCCTTGTAACAACTTCAGGAGCCATCTACAATTTTCAGTAATCACAAACCAGCACATTAATAAACTATTTTCAATAAAGCTATAAAGGAAACAAGAAATATAAGATGAAAAACCTTACCCAGTAAGGAGTACCAACAAGTGTCGTCCTAAGCTCTGAGTCACTTAAACGGGCACAGAAACCAAAATCAGCTACAAGAGAAAAAAATATATAAGAAGTGTTAATAAATAAATACAATGATAATGATATAGTGTATATGTATTATCAGATCAGACTTACTTAATTTAACCTGGCCATTTAGTCCGAGGAGAACATTGTCAGATTTAATGTCTCTGTGGATGATGTCAAGATTGTGAAGATGGCATATTCCCTCAAGTGTCTCTTTACACACAGTTGCAATCTGGGATTCTGTCATCATATTGGTTGTCACAACATCCGTGAGCGAACCTCCCTCCATATACTCCATAACAACCCAAAGCTCGCCGTGAACAAGAAAGGAATCGATAAAGTTGACAATGTTTTTGTGACGTGCATCCCGCATAACCAGGATCTCATTGATAATAAGCTCTTTCTTTGGTTGCTTGTCAAGACACATTTGTTTAATAGCAACCGACATATTAGTATCCACAGACTGAGCGATACAGACTCCACCGGACGCCCTGTTTTTTTGTTATAAAATAAATAAATAATTGGTTAATATAATATATAATATACATGGCTAGTTTAGAGCAGACTTGTCAAGTTATTCTTATTATTATCCTTTCTATGATGTTTCTTCACTCTAATACAACCCAAGACTTACCCTTGTCCAATCTTAATCATGTTCCGGTACAATTTAGTGGGATCTGCGTCTGTGCAAATAGCTTTGAGATCCGCAATCACCTCAGCATCCTTAGCCATTTCTTTTTGTCGCTTTTGTTCCCGTCTCTTCAGTCTAACTTCTGTAGAAACAGTATCCATCGCAGGGTCTAGAGGAGCAGCCATGGGAGATATGTACACTTCCCCATTAGCTGTTTCTTCTTGTATCTTTGCATTTAGTTTTGGACGTGGGGGAGCAACCGGCGGGTGATCAGTGCGCTCAATCCGGTGTTTTGGTTTGGTTGGTTTGGTGAGAAGTGGCGGTTTTGGTGGCGGTGCGGATGGCTTGGGTGTGAGTGTATGTGGTAGTGACGATGCTGATGATGATGAAGGTGGTGCTGAATGTGGTGGTGGCGGTGGTGGTGGTGAAGGTGAAGGTGGTAAGTGTGTCCGGCTATCTTCGTCGGCTGGTGGTCTGGCTGGAACTGGTGGTGTGTGTTGCATATATACCGGTCTCGCTGGTACAGGCGGAACGGTCGGTTTGGGTGCCGGTTGTGTAGGAGGTGGAGAATTTGGCGGTGCTAAAGTTGGTGGTGATGACGAGCTGTCTGGCAACAGTACAAGCCTTGGTCTCACTCGCTGTGGAAGTGGTGGAGGAGTAGCACCAGCTTTCACAGGGTCTAGTCGGCGAGTATTTCCAAATTTCTCCCATACAATGTCCTGCGATTGTTCGCGGGATTCTTTATAAAACCCAATGACGTCTAGCACAGCTTGAGGGTTTTCTTTCTGTTCTCGTTTTGTGATGCCACTTTCTTTTAACAGTATTTGCCATTCACGTGGAAGACCAGTAAACTCGCCTGTTTGGGGATTGAATCCAACATGCGTAACATGTACTAGATTGTAAGGTGAGGAGATCTTTGTTCTGGATTGAGAACCACTACCACCACCACTACTACTACCACTACCACCAGGTATAGGTTGATTGGAACTCTGTGCAGTTGTCCAAAGATCACTCACACTACCAACTACCTTGTCCAAAACACCTTTCAAGGCAGCTGTTGTTGAGCCAACCTGGTTAATGAGTCCAAAGGTCTTTGGGTCTTCCATTGTACGTCGGGATTGATCCCCCCTATTTGGGGTGTTTAATGTAATGACTGGACCAGCACTTGTAGAGCTGTTGGTAATTGCATTGTTCTTTGCGTTTATGGATTTAAGCGTTGCCTGGCTAGGACGAGGTGGAGGTGGTGGAGGTGGGGGAGGAATTGCATTGTTTTCTGGTTCTGTCGATTGATGGCTGATAGGCTTTGTGGGTTTGGTTGGTTTGGTTGGTTTAGGCGGTAAAAGGGGTTTTATGGGTTGTGTTGTAGAGGACGTAGATTGTGGTTGAGGGTGTGGTTGAGAAAGGGCCTTGGAAGTACTCGACTTTATTGGGTCTGGGTGGCCACTGTCGGCCTTGCTGTTGAAAAGTTTGATGTTGGCAGACACAAGGCCACTGGTGCTCAAAGAGGAAGACATCCTAGGCTGGTTGGGAGCCGCTCTTTTTTTGGAACGATCAGGTCGTGTCAGCACAATGAGGTGGCTTGGGCTGTCCATTTCATCCTCCGGACAGAATCAAGGTCTGGAACCTCCCTCTCTATCTCCCTGTCTTTCTCTCTTTACTCATCAATCCCCGCCCGTCGGCGTACGAATGCTTTATCTCAGCCAATTGCACACGTTCACTCTCTGGGTTGCATGACAAGCCAACAACGAATCAAAATCTGCCTGCCTACACGATCGCCACCGTCCCACACACCGTGCGCTATTCACGTGATTCTTGTCATTACAGGACGTATAAACTCCAAGCACACACGTAATATTCTTTCCTTTTTCTCATTCTAATTATTCATTTAATATTTTTATTTTGAAGGTATCATGTTCCTGTACCTAATTAAAACTCTTCTCTTGTACCCCTTTTAAATACAAATAGAACATAGTAATTGGATTAGTGACTTGAGTACTTGTTTGCTTAAAATGTAAAATATTACACAAAGTGCGCCACTGTAGGAAATGGCACAAATTGTAATTCCGTAGTGTACATTTCAGCACACTGTAGAAAAAAACACTGTAGTAGATGGCAGACATTACAACTCTGCGAATAGAATATTGGCTTTTAGTAAATTAAAAGTATTTACAACGAATACTATTTATGGGAGCTCAAATTACTTTTTATCTAATCCAATCAAATTATCTAAATATAGTAGAGCTATACCTTTTTAGGCATTTTATTTTTCTTATAATTGGCCCAACAAATTTAGATTTTTTATAGAAGTTTTTTTATTTTTATTTTTGACTTTATTATTAGCAAAAGTAATAGAATAATGTTCTTCTTTAGCCTTCTCATCCTTATAACGCTGCCTCTAACAAAGAATATTAAAAAAATATTAGAAAAATGACAGAACAAGTATGGAAAGAAGAAGACTATAATGATTTTATATCAAGATAAGTCCAGTTAAAGTCTAATTTAAATTGTAAAATCAGTGTCTTTACAAACTACTAGATATAAACTTAGTCAAAAATAAAAAAGGGGATTTGTTTAACATCACAAGAGCTATACATACACTACGGGAAAAAAAGTGGTCTTTTTGGTGGTCTTTTAGGTGGTATTTTAGGTGGTCTTTTGGGTGGCAGTTTTGGTAAAACCAGCAAAAAGATCATCCCTATTTTTGGAAATATAATTAGATCTCCGTTGACTGATGGATGTTAGGTTTTATTCATATCCCGATATTTAAATTTATGTATTATTCTTCTCGTTCTATTGGTAGAAAGAAAATAAAAAAGAGCTTTCTTATTGGTATAGATGGAAAAAAAGAATCTTTGTATTGTCACTCATAAGATACTTTCGTTATACTGCTACTTTTAATTGGATAATATAAACTTTATTGCAGTATGCACATTGATAGTATTGGTCATTTAAACAAAAGCATTCTCTCAATTGGTTCTCATATATATATTCTGATTCATTCACAGTTTTAATTGGGCAAAAAAAATTTATTTCATAGAAGATCATTATTTAAAAATGTTTTTATTGGTTGTTATAATAGAAATAATATTTTATTCATGAATCGTACTGGCTAAAATTCCTTCAGATTATTACATATTCTCACATTAATTACACAATTTATTGTACCTACCAGATATGAACTTACCAGAGTATTCTCGCTTCTTACGCCCTCTCCAGAGCTGGCTAACCCTTGCAATTGATGCCCAGTTTCTGTGGCATCTGGTAAAATCGATTCCATTGTCTCTGAGTATGATGGAATGATTGATACACAGCCTGTTTTTATCCTCTTGAGGAAGCAATGACCAGCCAGGGTTTGTTCCAAGATCCTGAACAGATGGAAGAGCTGCCAGTTGATCACATATGACCTTGGTACATGTGTTAACAATTCTCTTGGTTTCCTCGGTCAATTCTATTCTAAGATCGTCTGTTATCATCTTGTATATATGCTTTAAAGTTATATCGTTGATTTTTGATACGGGTCTTGGAATGATGCCAGTAAGAGTCTATTATGTTTGACATTAATTGAAAGGACTTTAGTTGTTATAGTATTTGCTTACACTGGTAGAGGTTACAATAGTTCTATCTGGAAATTCCCGATCTTTAAATTCATTGTAAAAACTTGTCATTTGAAGTTGCATCGCATCTTGTCTTTTTTCTAATGCTTCTTGACGGCCTAGCAATGCTTCTTGACCACTCTTTAGGGAAATAAGTGCAGCTTGTATTCCTTGAAGCAACTGAATCACTGTATTGTCTGTATTGTTCATAATTGTAAGAAAAAATCAGTTACGTGTTTGTTATAGAAAAAGAAAGAAAGAGAAAATTTTTTACCAGAAACTATTATTAGTTTCAAATCTTTAGCTTCAATTTTTTAGCTTCAAATTATTAGTTTCAAATTATCTGTACAAATCTATTGGTTACTCCTGAAGAAACATTGATCTAGTAACTTCACTGATGACATACAGATACTTCTTTAAGATCCCGAGCATATATTCAGAATGCATATAACATCATTGTCTTTATATAATTAAGTATAAAGCTATACATTCAGAAAGTAATTAATTCTATTCTTACTTATATAACAAAGTTTTTTTTTTACCTACCTCAAACATGTCCAAAATTACAAAAGCCCCTCGTTACCAATGCCGTACTTGCAAGTCGACCTTTAATAACAGTCGAACATATAAAAGATGTCTCGAACGATGCATGACAAATAGGGCAGAATTACTTGCCAATGGCGAAGTTTCCCAAACTGTCTCTCTTCCTGATCAAAGCCAGTTTACATCAGCAATGGTTCCTAACTTGGCTTTTGGGTAAGCTTATCAAAAGCAAAAACACAAAACGATAGACAGTATATTAATTAGCTGTATACTTTGATAAACAAACAGAGAAAACATCAACACAAGCAGTAGTGGGGATATGGATATCATTGACAGTACTGAAGATGATGAGTCCATGGTGAGATACATAAATACATATATTATGATAATCATACTTATTGTTGTTTATCTTACTATAGTACGATTTTGGAGAAGAATGCGAGAATGTCATTGACGAAATTGAAGGCACCACACCCTCGCTAGTCTTTGATTTTAGCCAGCCTCTTCCTGTTCCCAGCAACGATGATAAAAAGAATCTCGCGTTCATGCAGTTGATCCAAGAGTTCGGAATTTCTCGTCGAGCCCACGAAAAGATTGTAGAACACTTCAACCAGATCCTTGATTGTTCTATCAATATTACGTACCGAGCATGCAGCCCACACCTTGGAAACAAGCTTCTTGAGCGCTTCTCGGGTATCAAAGCAGACGGATACGACATTTGCATCAGAGGTTGTATGCAGTTCAACAACGAGAATGATATCGCATGCGTAAAATGCAGTGAAGCAAGATACAAAAATGGCCAAACTAGCAAAAGTGACACCAGGGTTCCTGTGAGATCGATCGTACAGCTTCCTTTGGCCAGACAGCTTGCTTTGTGCTTGGCTGATGACAAGACCAGGGCTGAAATGCTCTATCGTCATAACCACCAATCCAGCCAAGACGGGCAGAAAGCAAATGTTTTCGATGGTCATGTATACCAATCCATGAAGCATCTGTTTTCTGGTGAAAACAATATTGCGATTTCGTTGTCCATGGATGGGTTCAACCCACACAATGTACCTGGATCAGTAACCATTGTTCATGCAACTGTCTTGAACTTGAATCCGACGATCCGTTATGAGAAAAACAGGATGATCCAAATAGCAATGCTTCCTGGTTGCACTGGTCCCAGTGACATCTGGTCTTTTCTTGAGCCAATGCTGAGAGATCTCCGTTTGCTCCAGACAGAAGGCATGGAAGTAAAGACACCGACGACAACGATCAGGGCAAAGGTACATGTCCTCATGGCCACTGGCGATATTCCAGCTCTGGCAAAGCTGGCATGCCATGTTGGCCACACGAGTAAGAATGGCTGTCATATTTGTCACGTAGTGGGCCAAACTCCTAAACATGGCCAGTACTTCCGCATGTTGCCTGGAACCCAGACGCGCTCACTGGAGAGTTTCAGAAACTACAATCTGGCAAGCAGTGAAGACAGAAAGGGGCTCAATGGTCAGTCACCGTTAGCCTCAATGGAAACATTCTCTGGCCCGTTTTTTTTCGCGTTAGACGAGATGCATGGTCTGTGCCACGGAATCGGTAAACAGGTATGGGGACTTGTACGCGGAAAGTATGGAATCAAGCATCCTCTATGTCTTTCTCTTGCCACTCAAAGGGAGATTGGTGCTGCAATGGTAGCCACAAAATCTACAATCCCTACATCGTTGCATGGTGCCTGGAGAGACGTGACAAAGAATGCCGGTTTCTTTAGAGCTGTGGATTGGGCAGACTTTTTACTCTTTGTTGTC